TGACTAGCTTGTCAAGACAGATACTGAGACAATAGCTGTCGCACAGTTTGATAGTCACCAAGTACCTTGACAGACTGACCTGGGTTTCAGGCGCGAGACCCCTGACACTGAGCTCGCAGCCCTGGATCACGCCCCTATCACGCACTAAGAGCTGCAACAACAATTGAATTACCCTTCAAATCAACGAAAGCTGATCCAGCTTGGCAACTTCATCGATTCACATTGAGAGTTCAGGATGATCATGCCTGTGAGCATTCCTCACGACACAGCACTACGCAAGAAGATGTTCGTTCTCATCACCCTGCGAAGCAATGACTCCAGACAGAAGGAGCTACTTTTAGGTGGATATGCAAAGCTGTTGAATGTGGAGGGAATCGGGGAAGTGCTGCAGGGCGTCAACATGCAGTTGAAGATGTGACAGAATTACCAGGAGTTTAGCCGAGATGCGAGAAGGCTGAGTCGCCGAGGGGCCAAGGGACATGCATGCATGATCAATGCATGGCAACCAATTAGAAAACACTTGTGGCAAATAACGCCGAGGTACAAGGAAGACAATGCTGAGGCAACACATGGTGTGCTCAGTTAGTGGGTGACGATAGGGATTCTCAACAGGGGCTAAAAGTATATATACAAGCAATACTAGGGGGTTTCAGTTTTTTTTTTTGCCCTCGAAAACTAGAGTCTTCGAATAGTGAAAAAAGGCCAGAAAATTGATGCCCCCAAATGTAAGCTGTGTTTTTAGACCAAGAGTTAGGGTAGTGTTGGCCAGAACATGAAGTGTTGGCTGGAACATGAAGCAGTTCTGGAATCCAAACCACCTTGTAGCTCCACCATCTTTGACACTCTTGTTGCACAATCAAAGTATATACAGTCATTATTGACACTGTGGGTTCATGCAAAACAAGCTGTGCAGGAAAAGTGGAGGCATTTGCACAAGTAAATTACATGCAACATCATGTGCAACATCACATGAGTGAAGACTCAGGTCCAATTCTGAAAACTCTGCCACAACTGTCCAGCTGAAGCAGTGTTTTCAAAAATTAGAGTATTTTCCAAAATGGCAGAGCTTACATAAGAGTAGAGAATTTTGGCGCTTAGTTGCTTCTTAGTCATTTTGAGTGCTATTTACATAAGCATATATATATGCGCAAGCTTGGCGGTTGTCATGGGCCTGAATGCTCAGGAAGCAGGAGGGTCACTAGTTCATATGGGAGGAGCACAGGTAGAGCTCTAGTCGATACCAGTGGAGAGCATGGTCATAGTGCAGTCTCCATGGAGACCATGGACTCCTACAGACTCACATGCAAAGGAGCACTGAGCCATATGTGAGGAGGGCCAGGCACAGCCCCAAGGAGGACCAAGCTCAAGGAGCAGGAACAGCCATGAAGAGGACCAAGCTCAAGGAGCATGCAGATGGTTACCACTCAGGGGCTTGAGAGACAAGAGTCAAAGGAGTCAACACAAGGTCCTGAGGAGGAGGAGCAGTGTCGAAGGAGTCAACACCAGGTCATGAGGAGGAGGAGCAGTGTCGAAGGAGTCGACACCACTCAGGAGGCACAGGGGTGCCAAACAAGCAGCAGGATAGCAAGGAGGAGGAGCAGTGTCGAAGGAGTCGACACAGCTCAAGAGGCACAGGGGTGCCAAGCAAGCAGGAGAGGCCCCTGAGCAGTACTCGATGAAGAAGGTACTCTCTGGAGAGAGAGCAGGAGCAGCATCACTGGCGATGCTGTGAAGAGGTATATAACCATGCTTTCTCATCATCAAAGGTCAAGTGGATCCTCATCCACTCTACTCACCATACAACTAGTCAATACTTTAGAAACATAAGTACTCATTAGTTTTCAGTCAGCATAGCAGCAATCTGTCAGGGGTCTCGCGCCTGAAACCCAGGTCGGTCTGTCGAGATACTCGGTGACTATCAAACTGTGCGACAGCTATTGTCTTGGTATCGGTGACTATCAAGTTGCACAGTGACAGCAGGTGGCATTCGTTGTATATACTATTGTAGGTTTTGGCTGACCTCTGTGGACACTCCGTTCAGGGGTAGCTTGGCATGATCAATATCAATGCTTTGGTTATGATGACACCAAGGTCTGGTGTGAGTGTTGATGATGATGAGGTTGATGACGTTGGTGATAAGGTTGGTGAGTGTTGATGATAATGAGGTTGATGGTGTTGGTGATAAGGTTGGTGGCATCAACATGAGTGTCCAGTGTGTTGACTTTGACGCTTGAAGTGATCCCCAGACCACAGTGGACTACTGCCTTCGGTTCTATCTATATCCAGACTGCTAACCTGCTATGGGGCGCCTACGGACGTCAGGTAGTGGTGATACAACACACACACTATGATGAGGAGCAACCTTGATGGATTGCTGCTATGCTGACTGTAACTAATGAGTACTTATGTTTCTAAAGTATTGACTAGTTGTATGGTGAGTAGAGTGGATGAGGATCCACTCAACCTATGATGATGAGAAAGCATGGTTATATACCTCTTCACAGCATCGCCAGTGATGCTGCTCCTGCTCTCTCTCCAGAGAGTACCTTCTTCATCGAGTACTGCTCAGGGGCCTCTCCTGCTTGGCACCCCTGTGCCTCTTGAGTGGTGTCGACTCCTTCGACACTGCTCCTCCTCCTCATGACCTGTGACAGTTCCTTTGACTCTTGTCTCTCGAGCCCCTGAGTGGTAACCATCTGAGCTTGATCCTCTTTGTGGCTGTGCCTGCTCCTTGAGCTTGGTCCTCCTTGTGGCTGTGCCTGGTCCTCCTCGCATGTGGCTCGTGTCCTCCTTTGCATGTGAGTCCGTAGGAGTCCATGGTCTCCATGGAGACTGCACTATGACCATGCTCTCTACTGGTATCGACTAGATCTTCGATACCTGTGCTCCTTCCATATGAACCCATGACCCTCCTGCTTCTTGAGCATCCAGGCCCATGACACAATCTATCAAGGTTGCTCCTCATTGTAGTGTGTGTGTTGTATCACCACTACCTGACGTCCGAAGGCGCCCCATAGCAGGTTAGCAGTCTGGATATAGATAGAACCGAAGGCAGTAGTCCACTGCGGTCCAGGGATCACCTCAAGCATCAGTCAACACACTGGACACTTGTGTTGACAGCACCAACCTTATCACCAACGCCACCAACCTTATCACCAACACCATCAACCTCATCATCACCAACACTCACACCAGACCTTGGTGTCATCATAACCTATGCATTGATATTGATCATGCCAAGCTACCCCTGAATGGAGTGTCCACAGAGGTCAGCCGAAACCTATGATAGTATATACAACGAACACCACCTGCTGTCACTGCACAACTTGATAGTCGCCGAATGTCTAGCTCATCGAGACAGATACCGAGACAATAGCTGTCGCACAGTTTGATAGTCACCAAGTATCTCAACAGACCGACCTGGGTTTCAGGCGCGAGACCCCTGACAGCGGTCACCCTTAGCCTGTGCCAATCTATGACTAGTTCACCCCTCACATTGCTCCTAATTTGTCATGGTAACGCCTATGTACCCCACATGCATAGCCACTGACATGTGGTTTCGTATCATCAATAGTTACTTGCCCTCTGCAGACCCCATAGGCTCTGTTTGGTTCTGACGCATCTCCAACCATTGTTATGTTTCCCTCAACTGTCTCCCTCAGTGGGGAAGCAGGGAACTGCTGAGCCACTCTACCTTGCTGTGGTGTTAGTCCCAACCCCTGATGTGCATGTCATAATGCTTCCTTGCCCACTGGCTTGGTGAAGATGTCAGCCAAGTTGTCCTCAGTGCTGATATATTTGATTTTGACATTTCCATCTTGTATGTTATCTCTGATAAAGTGGTACTTGGTGTCAATATGCTTCAACTTCCAATGTTGTGCTGGATCCTTACTTACCTGAATGGTGCCTGTGTTGTCTGAAAAGATTGTGCGGATGCCAATGTCAATTCCAATAGCTTTGAAGAGATGCCTGAAGAAAAGTACTTCTTGTGTGGCTTCAGTTGCTGCCATGAACTCTGCTTCCACTGCCGACAAAGCAGTGCAGCATTGTAGTGCTGACTTCCATGTGACCAGGTTCCTGTGGACAAACACTGCTGAGCCTGATGAGCTTCTTCGTTGTGTGGTGGCATCACTTGCCCAGTTTGCATCGCTATGCGCCATTAGAAAATCTTGTTCCTTGTTGCCACTGTATTGTAAATGGACATCCTGGGTACCATCTAGGTATTGTAGTACCTTCTGCACTGCATTGTAATGCTCTTTCGATGGTTGAGTCATATAGCGTGTGAGGACCCCTACTGCTTGGCTGATATCTGGGTGTGTTCCATTCAAAAGCCATAGGAGCTTGCCAACAATCTGCGGGTATTCCTTTCATTCAGCTGTGCTTGCTGCTGTCTCTGGGGCCAGTACATTTTGGAGTGGTATGCTGGATTTTCTCCTGTGTTTGTCTAGGTGTTTGTCCAGTAGTTGTTTAATGTAACTGGTCTGCCTGAGGTCCATTGTCTTTTCTTTGCGATCCCTGGTGATCTTGATTCCAAGGAAGTGAGACACATTGCCACCCTCCTCCATCTTCCACTTCTTGCCTATTTCCTCCTTGATGCATTTGACCATTTCTAGCTTTGGGGACATGATTAATGTATCATCAACATAGATGACCACTATTGCAAAGTCGTCCCCTTTCCCTCTGGAGTAGATGCATGGTGCACAATCAAGTCTATGGAAGTTGGATCACTGGAGGAACTTGTCAAATTCCATATTCCACTCCCGTCCTGACTGTTTGAGACCATATAGTCCCTTGATTACCTGATAAGCTTTTCCTCTTGGCACTTTAGCTCCTTCTGGCAGTTTCATGTAGATCTCGTGTTTAAGTGTGGAGTTGAGATAGGCCATTGTAATATCTAGTTGATGAACCTCCCAGTCACACTCTACTGCCAGTGATAATAGTGCTCTTATCGCACTAAGCAGTGCCACTGGTGCAAAGGTTTCTTCGAAGTTGACACCCTCTCATTGTGTGAAACCTCGTGCGACTAATCTTGCTTTGTGTCGGATGGGTATGCCATCTGCATCCAGTTTGAGGTGTAAGACAATTTTGGAGTCTATGAGCCTGGTGTTTGGCAGTATGTCCATGACCTCCCAAGTTCCCATGGCCTCCAGTCCATCCAACTCCTTGCATATGGCTTCTTGCCATTGCTGTGCATCTTCACTGGCAAGTGCCTCTTTCATCATTGGTGTGAGATTTAGGGTGGTGGTGTTCGCTCCCCTGATCATGTCTTTGACTGCTATCTCCAATCGGTTGTCTTCAGTGTCATCGATCGGTTGTCCAATGGGTGCATGTGGGAGTGAGTCTTGTGTGTCGAACTCTTCAATTTCTGGTTCAGGTTCGAGATCATTTGCCTCTGGCTTGGCACTTTCTGCTTCGAGGCTCTCAAACCCAATCTGCAGTGGGCTTTGTACTTTGGGTCGATCATGCCAACCTTTATGTTCATGGAATGTAGCTGAATTGCTCCACTGGATGGATGGCGTGTGGTCTGGAGTGAAGAATTTCCATCCCTTGTGCTCATCATTGTAACTGATCATGATTCCTGGTATGGCTCTCACACCATGCTTACCTGCATGATCTTTCCTTGGGAGGTGAACCCACACGAGACAGCCAAAGACATGCAATTGTTTTACCAAGCTGTGAGCTGTTGTGCAATGAAAGTCTTTGTATGGAATTCTGTTGGCATTTGCTGATGGTGTCAAGTTAAGTACATGTCCGGCAGCCATAATGGTGTAGGGCCATAGTCCTTTTGGCACCGATCTTTGGACAAGCATTGCATGCATCTTCTCTTGGAGTGATCTGATGGTGTGCTCTGCTCTCCCATTCTGTATGCTGACATATGGAGTGGTTTTCTGCCACTTAAACCCTGCCTCCCGTTTCCACTCCTCTGCTGCTAAGCTTGACCATTCCGTTCTGTTATCACTGCAGATACACTTCAATGTGTGATCCATTGCTATCTCCGCTGTTTTGGTCCATGCTTTTAGGGCGGGGAATGCCTCTGCTATGCTTAGGAGCGGTTTCATGTACACATAGGATGAGGCATCATCAACAATTACCAGTGCATGGTGATAGTTTGGATGTCCTTGTAAGTCTGTCATTAAGTCAATGTGTATCAACTCTAGTGGCTCCTGTGCTTGTTCCATTTTGCTGCTTGCCATTCTTGCATGTGTTTGTTTTGCTTGACTGCAACAGTTGCAGTCTCTTGCATTGTGCTCAAGCTGTGTATCCTTTCCCAAGTAATGAGCCTGGATTTGCTTAGTCTTGTTTCTGCCAGGGTGGCCAAATCGTTTGTGCCATAGTTTGCTTATTGTGTAGCTTGCAGGCTTTGCTGGGGTTGTGTCAATATCAATGCCCTCGAGAGGGTCATTGAGCTGGGTGTCAGGGGTCTCGCGCCTGAAACACAGGTCGGTCTGTCAAGATACTCGGTGACTATCAAACTGTGCGACAGCTATTGTCTCGGTATCTGTCTCGGCGAGCTAGTCGTTCGGTGACTATCAAGTTGCGCGATGGGTGGCGTTTGTGTATATACTATCATAGGTTTCGGCTGACCTCTGTGGACACTCCGTTCAGGGGTAGCTCGGCACGATCAATATCAATGTGTAGATTATGATGACACCAAGGTCTGGTGTGAGTGTTGATGACGATGAGGTTGATGGTGTTGGTGATAAGGTTGGTGAATGTCGATGATAATGAGGTTGATGGTGTTGGTGATGAGGTTGGTGGCGTCAACACGAGTGTCCAGTGTGTTGACTGATGCTTGCTTAATGTGATCCCCAGACTGCAGTGGACTACTGCCTTCAGTTCTATCTTGATCTGGACCGCTAACCTGCTATGGGCGCCTTCGGACATCAGGTAGTGGTGATACAACACACACACTACGATGAGGAGCAACCTTGATAGATTGCTGCTATGCTGACTGAAACTAATATATACTTATGCTGAAGTGATAACTAGTTATGATGATGTGTAGAGTGGATGAGGATCCACTTGACCTTTGATGATGAGAAAGCATGGTTATATACCTCTTCACAGCATTGCCAGCGATGCTGCTCCTGCTCTCTCTCCAGAGAGTACCTTCTTCATCGAGTACTGTTCAGGAGGCCTCTCCTGCTTGTTTGGCACCCTTGTGCCTCCTGAGTGGTGTCGGCTCCTTCGACACTGCTCCTCCTCCTCATGACCTGGTGTCGACTCCTTCGACCCTTGTCTCTCGAGCCCCTGAGTGGTAACCATCTGAGCTTGGTCCTCTTCGTGGCTGTGCCTGCTCCTTGAGCTTGGTCCTCCTCGTGGCTGTTTCTGCTCCTTGAGCTTGGTCCTCCTTGTGGCTGTGCCTGGCCCTCCTCGCATATGGCTTGATCCTCCTTTGCATGTGAGTCCATAGGAGTCCATGGTCTCCATGGAGACTGCACTATGACCATGCTCTCTACTGGTATTGACTAGATCTTCGATACCTGTGCTCCTTCCATATGAACCAGTGACCCTCCTGCTTCTTGAGCATCCAGGCCCATGACACTGGGCTGCTAGGGAGTCGCCATGAATCTCCCATCTTTTCTTATGCTGGTTGGTCTTGCTCTTGACCCTGCTTCCATCATGTTGGAGGATTGTAGCTCCAGATTCTTCATATATCACTCGTGCACCATCTTTGGTTAATGCTGGAACAGACAATAGATTCTTGCTAAGATTGGGAACATAAAGTACATCTGTGAGGGGTATTTTAATGTTTCTAACTTGCAAGGTTGCATCTCCTATTGCCTGGACCTGTAGTCATTCTTGCCCAGCAGTGTCTATGAGTCCTTGTTTTGCCATCAGGGCAATGAGTTTGCTTTCATCACATACCATGTGATGCATAGCACTGGAGTCAAGGACCCATGTGTTGTTGGGTTTATGATTGGTTGCATTACTGATGAACAGAGTGCACCTGAGTTCCTACTTTTGCTGCACTGGGGCTTGTTCCTGTCGGCTGGTGCAGTTGATTGCAATATGGCCTGGTTGCCTGCAATTGTAACACTTAGCTGGCTCATTGGGGTTTGCAGGATCACATCTGCCTCTGTTGTAGCCTTCTTGGTTTAGGATTTGGTTAGGTCTGCTGGCTTGGTTGGTTATGTTCTTGTTGCTGGCAAGTCTGGTTGCAGCTCGGATGTGGCCAGAGAGTTCGGCTTCTTGATGTTTCTTGGCAAGTGCATGGTAGGCATATTCATAGCTACAGCCCGGCTGTGCAGCTTTGAGGGAGTCTACTGTTTGAGTGTAGAGCCAGTCATCTTTGACACAACAGTACAAGGTGGACTTCTTGAGCTTTTCATCCATGTGACTTCCCAGTCTCGCAGCATCATTCCAGATTCGATCTAGTTCCTTTCCAAGGTTGATGACATTTTGGTGGACTAGCTTGATCTCATGCACTCAGTCATGAATTGCAGAAAGTTTGACTTCATCATTGATTGTGAGCACTGCTTTGAGCTTCTTATACAGTGTAGAGCCAAGTTGTTCCTCTTTGCCTTGTTCTCAAACAGTGTATGTATGAATACTGCTCTCAGGACTGTGGTCGCATGATGACAGGATGAGGCCTAACAGGTGACTGTTTAGTTCTTCATCATAGTCCATGTGGTCACTAGATATTTCCCTGGTGAGGATCTGTTTTGTGTTCTTGATGGGCCATATGCAGTCCATAAACATGGGCTCCCAGATGGCCCAGTTGTTCTCATTGAGCTTGATGATCTGTGATACAATGCTGAGTACTGATTTAGGAATCTTTTCGATTTGGCTGGTATTTGGTTGGAGGTTCATCATGGAGAAGGCATGCTCTAAGATTTGGTCTTTGTTCCAATCAGTGTGAACCTCTCTGATCATTTGCATGGTGCATTCGAGTAGAGCTATGCTGTCTACTCTGGGTGGCATCTTGATGGCAAAGTGCCTTGAAGCTGCCGAGCTTCAGACTCTTAATCAGTAGAGAATTTTGGCACTTAGTTGCTTCTTAGTCATTTTGAGTGCTATTTACATAAGCATATATATATGCACAAGCTTGGCAGTCACCCTCAGCCTGTGCCAATCTATGACTAGTTCACCCCTCACATTGCTCCTAAGTTGTCATGGTAATGCCTATGTACCCCACATGCATAGCCACTGACGTGTGGTTTCGTATCATCAATAGTTACTTGCCCTCTGCAGACCCCATAGGCTCTGTTCGGTTCCGATGCGTCTCCAACCATTGTTACGTTTCCCTCAACTATAAGTAATGAATATTTGACACAAGTGAAAACTCAAAAAAAACATGAGTTTCCGAAAAAAAAAAAAAAAAAAAAAACTAGGGGGTTTCAGTTATCTCTGAGTTTTGAAAACACAATACTTTGAAAATATGTTTGGGCCCAATTTTTGACACCCCAAGAAACTGCACAGGCCTGTGACATGTGCATCTTGGAGTTTCACTTGACTCGCCTGGTAAAAACAATCTCTGATTCCCTACACCAGGTCAAGATCAAAGTGATCATATCAGATGTTGTTGAACACTATACTGAACAATGCCAAAACCTTTGATTGAAAAGCTAAAGCAAATAGCTTACATCACACCTGTTCTGATCGCTGTCTTCTGTGAGCCTCATGCTGTCGGTTTTGTCTCTCCTGCCATTCGGCGAAGGCCAATGTTGTCATTCCCATCCTTTGAGATTCTGCTGTTGTGTCCTCAAAAGGGTGGCCATGAGAAGCAAAGAGTGCAGTGAGCATCTCCTCCCTAAGATCCAGTGCTTTCTCCTGCCTGAACTTCTGGACTCGGTTCTGAGACATGCCCTCCATGGCAGCAGCCTGTTCCTGTTCATATTGCTGCTGGTTTTCCCTTCGTTGTATCCTTGCATCTTTGGTAGCCTGCTGATATGCTTCCATCCCTGACATGGTCTCCAGCACCTCAGCTTCAGATAGAGTTTCTGATGCCTTAAGGTATTCTGCCACCTCATCTGGTCAATCATAATGGCTTGCGAATGTATGTGCAATGATACAAGCCTGGACCATATGTGCAGCTTTCTCGTGGTCCTCTTCTTGATACAGGTTGCCTTGAAATCCCATGAGACATTGGAAGTGGTTCTTGAGGTAGGCAATGCCATGTTTGGCCTTGACATGAATGTGGGAGAGTGAATAGTTGAAGTAGTGGAGATCTCTGCTCTTTGCAGCTGCAGTGTTGCTGTACAGTCCAACTGTGTAGCTGGAGTAGCCATAACCAGCATCAACCCAGACAAACTCGCCTTCATCAAGATGCAAATGAGGCTTTGCAACAATACCACTGCCTGAAGCCCAGACTCGCACATCATGTGATGACCCAGGATGTCCAACCACCGACTCGACAATGCACAAGGAATGAGGGAGGTGTCAGCGGTTGCGCACCTGAAACCTGAGATCAGTAGTAGTATCAGTACTATCACCGATTCTGTCGAATTATGCGACAGCACCAATGGTATTTTTATTCTTAGTGAAATATGTGACAGAGCCTTCTCTGTCACCTTTCTCGTTAGAATCTGTAGTTGTATTATTGTTATGACAGATTTCGACTAACCGTTGTGGGCACTCTGTCCAGAGGTAGCTCAGCACGATCAAACTATAATATGACTCTAAGTGAGCTTGATATTGACACCAATGGTCTGGTGTGAGTATGGGTTGATGATGCCAACACGAGTGTCCAGTGAGTCGGCTAACACTTGAAGTGATCCCTGGGCCGCAGTGGATGACTGCCTTCAGTTCTATTGTTATCCGGACCGCTGGTTGTTATGAACCGCCTTCAGACATCAGGAAACAGTGATACAACACATGCACTTCAATGAGGAGCAATCTGTTGATTACTTCTATGCTGACTGTGAACTAATGATACTTATTGCTTGAAGTAATACTAGTTCGTTTGATGAGTGTAGAGTGGATGGATCCACTCGACCATTCATGACAAGAAGGTATGCCTATATATCTCTTCGCAGCATCGCCAGCGACACTGCTCCTGCTCTCTCTCTCCAGAGAGTACCCTCTTCATCAAGTATTGTACAGGTGTCTCCAAGGAGGCACCTCCTCCATATCAGACCCTGTCCCTCCTGTCTTACCTGAGCTGTGTCAACTTCATCGACACTGCTCCTCTTCTTCATGTCCCTTTCGCCGGTGTCCTTTACACAGCTCTCCTTCCTCTGACCAGCGACAGTTCTCTTTTACTCCTGTCTTGTGGGCCCCTGAGTGGTAACCATCTGTGTGTCACTTGAGCTCGGTCCCTCTCGCATGTGAATCGTCGTATGGACAACCTTGCTACCAAGCTCCGCGGAATCTGCCACAAGCTCTCGCTTGTCGCAGATTCCAGTGGGATTCGTGATATCGACGATGCTCGTGCCGATTTCGCTGTGATCTGCCATAGAGCTGATTCTACTGCTGATCTCAGTGAACTCTGCTGCAACTCTTACAATCTACCCGATTCCACGATTCCTGCGCTACCTTCATATGAACTTCGGTCTTTCCTCGCTCTGCACACCCAGGCCCATGACAGGAGGAAGACAAGGGCAATGTTGAATGTATAATCACCCTTGTATGAGTAATGCTCACAAGCATTGAGTGCTGGCTTCCAAGCAAGATTGATGTGTGTACCATCTACCACCAACCATCCTCTAGACCATTCCTTGACTCCACTCTTATCAGCAACCCATGCTTTTGCCTTAGCACACTCATCTTCAGTTGCAAAGGTTACTACCTCACTGTTCAGCTCATATAGGCCTGCAATAGTCCTATCTGTCCACACATGAACTGAGCCCTGACTGCAACTGCAGGCAAATGCAACATCATGAACTCCACCACCATTTCCTGACCATCCAAGCCGATATAGACCAACTGCCACTTGCTGCTGAACATGCCAAAAGCTTGATATTGATCTGAAGGCATTGGTTGTGCTGAGTCTGTAAGTGAGAGCTTGGAATGCATCTGGGGTCATGCGAACAGCCCCTTGAAAGAGCTTGCAGTTGATGACAGCATATCGATCAAGCATGTTGATGAGGGGATCCTTTCATTGTGGCAGTTGAAGGCGTTCAACTGTGTATCGAGACTGGCTGATGATGTCATAAGTCCTGATGAGCACAAATGAGATAGCATGATTGAACATGTCATCATCAGAATCTTCAAGGTCATCATTAGGGTGCCAAGTGGCATCAACATCCATCAGATCAAGTTGCATCTTGGATTCCACCATCAATGAGTGCATGATGGTGGTCTCAATGTTGTCCAGGAGGTGCTGTTTGTTGGAAGTGCACACCATGGTTGAAGTAGAGGGCCAGAAATAGGAGAGGATGATGTGGTCTGAAAGAGAGTCCAAAGCTACAAACACAATGCAGCTGAGTTCTGCACAGCTGATTTCTGCACAACACACATGCTCAGAACTGGGGCTACACTGATCAGCATCTTGTATGTGGAACAATTCATCACATTGAAGCAATCTACATTTGAGAGATTACATGGAAGACTGGGTATGGGGTATGCTAGTCATACATATTGAGAGCTAGCTTTACAGAGAGCAATGGTACAACAAGTCGAAAACACAGGAACAGAACTTGGAGAACTCAAAAGGAACACCATTCTTGTCAAATGGTCTACTCACAAGCTGAATCACTATTGTCCTGCTGATCCATGGCAAGAACCAGTGGGTCAAGTTCAAGATTGCTTTGACTACTTCCAGCGATGTTGCCAAAGGGTGGATTAGGGTTCATCATCTGCACCATCTCCATGAGCCAACCATGCTCTTCAGTTCACATGCGCTCTTGTCTCTCACTTTCTTCCCTGGCAAATTGAATGCGCATTTCCTCCCTCTTCATGCATTCCTCCTCAACCTTGATTAATGCCTGAAGCATGTCTTGGGTGCAGGCCCGCACAATTTCCAACAGCTCTTCTCGCTTGCTCTTGGAAGTGAAGGGTCAAGACTTCTTGGGTGTTGTACCTGTGGCTGGAGAATGGTAAACAGAGTCACCATCACCATCGTCCACTTCATCAGCCTCAAAAGCAGTGCTGGATGAGCGCTGGCGGGTTGGAGTGTCTATAGGGGTAATGGTGAAGGGGGTGGGGCCAATCAAAGATGGGTTGGATGAGGAAGAGAAGGGCAAGCAGGATGAAGATGAAGCAGCAGCTGGGGTGGCTGCAACTGAAGAAGAAAAAGATGAGATAACTCTTGCTCCAATGGGATCATTTTGCGACTCCTCAAGAATGGATTCCATGCCAGGAATGTTGCATCGCTGAGGGTATTGAGCATCGCTGGCATCATCCATGTTCACATCAGCATCAACCGAGTTATTCTGAGAGGAGGCAGGGGTGGCATCATATGGGTGACCAGTGAGAAGAACAACTGGACCAGTCTGTGCACAGTTGGTCATCATCTTGTGCCAGTGCTCAAACCAAGGGCAGCTTCGAGCAATCGATTCACATGTGGCATAGTCCTGCAAGTTGATAAAGAAGCATAGACAGAGATATAAAGTATAAGAACATTGGCACACTTAACATGAATCAACTAAGTTGTACTTACCAAGCTGTTGTGATCCATGTCTTGAAGAAGTACTCCAGCACCGGTCTGCTGCAAGATGGTCTTCTTGATGTTGTTGTATTGTTCAGTGAGCCAGCGAATCTTAGTCTTTACTCAACCAGCACCACCAACAGTAGACTCGTCTGGGAACAGCTCCTGCCATATCTGCCTGCAGATAACATCTTTGTTTGTCTTCAGACCCTTTTCCTGTTCTGCAGTCAAACGTCCTGGCAATAGAACACGTTGGTAATGATCATTATTGTAGATGATATCAACGAGGTTATTTATGTCGCTAGGTGACCAATTGAAGTAGGCAATATGATCTGTTTTGTTGAACCTGCTGCCATGAGTACTGGCTTGATGTCTGCGAGTTGCAGAGATTTGAGTTGGCTGGGTAGAGGTTTGGTGAGGCAAAGAACCAGCAGATGTGGTGGCGTTGGAACCAGAAGGAGTGGAGGAGGACAAAGGGGAAGTGGGAGAGGTTGCTGGCTGAGTTGACTCAGCCCCAGCCAAGGTGCTGGAAGTTGCAGAAGGGTGGCACTGACAAGAGCAATCAAGGTTGGACTGAGCTGACATTATTGTGTTGTGCTGTGAAGCAGTTGAAGACTGCTCTGATGCTGGAGCCAATCCAGAGGCTCGCTGCAAAGCTGTGAATAGTGTAATGTTGTTGATATGGTCGTGAGGGGATGGCATGTCCATGTCCTGGCACTGACAGGGAGGAAATGCTACTGGAGATGGTGATAGAAGTGAAGCAAGGACAGATGTAACTCAAAGCATGAGAAAGTGTAGACAGTGCAGAAAGTGGAGGACAAGGGTTGTGCGCAGAATTGTGTTAGAATCACGTGATATCAGCACATGACAAAAACTCCTGCTGAAAACTCAAATATTCAGAAACCCGGGCTCACGGCAAAAATAAGTAGGGGTTTTCAAAACTTCCAAGCTTTTCTTTCCTGGCAGAGCTTACTTAAGCAGCGAGCTTTCAAAATCCAAAAAAACCATGAAAACTCGGAGTTTTGAAAACTCAGAGAAAACTGAAACCCCCTACTGAAACTCCCTACTGTAGACATAGTTCATGAGAAATCTCAAGCATTGCATCTACCATACACCTGTGCGAAAGGAGCTAGAACGTAGCCCGGACGAAGTGGTGTATTGCATAAACTTCAACTCATGCAACACCTTGATGACCACTCAGTCGGTAGGGTGCTCACCAAGAACACTCTCATGTATCTTTGGGATCATCACAACCTTTGAGGATACGCTTCTTCGAACATCCAAGGGGGGGATGCGGAACGTTAAGGAAGTCTCGAAGAGATTACTGTGGTTCTTCATGCTGCTTTGCGTCATTTCCGTTCATTGACCAGGTCGAGTACATGCTTCCCACAATCAGCCTGTGCTATTCTGGTTAGTCGGCGGCCGCATTGTTTCAGCCTTTTAAGCTCGAAGACAACCAAAATATTCTCGACTGTGGACGCCTGAAATGAGCTTAGATTAGTGTTCGGCCTGCTCATGTAGCCGTAACTTTACAACCTTCGGCCCGAAACCTCTCACGACAGTGAGGAGCGAAGGCGAAGCGATAGAGTGAAGCGCGGCAGCTCTCGCCGAAAGGTGCCGGTATCATTTACTGATGCTGACTCCGTCAGCTACAAGAAAGGAACTCTCGAGCACGATCGCGTTCATCTTCGCCCATTCTTCTAGACGGTGGGCTGGCACCATCGCGCTTTGAGTATCCCGTCGGGATGATGTTTCGTGGCGCTTACTATGATTCGTGGCGTGTGAGGTCGATGCATTGCTGTCAAGCCAGACCCACTCGGGAACTGTGCTCTGGTAGTGGGAGTAGTCCAGAATACTGGCTACTGTTGCGTTGCAATCGATAAAAACAAGAGAATGTCTCACACACTGCTTTAGTATAAGAAGACTGGTGTCTACCAGAGGCAAGTGGATGATGAAGCAAGGCAGGATTCTTAGGAGTAGAAATCTCGCATACGTGCCTCGACAACCTCATAAATATGCTTACTCAACCGGCCAACGTCATCCTTTTCATGGTCGCCTTCCTCTTTTCAACGACTGCACTACCCGGTCGCAGCTACAAACCTTCCCGATTTCGGCCCTATAACGAGCCGTTCGTGGTCCATTCCGTCTCCAAATTCCAAGACGAGTATGCTGATCGTCTGGTCCTCGTCCTCCAAGCCTACTTCCATCAGCAATATGCAAAAATCAAGCTGCTTGACCGAGATCCGATCAGCCTACAAGATTTGAAACAGGACCTTCGAGGCGATCGTAACCCAAAACGCTTCATCCACTTAGGCCAAGTGGTCCCACACAGAGCTAATATGGTGGTTGCAACGTATCTGAACCGTCCACCCAACTCGGACGGTTCTCGGAAATTCGTACTCTTGTCAATTCTTCGACCTCAATCTTCTGATGCCCCACACGTCTTCATACACGGTTATGCCGATGTAGCGGGTCTCGAAGACATTGAAGATCAACTTCGGAACACCGTGAACTCTGCCTCGGATGATCCGCAGTTCGGACATGTTCTCTCGATCGAAGGGGTTTTTGAGACGTTGTCACGAATGTAAAAGCAATGGGTGGTCTCACTGTTCGGATCACGTAACCTAACAACGTTTGTTCAGCCCTGTTACAGTCCAGTGTGTGTGTGAGTGGGTTGCTCAGACTGAACACCGGTGCACTGCATTTGAATGAATCTCGCCCACTGGTTACTTCGTCCTTGAGGCCGAATAATGCCCGACTCAAAGCAGCGGCCGATCATAGTGGAAGCTTTATTGAGGCTCTGGCAAATCGAACCCTAATTCGCTGAACACTGTGGCTAGGACGAAACAGCCAAGCGTCAGCAGCTTCGTCCAGTCAAAGATAAAAAGTTGAAGATGAAGGAGGGGTTATTTCGGGCCGGAAGGCCGAGATAAAACAGGGTGCCAACGGAGATGAAATAAAGGCGAAGCTCGTGGGAGCACATGCTGCTTATTCTCGAGGATTGCCACCAAGATATGAGGTATGCAGGGAGGTATGTTGATAAGGCAACGGTTATGAAGAGGAGTCCCACTGGACGCACGGTCCGTGACTGTGACTCGAAGAGCGAGTATAGGTAGCTATGAAGGTATGTTTACTCATGTTCTGTAGCCTCTCTTCCCTCGAAACGAAAAAACCTTTTGTAGAGATATACCTGTCTGTGGCCCCGATCAAGTAGTGTATCTAATTTCAACTTAAAAGCAGGTTGTTCTTGTCTGACGAGGAGCTTCAACTTACACCATTCCTTCTCCTTTCGCTCTGGCCAAAACCGTATTCGATCTCTTCTGTTCTTCTTTCGGCCATGCGATCGTTTTCCCTTTTCCTCGTACTCTGCATATGGGTCATCGGCGTCATTGCACCTGGCGACAAAGCTTCTTCGTCTGCAGCTCCAGCTCAGCAACATCAACCCAGCTTTAAACTCGAGATAGCTGAAAACCCCAACGTTGATCCTTTCTTGGAAAAGATCTCAAAGCTGGGAAACAGTCATGATCTGTACCCACATGTTGCACTAATGCGTACGACCCTGTACGGCAAAGATAAACTGACCACTAACCTGGGAGCCTACCCAGATTTTCGACGGTTCATCTATCTTGGAAATAGCCCCGGGGTTCCCGAAATGTACTTTGCCGTTCCCCTTCATTTAAACCCTCATGGAGTAGACAGGAATCTTGCCTGGTCGCTGATTTACGCGCACAGCGATCAGCCTAAAACTTTGGTGCACCATGGATTCGTCTCCGCGAGCGGTGGACACCTGGTCCTAGATAAAGTTAAAAAAACTAATTACCCAAGTTCACGTTCTTTCGAGATTGGAGACGTTCTGACCCTCAGAGAGATACTTGATATTGAACTGCCTGCGCTCCGATTTGCCGGATGACGCGCGGTTTGACTTGTCTTTCTTTCGAACATGCACTGTTCGGCTTACGTTGATTATCTGATGCTTATTATGGTGCCTTGACGGACCAAGGTTCTTTCCTCTACCCTTAGCCTAGTCCCGCTCTTGGTCAGGAATGTACACACAGACTACTATTGTAGACATCCACCTGGGTCAGAGACGTGAGTCGGTTGCAGGTCATGCGACCAGTTGAGAGCATCGCATTTCTGGCTTGAAAGCTTTTGCAGACCAAGTCGGTCATGTTGGTGCTTTTCTCCTCCCCCTGTTTATGATTCTCTACACCTTTGACCCTGGGCGATTGCCCAGCTTACCCTTTCCCTTCCCCAGGCCTCTCATATCTTCTCATCGCAAATCCTATCACATTGACTCATCATTCCTAGAAATGTGAGCATTTATCCTCCTGTTTGTACACGTGATTCCCGTGATTGGAGTTGTCGCGGCTGGAGCCGCATTTTCATCATTTCCTCCAATCGGACAGCAGTGTGAGGGAAACGGCTATCTCGCTACCAGCGAAGAGCCCTAGGTTTTCACCACCAGGCTCAGAAGACATTTGCAAAATGATTTGAAGCTGCTCCGATGACGCTCCGCGAGCTGCGCAAGGATCTTGACCATGATCAAGATTTTTGAAGGTTCCTCTACCTTGGACCAACACGGGAAGGTAACGCTGATATGGTGCTCGCCGTTCCTCCTCCCTCCAACCTTCGAAATGATGAATCGCATTTTTGGGCTCGATTTCGGCTAAGAAGAAGCCCGTTACCTTGATCCAACATGGATTCGTCTTATTTTCGCAAGGCAACTATGTTTTGGAACGACTCAGTTAAGACCGGCCCAGCGGCTTGGGACCAATCGAGAAGGGTCATTTCCTGACGACTGAGGAGCTGTTCCAAGAGCTGCCCCTGCGATACTCTGTTGATTGGGAGAGTGAGCTCCCTCCCGTTGTCCTACACTGACTTCGTCGGTCGATCTGCCCCGCGCTCTGTCGTCCTTGTCAAACGCGATGATACAGGCTGTGTCGTCTTTCCTGCTAGGCTGCCCACTTTTCTGAGCCTCAGCGCAAGGTGTTGGCATGGCTCTCCCTTCCCAATCACTTTCAAAGCTTTGGCTTTCGCAACCGTCGCTGTCGGTTGACGTGTAGCGCTGTTTTTAATCTCACAGCACAGAGTCGTGCAGCTTGCAGTCTGTTCATCATCTAAACAGTTGTGAAAGGTCTCAAATCTTCAAGGAGGCTGGAGAGGTGTGGATTCCGGCGGTAAATGTGTTCCGTTTTCTCTCGCCTCTTGGGAATTCGGACACTTGTCGATGTGTGAAGAGCACAAATATGCTGAAGATTACGATCCAGTGAGATGCAGGAGGATGACGCAGAGCCGATCCGGTTAGATGACCGATCTCACCAAAGATCTGGTGCAACACAGTCCCGCTCGTTGTCATGGTAGATCATTAAGTAGAAGTACTCCCACCTTTGGTAGCTGCCATGCTAATGTATATACAGCTCACACATAAACTGTCCCATGATTTTACATGTCACCATACATCACTCTAATGCTCAATAGCTATAAGTTGTATTGCCACACTGTCTCATATCATCTGAAAGCCCTGCTTCTTCTCTCCAAGACTGTGTAATTGATATTGACATTACATGCAAAAATTGTGCATCAAAAGAGTCAAATTTTTTTTTTATTGTGGGACAGTTTATGGAGCACTCCTCAAGAACACCTTAGTACTTCGTATTCCCTCCTTTGGCCTTCAGAACTGCCTTGATGCAGTCTGGCATACTCTCTATTAGCATCCTACATGTCTCTGGAGTGATCACTGTCCATTCAGCTTCACATCTCTTGAGCAGTTCATCCCTGGACTTTGCAATCATACTATACTGTGAAAGTTGCATTTTGAGATGGTGCCAGAGGTGTTCAATCAGGTTTAAGTCTGGCAACTGCACTGGCCATTGCATAACCTTAATGCTATTGCTTTCCAACCCTGTTATTGTCTTCTTCAATGTGTGTTTTGGGTCATTGTCTTGCTGAAACATGATGTTGGTGTATGCATGCTGAAGCTGCAAATCTGAGATTGTTTTCACAAGCTTGCCATTCAAGATATCAATGTACTGGTCTGAATTCATTGTACCCAGCACCAAGCACATACCTCCCACCCCTTCCCATGTCATACAGCCCCAGATCATGATGAAGCTGCTGCCAAACTTGACTGTCAGCCTGACAAGCTTGCTGTTGAAGCCAGCATTCTTAATCCAACAGAACTGCTTACCATCTGGTCCAAAGAAGTTGATCTTTGTCTCATCCAACCATACCACCTTCTTCCAATCCTCAACAGTCATGTCCTTGTGCTCATTGGCAAATTTGTGATGGGCTTTGTAATGTCTCTTGAGTAGCTTTGGTTTTTTCACTAACCTTTGTGCTTTGTAATGACAGTAATGAAGTGCTTTTCTTACTGTGGTTGGGCATGCTTTGATTTGAAATGTCTCCTGCAGTGCATGACATGCTTTCCTGACTGTGGAGGTTGAATTGAGCTCAAAATAGTGGTCCAGGAAGTGAACATGACAAGGCTGGAGTTTTCTTGGCCGGCCCCCCTTTGACTTTGGAACATCAGCGGAGGTGCTTTTGCTGATGTGATTCACAGTAGACTTGCTCATACCAAGTTGCTCAGCAACTGAACAGGTAGATTCCCCATTTTGGATGTGAAAGAGTGCCAATCGGCACCTCTCTGGGGTGGTTTTTGGCATGATGGTGTCAGCGGTCATGCGCCCAAAAGCTGATACCTGTAATAGAACTGCATCTATTACGAATTCGACTAGCTCATTGAGACCGATACTGAGACAATAGCTGTTGCACAGTTTGATAGTCACCAAGTATCTCGACAGACCGACCTGGGTTTCAGGCGCGAGACCCCTGACATCTGCCACATGATCTCTTCTACTACTGATCTCGGCAGGGTTTGTGGTACCATCCTTGCTCATGCCGATCTTGGTGAGATCTGTCATAGAGCTGTTTCTACTACAGATCTCAATGAACTCTGCTGCTAATTCCACGATCTGCCCAATTCCTTGATTCCTGTGCTCCCTTCATATGAGCTGACAGATCTTCTTACTTCTTGCACATCCAGGCCCATGACAATGGGGATCCACTCAACAGCTACAATGAGGAGTGAGGTTATATACCATCTTCGCAATGTTGCCTGCAACACTGCCTTCACTCTGGCACACCTCTCCAACTCTGTGTCATGGGCCTGGATGCTCAAGAAGCAGGAGGGCCACTGGTTCATATGGAAGGAGCACAGGTATTGAAGATCTAGTCGATACCAGTAGAGAGCATGGCCGTAGTGCAGTCTCCATGGAGACCATGGACTCCTATGGACTCACATGCAAAGGAGGACCGAGCCATATGCGAGGAGGGCCAGGCACAGCCACGAGGAGGACCAAGCTCAAGGAGCAGGCACAGCCACGAAGAGGACCAAGCTCAGATGGTTACCACTCAGGGGCACGAGAGACAAGAGTCATAGGACACTGGCAAGCAGGTCCTGCGGAAGAGGAGCAGTGTCGAAGGAGTCGACACCAGGTCATGAGGAGGAGGAGCAGTGTCGAAGGAGTTGACACCACTCAAGAGGCACAGGGGTGCCAAGCAGGAGAGGCCCCTGAGCAGTACTCGATGAAGAAGGTACTCTCTGGAGAGAGAGCAGGAGCAGCATCGCTGGCGATGCTGTGAAGAGGTATATAACCATGCTTTCTCATCATCATAGGCTGAGTGGATCCTCATCCACTCTACTCACCATAACTAGTTATCACTTCAGCATAAGTATATATTAGTTTCAGTCAACATAGCAGCAATCTATCAAGGTTGCTCCTCATCATAGTGTGTGTGTTGTATCACCACTACCTGACATCCGAAGATGCCCATAGCAGGTTAGCAGTCTGGATCAAGATAGAACCGAAGGCAGTAGTCCACTGCGGTCCGGGGATCACTTCAAGCGTCAAAGTCAACACACTGGACACTCATGTTGACGCCACCAACCTTATCACCAACACCATCAACCTCATTATCATCAACACCAACCTTATCACCAATGTCATCAACCTCATCATCATCAACACTCACACCAGACCTTGGTGTCATCATAACCAAAGCATTGATATTGATCGTGCCGAGCTACCCCTGAACGGAGTGTCCACAGAGGTCAGCTGAAACCTATGATAGTATATACAACAAATGCCACCTGCTGTCACTGCACAACTTGATAGTCACTGATACCGAGACAATAGCTGTCGCACAGTTTGATAGTCACCGAGTATCTCGACAGACCGACCTGGCTTTCAGGCGCGAGACCCCTGACACTCTGCTCCTCCTCTTTCCTGTCTCTCCTATCCATCCTGCAATGCTGCTCATCAGCACTGTGTCTCTTGCTGCTCATGGATGGACAGCCCTCACATTGTTTCATCATCGCCAGGGGCTATTCCCACCTCATCTGAGCACCAGTTCACACCCCCTCTCATTCCTCCCTTCTACCCACTTGGGGTTCAATCCCAAGCAGGTCCCCTGCTTCATTGATGGCAGACCCAGATGTCTTTGCCACCCATCCATGGTATTGATGTTTGTCTCATGGTGAGACTCATGAGATTGGTGCCCCCCTTGCAGGATCTGTCATACAATCACAATACTACAGATTCTGGTGGGTTTTGCTGTAACCTCCCATTTTGTACCAAATTGGTCAGGATCTGTAGTAGATCTGGCTCTACTACAGATCTTGGTGGACTCTGCCATAAACTCTTGTTTTAGCCCGATTCTGTGATTCCAGTGCTCTCCTTTATATGAATTCGGGTCTTCTTGCTTCCTGCGCATCTGGCCCCATGACAGGGGGCCAGCCAAGAAAACTCCAGCCTTGTCATGTTCGCTTCCTGGACCACTATTTTGAGCTCAATTCTGCCTCCACAGTCAGGAAGGCATGTCATGCACTGCAAGAGACATTCCAAGTCAAAGCTTGCCCAACCACAGTAAGAAAAGCACTTCATTATTGTCACTACAAAGCACAGAGGTTAGTGAAAAAACCAAAGCTACTCAAGAGACATTACAAAGCCCATTGCAAATTTGCTAATGAGCACAAGGACATGACTGTTGAGGATTGGAAGAAGGTGGTATGGTTGGATGAGACAAAGATCAACTTCTTTGGACCAGATGGTAAGCAGTTCTGTTGGATTAAGAATGCTGGCTTCAACAGCAAGCTTGTCAGGCTGACAGTCAAGTTTGGCAGCAGCTTCATCATGATCTGGGGCTGTATGACATGGGAAGGGGTGGGAGGTATGTGCTTGGTGCTGGGTACAATGAATTCAGACCAGTACATTGATATCTTGAATGGCAAGCTTGTGAAAACAATCTCAGATTTGCAGCTTCAGCATGCATACACCAACATCATGTTTCAGCAAGACAATGACCCAAAACACACATTGAAGAAGACAATAACAGGGTTGGAAAGCAATAGCATTAAGGTTATGCAATGGCCAGTGCAGTTGCCAGACTTAAACCTGATTGAACACCTCTGGCACCATCTCAAAATGCAACTTTCACAGTATAGTATGATTGCAAAGTCCAGGGATGAACTGCTCAAGAGATGTGAAGCTGAATGGACAGTGATCACTCCAGAGACATGTAGGATGCTAATAGAGAGTATGCCAGACTGCATCAAGGCAGTTCTGAAGGCCAAAGGAGGGAATACGAAGTACTAAGGTGTTCTTGAGGAGTGCTCCATAAACTGTCCCACAATAAAAAAAAAATTTGACTCTTTTGATGCACAATTTTTGCATGTAATGTCAATATCAATTACACAGTCTTGGAGAGAAGAAGCAGAGCTTTCAGACAATATCAGACAGTGTTGCAATCAGTCATATGGCTATTGAGCATTGGAGTGATGTGTGGTGACATCTAAAATCATGGGACAGTTTATGTGCAAGCTGTATATACAAAGATGTAGCACATACAAAAGGTGGGAGCATTCCCCTTAATGACCAAGTATGACAACGAGTGGGACGTAGTTGTACCCGATCCCTCACTTGTATTGGCTTCACCTGATTTCCGATCAGATCGGCTTTGCCCGATTACTTATCGTATCCGCTTACGTCAACTCGCATCATCATATTGGATCGTTTCGTTCAGCAATACGTAGTGGAAATAAGTGTGGCTTTGATCGACGAAGACACCTACCTTATCATCCAATAGTGAAACATCCTCCCTTTTCCTGTCCCTACCGAAGAAGGGAGAGCAAAAAGTGAAGGACCCTCAAACTTGATGGAGAAGGCGTCCCTGAGAAACGTCAAATCCGACATCAATCTTGCCTGGAGATCCTGACCCTGGTCAAGAGAGGTGGTTGCAACGGATGCAAAGTGAAGCTCCCCTGCGGAGGGGTATCTACTCCGTTGACCACGAAAAGGCATCATCATCAAGGTGCGAAACACAGACAAGGTTACACAAGATGTGAAAACGCAGTCTAAGAATTGCACTTTCCTCAAGATCTTATCAGGAATAGTTCATATTCATCCGGATTTGCATATCACTTGCCTTTACTACCAGCAGGCTCCCTCGCACCCGCACTTGCCGCTGGAAGAGCAAAGGCTCTCTTCCTCCTCTTTCCTCCATCGAAACCTTTCACACTTGGCAGATCCCTTCCTAGCGCATCCGGTTTCTTCACCTGATAAATCCTAACAATCCAGTTCTCACTCGTGAACGCCTCATCCAAGTACTCCAACTCTGGATTCTTAGTGGGACCTGGACTCTGCCTAACCCTATCCATTCCTGGTCTTCCACCGAAAAGATCATTGAACCGGTAGTAGCTCATCTTGTACATCAGACTCTCGCGCATCGTCTTTGTCGCTCCATCATCCACTTTGTACTGACCCTGAGGGGTGAAGTAATCGGCTTCGCGAACTTCGTCTGGCCAAACACCCTGAGCGATACGAATCATCCAGAGGTACTTGTTAATGTCGTCTCCTGAAAAACCAAGAAGACCGCCAAAGATGATAAGGACGTAGTCGACGTCGTGTTTTTGAAGGATCGGGTATGATTTCTCTTCGGACGAACACATGGCTTTACCCACGGTGGCGATGTGGGTGTTGTTCCAAGTGTTGTTGTCGACGAGGGTTGGGCGATCGGCCATGCCGGAAATCTGGTAACCGTAGTCCCACCAAGACATAACTTTGGCATCGGTAGGAGTGTTTTGTCGGAGCCAGTAGTAGGCTTCACGGAAGTCGTCGATGATGTGTTGCGATCCATCGGCGTTGCGCGATGCAAGCACCACTGAAGGGGAAGAGTAAGCGGTCGAGGTGACGAAGGTGCAGTGAAGCACAAAGACGAGTAGCAGTAGCAGAGAGTAGATAGTGACGAAGAACCGAGAATCGAGACCAAAGATGCCGAACTTGGAGCTAGCAAAGGAAGAAGCGCGGAACGCTGGCGAGGCGGGACGCGAAGGTTCAGCGTCAGAGCTTGATGTGCCGACATCGTTTGAGATGGCCGCAGCAGCTGCGTTGGCTACCTTTCGCGCTGCAACTCGAGACGACTTGGCCACCGACTCGTCAGCATGAGGGTCAGAATTGCGGCTTTCAAGCGGAGTGGGCTCCTTGGGATCGAGGTAGGTCTGAAGCAAGGTGCCCATCGCGATAGCCGCGCTAACGCAGACCACTGGTGTGAGGGTGAGCATGAGACGAACCATGACACCGGCGAAGTAGCTCGCCATGACTGCGTAGATAATAACGAAGACATGCTCGTCCCTGAGCTCCTTGAAAAGTAAGAAGACACCGACAGGGAAGAGGAAAATGAGCATTTCGAGGTCGAAGAAGAAGGCGGGCCATGCTGGAGGCTGGTGTTCAGAAACGGAGGCGATGATAGGGATGTGCTTCTTTGCGTAGGCCGTGTCCCAGAGCGAGTAGAATCGTCCCGTCCAGGGAGCGACGTAGCCGGCGTAGGTGAGTGCGACCAAAGCGCCAAAGGCAAGAGCTGCGACGATGACCACGAACCCGACAAGGAGGTACTTGAACTGCTTGCTAGGGACATGCGATCGGATCAGTTCGACAAAGGCAACGAGCTGAAGGAGACCAAATACGCCGAGTGCAGCCATGTGCTCACTTGTGCGAACGGGCTGGAAGCCGACGAAGGGCACCTGCATCGATGCAAGAGTGCCGAGGGCGTAGAAGCTCGAGTAGGAAACGTAGAGGCGCGAGCTGAATCGGCCCATCAGGATGAGCACAAGCACGTGCAGGGGGATCATGTTGGTGATGAAGACGTATCCACCCCAAGCGGCGACCATGTAAAAGTAGAACAGAGCGGTAGCGACACCCCACAGCGCAGAGCCGTCCTTCAAAGCTTTGATCCACAAGTAGAAGGTCATCATGAGCAAGAAGATAGCAATAGCTTCGTTGTCATAGGATCCAGCCACTGATCGAGAGATGTAACCCGGAGCGATACCGATGAATGCAGCGGCGAGCAGACCAGCTGCATCATCCTTCATGGCTGCTGTGAACATGTACGTTGCCCACGCTGTCAAACCGGAGAAAGCAGGCGCGAGCAAGACGCAAATATTTCGAATATCGACTGGAATGTTGAGCGAGTGGAAGAGGTTGTAGATGACACCCGACGTCACCATCAGACCTGGGTAAGCAGTACCACCAGCGGCACGACCAAGCGGATACCATGCTGTTGCATCGAACCAGTTCCAGAATCGATAGAAGCCGTCTGTTGTCAAGACCTTGGTAGCGCGGAAGTTGAACCATGGGTCGAACTCGTGAATGATGCTTTCGTGTCGGATTACTGCAAAGAGACGTGATGAGATGGCAGCGCCTGCGATAAGAAAGATGATGATGAGACGGAGAAGCGAGAGGACATTCTTGTTGGATTCGGGTGACAAGGTGGGCAGACGATAGGCTGTGCGTGATGTCGAGTTTGCCCCAGCTCCTTTCGGGACCGACATTTTGGATACTACGGCGACGACCTAGTGAAAGAGAGAGACGATCGTGCGTATGTGGTCAGAGTGTTGATGTTAAAGGAGGTGAGGTTGGGAGGTGTTGCGAAGAAGATGCCGATGTTTTTCAGCGAGCCGAAGACAGCTGACTGCACTTTCGCAGTGTCCGTGCTTCTTCCGTTCGTCCGTGCGTTTTCGACTTCTTCTTCTCAATCTTCCAGGTCACGGCTCGCCTTGTCGCGCGAAAGCTATTTTTCGAGATGATTTGTCGCGTAATGTCGGCCTAACAAAATTCTAATCTTGCCCAATACTTACTTTTTCAAGTTGAAGAGTTGAATTTAGGTACACCACTCTAGAGGCCACTATCTGGCACTCCTAACAGTCGGGTGTATCTAAGTAAGAAAGCATGGATTTTGATGAGATGGTAGTTACTGAATGGGAGTATATATACCTTAACATCCAACTACACTCACTCTCCAAGTCTTTGTCCATAGAGCATGTATCTCCTTTCATAACAGTTGTCATGTCAATGTACCCCCTGCATACCATGGTATCAATCCACAAGCATAGGCTGCATGTGTTACCACAAGCTTTGCATCTACCTCATTCCCTTTGGTGCTTGGTGTCTTTCTGGTTTCCCAACTCTGAGTACTCTGACTTAACATGTCTACCTTTTGAAATAGTGACATATCTTCAACTCCTCCCTTTGGCGGCATTTCCAAACCTATCATTTGCAATCCTTTTGTTGTGCCAAGTCCTTTGAGAGGTTTCGTGAGGATGTTGTCATAGAGGTTGCACAGGAAGATCCGAAATGAGATATGAGGAGCCTTTTGTGCACAAAATTGGGAAACCAACCAGGTCATGGGTTTCCAGTTGTTTTCACCTGACAATGACCACATTGCATCTGTCTGGTTGATTCTGCTGAAATCAATTGGAATACAACTATCCAGTTGATTTCACCAATCACACCACAAGAAGTGGCCACTGACATGGAATGAACAGCTGGATTACAGGGAGATGACAGGAGATTTAGTAGGGAAGATCCCTTTCATCAAGGGGGAGGTCAGGATGGCAAGAAAGGTTTCACATGAGAGGAGTAGGTCCAAGCTCAGCCAAGAGAAGGACCAAGCTCAAGAGCAAGTGGCAGGTGTCATGGGCCTGGGTGTGCAGAACGAGGGAAGACCGAAGTTCATATGAAGGTAGTGCAGGAATTGTGGAATCAGGTAGATTGTAGGAGCTGTGACAGAGTTCACTGAGATCGGCAGTAGAATCAGCTCTATGGCAGATCGCAGTGAAATCAGCATGAGCATCATCGATATCATGAATCCCACCAGAATCTGCAGCAAGCGAGATTGTGTGGCAGATTCTGCAGAGATTGGTAGTAAGGATGTCCATATGACAATTCACATGCGAGAGGGACCAAGCTCAGTGACATGCAGTTGGTTACCACTCAGGGGCCCACAGGACAGGAGTAGAAGAGAACCATTGCCAGTCAAAGGAAGGAGATCTGTGTATAGGACACTGGCAAAAGGGACATGAAGAGGAGGAGCAGTGTCGATGAAGTTGACACAGCTCAGGAAAGACAGGAGGGACAAGGTTCGATATGGAGGAGGGGCCTCCTTGGAGATCCCTGTACAGTACTTGACGAAGAGGGTACTGTCAGGGGTCTCGCGCCTGAAACCCAGGTCGGTCTGTCGAGATACTTGGTGACTATCAAACTGTGCGACAGCTATTGTCTCGGTATCAGTGACTATCAAGTTGTGCAGTGACAACAGGTGGTGTTCATTGTATATACTATCGTAGGTTTTGGCTGACCTCTGTGGACACTCCATTCAGGGGTAGCTCGGCACGATCAATATCAATGTTATGATGACACCAAGGTCTGGTGTGAGTGTTGATGATGATGAGGTTGATGGTGTTGGTGATGAGATTGGTGATGTCGATGATAATGAGGTTCATGGTGTTGGTGATAAGGTTGGTGGCGTCAACACGAGTGTCCAGTGTGTTGACTTGATGCTTGAAGTGATCCCCAGACCGCAGTGGACTACTGCCTTCGGTTCTATCTTGATCCGGACTGCTAACCTGCTATGGGCACCTTCGGACGTCAGGTAGTGGTGATACAACACACACACTACGATGAGGAGCAACCTTTGATGGATTGCTGCTATGCTGACTGAAACTAATATATACTTATGCTGAAGTGATAACTAGTTATGGTGAGTAGAGTGGATGAGGATCCACTCGACCTATGATGATGAGAAAGCATGGTTATATACCTCTACTCAGCATCGCCAGCGATGCTGCTCCTGCTCTCTCTCCAGAGAGTACCTTCTTCATCGAGTACTGCTCAGGGGCCTCTCCTGCTTGGCACCCCTGTGCCTCTTGAACTGTGTCAACTCCTTCAACACTGCTCCTCCTCCTCATGACCTGGTGTCAACTCCTTCGACACTGCTCCTCCTCCTCATGACCTGGTGTCGACTCCTTTGACACTGCTCCTTCTCCTTTGATCAGTGACAGTTCCTTTGGCTCTTGTCTCTCGAGCCCCTGAGTGGTAACCATCTGCATACTCCTTGAGCTTGGTCCTCTTCGTGGCTGTGCCTGCTCCTTGAGCTTGGTCCTCCTCGTGGCTGTGCTTGGCCCTCCTTTGCATATGAGTCCATAGGAGTCCATGGTCTCCATGGAGACTGCACTACGACCATGCTCTCTACTGATCTCAACTAGATCTTCGATACCTGTGCTCCTTCCATATGAACCCATGACCCTCCTGCTTCTTGAGCATCCAGGCCCATGACACTACCCCCCTCTTAAGAGCCGAGCTCCGTCGAGGCATGCTCTGGTCTGGTCCATGCTGACTCCTCCTCCTCCTCCTCCTCGACAACATCGCCAACATCATCCTTCCTCCTTCTCTCACGTCATCCTCCTTCCTCTTCCTCTCTCTTCTCCTCCTGTTCTCTCCCCCTTTCTCTACTTTGTCTACTCACTCGTCCCCCCTCCGACACCTCATACTCCTGGATGAGGTCGGGACAGTTGAGGTTCTCTACTGGTTCCCATGAAGCAGCTTCCTCTGAGTACCCTCTCCACAACACCTTGTACTCTGTAGTCCCATTGTGTGAACGCTTGTCGATGAGTGCTTCGACTTCGAAGTTGAGGTCCTCATCTGGAAGTGATGGTATGGTGGGCTGTTCAGCAAGTTGAGGAAGAGAACTTGTTCTTGCTGGCTTGAGCATGGAGACATGGAACACATCATGCACCCTAAGGTTTGCTGGCAATGTGATTCGATAAGCTCGGCGTCCTACCCGTTCCTGAACTGGGTAGGGTCCTGCAAACCGGGTATCTAACTTGGGTGTGGGTCTCCGTGTCTTCCAGTTTCGACGGTTGATATAGACCATATCACCCACCTTAAACTCAATGTCCTTGTGCTTCCTGTTATACTGGTCTACTGATCTCCGTTGTGCCTCTCTGATCTGCTCCTGGAGGTACTTGCAATGCTCCTTTCCATCCATGAGGTACTCGAAGCGACCTGGATCATTGACTCCTAGTTGTTGAGGGATGTCAGGATGAGCTTTGGGGTTCCATCCATAGCATGCAAAGAATGGTGAGACACCAATGCTGTTGTGGACCATGTTGTTGTATACAAAGGCTGCAGTGTCCAGCAGGTCGGCCCAGTCATTCTGCTCATAGTTACAGTACATCCTGAGGTATTGCTCTATGACCTGATTGACTCTCTCTGTCTGACCATCAGTTTGAGGATGGTAAGCTGTACTAAGTGAGTGCTTCACACCCATTTGCTCTGCAAATGCCTTCCATGCTCCTGATATGAACTGCCTGCCTCGGTCCGAGACCATGTGATCTGGATATCCGAAGAGTCTAACCATGTGTCCATATAGCAATACTGCAGTCTGTTTGGCCGTGACTGTCTTATGGGTTGGAGCTAGTATGGCAAACTTGGTCAACCTGTCGACAATGACTAAGATAGAGTCATAAGTCTTGGAGTCATACTTCTTCGATGGTGGTAGTCCTTCAATGAAGTCGAGGGATATGGAGCCCCAGGGCCTGTCTGGTGTTGCTAGTGGCTGTAGCAAACCATATGGACGATGATGAGGAGCTTTGTACCTAGCACATACAGGACAACTTGCTACATAGTCTGCAATCCAAGCTGTCATGTTTGGCCACCAGTAATGTCGTTGAGCTGCCTTGATGGTAGCATCTCTTCCCACATGTCCAGCAGTAATACCATCATGGCATTGGGTCATCACCATGAATCGCAGATGCTCTACAGAGAGAGACTGTCCATCTACCTCTTTGGCACTCCTTGAGTGTCGGTTGTTGGTCTTCCCTGGCATGATCACTTTGGGGATAACCAACCTTCCTCCACTGTACCATAGGTCGTCCCTGACCTCGAAGGGCTTCTTCCTATGTATCTCCTGTAGCTCTTGGTCTAAGGGCTGGAAGATCTTGACCAGGTCTCTGAGACCCTTTGATGCTATGGACTCCATCGAGACCATGGGGGCCACTAGGATTGAGTCATGGTCTGTTGTCTCCTTGAACACTCGAGGAGGCAGTAGTTGCCTCACATTGTGATCCTGCTCTTCACCAGCTGGTTGCATGTCTGTCCTTCTGGTGAGAGCATCGGGCTCACCACCTTTGTCTCCTGGTCGATACTGCAATATGAAGTCGAAGTCTGCTAGTAGTATGGCCCATCGAGCCTGTCAACCTGTGATGCATCTCTGTGACTTGAAGTACTTGAGGGCTTCATGGTCAGTGAGGATGACCAGTTGGCTTGGTAGTCCAGCTAGCATGTGTCGCCACTGAGTAAGGCAGGCAACCACAGCTAGGAGCTCCTTGTCATGGATTTCATAGTTCTTCTCGGCAGAAGGCATCTTCCTAGAGTAGAAGGCCACTGGATGCCATCGTCCTTCATGCTCCTGCTTGAGTACTCCTGCTATAGCAAAGTCACTTGCATCAGTCTCCAACCTTGTTGGAAGGTGGTAGTCGAAGTGCTGAAGCACTCCTGCTGATGTGAAGGCCTGGATGAGCTTGTGGAAGGCCTGTTGGGCCTCCTCTGGTAGCTCGAACTTCTTGAACCGTTCTATAGGCTTTACCAGTGCTGTCAAGGGCTTGGCTATGCGAGCAAAGTGGGCTATGAACCTTCGATAGAAGTTGGCAAAACCCAGGAACCTCTGGATGTCATGGATTGACTCCAGCATTGGCCACTCCTTGACAGTGCGCACCTTTTCTGGGTCCATCTCTATGCCCGTTGGCTTGATGATGTACCCCAGGAACTCGACTGTCTTGGTGTGGAACTCACACTTCGACAGCTTAGCAAAGAGCCTGTTGCTCCTTAAGCGAGTGAGGACCTCAGTGACATGCTTCACATGTGCTTCTTCAGTGTCACTGAAGATCAGGAAGTCATCTAGGTATACTACCACATATATCCCAATGATGTCTCGGAAGATGTCATTGATGAATGACTGGAAGTGAGCCGGAGCATTGGCTAGGCCAAAGGGCATCACTAGGTACTCATAGAGTCCCAACTGAGTGCCAAAAGCTGTCTTCCATTCATCTCCTTTAGCAATCCGGATGAGGTTGTATGCTGCTCTAAGGTCTAGCTTGGTATAGATCCTTGCCTTCCTGAGTAAGAACAGCTGCTCCTCGATGAGGGGCAATGGTGCCCTGTTCTTGACAGTGATCTCGTTGAGACCTCTGTAGTCCACACAGAGTCTGAGACCTCCATCCTTCTTTGGTACGAAGAGCACTGGTGATTGTGCTGGGCTCTTCGATGGTCTTATGAACCCCTTCTTGAGGTTCTCATCCAAGTACCTCCTCAACTCGGACATCTCCTTGGGTCCCTTAAGGTATAGGGGCCCTTGAGGTGGCTTACCTCCTTCTATCAACTTGAGGTGGAGATCATGCTCGGTATGATGGGGCAGCTTATCTGCTTCCACCTCATCAAACACATCTCGCAGGTGTTGGTATGGCTTTGGTATGTCTGCAGCCGTCACCACCTTGTCTACCTCCACCTCCATCTCAACTCCTTTGTCTGTGCCTGTAGGTACAAAACCAAAGGCCGGGAGTGATGATGGTGGCTCCTCCAACAGCATGAATCCTATGGGTCCATCTTCCAGAGCTGCTCGTAGTATGCGCTCTGCTGAGACAAACTCGTTACCATGAAGGGTTGGTCTCCTCATGGTTAGGTCCCCTGCTCTTGCTGCTTCAGGGGGTCTCCTAGGGGGTCGGTCCTGCTCCTGAGTCTTGAACTCCAGCTGGCCCGTATCCCATTGTATGGTGGGTTTGAGCCTCCGTAGCTCAGTGAACCCCAGGATGAGGTCATAGTCCGCAGTGTCGGCCACTGAAGCTTCGACCACACCCAGATTGTGTGTACCAATAGATACCTGCATGCTCGCAGAACTATTGATGGAGAGTTGGTGCCCAGTGACACCATGGATCGATCTTGTTTTTATGGGTTTTGTGGGTATTTGGTACTTACTAATGAAAGAATCTGAGACTATGGACAAACCAGCACCAGTATCAGCTAGTATCTGAGCAGGATGGTCTTGAACCATTCCAGAGAGCTCCAGTACTGCTTTGCCTCCACTGGTAGAGAAACATACTTGACAATCTTGATATATACAGAGTGATGGCGAGGAGGTTTGTAGAGCAATGCATGCCATCAGTGCATCACCCCACTGACGTTTCCCTCGTCATCATCATCATCGTGCTCCTCCTCATGATCGGGGTCCATGGGTGGCTGGTATGAGCTGAGGTCCATGGCCTCGGGGTCACCCATCTCAGTGCTGTCTGTGTGGCCATCTCCTGAGTCGGTGGCCTCCTCGAAGGGGTCTGCTGTGGTGGCCATAACCTTTGGTCCCATGGGTCGAGAGCTAAGAGGGTCTACCCTCCTGCTGGGGCAGTCTCTGGCCCAATGGCCAATACCCTTGCATACATGACAGGTGTTGATACCTGATGGAGCAGGGCTTCCTTGCTTCAAGGGTTGGGTGGGATGATGAGGAAGGGGTCGGTTTAGGTTTTGTATAGTTGCTTGTGTAGTTGCTTGTGATGGTGATCGAGCTGGATAAGGTTGAGTGGGTTGTCGGATGGGGATCGAACTTTGATTTGGCTGAGACCCAGTTCTTAGTGGAGGTGACGTGGCATTTGGGAGTGAGTGTCTAGCCGAGGACTGCTGTAGTAGCATCCTCTGTCGATCGATCTCCTCAACCTCTCAGTACCACTCCCATCTCTTCCCAGGTGGATTCCTCTCGAACTTCTCCTGTATGCTGTGAGTGAGACTTCCTCTGAAGAGATCAATCACTAGCTCGTTGTCATCTAGGTTGACCTGTCCCTCCAAGTCTCTGAACCGCTCTACATGACGTGTGGCAGCACCAGGAGCATCACTTGTGAGTCTGAGAGCCAACAGCTTGTTGTATGCCTCCATCCTAGCATTGTGTGGGTTGAACTGTTCTGACAGTCACTCTGTGAAGTAGTGCCAATCATTGAACAACCTTCCTTCTCTAGCTCTATCAATACAGAGCTTGGAGGTCCACCACTCTCTTGCTGTCCCTTCAAGTTGAGCACCCATGTGGTTGATCATCCTAGACTGCTCATACACCTGGTTGAACTTAAACCATGCTTCAGCTTCTAGAATGAAGATCTCCATGTCTTGGGGATTGAACTTTGGAAAGGGGGTGGCGATGGGCTTTGACCAGTTAAGCTCTGCCATGATGCTGGTGTCCTCCTCGTGGTCCAGGGGGTAAGGGTCCATCCTAGTCCTGCTGTAGGGGTCCAGCTTAGTCTTGACATATCTTGGCCCAGTAGGTGAAGCATACTTCTCATAGTTGATGTCCTCCTGCTCATCCAGGTTGAATGAGACTGATCGTCTTGGTTGTGGAGCTGGAGTAGGAGTATGTGGGTCTCCTATCATAGACTCATCTCCTCCTCCTGCTTGGTCTTCTGAGTGAGAGAGGTCCATTGTCTCCTCCCTGCTCAGTTGAGCCCGTTGTAATCGTTCCTCTCGATGACCCTGTCTGGTAAGCTCTAGCTGTGCTTCCAATAGAGTGAGTAGTCTATCGAGCTTATTGTTGAGGTCTGGGTCCATCATGGTGATCGTGAGGAGCTGCTTGAACGATCCACTCTAATGTCAGGGGTCTCGCGCCTGAAACCCAGGTTGGTCTGTCGAGATACTCAGTGACTATCAAACTGTGCGACAGCTATTGTCTCGGTATCGGTGACTATCAAGTTGTGCAGTGACAGCAGGTGGTGTTCGTTGTATATACTATCGTAGGTTTCGGCAGCACAACAGAAGGAGTATCCAGTGATCATTGGCAAGCTGCTCTGGGTTGCCAACAGCACCCAGCCCGACCTTAGCCTCACCATGAGTGTCCTCGCTAGACACATGCATGAACCATCTCAAGAGCATTATCAGGCAGCACAATGGGTCTTACACTACCTCAAAGGCACAAAGGATGTTGGATTAGTTTACAGGGGAAATATGTTGCAAGAGCCACTGATTGTGCATAGTGATGTGAACTGGGTGAGTGATGCCACCATTCAGAGAAGGAGTACATTGGGGTCAGTGGCGTTAGTGTATGGGAACCCAGTAGCCTGGAAGTCAGCTACACAAAAATGCATATCACTGTCCGCTGTCAAGGCAGAGTTCATTGCAGCCATGGAAGCAACACATGAGGTGCTCTTCCTCAAGCAGCTGCTACGCTTGATTGGCATTGCCACAGGCACCCCAACGGTCTACTCAGACAACACTGGATGCATACAGGTTAGTAAAGACCCAGCACAGCACTGGAAGCTTAAGCACATCAACACCAAGTATCACTTCATCTGTAACAATGATCAAGAGGGAAGGGTGCAAATCAAGTATGTGGACACCACAAGGAATTTGGCAGATGTACTCACCAAGCCAATCAGGAGACAGGCAATACAGCAAGCGAGATCTGGGCTACACCTGCAAATACTGGCAGCAGCATACGAAATGGAGTCCCTGAGCTATGCGATGATGTTAAAGAATGGAGGATATACCTTGAAACAACAGCATAATGAATGGGGTACATATGCTGTTGAGGGGGGGAGTTAAAGTATATAAAAGCTACACAAAGCATAGAGATGGTGAAGGTAGTGCTTATGGCCGAGTAAAAGGCCTGAGCATCTGAGCACAGACCACATGTGTCACAACCTACTCAAGACAAATGCTTTGTTATGTTCCACAGTCGATGCGGCTCTCTGCCGCTCTTCTTTTGTATATATAGACTCCTTCTCTCTCCTCGCTCTCTCTCTCTCCCCACCATCATCATCAATCACACGAAAACTTTAACTATAGGATGGGTCTTTTCCACCTGCCGCCCACCACTTGAATACGCACAACGCACGAAAGTCTAGACAGAAACTCAATTGTTATCTCTAGGGAGAGCAGTCACTTATTGAGTAAACCCACAATCGATGCTCAAAACCATCATGTTAAGCTTAATCCATCCCGATGGCAACAGCCATATGTCAAACAGACATGACATGCATAGTGACATCAGAGAATCTGCCGAATGCAAGGATGAGGTTTGTGGAATCCAACAGACGAGCCGATAGGAGGCCAGTCAAAGGAATTTCCGAGTCGATCCAAGCTACCATCTTGCAGCTCTCACGATTCCCTCTGTTGAAACGATTGGAAGACTTGAATGGTAGGACGCGATTGTATTACGTATGTCGACGGTGAAAGGTATGTACAAACAGATGGATTGTCGACTGAGAACGAGCTAACTGAGTTTGGTGCTTCTTATATGTCTTACCCTGTGGATGATTCAGTAACGTATGGGGGCGAAAGTGTTGGAGGAGCTGCAGATGATAGAGGGGCTACCGGCTCGGGTTAGGCCGGTGATCCGGCAAGGCACCGGCATACCAGCTAATGCACACCCGAGGAGGGAGGAGACTGTCTCCCCTTCATGCTCTGCTCCCTATTGTAGATATATAAGGAGCGATACTTAGTCGCCCGCTGTGTAGATACCTGCATCCATCTGTACTTACGGTTCGTAGTTGTCGCATGCAATCAAAGCCGCTTCCTACCACTCAAGTCCGATCATCCTTACAACAGATTATGAGACCTGGCGGCTACAAGGTGACAGCGGTCATGTGCCTGAAACCTAGACTCTATTGGAAAAGCTGTTTCCGATTGATTTCAGTGAAACCTATCGAGTAAGCTCCTTCTGAACAATTTCAGTGAGATATAACAGAAGACCAACTTCTGATGGGTTTTGACTAACCACTGTGAACACTCCATTCAGAGGTGGCACAGCTCGTTTGATGTTCTAAAGTCCAGATGTTCTTGAAGTATGATATGACCCTGTTGTCATGGGACCGGATGCACAGGAGAACTGGAGTCAGACGAGAAGAGACCATGCGCAGGAATCGTGGGATCGGGCAATTGGCGAGTTACAACAGAGTTCATTGAGATTGATGGGATCGAGGTATTACAACAGAATTCATTGGGATTGGTAGTATTTATTGAAGGGAAGTCGCCTTGCATAGCTATGGTTTGGACAAGCTGGTTTTAGGTCTTCGGACAATGGGAAGGTGGTGTATTGACATAACTATCTACATAAATGACTATGACTATTTATGCTTGCTGGGCACAGGTGAGAAACACTGGTTGAGGAGTGTCAGGGGTCTCGCGCCTGAAACCCAGGTCGGTCTGTCGAGATACTCGGTGACTATCAAACTGTGCAACAGCTATTGTCTCGGTATCGGTGACTATCAAGTTGCGCAGTGACAGCAGGTGGCGTTCATTGGATATACTATCGTAGGTTTCGGCTGACCTCTGTGGACACTCCGTTCAGGGGTAGCTTGGCATGATCAATATCAATGTTATGATGACACCAAGGTCTGGTGTGAGTGTTGATGATGATGAGGTTGATGGTGTTGGTGATGAGATTGGTGATGTCGATGATAATGAGGTTGATGGTGTTGGTGATAAGATTGGTGATGTCGATGATAATGAGGTTGATGGTGTTGGTGATAAGGTTGGTGGCGTCAACACGAGTGTCCAGTGTGTTGACTTGATGCTTGAAGTGATCCCCGGACCACAGTGGACTACTGCCTTCGGTTCTATCTATATCCGGACCGCTAACCTGCTATGGGCGCCTTCGGATGTCAGGTAGTGGTGATACAACACACACACTACGATGAGGAGCAACCTTGATAGATTGCTGCTATGCTGACTGTAACTAATGAGTACTTGTGTTTCTAAAGTATTGACTAGTTGTATGGTGAGTAGAGTGGATGAGGATCCACTCGACCTATGATGATGAGAAAGCATGGTTATATACCTCTACTCAGCATCACCAGCGATGCTGCTCCTGCTCTCTCTCCAGAGAGTACCTTCTTCATCAAGTACTGCTCAGGGGCCTCTCCTGCTTGGCACCCCTGTGCCTCTTGAGCTGTGTCGACTCCTTCGACACTGCTCCTCCTCCTCATGACCTGGTGTCAACTCCTTCGACACTGCTCCTCCTCCTCATGACCTGGTGTCGACTCCTTCGACACTGCTCCTCCTCCTTTGATCAGTGACAGTTCCTTTGGCTCTTGTCTCTCGAGCCCCTGAGTGGTAACCATCTGCATGCTCCTTGAGCTTGGTCCTCTTCGTGGCTGTGCCTGCTCCTTGAGCTTGGTCCTCCTCGTGGCTGTGCTTGGCCCTCCTTTGCATGTGAGTCCATAGGAGTCCATGGTCTCCATGGAGACTGCACTACGACCATGCTCTCTACTGATCTCGACTAGATCTTCGATACCTGTGCTCCTTCCATATGAACCCGTGACCCTCCTGCTTCTTGAGCATCCAGGCCCATGACAAGGAGTCTCGAGCCCCTCAACCCCTATCACAATGCAGGGATGCATCACAAGGAAGTCCATTCCCTTGACCCCTATATCAGCGTCATTGTCAGATGCCACCGATACGAGGTCAGGTTGACCTCCGACACTCCTCCTATTGGCAGCTGGCCTATTTGGTGAGGACACCTAAGTCCTTGCATGACTTGTTGCTCCCTCTTGCGTTAAGGAGTTTAGTGAGCCCATCTGCAATCTGTAATTCACCTGGGATCCATTTAATGATGACGAGGCCTCTTTCGACTGTGTCCTTGACGTTGTCACAGGGCCAGCGGGCCAGCGCAAGAAGGGTGCGCCAAATTGACCAACAGCTTTCATGGTAATGTCATGCAGGATCAGCAGATCAACATATGAAGGGTGTGCCAAGTTGATTGGTGCCAAATCATCAGGGATCAACAGAGCTAATTGGGCTGGTAGCACATATGATTTACGAGATCAACCAAACTCTGGGTTCCAGGTTAATCTCATGAGGATCAATTGGAATCAGCCAGATCAGCATGCCTCAGCAAGTCGGCTGATATGAGCAAGTACCAGGAGATTCAGGAAGGAAGGTACTGGCATGAGAAGGAGAAGCATATGGAGATAACCGCATGTAGGAGTGGGGGACTGAGCTCAGCATCATGCAGATGGTTACTGCTTGAGGGGTGCATGCATATAGCCACACAGGACCAAGCACAGGGGGTGACCACATGACCAAGGGGTTTGGTCACAAGGTCCAACAGGTGGCTAAGGGGATTCACAAGATAAGGACAGGAAGGTGGTTGCCAGTGAAGAGAGAAGGAAACAGTGAACAGATTGGTTAAACAAAGAGGAGGAGCTGTGTTGAAGGGGTCATCACACCTCATCAAGTGGAAAGGGAGCATGAAGGCAAAAGGGCAGTGTTGCATAACCATTACACTGTGCAGATGGTAGGGGTGCAGCATCAATGGGATCAACACCAGCAGGAGAGACAGTGTCAAACAGGGGACAAAGGCCCCTCAAGAGGAATGGGATAGGTGTCGCAGGCGACACCAATTGAACACATAGATACTTTCATTTTGTCATGGGCCTGAATGCTCAAGAAGCAGGAGGGTCACTGGTTCATATGGAAGGAGCACAGGTATCGAAGATCTAGTCGATACCATTAGAGAGCATGGTCATAGTGCAGTCTCCATGGAAACCATGGACTCCTACAGACTCACATGCAAAGGAGGACCGAGCCCATATGTGAGGAGGGCCAGGCACAGCCATGAAGAGGACCAAGCTCAAGGAGCATGCAGATGGTTACCACTCAGGGGCTTGAGAGACAAGAGTCAAAGGAACTGTCACCAGTCAAAGGAGGAGGAGCAGTGTCGAAGGAGTCGACACCAGGTCATGAGGAGGAGGAGCAGTGTCGAAGGAGTTGACACCAGGTCATGAGGAGGAGGAGCAGTGTCGAAGGAGTCGACACAGCTCAAGAGGCACAGGGGTGCCAAGCAGGAGAGGCCCCTGAGCAGTACTCGATGAAGAAGGTACTCTCTGGAGAGAGAGCAGGAGCAGCATCGCTGGTGATGCTGAGTAGAGGTATATAACCATGCTTTCTCATCATCATAGGTCGAGTGGATCCTCTATGACAATTCACATGCGAGAGGGACCAAGCTCAGTGACATGCAGTTGGTTACCACTCAGGGGCCCACAGGACAGGAGTAGAAGAGAACCATTGCCAGTCAAAGGAAGGAGATCTGTGTATAGGACACTGGCAAAAGGGACATGAAGAGGAGGAGCAGTGTCGATGAAGTTGACACAGCTCAGGAAAGACAGGAGGGACAAGGTTCGATATGGAGGAGGGGCCTCCTTGGAGATCCCTGTACAGTACTTGACGAAGAGGGATCTGTCAAGGGTCTCGCGCCCGAAACCCAGGTCGGTCTGTCGAGATACTCGGTGACTATCAAACTGTGTGACAGCTATTGTCTTGGTATCAGTGACTATCAAGTTGCACAGTGACAGCAGGTGGCATTTGTTGGATATACTATTGTAGGTTTCAGCTGACCTCTGTGGACACTCCGTTCAGGGGTAGCTTGGCACAATCAATATCAATACATAGGTTATGTTGACACCAAGGTCTGGTGTGAGTGTTGATGATGATGAGGTTGATGACATTGGTGATAAGGTTGGTGAGTGTTGCTGATAATGAGGTTGATGGTGTTGGTGATAAGGTTGGTGGCGTCAACATGAGTGTCCAGTGTGTTGACTTGATGCTTGAAGTGACCCCCGGACCGCAGTGGACTACTGCCTTTGGTTCTATGCTCTGCATTGGAACCATGGTTGGCTTGGTGCATTTGTCCAGGTGCTTAGCCAGCACTTGGTCAATGTACCCTGACTGACCAATCGTCATGGTGCACATCATATGGTTTCAACTGATTTTGATGCCGAGGAAGTGAGAGACCTTGCCACTATCTTCCATCTTCCATCTCTGACCGATCTGCTTCTTAACCTTTAGGACTGTTTCCAGCCGTGGTGCTATGACTAATGTATCATTGATGTAGATGACCACAATGGCCATATCTTCGCCCCATCCCTTGGTGTAGATGCAGGGAGCACACTCAACCTGGAATAATCCCATGCGTTGCAAAGACCTGTTGAACTCCTGGTTCCATTCTTGCCCAGACTGCTTTAGGCCATACAGGCCCTTGACCACTTTGTATACCTGTCCAGGTGCTACTCCTGATCCCTCCAGTGGTTTCATATAGATCACTTCTTTTAACCTGGAGTTTAAGTAGGCCATTGTGATATCCAGTGCATGCACCTCCCAGTTGTTCTGTACTGCTAGTGCTAGGATAGCTCTGATTGCTCCAAGGGGTGCTACCAGAGAGAAGGTTTCCTGGTAGTCGATTCCCTCTCTCTGTGTGAAGCCCCTTGCCACCAGTTGCGCCTTGTGCTTTATGGGCACACCATCAGCATCGAGCTTTAGCCAAAGCATGACCTTAGAGTCCACGAGTGGTACTCCTGGTGGGTGATTCACCACCTCCCAAGTCCCCATTGCCTCAAGTCCTTCCAGCTCTTTTCATATTGCCTCCTTCCAGAGCTGGGCGTCCTCACCATTCATTGCTTCCCCAAGTGTTGGGTCCAGGTTCAGTACTGCTGTGTTGGTGGCGCCTACTGTGCTATCTACAGCTGGTAGGAGATCCTCCACTATGGCTGGCATGACACCCTCCTCCTCAACCTCTGTGGTCACCACGGGCCAGACTGCCTCCTGTTGGCGATCACTCCATCCTTTGTCCTCATGGAACGTTGCTGAGTTGCTCCATTGAATTGATGCAGGCTGGTCCAGGTTGCAAAACTTCCATGCTTTGTGCTCGTCATCATATCCAATCATGATGGCTGGCTTTGCTCTAGCCCTGTACTTGCCCTGCTGGTCCTTCCGTTGAACATGGACCCATGCCAAGCATCTGAAGACTCGCAGCTGCTGGGCCAGCTTGTGCACAGTGGTTCCATAAAAGACCTTGTGGGGGATGGTCTTGGTGGCTGATGGGGTGAGGTTCATCATGTGTGCTGCTGCTGTGATTGCATATGGCCACAACTCTCTGGGGCAAGCTCGACCAATGAGCATTGAGCACATCTTTTCTTGGACCAATCTGATCGCTCTCTCTGCCCATCCATTCTGGACACTGATCCCTGGGACACTCTTTTGCCACTTGAAACCCTCTTGAGTTTGCCAGTCTTCAGCTCCTAAGCTGCACCACTCTCCTCCATTGTTGCTGTGGAGCATTTTGAGTTTCCTGTCTGTTGCTTGTTCTGTCCTGGTGATCCACCTTCTCAGCACTGGGAGTGCAGCACTCTTAGTGCAGAGTGGTTCCACGTAGATCAGGGAGGAGAAGTCGTCCACAGCAACTAGTGCATAGTGGTAGTTGGCATGGCCCTTAAGATCTGTCATCAAGTCTTTGTGTACTAACTCTAGTGGCGCCTCCACTCTCTTCGACTCTGATTGGCTCATCTGCACTCGGGTCTGTTTTCCTTGACTGCATGCATTGCAGTGCTTTGATTCATGCTCCATTCTCTCATCAGTGCCAAGGTAGTGTGCCTGGATTTGCCTTGTCTTATCTCATCCTGGGTGTCTGAACCTCTCATGCCAGAGGTAGCTATCTTTGTCTTCCTTTGAGTTGTTGTCTTGGTTTCCTGTGTTCTGGTTGTCCTCTGGGACATCATTGATTGTCTCCTCCAGCTCCAAAGCCAGTGCTTGTCCTCGCACGTCGAAGCGGCCTTGTCTCCTGTTCTTCTTGAATTGCACTTGGGTTCCATCGTTCTGCTTTATGGTAGTCCCAAACTCATCAAAGATTACTTGTGCACCATTCTCGATCAAGCCTTGTATGGACAATAAATTAGAATTGAGCTTCGGCACATAGAGCACATCCAATAGCTGGATGGTAGCCTCACTGACCTGAAGGGAGGCATCTCCTATGGCTTTTACCTGAAGCTTTTCATCCCCTGCCATACTGATCTGACTGTCCTTGCTCATCGAGGTGAGCAGCATTCTCTCATCATTTACCATATGATGAGTTGCACCTGAATCAACAAACCAGGTGTTGTATGCTGATTGCTCCCCCCTGTCGATTGCTAGGAAGGTGCACCCGAGTTCCTAGTGACTCACTTCCTGTGCCACACAAGCAGCAGGTTCGCTCATGTTTGGTGCAGGGTGGTTGTTGGTGTTTGTGCAATTACGAGCAATATGATTGGGTCCCCCACATGCATAGCATCTTGGAGGAGCTGAGGGATTATGCAGATTGCGCCTGCCCCTGGGCCCCTGCTCCACCTGACCAGTACCCCCTTGCTCTGCACTTGTAGCAACCCTGGCTGCTCCTCTGATATGACCTGAAATCTCACCATCCTGCTGTTTCTTGGCAAGTGTGTGGTAGGCTTCATCATACTTACAGTCTGGTTTGGCCATCTTGAGTGCATCAATGGAGTTGGCATAGAACCAATCTTGTGCCATGCAACGGTAGAGCATAGATTTCTTTAGGTCCTCATCAAGGCGCTTCCCAAGACATGCAGCATCATTCCAAATGGAGTCAAGCTCCTTGCCTAGCCTGACAACATCGCGATTGTACAGATGTACAGTGTGGATGCAGTCCTGCAGGCCTGCTCACTTCACTGTGTCATTCAATGTTAGTGCCTTCCTAAGCTTAGTGTAAAGCATACTTCCAAGTTGGGCTTCCTCATCCGCACCCCTGACAGTGTATGTGTTGATGCGGCTTTCCGGGCTGTGATCACAGCAAGCATGGATAAGACCTACCAGTGCCTTGTCCAGGTCCTCATCATATCCCTCGCTTCCAGGTGCTATTTCGCCATATAAGATTTCCTTTGCATTATGCACCTGTTGCAGACAGTTGATAAAGGTGGGCTCCCAGGTGTGCCAGTTGTTATCACTAAGTTTCTTTATGTGTGCAATGGCACTCGAGATGTCCTTGGGAATCTTCTCTGCCTCCCCTCTTGGAGCTTGATTGCTAATGCTGATGAGACCCATCGCCTGTACAATTGCCTCCTCTGCTGTCAGCGCCGGGTTTGCCAACTGTAGTATCCTGACCACCTGCATAAGCCAACCCTCCTCCTGACCATTGCCCACAGTTGCGGCTGCTTGATCATCATCTCTCTCCTCCCTTCCTGTCTGTCCTGCTCATGTTGATGGCAGCATTATGCTTATCGTCAGACTATTGATGTTGAATGTCGTGGGTTCGAGCCCCCTATTGGGAGCCAGTTAAAGTTTTCATGTGATTGATGATGATGGTGGGGAGAGAGAGAGAGCAAGGAGAGAGAAGGAGTCTATATATACAAAAGAAGAGCAGCAGAGAGCCGCATCGACTGTGGAACATAACAAAGCATTTGTCTTGAGTAGGTTGTGACACATGTGGTCCATGCTCAGATGCTCAGGCCTTTTACTCGGCCGTAAGCACTACCTTCACCGTCTCTACGCTTTGTGTAGCTTTTATATACTTTAACTCCTATATCAAGTGGGGCACGTTTATGAGCATCGGAACTGCCTAAGCGAGAGAGTTGAATGGCTTGTTTACAGAGTGCAAAATCTTACTCACTGTGAACAGACTCTTATACTGCAGTTGTCCATGTATCTCTCCGATTGACCCTCATAGCTAGGAGAAGATGCTTCTGACCTCGAAAGTAGGATCGCTCCTCAGCATTTTCTCCTTCTTCCTCATAACGTCCGAGATCGTTGAAGGTCAGGGTTATACCACCGCAGGGACATCTGCCGCAAGATCACAGTCCAGTGCCCTCGAACCCTTCCTTGATCAGCTTTTAAAGGATCAGAACCTGGACTCTCGGTCTTCGATTTATGCCATCACCGAATTGACTCAGCAATCGTCCAAGCACCACCTGCTGACACAGTATATCTATCGAAATGGACAAGACTTCAACCCTCAAATTGTCTACCTTGGCACGGATCCCAAAGATCCGTCAGCACATCTAGCCGTTAAGCCGTTTGCCCCAGACTTAGACTTGGCTGATGATATACTGCGGAACGGCAAGTTTCACAGATGGAAAAACAGAGAGGGCCTGCTAGCAATGAGGCTTCGATCGAGAGAAGAGCCAGAGTTTGCAGGAATTATCTGGCTGTCGAAGAGGCAAATGACGAAAGGGATAAAATGGGAAGCCGTACAGACATTCGATCAGCTGCAAAGCGATCTGAGTTTGGGTGTAATTGAAAGGGTCTTGCATCATCTACCCGTGAGGAGAAAGTGAGCGGGTCAGTGCATTGCAACCGGGCTGGGGTCTTACTTCACAGTTGATAGGTATGGCTCTGATGAAAAGCAATCAATTACAACATTATGCTTGACCTTTATATTGTTGGATTGTAACAAACTTGGATGGTAGGACGCGGCTTGATTACGTATGGCGATGGATGGCGACGACAAACGGTATGTACAGATGGATCTGCTTTATTGTTCCAGACGGCCTGTCTGAGCACGCGTCGGAAGAGTTAAAGCATGTGATACCTCGGCATAGAAGCATGCGATCGCTCGGAGCATGCAGCCTTCGCCGAGCCCACATCCAATCACCAACTTCGCTCACTCGGACTTGGTGCAGTGCCCGGGCCGACTGCCGAACCTCAAGACGCCGGTCATCAGGCAGCCGGTGTTTTCCTCCTCCCCTTTAGTTTCTCATTCATGCTCCTGCTCCATCAGCCCCTAGTATCACACACGCATGCGAAGGGCATCGAGGCATATATAAAGACTTGATTCACCATGTACTTAGAAATGATTCCTTATCGCAATCGACACTTGTGATCATTGACTTCGACGCACCTCCGATTGATCTCGACGACGCTGTTCAACTGGAAGCCCTAATGGACCCTTTGATTCTCTCGCATGAATCCTCACTACCTTTTGTTCGTTATCACCACCCTTTGATCACTATCGCTTCCCTTTGATCACTATCGCTTCCCTTTGTATTTAGGAGCGCCCCTCGGGCGCTCAGCAGAACACAGTTAGAACACAGTCAGACATGTAAGGTATATATAGAGGGGGTTCGCAGCCCCCCCCCCCCCTTCACGTCTTAATTCCAAACTTCCCTTCTAACGTACTTGAAGGCCCTAGGAAACAGTCTACAGAAGCGAACGACCAGGTATCGCTTCTTATGTATCTACACTGGAGGAGCAGAGGTCGACGGGGAAACTATGGCGTGGAAACTTCCTTCTCCCTCCTCGGGCATCTCTAAGCCGGTATGCCGGCACCTTACCGGGCGACCGGACTAACTCGAGCCGGTACACTACAGCCTTCTAACATATATACTGAGCAGCGGCGCAAGCTTCGTGTCGGGGAGGGATAAGTACCAGCGCTCGCTTTTGCATTGGCAGCGAATTAACCTACAGCCATAACTAGCGACGTCGTTGTGGCGTCCATTGTTCCAGCCTCCTTGGTCCGTTTGCAAGTACTCACGCCATCGTCTCGATAGAGCGTCCGATTCTCGCTATGGAAGCACTTCATTTTGATCACTTAAGCCGAACATCGGAAATAGAGCGCTTTCGCATTCGCCACGTAGAAACTCCTTGGACGTTTTAGTCCGCAAGGGCAACCCGGCTGGAATCGGTATGATGTATAAAACCTCGCTGTCGTAGGCTTTTACCCGCAGCGCTCGATTGCCTTCGTTGGGCTCACCTTCTCGATCAATCGCCATGGCCACAACATCACTCTTACGCCGCTGTGCACCTTACCTCCTCTCATCTTTGCTCCTCGTTTTGCAGATACTGGCGACTGCTGCCACAATGACTCCGTCTGGGATCCCAGAGAAGCTCTTTCCTGCATCACTCGACCCCTTTGTCAACGAACTAAGCCTGCGTGGCTTCCTCTACACTTCTAGAATCGAGTTGGCATTCGACCTTACGAACATGCAATTCCGAAGTCACCACGCTCTTACCGATCATTTTTTCAAGAACGGTCAAGATTGGAATCCCAGAGTCGTCTACCTCGGAGAACACCCCGCTTTGCCCAGCACTCATATGGCTGCATCGGTGTTCCACCCAAACATACAGCTGACGAATCATCTTGTGCCAAAAAGTGGCTTGATGAAACATAGGAACGGGAAGAACGGAGTGCTTGCTATCAACTTGAGAGCAAATGAAGAGCCTGAGTTTGTGGGGGTGCTGTGGCTGAAGAGCCATCGAGCAGTGAATGTGCTGGAGCGCAGTGGAATGTGATTGAACGAGGTCGAGGAGCAGGTACCGAGCTTGATAGATATTCAGCGAGTCATACATCGTCAACCGGTTCCAGGCCCGTACAGGACCGTGAGGACTGTTGGATCGAGTGACAGACTTGATTGATAGGACGCGGTTTATTATGTGGGAGGGCTATGCCTGTACCGACTTGTATCAGAACTGGTCGTCGAGTTGTCCGATGTTGGTATCAGGCCGAATGCTTCCGTCCATCCGATGATCATATCAGGCCGAAGGCCTCGGAGTGTCCGACGACCATATCAGGGAAAGATAAGGGCCATGAGCCCTATGGCTGAGGTTCTCTTGCACTGCCTCGGCATGTTTCAGACTCATCTTTCGCCTCAGCATGTTACTGAATCATTCACAGGGTAAGACGTATAAAAACACCACGTTCAGTTAGTTTGTTCCCCGTGTTGGAAGGCTAGTGGACTGTGGAAGGACACGGTTGTATTGAGCACTCGACGTTGGTGGGTAAGTACAATAGGATGGATGACAACACAAACAAACTAGCCAACTTCAAGCACTCTATATATACACCTTGACACTGACACAAAGATAGGAAAGAGGTCTGAAGCATGAGGGGCATGAGGGCCCTCAAGGAGAGGTCCGTCCTCTCTGAGGGACTTTTGCCACCCTGAAGAAGAGGAGTATCGACGGAGGCTATCATCTGAAGGAGACTTGTCGACCGCCTCGTCGGATGCGCCGATCTGATCGTCGGAGACCACCCGACGGAGAGCCCGACAAGTCTTATCATCGTGAGAAGAGTTGTCGGCCGTCCTGTCGGGTACGCCGATCACTTCAACGGGGACTACTCGACGGAGGACCCGATGAAGCTTATCATCGTGCGAACCTTCGTCGGCCGTCCCGTGAAAGACCATTCATCGGACTCCCGGTGTGAGTCGATACCCCCTCCTTCACCCCGTTAGCACCCCAATCCATCTGTTTGTACATACCCTTCACCGTCGACATACGTAATACAACCGCGTCCTACCATTCGAGTCTGTCATTCGTGTCAACATATTACGTATGGCGACGAACGGTATGTACAGACAACAAATTAACTAAGTCTGATGCTTCTATACGTATACCCTGTGGACGATACAGTAACTTGTTGGAGCGAAAGAAGAGGCTGAAACACGACGAGGCAGTGCAAGGGGTTGCGCAGTGATAGAGCTTAGGCCTCTATCTCCTCCTGATACGAACACATCGGATAGCCCGAGGCATCCGGCCTAATACCAACATCAGAAATCCCGCTAACCGGCCTGATACGACCCGATACAAGCATAGACCTCCTAAAAGGACAAGCGCCAAGAAGGACGGCTAGACCGGATCCGGTTCTGCAGCTAGCGAGCGTAAGGATTTCCGAGTCAAACGTAGTGTTATCGGCTTTCCTTGCCTATCAAGATGAAGCTCGACCAGCTATTTGCCCGCCATCAAATCAGCCGCTGTGGTTGCTTGTCATCTGTGCTCGTGACTTCATGATGAGGGAGGTCATGTGAAGGCCTCCGAGCCCTTTGAGCTTGAGCCTGTCCGTGAGAACAGAGATGTCGATCTAGTCGAGATCGAGTGAACAGCTGATCCACTATGTCAGAGGAAGCGAGGCCTGACAATAGCTTTTGCCTTTCCACTTCAACGTATGGTCAGCTCGGTGCAGAACCGAACAAGATCCCCGATAGGCGGCCACACCGAAGTTACATACATATATGGTCGCTGAGGAACGGTTGGTCTGCTACTTTCGGCTCGCTTCTCTCCACTCTTCAGCCCAACATGAAGGTACATCTGTCTACCGCTTCAATCTTCTTCTTTTCAGCCATTTGCTGTCGAACGGCACACCCACAGAATCCGTTGCCACACCAAGGTATCTTCTACCCAGGCACAGACCTCGAATTTCACATGGCCGAGACGAGTAAAGCTAGCAGTGCCGCAGGCATCGCCGAACACGTCTTCAGTCTTCCCTCGAGTCATCTCTCCCCTATCTACGGCTACGAGGAAGGCCAGCGTCAAGCAGTGATCAATCATATCGAAAATCCTGCTTCTCGTTACGTCGTGCTGATAAAGTACAGAAGAGGCTGGACCTTTGTCATTTCTCCATGGGTCGTGCGGCGTGGGCCTGATGCACCTACACAGAAAGGCGTACTGTTTCTGCAGGCTTATCCAGGCGGGGTACTGTCTCCTATTGGATACGCTGAGGTGAAGGAGGGTATTCCGGAAGGACATAGTCGAGACTTCTGGGATACTCTCAACCGTGCAGCCAGAACGACAAGGGAAGAGCTATTGAGGAGGTTTGAGATTGATAGGATCGTCACTCCTGTGACCATTCGAGGCTAGGCCTCGAAAGATGGACATGTGTGGACTAGAAGTGCAGGAGGCTTGCTCTACATCCCACGCTCTCGATCTCGGCGTAAAGGATGCCACTGATCGTGCTGTGAGTTCTCATTCTAGCAGCTATTGTTGCCACAAATCGTGAGAAAGTTCACCAGCCTCTGGGCTGCTATTTGAGCTCACTTCACAGCATACTCTCACAAAGCCCATCGTGCATCTTTCTCTTAGTCACCTTGTGTCGGTCACCTTTACCATCGCCTTTCCCTTAATAAGCTCTTTTAGCATTCTCGAACCTATCTTCCCTGCCTTTGTAGCCGGTCTTTCCTTAGTTCTCAAGCCACGGGGTATTGAGGGGAGCGTCGCCTTGAGTAGCCGTGGTTTGAACAGACTGGTTTTAGGTTTACAGACAACGGGAAGATGGTGTATTGACATGACTACCTACAGTAAACAAGTGTGACTATTTATGTTTGCTGGAACCAAGTGAGGCATGCTGGTTGAGGAGTCCCAAGCTCCTCAACCCCTATCATAATGCAGGGATGCATCATGAGGAGGTCTGTCCCCTTGACCCCTATATCGGCGATATCGGCTGACGCCGCCGATACGAGGTCAAGTCGACCTCCAACACCATGCACGCCAATGTCAGGGGTCTCGCGCCTGAAACCCAGGTCGGTCTGTCGAGATACTCGGTGACTATCAAACTGTGCGACAGCTATTGTCTCGGTATCGGTGACTATCAAGTTGTGCAGTGACAGCAGGTGGCGTTCGTTGTATACTATCGTAGGTTTCGGCTGACCTCTGTGGACACTCCGTTCAGGGGTAGCTCGGCATGATCAATATCAATGCTTCGGTTATGATGACACCAAGGTCTGGTGTGAGTGTTGATGATGATGAGGTTGATGACATTGGTGATAAGGTTGGTGAGTGTTGATGATAATGAGGTTGATGGTGTTGGTGATAAGGTTGGTGGCATCAACACGAGTGTCCAGTGTGTTGACTTGATGCTTGAAGTGATCCCCGGACCGCAGTGGACTACTGCCTTCAGTTCTATCTTGATCTGGACTGCTAACCTGCTATGGGCGCCTTCAGATGTCAGGTAGTGGTGATACAACACACACACTACGATGAGGAGCAACCTTGATAGATTGCTGCTATGCTGACTGAAACTAATATATACTTATGCTGAAGTGATAACTAGTTATGGTGAGTAGAGTGGATGAGGATCCACTTGACCTATGATGATGAGAAAGCATGGTTATATACCTCTTCACAGCATTGCCAGTGATGCTGCTCCTGCTCTCTCTCCAGAGAGTACCTTCTTCATCGAGTACTGCTCAGGGGCCTCTCCTGCTTGGCGCCCCTGTGCCTCTTGAGTGGTGTCGACTCCTTTGACACTGCTCCTCCTCCTCATGACCTGGTGTCGACTCCCTCGACACTGCTCCTCCTCCTCATGACCTGGTGTCGACTCCCTCGACACTGCTCCTCTTCCTCAGGACCTGCTTGCCAGTGTCCTATGACTCTTGTCTCTCGAGCCCCTGAGTGGTAACCATCTGAGCTTGGTCCTCTTCGTGGCTGTGCCTGGCCCTCCTCGCATGTGGCTCGGTTCTCCTTTGCATGTGAGTCCATAGGAGTCCATGGTCTCCATGGAGACTGCACTACGACCATGCTCTCTACTGGTATCGACTAGATCTTCGATACCTGTGCTCCTTCCATATGAACCAGTGACCCTCCTGCTTCTTGAGCATCCAGGCCCATGACACTACCCCCCTCTTAAGAGCCGAGCTCCATCGAGGCATGCTCTGGTCTGGTTCATGCTGACTCCTCCTCCTCCTCCTCCTCCTCCTCGACAACATCGCTAACATCATCCTTCCTCCTTCTCTCAACGTCATCCTCCTTCCTCTTCCTCTCTCTACTCCTCCTGTTCTCTCTTCCTCTCTCTACTCCTCCTGTTCTCTCCTCCTTTCTCTACTTTGTCTACTCACTCGTCCCCCCTCCGACACCTCATACTCCTGGATGAGGTCGGGGCAGTTGAGGTTCTCTACTGGTTCCCATGAAGCAGCTTCTTCTGAGTACCCTCTCCACAACACTTTGTACTCTGTAGTCCCATTGTGTGAATGCTTGTCGATGAGTGCTTCGACTTCAAAGTCGAGGTCCTCATCTGGAAGTGATGGTATGGTGGGCTGTTCAGCACGTTGAGGAAGAGAACTTGTTCTTGCTGGCTCGAGCATGGAGACATGGAACACATCATGCACCCTAAGGTTTGCTGGCAATGTGATTCGATAAGCTCGGCGTCCTACCCATTCCTGAACTGGGTAGGGTCCTGCAAACCGGGTATCTAACTTGGGTGTGGGTCTCCGTGTCTTCCAGTTTCGACGGTTGATATAGACCATATCACCCACCTTAAACTCAATGTCCTTGTGCTTCCTGTTATACTGGTCTACTGATCTCCGTTGTGCCTCTCTGATCTGCTCCTGGAGGTACTTGCAACGCTCCTTTCCATCCATGAGGTACTCGAAGCAACCTGGATCATTGACTCCTAGTCGTTGAGGGATGTCAGGATGAGCTTTGGGGTTCCATCCATAGCATGCAAAGAATGGTGAGACACCAATGCTGTTGTGGACCGTGTTGTTGTATACAAAGGCTGCAGTGTCCAGCAGGTCGGCCCAGTCATTCTGCTCATAGTTACAGTACATCCTGAGGTATTGCTCTATGACCTGATTGACCCTCTCTGTCTGACCATCAGTTTGAGGATGGTAAGCCGTGCTAAGTGAGTGCTTCACACCCATTTGCTCTGCAAATGCCTTCCATGCTCCTGATATGAACTGCCTGCCTCGGTCTGAGACCATGTGATCTGGGTATCCGAAGAGTCTAACCATGTGTCCATATAGCAACACTGCAGTCTGTTTGGCCGTGACTGTCTTATGGGTTGGAGCTAGTATGGCAAACTTGGTCAACCTGTCGACAATGACTAAGATAGAGTCATAAGTCTTGGAGTCATACTTCTTCGATGGTGGTAGTCCTTCAATGAAGTCGAGGGATATGGAGCCCCAGGGCCTGTCTGGTGTTGCTAGTGGCTGTAGCAAACCATATGGACGATGATGAGGAGCTTTGTACCTAGCACATACAGGACAACTTGCTACATAGTCTGCAATCCAAGCTGTCATGTTTGGCCACCAGTAATGTCGTTGAGCTGCCTTGATGGTAGCATCTCTTCCCACATGTCCAGCAGTGATACCATCATGGCATTGGGTCATCACCATGAATCGCAGATGTTCTACAGAGAGGGACTGTCCATCTACCTCTTTGGCACTCCTTGAGTGTCAGTTGTTGGTCCTCCCTGGCATGGTTACTTTGGGGATAACCAACCTTCCTCCACTGTACCATAGGTCGTCCTTGAGTTCGAAGGGCTTCTTCCTATGTATCTCCTGTAGCTCTTGGTCTAAGGGCTGGAAGATCTTGACCAGGTCTTTGAGACCTTTTGATGCTATGGACTCCATCGAGAGCATAGGGGCCACTAGGGTCGAGTCATGGTCTGCTGTCTCCTTGAACACTCGAGGAGGCAGTAGTTGCCTCACATTGTGATCCTGCTCTTCACCAGCTGGTTGCATGTCTGTCCTTCTGGTGAGAGCATCGGGTTCACCACCTTTGTCTCCTGGTCGATACTGCAATATGAAGTCGAAGTCTGCTAGTAGTATGGCCCATCGAGCCTGTCGACCTGTGATGCGTCTCTGTGACTTGAAATACTTGAGGGCTTCATGGTCAGTGAGGATGACCAGTTGACTGGGTAGTCCAGCTAGCATGTGTCGCCACTGAGTAAGGCAGGCGACCACAGCTAGGAGCTCCTTGTCATGGATTTCATAGTTCTTCTCAGCAGAAGACATCTTCCTAGAGTAGAAGGTCACTGGATGCCATCGTCCTTCATGCTCCTGCTTGAGTACTCCTGCTATAGCAAAGTCACTTGCATCAGTCTCCAACCTTGTTGGAAGGTGGTAGTCGAAATGCTGAAGCACTCCTGCTGATGTGAAGGCCTGGATGAGCTTGTGGAAGGCCTGTTGGGCCTCCTCTGGTAGTTCGAACTTCTTGAACCATTCTATAGGCTTTACCAGTGCTGTCAAGGGCTTGGCTATGCGAGCAAAGTGGGCTATGAACCTTCGATAGAAGTTGGCAAAACCCAGGAACCTCTGGATGTCATGGATTGACTCCGGCATTGGCCACTCCTTGACAGTGCGCACCTTTTCTGGGTCCATCTCTATGCCCGTTGGCTTGATGATGTACCCCAGGAACTCGACTGTCTTGGTGTGGAACTCACACTTCGACAGCTTAGCAAAGAGCCTGTTGCTCCTTAAGCGAGTGAGGACCTCAGTGACATGCTTCACATGTGCTTCTTCAGTGTCACTGAAGATCAGGAAGTCATCTAGGTATACTACCACATATATCCCAATGATGTCTCGGAAGATGTCATTGATGAATGACTGGAAGTGAGCCAGAGCATTGGCTAGGCCAAAGGGCATCACTAGGTACTCATAGAGTCCCAACTGAGTGCCAAAAGCTGTCTTCCATTCATCTCCTTTAGCAATCCGGATGAGGTTGTATGCTGCTCTAAGGTCTAGCTTGGTATAGATCCTTGCCTTCCTGAGTAAGAACAGCTGCTCCTTGATGAGGGGCAATGGTGCCCTGTTCTTGACAGTGATCTCGTTGAGACCTCTGTAGTCCACACAGAGTCTGAGACCTCCATCCTTCTTTGGTACGAAGAGCACTGGTGATTGTGCTGGGCTCTTCGATGGTCTTATGAACCCCTTCTCGAGGTTCTCATCCAAGTACCTCCTCAACTCGGACATCTCCTTGGGTCCCTTAAGGTATAGGGGCCCTTGAGGTGGCTTACCTCCTTCTATCAACTTGAGGTGGAGATCATGCTCGGTATGATGGGGCAGCTTGTCTGCTTCCACCTCATCAAACACATCTTGCAGGTGTTGGTATGGCTTTGGTATGTCTGCAGCCATCACCACCTTGTCTACCTCCACCTCCATCTCGACTCCTTTGTCTGTGCCTGTAGGTACAAAACCAAAGGCTGGGAGTGATGATGGTGGCTCCTCCAACAGCATGAATCCTATGGGTCCATCTTCCAGAGCTGCTCGTAGTATGCGCTCTGCTGAGACAAACTCGTTACCATGAAGGGTTGGTCTCCTCATGGTTAGGTCCCCTGCTCTTGCTGCTTCAGGGGGTCTCCTAGGGGGTCGGTCCTGCTCCTGAGTCTTGAACTCCAGCTGGCCCGTATCCCATTGTATGGTGGGTTTGAGCCTCCGTAGCTCAGTGAACCCCAGGATGAGGTCATAGTCCGCAGTGTCGGCCACTGAAGCTTCGACCACACCCAGATTGTGTGTACCAATAGATACCTGCATGCTCGCAGAACTATTGATGGAGAGTTGGTGCCTGGTGACACCATGGATCGATCTTGTTTTTATGGGTTTTGTGGGTATTTGGTACTTACTAATGAAAGAATCTGAGACTATGGACAAACCAGCACCAGTATCAGCTAGTATCTGAGCAGGATGGTCTTGAACCATTCCAGAGAGCTCCAGTACTGCTTTGCCTCTACTGGTAGAGAAACATACTTGACAATCTTGATATATACAGAGTGATGGCAAGGAGGTTTGTAGAGCAATGCATGCCATCAGTGCATCACCCCACTGACGTTTCCCTCATTGTCATCATCATCATGCTCCTCCTCCTCATGGTCAAGGTCCATGGGTTGCTGGTATGAGCTGAGGTCCATGGCCTCGGGGTCACCCATCTCAGTACTGCCTGTGTGGCCATCTCCTGAGTCGGTGGCCTCCTCGAAGGGGTCTGCTGTGGTGACCATAACCTTTGGTCCCATGGGTCGAGAGCTAAGAGGGTCTACCCTCCTGCTGGGGCAGTCTCTGGCCCAATGGCCGATACCCTTGCATACATGACAGGTGTTGATACCTGATGGAGCAGGGCTTCCTTGCTTCGAGGGTTGGGTGGGATGATGAGGAAGGGGTCGGTTTAGGTTTTGTATAGTTGCTTGTGTAGTTGCTTGTAATGGTGATCGAGATGGATAAGGTTGAGTGGGTTGTCGGATGGGGATCGAACTTTGATTTGGCCAAGACCCAGTTCTTAGTGGAGGTGACGTGGCATTTGGGAGTGAGTGTCTAGCCGAGGACTGCTGTAGTAGCATCCTCTGTCGATCGATCTCCTCAACCTCTCGGTACCACTCCCATCTCTTCCCAGGTGGATTCCTCTCGAACTTCTCCTGTATGCTGCGAGTGAGACTTCCTCTGAAGAGATCAATCACTAGCTCGTTGTCATCTAGGTTGACCTGTCCCTCCAAGTCTCTGAACCGCTCTACATGACGTGTGGCAGCACCAGGAGCATCACTTGTGAGTCTGAGAGCCAACAGCTTGTTGTATGCCTCCATCCTAGCATTGTGTGGGTTGAACTGTTCTGACAGTTGCTCTGTGAAGTAGTGCCAATCATTGAACAACCTTCCTTCTCTAGCTCTATCAATACAGAGCTTGGAGGTCCACCACTCTCTTGCTGTCCCTTCAAGTTGAGCACCCATGTGGTTGATCATCCTAGACTGCTCATACACCTGGTTGAACTTAAACCATGCTTCGGCTTCTAGAATGAAGATCTCCATGTCTCGGGGATTGAACTTTGGGAAGGGGGTGGCAATGGGCTTTGACCAGTTAAGCTCTGCCATGATGCTGGTGTCCTCCTCATGGTCCAGGGGGTAAGGGTCCGTCCTAGTCCTGCTGTAGGGGTCCACCTTAGTCTTGACATATCTTGGCCCAGTAGGTGAAGCATACTTCTCATAGTTGATGTCCTCCTGCTCATCCAGGTTGAATGAGACTGATCGTCTTGGTTGTGGAGCTGGAGTAGGAGTATGTGGGTCTCCTATCATAGACTCATCTCCTCCTCCTGCTTGGTCTTCTGAGTGAGAGAGGTCCATTGTCTCCTCCCTGCTCAGTTGAGCTCGTTGTAATCGTTCCTCTCGATGACCCTGTCTGGTAAGCTCTAGCTGTGCTTCCAATAGAGTGAGTAGTCTGTCGAGCTTATTGTTGAGGTCTGGGTCTGTCATGGTGATTGTGAGGAGCTGCTTGAACGATCCACTTTAATGTCAGGGGTCTCGCGCCTGAAACCCAGGTCGGTCTGTCGAGATACTCGGTGACTATCAAGTTGTGCAGTGACAGCAGGTGGCGTTCATTGTATATACTATCGTAGGTTTCGGCTGACCTCTGTGGACACTCCGTTCAGGGGTAGCTCGGCACGATCAATATCAATGTTATGATGACTCCAAGGTCTGGTGTGAGTGTTGATGATGATGAGGTTGATGGTGTTGGTGATGAGATTGGTGATGTCGATGATAATGAGGTTGATGGTGTTGGTGATAAGGTTGGTGGCGTCAACACAAGTGTCCAGTGTGTTGACTTGATGCTTGAAGTGATCCCCGGACCGCAGTGGACTACTGCCTTCGGTTCTATCTTGATCCAGACTGCTAACCTGCTATGGGCACCTTCGGATGTCAGGTAGTGGTGATACAACACACACACTATGATGAGGAGCAACCTTTGATGGATTGCTGCTATGCTGACTGAAACTAATATATACTTATGCTGAAGTGATAACTAGTTATGGTGAGTAGAGTGGATGAGGATCCACTCGACCTATGATGATGAGAAAGCATGGTTATATACCTCTTCTCAGCATCGCCAGCGATGCTGCTCCTGCTCTCTCTCCAGAGAGTACCTTCTTCATCGAGTACTGCTTAGGGGCCTCTCCTGCTTGGCACCCCTGTGCCTCTTGAGCTGTGTCGACTCCTTCGACACTGCTCCTCCTCCTCATGACCTGGTGTCAACTCCTTCGACACTGCTCCTCTGTCATGGGCCTGGATGCTCAAGAAGCAGGAGGGTCACGGGTTCATATGGAAGGAGCACAGGTATCGAAGATCTAGTCGAGATCAGTAGAGAGCATGGTCGTAGTGCAGTCTCCATGGAGACCATGGACTCCTATGGACTCACATGCAAAGGAGGGCCAAGCACAGCCACGAGGAGGACCAAGCTCAAGGAGCAGGCACAGCCATGAAGAGGACCAAGCTCAAGGAGCATGCAGATGGTTACCACTCAGGGGCTCGAGAGACAAGAGCCAAAGGAACTGTCACTGATCAAAGGAGGAGGAGCAGTGTCGAAGGAGTCGACACCAGGTCATGAGGAGGAGGAGCAGTGTCGAAGGAGTCGACATCAGGTCATGAGGAGGAGGAGCAGTGTCGAAGGAGTTGACATCAGGTCATGAGGAGGAGGAGCAGTGTCGAAGGAGTTGACACCAGGTCATGAGGAGGAGGAGCAGTGTCGAAGGAGTCGACACAGCTCAAGAGGCACAGGGGTGCCAAGCAGGAGAGGCCCCTGAGCAGTACTTGATGAAGAAGGTACTCTCTGGAGAGAGAGAGCAGGAGCAGCATCGCTGGCGATGCTGAGTAGAGGTATATAACCATGCTTTCTCATCATCATAGGTCAAGTGGATCCTCATCCACTCTACTCACCATAACTAGTTATCACTTCAGCATAAGTATATATTAGTTTCAGTCAGCATAGCAGCAATCCATCAAAGGTTGCTCCTCATCATAGTGTGTGTGTTGTATCACCACTACCTGACGTCCGAAGGCGCCCATAGCAGGTTAGCAGTCCGGATCAAGATAGAACCGAAGGCAGTAGTCCACTGCAGTCTGGGGATCACTTCAAGCATCAAGTCAACACACTGGACACTTGTGTTGACGCCACCAACCTTATCACCAACACCATCAACCTCATTATCATCGACATCACCAATCTCATCACCAACACCATCAACCTCATCATCATCAACACTCACACCAGACCTTGGTGTCATCATAACATTGATATTGATCGTGCCGAGCTACCCCTGAATGGAGTGTCCACAGAGGTCAGCCGAAACCTACGATAGTATATACAACGAACACCACCTGCTGTCACTGCACAACTTGATAGTCACTGATACCGAGACAATAGCTGTCGCACAGTTTGATAGTCACCGAGTATCTCGACAGACGAACCTGGGTTTCAGGCGCGAGACCCCTGACATCCTCCTCCTCATGACCTGGTGTCGACTCCTTCGACACTGCTCCTTCTCCTTTGATCAGTGACAGTTCCTTTGGCTCTTGTCTCTCGAGCCCCTGAGTGGTAACCATCTGCATGCTCCTTGAGCTTGGTCCTCTTCGTGGCTGTGCCTGCTCCTTGAGCTTGGTCCTCCTCGTGGCTGTGCTTGGCCCTCCTTTGCATGTGAGTCCATAGGAGTCCATGGTCTCCATGGAGACTGCACTACGACCATGCTCTCTACTGATCTCGACTAGATCTTCGATACCTGTGCTCCTTCCATATGAACCCGTGACCCTCCTGCTTCTTGAGCATCCAGGCCCATGACAGACACCACCAACCTCATCACCAACACCATCAACCTCATTATCATCGACATTCACCAACCTTATCACCAACACCATCAACCTCATCATCATCAACACTCACACCAGACCTTGGTGTCAACATAACCTACATATTGATATTGATCGTGCCGAGCTACCCCTGAATGGAGTGTCCACAGAGGTCAGCCGAAACCTATGATAGTATATCCAACGAACGCCACCTGCTGTCACTGCACAACTTGATAGTCACTGATACCAAGACAATAGCTGTCGCACTGTTTGATAGTCACCGAGTATCTCGACAGACCGACCTGGGTTTCAGGCGCGAGACCCCTGACAGTAACCATCTGTATGCTTCCTTGAGCTCAGTCCTCCTTGTGGCTGTGCCTGGCCCTCCTCGCATATGGGCCCGGTCCTCCTTTGCATGTGAGTCCATAGGAGTCCATGGTCTCCATGGAGACTGCACTATGACCATGCTCACCACTGGTATCGACTAGATCTCCGATACCTGTGCTCCTTCCATATGAACCAGTGACCCTCCTGCTTCTTGAGCATTCAGGCCCATGACAATCAGCATGTCTCAGCAAGTCGGCTGTCATGAGCAACCATCGGGAGATTCAGGAAGGAGGATACCAGCATTAGAAGGAGAAGCATATGGGAGATAACCACATGCAGGAGTGGGGACCAAGCTCAGTGTCATGTGGATGGTTACCACTCAAGGGGTACATGCATACAGCCACATAGGACCAAGCACAGGGGTGACCACATGATCAAGGGGCTTGGCATCAGGGCCCAACATGGGGTTAAGGGATTCACAAGATAAGGTCAAGAAGATGGTTGCTGGTGAAGAGAGAAGGAGCTGTGTCAAGAAGACTGGGGATTGTCTATGAGGAGGAGGAGCTGTGTCAAAGGGGTTGTCACATATCACCAGGCAAAGAAGAGCATGGAGGCAAAGGAGCAGTGTTGCACAAACCAATACACTGTGTGAGCAGTAGAGGCACAGCATCAAAGGGATCAACACCAGCAGGAGGGAGAGTGTTGAGAGGAGGCAAAGGCCTCTCAGGAGGAGCAGGAGAGGTGTTGCAGGTGACACCAAGCAAAAGCATAAATACTCTCATTCTACCATAGCATATGAGTGATTCCTCATCCACTCTACTCTATACTTTACATACTCTTTACTTGACTCATAGTTATGTATCATTGCAATAGCAGAGCTTTGCAATGACACCTCAAATGTGTGTGTTGTATCACCATTAGGCATCAACTGTAGGCAGTATTCCTCAACACCTGTGGTCCAGTTCCTTACTGTAGGCAGTGTTCCTCAACATCTGCAGTCCAGTCAGTTATTGTAGGCAGTGTCCAACACCTGCAGTCCAGTAACTCCCATCCTCTGTAGGCGATAGGCATATTGTGGTCCAGATGACATTAGAGAGCATTAGCAACAGTACTATGAACACTTGTACTGTAAAGGAGAGTGTATTACTCTCCCTCCAGAGAATAACAGATGTGCTGTGCAACCTCTGAATGGAGAGTTCAAGGCAGTCAGCCAAGACCTACCAGTATGAAGCCATCTGGTTATGTTTAGTTGAAACATACTGAGTAGATCTTACTCAATTGATCCCACCAACACCAATTGGAAACACCCAACCTGGTTTCAGGCACACGACTGCTTACAAGTCGTTTCTACTACCAATCTCAGTGGACTCTGCCTTAAGCTCTCGCTTAGCCCGATCCCGCGATTTCTGCGCTCCTCTTCATATGACTTCCACCCTTCTTGCTTCCTGCGCATCCGGTCCCATGACACCATCGTGTTGGCAAGGGTACTCACTCAAGCCCACGGGCAAGTGTCAATGATGCGCGATACTGAGGCCAGCCAGGCTTGCTGCAATCAGAGGAGCTTGAAACAGGGGGGGGACCAAAGTATCGATCTGCGACTAGCTGAAGTCGTCACTTCAGGAGGCGATCAAGATACTTTGTGTTGTCTGATGGGATAGACTAGAACCAGTTAGGTCTCATAATCTGTTTAGAGTGGTGTCGCTTTGCGTAGCTTATGGTTTGGACAAGCTGGTTTTAGGTTTGTGGACAACTGGAAAGAGGGGTGGAATTTCATGGCTATCTACAGCAGGGAGTGTGGCTATTTATGCATGATAGGAAACAAGTGTGACATGCTGGTTGAGGAGCTTGGAGCTCCTCAACCCCTATGTCGATGCAGGGATGCATCGACGAGGAGGCCCGTCCCCTCGACCCCTATATCGGGATATCGGCACGACGTCGCCGATACGAGGTCAAGTCGACCTCCAACAGGGGTTTTGTGGGAGTGATTGAGAAAGGAAGGTATACGTCATGCGATCATGTTGGAGCGGTATAAACATCTGATTTTTAGAGGTGTGTAGGCGAGGCTGGTGCGGACCTGTGATAAGGGGTAACGACGTAGACGATCTTCCCCCCACCCCCCTATCTGGCTCTCTTCTCCAATATGACCCGTCTCAAGCAAAACATTGCCTCTTTCATCACTCACCTTCCCATCCTCCTCCTCCTCCTCGCCACTTCCTACACCTCTCGATTCACTCTCATACCCGAGAGAGGTAACCCTCACGGCGCACTAGCCTTCTCCACCTTCAATTTTCTACACGAACGCACCGGGAAATGGAAACATGCGGTTACGGCACAGTACAGTACTAAGTATTACCCCTGGACTACGAGCCGAAGTGTTGGGTGAAAGGCATCTGACGGAGGATTTGGTAGGGAGGGAATTACACGAGGTACCGAAGAAGTTGCACAAGAAAGCGATTTGGAATCAAGGAGAGATAGCGGGGTTTTTTTGGTAGCTCTGCGGTTAGGATGTGAGGTGAGGGGTCACGTGGAAGGAGAAATGGGTAGCGCTGAGTGGTCGACGCTGCGAATGAAAAGGGGGAATCGGAAAGTTCGGTAAGAAGTTCCGTTGGGTGATGAGGGTGGAGGTTAATGATGATGTCGGATGTGGCTTTATACGATCAATTCAAAGCTGGAGGTATGGTCACGATGGGTTTACCGTGGCTTAAAAGATGGAAGTGACGGAAGGGACCCTGATACGCAGCACCATCCGTGATGAGAGCCCTTGAGCTTGACTTGAATGATGGGCGAGCGAGGCTCCGTGTCAATCGTGTTGCTCTACTTATCTCAAACTCAAGCTCACAAACTGACACAACAATCACGATGCGCTTCGCATCCCTCGTCATCCTCCTTACTCTCCTCTCCACTGCCGCTCTCGCATCCATGGAGCTGGAAGAACCAGAATCAGAACCACACCCCGACATCCTTCACTCCATCTCTTCCAACTCCTTCGCTCAACACCACGCTCGATCCGTCATCTCCTACCTTTCACTTCCCTCTTCCACCATCACCCGTGTAGACCCACCCGATTACAGACCCGACCTTCGCTTCCTTGTCCATGACAACACCGACAGCTCTCGAAACGTCCCTTTGTGCTATCGTGACGAACACTGTCTGATGGTCTCTCTGTACGAACTCTGACAGTATAATAGAAGAGGTGAGATGGAAAAGAAGGCGAAAGTGTTGATGACCAGGTTGACGAGGAAGGGAGAGGTGGTGGAGCCAGCAGGGAAATTGCATTTTGGGAAAGAAGGGGAGTAAATGGGGGTTTGGAATTGGGTGAAGGGTGTTGCGAAGGAAACGAGGGAGAGTTTGGTAAGAAAGTATGGAAGGGAGAGGTTTGAGTTTCCTAATTTGGAAGCTATTGAGATCTGAGTGCGAGCATATCGCCGAGATACGATGAGATGGTACGTTTGCTTGCTTTGAAGCGTTGTGAATGCGAAGTATTGCTCAAGAGTAGAGGCGGTTTTGGTGCGGTGAGGTTGGCGGCACTGTTTGACCTGAGCCATTCTTCCTCGTCCCTTCTAGGACACATTTTGGCGCGTAAGCAGTGCTGTTAGACCTCAGCATACCACACGTTCATTTCGTTTTTTCTCTGAACGCGTTCGTGCGAGCTCTGCGCAAATCGAGATCAACACCCCTTCTGCGTCTGTTCCGGGCGAAAAAAAAAAAAAAAAAAAAAAAAAAAAACACTCATCACGCGACTTGCCTTTCCTCGCCTTTCGCTCGAAAAGCAAACAACACGCTTGTGTGTGTGTGTTGATCTCTCTTTTCTCACTCGAATCGCAATCGGGATCGACCACACACGCATTTCACCAGCATCTCTATCTCTCTTGGCGCCAAATCTCGAGAATCGGAATCAACACAAGAGGCGCAGACACACAAATCCCAAAGCCAAGAAGACCAAGACAAACACGCTTGGATCACTTCCACCCTCACCACCATCACTCATTTCTTCTTCAACCACACTTTGGGTACCCGAGATAAATCATGCGCGAGCTCATTACATTCGCCGTCGGTCAGGCGGGTAACCAGATCTCGTCCGCTTTTTGGCAGTGTATCCTCAACGAACATGGATTGGATGGCGATGGAAGATATATTGGCGACAACGAGGCTGAACAGCTCGGTAGGGTGGGGGTCTTCTTCGAACCCAGTGGACAGGAGGGCAAGTTCGTCCCTAGGTAAGTCACTCCCCACATTCTATCCCTTATACTCTTGAGACGCGGTGTGTACTGACAACTTCTTTCTCTCCTCGCTATGTATAGATCGATCCAAGTAGATCTGGAACCAGGAACAATGGACACCATCCGTTCCGGTCCACTCGGCAAACTCTTCCGACCGGACAACTACATCAACGGCGAATCCGGTGCCGGCAACAACTTTTCCAAAGGCTATTACACCGAAGGAGCCGAACTCCTCGACCAGGTTCTTGACGTAGCTCGTAAGGAGGCGGAAAAAGCAGACATGTTGCAAGGTTTTCAACTCGTGCATTCGCTAGGTGGTGGAACTGGTTCCGGTCTGGGTACCAATCTTCTTACCAAACTGCGGGAAGAGTTTCCTGATCGAATGCTAGCAACCTGGTCGGTTTTGCCTTCGCCCAAAGTTTCGGATACGGTGGTTGAACCGTACAATGCCACATTGTCGTTCCACCAGTTGGTGGAAAATTCGGATATGACGTTTTGCTTGGATAATGAGGCGTTGTACGATATCTGTCAACGCACATTGAGGACAAAGGATCCAACTTACAGCGATTTGAACAGTATTATTTCCTTCGCTATGTCCGGTTGTTCGACTACGTTGCGATTCCCAGGACAACTTAACTCTGATCTACGCAAAATGGGCGTCAATCTAGTCCCCTTCCCCCGTCTACACTTCTTTACTACCGGATTCGCACCTCTAGTTGCCCCCGGCTCGAAAGCGTATCAATCGTTGAAGACGAGCGAGTTGATCGCACAAGGCTACGACCCGAAAAACATCATGGCAGCTATCGACCCTCGTCACGGCAAATATCTCACCGTCGCTGCCATCTTCCGTGGAAAAGTCAACGCGCGGGACGTAGAAAACGAAATGTACAACCTCCGCGAGAAAAACCCCTCGGGTTTCGTAGAATGGATCCCCAACAACGTCCTCACGTCTCTATGCGACATTGCTCCCCCGCACCTGAAGATGAGCGCAACGTTTATCGCAAATACGACTAGTATCCAGGAATTGTTCAAGAGAACGCATGATCAGTTTAGTCTGATGTTCAGAAGGAAAGCTTTCTTGCACTGGTACACAGGAGAGGGAATGGACGAGATGGAGTTTACTGAGGCAGAAAGCAACTTGATGGATCTGATTGCGGAATATCAACAGTACGAAACGGCGGGTCTGGACGAGGATGAGGTGTATGAGGGTGGCGAGTATCAAGAGGAATACGGTGCGGATGCGGGAGAGGGAGGTCAATATGAGGGTGGGGAGGAGAGTGTACAGTATGCTGATGAGCAATGATGCGAAGAAGGAGCGGCTTGTGGTTCAAGTTTCCGGTTTGTAAATTTCAAAAATAAAAATAAAATAAACAAACAAACAAGATCTCTGCTCGACGATGGTGTGATGTCAGATGGTGTGTGAGGCTAGACAGAGGTCAGGCGAAGGCTAGGGTGAGCATGAAGCTGATGATGCAAGTTGAGTTCTGTGATTTCTACGAGAGACTGTGTATGGAGTGTCCCTGGAGAATGCAAAAGACGAGAGTATCAAGTCCACTTAGGATGCGAGTAAAATATGGGATCTACCAAGTCATGCTGAGTCATTGACCTTAGAAATGCGCCTGCTGAGGTTGTTGCTACGACAGGGATGACCTGTGCGACCCGTCAATCCCTGCACTACTATTCCCCAACTTGAACGGCGAAGGCCCTGACCTAGGATGGAAAGTAATAGGCTGAGGAGGCATCGAGTAAACGATCCTTAACTCTTCGCAAGCCGTCTTGATCCTTCTCATCAACTTTGTCCTTCGTTCCCACCTAGCACCCCAATCTTGCCAGTTACCTTTATGTTCAAAGGCCACCACCAACTCGACTGCATTCTGCTGTGTGATCGAGTTAAAGTTGAGATCCAATCCACCGCCAAACTCTCGATCGTTCTCTTTCACCCAAGCGCGTAACTTGAGACGGAGCTGTTCGATCGATTCGAGTGAAGTGTCGAACGAAAGTTGGATCATGGTGACTTCCCATTGAGCGCCACTTCGTCGCGAGTTGTAGATGTACTTCTGGGTAGCCAACATCGCATTCGGTGCTACGATCTCGGCGTTGACTGTCGTTCTGAAAGTGGTGGAGAGCAATCCGAACTCTTTGACAAACATCCATTCCTCATCGATGCAGACCAAGTCTCCTACATCGTAAGGGTGAGTGGCAAAGATGAAGATCATACTTTCAAAGATGTTCTTGGCCGAGTTACCAAAGATGAAGGAGAAACCGACAACGAAGGTCGAAAGCGGTACGATGTTGGACACCGCCGAATCGCCGTTAAAGATGAGCAACCAGATGAAGACGACGATGATGAGACCGATGAACATCAACACACCATCCAGCTTGGAAATGGCAGAGGACATATCCTTGAGCGAAGTGGAAAGTGCACGTCGTTCGCGATAGATACGTTGAACGGCTTCACGCATCTCTTCCTTGCTGATATCACCGTTGCGGTCCGCATCGAATAGATTAAATGCCTCACATGCTTCTTCTTCGCTCTTGAAGTAAGGAACAAAATCTTGAGCCACCAGAGTTGACTTGTGATCGGAAAGGTTGGTGAAGAGAAGCTTGGCGAGCTTGCGTGCCGAACGCTGCGAACCGAGCTGGTTGCCCTTGTAGAGCTTGCTGTCCTTCATTGTGGCCATAGCAATGGCGTCGCTGATCTGAGAAGCAATGTTGGTCTTGCGCTCGGCCTTGCGTGTGTGGTGCTCGGAGGGGGTGTGGCTGTGGCTGTGGCTGTGGCTGTGGCTGTTCTCATGGCTGCGATGCATCGAGAAGTGGTGGTGATGACCGCCAGATGGGAGCTTCTCTTCGGACTGTGCAGCTGCGTTGGCATCGGCCTGCTGAGGAGCAGCAAAGTAGCCACCAAGACCATCTCGAGACTGCTTGGCGGCGTGCTGACTGTAAGCCAGCTTGTAGCCGGGAGAGGCAGGTCGACTGCGCATGGGGTTGAAGCGAGCACGGGCACTCTTCTGCATGAGATACTTGGATTCGTGCAGCTTGTCGAGTGCCTTGAGTGCTTTTTGGTTCTGCTCAAGACGGTCCTTAACGGCAGTTTTGTGGAAGTTGATGGCGATAAACTGCAGCGCGACCTTCTCTACGAGCAAGATGATGCTTGTCGCGAAAAGCGCGCGGATGACCATGAAGACGGTACGCCAGTAGCTTGGTCGGGTTGAAGATGAGTACTGAATGGCAAGCACACCACTGAGCGAGATCCAAGCCCAAGTGATGCATAGTACCAGCTTGACATAGAGCGTGGTGGCCATGAATGCTTCGATGTAGGTCTTGACGATCTCGGGTGCTTTGCCGTAGACAGCAATGACGAGCCGGAGCGCGACGGGAGGGAGCCAGTCAACGACAAGGAAGGTACCGCAACTGGCAGCCCAAATGATAGCAATCCAGATACTCCAGACAAGGACCTGAGCACGTGCGGGACTCTGATTATCGGTAACAGTGACGACGATGAATGGAACGAGACAGACAGCAGTACCGATCAAGGCTGCAAGGAAGATACGAACGGGACGAGCAAGACTGATGCAGGCAAGATAGATCTTTCGACCACGCTTGGCACGAGTGACTTTCTTGCTTCTGCCTTTACTCTTTCTTGCTGCATCCTCGTCTTCATCTTGGGCGTCGCTGTCGGTGTCCCAATCAAAGTCTTCGGATTCGTCGGCTGAACTAGCGATGGAGCTGGCACGGCTTGTTCTCCCATTCAAAGCTTCTGCACCGGCAAAAGGTGCCTGAGGTGGCTCAAAGGGGTCGTGATGAGTTGGAAGAGCAATCTTTGTGGGCCGATGATTACGCTCGACAAGCGTATCCTGGTTGGCAGTCCATCCGTTCTTTGTGGTGGCATTCGACGAGTCGCCGTTGCTACCACTGGCGCTGGCGTTGTCGTGGCTAGCGGTGCTGTTGTGAGGATAGAGTGGATAGCCAGCCTGGTTGGCGGGTTCGACAGCCTCATAGTAGCGAGGGTCACTGGCGCGATGGTGATGAAGGATGTGAGCAGGAGGAGGAGGAGGACCTGCGACGGATTCGTCGGATGTTCTGGCTGGGATGGGTTGTGGATGATGACGAGGTGTTTGAATGTCGCTCAATGGGATATCGGCCAGGTCATCGACATCCGCCGTCTTGTATGGAAGCGAGGTCATGGTGTGCTGATGGCTGGAATGAGCTGGAACGGGAAAGCCGATGAATGTTTAAAGTTGTGCGTTGTGAGAGATGGCGTGGGAATCCAACCAACGCTCTAGATCAGCTAGAGCGGCGCCGTGATGTGGTCTATGGTCGGATGAGCCGCGTTAAAAATGAATCTCTATCGAACAAAAGAGATCGGATGTGGACCGATGAGTGATAGTTGCCTGTGTTCTATGGAAGTGTGATGCCTATCGTCGAGGTAGCTTTTCCTACTTTGCAGAAGCAGATGATGCGCCCTTGACGGGATCGTTCCGATGAACTGATGGCAACACCGAAAATCGATCTTGATGGTTGGCAAGAACCCCTTTTTGCTGTGTTGCTGTGTTGCCCGCCAAAAAGAGTGAGTGATTGGCTCGCTTTCGCGGTGTTGAAGAAAGCTGTTTCCTTGTGCTCTGCTGTGCGTGCGTAGCAGTGAAGCAGCCAAGCGTTGTTCAGTGTGATTGATTGCAAAGAGGTTGCTGTTGGCAAAATTCAAAAAATATAAAAATATAAAAAAAATATAAAAAAAAATATATATAAAAAAGCAAAATCAACCCATCATGTGCACACACACACACACACACACACATGTGATTTTAGAGCGAAGGGTCAAGACGAGCGGAAAAAGGGATAGAGAAGCTCGCATGATCACAGCCCCCTTTTTTCTCTTTCTGTCTCGATGAGGCACATGCGATCAAGGCGGATCAGTGTTACAGTAGCCACCTTGCTTCTTTGGAGAGAGGCTTGGAAGTCGGCGCTCTTCCGAAGCGGTGGAAAGTAGTCGAAGCTTGTTGAAAATCAAAGTTGTCAAGCGACTCGTCCGCAGTGTGCTGTGCTTGTGCATAATGAGAAGAGTGAGTGAAGCATCAGGGGTTTGCAGCACAGCATGGCTCTAGCAAGATTTCAACATTCATCCTTGGCACGGAAGCCTCAGCCAAACTTGGTGCTCATCGAGAGGACTTGAGAACGCTGGCAAAGAAAAGTTCAGAATGCAGCTTCGGCGTCTTTGAAGGGTTGAATTGATACATGTCAATGTTGAAGATTACGATCCAGTGCGACGCTAAAGGATGACGCGGAGCCGATCTGATCGGAGATCAGGCAGAGCCGATCCGGTTAGATGACTGATCTGATCAGAGATCGAGCTGAGCCGATCTCACCAGGGATCGGGTGCAACACAGTCCCGCTCGTTGCCATGGTAGATCATTAAGTAGGAGTACTGCCACCTTTGGTAGTTGCCATGCTAATGTATATATAACAAGCCGAGAGCACTAGGCTCTCGCCACATTCCTTTAGTCAATTGAGTATACATGTTTCTGTCTTTTAGCAGCAGTGACATCGTACTTAGACTCTCCCCGATCGCCAGTATCGGGACCAAAACGTCTTCACTTTTCAACAGTCAAAGGTGTCTTGCTCGTAAAATCACCGACAAGCTCTCACACGGCCGGATCGGAGTAGAGCTTTTAAATTGTGAGATCGGTGGATGCTCAATGACGTCAGCGCTGGACGTCAAAAGCTCATGATCAACCAAATGCCGTCGAAGGATGATGTCGCTTTGAAAGCCAGAGCGGGCGTGTATGTAGAGCAAAGCTGAGAACGAAGGATACGGTGGTCGGAATGACGATTTTGGGGTGCGCTCTGTTGCACACCTCGTCATCTGCCCACGGTCGTCATCTGCCCATGGTCGTCATCTGCCCATGGTCTTGGCTAGGCTAACTTGGAAGAAGTGCTTCGGGGCATCGAATCGAGTGACGCCAAGAGCTCGGCATTGGCCGCCTTGCCAAATGCGAAAAGTGTAGCTGATCAGCCTCGGATCGCCGCTGTGCTTCCGGTGGTGGTGGCATCGATCGCTGTGCAGGAATTGCGGGTAAAGGTGCTTTCTTGCAAGAATCTTGATAGGTGGAGCTTGCCGGAATCCGAAACGTCGTAAGAAGTCGACATCCGAGCTTTGTCGGGCTTCCCCCCGTCTGCCCCTCGGCGGCGATTTCAAATGACCGCCTCGTCACGGTGCAAGCTGAAGCAACCAGCGGAAAGACAGCAGAAAGGGTGATGTGATGATGCAGCGGATGCCGAGGATTGGAGCTCTACATTCCACTGAGCCTCGACAGAAGCATGTTCCTGAGTGAGAAGCAGCAAGAGATGATTGGCTCTGTGTCGAGAAACAGGAGGCCCCCCCACTTGGACAGACACAGGAGGCAGTCGGCTTTTCCTATTTCCCCCTTACCTAGAAAAATACAGTAATTGCCGCACTCTCTCTTTCTCTCTCGCTTGGCTCCATTAGGTTCGCCGTAAAATTGATTTCTCTTTCTTGCTCCCTCCTCCTCATCGACATTGACAGCAGCATCAGCAAGCAGCTCAGTGGTCTCTGCTCCCTCTTTGCACGCACCTCGACTTTCATGCACCACACTCACCGCACAGCTGTGCTTCGACACCTTGACCTCCTCACTACGACAGATCTCTTGGACTAGAGGATTTACAGGCGCACACCACCATCACGAGCACTTTTTCGTCTTGGTAGCTCCTCGCGCCTCTTGGCAACTCTCACTCGCAACAGCGCAAACTCCGCAAACTGCGGTATAGGTGCCTTTGTCTATCCTGGAGGAATCGCCTGCACGCACATTTTCATGTCGAGCCGCTGAAACAGCACTTTTCAACCTTGCGACCAACTCGCATTTTCCTCGTCATCCTCTCTCACTCGGATTCAGGCTAAACTCAATAGACAGCTCCATCTGGCAATCCGACCAGAGACACTTCTCGACCTGAGACACTTCTACACGACCCTACTTTGAGAGGCAAAACGGATTATACACGCATCACTTCCACCACCGCTTTGCAACCTTTTTCTAGCACAACAAGATGGGTCGCAAGAAGATCAAGATCCAGCCCATCAAGGAGGATCGCAACCGATCCGTCACTTACCTCAAGCGCAAAGCCGGCCTCTTCAAGAAAGCGCACGAGCTGGCTGTCTTGACCGACTCGCAAGTCGCAGTCATCGTCTTTGGCCACAATGGCAAACTCGCCGAGTTCTGCTCTACCGACATTGATCTCCTTCTGTTGCGCTACACTGAATACGAAGGCCCGGCAGAACGAAAAGGACCGCAGCATTACTTGCACCTTGACAAGGATTCCGACGATAACGACGGCGACAACGGCGACAACGGCGACAACGGCGACAACGGCGACAACGACACTGCCAGCCGTGATGGGCCAGACGATGATTTTCATTTCGGCGGTCACAGTGGTGCCAATGGCCGAGGTCCCAGCGCAAGTGGAGCCAATGGCAGCCACGCTAGAAGAGTGACTGGCGTTAAGCGCAAAGCTGAACCTCTTTCCCCACAGCGCAACAACCGCACACTTGGCTCGAATCGCATGCTTGCAGCACAAGATCTGGGCGCATTTGATGTCGCACCCTCAGCCAAGCAAACTGTCAATGCAGCCATCCGACACAAGAGCCAGGTTCGTTCGGGAGGTAACATGGCTGCAGCATCGAGCCAGTTGGCCTCGCAGGGCATGTTTGATCCACTCTCATTCGGTCAGCCTTGGATGCCTGCGGCAGGTGGAATGCAGCACAACATCGTTGGCGGTGCTATGGGCGGCATGGGCCCATCCATGTCTTCTTCATCCGGCTACTTTGGTGCAGGCAGTAGTATGCCCGGTCAAGCTCAAGCAGGTTCCTCTTCCTTCAACCCGACTAGAGCACAGTCGATTGCTAACATGTCCATCCCGATGCCTTCCAACGACCGACTGCCCATCTTTGTCTCTCCCACCACCCCTGGCTTTGGATTGACGCCCGGTGGAACCGTGACGACGCCTGGCGGACGACGGTTCAGCTTTTCCGATGTAATGACCCGTGGATCAGACGGATCGATGCTGCAACGACCCGTGACGGCCAACTCGTTCTTGACGCCCAGCTTTTTCAATAACGAGGTGTTTGGCATGTCTGCAACTCCACCCGCGGTCGCAGGTGAAATCAGCTCAATCTCGCCGAGTGTCACCCCGCAGCCTCCACCGCAAGGCGCGACCATGGACCGTCAGGCAACTCTGCAGCCGGCTGGAGGCAACGCTTCTTCTGCGCTAGAAACATCTCCAACGCCTTTACCTGATCCTCGCCAAAGTGCACAGCTCATGTCACGGCCAGCTTCAACCGGTGTAGCACCGACATACAACGAAGCAAGGTATACAGCAGCACCGAGTGCATCGCTTGCGTCAAGCTCGACCCTAGCATCACCAGCGCATATCACTCGGCCCTTGACAGCGTTGGCGAATCTGGAGGCACCAGCATCGGCTACACATCTGGTCCCACCGGCTGCAGGATTTCCTGGACCATTAGGAGGCCCAGAACTGCATGCTAGCTCAGCTTCACCGATGCCTCCTCACGTATCATCAATTCAAGCTGTACCCAACGCTTCGTTCACCGCAAGCTCGTACCCCTCTGCCGCTGCTGATCTCAAAGCCTCATCAACACCACTCAGCTCTGCAACACCGGAATTGATACAGAATCGTGTCAAGGCAGCTTCTGTATCACATCCAGGTCCAGGTGCCAGCGCCTCAAGATCATCCATATCAACCGACGAGGAAACACCACCTGGCAACAACTTCGTCCCCGATAGCACCAGCGGCAGCAGTGACAAGCTAGACCCCAACACAGCATGGCTTGGCATGGCTCAAACGGCCCGAGACGCAAAAACTGGCCAAGCATCGCTCATACAACCAGTAGCCATCAACGCAGCGCAAACAATAGCATCTGTACCCTTCGATCTGAGCTTTGCCAACACTGGAACATGAACATCATTCACCACTCAAAACTGTATTTTTATTGGACCTCCCAGCATCCACCTCCCGCGCTCCGTTAAAGCAGCTTTTCCTCACAACCATACACGTATCTCCCGTGACGAAAGCTGTCTTCCATCCTGAGGGTCGACAAACAAAGCTATTCTTCTTCCTTCCACTTTTGTTTGGAAGCACTTTTTGACTAAGCTGTACTATTAGAATCTCTGGATTTCGGATTCGGTTGCTATAATACTACTAGATTCTTCACCATCTCTATGTTTCTTTTGCGCCATGTGAGAGAGAGAGAGAGAGAGAGAGAGAGTGTGTGTGTGTGTGTGTGTGTGTGTGTGTGTGTGTGTGTGTGTGTGACGTGGTGTGGCGTTGGTGGGTGGGGGTGTGGTGGTGGAGGATTTGGTCAAGTCAAGTGGAGCAAACAGAGACAAGCGAGAATCAAGTTTTCGGATCGCGATGAGCTGCATGAGGAATCGGAAATTGGAAGCTTGGAACGCGCGCACGGGCTCAGAGCGCGTGTTGGCTTGTGCTCCAGCTCAGCTGCTTGCTTCTGTCCTTCGTTCTCGTTACAACCACCTTCCATCGCAGCAAAAGAAGCAAGAGCTCTACGACAAAGATCAGTCCGCATTCACTCGGTCAAGTCAGGCTGGTGGATAGGGGTGTGAAGAAAGCTGATACGTTCGGCGAGGTCAACCTTCCTGCCTTGGATCGTTTCTGTTGCAGCGACAGCGACTTCTGCACAGCATACGGCCTTTTTACGTCCATCTCTTTCGACTGACGACCAACGCAACCGCATTCAAGAGCCATCTGTGCTCAAGGCTCACCGATCGCTACCTTCATTCCCAAAGGCACTCGCTCTACGCATCACTACCACCACCCCATCCACAAAGTAGCTTTGTATCGAGGGAGCAACCTTGCGCTTGCCCCCTTTCGATCGACCATCATGGCGTCCCAACCTCGTCGCAGTCGCAGCACGATTCAGCGGCTGTGGCTGCTCCCCTTTCTCCTCTCTCTTCTCCTCGCCATATTTCTCTTACCATCTGGCACTTTTGCTGCCTCCCCCTCCGTTTCCATATCTCGTTTCCCCCACCTCCCATCAAAAATAACCTACTTCCCCGACTCGCCCGTATGTCTCTACCACGACGCTACCACCCTTACCGTCCATATCTCTCTCGATGAGGGCAAATCCTTCACTCCTATTTCCTCCCCTTCATCGCACGGAAAAGCCTCTATCCTAGTCCCACACCCCTACGACCCCAAAACAGCATTCATCCTCTCCCGCGAGACAACTCACTGGCGAACCTCTGACCGAGGTAAAACTTGGCAAGAATTCCTAACCCCCCATCCACCAGCTACCCGTGCCGGGGCGCCCATGGAGTTTCACGCAGACCCCAAGCATTGGGACTGGGTGATTTTCACCGGTAAAAAATGCTCAATGTGGACGCCTTGGGGAGGGAGAATTTGTCATGATGAAGCGTATTATACCAAAGATGGATTTGCGACCAATCCGGATAGACTTTTGGAGTTTGTTATGCATTGCAATTGGGCCAAAGCTACGCCGGAGATGGAAACCGCTCCTGAGGCGATGGAACGGATCTTCTGCATTGCTTGGGAGGATGCGAGGGAGGAAAGAAGGAGCGTTTTAGTGAGCAAGTGGGGAAAGAGGGATGGAGGACCAGCAAGTGGGGCAACCCGTTTATTCCAAAGTGATGATTTCTTCAAGAGCAAGAAGATGGTGGAATTGGATATGGGAAGAAACGCAAAGCAGTTTGCTGGGTTGGGTCCCTCCAAGCGGTTCCTAGTAACGGCGCTGAGAGATTCTCAGGGATCTAGCTCGAAAGCTGGAACAGAAATGGCATTGTTCGTCACTCGAGACGGGGTGAAATGGGACAAAGCCAAATTCCCACACGGTTCGGAGCTAAGGGAGAATGCGTATACGGTAGTCGACTCAACAGACCATTCAATTATGATCGATGTCGTGGATTCAATTTACGATAACACCGGTGTCCTTTTCACCAGCGACAGTACCGGAACTCAATTCGTCGAGAGTCTCCGCGGAACCAGACGCACACCGACCGGGTTGGTGGACTTCGAACACTTGGTCAAGATTGATGGTGTTGGGATTGCCAATACGCAAGACAACGATGGGGAAGGGCAAGTAAGGACTGTGATTACTTTTGATGATGGCAGTAGCTGGCATACTATCCCCCCTCCCACCGTTGATAGTGAAGGGAAGAAGATCGATTGTGATCCCAAAGATACCAAAAACTGCGCTCTTCACCTCTGGTCAGTGAGTGGCAAGACTAATGTTGGAAAACTCTTCTCTTCCATCGCTCCAGGTTTCGTTATGGGCGTAGGAACAGTGGGTAAAGGGCTAAAGAACTATGATGAATGCGACACGTTCCTAAGCGTGGATGCGGGCAGAACGTGGAGAATGGTCAGTAAAGATGCGCATAAGTTTGAATTCGGCGATCAAGGCTCAGTGCTGGTCATTGTCGATGATGAAGATGTGACCGATCACGTCTCGTATTCTTCTGATTTCGGGAAAAGTTGGCAGAAGCTGAACCTCGACTTAAAGATTCGTGCCAAGGTACTAACCACCATCCCCGACAGCACCTCCCTGAAGTTCCTCTTGGTGGGAAGCCAAACCCGAACCCAAGCGGGGGGTAAAGATAGGAATGTAGCCATCTTTTTGGATTTCGCAACCATGAAAAAGCGCAAGTGTGGAGAAGGGGATATGGAGAAATGGTATGCTCAAGCGAAAGAAGAAGGAAGTTGTCTCATGGGGCATAAGCAATGGTATAAGCGGAGAAAGGCAGATGCGGATTGTTTTGTGATGGATAAATTCCATGATCCTGAAGGCAAGGAGGATGTTTGTGCTTGTAGGGACGAGGATTACGAGTGCGATTTTGGATTCGCGCGTGATTCTAAAGGCGAATGCGTACCGACAGGGAACGAGCATATTCCGGAAGGTGCTTGTGTGGATCCTAACGATACGTATCTCGCTTCGTCCGGCTATAGAAAGGTTCCCGGAAACACATGCGATCCTAGCAAAGGAGTAAGGAAAGACGAAAAGACAAGCAAGTCTTGCAGCGGGAAAAACTTGCCTCAAGCAGGAAAAATCCTGCATAAAAGCTTCACCTTCCCAAGTACGGTCGCAGATAAGATGTACTTCCCCGACTCATCCAGCGTCCTTGTCCAACTCGCAGACGGCACGGCGTGGCATTCGCTAAACGACGGGTATTCTTGGAAACAGCTCGTCTCTGACGGAGCCCCCTCATCTCCCGAAGATCGATTCCTAACAATGGCGCTGCACGCATACGACAATAAGCGAGGCTACCTCGTCACCGCCGGCCAGAGAGTGTATTACACAACGAACCAAGGTGCGAGTTGGGAATGGTTCACCGCACCGCTTCCTGCGAATGGCTTAGGGGCTGCCATTCTAGATTTTCATCCCGATAAGTCGGATTGGTTGATATGGACAGGGAGCAGGGATTGCACTTTTAGCATCGGCAAGGATTGTCATGCGGAAGCGTGGTACTCTGACAGCAACGGGAGAAAGTGGGAGAAAGTGGAGACGTATGTTAGGACGTGCTCTTGGGGGAGGGATAAGAAGTTAAAGATGGATCCAAGGACGATCTTTTGCGAGAGCTACACGGATAAACAGGGGAATCAGAGGGAGTTCACCGCTTCGAATCGGCTGCAGTTGATAAGAGGCGACGAATTCTATCGAAAGAAAACGAGGGTGTTTGATGCGATCGTAGGATTTGCTGTTTTCCAACAGTACCTGGTAGTAGCAGAATATGTAACTTCAGGTACCTCACCCAGTCTTCGCCTGCAGGTCTCTTTGAACGGACGAGACTTTGCTGAAATCCACTTCCCACCCGGCATGGAGCTAGGCACACGCGCATATACCGTCCTCGACTCGGTGACAGATGCGATCTTCTTACATTTCACAACGCACTCCGAAACAGGGTCGGAATGGGGAACTCTGCTCAAATCGAACTCGAACGGAACGTTTTACGCCCAATCGCTCGACTTCGTGAATAGGAACGAAAAAGGTTTTGTCGATTTCGAAAAGATGCTCGGTCTCGATGGTGTCGCCATTGTCAATGTGGTAAACAATCCGGACGATGCCAGTGTTTCGAGGCACAAAGATCTGGTGACGAGGATAACGCATAATGACGGAGGGAGGTGGAAAGCTTTGGTTCCTCCAGCTAGGGATGTTTATGGTCAGCCATACGAGTGTAACCAGGTAGGATGTGATTTGCATTTGCACGGCTTTACCGAGAGAGATGACCCGAAGGATACGTACAGCAGTCCGTCGGCGGTGGGGTTGATGATGGGAGTGGGTAATGTGGGCAGGAAGCTAGCACCGTATAGGGACTCGGATACGTTTTTGACGCGAGATGGGGGTTTTACGTGGGAGGAAGTGCACAAAGATGCTCATAAGTGGGAATTCGGTGATCAAGGGTCGATTATTGTTCTTGTCAATGACGAGCAGGCGACCGACACGGTGCTGTACTCTCTTAACGAGGGTGTGACATGGGAGAGCTATAGCTTTGGAGAAAAGATGCGCATCTCACAAATCCTCACGGTGCCGGAAGACACCCATCGACGATTCATCCTTCTCGGCATACCTTCTGGATCAGCAACAAAGACGGTTGCGATCTACCTCGATTTCTCAGCTCTCGAATCGCGCAAATGCGTGCTCGACTCAGCTCATCCCGAAAAAGACGACTTCGAACTCTGGTCTCCTTCCGAAGAACGCGCTGAACAGTGTCTCTTCGGTCGTCAAACTTACTATTACAGACGCAAACGTAGAGCGGACTGTTATGTCGGGGAGAAAATCATCCAGCCTCATTCGGTGACTCGAAACTGCGCCTGCACGGAAGCTGACTTTGAATGCGAATTCAACCACTACCGCGATGCTACGGGTAAATGCGTGCTCTACCCTGGAGTTTCACCCCTATCCACCGACGAAGCGGGACAATGTTGGGCGGCGGACAATGATGGATACTGGTACGAAAGAACCAATGTTCGCAAGATCCCCTACTCGACCTGCACAGGCGGAGTGAGGCCGGATAGGGGCACAAAGCATGTTTGTCCGAACAACCTCGCTGGGCACGGCTTGTTTTGGTGGGCTTCGCTGATTTTGTGCCCCTTCGGTCTAGCGGGTCTGGTCGGGTACTGGTGGGTTCAGAAAGCGAATCGCACCGGAACACTGGGGACAGGTAGGATTCGGTTGCCGGATAGCTCGAATAGGTTGTATCGTGCGGATTCGGAAGTGGCACAGAATCTGGCGAGCGTGCCGAGGTTCGTGCTGGGTCTGGCAAGTGCAGCGTTTGCAAGGGTGAGCGAGGTAGCGGGCGAGCTGCCGTTCCTGAGAGGGAGGCTGGGAAGGTCACGTGGAAGCTATGGTGGCTATAGACAGGTTTATGCGGACGAAGATGCCAGTATGTTGCCTGATTTTGAGGAGGAGGAGTTGGATAGGTGATTCGATTCCAGCAGAGGAGTGAGAATCCGCTCTTACACGCACAGCAGCATGAGTATACGCCTGTCAACTACCACCAAGATGGCGTGTGTAGCACAAATGAACTGAACAATCGAATCTATCGATGTTTCCATCAGGTTCTCGCATGAGCCGGAGCCCGTTTGGCTTCTTGATCCGTATGGGCTGCCTCTTCCAGATCTGTCTGTTTGTGCAACGATTCACGTGCAACGACGCGAGCTGAACTTCGAGCTTCCATTGTACTCGACCTGATATTGCCGACGGAATGCTTTTCGAGCAGACTTGATCAAGCATCAAGCGTCGCAAGATAGTCAACTTCTGTGCGCCACACTCAGAAGGGACAGTGGCTAAAGCCTTGACCAAATCTTGCACGCTCTTTGCGCTTCTCTGCCCTGCGCCGAGATCGCCTAATCGAACCGTCGGAACTCAATGTGACTCATCTGACAGCCTTTTTCTATGCATGCGATTGTGTGGGAAAGATCAAAGTCGCTACATCAGTTTGAACCGCTTCGACTTTGATTGCAAGATGAGTTGAACCGCAGCCCGAGATTCTATGACAAGGGGACAACAGCCAGATGTCAGAGCAGAAGAAGGAAGAAAGGAGAGGGCAGATGACCTAGCAGATCACGGACAGCTCGTAGCGTCGATGACTGGCACGAAGCTCTGTCATCCAGGCAATCTGATCAGGCGAGATAAAGCCATGATTCTCTCCTGACCACGTTCGAACTTGGTGAGTGGTTTAATAGAGACCTGCATAGGTTGGCTTGTCATGCCAGGATTATCCACCAATACTTTGTATGCAACTCTGCGTCCATGATCTGTCATTTTGTATACGCGGAAGCGTCCGTGTTGCTGCAGTGCCGCCACCATTTCATTTATCGGAGCGTCAGATTTAAACCGCGGATAGTCTCGCAGTGGAATACGCGACTTCAGTCTGTCGTTGGAATTATCATTGAGTTGGATAGGCTTGCCCCAGATTATAGATGCGATTTCTTGGCCGTATTTCTGCTTGGCGGCCAGATAGTGGCCACGAGCCATGTAAAGTTCTTGCTCCTTAACTTCTTCAAACATCTCGTCTGTGTTGGGTTTGAAGACTATGGGTAGCTTTTCGTTTTCGAAGTAGTAAACTTCATGCGGGGGGATGCGGGTGGCAGTGAACAATTGGCCGATATTTTCAGAGTCTTGGCTGAGGATGGGCTTTCCATTGAAATGTGGTAGGTGTTCGATGTTTTCCGGAGGAGGCTGCATGGAAAGTTGAGATCGGAACAAATTCCGAACATGATGCAGAATAGGATCAAGTTCGAAGAGCCGAACCACCTTCTGTCTATCTGGAAACTCTATTTGTTCGATGCGATTTCCGGATTTGTCCACGACCAATTGGAACAGTCTCGCATTGTTATTGGAGACATCGACAATTCCAACAAATTTAAAGTCTTTGATGGCCTGTTGGACCGTTCCAATGGGAGTGTCAATGGAGTACAAGGGAGCTCTTACTTGAGATTGTTCGTCATGGCTACTGTGGTCCAAGAAAAGTTTTCCGTGATAAAAGGGGACTTTTTCATAAATATCGTGTGTCCCTTGGGGGAACCGGCTGAGATCGTTCAAACTATTGATGGTTTCGACATTGAGGTTTTTCTGGTATTCTTTGAGACGATATTGGGGTCTAGTCGAGGTACTCGCCTCGTCGCCAACGGCAGTGATGCAGCTTGGAAGCAGGATGAGCGCAGTGACGATAGCTGCGACAAAGCCGATTCGGAACATGCCGGATAGCTTCATTGCGATCATATTCCCTTGCGACCTCGATGGGAAGAGATAGAAGATTTGAGTGGTGAAGGAAAGCTTCGAAAAGAGGAGTGAGAGGAAGTGTGAATGTCTATTATATGTACTCTATTGGAAGCTGTGAGAACCGACTCTAGGCGGGGGTTCGGCTCAAGGAGGCAAAGTAACAACCAGACAAGCCTCCTTCTTGGTTCCCAAACTGTCGAGCAATAGGGATCGTTGACCCACCTTCATCTAAAGCACCCATGACGAGCCTGCGAACGTCGACTTTACCTCGGTGCCCACGCAGTTGGTGGAAACAAGATACCTCATCTTACTGCTCAATGAATTTGCATCGCCCACGCAGTTGGTGGAGACAAGATACCTCATCTTACTGCTCAATGAATTTGCATCGCCCACGCAGTTGGTGGAAACAAGATACCTCATCTTGCTGCTCAGTGAATTTGCATCGCGCCGGCGACGGCTGGCCAGAGGAATGTGATGTCCAAGTCGATAACGTGCACAAGGAAGGCACTTAGGCTGCCACTGAGGTGAGGGTCGTTTGTGCTAGTGCAGCGCAGAGACATGTACACCGCCCACGCTTGGGCAAACTGCGAACGTCGGGAAGTAGGCGGAGGAAAGTTTTGGAGGAGGAGGCGACGGCGACAGGCCCCTCACCGTCAACCGCACCCAACTGTCATCAACACCTCGGTCACCGCCAACACAGCTCCCACTCGATTGGACGAACAGGCCGACACAATCTCCCAACTGGCCGTGTCGATTTCTGAACTCCATCACCTCGTTCTGGCCCTGCGACACGACCTCTGCACATCTAACCCACCACCGACCACCGTTCCCTCTTCGTCGCCACCTGCACCTGCCCCACCCACCGCCCCGACTCCCACAGCGGCGCTAGCCCTCCGGTGAGTTGCAACTCCGACGACTCTTCCCGTGGATCTCCAAGCAAGTGGCCCGGATCCACCGGGTTCAACCGAGACACCGATAAAGCGAAGTCGTGGATGAGCGAGCGGTATGCATATGGAATGCATAAGGTTGCCATAGCAACGACTCGGGAGTAATGCAGAAGGCAACAACTTAGGGGTACTACAGGAAGTGACTCATATCATCCTAACATGTTCGGAGACGGTACTAAACAAGGGAAGGTATATATTGTTGGAAAATTTAACTCGCATCGACACTTATCGGGAGATATCAGTCCAAGTACGGTGTTGAAGCTTTTGAACTAAAACACTATACTATATTGACATAAGGGAAGAACGTAGCGGTAGCCTCAAGCTCTCCGCTTATTAGCTATATGCATTGTGGTTTGTGACTGTCTGTGTGAACATCCCACCTAATGACCATGTATGAAAACGGATGGGTCCCAGCGGCCCTCGATCTCCATCGTGTGGGCCCGCCCGATCTCCGATCAGATCGACTCTCCCCGATCAGTCGTCAGATCGCGCTCTGCTGGATCGTTATCTCCAGCATATATATGCTCACATAGTCACAACTCATCATAGAAATGTCACAACGTGTGTCTCATACGCCTGTGGTAAGGGAGCCTGATCGTGGCTCCAAGACAGTGCATTACATCTTGTTATCTTCAATTATCGCCCTTGACGACGCGTGAAAATTGTTGGAAAAGTAGGCCGAGAAATTGAGGTGAAAAACAAATAAAAAACAAGAATGTAAAATTGCCTAACTTGACTGAGCGTTGATCACGTGCCCCTTGGCTCACCGTTGAAAATTGCGCATCTATCCATTCGCACGATAATTTTCCTTTTGCTTGGCGAGAAGAAATGGAAAGCTCGCGTCGCGTTCGCGTCTTGTTGCTAAAAATACCCTGATCCACATTTACCGGATGCAGCGGACATGTAAAGCAAGCTTCGCTGTCGTTCGGATGATGTAGCGAGTCTGTACATGTATGGATTTTGGCGAGTTGAAACCGAGGGAAGGGCAGACCCAAGAAAGCCAAATCGTCGAAAGAAGGAGCTTTCAAAACAATGCAAGAGATCTGTGGCTGCGACAAGCGGCTGTGTCGATTGAGTCGGGCCAAGGAGGGGAATATGAGGAAGGCAGGAGCAGGGATGGTGTGAAGAGAAGCTGTCAGAGAGGCCAAGACTGAAGCGGGGGATGGTGTGGAAATGGACGGCGACATCATTGTGCATATCGCTCCATGCTTTTATTCAAGCCTGGTCGAGAATGAGACAGTGACGGGTGACAAGCCGAAATGATGAGCTCAGAGGTGGCAAGCCCAAGCAAGTAAGTAGACTTTCGGTGCTGGCTCGCAGATTGCAGCGGCGACCAAAGTGGTGGATGACGGGAGGTGTCCAAAAGCGAAAGGGTGAGAGTCTCAGATTGAGAAGCCAAAGAGGGTGGAGCGTTGTGGTTCCAGTGGAATGGTCGATCATGTCGCTTATCCTGTGTGAGCCGAAGCGTTACAGCGTGCAAGGTTGGCAGTCAGGGTAACATGGTATCGGCCAAGCCAAATAAGAGAAGAGGTGTCGAATGAACCCTGTGGCTGCCATCGTCATCGCACGTCATGCAGCGGCGAACCAAACACAATATGCTGTCTCTGCTTGCAGAGTTGGTGGTGGCGGAAGAGAAAGACAAGCCCTTTCTGCGACGCTGGAGAAAGGAAAAGACAGAGCCAAGAGGCCAAGCTAGCACGCCAAGGGAAGAGAAGACAGTTTTTGTGATGGATGGATGATGTTCTGCTGTGTGTGTCTAACCCCCCAAAGCGTCGATTTTTGATTTTTTAATTTTTTTTTTAATTTTTTTTTTTTTTTTGGTTGGTATCCACCATCTCATGCCTCCACTTTCTCTCTCCGAAACACATCAGTCACAGTCACAGCACCATTGCATAGGTCACACGCTCTTGCTCCATTTCACAAGGCCACGCCAACACCTTCCAGGTGCGCTGTTGTGCTGCTGGTGCTGCTCGGTGCTGTTGGTGATGCGGCAGTGTGACAGAAAGTGACAGTGAATGGGCCAAGCTTCCCTGCCTGCCAGAGAATCAACATGAAAATGACGTTTCCCTTTGGCTGCTGATGATGCAACAGTGCAGCGACACAGTCCACACACCGGCCATGTGCCCTAAAGTCCAGTCCTGTCTCTGTTGCCATCCGCTCAAATCTACTTCTTCTTCCTGCCGCTCGCCCAGTGCCTGCAGAGTGATTGATTCCATTTCCGTCCGACAGGCAAGCTGACTGAACCTTTTTGTCAGCCTCTCCGTTTGCCTCATTTGGCTCAGACAGTATATAGATCTCAACCCTATCCTTCACAGTCGAGCTCTCCTCCTCCTCAACTACCACTCATACCAGTTTTCATTGATACCACTTTCGCAGATACCCTACCACTATCTGTCTCAACTACCACACTACTACTCCTACCACCAAATCTATCGCACACCTGTCTTGGTTCACTGCGATATTCCAACTCAACATACTCACACAGAATCTAGCATAATCTCTGATCGATTGTCTGTTGATCCGATTCTGCTTGCATCTTTCCAACCACGCAAACTCATCTTCTTCCCACCTCCACCACCTCGGTACATTCGCAACCATGTCGACTGTTCCTAAAGCCGTCAGCCAGGTTTCTGAAAACCCAGGCAAGAACGCCGTCGTTCACGCTGTTGATCCCAATCAGAAGGCTGCCGACGTTGACCGTCAGATGCGCTTCTTCGGTATCATCCAGGCTTTCCGTGAGGGTCGATTCCCTGACAACCAGCAGATTGACGACACTCTTAAGTACACCCTCGCCAACAGCCCTGTCGACACCGACAGGCTCTCGCCCGACGGCAAGAAGCTCATCCAGGACATTCGCGAGCTCATCGAGACTGCCCGTCAGGTCGTTTTGAACAAGAACGGCGGCGAGGAGTTCCAAAACTTCCTCTACGCCACTCGCAAGACCAACGTGGCCGCCAACCTCAATGTCAACGCTCCCATCGCCGCCGCCGACGTCAAGAAGGATGGTGAGACTGCTGGTGAGGCTTTCCGCACCCTTCTCACCCTCTTCCTCCGCAACGGTGAGCTCCGCAAAATCATCCAGGACCTTGGTTACATCGGACGCGACATGTTTGCCGACGGTGCTGCTAAGGCCGCCGAGGTCGCTCGCCCTGAGGACGGAAAGCTTCAGAGGGTCGACCAGCCCACTCCTGATAACGAGTTCCACGACGACATCCCCGACCTTTTCAAGAAGAAGGAGGAGACCAAGGCTCATGCTCAGGAGAAGGCTGAGCAGGCCAAGGCCCAGGGTTCTTCTCACGCCCGGGACCTCCAGAACTCTGTTGAACCTAACGCTAGCAAAGAGGAGAACCAGGCTGCCGTTGCTGAGCAGGCCAAGAACAAGGCTCAGCTCTTCGCTGACAAGATCCCCCAGAAGCACAAGGATCTCGCCAAGGAGCACAAGGACAAGGCTCAGGGCTACCTCAAGGACAAATTCCCTCAGGAGCGTCGTGACCAGTTCTACTACCGTCTCAAGAAAGTCGTTGTCGAGTGCCAGCGTCACAGGGACTACCAAGACGCCATGGACTACTTCCTCACCTTTTTCGAGCAGTACAAGGGCCACGCCTCGCACGTCGCTACCCAGTCTACCCAGGCTGCTAAAAACGTTCGCTCGGACGGCAACGTCGCCACCGCCGAGACATCGTTCCGTCGGCTCATTGAGCGCTTCGCCAACGGTGCTCCCACCCAGCCCATCATTGACGCTGTTGACCAGCTCTACACTGATGCCCAGAACGACCCCGAGCTCAGGCAGTGGTTCCAGCGTCTCAACACCTACATCCGCAAGTGTCTCCAAGAGCCTGGTTTCATCATGAAGGATGAAGCCAACACTGAGGCTCGTCAGATCACCGAGTCCGGCAAGAAGTTCTTCGTTGCTGCTGATGGCCGTCCTCAGGGCAAGTACGTTCCCCACAAGGATGCTCTCTTCCAGGAGATCACCCACTTTGCCAAGTCGATGGGCACCGACCCTCTCAACAAGAAGCTCGGTGACAACATCCAGCAGATTGTCAAGGACCTCTTCCTCAACTCGGAAGGTGGTCTTACCTTCAAGCCTCACCTCTGGAGCGACATTCGTGATCCCATCCTCCCCGAATTACTCAGCCACGTCGGTCTCGTTCCTTTGCCCCGTATCGAGTACACCGACAAGCAGGTCGACTTGGTCATCGAGAACCTCGCCATCGACTTGCTCAACATCTTGCCCTCGCAGACCGAGATGGACGTTCGCAACCACTTTAAGCTCTCGCAGTTTGACAAGCTTGGCGACCGCCACCAGCACTCGTTCAAGCTCACCTTGCACCAAATCCAGACCGACATGCGCGACGTCCATTTCTTCTTCAACAAGAAGCTTGGCTTCCCCAAGCTCAAGGAGCGCGGTACCGCCGACATCTTCCTCGGTGGTAAGGGTCTCACTGTCACCGTTCACCTCGAGGCTGAGAATGCTCCTCGCGGCAAGAAGAGCCGCCACATCTTCACCGTCAAGCAGGTCGTTGCCAAGGTTGACAAGCTCAAGTTTGCCATCCGCGACAGCAAGCACGACACGCTCATCAAGGTGATCAAGCCCCTCGCCACCGGTATCATTAAAAAACAGATCTCCAAGGCTGCCGAGCAGGGTATCCGTGATGGTCTCGAGGACCTCGACCGTCAGCTCGTTGAGCTCCGTGACCGCATCGAGCGCAACAAGGCTCTCGAGGGCAAGAGCGTCACTGACTCCTTCAAGGAGACCTTCGCCAAGAACACCGACGACGAGAAGAAGACCAGCGACGGTACCTTTAAGCTTGCCACCTCGAAGCGTAACTCGATCCTCCCCAACCTCGGTCACCCCGATGGCTGGATCCAGAAGGTTGACGAGCGCGAGTCTGCTGCCAAGGCTACTCCCGCTCACGCCAACAAGGACTGGTACTCGCCTGCCTTTACCATTGTGCAGCCCGGTCAGAAGGACCCTCGCAACACCGCCTCGGCCAAGACCCAGAACCTTGGCCCTTCGCCTAACAACCCCGGTGCTCGTGCTGGTGTTGGCGCTGGTGCTGCTGCTGGTGCTGCTGGTGCTGCCGGTGCTGGTAGCGTCTCGAACGCTGCTGCCCACGGTGTCGGCCAGCCCGGTCAGAAGGACCCTCGCAACACCGCCTCGGTCAAGACCCAGAACCTTGGCCCTTCGCCTAACAACCCCGGTGCTCGTGCTGGTGTTGGCGCTGGTGCTGCTGCTGGTGCTGCTGGTGCTGCCGGTGCTGGTAGCGTCTCGAACGCTGCTGCCCACGGTGTCGGCCAGCCCGGTCAGAAGGACCCTCGCAACACCGCCTCGGTCAAGACCCAGAACCTTGGCCCTTCGCCTAACAACCCCGGTGCTCATGCTGGTGTTGGCGCTGGTGCTGCTGGTGCTGGTGCTGGTGCTGCCGGTACTGGTAGCGTCTCGAACGCTGCTGCCCACGGTGTCGGCCAGCCCGGTGGAACTTCCAGTGCTTATTCGACTGCCAATGGTTCGCACGCTCCTCCTGGTTCCGTCGCTGCTGGTACTGGCGCCACTGCCGTTCCGCACGGCAACGGGCTTGCTGGCTCGAACGTCGAGGACTCGGCGTTTGCCAAGCCCGCACCTGCGATCGACGGTGCTGCTCACATCTCGGAGCGAGCACAGCCTGTGAACCCTGCTTTCGAGCAGGGTCGCATCCGCTAAACGCCGTCCATGAGGCTATCACCACGTCTTTTTTCCTCTCTCCCCCTTCTGAGTTTCGAAAACGTTGATACCGACGTGTGCTCGTATATACCCTTGTGGCTCTCAGGCCGGATCCCCTTTCCTTCTCTCCTCCAAACCTCCAAGACCAATTGCGCCACTGTCTCGGGTTGTTGCTGTTGTTGGCACGATTATCACTTGTGGTAGAGTGATGACAATGCTTTGCAGTGACAGTCGGGTGATGGTTGGAAACGCCATCGCAAAATCGTGATCTGGGCGCTCTCGCCGCTGCATAGATCGATTTATCTAATCTCTTCTGCTTGTGCAAGTCTGTTCTTTAGATCTTTTAGCACTTGGCTATGATGTCGAGTGAGCAGAGCCTATCTGAAAGCAAAATCTTAGTGCAGGATTTGTAGGATGTTGAAAGTTACCGTTTCTGAATACTGAAAGAAATTTCGAACAAAAATTGGGGTTGTAAAAAAGGGCGTTTAAAAGTTTGCGGGGTCCAAACCCTCAATTTCGACAGGTTTTCCTGAGCATCGCTTTGACTAAGAAAGCACTTCGGATCATTCCGAACTGAACAGACGGACAGAAACACAGGCTGAACATTGTCCCCAAATCAGGCGGGAAAGAGGCTTACAGCAGATTCAGCGTGTGAAGATCAGGATCGATGTCAACGTTCCCGAGTCTTGGTTGTCTTGGCTGCAGCAATCCGGCACAGAAAGCTGCGTTGTGCCTTTCTGAAAGAGGCAAGTAAGGCCGAAACGACAATTTAAGGCTTTTTATTATTATTATTAATATTTTTATTTTTATTTTTATCTTATTTTTTTTTAAATTTTTTTTTACACAGCCGCGTTCAAGGAAGGCTGCTGTCTGTTGGCTGGCTGCCAAGTCGTAGAGGGAAGAAAAAGTGTCAGCCCTGAGAAACACACACAGGCGCAGGCGCATGGACTCTCTCTTTCGCAAAGCAACACACACACACACACACACACACAGAAGCATCACGAGGGAGCCTTTTGTCTTTGTTCCATTGCACTTGTTCCCCCCTGTCTTCCCCCCTCACTTGATTGTCACAAGAGTTTGGCGCTAGAACATACACTCAGACAGCATAGTATTCGGAAGCTAGCCGACGTTCTTGATCAGCATCAGCACCGCATTCGTCCCTACTGTTCAGCTGCATCTCCTCGTCGGATCTCTTCCGAGCATCTTGATCAGCTTCACTCAGCACTGTCGCATCTTCCGATCAAGCCTGCCGCATCTACCAAGCATTTTCGACTCAGCACCTTCTTCTTGGAGCTAACACCATCTCGACAACCACCTAGGCCTCTATCGGCTTCGAACTTTGGATCATGCTGTTGATGCTCTGAACGCACAGCGGAACTGACCGCAACATCACACTTAGGCAGCTGCACACCTTCCAGCGATCGCCCTCCTCCTTCCATCGCTGTCGACCGCATCATGATACAAACGCCTCCATCGTCAGCGGTAGGGTCATCCACTATGACCAACAACACGTCGCGCCTGACCAGGCAAGGCTCAGTAGCACGCACCAATGCGATCGCCATGCTGAAGCGCGCTGCTTCTCAAAGAGAGATCAAGGCAAGGGCAGATACACCCTCGCTTCCAGGAGCTTTCCCAACAGACCCAAGTCCACCTCCATCGACGGCGCTCGCAGACCAACCCTCTGCGCCGGAATCGAGACCGAAGCCAACGATGTCATTCACAAGAGCAGAACCATCCTCTGACTGCAATTCTCACCACGGCATTCCCACCTTGGCCAGCCAAACCTCTATGCATTCCAATGGCCTTTCTTCCGACCAGATCGCCTCAACGTCCAATCAACCCAACTATCTCTCTCCGCAATATATCACCGACAATGCTATGGCTTCTACCTCATCTGCGCCAACACCGAGCGCAATGCTATCAGCACCCTCACCCAACCACCCCAGCGATCCATCATGGTCTCGCCCACCCATGTTCCAGGACAGATCGAATCAACGAACATTCAACAGATCCCCCCTTCCCTCCCTCGAGCAGCTTCGAGCACGCATCTTACTCGAACGCGAATCCGCAGGTCTACAACGAAGCGCTAGCACCAGCGCTGCCAGTCAAGCTGCGAGAGCCTATGCACTTGAAAAGCTTCTCGGCAACAGCGGCACAGATGTCTTCTACGATCATACTCCCGACGGCACCCCCATAGGGCGTGGAGCGGCTACATCATCACCAACACCCATGTCTGGCAGGGACAGCGGGCTGGCTGATATGGCTTCCGACGACGAATCTGCTCACGAGACACGGCTGAAACGGCAATCGATCAAGCACAGACCCGGGTTGAGGAGAAGTCGGACGATCAATGGTCTCACTGCCATGGCTGAGGCTCAGAACAAAGCTGAGTTTGTGCAGGCAGTGTTTCTGGCGGTGCCAGGTCCGGCTTCGAATCGCTTCTCGCGCATACATCAGAGGAGGATGGAGAGGCAGAGTATGTTCAAGGCTACTTCCACGAATCCTTCTGAAATATCGGTGGCCGAGGTTAAGGAGACGAGTCAAGAAGGTGTGTTGCAGATCGCGGCTGGTGAAGAGGAGGACGCTGGTCCCAGCCTGTCACGGCAACAGTCACAACGACAGATTGCAAGGACAGAAATGATGCGTAAGCTCAGTACTAGGGGCAGAGGCAATGCAGCAACGGGAACATCAGATCCTAGTCACAATGCCAACGGTTCAAGTCGCCATACTGGACTCGAACAGCAGCATCCAAGACTACCTAAAGTCATCGCCGATTCTCCAGCTGTAGACGAGACGATCAGTCCCGTCGGTGTTGTTATCAGGTCACCTTCGTCTCCAGCTCCACCGCACATCTCGCACCTCGATGCTACCAACATCTCATCCACGCCCGCTCCAGCTTTCCGACAAGCGCTCAGTCCGGCCAGTGCTGCCGGCATCGACTCGAACCACTACACCGCTGCACCAACGGAAGATGACCAACTCGCTGCAACTTGGCCAGGTTTCAAAGCGTCTTCCTCGGTGGTGTCGCTGGCTTCTAACTATGCTCCGAGTACCGGCACTGCACGTCACGTCTACGAGCGCGATCGAGAAAGCAGAATGGCAATCCTCAACAACGAAGATAGCTTTGGGTATGAGGCTTCGCCTTCACTTCCATCTACTTCGGTCGATGTGGAAGGATATCAGCTCGCGAGGAAAGCAAAGGATGATAGAGAGGATGCTGCTGCTCTGCACGCGTCTGCTTCTTACGATGGGAATGCGTCCCATAATGACGGTCTGAACCTCGACTTTGGCGATTCGAGAAGCAAGCGTCGTGCAGGACTTGTTGGCTTAGGGCTCGATTCTGTACCACAGCAGCAAGCGCCATCGGAGGTGGAAGAAGGAGAGTTGAAAGTGGCAGAGGAGTCAGCGCAAAGACAAGACCCTGCTGGGCTGTCGCCAGGGAGGCGAGCCAAAGCTAGTCCTGGAAAGCGCGTATCGAAGTTACGTCAGTCTCTGGCTCGTCTACGTGTCCAGCCAAACGCGCAAGATATGTTGTCCAGTCCCGCATCACAGACAGACGAAGAGGCGTTGGAGGACGATGCTTTCTATAAGCTTTACTCGCCTGCTGCTGGTGGATACGATGATGATGACGACGACGAGGAGACGGATGAGCAGGAAGACGAGAAGGCCGACACTCGCGGCACCCACCTTCAGACATCGGAACAAGCCAATGGATCTACCTCTGCTGCCGACGCAACAGCCATTCAAGGTCTCGGTCTCGTCCATCCTAACAGCAGCCCAACACAAGGACAAACCAACGTCGCATCACCAACCACACCACCACAGCGTCTGTTCCGAGGCAACGCCGCTGTTCCCTGCGACCCCTCCCCCAGCACAGAAACCGAATTCGGCGAAGCACGTCGCACACCCTGGATGACCTCCAGTCCTGGCGGCTTCAATTTGCCGCTTCGCCTGTCGAACTCGCTCATGTCGACAGCACAAGCTATTGCAACCGAATCACCAGTGCCCGATCCAAGCCCTGTCATGCGCAGTGGACCTGGTGCATCGCGTAAAACTTGCGGCGATTGGCCTATGTCAGTGGCAAGCAGCGGTACTGCGCCGCTGACTAGAGAGAGTTTGGAGTCTCGAAGCGAGGCTGATTCTCGGATCAGATCATCAGAAGAAGGTGCGGGGGTCAGTAATGCCCCTGTTATCAGGTCTCCTTTGCTCGAATTGCCCGAGGACGAAGTTATGGATGCAGCGAATGAGCAAATTAGAGCTGTGGCTGGGGGGAATGGTGCAGCTGATTCAAAGTTCGAACTGCTCTCGGCGCCGAGTTCCAGGGCTAAACCTTCGGAGCGGGTGCAGGCTATGCTAGAGTCGATTTTTGTTGCGGAGTACAGAGCTGATCTGGCTGATTCTCGGTCGCCGTCTTTGATCGTATCCAAGGAGGAGCAGCAGGGTAACCTCAAAGTGCCCATTACCGGTGTCAATGGCTTGTCGCTGTCAAACAACACCAGCAATGTCTCGATCAACGAGATTAGCGACGTTGATGGTGAAGTCGATGATGCCTACTTGCGCAAAGTCGATAGGATGGCTGATAAGTTAGGCAAGTTGGCTCGAAACAAGACTGTTGCCGGGACAGGGAATGGGTCGACGCGTGCTGCAGCTCCAGCGACGAACTTGGAGCGAAGCAATACCACTACCCTGGCAAGCAGGTTTACTGAGCATGTGGGTGTCGGCGGTGGTGCACCTTCTTCGAGAAACCATTCGCAACGACCTTCTGCAGACTTGAATGCTTTGGTGGGGAATGAGAAGTTGCATCCGTTCCCAGCGCTTGCGCAGGCGAGCCCGTTGCAGAGTCAGGACGGGTTTAGTCCTATGGCTGTTTCTGCTGCTCCTCCTGTTTCGTCTGGGTCAGCAGCGCAGCGGCGCGGGTCTGAGTCGCCACCCTCAGCATTCGGGCACAGGGACGAGCAGGAGGGTGGTGCGAACGGCAAACAGATCCGATTATTCTCCTCGCTACGTCGTAAAGCATCTAGTTTACGCAGAACGCCTTCTGCCGCAGCCAATAAAGAAAGCAGCAGCAGCTTCTGGGCCCGTCGAGCGAAAAGAGAAGGATCGCCAAAACTTCCAAATGAAGCCACTTTCATATCTGCTCCCATCTTGACTCCGACGACTCCTGGACCGACGGCTTCGGCTACTGGCCCAACTCAACCGGTAGTGACGGTCGACAAACCTCGAGATGAAGTGCAGCGGGAAAATGATGGAACTTTCGAAAATCGGTTATTCGACAGCAATTCCTCCTCTGCAGCAACGGACAAGATGGTGGATCTGCAACGAAACGCATCTATCTCTTCTGTCGTCTCTGCTCGTATTCGCACCGATTTGCAGGATGGAACTGCCGACATCGATGCCACCTCCTCCTCGGAACACCATACACCTTCCACCATAACCTCGACTCTGGGCCCAAACACGGCAATCATGCTACAACGCTACTCTCGCATCCTCTCCACCACCCATCCTTCCCATCCCATCACCACCATCCCTGGTTTGCAGCCAACCGACATCATCGACCCACCGCGAAAACTTCTTGCCAGCGATCCCGTCTTTCAAGTTATCTCTAGTACCACTATCAAAGATCGCTTTCTCTTCTTATTCTCAGATTTGCTGGTGATCGCAAAACCGATCAACGCACCGGGTAGCGAAGCGGGGAGAATGGTGGGGAAGATGAAACAAGCCAGTATTCTTCCCGATCTGGGGTGGAACTTCGCGGTGAAGAACATTCTGGAGTTGCATAGGGTGAAACTGAGTGTAACGACGAATAGTAAAACTGCTAGTGGGAAAAGTAGGGCTCAGAATCCGGTGCTTTGGGGGTTTGTATCCCATTTCTCTCGGGATCCGGATTCGGCAGTAAGAGCACTGGTAGCGAAAACGGGATTGGAGAGCACACCAGCGAGCATAGCTCAATTGTTGTATCAGACTCCGGAATTGGATAGGGGCGATTTGACCAATTACTTGACAAATCCGAGTAGGAGGGAGATATTGAAAAGTTACGTAGCGCAACATAGACATATAGGGGTTAGTATAGAGTCTGCTCTTCGGTCTTTACTTCTCGACCTTCGTTTTCCAAGTGATTTGGACGCATTCGAAGCGCTGTTGGTTCACTTCGCACATAGTTGGACCCAGCACAATAAGGCGTCTATCAAACCGACTTTCACTTCGCAACTAGCCTCAGATCTGGTTTTTGCGATCATGGCGCTGAACGACGCACTGCATACAGGATCGGAAGCCGTACCTTCCTCTGTTGTCTCACCTAACTTCCCACGCCCCGTGACCGTTGTCACCCCCGGCCTGTTCAGCGCAGCATGTCCCGACCTCAGCAAGCAAGATTTCGTCAGCGTTTTTCGACAACATGATCCAACCGAAGTGTTGTCGGATCGTACACTTAGCCGGATCTATCTCTCGATTAAAGCTGAACCCCTAATCCAAGCCCTCGATAGGTACGAACCGAGATTCACTATTCGAGTCAAGGGGGGGAAGTTACCGACAAGGTTGACTTACGCACAGCCAGCAGAACCAGTCACACTCGTAATCCCCGCTCCTGATCCTGATCTAGCGATAAGGTTGTATGCGCAGGATACAACTTTTGAGCCCCCCATATTAACTTTTTCGGCAAGTAGAGAAGCGACTTTTACCATGCGGACCAAATCCCTAGGTCCCAAGCAGGTTGTTTTTGTTAGAGCGGGTAGAAATGCTAGGTTTTATGGAGGGAGTGAGGTAGATGATACTGCCCCCATGGGTGGGGATGAGATGGGCGGGGTAGGGGAGGATAGTCCCTTACCGAGGAGTTTTAATGTTGTGGTTGAGAGAGCGTTTATGAAGCATTCTTTCACCCTGACTTGCATTCCGCCCGGAGGCGGAGGGAAAGGTGGGGAAGGAAAGGGGGAGAAGAGGTTCATGTTGAGTTTTGAAGATGGAGCAAAAGTGACTCAGTGGACTAAATTGATAAAGGATCAGGCGGGAGCTAGTATTAAGGCGAAGGCACAACGGTCCGCCTCCACGTTTAGCTCGGTGGATGTTTCGACTGTTAGAGCTGTGGAGAGTGCAAGTCTCCAGATCCTGAGGGAAACGCTCATTGCTCCTGAACCCACGCCCGCCCCCTCGTCACACCCTCCCTTACCGGCACCTCCATCAACATGGCGCAACAGAGCAGCTACGGTAATTGGTACCTCCTCACAATCCGATTCTAACCCTGTCGATTCTCGCTTAGGGTTAGGGTTAGGCCATCCCCCACCAACATCCACCAACACAGCAATGCTAGATCGCACAACCTCGACATCGCGCCACTACTACGCAGCCTCAGGAGTCGGTAGACACGAACGTGAGCTTCTCATCCCCACCTCCACCTCCACTTCTACTCTCGGCACGGTACCGGAGAGCGGGGGAGGGGGGGTTGCCAGGGGAGGGCATACAAAAGGATCGGCTAGTTTAACTTTGTATCCTCCCTCCTCGACGATGGGTGGTAGGGGTGGAGGAGCTATTTCTCCAAGTGCAGGTTTCGGTGCTTTGAGCATTGGAAGGAGTAACTCTGCGAGGAGTGCAAGTAGTCCGCATCATCAAGCGGCGGTAATAGAGAATAGTTCTGCCACTGGATTGCTGAGTCCCACAAAAGCCGCTGGAACAGGAGCAGGATCTGGTGGAACAGCTGGGGATGGCAAGGTGATGTCAGGAACTCAAATCGTCAGCATTACCCGCCTGAACAGCGTTCTGAGTCGGGTCATTGGTCATTTACAACAACAACAGCAGCACCAATCACACCAGCAGCAATAAGCTCAACAACCCACTCCCAGTGCAACATCATCGCTTTGGAACATTCAACTCGAATCGCATGCACAGCAAACCTGTCTCATAGCGTGGCTTTGACTGTCTCTCGAACCGTGCTCAAGTTGTCTGCCGCTCATTTTTGGGCCCCGCTCCGAAACAGGAGTCGCGAACCATCTGAGCTGAATGAACAAACCATTGAGACTCGACCTTTGACAAATCAAACAGCCTGATCAGCTTTCAACACGAGCTAGGAGCTTGCAACAAAACGAACACGCCTGTTCACAGCACAGCAGACCGCCAATGTCAAAGATCGTGCTCACGACGCATCACATGCTCACCAAACCATCACTCGAAAGCATTTCAGCATGGTCTAGAATCGCGCTCATTTGAGAGAGCAAACCGTAAATTCATGCGCCAAGACAGTTGGAGCGCTTACAGTGACAAAGATAGACGAGCGACGGTGCTCGCACGGACATGAACGATAAGGATGCTAATTGCGTTGCGAGGGCTCGTAATACACTTTGCAGAGGCGGTTGATAAGAAAAAGCGGCAAGTATCGAAAAGCCAGCGGTCAAAATGGTCCGAAGGGCGAGATTGAAAGGCTAAGGCTAAGCAAACACTCTCCCGGTACAATACTTTGCACCACAAGCACATTTGATCCCCAACTTTGCATTCGCCATATTTGCCCCTGTTGCCGCAGCACTGTTGGCAGGAGTGGCAGTAATCGCTGCTCTCGTATCCGCACCTGGCTTGGTAGAGGGAGTGTGCATTGTGGTTGCCTTTTTGGGTCGACCTGCAGTTCGTTTTGCCGGACTTTCCGGAGCTGAGTAAGGAGCTTCGCTCGCCTTTCCACTGTAGGCGAAGCAAAGCTCCTCACCCTCTGCTACCGGTCTGAGCGTGAAAAATGCCAGTAGCGGACGCATGATGGAAGCATTACTGATATAGACGGGTACGTGGAGTATGTTAGGATCGCAAGAGTGGTTGAAGAATCGAGTATGGTTCCCCCATAGTGCAGAATCGACCGTGACAAAGTGTTGGTCTTCTTCGTCAGAGCGAATGTCGTGCATTTTGCGAGCGTGTTCTTGTTCCTCCTTGGACAGGCTGAGGAATTTGTAGACTACATCGTCATAGTCTTGCTTCGGATCAATGGCTTCGGGGAATAGAAGGCCTGGTGCTTCTGCCACAAGTCTATCCCTTTTGGCCAGAGCTTGCTCATTCGCTCGCAGTGTTGCATCCTTCAAGCCCTGCGACAAGATCTTTTCCTTTTCTTCCTCAGTGGCTGTTCCATTACGAATACGTAACTCCAACTGCCACAACCTCGAATCACCACCATCCTCAAGGTACCTATAGTAATCATCGTACTTCTCGATGTTGTCTGCCGTAACAGAGATGAGCTCGACCATACGACGCTCATTGTCCCGATTGCCGCGATAGTACTTGAGCTCATCCTTCTCCGCTAACTCCCTCTCGAGGATCTTCTTGGTCAAATGCACCTTGATGATATGACTATCGACAGTCTGAAGGTAAGTGGTGCCGAGCTTCTTGTCGTAGACCTCAGCTCGTCGTTCAGCTTCGGCATCGCTGAGCAATTCGCCTCCATAGACACCGACAAAGGTTCCACGCGATAACTGCTCCAACGCCTTGATACCCCAGCCCTTAGTCTCGGTCTTGCAGAATGCAAGGTTGACCTTCTTACCCTTCTGCACAACGCGGTTCCTACACGTTTCTCCACAGGGGCAGAGGTCGTTACACTCGAAAATAGGCGTACCTTCGGCTACCGTACTGCTGAGTCTACCGAAAGAGTCGTAAACAAAGTCAGGATTGGGCTCGAACGAAGTTGCGTCATGACCACTGGTGTCGGACTGCGACTTGGGAGGATTGAACATCGTCTGATACGGCGTCTCCAAATGAGGATAGCAGTTTGCAGCTCGTCTCAAACAAGCGCAAGTTTTCGGATCGCATTCGTCATCCTCGCAGTTACATCCACCTCTAGCGACAAGCTCATCAGTGAGCTTGTAGCCGTTGACTTCCGGTTCGGGCTTGAGCTGGTCGAGAGGTGGAACCGAAGGGTCGAGAAGATCCTCGTCAGTCCAGACAAAGTCCCAAGGTGGAATAACGTCGCTGACCATTGTCGAGTAAGGATTGACAATAGCGAGACCTTTGTGACCGATTTCCCATTCTTCAACCCAGGCAATCCAGTAGTCGTAGAGACGTGTTGCTTCGTATTCGGGGAAAAGTCGTGGAGGGTTCCTAGCTAGGCGACATTGAAGCTCTTGCCCGATGTCGGCAGAGCGATACATATACTCGTAAGCCTTGTTGGATCGAAGAGGAGATAGTGCTTTGATCTCTGGACTGGCAAAAGTGACCTTCTCTTTCTCTTTGTCGCCGTTCCGGCCGTTGCTATTGCTGTTGCCGTTGCCATTATTGGTGCTGCTGCTACTGCTGCTACCGCTGCTACTGCTGCCGTTACCGTACCCGTTGCCACATGGAGTTGAGTTGCGGGAGTGGGGTTGGGAATGGGATGAAGAGGAGCCACCATTGAGAGTGGAAGAGCGCTCCGCAGCCCGAAACGCGGCGTAGGATGACATGTCGGATGCTTGCCGGGGGGCCGAGTCGAGATAAGACCACGGGTCCCAATAATGCCGCCAATCAGAGTCTATGGAGGAGTGATGTTGCTGTGGATCCTTGAAATGATGGTTGAGACGAGACTGCAAGAGTCGGGCAAGGTGGTTTCAAATTGTAACTCCCAACCTTTTCATTGGAGGTCAATCTCGTCGGAACACCACGGACGTGGCGTGAGAGAGCGTCAAGTGAAGAAGGGTGATCAAGATGAAGAGCTTCAGTGCACTGGCCAGTTTAAGCTGTCGAGGTGCGTGTTGCAATCGATTTGAACACTGAAGAGTGACTGTGCTTGCTGCGCCAACTTAAGCTCCAACTTGGATGTGATGATAGTGAGAGATGAGTTCAAAGGGCGTGGGAAAGTGTTCGAGTTGAAGAGTCACCGGGATAACCAATATGCGAGAGAAGCGAGTAACCGACAGACCGATCCCCTGCATGCATACTAAGTTGAGTGGCGACCAATCAGGAGAAGCATATGAAAGGAAAATGCCGAGATACTACAAAGTGGGCATGACTCGAAGGAGAACAACAAGCCATCTCATTAACAGGACGAAGGTATATATACACAACCCTGTAGCAATAGTGCACAATAAAATCTCAAGCATTACATCTACAACACACTAGTACGAAAGAGCTAGAATGTGGCTTGAATGAGGAGGTGCACAGTATAGCTTCAACTGATTAAGAGTCTGAAACCTCTACCAAAGCAAACCATGGTAGACAACACCGACCCTCAAGCTGGGGCCAGCAAAGCTGCCAAGAGGTCTAAAAGAACCAAGGTGACAATTGTCCAGCAGACACAAACAGCAAACGATGACAATGAGATCAACGATGACCCCGAAGATGAATCAGATGATGACAATGATGGCAAATGATACAGCTTCCATACGTTAAGCAAACTCCTCGAACTGGTGCTGAAGCTCACCACCCAGAACTACTATAGCTGGAATGCGCATGTAAAGTCTTTCCTCCGATTGGTACCATATGCTATGGAACACCTTGAAGGAACATTTGATGCAAACCATCCCAGATGGAGTTGCTCATTCGATGACACATTAACAAACACCCTATGAGGGACCATCAACACCATGGGAGAATACAATGTAAACTATCTTCTTTTGGACATAATAAGAGAGTACCTCACATTTCATCAAGTCTGGAGCAAGATAGAAGCAAGGTTAGGTGACGACGCCACCAGAACCTCTCGCTGGCTTGCTCTGATCACTCAGCTGGGTGATATCAAGATGTTCAATTCCGACGTTCGGAAACTCATACAGGAAATCAGGACCATCCAGGCCGAAGGAAGCATCCTGGGAAGACCATTTGCAGATGATACTCTCTTCTCTGCTCTCCAGAAATGCACAATTCGCCACCCGATGTTCAGGGAGACAGTTGCCACCATCCACCAACTCAACTTTGAAGCACTGGCCATGGCACTTAGCATATGTCAATCGGCATTAGAGAGCATTCCCACCCAGAAGCTCGATCCCTGGCAAGGTCATGCTAGGACAGCAGGCAATGGTGACCAGGGCGAATCAGCCCACGAAACTGATGATGATGATGACAACAAAACTGCCAAGACTGGATACAGACGCTGAAGAATCCGGTGTTTTGTGTGCAGGCGAGTCGGTCATGGTGCAGGCAAATGCAATGCCACTGTCACCATTCCCAAAGATTCGCTGCTCACCAACTCCAAATAGGATGCTTGGTGCTCCCTCACCCCAAGTTGGAAGAAGAACCCAGAAGAAATGACCCATTGGATACTGGATTCAGGAGCTAGCTTTCACATGACCAATGACTATAGCACACTCATAAACCCAAGAACCTGCCGAAAACGCATCTACACAGCTGGAAAGGAGGTTCTGGATGCAAGCGCTATAGGAGATCTCTACATATCAACCACACATGGAGAAACATTACTCCAGAACATCTTGTATGTTAAGAATCTCAATGTGAATCTATTGTCAACCAACTCATTAATGGATGAGGGAGCACGAGTGACTTTGGACCATGCTGGTGGACAGATACACATGGCAAATGGAATCTCATTCAAAGTTTCAAAGAACAGAGAGCAAGGCTTGCTAGAGTTATGAAGTGAGGCATGGAAGGAAAATGCAATGACCACATCAGCACAGCCGCTCAATGATGTTGATGAAGAGTTTGAACCAACCACAAAGAGGACCACCATCTCCATACAACAACTTTGGCATGAGTGCCTTGGACATCCAGGAAGAGATAAGGCTAAGTCTATTATAAAGAAGATGGGAAGTACCACCCAAATGGATATAGATCCAGATACAGCTCTGACATGCGAGCAGTGTATACAGTCCAAAAGTACAGCTGCAAGAATGAAACAAGGCAGTGGCAAGAGAGCCACTGCACCCCTCGACCTCGTGCATATAGATCTGATCATCAATGCATCACATGTGACCGAACACACCTGCATATTGGTGCTCATCGACGATCATAGCAAATATGTTTATGCACAACCATTATTGTGAAAGAGCCAAGCTTTCACAGAGCTCAGAAGAATCATCTTGTTCCTTGAGACACAGACCAACAGGAGCCTAAAAGCAATCCAATCAGACCAAGGAACAGAGTGGAGGAGCAATGAAGCTCTTGAATGGTCACAGGACAAAGGAATAGAGTGGCAAACAACAGTGGGATACAATAGCAAACAAAATGGCAGGGTGGAGTGAATGAACAGAAGCTTGAGTGAGAAGATGCATACTTTACTGGTACAACGTGGACTACCAAAGATCTTTTGGCTGTATGCAATCAGGGCAGCAGCATTCAAGATAAACCTTACTCCAAATGCTGACAATGAGCTCCCATATGAGATGATGTTCAACAAATCACCTGAACGACTCATGCAGCTTCTCTGTGTCTTTGGATGTCTCGCTTGGGTAAACATCCCAAAGGCAAAGCAAAACAACAAGAACTTGGACCAACGAGCAGTGGCAGCTATATTCATAGGATACAGCCTGGAATGGAAAGGTTGGCTATTTTATAGTCCAGACTATCAACCAAGTTTATTCTGGAGTAACTCGGTGAAGTTCATGGAATCCAAACACTGGTTGGACTGGACCGAGTGGAAACCAATAAAAGTTCAATCGCCACAAACAATGATGAACGAAGAAGATGCTGAAAACTTGGGTTATTCGGAAGTGAACCTATTTGATGAAACGGACCAGGAACCACAAAATGAGTACATGGACATGGAAATGACTATGAACACAAACAAAGGCCAAGACCTTGAAGGGTGGACAAATGGTGAGTCCTTCGGACTCGCAGCCACAGACAACAAAGGCAAAGGAAACCTAAACCCAACCGTCCGAGAGGCAATGGCAGGGCCAGACAAAAGGCTGTGGGAGGAGGCAATGCGAAAAGAGCTTGAGGGTTTAGAAGCTATGGGCATGTGGGAAGTGACAGATCTCCCAATCGGCATGAACACTGTCAACACCAAATGGGTACTCAAAGTGAAAACGGATGCAAACTTGGTGCCCACAAAGTTTAAAGCAAGACTCGTTGCAAGGGGATTCACTCAGAGAAAAGGTGTCGACTATACTGAAATCTTCGCGCCAGTGGCGCCGATTCAATCAATCAGAGGAGTGTTGGCTGTGGCAGCCATGCAAGATTGGTGTCATGGGCCTAGATGCTCAAGAAGCAGGAGGGCCACTGGTTCATATGGAAGGAGCACAGGTATTGAAGATCTAGTCGATACCAGTAGAGAGCATGGCCGTAGTGCAGTCTCCATGGAGACCATGGACTCCTATGGACTCACATGCAAAGGAGGACTGAGCCATATGCGAGGAGGGCCAGGCACAGCCACAAGGAGGACCAAGCTCAAGGAGCAGGCACAGCCATGAAGAGGACCAAGCTCAGATGGTTACCACTCAGGGGCTCGAGAGACAAGAGTCAAAGGAACTGTCACCAGTCAAAGGAGAAGGAGCAGTGTATAGGACACTAGCAGGCAGGTCATGAGGAGGAGGAGCAGTGTCGAAGGAGTCGACACCAGGTCATGAGGAGGAGGAGCAGTGTCGAAGGAGTCGACACCACTCAAGAGGCACAGGGGTGCCAAGCAGGAGAGGCCCCTGAGCAGTACTTGATGAAGAAGGTACTCTCTGGAGAGAGAGCAGGAGCAGCATCGCTGGTGATGCTGTGAAGAGGTATATAACCATGCTTTCTCATCATCATAGGTCGAGTGGATCCTCATCCACTCTACTCACCATAACTAGTTATCACTTCAGCATAAGTATATATTAGTTTCAGTCAGCATAGCAGCAATCTATCAAGGTTGCTCCTCATCGTAGTGTGTGTGTTGTATCACCACTACCTGATGTCTGAAGGCACCCATAGCAGGTTAGCAGTCCGGATCAAGATAGAACCGAAGGCAGTAGTCCACTGCAGTCTGGGGATCACTTCAAGCATCAAAGTCAACACACTGGACACTCGTGTTGATGCCACCAACCTTATCACCAACACCATCAACCTCATTATCATCAACACCAACCTTATCACCAACATCATCAACCTCATCATCATCAACACTCACACCAGACCTTGGTGTCATCATAACTGAAGTATTGATATTGATCGTGCCGAGCTACCCCTGAACGGAGTGTCCACAGAGGTCAGCCGAAACCTACGACAGTATATACAACGAACACCACCTGCTGTCACTGTGCAACTTGATAGTCACTGATACCAAGACAATAGCTGTCGCACAGTTTGATAGTCACCGAGTATCTCGACAGACCGACCTGGGTTTCAGGCACGAGACCCCTGACAATTGGGAGGTAGATTCAATCGACGTCAAACAAGCATACCTCAATTCAAACTTACAGCACGACGTGTACCTGAAGCCACCAGTCAGAACAAAGATGCCACCAGGAAAGGTTCTCAAGCTAATAAAGGGATTATATGGTTTAAAACAGTCAGGGCAAGAGTGGAACACCAAGATGGACTCACACCTTTGGAGGATGGGTTTTCATTGTATGCCAAGCACACCTTGCTTGTATGCAAGAGGAACTGGAGACAACATCACAGTCATCACAGCATACATCAATGACATGATGATAGCTTCACCAAGTCGCAAAGAAGTAGATCACACCAAGAAGGAGATCATGAATAAGTGGGGAACAGAAGATAATGGGAAGATCAAAGAGTTTATTGGAATCAAAATCATGAGAGACTGGACCCAGAAGAGCATATCTCTTGACCTAACAGCATATATTAAATCAATGGTAAGCAGATGGTTACAGAAGGAGACTGAGAAATCCTGGATCCCAATGCAAAGCATAACTGCAAGTGCGGGAGGAGAGAGATGCTCATCATCATGAAGCAAAGAATACCAGGAGTTAGTAGGACAGCTATTATGGGTATCCAACACAGTGCAACCAGATATCTCATTCATGGTAGGAGTTTTAGTGTGACACATGATGACTCTGGTCGAAGGAGCATGGTGTGCAGCGATCCACACTCTAAAGTACCTAAATCAAACAAGTGAATATTGTCTCCAACTAGGAGGGAGAGAAAATGTGGAGAAGGAGACATTAACAACATATACTGATGCAAATTGGGCATCAGACCCCACGAACGGTCAGAGGAGTACATCAGGAGTGATCACATATCTATATGGGAGCCTGGTGAGTTGGCAATCTCATGTGCAAAAATGCATGGCCCTGTCAGCCATAGAAGCAGAGTTTATTGCCGCATCGGAAGCAGCATGGGAGGCACTGTTCTTTTCATACCTGCTGCGAGACCTGGGTATCGATAATGTCAGACCAATGCTCTGCACTGACAGCCAAGGATGCATACAGGTGAGTAAGGACCCAGCCAAACACTGGAAGCTTAAACACATCGACACGTGTTATTACTTCATCAGGGAACATGTGCAGGAGGGAGACATTCTGATCGAACATGTCAGAATGGCAAACAACTTGGCAGACATTCTCACAAAGCCATTGAAAGGAGGAGAGACCACATGTCTAGCTTGAGCAATGGGTTTGGTCATGCCAGCGAGGGGGGGAGTTGAAGAGTCACCGGGATAACCAATATGCGAGAGAAGTGAGTAACTGACAGACTGATCCCCTGCATGCATACTAAGTTGAGTGGCGACCAATCAGGAGAAGCATATGAAAGGAAAATGCCGAGATACTACAAAGTGGGCATGACTCGAAGGAGAACAACAAGCCATCTCATTAACAGGATGAAGGTATATATACACAACCCTGTAGCAATAGTGCACAATAAAATCTCAAGCATTACATCTACAACACACTAGTACGAAAGAGCTAGAACGTGGCTCGAACGAGGAGGTGCACGGTATAGCTTCAACTGTGTCAGGGGTCTCGCGCCTGAAACCCAGGTCGGTCTGTCGAGATACTCGGTGACTATCAAATTGTGCAGTGACAGCAGGTGGTGTTCGTTGTATATACTATCGTAGGTTTCGGCTGACCTCTGTGGACACTCCGTTCAGGGGTAGCTCGGCACAATCAATATCAATGTTATGATGACGCCAAGGTCTGGTGTGAGTGTTGATGATGATGAGGTTGATGGTGTTGGTGATGAGATTGGTGATGTTGATGATAATGAGGTTGATGGTGTTGGTGATAAGATTGGTGATGTTGATGATAATGAGGTTGATGGTGTTGGTGATAAGGTTGGTGGCGTCAACACGAGTGTCCAGTGTGTTGACTTGATGCTTGAAGTGATCCCCGGACCACAGTGGACTACTGCCTTCGGTTCTATCTTGATCCAGACCGCTAACCTGCTATGGGCACCTTCGGACGTCAGGTAGTGGTGATACAACACACACACTACAATGAGGAGCAACCTTTGATGGATTGCTGCTATGCTGACTGAAACTAATATATACTTATGCTGAAGTGATAACTAGTTATGGTGAGTGTAGAGTGGATGAGGATCCACTTGACCTTTGATGATGAGAAAGCATGGTTATATACCTCTACTCAGCATCGCCAGCGATGCTGCTCCTGCTCTCTCTCTCCAGAGAGTACCTTCTTCATCGAGTACTGCTCAGGGGCCTCTCCTGCTTGGCACCCCTGTGCCTCTTGAGCTGTGTTGATTCCTTCGACACTGCTCCTCCTCCTCATGACCTGATGTTGACTCCTTCGACACTGCTCCTCCTCCTCATGACCTGGTGTCGACTCCTTCGACACTGCTCCTCCTCCTTTGATCAGTGACAGTTCCTTTGGCTCTTGTCTCTCGAGCCCCTGAGTGGTAACCATCTGCATGCTCCTTGAGCTTGGTCCTCTTCGTGGCTGTGCCTGCTCCTTGAGCTTGGTCCTCCTCATGGCTGTGCCTGCTCCTTGAGCTTGGTCCTCCTTGTGGCTGTGCTTGGCCCTCCTTTGCATGTGAGTCCATAGGAGTCCATGGTCTCCATGGAGACTGCACTACAACCATGCTCTCTACTGATCTCGACTAGATCTTCAATACCTGTGCTCCTTCCATATGAACCCGTGACCCTCCTGCTTCTTGAGCATCCAGGCCCATGACACTACCCCCCTCTTAAGAGCCGAGCTCTGTCGAGGCATGCTCTGGTCTGGTCCATGCTGACTCCTCCTCCTCCTCGACAACATCGCCAACATCCTCCTTCCTCTTCCTCTCTCTACTCCTCCTGTTCTCTCCTCCTTTCTCTACTTCTACTCCTCCTGTTCTCTCCTCCTTTCTCTACTTTGTCTACTCACTCGTCCCCCCTCCGACACCTCATACTCCTGGATGAGGTCGGGACAGTTGAGGTTCTCTACTGGTTCCCATGAAGCAGCTTCTTCTGAGTACCCTCTCCACAACACCTTGTACTCTGTAGTCCCATTGTGTGAATGCTTGTCAATGAGTGCTTTGACTTCAAAGTCGAGGTCCTCATCTGGAAGTGATGGTATGGTGGGCTGTTCAGCACGTTGAGGAAGAGAACTTGTTCTTGCTGGCTCGAGCATGGAGACATGGAACACATCATGCACCCTAAGGTTTGCTGGCAATGTGATTCGATAAGCTTGGCGTCCTACCTGTTCCTGAACTGGGTAGGGTCCTGCAAACCGGGTATCTAACTTGGGTGTGGGTCTCCGTGTCTTCCAGTTTCGACGGTTGATATAGACCATATCACCCACCTTAAACTCAATGTCCTTGTGCTTCCTGTTATACTGGTCTACTGATCTCCGTTGTGCCTCTCTGATCTGCTCCTGGAGGTACTTGCAACGCTCCTTTCCATCCATGAGGTACTCGAAGCAACCTGGATCATTGACTCCTAGTCGTTGAGGGATGTCAGGATGAGCTTTGGGGTTCCATCCATAGCATGCAAAGAATGGTGAGACACCAATGCTGTTGTGGACCGTGTTGTTGTATACAAAAGCTGCAGTGTCCAGCAGGTTGGCCCAGTCATCCTGTTCATAGTTGCAGTACATCCTGAGGTATTGCTCTATGACCTGATTGACTCTCTCTGTCTGACCATCAGTTTGAGGATGGTAAGCTGTACTAAGTGAGTGCTTCACACCCATTTGCTCTGCAAATGCTTTCCATGCTCCTGATATGAACTGCCTGCCTCGGTCCGAGACCATGTGATCTGGATATCCAAAGAGTCTAACCATGTGTCCATATAGCAATACTGCAGTCTGTTTGGCCGTGACTGTCTTATGGGTTGGAGCTAGTATGGCAAACTTGGTTAACCTGTCAATGATGACTAGGATAGAGTCATAGGTCTTGGAGTCATACTTCTTCGATGGTGGTAGTCCTTCAATGAAGTCGAGGGATATGGAGCCCCAGGGCCTGTCTGGTGTTGCTAGTGGCTGTAGCAAACCATATGGACGGTGACGAGGAGCTTTGTACCTAGCACATACAGGACAACTTGCTACATAGTCTGCAATCCAAGCTGTCATGTTTGGCCACCAGTAATGTCGTTGAGCTGCCTTGATGGTAGCATCTCTTCCTATGTGTCCAGCAGTAATACCATCATGGCATTGGGTCATCACCATGAATCGCAGATGCTCTACAGAGAGAGACTGTCCATCTACCTCTTTGGCACTCCTTGAGTGTCAGTTGTTGGTCCTCCCTGGCATGATCACTTTGGGGATAACCAACCTTCCTCCACTGTACCATAGGTCGTCCTTGAGTTCGAAGGGCTTCTTCCTATGTATCTCCTGTAGCTCTTGGTCTAAGGGCTGGAAGATCTTGACCAGGTCTCTGAGACCTTTTGATGCTATGGACTCCATCGAGAGCATAGGGGCCACTAGGGTCGAGTCATGGTCTGCTGTCTCCTTGAACACTCGAGGGGGCAGTAGTTGCCTCACATTGTGATCCTGCTCTTCACCAGCTGGTTGCATGTCTGTCCTTCTGGTGAGAGCATCGGGTTCACCACCTTTGTCTCCTGGTCGATACTGCAATATGAAGTCGAAGTCTGCTAGTAGTATTGCCCATCGAGCCTGTCGACCTGTGATGCATCTCTGTGACTTGAAGTACTTGAGGGCTTCATGGTCAGTGAGGATGACCAGTTGGCTCGGTAGTCCAGCTAGCATGTGTCGCCACTGAGTGAGGCAGGCGACCACAGCTAGGAGCTCCTTGTCATGGATCTCATAGTTCTTCTCGGCAGAAGACATCTTCCTAGAGTAGAAAGCCACTGGATGCCATCGTCCTTCATGCTCCTGCTTGAGTACTCCTGCTATAGCAAAATCACTTGCATCAGTCTCCAACCTTGTTGGAAGGTGGTAGTCGAAGTGCTGAAGCACTCCTGCTGATGTGAAGGCCTGGATGAGCTTGTGGAAGGCCTGTTGGGCCTCCTCTGGTAGCTCGAACTTCTTGAACCGTTCTATAGGCTTTACCAGTGCTGTCAAGGGCTTGGCTATGTGAGCAAAGTGGGCTATGAACCTTCGATAGAAGTTGGCAAAACCCAGGAACCTCTGGATGTCATGGATTGACTCCGGCATTGGCCACTCCTTGACAGTGCGCACCTTTTCTGGGTCCATCTCTATGCCCGTTGGCTTGATGATGTACCCCAGGAACTCGACTGTCTTGGTGTGGAACTCACACTTCGACAGCTTAGCAAAGAGCCTGTTGCTCCTTAAGCGAGTGAGGACCTCAGTGACATGCTTCACATGTACCTCCTCAGTGTCACTGAAGATCAGGAAGTCATCTAAGTATACCACTACATATACTCCAATGATGTCTCGGAAGATGTCATTGATGAATGACTGGAAGTGAGCCGGAGCATTGGCTAGGCCAAAGGGCATCACTAGGTACTCATAGAGTCCCAACTGAGTGCCAAAAGCTGTCTTCCATTCATCTCCTTTAGCAATCCGGATGAGGTTGTATGCTGCTCTAAGGTCTAGCTTGGTATAGATCCTTGCCTTCCTGAGTAAGAACAGCTGCTCCTCGATGAGGGGCAATGGTGCCCTGTTCTTGACAGTGATCTCGTTGAGACCTCTGTAGTCCACACAGAGTCTGAGACCTCCATCCTTCTTTGGTACGAAGAGCACTGGTGATCATGCCAGGCTCTTCGATGGTCTTATGAACCCCTTCTCGAGGTTCTCATCCAAGTACCTCCTTAACTCAGACATCTCCTTGGGTCCCTTAAGGTATAGGGGCCCTTGAGGTGGCTTCCCTCCTTCTATCAACTCGAGGTGGAGATCATGCTCGGTATGATGGGGCAGCTTGTCTGCTTCCACCTCATCAAACACATCTCACAGGTGTTGGTATGGCTTTGGTATGTCTGCAGCTGTCACCACCTTATCTACCTCCACCTCCATCTCGACTCCTTTGTCTGCGCCTGTAGGTACAAAACCAAAGGCTGGGAGTGATGATGGTGGCTCCTCCAACAGCATGAACCCTATGGGTCCATCTTCCAGAGCTGCTCGTAGTATGCGCTCTGCTGAGACAAACTCGTTACCATGAAGGGTTGGTCTCCTCATGGTTAGGTCCCCTGCTCTTGCTGCCTCAGGGGGTCTCCTTGGGGGTCGGTCCTGCTCCTGAGTCTTGAACTCCAGCTAGCCCGTATCCCATTGTATGGTGGGTTTGAGCCTCTGTAGCTCAGTGAACCCCAGGATGAGGTCATAGTCCACAGTGTCGGCCACTGAAGCTTCGACCACACCCAGATTGTGTGTACCAATAGATACCTGCATGCTCGCAGAACTATTGATGGAGAGTTGGTGCCTGGTGACACCATGGATCGATCTTGTTTTTATGGGTTTTGTGGGTATTTGGTACTTACTAATGAAAGAATCTGAGACTATGGACAAACCAGCACCAGTATCAGCTAGTATCCAAGCAGGATGGTCTTGAACCATTCCAGAGAGCTCCAGTACTGCTTTGCCTCCACTGGTAGAGAAACATACTTGACACTCTTGATATATACAGAGTGATGGCGAGGAGGTTTGTAGAGCAATGCATGCCATCAGTGCATCACCCCACTGACGTTTCCCTCATTGTCATCATCATCATGCTCCTCCTCCTCATGGTCGAGGTCCATGGGTTGCTGGTATGAGCTAAGGTCCATGGCCTCGGGGTCACCCGTCTCAGTACTGCCTGTGTGGCCATCTCCTGAGTCGGTGGCCTCCTCAAAGGGGTCTGCTGTGGTGACCATAACCTTTGGTCCCATGGGTTGAGAGCTAAGAGGGTCTACCCTCCTGCTGGGGCAGTCTCTGGCCCAATGGCCGATACCCTTGCATACATGACAGGTGTTGATACCTGATGGAGCAGGGCTTCCTTGCTTCGAGGGTTGGGTGGGATGATGAGGAAGGGGTCGGTTTAGGTTTTGTATAGTTGCTTGTGTAGTTGCTTGTGATGGTGATCGAGCTGGATAAGGTTGAGTGGGTTGTCAGATGGGGATCGAACTTTGATTTGGCCGAGACCCAGTTCTTAGTGGAGGTGACGTGGCATTTGGGAGTGAGTGTCTAGCTGAGGACTGCTGTAGTAGCATCCTCTGTTGATCGATCTCCTTGACCTCTCGATACCACTCCCATCTCTTCCCAGGTGGATTCCTCTCGAACTTCTCCTGTATGTTACGAGTGAGACTACCTCTGAAGAGATCAATCACTAGCTCATTGTCATCTAGGTTGACCTGTCCTTCCAAGTCTCTGAACTGCTCTACATGACGTGTGGCGGCACCAGGAGCATCACTTGTGAGTCTGAGAGCCAACAGCTTGTTGTATGCCTCCATCCTAGCATTGCGTGGGTTGAACTGCTCTGACAGTCACTCTGTGAAGTAGTGCCAATCATTGAACAACCTTCCTTCTCTAGCTCTATCAATACGGAGCTTGGAGGTCCACCACTCTCTTGCTGTCCCTTCCAGTTGAGCACCCATGTGATTGATCATCCTAGACTGCTCATACACCTGGTTGAACTTAAACCATGCTTCGGCTTCTAGAATGAAGATCTCCATGTCTTGGGGATTGAACTTTGGAAAGGGGGTGGCGATGGGCTTTGACCGGTTAAGCTCTGCCATGATGCTGGTATCCTCCTCGTGGTCCAGGGGGTAAGGGTCCATCCTAGTCCTGCTGTAGGGGTCCAGCTTAGTCTTGACATATCTTGGCCCAGTAGGTGAAGCATACTTCTCGTAGTTGATGTCCTCCTGCTCATCCAGGTTGAATGAGACTGATCATCTTGGTCGTGGAGCCGGAGTAGGAGTATGTGGGTCTCCTATCATAGACTCATCTCCTCCTCCTGCTTGGTCTTCTGAGTGAGAGAGGTCCATTGTCTCCTCCCTGCTCAGTTGAGCTCGTTGTAATCGTTCCTCTCGATGACCCTGTCTGGTAAGCTCTAGCTGTGCTTCCAATAGAGTGAGTAGTCTATCGAGCTTATTGTTGAGGTCTGGGTCCGTCATGGTGATCGTGAGGAGCTGCTTGAATGATCCACTCTAATGTCAGGGGTCTCGCGCCTGAAACCCAGGTCGGTCTGTCGAGATACTTGGTGACTATCAAATTGTGCAGTGACAGCAGGTGGCGTTCGTTGTATATACTATCGTAGGTTTCGGCTGACCTCTGTGGACACTCCGTTCAGGGGTAGCTCGGCATGATCAATATCAATGTTATGATGACACCAAGGTCTGGTGTGAGTGTTGATGATGATGAGGTTGATGGTGTTGGTGATGAGATTGGTGATGTCGATGATAATGAGGTTGATGGTGTTGGTGATAAGATTGGTGATGTTGATGATAATGAGGTTGATGGTGTTGGTGATAAGGTTGGTGGCGTCAACACGAGTGTCCAGTGTGTTGACTTGATGCTTGAAGTGATCCCCAGACTGCAGTGGACTACTGCCTTCGGTTCTATCTTGATCCGGACTGCTAACCTGCTATGGGCACCTTCGGACGTCAGGTAGTGGTGATACAACACACACACTACAATGAGGAGCAACCTTTGATGGATTGCTGCTATGCTGACTGAAACTAATATATACTTATGCTGAAGTGATAACTAGTTATGGTGAGTGTAGAGTGGATGAGGATCCACTCGACCTTTGATGATGAGAAAGCATGGTTATATACCTCTACTCAGCATCACCAGCGATGCTGCTCCTGCTCTCTCTCTCCAGAGAGTACCTTCTTCATCGAGTACTGCTCAGGGGCCTCTCCTGCTTGGCACCCCTGTGCCTCTTGAGCTGTGTCGATTCCTTCGACACTGCTCCTCCTCCTCATGACCTGGTGTCAACTCCTTCGACACTGCTCCTCCTCCTTTGATCAGTGACAGTTCCTTTGGCTCTTGTCTCTCGAGCCCCTGAGTGGTAACCATCTGCATGCTCCTTGAGCTTGGTCCTCTTCGTGGCTGTGCCTGCTCCTTGAGCTTGGTCCTCCTCGTGGCTGTGCCTGCTCCTTGAGCTTGGTCCTCCTTGTGGCTGTGCTTGGCCCTCCTTTGCATGTGAGTCCATAGGAGTCCATGGTCTCCATGGAGACTGCACTATGACCATGCTCTCTACTGATCTCGACTAGATCTTCGATACCTGTGCTCCTTCCATATGAACCCGTGACCCTCCTGCTTCTTGAGCATCCAGGCCCATGACAAACTGTTCGGAAGCAGCCCATGGAGAAATGAGCTGTGCAGGATTCGAAAGTGTTGGCCTTCCTTTGTTCTGCGCAGCCACTTTCAGGGTTCTTCTTTCTGACATCGCCGATCCCCCGATCCCCCGACCCCCACTTTCCCGATACGCCGTTTACCGAAGTGGAGAAGGTTAACTGACTTATGCACGAGGTGCAGCTGTCAAACGGCAAACGCTCGGCGGATACTGTGTGACGTCTGCACAGCGCTTTGCTAATGAACCCTTTGCACTATTCTCGTGACGCTTCCCTTACTCAACCAACCGCTTCTGCCGGAATCATATCTCGCTCAAGGGTCCTCCTACATTGGGATGACTGATGTCCTCTTTCCAGCTGACTTGATATCGACTGTTTCGAAGACAAGCTTCTTCTTCTCTCCCTACCACGATAACGGCATCCTGATTACCCCATCCTAGACTCAGAATCCCTAGCATGTCGTCCACAACCAACGGCAACGGCAACGGCAACGGCCACGGCCACGCCGCCCACCCCCCAACCAAGAACAAGAAGCGAGTCATCGTCGTCGGAGCCGGAGCATCTGGCATGTCCGCATGTCACGCCTTCTCCCTCTCACCCTTCGAATTCGACGTTACTCTCTACGACAAGCAATGTTCCCTCGGCGGCTCCGCAACGTCCTACCAACTCCCCGACCCAGCCAAGTACCGATCGCAATACATCAACGATGGAGTTCAAGGAGCATCTCCGGTCTTCTACAATACTTTTAAAGTCTTCGAGCACGTCTTGGGCTTCAAAGCACAGCAAGTCGGAATGCAAATCTCGTTCGGTAAAGGAAAAGAATCCTTCTGGTCTAACGTTTTCCCCTCGGAACTCGTCGAAAAGTATTCCAAAGATATCAACAGGTTCGGCACAACACTCAAAACAATCAAGAGGTTTGAGGTGCTGTTTGCGGTGATTCCCGTTCATAGGATGTTGAAGATGTTTGCATTTTCCGACGAGTTTGGCGAGAGGATGGTTTATCCGTTGGTAGCCTTGTTCTTTGGGACGGGGAATGATACGAAACACATCTCGTCGGCGATCTTGGAGAGGGTTTTCTTGGATCCTAGTATGAGGCTCTTCGAGTTTTCCGAGGATAGTCTGTTGGCTAGTGTACCGACCATGATGGCTTTCCCCGAGCTAGCCCGAGTGTATGCCGCATGGGAGGATGAGATTACCAAGAATGGCAACATTCGCGTCGAAACCTCCCGGGAAGTTACCGAAATTCAACGTAACACCAAAGAAGCACGCAAGCGCGGAGGAAACATGCTCATTACTTCTCGTAGGGTCGATAAGGAAGGTAAACCTCTCACTACGGGTGATGAAGAGGAGCAGGTGGAAGTTTTCGACGAGCTCATCCTAGCCTGCGATGCCGATACCTCGCTTAAGATTCTCAACAAAGCAGCGACTTGGAGAGAACGCAAGATCCTCGGCTCGATCCTTTACCGCTGGGACATTACCACCACTCACAATGATTACGAGTATATGTCCAAACACTACCAAATGACGTACGATCCCAAGTACAACGCCAAAAACCGCGATGACAAGGAGACGAAAGAATCGTTCGAATTCGCCGAAAAGAACTGGAAACCTCTCTACCTCATCAAGATGTACCAAGACGATCCAGCCCTGATTGAAATGTCTTTCGACCTGACCAACTATCAACCGCAATTCTCCGGTGTCGGACCCACTGGGCCACGAGAACGTGGTGCCCGCTCACCCGAATCTGCTCCCCCACGCGAACGTCAAGGACCACACGGCAAGCAAGGAGACTCACAAGAAAAAGAACTCTCACCATTCGCCTCTTCCAACGCAGACGAGTTAAAGGAACCTCCGGTGCAAGACCACGTATTCCAAACGATCTTCCTTAACAAAGAACTTTCCGAAAAATGGACCCGTGGCGAGATCTGCAAGGATAAAATCATCCTTGAGAAGTGGTGGAAACAGCAATCGCATCGCTGGACACACTACGCATATGTTGTGCCTTGGCTTTGGTTGATTAATGGTGCTAACCATACGAATTATTGTGGTGGTTGGACTCTGGTGAATATGCAAGAGGTTGCGATTGTCAGTGGATATGCGGCAGCGGTGGCGATCGGGGCCAAATATCCGTTTGAAGAGGATAAGGAATGTGCGAGGTTGTTCAATTTGTATAATGCGTTGGCTCATTTGAGTTTTAAGAATGCCAAGAAGGCGTTGAAGGGGTAGAGCTCAGTGATGATGTTTCACAGATACCTTGATGTTGCTTAGACTATTGTATACACGCATACCCTCTTACTCGTAATCGGACTCAGTTCATGTTTGGATAATGACATGCGGTTGCAGTGTGCTAGCGTCAAGTTACTCGTCTTTCTCGCCCTTTGAAAGCTTCGGCAGTGACGCTTCCAACAAAGGCCGAATCCCCAACCAGCCAATGACAGCTGCTACGACCAGCAACCATCCAGCACCAAGCGCAGTCGCCGGTACTCGACCCAGATACAACCTTTCCAACGTGATGTGAATCGGTGTTGTTCCCGCCACTTGCTCCTCGCCTTCCTTTTCTCCTCGGCTTGATGCAAGGCCTCCAAACACCGTCTCTGCAAATCTGAACAACACCTGCCACATCCCCTGCACCTGCACCCCCTCAAGACCGCCTACGGGAGGAATGCTGACCCCACTCTCTCGAACCTTGAAATGGAGATAAAGCTTAGGACACGGAAAGCGGGGAGCACTACTCTCGTCTTTATTAAGAGTGATCGTTTCAGTAGCCAGTATTTCCCCTTTCAATTTGGACCCTCGGGTCTGTTTGAACACGATATCGCCACCACCACTTTCTTTAGCCTTTTCTGGTGATTGGGGTGCAGCAGTCTGCCTAGGCACAACACTAGTCACAATCGCATGATTCGGCACTCGCTCAATCATCGTCCTCCGCTCGGCTCGGCTGCCTTCAGATTGGATAGGTTGCGCGTCGACCAACTCAGCCTTCCACTCAACCCCACCCCACTTTAAGACTTGTTCAACACCCATTATCTCCAGTTCCCCGTCCAACGCCAGGTTTGCCGCGATAGAACTCCGAACAGCGAACCGTTTCGTAAAGAACCAAGCTACAGAATCGATCGTTTGTCGTACCCATCGATCGCGGGGGTTTAGGTCCAAGTACAAAGCGGCGTCGCGAGGAGAGGGCAGGGTAAATTGGTTGTTGTTCGATAGATCAAGCGTCAACCACGCGCCGGTGGAGTTTGAAGCGGAGGGTGGAGAGGGGACGATGGAGAATATTGACGGTGTTGAGGAGGGACGAATGACAGGCCTGCACGGTTAAGGAGAGATGGAGTCAGTGAATGTGGCTCATCAGGCAAATGCTTCATACGAAGGCATACGAACAAGTGTGGATTGACAACAGTTGATGCAGTTGCGCTGTATAAAACACACGAGGACAAGTCTCAAACTCACCAAGTGGAAGAAAGTTGATCAGCAGCCTTTGCAGCCAAATGACCATACTCGTCTGCTCTGCACAAGACTGGACCAAAGTTTTGGATCTCTGTGTTCGCTTCCACTCCTCCTGGGCCTACCATTGCTACTACTGCTGTTAGCAACGCAAACAATCGCAGCATCCTGCCTTTTCCTTGCTGCCCCGCCCCCTTGACTCCGTTCACCTCCACAGGGGCGGCGGAGGGATTGAGAGGTTCGAAATCGCTTTGAAACCTTCTAGCTTTCATGCAGCCCTCCGTTTGCAAGCTCTTCCCCTTCACTGACGGTGAAAAGGGCCTAGTGAGAGTCGAAAGAGCGTTATAAACCATCTCCAGGATGTAAGCTGTCAAATTGATCCATGCATAAAAGATCATAGGGATGAGACCCATGATGAGGTTGCCTACCACCCCTCTCCTCCGAATCGTATCATAAATCTCCGTCTCCACAATTCTCTTTGCATCCTTATGCTTATACGGACCGCACAACCTGTAAAATGTCGGGAATGCCGCACCGAAACAATAGATCAGCGTAACCTTGCATCCATACTGCCACCACAACTCTACCAACCCGGGAGCACTACCCATATCCCTTGCCAAGGTGGAAACGTAGGAAGAGTAATCGACACCATACTTGATCCTTGCATTCTCCTTCACCAACAGGTAGTAGTGCGGGGTAGACAGCGGGGCGGGAATCTTATTCCGCAAGATGAGGGTCCAAAGTTGAGCTTGCATCTCAGCAATTGGTGGAATAGCTCCAACGCCGGGACGGACAAAGCCAATAAATGCAACGGTAGGGTCCTCGGGATCGAACACATCTCGACATCGAACGGTGGCTGGTACTGGATATTCTTTGGATAAAAAGTCGAATTGCTGGGTGTATCCTGTAGCGTAGACGACTACATCGGGTTTGACTGTTCGGTTGCGCATTCTGAGATCCTCCTTGCGGCCATTGCGGAGGAATTCTACTGTGCCATCTTGGCAAACTCGGGCGGGGAAGGGTGCGAGGTCGACGGATACTTCTTCGGGTTTGACTGTGGGTGGGTCGAGGTAGCTTGTGATTTTCTCGAGATAGCGATTCCGTTTCTTCCATCCTCGGTTGATGTAAGGCATTGCTTTGCTGGATTTATTGAGGAAAGTGTACGCGCGGCCCAATCGATGCGGTTCGAGTTCTCCGACCCATTGGTTGCAGCCTGCTTGTGTGCCGGTGAGACACCAGAGCAGGCGCTTGATGACAAAGTCGGAGAGGAACCAGCGCAAATGAGCACCTGCTACCCAGGGATGAACGTATGCAGTCTCGAACAGGTTGGTGATCAAGCCATCGATGGGTAGATTCCCGTCGAATACATTACCGAAGACGACGAAATCAGCCAATACGGCAGGGAAGAGGAGGAAGCCGGAACGGGTGCAAAGGACAACCTCCTTTGCACCAGCTTTGACAGCTTCATATGCCATGTCCATTCCTGTTTCACCCGTGCCGAGAATCATGACTCTCTTGGCGCGGTACAAGGAGCGGTCTTTGTACTGCGACGAATGGAGAGTAATGATCTGCGAAGCATCCTTGGCATGCTCTACTGGCTCTGGGATACGAGAAGCGACCATCTCCTCTGATCCCATCCAGTTGGTCACCTTCTGATCCGCCTCGATCGTCGGCGGCAAGCCGGGAATGTTGGGCAGCGCAGGAGTAACATGCAAGCCAGAAGCAACACAAAGATGGGTGAATAGCTCGGATTGATCTTGCGCCCCCTCATTGCCTTGCTCCAGAGACCTATAGCGCAAGAGATGCCCCCCATCAAGTTTGGCAGATTTGATCACCTTGGTTCGCATACGAAACTCGCATCTTTCCCTAAGCTTGAAGTGTGTGGTGTAGTCTTCGAGGTATTGAACGTATTCTGCGAGTGTAAGATGATCTTTATGTTCGAGGGGGAGACGGAAGTCGGAGTAGGAGGTGAGCTGTTTGGAAGAGACGAGGGTGGCGTTGGAGTAGGTGCGGTAACGGAATGTGCCGCCGATGTCGGATTGAGATTCGAAGATGGTAATCGAGGGTTGGAAGGTGGGGTCGGAGTAAGAGGCCTCGAGAAGGGTTTTGGCGGTGACGAGGGCGCTTGGGCCCGCGCCGATGATTGCTACCTTCATCGCAAAACAATAATAATATGAGATTGGCAAGATTGGCAAGGATGGTGTCAATCCGGAATGTTCTGCTAGGATGGCGAGCGGAGAAGCCGAAGAAGATGACAGAGCGATCGGAAGGGGGCCCGACAGAGACGCAGAGCTGACATTGTGAGTGACTTGGGCTGAAACGCAGAGCTGAGGATGGCAGCTGTTGTGTCTCTCGCTGCTGTCAAAAAGCTGAAAAAGGGTTCAAGGGTCGCACAGTTGGCCTCTCTTGCTCAACGAAATTGTGCAGTGGTATCTAATCTGACATCTCCAGTGCCAAGGAAGGACGACCGAGAAAAGGACAATGGAGCATCATTTATGGACTTGACGCGGCCAGAAAGGGTGTTAGGCCGACGTGACCATACGGACGATAAGGCGAAGCCTCGGTTGTTCCGAAAGTCGGTCGGCAAATATAAAAGCAGTTGTAGTGTACAGAGGAGAAAATTTCAAAATTCAGTTCTCTGCCAAAAGTCCAGTGGTAGTGGCAACATGCTTGTGCTTGCTGCTGCTGCTGCTGCTGTTTTGAAAGCGATGAGCTTCCTTTTGAATTCTAGTTGGACCTCGCGCCAATTCAATATCCTGAACAGCTTGCAATATCGGCACTTGAATTCCTCTTCTGCCTGCCGATTTTTACGCCCTTCTGAAATTCGTTCGCAACTTTTTTCCTCCTCCTCCTTCTCCTCCTTCTCCTTTGGCTCGTTTAATTTCGCGTTTCAATTTGGCTCTCAATTGTGCCAGAATTGTGTACTGTGCTGTACTGTGCTGTGCTGCGTTTTACTGCGCTTTGTCCTCTCTCGCCTGCTGTGCCGCTGTGCCGCTGTGCCGCTGTGCCGCCGAGTTGCCACTGCCGCAAAGTCCTCGGTGAATGTGCTTCGCACTCAACTGGAACGCCGTTTTCCGTTTCCACTCAATTCCTATCTCTGTCTCGAGGCAGCTCTCTCTCGTCTGGTCGTTGTCGTCGTTGTCGTCCTTGTCGAATCTTCACCACATACGCTGTCTCCACCCCACACAGCACGCACGTTTTCCACGCATCACTACATCCTTTCGCATTGCAGACTCAGTCGACAACAACATTCACCAGCCTCAGTGTAGCCGTACACACGCATCATTCTCTCATATACCCTTTCTGTCAGTCGTGGCTGTTGCAATCTCGGCTTCTTCATACCTTTCCAGCCTCGCTTCATCTTCATCATCCCATCGCTCCGATTCTGACAGCCTTCATTGCATCTGCCACTCTACCTTCGTGGCAGAACGTGCTGACACACCCACTACGACCTTCAGCCACTTCACACACGCTCGCTCCGAATCTCATTATCCATCGAGCATTCCAACTACCACGAACCTCCGGCATCTCGGTTCCTGATCTTCACAGGTCTAAAATCTCAAAAGCCTCGTTGTGCCGGCCTTGAAACGTCCCACCAGTGCTTTTGTTTCACAGCGACTTCCTGCTCGCTTTCATTTTAGCCTTCTCACTCAACAGATCACTTGTTCACCACTTTCTTCCATCTTGAAACTACACTCTCCTCTTCCTCCTCCTCTTCTTCATCATCGATACCAACGCCTTTCGGCTCTTCAGCACGCATGCATTCCCCACTTTGATCTGGTGATCCAGCCTAACACGCCACGCCGCTCGCCTTTAACCACCTCCTCCCTCACCATGCGGCGGAACACACTCCGGCATGGTGTTGCTTTCGGCGTCACGAGCCGCTCAGCGTCACTAACATCACACCGCCAGACATCAGCATCATCAACATCATCAACAACAACAACAACAACAACAACAACAACAACATCACCATCGTCATGTCGCACATCACGCCCAATTCGTCGTCGACCAGCATCTAGATCTGCTTTCGCCGCAGCAGCTGCCATACTCGTTTCGTCCTTTCTCCTTTCATCACCAGCAATGATGGCGCCTGTCGGTGCACAAATCGTCAAGGCTGCTAACCGCCCTGCTGCTGCCGACATGTCAGTCGACTCATACGCCTTTGGTAGCAGTAATCGTCGTGCCAAGCAGCAGTCTTTGTCAGACTTACAACCGCTAGACTTCGTCGATGATTCACATTCTCGACGTTCACCAGCAGCGCCATCCACATCACGACATGCGACAATACAGTCTCGCGATAGCAGCCATGCCTCTTCGATCGACGATATCGACGACTACCTTCCCGACCTTCCCGACCTTCCCGACCATCTCGAACCAGTCCTACTGCATCGACAGTACGCTCGTCAATACGATGACCAGTCCGCCCTTTTCGGCGAGCGCGACCCGTCAATGTCGGAGCACGTACGTCAGCTCGACAACGAGCCAATAGACGCCACTTCAGCACACGAGTTTGCCGCTCGAGCATTATTCTCATCCGCCTCACAACGCTATTCGCTACCATCCACTTACCCATCCAGCATTGCTTCTTCATGGAGCAGACCAGAACGCAGTGTCTGGTTCCAGCAGAAAGCCATCATCATCACTTCCATCTTCCTTGCCATCTTCATCGTCCTCTTCATTGGTGCCGCTGTCTTCTTGCGCGAGAGGAAGTTCGATGATCAACTTGCAGGCTTGGACGACGAAGAGGCACTAGCACGTATCGAAGAGCGCATGACCATCGGTCGATTCTCTGATCCTACAGAGAAAGACTCTGGCATGCCTGGTGCGAGATTGAAGCGGAGATTAGGGATAGGTAAGAAGCCCTCTCAGAAGGACGGTAATGATCAGCATTCTGATGATCCTTCGTCTGGCTCATCGAGTGCTGTCAAACGCCACAGGCATCTCGTTTCGCGTTGGACTAGGAGTAATCTGCGCGGTAGTAACGAGACGGCTCGTGGCACAAGCGATGGTACTTCGATTCCATCTAGTAGGTCGCCAAGACGTCTTGCGCTGGGCGATCCTCGTGCCCAGGAGGAGTCGGTCGAGATTACCTATAATAGCGACGGTGCCGAGATTTCACGTGTCGTCAATGGCGAGACTGGTGATTCGGCTAGTAGGGGACGAGAAGCAAGCAGCGCAAGAACGGATGGTTCGACTACTCTCAACGATGGCAGTCCTACTTCAGACCTCCTTGCCAATCGACCTCGTTCACCACCACCACCACATCCGGACAGCGGTACACAGAGGCATGCCGATCCGTCTTCTTCCGAAGGCAGATCTTCGTCCAATCCCGACACCCAAGGTGGTAACAGCAGTAGCAACATTGTGGAGCCTCATTCGCCTCGACGCGTTCTGTTGGACGACAGCGACTTCCAAGCAGCCGATGCACACGATGACATGCGACACATGCCTCCAGCTTACATTCCCTCCGGCTCTGGTGGCGTCTCTAGCTCAAACTACGACGGTACAGCGCTTGCAGCCGTTTTGTCGAGTGGCGATGCTAAGAACGGCTTCCCGCCTCCCGAGGAGCGTGATGCTACGGTGCCGACTGAGATCATCAATGCTGTTCTAGCCAATTCGCACCCAGCGGCGTTGGAGGACGAGTCCACGTCGAGACCAACAGCTGCACACATTGCAACAGACGATAAAGCTGTACTGGCTGCACTGTCGGCTACTGCTAGCATGCCTTCAGCTCCTGGTGCTGTGGCGAATGCAGCTGCTCCTGCATATGGCGAAGATGCTGGTGCAAGTGGCAGCGGCGGTGGTGTACCTTCGGGTCCCTCAGCTCCGGCGCTGGCGGTAGATGATGATGGCTTTCAAGTTCCTTCTGCTGCTGATGTTGCCGATGTCTCTTCTGCGGGCGGCAAATCGACAGAGAAGGCGGCAGCTGGCAAGGGCAAAGCCAAGCAAGAACATTCTTTGCTTCCCGCTCCACCGACTGCGGTAGAAGCAGCTTTCTCGCCTTTCGATCAACCGTATCGTCTCTCTGCTGTACCTCCTGGGGGCGCTAGTGTGCCGGAGTCGGCTCCAACGGCAAGGAAGAGCGAAAAGCAGAAGGAGGCGGAGGAAGAACAGTTGGCGAACCTGGTCGCTTCACAGCCAGCAGTGGGTGTCCCGGTGTATGAAAGGGTGGATGCCAGTGCGCCGCCGCTGCTGGGTGAGGGTGAAGAAGAGCAAGGGGAAAGGAGAGTGGGTGAGGGATTGCCTGCTTACGAGCGCAAGACGGCTCAAGCTTCAGCTCCTTCTGCCCCGTCAGCTCCTCCAGCAGACGATCATGAGGAGGAGAACGATCGCCAGCGCTGATCCTCTTGCCCTTTACTCAGAGATACCTTCTCATTTGCACGCAGTCTTTCAACGCAACTCTCACACATTCACACACAGAGAATTATATCTATCATCACACCTTGGTTCCTTCTCTTGTATTATTTGTATCAACAGTTTCGATCGTAGAATACATTCATGGTTTCTATCGTTATCCTTCTTGATTCTCTCATTTGCTTTGTGCCTCTGCTATCTTTGAAGGAGCACGAGATTAGCTCTGTTTGCTTCCTTGTTGTTGCCTCGCGGTGGATTGCATGGCTGTTGTGGCTAGCCTTCCAAATTTGCGATGGTCTGGAGTTTTGATGTGAGGATATAGTGTGTGAAAAGGCGACAAAAGATGTTAGCATAGAAAATGCGAGTTCCGAGCATTTTGCAAAGAGGTTGTGGAGAAGAGCAACACCTCTTCGCCTTCTTCAGGGTCTTGCTTCTTTCTCTCCTTCTCGTCTGTTCTTCTTTGCTTCTTCCGACACCTTCTTTCAGTCTCCTGGCTTTCCTTTCTATTTTCACGGCCTCTGCATTCGTTCTTCTATCTCGACCGGTCGCACTCAACGACGCAGCTCAAGCAAGGACCAACAAAGCGCCTCACAATTTTCCTTGGTCATTTCCACGACTGCTCTCTTTCTTCTTCGCAGAGCCCAGCAGATCGCTTTCGTGTCTTCGAAGGTGGGTGGACGTGCGACGGATTTAACTTTGGCTCCTCGATTGAGGTCGAAACGGGCGAAAGTATCAGCGGGTAGTAGCAAGGTCAAGGCCAACGGTAGGTGAAATCGACCTTCAGCTCTTGGCTCCGCCTCCCAGCCGCCCCTGGCCGTAGCTTCTTCTCTCCTCTCGTTCCGCCCGGCTCCCAGGTCTTCCTCTTCAACTCAATCCCTGACTTCCACTGACGCTAGTCGTCATCCCTCCAACCATCGGTGGCAGCACTTCCAACCCTACTTCCCGACTATACCTGAACAAACCTCACCTTCAAACCCTCAATACCCGATTTTCCACGATGAAAGAAGCATTCAGCACCCCACTCCAAGGCTACGATGCATTGCGAATCCTAACACAAATCCTATCCCTTCAAACGCTTCATTACCTCATCCTTGCAACCCTCCTGCCGCCATTTCTTGCTATCTTTGCCGAGACATCATCTCTAATGTTTGAGGGGGGCCCTACACAAGTAGGAATGGTGTTCGACTGGAGGCAAGTTGCTTCTAGGCCCACTTATGATTGGTTACCGCCAAAAGATATTTTGGATCAGAGGGAAGGCTGGAAGGGGTGGATTGACCCTGGTCCAGGTGATGGGGATGGGGGAGAGGGGGATGGAGGAGAGGGGGATGGAGGAGAGGGGGATGAAGGAGAAGGGGATGGGGGAGAGGGGAATGGGGGAGAAGTGGAGATTGATCCAGCAGTACTAGTTCGGTGGAATCTGGATAATGTTTGGCTAGATGCCCCTCTCCCAGGCAGTAGTGGGGTACAGGGGAGAGTTTTGGACCATGAACAAATTCTTCGCTATAAATCTTCCAACCTCACCACTACCTCTTCTGACCCCAACCCATCCTCACCTTCCTCCGAATCCGAAATTTCAACCCAATCCCCTACAGTAGAAAGCGCAATCGAACATTGGGAATGGGACCATACACGAGATTCACATAGATCTTACGTCCTTATTGTAACCTGGCTCCTAACCGCCCCACTAGACATCTTACTCCTAGTCTACTTAGTCCGTCGCCCAACGCATATGCTAGACCACGCATTAACGTTGCACTTCCTAAACCTGCTCATCACCTCGCTCTACGTGGGTAGAGTGCCAAGTAGTCTGGTCTGGTGGTTAACAATGTTAGTTCATGCAGCAGTGACGATTGTTTGGAGCGAACAGCTGGCGATTAAACGCGAGATGGGTCGGAGTTTGGGGTATAGTTTGGTTGGTAGTGGCGATGGCGATGTCGAATCAAGAGGGGTGGTAGGAGGGAGAAAACAGAGTGATGCTCATCTTGTCTTTGATTCTGAACAGGAGGGGTTAACGAGAGGTGGGGAGCGGTATGAGATGAAACCTCTGTAACATTCACATCGTCTAGTATAAGCGGATCGATAAATCTCAAAAGCGGCCAGGTCATGCCAATGTGACAGTCGTTCCCAACAAACAAACATCGAACATGGGTGACATGCGCAAAAGGGTCACTTTCAGTCTGATCAAGCACAAAGAGGGCAACATCGTATTAGACAAAGCAAAGACAAACTCTTTTCCACCAACGCAGGCTGTGCTGTTCGACTCGGAGCCTCGAACTCCGATACCCAGCTCGCACCAAGCTAAATGAACAGATCTCAAACTTCACCGCCTTTGATCCCCGCCGGCATCTACGGATTACCTGGCCAAACCAAACCATCCGGATGGATGATCCTCACCAACTCCCTCCCATACCCCTCACTACAAAACGGATCGACACGATACCTCGGCGGTAACCCTTTCCCAACCGCAGTCGAAGCAAGAACACAGACAGCTATCGAGGTGCTGAACGGTTTCGCGCATTCCGGAACCTCTTCGTTTCGATCCTCACTCTCCACAGTAGCATACTGGCTGTTCTCGTGATACCAATACCGAATACTTTGTTGTTAACAAACCGAAAACAGGTTTCGTCGGATGGTCAGTTTACCCGTATGATTCACTGATGAACTGTGGGCGGTATGCAGCACTGTACGAAGTGATGGAAATACGATTGCGTGGGAGGGTATGCGGTATCTATGAGATGCAAATGTGACGATATGGTGAGAGATGGAGAGACGGGGCTTACTTTGCTTTGCTGCGTCGCTTCGGACCGAGTTGCACGTTGGAAGCATTTTGGAGCCAGGCGTATTCATTGGAACTGGCTTTACTGGTGTTAGAGGAGGTGTCTGACGCACGAGCTTTGCGTTTGTTGTTTGGTGAACGAGCTGGGCTCTTTTGTCCGGCGTTGGCTGAAGTTGGTGGTTTGGAAGTCTCTGTTGCGGGTCCTGGTGCTTCAGCGGATGTGGAAGAGGCTTGATTGGTGGGGGTTGGTTTGCGCTGAACCATTTCAAGAAGAGCTTGCATGGGAGGATAAGGCTTTCCAGAGCCTTGAACCCGAGCTGGCGCTCCTTGGCCTGGCATAGGGAATTGCGCATCATCATCTTCGTCATCGAGTCGTTCAGGTTCGACAGAGAGACTCGTGCGTGCTCTCTTCCTGCCCTTGCGTTGTGTTGTGGGCGATGCAGATCCTCTTTTGCCAGTCGCAGGTGGTGCAATGGCTGCAGAAGTGGAAGCTTGCGAGCCGATCTGGAACCCATCACGTGGAGTGGCGCGAGAGTCATGTTTACTGTGCTCGAGAGGATTGCTTGAGCGCGTCAGATCGACCAACACGTTGGCGTCAATGTTCTTGGTGTTGCGAACAGTGCGACGTTGACTCGGAGTAATGCCAACAAGCTCTTCCAACAACTTTGTCTTATTCTCGAGTTCGACTTCAAGAGCTCGAATGCGACGATCCTTCTCCGCCATACCGCCAGACTTGGCCGCGGAAGCACCCGGAGGAGCTAAGTTCTTCTTGGTATTCTTGATCCGAAGCTGATCTGCAAGGATGCAATTCTTGTCGTGTACGAGTATACGTTCCTTCTCCGCTGCCGCGCACTTTCTCAACGCTTCCTCCATCTTTTCGCGCATATCCACGAGCTGCCGTTCGGTCTGATGTTTCATATTCGAGAGCTTCAGATTCGTTTCGAGCTGAACCTTGTTGTTTTGGCTTCGAAGCTCAGCTTCCTTCCTTTTGAGAGCCTCTTGCTCGGTCCAAATGGTCGCAAGAAGATCTTTGTGTCGGGCCTGCATCAGTTCGACATCGTGCGCGCGCCGATTCGCTTCCATAAGCCTTCTCTCGGCATCAGCAACTTTCACATGGGCATCTTTGAGCTTCTGGTCCGCCTGTTCTTTCTTTTCCTGCGCTTCCTTCCCTTCCTTGTCGAGCTTGGTTTTAAGCTGCCTGTTGCGGCGAACACTACGGTTGAGATCGTTCATCAGGTTTTTGAACTCTGCAGCAGCGTTCTCAAGTGCGTCCAAGGCCAACATCAGCGATTCCGACGCTTCTTGACCAGTGTCTTTGGTGAGATCGACTATTAGCTTGCGGATTCTGATGCCAGACTTGTACACGTAGTCCAGTCGAGTAGTATGCACGGCCATCACATAGTTCTGAATGGAAGTGTTGAAGTCGATCAGGTCGTTGAGTAGTTGGTTGTATCGAGGAACGTTCTCTTCAGCGTCTTCGATTAGATCGCCATTCTCGTTTATGGCCGGCATTGACTGTTGGCGCTGACCGTCGAGGTAGGTGGTGAGGTCCTCGCCATCGGAGGGAAAGAGCTTGATTCTGCTGGCGGGGTTTGTCTGTTTTGAGCAGAGCGGACATCGTCGATTGTTGCTGCGGCTGGTGTTGACAGCGGAAGGTCCAAAGAACCAGGACTCGAGACAACTCCAGTGGAAGATATGGCCGCATGGTAAGGCTGTGCCTCGCATAGCATCGCCTTGCTCCTCGTCGAAGCCATCGAGGCAGATACTGCAGCCCATGGCTGAGAGGGCCGCTGCTGCGTTGCGAGGAGTACGCTATGGCTGTCGCTAGGTGTGTAGGGTGCTTTCTGAGAAGCTCAAGCTACTTGATAGAGAGATGGTGGTTTGGTGGTGATGGTTGGCGGAGAGGGGAAAACGGCCCGACCACCTGTCTATATAGATCGGGTATTCCACTGCGCAGTCGCGGAAGATGCGGATGTGATAAGTGCGGAGAGCTTCTTCTGTACAATCACATCACGTAGCCTGCTGTTCCGCTGCTGCTCCGCCTCCTCCTTGACGATTGAGAAGGAGTGAACCTTGAACCCACACTGCAACGCCCTTCACACCGAAGCGGAACGCACAACGCTGGACCAGTGAGGATCACTCCTGCTGAGTTCGATTTGGGGCTTGCATTCGTGAGCCTGTTTGTGGTTGTGAGTGTGACGGAAAGTAAGAGAGGAAACCCCTTTGATGATCACCGTTGAAGTGATGAGCCGTTTGACAGGTCCCACTTTTCTTTTCCTTGTTTCGGAAAGGGTCCGAATGTTGGTTTGGCGCTGTTCCTACTCTTCCGCGACGCGTTGAGGCGTCTGCTCATAAAGAGCTCAACCGATTTCTTTTCACCTTGATTCGGAGCATCCGAAGTTTCTTCTTCCTTATCACCTCATCGCCTCGTTACCTTCCGTCTGGCCGCGGCAACCTCCAAGCAAAGGAGCAGAGGAAGGATTCTGCTTCTGTGGTATGTGATCACGATGCTGGCGCCAAAAAGCACACACAAGCGAAAACGCAGTTCGGCTCGCTCCGACAAGGCACGCAAACTTGGACCTTCTCGATGGATCGTTAACCTTTTGCCCTCACAATCGATTGCGGAAGAAGCGACAAGATCACTCAGCAACGTCGGACCATTCCGAAACAGGCGACTGGAGAAGATGGTCGATGCGCATCCATTCAATCGTTCACTTGAGCTCATCTTGCCGCTCTCCTCCGACTCTTCTGAAGCTGCTGTCGATGCTGATTTCCCACTTCCATCTCCCGTCCAGTCTCTCATCGACAGAATATCAGCTCTCGCAGCATCACATCGTTCTTACAGTGCTCGAGTTCCGCTCAGCCTGCTACTAGATCCTATCTTTGTCACAGCGTACCTCAAGACCGGATCGTTGATAGCGCTGAGTGATGCATCTGGTGCACCTGGCTTTACTCCCACCTCGGACGACACAGTCTGTCTTGACGGTCAAGGAACACTCGTGCTGTCGCTGTGCAAAGATACATACCAGACACTGGGCCTGACAGGAAGAGCGAGTCACTTTTCCCGCTTGTCCTCGGGTCGGGCAGCGGATCGAACGAGCGGGCCTGATTCCCGGTTTATTGTCGAGCTTCCACTCCTATCTCCGTCGTTTGTGCCAGGCAAGAAGGGCTATCAACAAGCATTGGATAGGATAAGGGCATGGGATCGATCACGAGCACAAGCGTTGGTTAAGGAACATACGATCGCGCAAACACATGCTTCGTCCAAGATCTCAAGATCTTCAGGATCGAAAGAGGAGATCACGAGCGAACACGCGACATGGGACATGCATTTCGTTTGGTCGCCCAGCAGAGCCGCTGTTGAGTCCAACGCCCGTTCAACAGTTGACAACGAGATTCGCTTCCCAGAACATCTGGTGAGACCACAAGACGTCGAGTCTATCCCATTGCAGCCTCTCACTCCGGTGATCACAGACTCAGTATGGATTCCGACCCCCACCGAACATCCGCTATCCGCACCGTGGCGAGAGAACGAAAGGCACTTCACAGAGCTAGAACCCTCTCAGGACTCTACACAAGCCTCATGGACGACTTATCAAGACGGACTGCAGGAAGCAATCGAATGGGCAGGTTTGGCTTCCTTGGGTGCTCCTGCTGTTCGAACGTTCAACAAGCCAGATGCCACTTGCGTCTACAGCCCTCCGCGACCCTCACAGCCAGGTCGGATCGTCAAGCTCACCGTAGCTGGCAGCCGTCAAAGCCCACTTTTGCTGAATCCTTTGCTGATCTCTCAGATTGCTGCCCACGTCGATCGCATTATGTCCCTTCCTAATTCAACTAAAGGCGGTGCAGAGAGGGTGGAATGGGCAACTCTCTCATGCGCAGGTTTCCCACACGCGCCACTCACTTGGCGAGCAAAGGTACCACTCAGCTCCAGGTACGGCGCGAAGGAGCTACCTGGTAGCAAAACCAATACACACCTTGCTGCTGCTGCGGAAGATGCGGAGATGACAGATGCCTCCTCATCCTCAGAAGAGGAGAGTGGGCAGGATAGCGATGCGTCCCTCGACATGGGCGATATTGACACATCCAAGCGAAGGATGAAAAAAAGATTAAAGCGGAACGTGGGAAAGAATCAGACAGAACACATGTTCACCCCGAATACGGGCGAGACTGGCTGGGTGAGCTTCTGTCTCAAGTCAAAAGAGAAGAAGCAGACAGGCAGATGGGCCTTTGTCGAGCTGGTGGGTAGTGATACCCGGTCATAATTGCATCCAAACATCGCCCTGAACTCAATCAAAACGGAACGGTGTGTGCTTGTGGGCATAGTTTGCTTGCTGCAGTGTGTGCTTTTGTTACAGATCTGATGCTCAGAATGTATGCTTTGTAATAATTCCAACGGCTGTCTTGAGCAGCACTCAACTCCTCCTCACCACTCGCCAGTCCGCATGTATCGTACACTAATCAAAAGGCCCAAGATAATCCTCCTTCATAGTCCCAATAGCGAAAATCTCATTCGCATCCACCCTCGTACCAACAATTTTAATCCTCACCTTCCTTCCCTTCACCAACCTATCACTTGCACTGACGAACTCTGGTGGATTACTTTCCGGTTGAAACCTGTACTCGATCGGTATCAAATGACTTGATACAAAGATATTCAACGGTCCAACCTCTGCAAAGAAACCCATCTTGTTCACATTCGTAATCTTTGCATCCATAACCTCTCCTTTGAATGGTTTCAATACAACTGCTTGATAGGTCGAGTTGAATTCAGCTAGGCCGGATCCGGGGATGACTTTTCCTTGACCAACATCAATCATACCGACCACTTTGATGATGTAGCCGTATTTGCCTGTGCATGTTCCTTCAACGTCATCGCGAAGCTTTTGGTTAAGGAACTCGACCATGGACGGCCCGAAGTAGGATGGGTGGAGCTCGGTTTTGTGTGTGAGGTATTTGAGGAAGAACATCTTGGCGAGATCTTAAAGTTGTGACCGAATGGAGGATTATACGAGCAGAATTTTGATCCTGATGGAAGGGAGAGATCTGAGCAGAAGCACAAATGGCTCTGCAACCTGGTCCCAAGGTCCCAGACTCAAGGCTGCCAGCTAGCTACTCTACCAGTCGCTTAAGCAGTCTTCAGCGCCCTAATATGCTTTGGATCGCGGAATGTCGGTGAGACGAGGTATGGGTAGGTCAAAGATAGAGCCTTTGTGCAAGATTTCCTTTGACTGTGCCGGAGAAGACGCGGATTGAAGATGTCGTCAAATGGTTGTCAGAAGTCGATTGCAGCGGCTCTTTTGCGAGAGGGAGTTGGAAATAGCAGCCGGGTCAGCTGGTAGCTCCTTATCAGCTGAAGAGGTGCTGCCAACGTGCGGCAAGGATGAAAGGTGGTAAACGAGACAAAGAGTCTAGAGGAAAGGAGAAAGAGAAATTGGATGCGTCGATGAAGGGCGAAATGCACCATCTTCTCCACTCACTCTTTCGCGCTTCTTTCTTGCCAATGCGCAGGTCACGTGTCGGCCTTCTGTCAGACCCTGAACCTTTTCGACACCACTTTCCATCTTCCGGCCTCAACAACCATCAAGCTTTCTCTCCTTCCACATCGACATCTTCTCCTCCACGAGGCACGGCAATCACTTCAACCCCCCTGTCGCAATCCCAGACCGCGAGCATAGGTCAAGATGGTAGGTGATGCAAGCCTCATGACACCGTTCCTTCGAGAGAACTTCATTACTGACCCTTAAACCTCGTTTTGTGTATCGACGTAGGGTAATGACGGAGGCTCAATAGCCAAACGAGACGAACTCGTCCGAACCAAACCCTCCTCCGAAAAAGTCGACCCTGAACTTCTACGACAATCTCTGTACACAGTTTGCACTCTCTCCCGCCAGCCCCTCACACCACCTGTTGCATCCGACCCCTTGGGAAAGCTATACAACAAAGATGCGGTGGTACAACATCTTCTTTCCCATCACGCAATCTCCTCATCCTCGCCATCAGCACCGGATCCAACCCCGCACATTAGGGGCTTACGAGATATAGTTGAACTCAAACTCACCCCGAACAACCTTTACCGTCCACCATCACCTTCTTCACCCACGAGCGAAGGTTCAGTATACCCATTCATGTGTCCTCTTTCAAGGAAGCAGATGGACGGAAAGCAGAAGTTTGTATACATCGCAAGCTGTGGTTGTGCTATGAGTGCTACTGGACTCAAAGCTACAGTGGCTGCGTCGAAAGGGAATGATGGGAAGGAAGAGGAGTACAGACCTTGTCCGGTGTGCGGCAAGCAGTTCAACGCGGGGGGGCTTGCAAAAGGAAAACAAGCAGAGGTAGGCGGGGATGTGGTAACGATCAATCCGAGTGCGGAAGAGGAAGCGGAGATGAGAGATGTGATGGAGAAAAGGAGAGCGGAGGAAAAGGCGAATAAGAAGAAGGCAAAAGCCAGAACAGCAGATGAGGCAGAAGCTCCAAATGGAGATGCGGAGGAGGATAAGGCGGAAAAGAGGAGGAGGAAAGCTCAGAAGAAGGCAAAAAAAAAGTGCAAAGATTGCAGCTTTGCAGGCTGAACTAGCTGCTGAGCAGTAGGTGGCTGGAAGACAGCAAGATGCGACTCGGTCTCAAGACTCAGCAAAAAGCTCGCCGCTCATTGCTGATGACGCTTTGAGTTGTTCTGGCCAATTCATCATCTCAACACCTCAGGAATTGTCCCGACTTTGTCGACGTCTTTGCTCCAGCGACTCTTGCATGTTGTGTTCCAATGTAATTGTATCTTGTCCATGTTCCATTAATGCAGCCTACCAGATACCCTCCACACATCATGCTTGCTGCGTCGTTCCCAATCGAGTAGGACCTCGTCAGTTTCTGCACTGCGATGAGATGCAGTCAGTCCAAAGTACACATACAGCTGTTGTCGGCGGGGGTTTGGAAGCGGAAGCAAGCAAGCAAGCAAGCAAGCAAGCAAGCAGTAGAAGTAGGTAATGATTTCCTTACACAAAACCAGCGAGCCAGAAATGGAGTTTCAAGAATGTTTATGTAGATTGCATTGAAGTCAACAAGCTGTGTGTGACCAAGCTAGGTAGTGTACGTGAGCCAGTGTTGTTCAATGCGGGTGAAATGGTCAGAGAAGATTTACTCGGTGCGCTCGGACTGGAGCTTAGCGTAGAAGGTGTCTCGTCGGGAAACCGAGGGGATGTGGACACCGTACCTGTCAATCCAACAAAATATGTGACAGGAAGCGAAATTTGAGCATGTCAGCACAGCAAAAGCATCGGGGGGAACCTATCAAACCCTTGTGATTGGTAGAATAATGGGGCAAGTACACACCAGTAGCCGTAACCAAGGGCAGTGCCACCGCCAAGAGCGACGGTAAGGTCAAGAATGAGTCGCTTACGCAACTTTCCGGTGATAGCGGGGATGGATCCGACGGGCATCTGCAATAAGAGCACAATGAAAAGAAAGACGGTTGAACAAGGTCGAAGGTTGGAGTGAATGTCAATAAGGCTGTTCTGTTTGTCGAGGCAAAGGTAGTTGGTTTGAGCGTGCAGCTCTGGCGTTGTTGCAAGGTGGTGGAAGGGACTGAGCGAGATACCGACTGTGACGATGTTTCTCGAAGAAGGATAGGTTCAAGAAGTGTGGTGGTGTTGAGTAGAGATGAGAGTTGATGTGGTTGAGTTGCTGATCGCGACGAGAACTGACTAAATGGAACTTGTCGGCCTGAATCGCATACAAACGCTGCCCAAGACGGTTCCGAAAAGCCGCGCCTTACAGCAATTTCGCTTTGTGCCCGATTTGAGAGAGATCGGAAAGACTCTGAAATTCCAAATTTCCGCTCGAACGCGTTTCAAGAGCAAAGAAGGTCTAACACCCTCATTGCATTTAATCGAATTCGGCCGTATGAATTGTCCCAAAAGCAGAGGAACGGTTGCAAACACTGACCGCTGGCTAACACACCGAATAGATGTAATGGAGGTAAGATCTTCCCTTCTAGACGATTGACCGAAGAGGGTCTAAGGAAAGGTGTCATCGTGCGTTTTAGTTGAGCAAGGGAAAGAGAGTCGATCCACAGTCTGGCCGCTGAGATCGGAAAGCAGCTCCGTTTCGCCGTTTTGAACAGTCTCGCGGCTGCAGCAACACGCACACACATCTCAGTTTACTTGCCCCTCTTTGATTTTCTCCACACTGCCTTTTCCATCCTGGCACAGCACCTCTCACCCTATTGGCTGCCTGCCCACTTTGATCAATTCGCTTGCCTGCCTGTCTCTCTCTGACCTCCCTCTTTCGCGTTGTCATTCTCACAGCCGAGCGCTTCTCCATCAGCATTGCCGATTCTTGCCTTCCTATCCTGCTCGTCATCATCATCATCATCATCATCCACCTACCACTCCTCTCCATCGGTGCACACACTTTACGTGCTATTAAAGTTGAGCGGTTCTTGCTACGAGCTCTCGCATCTAGCTAGACACTAGCTGCCTATTGTAATATCTCACCGGCATCGACCGGTACGAAGCTTTCTCTTCTCTAGCCCATTGAAGCAAGCCCTAAACAGGCATCTCATCACGTAGCAACCCGGTTGCTGCTGGCGCCCACCATGGCTTACGTTGCCCTCTGCAAGGCTCTCTACGACTACGTAGCACAGGCCGAAGACGAGCTCAACCTCTCCGAAGACGACTACCTCTACATTCTCGAATCCGACGATTCAGAATGGTGGAAAGCCAAGCTTCGTCGTCTCAACGAGGATGGCACTCCCATCCAAGACGACCCTGACGAGGGCACCGTCGGTCTCGTGCCTGCCAACTACGTTGAAGAAGCCGAACCCATTCGCCTTAGCCGAGCTCTCTACGACTATGAAGCACAGACCGAGGACGAGCTCTCTATGGCCGAAGACGAATTGCTACGTGTTTACGAGTCTGATGGCGTCTGGCTGCTTGTCAAAAAGCAGGGCAACGATCCTCTCAGCGGTGGTGAGGGCAGACTAGGCTATGTGCCTGCCAATTACGTCGATGAAGCAGAGGCCGTCGATACAGGTACTGCGCCCGTCACTGAGGACCAATATGGCGCTGCAGAAGACGAGGAGGAGGAGGACGACGACGACGACGATGCGGATGTCACTGGCTCCGGTGCAGCCATCCCACAGATTCAACTCCCACAAACAGCCCACCTCGGTAAGGGTGACGAGATCAAGATGTGGCCTGTCTCGGCTCTCGACACCAAGAAAAAGAAGAAGAAGGGCACCCTCGGTATCGGCAACGCCTCCCTCTTCTTTGCCTCCGAAAGCGACAAGACTCCCGTCCAAAAGATCAGCGTTCTTCACATCGCCAGCCACTCGCTCGAAAAGGGCAAGACGCTCCACCTTCAACTCTCGCCTGATGCGGGTATGTCCGAATCCAACCTCGACTTCCACTGCGGCTCCAAAGACGCTGCCAACGAAATCGTCCGCAAGATCGAGGCGAGCAAAGCCAATGCACTCACCGCAGCTGCCGCCCCACCAGCTTCTCCCGCTGCACCTCCTGCTGCCCCTGCTGTGGCTACCGCTGGCGTTCCACTGCCACCTCCTCCACCGCCTGCCCCGCCTGCACCTCCTGCCGCCGCTTCCACACTGCCTCCTCCTTCACGCACTGCCGGCGCCGTCCTGCCACCGCCTATCCGCAAAACCGTCTCCTTTCAATCACAACAGGAGGCCGCAGCAGCAGCCGAGCCGGAAGAGACAGTCGAGCATGGCATTGCTATGTACGACTTTGAGGCCCAGGGTGATGACGAGCTTACCGTCGCCGAAAATGAGCATCTCATCATCCTCGAGAAGGAGAATGACGACTGGTGGAAAGTCAGGAATGATGCTGGCCAGGAGGGTGTCGTGCCTGCAAGCTACGTCGAAGCATCAGACGCCGCTGCCTCGGAGGCTGGTGCTTCATCTGCAAGTGCATCCGCTGCCGCTCTTGCCGCACAGCAAGAGGAAGAAAAGCGAATCCGTCAAGAGGAGGACGAAGCTGCTGCTGTCGCTGAAGCCGAGCGTCAACGTGAAGCTGCTGAGGCTACCGCACGTCGACAGAGAGAAACGGATGAGCGCGAGAAGGAGAGAACTCGACGAGATGCACTCAAGGCTCAACCTGCACCTGCCCCACCCAAGCTCACACAACGTCCCAGCACCACCGAAGTCACACGCGCCGCTAAGGACGTCTCGATCCCAACAGGGCGTAGTGCACCCGAACGACCCAAGGATGGAGGCAGTCGTTCCAAGCCTTCGCCTAACAACACCCGTATGTGGACTGATCGGACCGGCCAGTTCAAGGTTGAGGCCGAGTTCCTTGGATTCAATCAGGGCAAGATCCGTCTGCACAAGATGAACGGAGTCGTCATTGAGGTGGCGGTCGAAAAGATGTCGGATCGGGATATCGCTTTCCTCGAGGACATCACGGGCAAGAAGCTCAATCCGACGGACCAGGAGATTGCTGCTGCCTCTTCTGCTTCGCGTCGACGGGAACGAGAACGTCAGTCAAGCAGCCGATCGCAGGTGCCTTCTTCTGGTACATCCATGTCGCGAGAGGAGCGTGAACGTGAACGCGAACGCCGCAAGGAGAAGGAGCGAGAACAGCGTCGTCGAGAGCAGTCCAAGTCCGGTCCCAAGCGTAATGTGGACTGGTTCGAATTCTTCCTTGCCGCTGGTGTGGATGTGGACGAATGCACACGCTATGCAAGCTCGTTCGAGCGAGACAAGATCGACGAGACCGTGCTGCCGGACCTGGATCCTCCCACGCTGCGTAGCATCGGTCTGCGTGAAGGCGATATCATCCGTGTGACCAAGTTCATTGACAAGAAATACCGTCGCGACAAGACGCATACTGCTTCCTCTTCGTCTTCTCGTCAGTCAGGTCGTGTCAATGCCAACACGGCAGCTGACCTGGAGCGACAGATTAAGGCGGACGAGGAGCTGGCGCGCAAGCTGCAAGAGCAAGAGCAATCGGCACGTCGTGGTGACTCGGTGAGCCCTGCTCCGCCTCAGCTGTTCTCGGGTCCGGATGGAACGCTCAAGAACAACACTCGACGGGGCAGACCGACCCCCAAAACAACGGGCAGCAATAATGTGGATGCTGCTTCGTTGGCTGCTGCTTCCGAGTCGTTGGCACGAACCACTTCGCCACCTGCGCGAACGACCACAGCGAGCCCAGCTGCTGCACCCAAACGCACCGGCTCTTCGCTTGCCAACGGCTTCGATGATGATGCATGGACACCACGACCTCCCAGTACCAAGCCAGCAACGCCTGCTCGTCCCAATGTAGCATCGCCGGCACCGCCAGCTCCCACGCCACCTCCGGCTGCTGCTCCTTCGCCAGCACCAGCAGTCGCAGCCTCTCCTGCGCCTGCTGACCCGAACTCGGCGTTGTTCGAGAAGCTGGCAGCGATGAAGCCTCCCAGTGCAAGCGAGCGGCCGGGAGCCAGCCCTTCGCCTGGATCTTCGTTCTTGGGACAGAACCAGGCATACAACCCGAACGCGCCCCGTGGACCCTTTGCGCCTGTGCCAGCCAACCAAAGTCTCTTGCAACCGCTTGTTCCGACTCAGGGTACAGGTCAGTTTGTGCCGACCAAGTTGGGTGCTCAACAAACAGGGATGATGGGGATGCAGATGACGGGTATGCAGGGGATGCAGCCGCAACAGGCTGGATGGGGCATGCAAGGTATGCAGGGTATGCAGCCTCAGATGACGGGCTACAGCAACGGAATGGGTGGCATGGGTTTGGGTATGCAACCTCAGATGACTGGCTTGAACAATGGCATTGGCGGAATGAACGGTTCCTCGCCTTTTGCGGGAGGTCAGATGAATAACCAGCAAACTGGATTCCCGGGTATGCAACCCCAGCAGACGGGCTTGAACAACTTTGGACAGAACCCACAGCAGATGGCAGCGCAACAGACCGGGTTTGGGATGGGTTCACAGCAGCAGGTGTACCAGCAACAAGCAGCACAGGAGGAGAAGGACAAGTTCAACGCATCGAATATCTTCCAGCAGATGAAGACGGGTGCATTTGCGAAAGATCCGAATGCGGCACCTCAGTCGAGCGACAAGTACGATGCGTTGCGACCGCAGCCCACTGGATTCCAACCTGGTGGTGTTATGCCTCAGTTTACGGGGATGGGGATGGGGATGGGATTCGGACAGCAGCCTCAACAGCAGCAGCAAGGGTATCCTCATAATGGATATGGTGGCTACGGTGGTGGATACGGTGGTGGATACTAAGGGTGGGCCTCGTGCTCCCCGATCTGGATTTTGTCTGTCGCTCTTTGTTTGTATCGCATTTTAAGTCTGTTCAATGACATATGTGTAAAGCAATCGAAGCGAGGTTTCCTTCCTTGGATGCATGGGCTACTGTAGCATCCGACACTGATGGCGATGCAAGGGCTGCAGTTGATCGATCGAGCCAGACGTGAGATTTGCAGCGCAACCAATTCTGCTGACCTTTTCTGTGCTTGAGAGGCGCGACGCGCTCTCTGCTGGCGCGACGCGGTTGCACTTTAAACCAGCGAAAGGGAAAGGGAGCGCGCGCGCGTCTCTCTCTGCCCGTCTATGCCTCTTTCGAGTGTGTGTGTTAGCCCTAGCCGAGCAGCTGCTTGTGACGAGTAACACCAAGAAGAAAGAAAAAATCGTCCCTCGTTCTCGAAACAGCTTGGCCTCTTTGCTTTGCCTCTTTTAACACAGGATACCTGCTGCTAGAGTGGTATGCTGAGGCTTTCTTTCCAGTTGTTTGCGAAGCAAGTCTGCTGTGGTTTGAAGGTGTAAAGCAGGGGGGCGGGGGCACAATTGGGAAGAAACGCGACTGGGATTGAGTGAATTCAAATTTGTAATAGTTCTGAGTGATTTGATTTGTGTGACTTTCTGGCATTCGCGTCGCCAAATCGAGGCACAGGACCACAGCCAGACTTGGCACCTTTTCCGCAACGCCGGCAACGCAAAGGCAAGAGGGAAGCTCAATCAGTCCAACACTTTCCATTCCATCATCCTTACGCTCTTCTTCTTTCTTCCTCGTCATCGTCATCATCATCACCAGGCAAAGGCAAAGTAGCTCTACGAAGGCCGATTCTGTCTCTTGTCACATATACGCCTACCACCATTATCACCCTCTCATCCTCCTCGTTTGGTTACCCTCGTGTAGCCTTTTTCAAGTATCATTGGTCGGCTTCTTCTTCGTTCTATAGCCCTACGTCTCAGCATCTCGCCCATATGGAAGAGTAGCTTGAACATCCTTTCCAACCGACACCTGCTACCCCACTTTGGCTAGCTTCTCATCACTCCGCCCCTTCATCCCAGCTGCCCTTCCTCCAGTCATATGCCTCTGAACCCTATCAACGTCTCGGTATCGACAGCTCCTCTGACACACACGCATCCATCGAGCTCTTTGCCCCTTTCCTACTCTACTGCCGACTCCAGCTTGCTTTCCGGCAACTCACTGCAGCCCGTGCAGGAGGTCGCGCCGAGTTCGCTGGTCGATAGCGTCAACACTGTTGACCCACTCAAGCGTTCCTCTCTCTCTTCCTCCTCCAACACCAGCCTCGGCTTTACTACTTCTGCTCTCCAGCGTGCAGGCCTGCTTCCTGCCAGCCTTTCTTCCGGCGCCATGACGACCACCGCTACGTCAGGCGCTTCTGCCGCCTCGGAAACCCTTCAACGGGTCATGGGCCATTCCGCTGCCCCAACCAATGGCGCCTCTACTCCTGCTCAAGCCGGCCCATTGACCCCTGCACAGCTTAAGAACATGACCCCTGCCCAAGCCAACGCCGCTCTCCAAAATCCAGTTGGAAATGTCCCCACCGTCTACCTCGCCACCTACTCCAATGTTCCCGTCTACGAGATCACCGTCCGTGGAATCGCCGTCATGCGTCGACGAGGCGATGGCTGGCTCAACGCGACCCAGATCCTCAAGATCGCTGGTATCGAAAAGACTCGTCGAACAAAGATCCTCGAAAAGAGTATTCTCACTGGCGAACACGAAAAAATTCAAGGTGGATACGGCAAGTTCCAGGGTACTTGGATCCCGTTGCAGCGCGCCCAAGAGGTTGCGGCCGAGTACAACGTTTCGCATCTCTTGCAGCCCATTCTGGAGTTCGACCCAGCTACGGCTGATCAGATCCCGAAGCTGTATCAGAGGAAGAAGCCAGCTTCGTCGGCACGCAACTCGTCTGCGTCTGCGATCAATGATGGCAGGGGCGCGACACCGAGTAAGAACTACTCGCCTGCTCCCTCCAGTGTTGGTGGGCCGAGTCAGCAGCCTAGGTTTTTGTCTTTGCGTCCGCCCAAGGATGCTCAGCAGAGGGAGATGTCCCCTGCGCTCTTTATGCCTCCTGGGGCTAGTGGGCTGTTGGCAAGCTTTGCTGATGGTGGTGTAGCTTCGGGTCCTCAGGCTATTCCTCCTGGTTCTAGCCAGGCTGAGCAGGAGGCGCTGAGAAGCTACAACATGTACGGATACACGCCCAAGGGTGTTCCTCTTCCTTCCTCCTCTTCGGTGGGAGCTGAGAGTTCCGCTGCAGCCAACCCTACTGCCATTGGCGACAAGCGCTCTGCTGGCGAGTCTGAGCAGGACGGTGCTTCCGCTGCTAAACGATCGCGTCTTACAAGCCCGCAGCGAGAGTCGGGACTCCTGTTGGGCCCATCGCCTGTCAAAGATCTCAACGCTCTTGGCCCTGCAGGTGGATCGTTGCGAGCTGCTTCTGCACCTCGTGGTCATCGTATGGCTGTTGGCCCTCCCGATGCTGCCGGTCGTGACGGTACTGTTCCGCGCTACGCCGATCGTGCTCTCCCTCCCAAGCCCTACGATGAAGGCGAGAAGCGTATGCGTGATCACCTCGTCAGCCTCTTTGCTGATGACAGCGTTTTGCAAGGCGTGTCTGATGGCACCACCGCCTCACCCAACGCTGCCGCATCCAAATCCGCATCCACAAATGCAGAAGCTAATGTCGAGGACGAAGATGCCTATGTCACCAAACTCGACAACCTCGTCTCTGAACTCCGCCAGAAAGCCAGCCTGGGCGGTCTCGGCGCCTCCTCCACCTCCGACGGTCCCAAAGCCACCGTAGATCTCGTCACCGACGACCACGGTCACACAGCTCTCCACTGGGCTTCTGCCTTGTGCCGTCTAAAACTCGTCCGCACCCTTGTCGCTCGTCCTCCTTGGCAAGGTGGAGCCAACGTCCACGCCGGTAATCACGCCGGTGAAACAGCTTTGCACCGTTCAGTCCTAGTCACCAACTCCTACGACGCTTCTTCCTTCCCCACCCTCCTCCACCTTTTGGCGCCTTCGTTGAACACGAGAGACTTCAAAAAGCGGACTGTGCTACACCACATTGCCCTAGTAGCTGCGCTTAAAGGTCGTGCTGCCTCCGCGCGGTACTACTTGGCATGTGTGCTGGAGCACATTAGCGGGGAGAAGAGTAGTAAGTACAAAGGATTGATTGACGCACAGGATGAAGATGGAGAGACTGCGCTAGGGATTGTTGCTAGGTTGGGGAATGCGAGTATGGTAAGGATGTTGTTGGATGTAGGGGCTAGGAAGGATTTGCCCAATGCGTTGGGGATTAGACCTTCAGATTGGGGGATTGAGTCGGGTGCTGGTGATTCGCAAGCTGATGGAGGATCGGTGGCTGGGGCTAGCACGATTTCTTCCCTTCCTCCGCTCACCGCTGCGGATCTGGCGAGTCAGAATCCATCCGATATCATCTCTGCTCTCACCCGACCAGCTCAGGTACCAGTAATGAAAAGTAGCGATGTTCGAGATCAACTCACCACTACTCTCGATGATCTTCAGTCGACTTTCGAGAGGGAGATTAAGGAGAAGCAGGACGCGATTATCACGGTTCAGAGTCATTTGCAGGCTGCGACGAGAGATTTGGCTTCGAGAAGGAAGACTGTTTCCGCTGCCCAGGCTAAGCTGGCTGAGAAAGACGAGGCTAAGCAGCGAATACAAAATCTTCGTCGGGCCATCGTTTCACAACTAGGTCTCGAAGAGAATGAGGCGGAGAGTAGAATCGAAACTCTCATCTCCGAATCTTCCTCCAATAAGACAGCGGACGATATGGAGGTGGATGAAGACGTTAAAGCCACCCCAAGCATCAGCCCAGACGCTTTCACTTCCTCTCTCCTCATCTCCACTGAGATCGATTCTCAAACAGAGGAGCTCGTACGACTTCGATTCCTACTCTCTTTCTACACTTCACTCAACACCGACCTATCCTCCACTATCACTGCCCTGGAACAGAACGCAGCAACGAAGGAATCGCAGTGTCAACAAGTAGTAGCCATCTGCGCCAACGTTCCCCAAGACAAAGTCGAAGGAATGCTAGACGAGCTCTTAACAGCGATGGAAAGTGATGGTCCAGATGTTGATCTGGCTAGGGTAGCAAACTTTATGCAAAAAGTTGGCGGCACGGCAAAGGATGGTGGTTCGAGTAGTAGTACTTGGCGTAGTACAAACGTTAGTGCTGAAACACAGGCAAGTAGTGTTGTTCCTCCCACGTCTGGTGGTGGGGAGAAGGGGAGGAATGGTGATGTAGCATAAAAGCGGGGTTTGGGTTATGGATGGAACACTTTTTGGTCTCGGTTTTGATTGTTTCCTTAGGTCTCTCACATTGGTACGCTGAAAGAACGGTTTCACTATGGATTCATCCATTGTCTGTGTTGTTTGTTGAGCTCATGAACTCCGTCCCTCGGCCTTTAAAGTTCGACCTTTGGCTAGACTAATGGCATCTTATTGTGGGCACCGTCTGAGCTTGGAAGATGTCACTTTGCTTTCCAATCTCCAGTGTTTAAATAGTCTTCCCACGACCTTCGCAGCGAGGCGCCATTCTCGGATAAGAGACCACTCCTCTCTCCTCATCTCTCCTGCGCCTCGATCCACAATCTGTCCACCAGTTCATCACAATCGATGTTTGTCATTGGAATCTTGAACTTGAACTTTATTCAATTGAAGCGTATATTCGAGCATAGAAGCCGAGTCCTACTGCATTGAAGCAGCATCTAGGCAGGCAAGACAAACAGGTTGGGTAAATTTATCCCTGAAGAATCTCCTTCGAGACAATCTTTCCGTCCTGGTCGAGCTTGTAAAGGATAGGGACACCGGTTGCGAGCTCGAGGCCGACTGTTGAACACCCACGCCAAAAGAAAACCAGAGTCAGTACTTCCATCCACAATCAACACCTTCTCACTTGTGATTGGATCTGTGTACTTACCAATGTCATCATCGCTAATACCCTCAATATCTTTAATCATAGCCCTCAACGAGTTACCGTGAGCAGCAACAATCACATTCTTACCCTCCTTAACCAACGGCAGAATCTCCTTGTGGTAGTAAGGCCAAACTCTCTCCGCGGTCAACTTCAAGCTCTCTCCACCGGGAGGGGGAACATCGTAGCTCCTTCTCCAGATGTGAACTTGGTCCTCGCCCCATTTCTTTCGGGCGTCGTCTTTGTTGAGACCACTCAACTCTCCGTAATCGCGCTCGTTAAGAGCTTGGTCCTTGTGGATAGGGATATCCTCTTGACCGATCTCTTTGAGTTGGATACCGAGGGTGGTCTGGGCCCGCTGGAGTGCGGAAGTGAAGGCGACATCGAATTTGACGCCGGCTGCGGCGATCTTTTTGGCACCGGAAAGGGCTTCTTCACGACCGAGTTCGGTGAGGGCGGGATCTTTCCAACCGGTGAAAAGGTTGAGCTTGTTCCATTCGGATTGGCCGTGACGGGTGAGGACGAGAGTTCCGACCATTTTGAGTATCTTCGATGGGTGAAGGTGATGATGGAGGGGAAGGGAGGAAAGGTGTGGGAGGAAGGAAGGTGAAGAAAGATCTGATCCCTGGGCAGAACAAGAAAAGAAGTGGCTCCAACGCTGTGTTGATTGGCCAACTTTCTGCCGTATGATAACGATCGATAAAATAAATGCGTGAAATTCATACACACAACACACAGAGAAGCAGCCAGAAAGCAACAAGAAAGCAACACTACTTTGCCAAAAAGAAAGGTACAGAACGGGACTGCATTCGGCCGTATTTCACCTCCTTCAAACAACAATTACAGTCGGAACCAGAGGTACGAGGACAATATATCACCTTGTGATGGCATTGAAGAGGGGGCGTTTGTGTATGGCGGCTTGCAACATCTGTCGATCTGCATCAAGAGGAAGACTTTTCCGAGATGGAAAGATGCCCAGTCAAATCAGGAGCTCAGATGATCGTGTTCAAACGCCATGCTGTCTTGAGAGGTTAGGGGCATGGGTTGGCATCTTCGGAGTAGCACATGACAATGTTACACTCTTGTAACGCACATTTTGAATGAAATTTGAGCAAAAAGAAAAACGCCTCGACGGTGCACCGTGCCTTTTGGCTGTCAAGGTGTGAACAGCTCACAGCCACGCAGCACTGCCCACATGGAATAATAAAGAAAAGAACTCCGCAACGAGCAAGCAAAGCTGTGAAGGATGACGCGGAGAATGTGCCTGTTTGCTGCGGACCCCTGTTCACCGGCCCGTTATTCGCAAGCTGGCCCAAACGCAACACAAACGCAACACAAACGCAACACAAACGCTCGACGCTCTCGATCCATCCGGCCTTTTCGCACCCTCACCTTCCTATCCTTCCATTTGACCACCAACGCCAAACCACACGCAAACATGTCGCTCAACGTCAACTTATCGTCGAGCGCCATTCGCGACGCTTACGAAAAAGTGCTCGATGGAGCCAAAGATTATCTCGTCCTAACCTACGAAAAAGGTTCCAACGACCTCCGCGTTCAAGTCGTCGAAAACGGCGATCTCGACGATCTCAACGAAGAATTCTCCGATGGTCGAATCCAGTATGCTTTCGCTCGGATCAAGGACCCCAACACGCAGCTACCTAAATTTGCGCTGATCAACTGGTGCGGTGACGGTGTGCCCGAGAACAGGAAAGGTCTTTTTGCAACACACTCCTCTGCGGTAGGGCAGTACTTGAAGGCGTACCATGTCAGCATCAATGCAAGATCGGAGGCGGATGTGGACCCGAAGTTGATCATGCGTAGGATTGCTGAGTCGTCAGGTGCAAACTATTCGGCTGCGGGGAAGGCGGCAAATACGCATTCTGGTGGACCGATTGGGTCGGTGGGTACGAGTTATAAGCCAATTGGAACACCTGATATCAGAGGGATGCAGAAGGCGGCTCCGAAGGATACGATCGCGCCGGTTGGGACGAACTATGCGTCCAAGAAGGATGAGTTGCAGCAGATTCGATCCGGTGCTGCGCCAACACCGCAAATGCCTAGCGCTCCTAGAGTCAATGCTCCTGCGTTGGACTCGACTCCTGCTGCTCCTGCTGCTCCTGCTGCTCCTGCTGCTCCGGTTGCTCCTACTGCTCCCGCTGCACCCAAACCAGCGGCCAGCAGCTCTCCATCTATCACTCCTTCACCTCGTGGAGATGCTTCATTGGCAAGCACTACTGCTGCAGCTCCCGCCAAACCAGTCGAAGATGACCGCATCCAACCAGTCGGTACAGCCTATCAGCCCGTCAACCTCGGCAAGCCAGGCAAACTCAACATGGCCAACCGCTTCCCCTTTGGTAACCAACAGCAGGAAGGCAACTCGACCTCTGCACCAGCTCCTACACCTCGTGCTGCCTCTGGTGGCAAGCTGACTTGGAGTCAGCGTCAAGAAGCAGCTCGTAAGGAGAAGGAGGAGGAGGAAGCGAGAGTCAAGCAGCTTTCTTCTGGTATGAGGACGGCTAGTTTCGGTACTGGCGGTGCTGCACCTGCTGCTCCTCCCGCTCCTCCCGCACCACCAGCACAGCCAGAAGCGCAAAAGGAAGAAGAAGAAGCTCCACGCGCACCACCTGCTCCTCCTGCACCGCCCGCCGTTCCTGCTGCCGCAGATCCAGTGCAGGAGACAAGCAAGCAGCTCGAATCGACCCACATGTCCAGCACTGGTGCCAGCGCCAGTGAAGGAGGAGGACTGCGCGGTCGGGTAGCATGGCCCTACGAAGCAGCCGAAGACAACGAAATCACGCTCGTCGAAGGTGCTATCATTTCCAACATTGAACAGATCGACGAAGGTTGGTGGTCAGGTGTAGACGAAAAGGGTCAAGAGGGTTTGTTCCCTGCGTCCTACGTCGAGATCATTGAGGATGACGCAGCTCCTGTTGCACCTCCTGCGCCACCCGTACCAGCAGCAGCTACTGAGGTGGAAGAAGAGGAAGATTCAGTACCACCTCCACCTCCTCCCCCCGCCCCACCTGCCCCACCTGCCCCACCCGCAGCACTCGCATCTGAAGAAGAAGCCCCACCTGCCCCGCCTGCTCCCCCCGCTGCCGGTGGAGAAGGTTTGGTCTGTACAGCAATGTACGACTTCGAAGCGTCCGAAGACAACGAACTCTCCTTTGTCGAAGGTGATACCATCATCAACGTAGATGATAAGATCAGCGATGATTGGTGGAGCGGCACCAATCAGCGTACCGGTAGTCAAGGTTTGTTTCCTTCAAATTACGTTGAAAGGGCCTAACAAGCCGCTTTTCACTTTGATGCAATACAAATATGAACTTGTTGAGCATGATGCGTGACTCTGTGAAGGTAGAGAAGAGAGAGGGTGGATCGGCCAATGACAATGGCAATCGGGCCGATTAGAAATTGGTCTAATGGGAGAGAGGGGCAAGCGAGCAGATCCCCCAATTTTTTCATTTTTTTTTTTTTTTTTTTTTTTTTTCTTAGCCGAGATCTCAAAGATGTGAGTGAGTGTGGGGAGCGGTCACGGCTTATGGACTGCGTGCCACACACTGCGATCCGGTGCCTTACATTGGGTAGTGCTAGTGATGAAGCTATTTGTGGACGATGGCGAAGGAGAGCAGCAAGCGAGAAGGCGGATCTCATGCCATGATTGACGCAAATTCTTGCTCTGGAGTAACGACCTCTTGCAGAGATGGAGGGAAGGGAACCAGCGAAACTTTGGCAGGGGGGCAAAAAGGCGGCAATGGGTGCGTGTTCTTCGTCCCGAACAGCAGCGCCGAGCCGCAACGCCGGGACCGAAAGGGGAAACAGTTCGCAAACGGCGGGCGACATGAGTATTCGAGTCGAGTCCGGTACCATGGAATTGGTTTTTTTCTTTTTTTTTTTTTTTTTTTTTCTTTTTTTTTCGCTTGTCTCATTTCAAACTTTCATGGCGGGAGGCCTTGTACCTTTCCTCAAAAGCTGCTCTTGTGTTTGATCGAGTTCTGTGAGCGTCAGCAGGGTAAAGGCACAAGGCCGAGAAGAGAGATGTGCGATGGACCGAGCTGCCATTGCTCATATCTTGTGTTCCTGACATTTCGGACACCTGCTCAAATCGATACACCTGCCCTGCCGCTGCAATGTGAGTGCTCTTCTGAGACAATACGGTCCTTTTGTCTCTTCGAACTGTCTTCTCGAGCAGTGTTCCCCGACGGTCGCTCTCCGACAAGAAGTTGCAATCTGCGCTGCACTGCAATGCTCTGCCATGCTATGCTCTGCGGTGGAATGTCAAATTTGAAATGTGAGGTAGAATTTGAAGCCAACATTTGAAATGCGAAAGTGGGGTTGCTGCTGACGCGCAGGGAAAAAAAAAAAAAAAAAAAAAAAAAAAAAAAAAAAAAAAAAAAAAAGGGATCGACAGTCTCGCAGCTGCGTGCGCGTGCGCGCCTCTTCTCTGGCGGGCGTGTGTGTGTGTGTGGTGAGATGCCCTCTTCTGTTCTCCAAAATCAGGGGTGAAAATACAAAAAGAAAATAAAGAAGAGAAGGCGCGCTCACTGGATCAACTTTGTGACCGCCAATTCAGAAAGCAAGTGTGTGACCCACAGCACAGCACAGCACAACAACAACACAACACAGAGTCAAACAGAGTATTGACAAATTAGCGCTCTTTGACCCCTTTTTTCAAATACTGCGCTCTGTGCTCCCTTGTTTTTATTATTTTGTTTTCATTCAGTTCTGTTTCTGCCGCGCAAAACACACACACACACACACACATTCTCTCTCTCTCTCTCTCTCTGACACCGCGACTCTAACTGTCGTCGCTTAGATTCAAGTCGGTTTGAGACGCTCTCTTTTCCGCGCACGCTCGCACTCTCAATTTTCTTTTGCATTCAATCGCGGATCCGCCCAGCTCCTTCTTCACTCTCTCACTCCTGATCGCTAGCTCTCACCCTTTCTCTTCCACTCCACCCCACTTCCGTGCCGTCATCATCATCATCAATACCTATACGCACGCACCACTTTCACTTTTGCTACCCTATTATCTCGCAATCTGCTCTGTATATGCTCCGACACTTCCAGTATCAGCTGTCGCTCTAGAAGTAAATAACGCTGGTCCACGCATCGTACGACACCAATATCACCGCACCTCGAAGGAGACCTCTTAAGCACGGCAGGGTAGCTTTCTCTTCGAATACCGCATCCGATTGTCGTACTCCTGGGAATGCTGCTCTTCAGCTAGACAAACACAAACATCAATTGCACAAACGTCACAATTCGTGAAGCAGCCTCGACTAATCTACACACGCACCGCCGTCAACTGCGACGTCGAGCTAGCATTCGTCGATCTGCTCGTGTGCGCATCGACCATCGACTACTCGGTCATCCTTGCCGTCCTCTCGGTGTTCGCCTCAACGCACGCAGTTCGCCTTTGCCGTCTTCTTCGCAACGATCTATATGTGCATCCACTCCCGATTCTCGCCCGCCTTCACCCTACATCACATCGTCACATAGACCTTGTTCTGCATTGCTGATCACCTGCAACCGACAGCGTAATCGATCATCTGCTTTGTAGTCGAAACGCCTTGCTTTGCTTTCATCTACATCATCCCTTACCCCCATCATGTCGGACCTACAGTACACCGGCTCTGCAGTGAGGTCTACATCAAAGCCGCAGCAGCAGCAACAACCACTTCATCACACCCAGCTTTCCAACACCCGTCAGTCCGAAGGGAGCAGCTCTTACTATTCCAACCCAGCAGAGGACACCAACGATCTCACTCGTGCTACAGCAGGCATCAACCTCAATCCTTCTCGCCCACAAGTGCCAACGGCTTCCACTTCGCAGCAACGCATCTACAACGCACCATCAGCACAGGTGCAGGATACACTTCAGCTCGTATCTGAGGACGGTGCAGCACCGCCTCAAGCATTACGGCCATCCACATCTTTTGCGAACGGCCTTGCTGGCGATGCAACCAGCTCGCGCAACCGTTCCGACATGGACAGAATCAAAAGTCGTGCCGTCGACCCAGGATGGAGCTGGGAAAAGGAACGCGAAAAGTTCGAGGCTGGTGGTTCGCTTCGTTCCAACAGCATCGAGTCCAGACCCAGTCTTCCATCACGCGGTTCATCTCGCCCAACGCCTCGTCTGGATACATCCGGCGTGCCCAGGGTGTCCGATGGAAGCGACGCAACTTATGCCAGCCCAGCTGCGCCTTCGTCTAGTGTTGCTTCTCCTCACACTCTCCAAGCGCCCTCCAATCCTATCAGCGGCACGGGTGCATCTGACCATGCAGCGCCAGCCTCAGCCGTTGCGCCTTCGAGCACGCCTGCAGACGCCCCTCCCCCAACCCCCGTGCAGAACCAAGTAGTACAGCAGCAGAGACCAGCACAACCTCGATCGGCCTCTAACACTGGCACCAGCTCTTCTGGCACTTCAAGACGGCGCGATCAGACTTGTCAAGCATGCGGCAAAGTCATGACCGGTCAGTTTGTCAGAGCGCTCGGCAGTGTTTACCATCTCGACTGCTTCCGCTGCAATGACTGCAACAAGGTCGTAGCCGCCAAGTTCTTCCCGGCTACCGATGACATGGTCGACTCTTCCGGCACTGGCCGTCTCTTCCCTCTCTGCGAGACCGACTACTTCCGACGACTCGATCTCATCTGTGCCAAGTGCAGTGGTGCACTAAGAGGCAGCTACATCACCGCTCTTGGCCGCAAGTTCCACGTCGAGCACTTTACCTGTTCCGTCTGCCCCACTGTCTTTGGTCCTCAAGATAGCTACTACGAGCACGATAGTAACGTCTTCTGCCACTTCCATTACAGTACACGCTTCGCCATCAAGTGCACCGGTTGCAAGACTGCCATTCTCAAGCAGTTCGTCGAGATCAACCGCAACAATACCGACGAACACTGGCATCCAGAGTGTTATATGATTCACAAGTTCTGGAACATCAAGCTCTGCCCAACAGGTTCGACACCGAAGGATGGTGCTGCACCACTAGCCGAAGTGGCGGCGGACAATGCGAATGCAGACAGCCCGGCGCTCAACCAATCGAGTCAGGGCGAAGCGGTTGAGTCTTCACCAGGGCAAGCAGCTCCTTCTCGCGAAGAGCCCGCACCGGACGCCACCGAGATCGAAGCTACCGAAACACCGTCTAGTCTCAAGCAGAAGCAAAAGCAGATGGAGGAACGCGTGTATCGCATCTGGACCGTTCTTTCCGCTTTTGAGGAGAGTTCAGCAGCATGTATCTCCGAGATGCTCAGGCACGTCAGCAGCGGTCGCTACCTTGGCGGTGTGAGGATGGCCGAAAAGTTCATCTTGCATGTCGAAATCCTCTTTTCCGCCATAGACGATCTTGAAGCCAACTTCCGCAAAGAAGATGCAAAGGGCATCTCGCACATTCGCGAAGCAAGGATGCTCTGCAAAAAGATCGTCAACTTCTTCTCTCTGCTATCGCATACGCAGGAGACGGGGGCGAGGAGGATGGGCATTACGCAAGAGCTGCTTTCGCTGGTTACTGGCTTGGCGCACTATCTCAAGATTCTGATTCGTATTGCGCTGACTGGTGCGTTGAAGCTGGATAGGGAGTATGGCAACGAGGAGGCACTGCATTGGTTCTTGAGTCAGCTGGCGTTTTCGGCCAAGCTGGGAAGCATTACAGCGGATGACAAGCAGGGGACACAGGCGCCGAACACTAACACCGTGGGTCCGGATGGAAGATGGTACGGCTACCGATCGCTGCCGAGGTCGACTAGTTCCGGGTCGAGCGAGAACGGGGAAGCCGCTACCGATCTTTGTGTTGCTTGTGGGTCGACGGTAGAGGAAGAGTGTCTCAGGATGGGGGTGAATCTAAGATGGCATTCAAACTGTCTCAAGTGCAACACTTGTCAACGGCCGGCGTTGAGGGAGGGTGCTTCGACGAAGAAGCAGCCTGATCCTGTACCTGGTGCACCGGATCCATTGCCGGCGTCTCAGTTTGGTCTCGAGACGAAGCGAAGACAGACGGATGCTGCTGTGGCTGGTGCTGGGTTGCAGAATGGACAGCGTTCGATGTTTTCTTCTGGGTCTTGGACGCATGCTTGTTTCTGTCCGAACTGTGCTGGTGGCTTGACGCTACGCACCGGATTCCAGTTGGTGACGAGGCTAGAGCAGTACGCTTTCCTCTTGCGTGTTGCGCTGAATCGTCTCTTTGCGCTGTTGCGGAAACGTGGGGTTGTTCCACCTAGTCCGCCTGTCTCGGCCTCTCGTCAGATTGGGGAAGCGGGACCGTCGACTGGTGATGCCACCGCTGCAGCAGTGGAGGGAGACGAGGAAGTGTCGATGCACGAAGCCTACCGTGACTCGCAAGACATCAAGCGCATGAAATCGGTCAACCTCAACCGAAAGCTCTCGACCAAAGCCAAAGTGCCCCGTATCTCGACCGTTGTCGGCAGTCCATCTGGTCGACAAACGCAGACGTCGGACACTCAAAGGCCCTCACCCTCGGACTCTGGTTTGCAGACGGACAGCCGTCATTCTCCACGTCAAGCAAGTCCCTCTTCTTCGCCCAGAGAAGCCAGCCCGCTCTTCCAGCGAGAAGATGGATCTTCACGCGAGCCCTCCCCCTCGAGAAGGCCAGGTCAACCGCAGTTGCCGCAGAATTTCCAACAGCAACCAGCACAGAAGCAGCAAGTGTTCCAGCCCGTTCAACAACATTTGCCCTTCGCGTTGCCCGGTCCACCAGGGATGCCACAGATCCAGCAAGATGCTCAGCTCAGCTTGGGCCGTTCTGGATCCCCATCAAATTTGGAACCTGGCTCGATCGTTCCCATTCGACCTGCATTTGCACGTCACAACACCGATGTCAAGATCCGCGAAGATGGACCTATGCGACAACCTTCCGGTGACGAATTGCAACGGGATACCCGCTCTGAAGATGGAATCACCCTTGCTGATATACCGCACATGCTCGAAGCTGAGCAAGCACGAGAACAGCACAGACTTTTACCGAGTGAGGGAACACGATGCATCTCGGAGCTGTCGGCGTTGGAGTTGTTCATTGTTAAGCACATGGCAGTGATGTATCTCCAGCAATCAGCGCTGAGGGATCATGTCAACTTGGACGATCTGATCGAGTTCATCGAGACCAGAAAGAACACTTTCTGGGGTAAAATCTTCAAGGGCGGCAAAGATAAGAAGGAGATTAAGAAAAAGGGTGTTTTTGGGATCCCATTGGAAATTCTAGTGGAGAGGAATGGAGCGGATTCAACCTTGGGTGCTAGTGCAGCCCATTTGAGGGTGCCTTCGTTTATAGATGACGTGATTAGTGCGATGAAGCAGATGGATTTAAGTGTCGAGGGAATTTTCAGAAAGAATGGAAATATTCGAAGGCTTAAAGAGCTCAGCGAGGCATTGGATCGGGATAGTTCTTCGGTGAATCTTCTGGATGATAATCCGGTCCAACTTGCAGCACTGTTGAAGAAGTTCCTTAGGGAGTTACCGGATCCACTGATGACGTTCAAGTTGCACAAGTTGTTCGTCATGTCTCAGAAGTTGGAGTCTGAGGCCGAGAGGCATAGGATTTTGCACATGGTGACGATCCTCCTGCCGAAGGGACATAGGGATACGATGGAGGTTCTATTCGCGTTCTTGAAATGGGTCGCCAGTTTCTCGCACATTGATGAGGAAACGGGAAGTAAGATGGACTTGCCGAATCTGGCAACGGTGATTTGTCCGAACATCTTGTATAGCAAGGGAAGTGATCCTACGAAGGACGAGACGTTTTTGGCGAACAGAGCGGTAAGCTACCTTCTAGAACATCAGGATGAGATTTGGAAAGTGCCGGATGAGTTGGAGGCGGTATTGCAGGATAAGGATCTGATGAATGCTAGTGCAGATCTTACCTCTAGGGATATACTGAAGAAGTGCGAGAAGTACGCGAGGCAAAGGTATGCCAAGGGTGGGGTGGGGATGGGTAGGAATGGTAGTGGCGGACCATTGCATTCGGGAGAACTGCAGAATAGACACAGACCGGATGTTCATCCTCCTACAACCATGAGGCAGGTGCAGCAACGGGAGATGGCATTTGCGCAGCAACAGGCTCAGCAGCAGCAAAGGAGGCAGTATGCGGGTAGTAACGGGGACGATCTCTCCCGCAGTCCAACGGGTGATTCTGGACCTTGGAGCGCTGGTGCAGTGCCGAATAGTGGACATCATCATTTCGGGCATTCCCCAACGGAGAGGAGACCGACGAGTAGTCATGCCAACACGCCGCAGAAGCAGTTGGGTTATGTTTCTCCGGCGGCTGGAAACGGCGGTGGGGGGTATGGATATCAGCCAACTTCTCCACAACCGGGAGGTCAGATGTTGAGGACACAACCTTCCGCAACTGGATTTGGCGGTCAGCAACAGTACTATCCGCAGCAACAGCAGCAGCAACAAGAACAATCGCAGTCGCAGGATCAGGCATATCAGAGGGGCGGATTCTATAGAAATGCTTACGGTAGCGGTGGGAGTAATGAGGCTCTGGAACAGATGTCTTCTTGATCATCACACACCTTCTCTCGGGACGTACAAACCCCTTTGTCCCTTTGTATCCTGTGCCTTTGATCCGAAATGGGATGGAACAGACTTTTCACGTCTAAACAGTACAGCTTGTGTGTGTGTATATATGTGTGTGTGATTGGTGTGATTGAACAGTGTGAGCGGCGGAAGTAGCTTCCCTACAGAGCAAAGATAGCTATCGAACTTTGTGTGTGACATGTATCGCGCGAGAAGATGTTGATTGTACATTCTCGTGCGGCATGTATTCGCACGAGAGAGTGCCCAGGCGTGAGATTGGAGCTGTCAAAAACACGCCACGCGTATGAGGTTACATAGGTGCCAGACTTGCTTCGCGCCACTTCCCTTTCGGAATTCGATTCCAGCCTTCATGACCCATCTCATTGACTCGCCGTAGCCATGCTGATCAGATGCGACAGCCTCGAAAGAAGCTGTGCGGTCCGATGCTGACTCAAGACGATGGGAAAGAAGAGGAGCCAACATAGAACTTGCATTGGCGAATTAATTCACTGCAGCCCGCAACTCCTGTCTTTTCTCTCAACCCGAAACCCTATCCCGCCGGTCTTGCTTCACCACGGTAAATGCAGCCCGTCTCATGTCGAGCCCACGCATTGTTCTGTCTCATGCATACTTAGTATGTCCAGCCCACCCTCGACCCTCGTGCCAAGCTCCTATCAGCTGTGTGACGTTTTAGGCGTTTGGAGGGGCGGGAGGTCCGAGCGCGAAGCTAGGTCTTCCTTTCTCGATGGACGAATCGAATCCTGATGAACCTATGTCTGACTAGGATCTTTCATTCTCTGGTATGGATCGCTCCTGTTCTTAGCTCGACCTATCGACAGGCTCATCCCAGGCAAGAGAAGACGTTCTCGCTGGTTGTCTTACCATCATCTTCTGCCTTTCCGTGTTGGTCATCGGCAGTATTCGTCAAACTATCTAGCATGACGACTGCAATTTGCAACGCCGAAAACCAACTAGCTGCTTCGATGTCCTCATCGAGAACCGGTCCTGGCACAGCGCCGATGAAGGCATCGCGTTCCTCAGCAGCCTTATCACCACCACCCCGCTCAGCTGCATCAAGTCCAGCAACCACAATCGTCCCAATGCATGCTACTTCCTCGCCGACTGCATCACGCTCGTCCTCAGATCCCTTCACCTTGCACAGTCTGCCATACTCTTCGTTGGGCTTGCTGCCTTCGCCGGACGTGCATATCAAGTACAGTCAAGTTGATGGGTCAAGAAGGGCGTCTTGGAAAGCTACTGCGCGGAGCACACCAGTGAGTGGCTGCGCGGACCCACTGAGAGCATCGGCAAGCAAGAGTGGAAAGGTGCAGTACGGACCAGGCTTCTATATCCCTCCTCCTGGGTATCAGGCTTTGTCGATGGCTGCAAGAAACGAATCGGGTGCGCGGGAAGCTGGACCGTCGATGGATCGCAGCTTCGGGGCGAAGATTGGTGGCGGTGCAACGGAAATAGAGGCCGGTCGACAGAATGAGCCTAATTATAGTAGGCCTGGGTGCTGTAATGGTTCCGAATGTCAACAGAAGCTGACTAGATCGGCGTCGGTACAGGTTGTCCAACGCGGGATGGCATCGTCGCCAAAGGGCAGCTTGATCGTGTGGGCAGCACTCGGTATGCTGCTAGCAGCGACGCAGACGATACTCTGGCGTCTGTTGGACAACAAGAACAGCAACCTGTGCATAGCGATAAGCTTCGGAGGCCTATTTCTCGAACTTTATGGCGTCTTGGTGGCCGTAGTTGGCCTTCTCTTTGGGTCCCAAGATCGGAAATCTGGGCGGAATCGGGATAAGGCAGCATCGATCCTTCGCAAAGGTGGAAGCCGGAAAGGGAGCTTGACGTTGAGCTTGTTGAACAGCATGCCCAGCATCAGTGGCTTTGTAGTCTGTCTCGGCGCAGTCTCGCAGCTGGCTACGCTAGTGATCTATGCTTCGCAGTCGCTCGACAAGTCAATCGCTTACAGCATGACCAGCGCTCTCGCCATGGCATTGGCTACCACCTCCATCAGCTTCGGCATCGGTCTTCACCGTGACGGTCATTTCTGTTCCAGTCGCCGACGCCACCCGACTAGATGCAAAGACAAACGCACGTCAAAAGGCCAGGAACACGAACCGACCCTTCCGATCTCAAATGGTCGCCCTCGTTCACTCTGCTCATCCGTCTCGTCGCATGGTGGCAGATACGTATCTGACTATGGTCTAGAGTCGGATACGGATAGCGACGATGGCAGCCCCGGTATCAAGCAGCCACGAGCGGATTGGATGGACGAAGCGCTCAAAGACTTTATCAGGAGCCCACTTCTTGATATGCCAAAACGACATGGATAGGTGCACCGCCGCCGAGCACAATGCAATCCTTCGTCCTCACGCTTATCTCCTAGCCAAAAGCATTTCCTAGCGCCACAACCACGAATAGCCATCTTGCAATACAAAGTATTACACGATTACATTGCATAAACTTGATTGTGACTGTGAATGAGCGGCAAGTGCCGAACAGAACAAAGCTTGAAGAGGCGCGCACAGACACACAGACACGTAGACGTCCGCCCAGTGATCAGAGAAGACGAGGTATGGATCGGCTTGGCCGAATCTAGGCGCAAGTGCCGCAGAAAGCTCAGAGGGGACTGAGAGAGAAATGAAAATGAAATGGAGAGCACAATCTCGTTCTGTCATCACGCGACGCTTTTTCTTTTCTTTTTCCCATGCCAACAAGGACTCAGCTTCAAATCACAATGTTGAGCATCAGCAGCAACAGTGCAAGCGCCTTCTTCCGGTTCATTGCGGAAGGGCCGGAATGAAGGTGCGGAATGCTGATGCGGAATGCTGATGCGGAATGCTGATGCGGATGCGGAAGCTGTGGATCTTACTCTGCGCTCGATGACTGCTATCCTTGCTGCGATTAAGCTTCAGACCCATTTTGGAAGCATGTGCCTTTGTGCGGATGACATGCGCATGGCTCAGCCGAAAGAGAGCCTTCTGGCTGTCCTGCTGAGCAGCCCCGCAGTGCGTTGGCGGTGGATATATAAGCTCGTTCAGTTGTGGCTTCGGAAACGTCCGTCACCCCACCACCATCAGCGCTCCCCTGTTAGGTCCTCTTCAACAATGCAGGCCGAGGCTACTCCCACCGAAAACGCTCTGCCCTTGGTCTGGATTCTGAACCACGATGAAGGGCTCAACGACTGGCTTGGCAGTCATCCACCTAGTCGTCTTGGAGCACCTCCAGCTCTCAACAATGGCCTTGTCACTCCTCCCATTTGGGTCTTGCACCTCAAGTCTGTCGACGAGCTCGCAGAGTTAACTCCTAATGCCAACATCAATCCAGCCTTCATCAAAGCCACCAACATGGCTCGAGAAGCTGCAGCCAAGTTCGACACAATCCAGCAGGACGAGGAGATCCCTACTAGATCCAACGGCAAGTCTCTAATCAAGAGCAAGAAGCAATGTCGTACCGAGGTGCAAGACAATTTCCACGATCAGATCATCCTGATGTCTGCCGACGATCCTCTTTGGGGTCAGGGCCGATGGACACTGCTCGTTCGACCTCAGAACATCAACGAGACCTTTAGTGCCCTCGCCTTCAGTCTCGCTACAGGTGAGTTGAGGAGGCATGGCTCCATCATCGCCTTGCGCGCTCGCACTCTCCCGCCTTCGCAGAGCTTTGTCGATTCCAAGAAGAAGGGCTCTCCTGTCCGCAAGGGCAGTGCTAGGTCACCCAACTCATCTCGCCCTATCGGCGACATCCCTCTCGGCATCGATATTTTCTTTCGACCCGTCTGGAACTCGACCGCTGCTCGCGATGTCCTTCGTGTCGTCGCCGGCGCTTGCGGTAAGATGCCTGCCTTTTGCAAGTCAAGCCTCTACTCTCGCCTGGGCATTCGTAACGATCATCCGCTCGGTGTCCATGCAAGCCTTTACAACTCTAAAATCTTGACTTCACCAGCTGATACCAAGCAGTGGATTGACAAGTACGCTCCCCCGGTGGCCAAGGGGGAAGGCAGTAGCTCTTTCAAGATGGCTGAGTCTACCAAGTCGACTGACGCGGTCGCTGCTTCAGAGACTCCCAAGCAGAAGGCCGGTGAGCCCGTAGCGGTGGCGATGGTCAAACGGCTGCTAGAACCGGGGTCGACTGACAACATCGTCGGCAAGTCTGAAGAGCCTGCTCAGAAGAAGGCGCGCAACGGCGACTCCACCACTCATGAGCAAGTGGCTGTAATGGTCGAAGAGAGTGAACCCGAGACCCAAGAGTCACCGGATGAACCTATGCTACCTACACGTCCGACCAAAAAGGCTGCTGACGCTGCGCCGTCCGGGGCTTCGGCATCGCTGGAAGCCATCACCCATGAGGAACTCAAGAAGCTCGACACCTCTGCAACTGCTCCGCAGGTGAAGCCTGAGGAGGTTTCGCAGTCGGTTGAACCTGCTGCCCTGGCCATCGCTGCTGGTCATTGGCCAATGGAGGAAGAGTCTCAGACTCAGATTGAGCCTTCTACTGCTCCGATAAGCAACCTCTTGGCCACCGAAGCTGCGACGGATCTCCCCTCACCCGAGATGTCGCAAGCTAAAGAGCAGACAGTCAGTGCTGTTCCCAGGGATGAAGCCGAGATCACAGCTGCTGCCCCGGCTGCAGATACGGAAGCTGAGTCGAGCCTTTCTAAGGCAAATGATGATATCGGGATGCCGCCGGCAGATGGGAAGGTGAAAGAGGCAGAGACAGTCAACAAGCCAAAGGAGGTCGTAGAAACCAGTAAGTCTACAACGACTGAGGTCGAGAAGCCCAATGAGCGGCAGTCGACTATCACTCATCATCAAGCATCGTCCAACGGCGAGCAAGTTGGACCAGCTGCCCAGGCTCCGGAAGCCACGATCACAAACGTCGCTCTCACAAGCCAGACGGTGGAAGTAGTGATACCTTCTCCCACACAGCAAGCTCAGGAGCCGGTCACTAGTAGCGAGAATGGCGACTCGAATGTCAATTCTGCTGGTCAGGTAGAACATCTCGCAGAGACTACAACCACGTCTGCTGCATCAGCTGATGTCACGCTCGAGCTGAAGCAGCCAAATGCAGACGTCAAGACCAATCTCGGTGTCACAGCCGAAAGTAAGGAAGTTGACTCAACCCAGTCATCCAAGTCTCTTTCCATCGATAAGGCTGAACCGCCTGTATACAAGCCTGCTCAGCCAGTAGCTCCGAAGCCAGCCGCGAACGAAGGTGAAGGGACGGGCAACGAGTCTCAGTGGTTCGAAAGCAACATGATCGCTTCTGCCGACGCTGCCGAGAGCGCGAGCGCCGATAGCAATACCGACCCTGTTCTCGAAAAGGTCAAGAAAGCTGAAGTCGTCGACAACCACCCTGTGGAGGGCAAAGAGGCAGACAAGGAAGATACGGCGGCTGTTCTTCAAGCGAGCAAGTCCAATTCGCAGCTGTCTACAGGAAATGGGAAGGAGATGAGTCTCGATGAACTGATTGTCGAAGGAGCAACTACTGCGGGCGAAGCAGCTGTCGAGGTTGGCAACAAGGCCGCAGACGAAGCGGCTGATAAAGCCGCTGATGGGTCCGCCAGCAAGTGAAGCCGAGCACACTGGCGCCTCATCCCTTTGGGCCTAGTTGTAGCGTATCCGGATGAGCCTTCTAGCACAACTCAGCACATAGTTTAGTCTCGAGCCTAACAGAATTCAATCCACCCCTGTCCCCAATGTAAAAAGTCAAAAGCAATCCCTTGTAGTGCCAATCTAGCGACTCAATGAGGCGAGGTCAACCTTGCGATGATTCTAGCTTTTACGCTTTTGATTTTGGCTCTGAGAAGCAGTGTAGCATGTGGTCAGCTTGTGCCGTTGCAAGGCATCATCGAGGGAGTTCAGCACGATCGGCTTGTGAAGGAGTTGCCTAGAAGTTGGAGAGAGGAGGTCGGACTGTCAAATTGCGCATTTCTGTGCATCGACCTGCAGCTCTCCTACCCATTTCAGTGTTGGTCTCGAGAATTTTTGGCTTGGCTGATCTGCATCTCCGGTGCAAACTATCCTTCTAGCTTAGTCTTTCCTGCTACTGTGTTGAAGCCATCTTGCTGACAAGCTGAGTTGTAGTTAAGGTATAGGGGCAAGCCAGCTGAGCTTTGATCGAGACAAGTGTTGGTCACGATCGAGCTAACCAAGAAGAGGGGACGGGAAGCAAATATTAAAGTAAGCGAGCGCCTCCCCGTTGCCGGGCTGTCCCTTGTGTAGGGGCGAGCGAGTTTTATCCGGCATCACTTCCACTCCTCTCGTGCAAGTGTGACCTCCCGCGATGTTCAAAAGAGGCAAGAAAGCGCAGCGTTCTTCAGGGTCGTACCATTCAGAGACGGACCCTGTTCAAGCTGTTTCAACTGCTCTCCTCTCATGCAGCTGCGGTTGGGTGGATCAGTGTGAGCATGTGGTCTTCTCGCTCCCCGTTGCTCAGCATTCTTTGCTGGTCCGGCATTTGGATCCCCGCTTCCCGCAGTCAAGCTAGTGGTCCGCTCCATGGTGTCTTCTTGGTAACTTACCTCCATCATCGATCTCTTTGTAGCGTCCGCCCCTCCTTAAGCCTATATTACCGGGGCACCATCGTGCCACTACGTTGCCTAGCCTGCTCTGTGGAGAACATAGCCTCCTCGACACCGCACCTGCTTGACGAGTACCACACGGCCCCTTACCCGCAGCCACCATTAGTTAGCGGACATCGACCACAATGGTAGCCCTTGACTCGACATCATCGACACCAGCAGTCACACTCCCACCACCCCTTCAACCACGTATCCCCCGCGCACCCATCCGCATCATCGTCCTCTGCGACGGCACTGCTCAGCAACGCAACTGGGTCAAAACATCCATCAATACCGCCACCAAACCTGGCTTCCACACCTTTCATCACTCCGACCCCCACAGCGACGCCACCGCCTCATCCACTCCGAACGAACGCGGCGATGAAGGAGACAAGAAGAAACGCAAGTCCAACTCCAACTCCAACGACCCTGCAGCAGAAACAGGAGACTTCTTCACCAACGTCGCTCTCCTAGCTAAAGTCATTGCCCAATCTAGTGGCCTTGCTCCCACCTCACCTCCTCGGTCTCCTAAACTTGGGGAAAATGCTGCTCTTGATGGTGATCAACCCGATCCTTCTCGCGGAGGCGGGGTGATGCCTCAAGTAGTGTTCTACCAGTCCGGTATAGGTACAGGTACAGGCAAGCTTCGCAACCTAGTCGACCAAGGAACTGGCCTTTCGCTCGGATCGAAAATCGAGGAAGCCTACTCTTTCATTGTTGACAACTACCAGCCTGGCGATGAGCTTTTCCTCTTTGGTTTCTCCCGGGGAGCATACACAGCACGATGCATTTCCGGGCTCATCAACTGGTGTGGAGTCCTGTCCAAAGTCGAAATGACCCACTTCTCCGAAATCTGGGCTGCTTACCAGCGACGAGATCCGGACGATATCTCTTCTGAAGTCGACGCTGCGGAAACACTCTATTCCGCCACTCTCAAATACCCATCCGCAGAATCCGAACAAGTTGCCACGAACATGTACCTGTTCAACCTTCACAGCAACTCCAAACTCTCCCCCGCAGCCAAAGCCAACCTGGAGGAGCTGAGAAGGAAAGAATGCGCAGCAAGGAGAAGAAAGAACATGGTCGTCCCTCCACAGATTAAGGTGGTCGGGGTGTGGGATACTGTTTCGGCATTAGGCTTTCCAGGCATGTTTCAGGATAATGCTATGATTGATTTCTTTGATTTCTATGATCCTGGGTTGGGGAGTAACATTCAGTTTGCATTTCATGCGTTGAGTTTGGAAGAGGATAGAAAGGATTTCCTTCCGACCATGTGGTATCAGCCTAGTGTGGCGGATACTCCTTCTGCTCTGCCGCAGAGTGCTAATGGTGCGCGAGGAGGCGCAAGAGGGGGAGCCAAGTTTTCGGCGAAAGGTCAGCATATGCGATCGAAACAAGTTTTGAAACAGTGCTGGTTTCAGGGTGTACACACTGATTGTGGGGGAGGATATCGGTACCACGGCCTATCAGATATTACTTTGATCTGGATGATTTCTCAGCTCGTCGATCCACACACACTTCCGGATGGATCCACCACCCTTCGACCCCTACTCAACATTGACTTGGGTCTCTTAGCAAGCATCATCGACCGTCGTAGAGAATGGGGAAAACAACTTCCACATCGTTCTCGTCCCACCATCAACTATCAACATCCTCGTATAGTTCTTCAGCGTAAATGGGATGCGGAGACGATGAAGCGTACCGTGTGGGCTAACATGGCGCTGACTGGTCGAACGAATGAGTCTATCCACCCATCGGTTGTACGTGGAGGTAGGATTCAGCCTGATTCGCACCCAGCCTTGGCGGCTCTATGGAGGGATGAGAAGGGTGGGGGTAGGGAAGTGTTGGAAAGAATGTGGAAAGAGGCGGAGAATTGGGATGGGACTTTGAGGCCGACGGAGAAGCTGTTGTATTGGGATAAGAGAGGGCCTTATCCGTGGGTCCCAGGACAAGGGGATTGGGGGTTGAATCCGTGGATTGCGCCGTTGATTGTTTCGGGTGGGTGGAATATTCCAGAATTGGCGAGGAGGGATGTGAAGGAACTTGTGATTAGTGCGGCGCAGATGAGGCGGATGGGTGATGTCGATGATTCTCCTGAGGAGGATGGCGGCGATGGGGCTGCAAAGGGGGCTTCGGGTGGTAGTCGTGCTGATGTGGACGACCAAGTGATCGATGGATGGGGAGATATCGCAGCCACAAACCCTCCCGCCAAGCCCACAGACCCTACCTCTTCTTCCTCCTCACCATCCACTCCAACCTCAACCACGCTACCCATTCTCATCGCTCCAATGATCACCAACACACCCCCTCCCACAGCCCTCTACTCCCTAATCCCTTCCAAAGAACTAGGTGAAAACCCAGTGGACCCCACAACTCATCCTCATCTCCACTCGCTCTTCTCCACCCTCTACTCTCTTTCTACAATCCCGAACTCGATCATCGCAGATATCCTCAACTTCCGGCTGGTCCCGAAGACGAATCTCAATCAAACAATGGTCCAAGGTTGGCTTTGGGAGTTGGGTGATAAATGGGCAGGGTACTCGGATGAGGTGAAGGTGCAGGCGTTGACTGCTGGATTGGGGCTGCAGCATAAGAAGGGGAAAGGTGGGAAAGGGGGCAAGAAGCTGAAGAAGAGTGAGACAAAGGCCAAGAAGATCAGTGAGGAGGAGAGCGTTGTTTCTGACGATATTTGAAGCAGCCGTGTGGGGGAAGTCTTCCATACCTTTTCAACATCACGCATGGTCTTTGTTCAAAGTTTTCGTTGTTTCACTTCTTGGTCTCGCATCGCAATTCCAGCACACGCATACCCAAGCACACAGAGTCACACTTTCTCAGCTTGTGCAGATCCGCGTTGAAGCGGAGCGAATGATGGACTGCGTTCCGTGGCTAAGCGGACTCTTCAGTCATTTCACTGACTGTGCTCCGTTATGGAACGGACCTTGACTCCAAGTCGATGAGCAAGACCTGGATTGTGACATTGCATGAAGAAGTGATGGTAAAAGTACAAAGGCGACCACATTCAGGCCAAGGTCAGAGGTCCCGATCCACGAGGTCATCGTCGTCGTCTTCATCAGCGTCTTGATACCGATGCGCGTTTGTTGCCGTAGCTTCCTCCTCTCCTTGGTCTTCCTCTTCCTGATCCTCGTCCTCCGACTCATCATACTCTAAGGCGTGCGCTTCCTCTTCGTGTTCGCCTTCCACATCGCTCAGTTCAAAATCTTCACTGTGAACACTTCCAACTTCAAGCTGCTCATCGTCATTTTCCGCATCATCGTCTAAGGCCTCTTCCTCTTCGCTCTCACCATCTTGCTCGTCCTCCTCTTCCTCCTCGTCATCGAAAGAGATAAAGTCCTTCTGCTGAGTAAATGCCTTCGCCTTCCTTCTCTTTGTTTTGCGACTGTCGCCCGTATCAGCAAAGTTGACCTGCCCATCTTGGTCGTCCTCCTCGTCGCCAGCGTCTGCGTCGTCAGGTAAGACCTGCTGATCGTCATCCAGTTCACTCTGCATCAGAGGTCGCTTCCGCTTCCCTGCTGCCCTCTGCTCTTGTTCATTCTCGGACTCCTCAGCTGCCGCAGCGTCATCACGCATGAATAGATCTGCGTTGCCTTGCTGCCCCGCCCCTTGTCTGTCCTCGTCCTTCCCATCTCCCGTTTCCTCACGGCTAGCGCTAGCCCTGATAACATGAACCAACTTACACCCCTTCCTCTCACACTTGCCCTTCTCCACAAAATCTGGACACTCATATGTATGTCTCTCCTCACAATCCTTTCCCCTCTCACACCAACCATAATCACTGAAATTCCTACAAATCTTCGTCCCCGTCCCATCCTTCAACTTATCCGAATGCGTATAGAAACACTGTTTTCCATTCCTACACTTTCCCGCCCGCAAGTAATGCACACAATGCGGCACTCTCTCCGCCCTCGGCGTGTGTGATAACGGACATGTCCCCTTCAGCAACGTACACCCCGAGGGATGCAACACTTTCGGACAGAGAGCAATCTTGCTTGAGTCGTGCAAGTACGGACAGGAAAGACCGCGTTTGCACTGCCCGGTCTTATTGAAGAACGTGCATAGTGTGCGGGCTTTCTTTGCATCGAGTGTACGAGAGGGTTTGGTGCGGGAGGAAGAATTGCGGGTGGCTTGAATGGCGGATATTTGACCGACCATTCTATCGAGTCGACCCATCTTGGCTTGAGCTTCTCGTTGTGCGCGACGTTTGGCGAGGAGGTCGGCGGAGATGAGATTGCCGCGTTTGGTGCGGATGTAGTCTTGGCCGTTGATGCTCGTTTTAAGCGGTACTACGGCGGACGAAGAAGGATTGGAGGTGGTGCTTGTGGATGGTGTGCTGCCGTGTGCGATATCGGAGGAGGAAGATGGCTGTTGGGCTTTCTTGACTAGCTTAGTTCCAGAAGGGTCAAACTCGAAAACGACACCATCAATGACGACTTCCCCCATGTTGTCACCTCGACGGACGGAGGAGGAGGGTTTGGTGGGTTTACCATGAGCTGCTTTCTTGCCGTGTGTCGAGGAGGAAGATGTGATTTTGGCTTCCGCTTTTGCTTTCCGTGTTGCTTCGAGGGCGGCAAGTCGAGCAGGTTCGGTGCGTTGGAAGGTGGAAGCGCTGACCAGGCTCATGTTGTGGGTTGTCTTGCGTTTGACCCAGCCATCTGTAGGGGCCGAGGTTGATGTGTTTGTCCCGTCTGTCTTCGAAGCATCGCCAGCAGCGTCTCCTGATGTTGCTGACCCGCTGGCAGCGTCACTCACTGCTTTTGCTTTCAGATCGTTGAGGACTAAAGTGCGGTTTCGTGGAGGAATGATAGTCGTACCTCGACCTCTACCTCTGCCAGCTGGTGCAGATGCAGATGCATGGTAGCCACCCCTAGCACCGTTATATGCTCCTCTATACGAAGATGTTCCTGCGCCGGAGTAGTAGCCGCGACCTCGTGGTGCGAAGCTTGCGTTGTAGGGTGGTCGATGTGGTTGTTGGTGTTGATGCTCCTTGTGTGTCTGGATAGCACCCGAAAGCTTTGCAATCTCTGCTTTCAGTCGCTCTTCTTCGCTCGTTGACGCCATTGCTGCTGCTCAACAGCTCTTTGGCTTCTCGTGTCTGGTTATGGTTGGCCGGAAAGAAGTGAAGCTGTGATGAGGGAGGGAGTTAAGATGGAAGAAGTGTCCCGAGGTTAAAGAACAACACAAATAATCAAATGGCACACACTTTTCCGAGTTCCGCGCTTGGACCCCTCCACACCCAAAAAAAGGGAAGGATAAACATCCGATGGGCAAAAAGGAGAGTGGAGACTGCATGAGTCGAACACGCGACCTTTCGCAGATTAGACATGATGCTAAGCGAACGCTCTACCAACTGAGCTAAACCCCCTGAAGTAACAAAAGTCGGGACCATTACGCAAAATGATTTGTCTTAGTTTAAATGTCTCGTGCGTCAAACCGAGCGGCGATCGCTCACTTGATCCCGCTCGCCCTATCTGCCTTGTCGCCAACACACTCTTGCAACGCGCCCTTCCATCAACTTTTGCGCTCCTTGACGGAATGGCCATTCAGACAATTGTCGCCGGCGTGAGTTGTTTCAAGATGCAAGGGAGGCCTGGAGAGACAAAATGGACAAGTGGCACTTGCTGATGTGCTAACTCTAAGACGAGGGCCGAGTTGGTCGGAAAGGGGAAATCATGCCTGAAGAGGGTCAGGAGACTATTTTGATTTTATTTTTCATGTTGAGTTCACTTGGTCTTGACATGGCTTTGTGGTGAATCCAAGGAAAATCCCGGTCGCGGTTGTTGTTCCATTAAGATGAATGAGCTTTTGGGTGTGAGATTGAGCAAGAGAGAGAGCTCAAACAACAGTGACAAGTTTGATCAAACAGGCGAGCCACAAGTGGGAGCAAGTTGCTGCGGCGTTTTGCTCTCACGCCTTGTGAAGCCGATATGATAGCCGTATAGAAAATAGCCGTATAGAAAATAGCCCTATAGAAAATGGCCTTATTCAATAGCCGAGTTCGCGCAGAGCAACAAAGTCGATCTTCACAGTTGCTAAGCTCTCTTCTCCGCTGGACTCAAGGCACGCTAGAAATGTGTTGCTGTGCTGTTGTTGTGCTGCAGCTTGTCTGCGGTTCTATGCGTTTCGGTCGGTGTGCGAGGTGAGATGTTTATCATCTGCTGTCCGCTGCCAATTCTCGACGCTGTCTCGTGAGTTGGTCATCGCCTCCGCCTAACTGTATCCTCGGAAGCTCGGCTGTGAGCCCGTTTGCTGACCAAGCTTGCTTCCTGCCCGCTTCACACTCTCTTCTCTGTGGTCGACCGCCGATCAAGACGGACCTCTATCTTTCCACGCAACCTCCCTGTTTATCATCCTCTCTGTTACCGCCTACCTCCCGACCTCGCTGATAGCTTTCGACACTTCCATAATCCTCGACCTCTCATTGCGCCTTGCAAAGTCGCTTCATTACTTTCATCCCTTGTTCATCTCTTCCCTACACCACCCGCTCCACCGATACAAGCCACATCACTAGTGTCGCACTGCTCCACACTTTAGCGCCTGCACCCCCGCAACTCGACCTTGTCTCTACCTCCCTATTCTCTCATCCAGTCCCTCCGACCTCGCCTATATTCCGGCACAACTTCATTGACGAGCACAGGCTTAGCATCGAGCAAACTAGCTCCATCCAGCCCACTCGGAAAAGTTTCTATCCTACAACTTGCCCGCAACACTCCGACTCCCTCCTCTTGACCTCCCCCTCTCAAACCCTATGACGGACGAGAAACACTTTGATGCTGCTTCGAGCAGCTCTTTCGACCCAAAGCATGGCCAGGACTGCTCACATGTGCACCCAACTACCTTGGCAGACGTTCTTCCGGTCCAACGTCCATCGAACCCGGTCAAGCGCTTCTATGCCATGCCTCTCATCCAAGTCGCTCTCGTTGGAATGGTCTGCTTCCTCTGCCCAGGCATGTTCAACGCCATAAGCGGGATCGGTGGTGGTGGCCAGGTCAACTCGAATGCTTCTAACAAGGCCGCCATTGCCCTTTATTCGACTTTCGCTGCCGTCTCCTTCTTTGCTGGTACCATTCACAACAAGCTCGGATCACGTCTAACCCTCGGAATCGGCGCACTCGGCTACTGTCTCTACATCGGATCCTTCCTCTCGTACAACATCAATCAAAACCAAGGCTTTGTCATTGCTGCCGGTGCCATTCTCGGTGTCTGCGCCTCGCTTCTTTGGACAGCACAAGGCGCTCTCATGCTCGCCTACCCAACTGAAGACCAGAAGGGTCGTTTCATCAGCGTCTTCTGGGTCATCTTCAATATGGGTGCCGTACTTGGCTCAGCCATCCAGCTTGCTCTCACTTACAACTCTTCTGCCAATACCGTCTCGAATGGCACTTATGCAGCTTTCATCGTGCTCACCGGTCTCGGTGCCTTTGCCTCGGCTCTGCTCATGGACCCGGCCAAGATGGTCCGCGACGATGGTACTCGTGTGCTTGTCCCTGCGCAGACCACCTGGGCCAAGGAACTTCAAGGTCTCTTTGTTCTGCTCAAATCCGACCCGTGGGTGGTGCTGCTCTTCCCCATGTTCCTTGCTTCCAACTGGTTCTACACCTGGCAGTTCAACGACTACAACGGTGCTCTCTTCACTCTTCGCACTCGCGCGCTCAACAATTTGCTCTATTGGCTCAGTCAGATGGTTGGCAGCCTTGCCATTGGTCAGGTCCTTGACAACAAGCGTATGTCGCGCAAGTCTCGCGCATGGCTTGGTTGGTCCATTGTCTTTGTTATCATGTGGGCCGTCTGGGGAGGTTCTTACGACGTACAGAAGACCTATACCCGAGAGTCTGTCGCAGCCGAGACCCAGCGTATCGACTTGGCCGACGGAAACAAGTTTGTCGGATACTGCTTCCTCTACATCTTCTCCGGTATCCTTGATGCTGTTTGGCAGAATCTTGCTTATTGGCTCATCGGTGCTTGCTCCAACGACCTTTCCAAGCTCGGATATTTGGCTGGCTTCTACAAATCGATCCAGTCAGCCGGTGCAGCCGGTGCCTTTGCTATGGACAACGACAAGCACTCTTACATGACCAACCTCGCCGTCACCTGGGGTCTTTGTGCCGCTGGCATGCTGTTTGCTATTCCTGTCATTGCGCTGCGTGTCAAGGAACACACTGATCCGCTTCAGGAGGTGACCGTGCCGGGTCGAGCAGAAGAGATTGCTGCAGTTGGCAACCAGGTTTCGGCTACAGCTGTTGCCGAGAAGCATCCTTAGAGCGATCGCTCCTAGCATCCACTATCCTTTGACTTTGTACTTTTACATACCCATGAACGCTCGGTTACCTCGACAGACAAGACGAGACGATGACTGTGCCACTTCTGATGACTGCATGAGACTCCTGATGAAAATCGAAGAGATCAGCGGGTTTGGCCCGCCAGCATGAACGCTGGTCCCCTTCTTTTGCGTTGCTCCTTGACGAGAGGGACATCGTCGAAACATTGTTCTGCAACGAAACAGACTTGGTCTCGCCGTCACTCGGTCATTGAGCGGAAGGAGTTCGATCCAATGACTGCTGCTTTCGTTCGTGCTGATCAGCTCCAGACGTACACAGGCAAATCATATCAGTCAAAACATCAAGCAAAGACAGGCGAGAGGCCAGCTCACATTGAACGCCGACCTCGACCTGTGATATCTGTTGGATGGACTCGTTCTGGAGCATTGGACACCAGCTAAGGGACTAGCTGGTGTTAGTGGTTTTACTGCTCACTATGTTTCGATTTGGTTACCCGATTCCCGATTGCCGACAGTGGCCACGGCTGGAAGCTCGCAAGCAACTCACTCGAGGTAGGCAATTTAACATTCCTTTTTTATCCTCAATTTCTCAGCCTCCTTTTTCAACAATTTTCACGCGTTGTCAAGGACAATAAAAAGGGCGATAAGTCACCGTTGATGGACCCCAAAGTTTGCGTCATCTGCCAGCCAACACACCTGAGTCTCAGTTAGAGTCTTGAACCACAACGGAGTTCCTTCTGAACCTTGATGGCATGTCATACTTAGTTAGCTGATAGCAACGTTGTGTTGTTGTTGACCTTCCACTAGGGTTAAGGGTCCTGTCGATCAGAATTCATGCGAGAAAGCACCTACCACACAAACGGAGAAGCGCTTCGGAACGAACAGCTCCGCCTTCGAGTAGCCAATTGCATTGCCGAACCTCGACACTCGAATGCTTACAGCCTGAATTGCATTCGGCTGTTCTACATGCTCGATGTGTTAATCACTCAGACTTGAGAAACGATTCGCACGCTTATACAGACGGCGGCTATCCTGGGCAAAGTGTGTGGTAAGAAGTGCGTGAGGAGCCCTACAGATGTCGTGAACCGCAACCCTCAAGCATGGGACCGTGCCCAAGCATCTACAGCTTCATACCAAGCACACTCGCTCCCATACTCGCCACCTCCATTACCTCGTTATTCTGACTTGCTCTTGTGTCGTATCGCACAGAGCATCGAAACAAGAAGCCGACACCCCATCGGTCAAGATGTCGTTCGTCGACGACGGCAAGTCGCAGCTCGACACTATGCTGCCCAGTTACTCATCGACAGCCGCCCCTCCAGCTCCTGCTGCTGCTCGTAAGCCTCGCACGCCTCTCAGCTTGCGATCCTCCTTTCTATCTCTGATTGGACTCGTCACGCTCGTGTACTACCTTGGCGCGCTCACCGCCTTGAGCGGCACGCAACACCATGTTTACCAGCCTTCCGCGCATCCGCATATCCAGAATATCTTTGCGGCATCGTTGGCCAAGTGCGACGCCATCAAAGCTCCAGCTGGCCCTCCTGCCGAATTCCACAAGAGGACCCGCTCTGAACGAGCTGAAGCTGGTCTTCAGGATGTTGTCATTCACAATGCAACTCTCTGGACTGGTAAGGATGGCGGCAACGAGGTGCTGCACGAACGCGACGTCCTGCTCTCGCAAGGTATCATCAAGAGCGTCGCCCACACCAAGGACAACAAGTTCCTCTCGCACGCTGGCGGGGCAGACAAGTTCAAGGTGATCGACGCTGCAGGCCGTTGGGTGACTCCAGGTCTCGTCGACATGCATGTCCATCTCGCCGTCGGAGCGGTCCCCTCCTTGCCTGGCCAGGAAGACACCAACAGTATTGGCAAGAATATCAACCCGTACCTCCGAACCATCGACGGCATGAACCAACATGATGTCTCATTCCGCAAGTCACTCGCTGGCGGTATCACCACCGGTCTTGTTCTTCCTGGTTCCGCCAACTCGATGGGCGGTCAAGCATTCCCCATCAAGTACCGCCAGCCCTTGTCGCACTCGCCTCAAGACCGACTCATTGAACCACCAACTTCGCTTGTCAAGCTCGGTCAAGGAAAGGGTGCCGATAAGCACTTTGCTGACCATCACGGTATCGAGACCGGACTTCAGCGAAATGACAGCAGCTCGAGCTGGAGGTACATGAAGATGGCTTGTGGTGAGAACGCTCGTCGTGTCTACAAGATCACTCGCTTTGACGAGGCTTGGGATTTCCGTCGTACCTTCAGCGCTGCTCGTGACCTCAAGAACAAGCAGGACGCCTTCTGTGACTCTGCCAAGTCTTTCTCTTCTCTTCATGGCGCTTCTGCTGCTCCTTCCACTCTAGCCGACGCCGAGTTCCCAGACGACCTTGAGCTGGAAGCCCTCGTCGCCCTTCTGCGGGGCAAGGTCAAACTCAACACGCACTGCTACACCCAAGTCGACTTTGAAACTTTTGTTCGTCACTCAAACGAATTCCAGTTCCCCGTTGCAGCCTTCCACCACGCTCACGAATCCTATCTTGTACCTGACCTACTCAAGCAGACATACGGCAACGTCACTCCTGCCATCGCCATCTTCAGCACCAACGCCAACTACAAGCTTGAAGCCTACTTTGGCACTCCCTTCGCTGGTCCCATTCTCGCTTCCCACAACATTACTCCGATCTACAAGAGTGACCACCCTGTAACGGACTCGAGGCGTATTCTCAACCAGGCAGCTCAGGCCCACCACTTTGGTTTGGGAGAGACAGACGCTCTCCGCAGTGTCATCTCAGCTCCAGCCGAGAGATTGGGTCTGGACCATCGTCTGGGATACATCAAGAAGGGGTGGGATGCCGATCTGGTTGTGTGGAACACGCACCCGCTCAGGATTGGTGCTACGCCTGTCGAAGTTGTGATTGACGGTGTGCCCCAGCTTGGTGCGCATGCTCCTGTTCCCGCTCCCACCTTGCCTCACCAGGGCGATGCTTCTGCGGAGAGCAAGAAGTGGGTCACTGCTCCTGCTGCACCAAAGACAGGCAACTTCAGTGTCGAGATTGACGCTGTGAAGAAGTCTTATGACGAGATCATCCGCTTCGAAAAGCTTGCGTTCCCGAGTGCTAAGACACCAACACCCAACTGCACCGTCTTCACCAATGTCAGCCAGCACTTTGTCCGCGCAAGCAACGGCAAGACCCGCATCTCGTCCACTTCCTTTGACCCTACTACTGGCGGCCGCATTGTTGTCTCCGGCGGCAAGGTTCTCTGCAGTGGAGAGGCTTGCGATGCCTCTTCCTGCCCCTCTTCAGGTGCTGTTCACGTCGTCGACGCGCAAGGAGGTGTCGTCCTGCCTGGAATCACCTCTTACGGCTCGAACCTCGGTCTTACCGACATGGTATCCGAAGCTGAAGCCTCGGACGGATACACGCTCGACCCGGTCGGCTCGGGCAACGCCATTGCTCAAACCTCAAAGTACCTCCGGGCTTGGCCCACCGCACGTGCTGTCGATGGCTTGCAGTGGGGAGGTCACGATCTTGTCCGGGCGCGCGCATCAGGTGTCACAAAAGCAATCGTCTTCCCTCAGGGTGATACATTCTTCTCTGGTGTTTCGGTCAAGTTCGACACAGGTGCCAAGAACGTTCTTGATACTGGCGCTGTCGAGGTGGAAGAAGTGGCTGCTCACGTCACTTTGACTCATAATGGCGGTGGCGGACCTTCGATCTCGGAACAAATTGGGCTGCTTCGAAAGTTGCTCACTACTGGTAAGGATGCCGACGCCAAGACCACTGCTGGAACCATTGATGTCTGGCGTAGAGTAGCTGCGGGAGAACTTGCTCTCGTCGTCACCGCTCTGCGAGCAGACCACATCACCCAGGTTCTCCGTCTTGTCGACTCTTTCCCCTCGGTCAAGCTCGCTATCTCTGGCGCTGCCGAAGGCCATCTCGTCGCTGACGAACTCGCCAAACGTAACGTTGGAGTTCTTCTGATTCCTCAAACTTGGCCTCGAACTTTCGACGAGCTGCGGGGTTTGAGCGGTCCTCCTCTTACGCGTGAGACGACGCTTTCTAGCCTGCTCAAGGCTGGCGTGAAGGTGGGTCTGAAGATCGAAGAAGGGTGGATGGCAGCGAACTTGCTCTGGGACGCCACTAGGGCTGCGTTGGAGACGAATGGACTGGTGGGTAAGCACCAGATCGTGGAGTTGGTCTCGAGTGGGATTGATGATGTACTTCAGATCAAGAGAGATGGGGAGAAGGAGGAAGAGGGAGAAGAGGAGTTTGTGGTTTACGATAGGGATCCGTTTGAGTACGGAGCTAAAGTTCTTGCTGTACACTCGCAGCGTGGAGTTGAGGTCGTTTCTGTTTAGATGAGCGCCGCATTGGAGCGGAGACGCTGATGAAATATCACATGACTTTAAAGTATCACATGACTTTGAATTGCTTCCCTCCATTCCGGGTTTGAGAACGATTTGCTTGCCTCCAATCCTAACCCATGACTTTGAAACATTTGGCTTCACAAATGGTTTGTGTGAATAGAATCATGTCACACAAAGACGGTCAAGAGATCGTAAAGGTCGACAGCTCGCAATCGGACGATAGATCACTGCGACATATTGAGTTTTTCGCATTGCGATCATCGTGACAGATCTACCCTGAAAGCTTACTGACCGTAGGCCCAGTCCATGATACCCTTTGCCTTGGGAAAAGTAATGTTGAACACTGGATGAGCAGGGTTGAGCTTGTTGCTCTTGCCTTCAGCTGCCTCCTTCGCCTCCACCACAACCTCATCCCTCGCTGATAAAGTCCACGCCAGCATGGTGGAGTATGTCATTCTCGCCCAGTCGTCTTCGCCTTTGAAGTTCTGATGCAAGAACTTGGCTGTCTCGGTGCTAAGTCTCACTGAATGCTGCGAGAGAGCAAGACCAGCGAGGTTGTAGCAAGTGTGGTATGCATCTGGTCGTTTGCCCGGTTTATCACGCAGTCCTCCGCCTTCAGCTGCGCTACGCTGTGCTGCGACAAGGATGTATTCTTGCAATCCGACACGGTCGAAGAGTGTGAGCGGTGAAAGGTCGTCTGCTCCGTCGTCTGCTCCGTCGTCGCTTTTGATAGTTGATTCAGTCTTCCATGATGATGATTCATCTTGGTTACTTGCAGGGGCATACATCGGAGGTATGGGAGGGACAGTGAGCATCCCATTCCAATCCTCTGCGCCGCTCGCCGGTGAAGGAGCAGTGGAAGAGTGAAGCTTATCACCAATCAATTCAGCCTCGATCATGGCAGAAAGCACAGTGAAGAGACCACCACCGGAGAACCAGCCATAGCAGCCATCGACGAGCTTATTAGTGCGTCCGCGGAAACCGCAACCTTCAAATGGAATGCCTTGTTGAGCAGTTGCCCATCGGATCAGTGCGTCTCTGTTGAGCCAAGTGCTCGGCGGCGATGCCGAAGTTGTGGCTGCAGATGGCTCAAGCAAAGAAAGAGCGAGATAGCTTGCAGCAGCACAGTAAGTGTAGCCACCGTGTGCTTCTCCAAGCGGTGGTCGGGGAACCTCTTGTGAGATCAAAGAGACGTCGCCGGTATTTGTGTCTTGCTGATAGGTCGGTTGACTAGCAGCTGCGATTCCGCCCTCGTACGTCTGACAGCTAGCGATGAAGCTTGACGTTCCACTAAGAAGCTCTTGTGTTGAGATAGCTAGCATCGTTGCGATACAGACGACACAGTAGCCAGCTCTTACGTCCACCTCGCCGTTAACATGGACCAAGAAGCTTCCGTCAGGTTGCTTGAGGTTCATAATCCACTCGTACATCTTCTTTCGGTCAATTGCGTCCCATCCTCCCTTGCCCACCTCAACTGACTTGCCCGCGGCCACGTCTTCTGGTGTCGGGGCGGGACCGGGTCCACCAACGATAGCTAGCGCTGATACGGCGGCATATGTGGCCATGAGATGCGCTATCTGGTCGGGTCCACCTCCGAATCCGCCTGTTGCTGTGTTCTGGAAAGAAAGAAGGGTAGCAATTGCTCTCGCCCGCCCCTTGGAATCGAGAGAGACCGAGAGAAGGTCATACGAGTGCAGGATCCAGTAGAGCAGCCATGATCGGTTGGTGTCGAAGGCGGTGTAGGCGCCAGGAAGGGGTTCGAGGAGCTTGGTCAGGAAGTTGATGTGTGCTTGTCGGTCCAGCAAAAGGGATGGCTTTGGTGTGGGCTTCTTGTCAGCAGCTGCTTGTTCGCGCTTCTGATCCTGCTCTGCTGCAGATAGCCATGGGTTGGCGATGGCTGAGTCTGGCGTGGTAGAGGAAGCGTCCTTGGAAAAGTCATAACGAGAAGGTCTCAGCAGTGAGAAGAGAGCATTGATGGCTTCTTCGGTTTCGAGCTGGTCGTCGGAAGTCTGTGTGGAGACGTTATCGAGCGAGGAAGGCCACGCTGGAGCTCTGATTGCTGGCATGCTTGCCGTGTCGAGAGAGAGATGCTGGAGAGAGTCGAGCGAAAGGATGAGGTGTCTGAGGAAGATGAGCAAAAGAGAAGGCGCAGTAACTTATATCTATCGGCCGGCTCTGAGCATCTCGACAGTCACAATGGCTTTGGGTCTCTCTAGGCAAGCCTTAAGAGGAACGCCGAATGCTCTGCCAAGTCACTTGGTCGGATTGTGCCGACAAGAACAAAAGAAGAATGTTTCGCAAGCGTGAGAATTCAGGGTCCCTTTGTTGTTCTCCACCCCCCCCCCCCCCGCCCCGATCTGACTGATAGGCCCGATTCCGGCTGTAAGACCCCGATGCACAGAAAAGAAAAGAAAGAAAAAGATTGAATGCCTCCACTATGAGCTGTCACCTTTCTTTTTGTGAAAGGTGCTCGGCATCAATCCATCTACGACAAAGACATTCAACACACTCAAATCGCGCCTTTTGGCTCTCCCCACAGCGCAGTAAGCATGAGGGAGGAGAACGAGAAGGTGAAAGCCACCCTAGACTTGGCAACTGGCGTTCAATGATTCGTCATGCTGACGGCACGATACTGTATGTACTGTAACAGCCCAGGTGGCATCAATGTGAGACCATGGCTGGCAGCCACGCAATGATCTGAGCCCCGACTCGGCAATGCACGGCGACCGGCGATCAGCAGTTGCTCCGACCGACCGAGGTGTTGAGACCAACGGGAGTCGGCCTTGGGCTTGTTTCAGTCGTATCTCCGTGGGGTAATTAAAGAACAAGTGCACACATGAAAAGCTGTCGACTCACATTCGAGGATGCTTTCATCGCAAATGGTACACAAGTCACGAGCTTGATTCATGTTCAGACACAATCCTGTTCTGACAGTTGGCAGCCTTGAGCGACGAGATATTCATGGCAACGCTGCTTTATTCGCACGCCTGCTTCTGAGTCAGTTGCGCGTCGAATTGATCAATGTTTGTCATTGTATGGTCCCGATAGCAGATCCAGAAGCTCTCCGCTCCGCTCGCCAAACAACAAGATTGCCCACGCCTCATGACTGCAAGACGCCAGGCAACGGCGATGTCGATTCAATGCAATCGTGGCTGCATTGTAGGTCACACACTAACACCTGTCTTTGCTTCGGCAACGCCTGTATGAGCGCCTCAAAGTGGTGCATGCTTAGCTGAGAGCGAGATGAAGAAGGAGAAAGAGGCAAGAGACGGGGGGAAGAAGAAGAGAGCTGCGGTCTATCCTAGGCTGAACCGATCTAAGGCGTCCCGGATGTTTGGATTCGAGCTGAGCAGAAGCAAGGAAAGACAATGAATTCCTGGCTTTCATCTCGCCTGCTTCCGCCACGCATCCTCTTGTTGCTGTGTGGCATTCAATCCAAACCAGGCGACACATTCTGGTGCGCCCCGGACGAATGCACTCCGATAAGAAAGGACGAGATCCGGAGTTGAGGCATCTCTTTTCAGGCACCAAAAAGCGTTGCGGCATGAAAGAAGCCTCTGGATTGCAATTAATAATGGATGCTAGACAAGTCTGTATGTATATGTGTGTGTGTGTGTGTGTATATATATATATGTTTCCGTTGGAGCTTTAATGCATAGCGCCGCCACCGAATTGCTGTGGTGTGCGTCCCTTCCTCTCCCCTTCGCTCTCAAAGTGCCAGCCGCAGCCGAGCAAGGACGCAAGAAACACTTTTGTCTATCCATTTGATGCAACGTCTCCGCCAGCCTCCAGCGCAATAATAACCTCCGCGGATCAAGGCCGCTTTCACCATTCCAGCGGAGCTGTGACGCCTCTTCAAAGCCTATTTCTGGGCCTCTTTCACAACGTTCGATGGCCGGATCTGCCTGAACCGCTGCATAGCTCGTCAATCAAGACTCATATCGACGAGGCTCATGCGTACCAGAGTGGATCCGCTTGTATGAAGATATAGCAGCCCTTGCTTCCGTACATTGTAGTCACACGATAAAAGCATTCCGGCCTGTTCTCAGTGAGCCTGAATTCAAAAAGAGGACGTCATACGGGAAACTCTCATGTGCATGGTCGACCCAATGAAAGTCGGGACGGAAGGGCTGGACCAGCCATAAGTTAACAAGTGAGGAAATCCATTTTTGTTTTTATTTTCCAAGCGAGACACATCCAAGTGAATAGCTTCCGCCATCCAGCACCTGCTCGCTGTTGTTTTCTGTCGGAATGAACGAGTAGACGAGTTAAGTGGTAGCAACAAGCCTCATCGACGAGTCCTATTACCCTATCCTTACGCTACAGAAAGTCCAACCTTCGGAAAACTTGAATGTTTCCTCGTCGCATGAGTTCAATAGAAAACAATGGAAACAAACAATGCAACAGCGGGACGTTCAAACACCGTCTGTCGTAGAGATTCCAAGCTGGTTCTTTCCTGTTGGCTCGAATGGCCAAATTTCGACCTTGCGACGTCGGCAAGTTTGCGAGATGCGTTCTCATGCCATTGCACAGGCACTGTGAGAAATTGCGTCCCCGCGCTTAAGCGATGCACGGTTGCTTGCTGTATTGCAGAGCGCGATTACAGGCACCAGGCAAGACGAATTGCTGTCCAGTGTCGAGGCTTCGGATCCGACTGAAGATCGCTTGACAGGCGAACCTCTGTTTGGAAGCCAAGTTAACCTTTTCCCCCTGCTAGCGTGGAAGCACTTTTGCAGAGTCATGTCCGGCGGTAGAGATGAGAATCATGCCTCGGATCCGCTCTTTGCTATAGCCATCTCTTCAAGTTGCTCGCTATCTTTTGGACCCGCTGCTCGAGATCGAGTGAGGTCCGGATTGCGATGGCCACGATTTTTCAACTCCACTCCTCCGCATTCACTGTAGTCTTGGCTCGGTCAAGTTGAAGTATCTATTCTGATTGCCAACCTAGGACGGCATCGGACGCTGGATTAGAACGTCTTTGCATAAGCTGAAAGGGGGAAAGTAGTATGTTCTATTGTTGCATGATCATGTCAAGTCCCAGAATAGCTTTCGTTGTTCGATTATGGGTCTCATGGCTCGATTTTTCGCTTACGATAGGTGTCTAAGGTCTCGCGAGGGTATTCACGAGTCAAAGGCCGAATCATGGAGAGATATGTGCGTTGGAGAAGTTTCAACAATCTCACATAGAGGAAAGCAATAAGCAAGGTCAGCTGAGAGTGAAGAGGTGTAAGATCAGGCAGAAACGAAGGCGGTCACAGAGCAGGAACACGTTCGGCAGTAGGCATTTCAAATCATGGCGGCCGAGGGGCGAGCAGATCTTGAATCCAAAACGACAGCATCGTCCATCTTTGAAAGGGAAAGCGAAAGGAATTGCCGGATTCGGCCAAGCCGACGGCCAAGCCTGGGATTTAGATTGGCACAATGTGGCTTGCCTGCAAAAGACGAAAAAGAAGAGAGGAGCTGGCAAGTGAGGCGAATTCTTGACAGCTGAAACGCAATGATGTTTTGCAAGCATGATTGAAAACAATGTGAGCAAATTGAGAGCATCCGCTTGCAGCTCATCCCGACGGAAGCAGACTGTGGAGAAGAACGGGAGAGGGAAAAAGGACTCGACTCAACTCGGCTTGACCGAAGCTGACATAATCCCCCATGTCACCTCCTCGGCTTCGTCAAGAACGGTTTGCTTCCCTCCAACTCCGGCAAGCATGGAGCGGGATTCAAAGTCAGCAACCGTCAAGAGTCAAGGCAGAAAGAAGAAAAAGGTCCCATGAGGCCTACTGGAACAAGAGCAGTCAGTCACCGCAAAAGGGAGCCAACTGTGTCGGAGTTGATTCATTCACAATTCAGGCAAGCCAACTAGGTGGAAAGAAACCACACACACATCTGATTAGCTGCAATGAACGCAGGAAAGAGTCTCATCGAGAGTCTCACGCCGATTGCCTGCAATCTGAACAAAGCAAAAAGTTTAAGCGGCATATCCGAATGTGAAAAGTCAGCCTGAATCACCAAGCAGACAGTAGAGCAGTGGCTCACCTTTCTTGGGTTCCAAACACAGCGCAGATGCAATAGGCCCATGGAAGCACTGCTTCTGTTTTGTTTCTAGGCAAAATGTGGGTTTTGAACAGATGCAGATGTGGGATGAGAACATCCTAGCTTGATCTGCTTCCAACGGAAGTGGAACATGTCAAACAGAGTGGGGGGGGGAAGACAAGGGGACGATAAAGAAACTGGTGGCGTGCAGATTTCAGATTGACACAAGGTCTTTCCACTATCAATTCCACATGCTTCTCTGTGGCTTGACTTCTCCCACTTTGCCCGATCAGCGTTCAAGTCAAGCGACGAAACAAGAGAGCAAGATGTCCGCCTCGTTTGTTTGTGCAAGCAGAAAAGCGAGAGGTAAAAAGCGAGAGAAAAGAGGCAGAAATTCACCGGCGCGGCAATTGCGAAGTGCGATTCAGCTGTTCCCGGTTGCAAGTCTACCTTTGTTGCCTTTTGTAGTGATGCATTCTGAGCCTCATTTGGCATTCTTGGCACGAGGCAACTAATTGGGGGACACCGTGATCTTGCAGCATTCAGGGCAGGAGGATGCTGGCAGGTGCCTGATCATGCGGTCGGACAGGTATGACGAGATGTCGAAGGGCAAACTGCATATGCCATGAAACCGACGTTTTTATTGGCATGAATCATGGAAAGCGGGCAGAGCATGGAAGGGCGGGGGATCTTGCTATGCCACCACCACTGAGCACTTGAGAGCATTCTGATTGAAGGGCTCTTTGCTTTCGAGCCAAACAAAAGTACAGCGATGCGAATGGAAGGACATACAGTGGAGCCTGCATAACCAGCTCATCCGGAGATCAGATACCGAATGCTCCCAGCACTAAACTTGTTCTCCGTGTATATATTCCCACAGACGACAAGACTCGATGCCGATCCTCCCGCGAGAGTCATTATGCCTCTCTGTCTGGTTTATGGACGATAAAAGCGACCAACATGTCTCATTTCCATTGCTTCACCGTGGGGGGGAAGCCGAGGTTCGGGCATGCCGGTTCATAAATTGAATTCATTGCCACCTTTCAAAAATATGCAGATCTCCTTGGTCCATGATGCAGGTCAATGATCGCTCTTAGGGATAGGTCTGTAATTCTTCAGTCCTACAATTGAAGCAGCACTCTCAGAGGCAAAGGACATCTCAACCTGCGGACAAGACAAAGATAAAAAGGCTCGACACTCGAACGCCCGCGGAATTGTCGCTGGCCCTGGCTGAGGGTTCAGGAAAGACTTTCTGCAGGCTGCAACTGCAACTGCACAGCACTGTTTCGTCTCGCTTGGATCGCTGCTGGTCGCAGTGAAAAACAGACTGGATCGGAAACTCAGCTGCTGGTGCACGTTACTGTTCCCTTCTTCTTGGAAAGTCATCTGGAGTTGACCATCTCCGCTTCCAAACCAGCCTTTTGAGCACAGCGTTGCTTTCTTTCTTCATGCAAAAAGCTTGAATGCGATTTGCAAACTACAACTCCGCCATCTCCGGGATTGAGTTGGCGGAAGTCTCTTTGATACTGGAGTGAGAGAGAGGGTCGGAGGAACATTTCAAGGTCAATGGCAAAACAATTCCTGGCACTTGGACAGGCCAGCATGACTTCTGTGGGATGATAGACTTGCCGTCTTGCTTAGCAAACATGTCAAAATCCAGCTTGATAAGACAATTGCATACTTGTTAGCAACAAAGCTTAAGGTTCTCCATATCACATCCAATGGAAAGCGACTGTCAAACAAGTGAGCAAGGAGGAAGTGCACCCAGGATTGCTCTCTTGCTCTCTCAGCGCAGAATGGACTACAGCCCGATGCGCCAGGTACCACACTTGCTTACGTCGTTTTTTTTTTTTTTTTTTTTTTTTTTTTTTTTTTTTTTTTTTTTTTTTTCCCACCGTTTTTCCAAGCGACGTAAGAAATAATATAAGTTAAATAAATAACAGCAGGGTAAATCAAAATCGGGGGCAGAGAGGAGGGCCGAGAGAGGAACCACCAGAGACTCCCTAACCATTTTATTATTTTTATTATTATTATTATTATTATTATTTTTATTTTTTTTAAAATAAATGAATAAAAAAACTCTCTCTCTCTCTCTTTCTCTCTGTCCGCCATGACAAGTGAAAGATGGCGAAAACGAGGCATAGGTTAGAACTCACTTTTGCTGCCCCTCGTTGCTCGTTTGTAGGCAAGCAGTTGTTGTAATGCTGTTATGCGAATCTCCCTCTTTCTCTCTCCCTCTCTTTCTCTCTCCCTCTCTTTCTCTCTCCCTCTCTCTTGTTTCCATGGCGAACGAGTCAGACACTGATGAGTGAGTGTCGCTTTGGATTGCTGCTTTTGATTGTGTCTTTGCTTCTCTTCTTTCCGCCTGTCATGCGCTGCGCAAGCATCAAGAAGCAAGCCTCAATCATGCTTCCCTCCTCCTCCTCCTCCTTCGGGCTTCTGGCTTCTACTCTCGCTTAACTTTCGTCTCCGCTGCGTTTCCATGGCTCCTGCCCCATTGTGCCTTCCAGGATAATAAGAGATCAATGGTGTGCGAGCGAGTCAGTGGAAAAAGAAGCTGTCTGCCAAGCACATGCACTGCAAGATGCTTGTCCTGCTGCTGCTTTCTGCCTTCTGCCCTGAAGGTGGCATTCCTCTTGTTTTATAATCCCTGGTGTATATTCGCTTTCCGCTCTTCGGCGCTCGCTCCTTTGCTCTTCTTTCGCTCTTTTGCCGACAAAGAAGGACTTGGACATCTCATCCTTCGACTGCTTCATTGCACTCTCTGCATTGGCGCTCTTTGTAGCTCAACTTGCTGTCGCTCTACCCTTTTGTCTCGACTCGGACTTTGCGCTTCCGTCTATCTGAAATGCTCCGCCCACACCGAGAATCCGTCAGGCACTCATCCCACAACTGTACTCTGACGCTTGACAGCTGCCTCTGAGCTTGGCCAGACTGAATCTCGGCTTATCGGCAGACGAGCGCTTCCTCTCCTTTTAAAGTCAGCCGACAGGATCCAGGATTCCTTGCTCGCCATCTTCCTCCTTCCCTTTGTTCTATCTACCCTTTCATTCTCTCCACCATCGCTCACCATCTTGCCTCTCTAGAAGCCCTCATCATCATCATCATCATCATCATAGCCTTGGCCGAGTCTCGCTATGGGAAGAGATTCCCGCCGATCCTATCGACACTGCCAGGATCAATCACCTTCCAGCTCGACCCCTGCCACTTGCTCTTTCACCACCATCCTTCCTCCCATCTCCACGCTCACACATGCCCCTATCTCTCGAAGCCGCTCCTCGTTCGCTTCCAGCTCGGCCTCTTTGTCCAGCCCTTCGTCCTCTCATTCCACGTCCTCTCGAGCTAGCGGTCCCATCGAACCTCAGAGCCCTCTCGACGGACAGCCTCTCCTCAGTTCTACGCGGAACATGAACATTGCTTCTCGCTCCAACGCCCACCGATCTGGGCACCCAAGTATGCCTCACGAGCATCACTCTTCCAACACGGACAGCTATCATCACTCGCATCGGCACTCTGCACCTTTGCATCACACTCGTCCCGCCGTGGAGGATGGTTCACATTTGTGGGGTGATGGTATGAAAGGTATCTGGAACAGTCTTACAGGTGCTCCTCATCCCAAGTCACGCTCTCCCGTCGCCGCTGCCGGTACCAACTCCAAAGTCGAATACCTTGAACCCTCTCGTCCCTCTGACGTCGAGGCTGCTACTTCTACCTGGGACGTTCCCCGCGACACTGTCGCCATGACTATGGGCTTTCAAAATAGCTACGAGGATCGATCTTTCCAGTCTCAGCAAGTCTGGCAGCCACAGCAAATGTCCAACTATCCTGCTGACGCCCACCAGCAGCAGCAACAGCAAGCTCACCTCAACCACGCCTCTTCTTACTCGAGCATGCCCGCTCCATCGGGACTTGCCGCTGCTTCCGCAGATCCGACCAGGCCACGCGGTGCCTCGGGCGGCACTGACCGTCACTATGCTCGCAGGCCCAATTATCCACAGCACAGCCGTCCCGGCGAAGCTTGCACAGACGCCTCCAGCGGTGGTCAATGGTGGGGAGATGCCGACGCGAACCCAGTTGCAGAAGAGGCAAATCATTATGGTGCTCGCAGGCTGCAGCCTCCCCAGCTGCCAGAGACACGCTCAGCTTCTCGACCTACCTGGTCCAACAACGGTGGCTTCGAGATGAGCGGCTACGAGTCCCCTCAGTCTACGCTTGGCAAGCGACAGTACGATGAAGAGGCCATCGCCTCCTCCACCTCGCATGGCGTGGCTGCCGACAACAGCGACAGTGCCGCGGTTCGCAGGTACTCTCTCAACCCCAACCTGTCCTTCTCACGTCCATCAGCCCCGATCAGCAGCATGATGAACAGCTACCGACCTTTGCACAGTGATCCTAATCGACCCTCGCTTCCTTCTGATCCGTACGGTGTGCAGCCGCCAGCGTCGACAGCGCAGCGAACAGGTTACTCGAATCCTTCGCATTACAACCCTTGGGATGGAGCGACTTCACACTCTGGCCTCCCCGGCATGACCAACTCCGACTCATCACCCAGCCTTTCAGGTTGGCGCGACACCAACGTCATGCGATACGGTATAGAGGCCACTGGCTATCCATCGCCAAGCGGTATACCCGGAGGACCCGTCGACAAGCGTCAGCAACGTGATCGATCTTCTTCGACCGCTTCGGCTGTGCAGCAATCCAACAACCTCGCCAACAACCTCGCCAACAACCTCACCAACAACCTCGCCAACAACCTCGCCAACAACCTCGCCAACACGCCCTTCCACATTACCACTGACATTGTTCTCCGTGCGCCTGCAGGAAGCAAGATGGAAGACGTTTACTATGATCAGCACTGCGAGCTTCGCACAGGCATGGCTGACCCGCCCGCCTCGGACTTTGAGGTCGAGAACGAGGAGGACCGTCCTCGTCTGCAGACCGACAAGTTGCGATTCCCTGGTGACCTCTATACGCCTCGATGGGTTCGTGGCTCAGGTAATTCCCGTGAAGCCTGGTGTGATCGATGTGAGAGCGGCAACTGGCTCCAGCTCAAGAACTCGCAGTACTGGTACGATCAAGTGCACAAGCACGGCATCTCGTCGGTCTCGGGTCTCCGCTTCACCGCCCCTACACACCTCAAGATCTACGCCGATGCAGCGGGCACTGTTGAAGGCAAGTGTCATCAGTGCAAGGAGTGGGTCTTGATCTACACTGCCAAGCGACGCCGCAACTTTGCCGCCTTCTTCAAGCACGCTCATGCCTGCCACTCGTATCGTAAGGCCAGTGCGGTTGGCAACGGCCCCTACGTTGAGCACAACCCTGGCGGACACCGAAATAAGAAGGGCACCGGCTCGCCGATATGAAAGCCGGGCATCACCATCTCTGCAGCATTGTCTCATCTCTACTCTCAATCTCAATATACCTAGCTTCCTCTTCCGGTTCTCTAACTGTCATTTGGTCTGCGGCCGTTATAGAAAGGGTCACTGTGCTTGGGCGATACCACATGTACCACAGGAACAGGTCAGCAATCTATTCTATCAGTCACCACTTTCTACGTGGTTACTGTTTTTGTCTGTAGAATGAGATAGATTGAAAGTTATCTAAGCAGGGACCGCAACTCAAAGCTCGTCGTGGCTTGTGTGACCTGCTTCTCCTTCCTCCTTCTCTCCCTCTCCGATGGTCTTTGCACCCCGTTCCTTGATCTTGGCCTCGCGCTCTTCGATCCTCTTGACGATCTCTTTGTACATCTTTTCAACCCTTTCGATCTTCTCATCACTCACTGCGGAGTCCTCGTTACCCTTATCACGAGCCATCTTCATCATCTCTACATCCGAGACGAGGTACTTTGCAAGCCACTTTTCGCTTTTCAGCGCCATCTGTTCCGCTTGATCCGGGCTATGTTTGACTAGCTTTTCCGCGGCTCCTTGGGCTTCCTTGAACTGCGAAGCGTACTCGGAGGACCAGTCGACTTGTTCGCCTTCCAACCAGCGCTGGAGATTCTCCTTGAGAGAGATCGAGTCCTCATCGCCGCTAGTGGTGCGTGAGGAGACTTTGTAGGAAGAGGCTGAATCGGGAGTGTCGCCAGAAGAAGAGTAGGAGGCGGTACGGTCCGTGGTCGTTTTACCGTCAGAGTTGGTGCTAGAGGAGTAAGAGGAAGAGGAAGAGGAAGAGGAAGAGTGAGAAGAGCCATCGCCTTCGCCTTCGCCTTCGCCTTCGCTGTGGGCAGATGTGTCAGCGTCGCTCTCAACCTTCGCCTTCTTTGGTGATTCCGGGGTTTCATCTTTGGCAGCTGCCTCTCGATACTCGTTACCTTGCTTGATGGCAGTGTTGAGCATCTCAGCCAAGTCTTCCATCTTTTTGAGCTGTTCCTCTTCCGTCATCTCCTTCTCTGCACGCCATTCGCGATGGGCGCCCGTTGGAAGATCCTCGATGTTCTCGTCAAGCTTGACCGCCTTCTTTTTGGGTATCACTTTGACGGAAGGCTTCTTGACCTTGCCGGACTTGGCTTCTAGGATGGTCTCCTTGATCCAAGCATTGAGCTCGTGGTACTTGAGAGGGCCAGTGTAGACCTTGATCGCACTCTTGTCGAGTTCTTCACCCTCTGGCCGAGAGGGAACCACAATGAGATGAGGAAGCTTGCCGTCACTGACCTCCACACCCAAGTGCAAGCGAGCCGCAGACTGGACTGGTCGTTGATCTCCTCGCAAGAAGGCGAAAGAGAGACTCTTGCGGAAGTCCAATGCCAGACTCTTGTACAGCGGCGAGCTTGTTGGCTTCTTGGAGAAGAGGATCACTTTGGGCGTGCTGGCATCTTTGTCGGCATACTCCTGCAGCTCTTCAGCTTTCAGCTTTTTTGCACCCATCGGAAGAGCATCGACCATGTAAGCTGCGATGTCCTTGGCTGTTCGTGGGCCTTGATAGTCTTTTGGCAAACGCTTCTTGGTTGGAGGGAAGAGCTTGAGTGTAGGGAATCCCTGAATGCCGTATCTGCCACAGGTGGGCTTGTTCTTGTCGTCGTCACAGTCGATCGATGCGAGCTTGACCACTCCATCCAGCTGTGCAGCGACCTTTGAGTAGTCGGGAACGAGATTCTGGCAGTGTCCGCACCAGGGAGCGGTAAAGGCGACCATGGTTGGCTTCTCGATGTCGAGCACTTCTCGCTTGAAGTTGGCAGAGTCGAGAATGGTGACTTTTGAGTTCTTGGAGAAGAGGGCGGCCTCGGTGGCGCCCAGAAGGGCGATGGCCAGCAACAGCAAGCTGCACGCCAGTCTCACTCTTGATGGCATCATGTTTGGAGATCCGCTCCAGATAAGGATTGTGAGTGGTGATATCCAAGTTGCAAGGAGTGCGGAAGAATGATGGATCGGTGAACGACTCCGTGTTGTACAGTCATTCCCCACACAGCGAGCTCAGACCTTCAAAAGTTGACGTGGAAGCTTCGCCGCCGAATTAAGGCTCGCTTTTCCGAAACCTAACACCTTGAAATATGAGCTCGGAACTCGGAACTCGGCTCTTTTGTGCCTGAAAGTCTCTTCCGATTTCTTCTTGAAGCAAAGACCGTTCTTCGTGATACCTGGAGAGCACCATCTATCACGACCTGCTCAATTCACTACCTTCTCACTGTTTGCAGTCGGAGACAGCGCTCTCAAGGCAGAAGAACAATAGCCCTGATGCGGCGATCGAGCGGCACTCTGTCCGGTAGAGATGCTTATCGAACGCTATGGCAGCAGCAGAAGCAGCAACCGCATCGTCCGCTGAGCTCGGCTACCATCTATCCCGGATACGCCTGGCCTGGTGCAAGCTCGGCTTCGGCTCCAGCATCCTCGTCTTTGCTGCCCTTATCCATATTCTCTACAGGCTCGTCGTCATCGAATTCGAAGGTTTCTAGATCGTCCCGACCATGGCTCACATCCCTCGCCTACTCGACCTCCAATCCAGCATACCCACGCCCCGGCTCGAACAACGACATCGATCCTCTCGGAGTCGATTACTCTGTCTTCGAACCAGAGGATGCTGCATACAGCCAATATGCATCAACCTCGCTTATTGCTGGAGAGGCAAACGAATCGCAGCATGATACCTCTTCCTCCTCGCTAAACGCAGATTCCAGCATCAACAGTCTTTCTCCACCAGCACAGCTGCTCATCCGTCTAATAAGAGATAAAGACTTCGAGACAGCAACGACCGTTCTCGAGGAACTCAAGATGCTACATACCCCGCTCAATGAGCTGATGCCAGACTTTGCACCCGCGGCGCTCTGGGCTATCCAAAACGGCAAAAAGACAGAAATGATCTACTGGATGCGACTCTGTCCCGGTTACACTCCAGGTACCAGGCGACTCGAAACGGCTTCCGCCCATAAGAGCAAAGCACAGGTCGCTTCTGTAGCGTCCTACTTTCGAAAATGCTTTATCGTGCTTCTCGATTCGTACGGTGACGATCTGCGTTTGTTGCAACGAGCAAGTATGCTTGCGGTAGAAAAGGGAATGTGGAGCGTACTTCAGTCGACGCTGGCTCAGATCATCCGATTTGGTATGGGAAACTTGATGGGTCCAACATGGTCAAACTCGATCTTGGGATGGCAGTACTTCACCCGTCTAATCCAGGCCAATCAAAGTCAAAGAGGCTTGAAAGACAGGGGAAGGCAAGCAGCAATCAAGTTAGCCACGCTTGAGCTGCGTGCGTTGTACAATCTTGCTATTCGCACACTAGCACTAGCTGGGCGACTGGACGATGCGATCTACTGGGCGGAGAAAAGCACAGAGGCAGCCGACGAGCACCATGCCTATTCGCAGATCGTACGACTGGAACTGTTCACCGAGAAACTGCTCCTTGAAGAGCTCATTCGAGCTGGAGGAGGCTATTTAGATCAAGCTCAGCAACTTGCCAAGAATGTGTCCCACGCTCGTACAGGGTCTGGGAAGCGCAAGAAGCTCGATATCGACAGAATTCGGAGTCAGATCGAGCGGGAGACGACGCAGGCTTCGGCAGCGAAGGATCGAGACTTTGGAGCAGCAAGACCAGAATCTCTCCTCGATCAGACAATTCAATCGTATATGGACCAAGGCGACGTCGTTACAGCCAGAGACCATCTTCTTTCCGTTCTGGAGTCGGCTTCACGGATTCAGTATGGACCAGACGAGTCAATTCCGGCTCACGATGCTCTCTACGCAGATTCATCATACGTAAACTTTGAACATCTTCCCTCAGCCAGGGTACTATCAGATCTCCACGACTTGGCCAACAAACATGGCATTATTCCTATCACAGTCTCTCTCACCGAAACAGACCTGAGCCAAGTCGCCGCTCCTGACGGCTCACATGATGCATACCGATCCCAAGAAATGCTGACGGCGGAAGAGTTTCTGCGCCCGGTCCGACAGAAGCTTGTCATGGTCAAAGGAGGTAAAGGATTATGGCAGACAGCGAGGCTTTATGGATATATCAAGAAGGGTCAATGGACAGATGCTGTTCAGTACTACATTGACAAAGCTGGCTTCAGAGTACCTGCTGGAGGTATCAGTATGAAGCTCATCTCTCTTGCGCTAGATCAGCAACCTTTGCCGAAAGCGAGTAAGCGGGAGCAACTGAACAAAGCACAATGGTTGCGTGGCAAAGACTGGCCTTCAACACATGCCATAAACTTGATGATCAGGGCAATCGTTGGAATCTGTGTTGATGCAAAGGACTATTCTCGCCTCACTCAAGTGTACCGGATGTGGAGAGAGGCATCCATGCCGACTAGGCTCTCGGAAGAGGATCAAAAGGCGGAAGAAGCGGAGGAGTTGGTCTTTCAAGAATGGCTGCCATCACAACGGCCGGACAGCTACACCTTTGATCCTTTCATTCGCGCGTTCGGTCGACTCAATGTCGAGGTCGAATCCGGCTCGCCATCGTCCTCCTCCTCACCTGCAGCGAAAGAGGGAAGCGGAACAGCTCGAACAGATATACAAACCTGGGGCTCAAGTCAAGCAGTCCTCGATCTGATCCGTGATATGACGGACATCTTCTCCATCCGACCCAGCATCAGCACTTGGACCATCGCCCTCGAATGCCTTGCTCGCGAAGGACGCTCACGTTGGACAGCTACCACCTCCATCCTCGCCCGCGCTGTCGGCATCAACACTACCTCCCCTCTCTCCTCTTCCTACACAATGGTACAGAGGGCCGAAGATAACTTTGAACCAGCGAACTCGGTCACTTACACCGCAATGTTGCGGGCGCTGATCCGCGTTCCGCGTGAAGACGGAGGAAGTATGGTGGAAGAAGCTGCTGCAATCAGAGACGATCTATTGGTGAGGACGATGAATTTGGATGTAGCGGTGAGGCAGATGTTACTTGTAGAGGCAGAAGAGCAGACTGATGAAGGTCAGCAATTCTGGAGAGATCTGTTGCAGAGATGGCAGACGGTACAGGAGGCGGTCTTTACGCGAGGCAACACAGCATCAGACGAGAGAGCAAGATGGCAAGCAGCAGAGATGATCAGAGCGAATGGCCGACGTACGATTGAAGCAATGCATGAGCTGTGGATGCTGGAGTCAGCGGCAGAAGCTGATAGAGAGACTTCCACAGCGTAATACCTACACACACTACCACTACGAATAACATCGTCATATCCCGACGTGTTGCATCCTTACTTCGATCATCTTTGCGCCTGTGATCACGTGTCATACTTATGATTTAGGGTCGAGTTCCGGTAATCGCGAGGAAGGGGAACGACTGGGTCTCACCAGCCTCGATCTCCTTGTCCATCTTGAAGCTTTCAAAGACCTGAATGTCTTTGAAGCCGGCTTTGTTCAAGATCTGTTCCATCTCGGTACGCTTCAGGCCGTGACGCTCCACGCCAGCATGCTGTCATTCGCATGTAAATACAATCGTGTCAGTATTCTTGTCCCTCTTATACTCTGCCTTCGAGTCTCAGACTCACCTTGTCTTTCGGATGAAAAGCTTCAGCCTGAACGCCATCATGCTCAAAGTCTGAAATCCACAGCCTTGCACCCTGCTTCAGCGTTCCCTTCATGACATGGACCAGCTCCGCCATATTCGGGACATGATGGAAGACGAGATGGCTTACTACCGCATCAAACTTCTTTCCACCTAGCACCGAATCCTCTGAATCTTCTAACAGCTTTACTTTGGCCTCTACCTTTCCCTGAACTACTTGCTTAGCCAGCTTGGAGTTGAGCATGTCAATCATGCCTTGTGCCGTGTCTAGCGCGACAATTGACTGGACATGCTGTGCGAGTGGGAGGGTGAGCAAGCCTGTGCCACAGCCGATCTCGAGGATGTCGGAGGAAGCAAGATTTGGGAAGTGTTCCTGGTGAGAGAGAATGGCTTGGAGACAGAGACGAGAAGATTCAACAACTTCAGGTTTGGAGTCCCAAGTGGCTGCTTCTGCGTCGAATCGGTCATTGCCGGCTGAGTAGTTGGGAATTGTCGAGGTCATTGTCAGCCAGAACCACCAGGTCGGTATGCTTGGGAACTGACGGAGCCGCTCGCGTGGTGATAGGAAGAGAGGTCGTTGGTATCAAACATGGCGGAGTTTGGCATTGCATGTTAGCCGATTCCTGGCCTATGCTCATGTCACGTCAAGTTTACCTCGCAGAACAGGGTCCGAGCTGATGTCTTGAAGCTTTGACAAGCAACAAGCTGTATCGTTCGACGACAGCAAAGACTCATCACACCGGATAGACACCAATCATTACTTCACAACCTTTCATTCTGCTCACCTCAAAGTGGAACGATCACGAATGACGACTGCAAGACATCTGCCCAGCTATCTTACCAACTCCTAGAGAGGTGGGCTTCCGGCTCTTGTTTTGTCGCTCACAGGGTGATCCATTGGTTATATAATTGCAAACTTTCCCTTATGTAACATATCCCAGTTAGTACAATGGTTAGTATAGGGCACTCTCAGTTGTTTTCAACCCGTCTTTCCAACGGGGAATAATTGTTCTGCTCAGATCAGGGTTCGATTCCCTGGCCGGGAATATTGTTTTTGCTTTTCATGTCGATGAGTTCTTTATTTTCCCAGCAGTCTGAGGGTCTTTTTCTTCTTCTTCTGGTGACGAGCGGACAAGATGAACAATCAATCAGAGATGTATCCGAGTGATAGTAGCAAAGCTATCTGCAGCGATGGTATGCTCGCATGCTTGGTCTGTCATGTTGCCATGGTGCTGCCACAGGTGTTCATGTCTTGAATTTCTTTTAGTTACCGCTCAGGAGTGTCTGTCTGCAAGATCTTTGAAAGGCCAATTTTCCGAGGTGGAGAGGAGCGCGCACGCGCACGGCTTTTCGAGCTTAAACGCCATCCCAAAATAAAAAATAAAAAATAAAAAACAAAAAACAAAAAACAAAAAACAAAAAACAAATTTGGGACCTGGAGAAAAGCTGCCCGTGTTCCGACTTTCGTGTCAACTACATCGAGATCGACTTTTCAGCTTGCCTTACGGCTTGCTGCTACAGTTTAAGGTGTTCGCAATCACCTCTCGGACCGTCTCAGGTAGACTTGCACTTCTTACGCCCCTGTCACTCGAACGATCCACATCAAGTGACTCGAGGCCAAAAGCTCTGCATCTTTCGGATCACGGGTTCCGCTTCCGACCGGAGCTGATGGACTTTCGGCTTACAGACCATGCCTATTCGACACTCCTTCCACTGCAGACCAATCTACATTAGCTGCTCTTCCCCGAGCGCCTACTTGACCCACGTATAATTATATCAGTCATGAGCAACGCAGCGACCTCAAGCAAGCGGTGTCCTCTGCCCGTCGAAGAGGACTTCTCGCCCAAACACTCAAAGGTAGCACAACTTCTGACGGAGACACCTGAAGGCGCCAACGCCTCAGCCGTATCTACGCCAGCTTCCGAGATGATGCCCTCGTCCGAGATTCCATCGACGCCTCTCATCGGGCCAGGAACGCCTGACTCTGAGGGCGAGCCTATTGTTGCTACCTCGACCGTCACCACCACCATCTCGAACCAACGCGGCAGCGGCTCCTCTACCGTCGAGTTCCAGCACATCGGTGCGAAGGGGCTCTCGCATCGAATCGACAAGGATGGTGCCATTCACCTCAAGCCAGTGGCAGCCTCGTCCAAGTCACGCAAGAAGATGCGTGCGGTCGTCAGCTTCAAGCCTCGAAACAGTCACTTCGACCGCTTCAACGAGACATCTTCACGCGATCAATTCCGAGGCTTCTTTACTCTCTTCTGGGTCTGCCTAGCCCTCTTCGTCCTGAACACTTCCTACACCAGCTGGAACAGCACCGGTCAAGTGCTCAGTATGACTTTTGCGACTCTCTTCAGCGAGGACGCTTGGATGCTGGCGCTGTCCGACGGTGTGCTCATTGGCTCCCTCTTCATCTGCGTTCCTTTCGCTAAAGTTTGCCGTCGAGGCTGGGTCCGCTATTGGCCAACTGCCGTCGTCTTTCAACATCTGTGGCAAACGGCCTTATTGGGTCTTGTGATCAAGTGGGCAAGGTACAGAGAGTGGCCCTGGGTGCAGAGTGGCTTCTTCGTCCTCCATACGCTCTCCATGATGATGAAGATTCATTCGTACATGAACGTTAACGGCAACATGGCTGACACCTACCACCGCATGCGCCGCATCGAGACCATGCTCGAGGAGCGTGTAGCGGAGGTCGAAGGGGCCGAAGCTGGCAGGGGCGACGAACAGCTCAAGGCTGCATGGGGCAAAGCGGTCCGACTAGCCCGACAAAACGCCGGTTTTGCCAACGAGAAGGACTCTGTGACGGCACAGAAGCTCTCAGAATGGTCTTCGCTGAAGAGCCAGAGAGGAAGCAGTTCAAGTCGACAGATGCTCGGACAGAAACTCAATGCAGTTTCCGACGATGCCACTGAAGCAGCCGCGCTCACCCTCCAGGATCAGACACAAGAAAACGGAGAGGACAAGGAGGCTGCCAAGGCGAGCCAGAAGAAACTCACTCGAGAAGAGCACATGCAGCTGCATAAGGAGAAATCGGAGAAAGACAAAGCTGATCGCAAAGCGCATAATGTCGACAACTCAAAGGACGAGAAGCTCAGTCGTCGTCGTTCGACTTCTCGAAGCGCTGCCAGCGGAAGTGACTCGCAGTCGCACCAAATACGTGATCCTCACCCTCTTTCTTCGCATCTTGACAAGCTCATCTCGGATCTGGCCCGCGAGATCGAAATTCTTCGCGAAGACCTCCTTTCTGCCCGTCCTTCACCGGATCCCTCAGGCGAGCTCATCCCTCAAGATCCTGTCATGTGGCCTGCGAATGTCACTTATGCTAACTTCTGGGACTACCTTCTCGTTCCCACACTCGTCTACGAGCTCTCTTACCCCCGTCTCAAGACGATTCGTCCGCTCTACGTTGTTGAGAAGACCCTTGCTACATTCGGGACCTTCTTGGTCATCTACGTCATCACCGAGCACTGGATCATGCCCTTCACCCCGACCGCTGACACTCCCTTCCTCCGTACATTCCTCCAACTGGCAGTGCCGATGATGATCAACTACCTCCTCATCTTCTACATCATGTTCGAGTGCATCTGCAACTGTTTTGCCGAGCTGACACGTTTTGCGGACCGCGAGTTCTACCTCGACTGGTGGAACGCTACCAGCATGGACGTCTTCAGTAGAAAGTGGAACAAGCCGGTGCACTCGTTCCTCTTAAGGCATGTGTATGCAAGCACGATTGCAGCTTGGGGCTTGAGCAAGAGCATGGCCATGTTCTTGACTTTCTTGCTGAGCTCGTTGGTACACGAGCTGGTCATGGCGATTGTCAGTGGCAAGATCAGGTTCTATCTGTTCGCAGCACAGATGGTGCAGCTACCATTGATCATTATCAGCCAGATCCCATTCATCAAGCGGAACGAGACGCTGGGGAATATGATCTTCTGGATCGGACTCATGGCCGGGTTCCCATTGCTCAATATCGGGTATCTTGTCTACTAAACTCAATACATACACAGCCTAGAAACTAATAAAATTAGGATACCTTCAGATTGGGTCGGTTCTGATCTCGAGCTTGGGCGCTCCGGTCTCATTGCAGATACAAAAGATTCGAGACAATATAGCATGACACATCCCTCCCATCAATGGCAAGTCTTTGTGTATTTCCAGCGGAATTCAGTTTGAGCAGGTGATTGGGTTTCGGAGTCGCGAATCCGATACTGTAGCTCTCGTGTCTTCTCCGCCACTCTTAGAGCGGAAAGCCACCGGTTCGAACTTGCGTCATTGCATCTTTTGGTCTTCATTGTATGCAATGCAGAGTGTAAGGGTTCGATTTCGGAGACTTGCTGGCCCCTCTTCCCTTTGTGGTCTTCTCCGGATTCGTCAAAATAAGGAAATGGCAAAAAAAGAAGAAAAAAATCAGCTTCCCTTTGTTCTTCGACATTTGATAGAATTCAAGGCATTGATCGTGGCGCCCAGCGACGATGCTTGCAACTTCCCTTTGTGCAAACAACCCTTTGTTATGAGCCAATGCGGCTTCATCATCGTACATGAAATGGAAGAGTAGCCGTGCACACTAAAATCTCGGCGGTAAGGCTTCCGATTCCGGCAAGATGAAAGGGAACCGGATCAAAGCGTCGGCGGCGAATTAAATCGCAATGGCGTTCGCGTGGGAGATCTAAGCGAGCTGTCACCGCAGCCAACCATTGCGCACACGCGCACTTACGCCCTGCTCCTGCATCCATATGCGTCTAATGAGGTAAGATATGGACCCACAAAGAGTTGCGGGCTTGTGAAGGAGAGAACAACGGAAGCTGTGAACCACAAAGGAGACAAACGAGAGTGTGGTTTCAAGTGTGTCGGCTTCTCTCTCCCGTCGGAAGAGCGACAGTCCCGGTCAAAGGGGTCCCCCGCTTACGTAGCTCCGACATTGTAAGAACCCTTTGAAGGCCTTCCTCTTCAGCCCCTGCTTCCGTCGTCGAGTCCAAACGACTTATAAGATCTCTGCCAATCCTTGGTCCCACTGTCGCTGTCTCTTTCCCCTCCTTTCCTATCCACTCACCAGTCCATCCAGTTCGTTCCCACTGCACGAAAGCTAGCCTTCGACAACATGTCCGTCGCTACACGTCCACGCTCTCATACTGGGCAGTCCGTCTCTGGTTCCGCTCCTTCCACATCTACCTCTGCCTCGAATAATTCTGTGACAAATCAACTCGCACCTCGATTCAACAACTTCCGTCCAGCCCGTTACCAAACCAAAGAAGAGCTCGATCGTTTCTTCGGCACTACCACGGTTCAAAAGCGTGAACAACGCTTGCGTGTTCGCGAGACCGATGGTCAAGTGTTTTTCGATTGGATCGAAAGAGATGAATGGCAACACTTGCTCGCAACTGGCTCACTCACCAGTCCAAACTCTCCAAGCGATCCAAATGGCAGGAGGAGGAGCAGCGCAGCAACATTCCTGACACTCCACTCGCCGCTCTTTCCTACCAGTCCGGCCAGAAGAGCTAGTCTGGCAACCTCTGGTACGCCAGGATGCCTCAGCCCGCTGACAGGACAGTTCGATATGGTCACCATCCGCGCGGCAGGCGATGGTGACAGTACTGATGCGGGCGAGCGAAGGGGTAGAAAGAGGAGCAACAGCGCCTTGCAGACCGGTAAAAGGAATGGATTGGTCGAAAATCAGCTGCCTCTTTCTGGAGGTAGTGAGGAGAGAAGGAATTGGTTCAATGGTAACGGCTTCAAGCGTCGTCAGAGTGACACATCCGTCTTTCCTTCGCGTCAAAGCTTTTGCGCTCCAGAAGAGTCGCATGATCCGCAAAGCAACAATGATAGGATCCGAATTGCACGTCTTCCACTTGGTCATCGCAAGTTGGACAAGGACTCGCTCGATCAAGCTTTCGGTGGTCTCCCTGCTTCTGCTCCTTTGATCGACATCTCACCGAAGCCTTCTGCAAGATCCCAGAAACCAGCTACTCTCCAGATTCCCACTCAGGAGAAGTCTTCATTGATTGAGATCGATGGTGCAGCCAGCCCTGTGACATCGATCGGAGTCGACGGGTGCACGTTTGATTCAGGAAGTGGCGTTAGACGAGGCACTTTCGGAGCGCTCTGCCCTCCTCCTCAGCACAGGCAAGAGCGACTTTTGGAACCTGTGCAAGTCTTGTCGATTGCCAACACCAACTACAGCAGACGTCTTCGTCCTCGAAGCGATACTGCCACCATGACCCCACCTTCTTCCGCTGCGATGGAATTCCTGCAATCACCTACACCCACCTCTACTTCTACTACGACCAACTTCTCTTCTCAACCAGCCGCTCCCTCGCGCACGCTCCGACATGCCGCTTCATTCGACACACCTCGCCAAGCCGCTTTTTCCATCCCTCCTGACAACAAAAACATCATCGCTGATGCGGGTGTGTGGAGCCAGCGTCAGCGCTGGCACTCTGCCGGCATCGAAACGCAGCCTCACACCGAGCAGAAGAAGTTGCGTGCGGTGCAATCCGTCGCTTCTCTGCGCGAAAGAAGCAGTCGCCCTGAAGGCCCTTTTTCCGACTTCCCTGCCAGTACTGCGGCCAGCATCCTGACGAAAAGGACTCGCAAGATCTCCTGTGGTTCATCTGATGATTCTTCCTGTGGAGACAGCTCCGTACCCTGCTGGACTTCTCTGGCTCCTCGCACAGGCGCTAAGAAATTCGACCGCACTCGAATGCAACACCTCAACGCTCTGCCCCAAGCGTCCCTATCTCCAGCAAGCACCATTTCAGGCCTTCCACCTGTCGATCTCGCCCCTCCGATGCGTGATCCTGTCTCTCTCAACCGCATTGCTACTCCCAAGGTTGCAGAACAAGAGCCGAAGGTCGCAAAGGAGACGCCCAAATTCACCCAAGGCCGCGGAACAGGCTTGGGCACCGGCCCGCACGTCTACGACGGAATGGACATCCCTTGTGCCTCAATCCATCTCTACTCTGATCCCGAAGATAACATTGAGCCAGCTTTGGCGTTGACAATGTCAGCAAGCAAGTTGAAGAAGATGAAGAAGAAGAGTCATTCCACCAATACTCACGCTTCTGACTTCGGAGCTGCCATCGGCGCGAGTCATGCAAGATGCGCATCATCATCAACGAGCTTGCAGGCTGCTGACGGTGTTGCACAGCATGCGAAGGGAAGCTCTCGCTGGTGGAGCAACATCCTGCACGGCTGAAAGACCAATGTCCTTCGTTACCATTCTGTACCTGTTTCAGCTTTGTTATAGCCTCATTCCTTTGTTTTACTCTGTGTTTCGATAATCTCATCAAGTGGTTCCTATCTTCAAAGCCTGACTGAGCGCACAACGTGATACGAGAGTGGTACTGAAACTGTGTAAACATTGCAAGAGTAGCAAAATCTATACCAAGCCTAAGGTGTATATCTAGAGAGCAAGCTTAACGCTCTCAGCAGCGCCCTGTTCCTTTGCCTCGACGGTCAAGCTTCCAGGCTTGGTCAAAGTAATCTCGAGCTCGACCTTCTTGACGCCCTTTGCGGGAGTGGGGACGGTGAAAGCAGCAATCTTCTTGCCTGCGGCCTTAGTGACAGCCGTCTTGATCTGTTCTGGCTCCATTGGCTCGTCGTCTTCGTCCAAGTCCTCCTCGTCAGGCTGGACGGTCTCGACCTTGATCTCGTCAACACCCTCGTCGAGAGTGAAGGCGACTTCGGATGCGCCCTTGGCAACGGGGAAGCGATAGGACCTTCGGATGGGGAAAGGTGTGTTGGCGGGGATCAAAGTGACAAAGGTCTTGTCGGTAAGAATGAGACCAAGTGGTGCCGAGGTGGTCGGAACCTTGAGGTCGGAAACGGATGCGACGGGAGCAGCAGGAACGTTGCGGATGTACTCTGACTCCTTGCTTCCCTCAGGGGCAGCAGCGACGACTTGAGCCTGGATAGCGCAACCCCTAGCAATAACCTGGTCGGCGTCAATGCTGGCAGTGATGTGCGCACCGTTCTCCTCTGCATCTCCGAACAAACCAGTCAACCTATCTGCCAATCCGCTCAACCTTGCGCTGCCTCCTGACAAGACAACCTCGTCAATCTGGCATGCTTCCAACCCAGCCTCCTTCAGAACCTTCTCAATACCAGCTACGACCTTGCCGTACGCGGAGCCGGCAAGCATGTCGAATCGCATCCTGTTGACGCTACCAGTGAAATCGATGCCCTCGGCGAGGGACTCGACGGAGCAAGTGGCAGAGTTGGAAGCTGAAAGGGCACGCTTGGTGAATTCGGCCTCGTTGCGGAGCTTGGCCCAGGCGCGCTTGTCGGTGTCTGCAATGGTAACCTTTGTCTTTTTGGTGAACTCTTTGGCGAAGAACTGGACGAGAGCGGCGTCGAGGGCGGAGCCGCCGACGGTTGAGTCGTGGAGGTAGGCGAGGGTTGTGTAGAGACCAGCGCGGCAAGAGAAAACGGTGACATCGGTGGAAGAGCCGCCCATGTCGACAACAACGACGTTGCGATCAAGCTCCTGGCCGGCACGGTAAGGGACACCCTCAACACCGTCCGGGTGAGCAGGGAGCTCGCCGTGACCTCGTGGCGCAGTGAGACCGTAAGCGGCAAGAGCAGCAGCGGAAGCGGGGACGACCTGAAAAACAATCAAGCCAGCCTCCTCGGCAGCCTTTTTGAGAGCGGCGATCTGAGCCTCGGGGAACCACTGAGGAACGCTGAGGACGGCACCAGCGATAGGGACACCGGAGAGGAAATCCTTGGCGGTCAGGAAAAGCGAGCGGAGGAAACGAACGGCAACATCGTGGACAGTGAGGGTGGTCTCCTTGCCGTCGATCTCGACCTTGAAACCAGGAGTGCCGTTGACGTCAATGACAGCAGCAGAAGTGCGCTTCTTCTCGTCCTCCTTGAGGTCGGAGTAGGATCGGCCAAGAAGGTTGACAAAGTTGTCGATGACGTTGGGTGCGTTGCGGATAAGTTGCGGGGTGGCCTGGTTGGCGAGGTAAACCTGGTCACCGTTGAAGGCGATGCGAGTAGCGAGCTGACGCTCTCCGTCTTCGTTGGCAATCACATCGGCGCGGCCGCTAGCAGACAGAGAACGAAGTACAAAGAATGTCAGGAGCAAGGTTCAGAGAAGTCTGGACACTAGAGGGAAAGCTTGAACAAGCTACTTACTGCTGGTTGATACAAGCGATAGAGCTGTATGAGTGGCCAAAGTTGATGCCGATAACGGCGCCTGCTGCTTCAGTCATGATGTATGTACGGATGAGGGTATGGTATGGATGATGGTGAGGAAGGTGCACGGATGGTGTAGAACAGCTGTGGAGTGACACCGCACACACTTCTTCGCAAAAAGTTTCCTCTCCAGCAACACACAGGCGGAAAGCCAGAAGAAAGTCGAGAAGAAAAAAAAAAAAAAAAAAAAAAAAAAAAAAAAAAAGGAAAAAAAACATGTTGAATGTCAAATCTTCTAAATTTCGAAGAACACAAAACAAAAGGGTCTAACATCCATAGGGGTTAAAAAAAAACAACAACCCCTTTTTATCGCGCGAGAGGCTCGGCTCATTTACACGCCTTCCCCACTACGCGCTGCACGCGTTGAGGAAGTGTTGGTCTCAAACCCTTCGGAGCTAACTACTCTTCTTTGACATGCTGTATCGTTGTAAACCTGCTCCTCTCCCCGGAGGTTCAGGCAAGCAAACCGTTCTCAACTCGGTCAAGCAGAGTTGAGTCGAGTCCTTTTTTCCTCTCCCGTTCTTTGCTCTGACAGCGTCGGTCTGTGCTCCAACGTCCATCTCCAACGACCATCTCACTTTCCATCCTTCTCCTTTCTACCATTTCCACTCCCACTCGGAACCACGGACACTCCTTGTCCATTTCGCCAACAGTGCTCCTCTCTCACGACGACAGCTAAGCGTCAGATTGGCTTTACCCTCGTTCAGGCAAGCAAACCGTTCTCAACAAAGGTAAGCAAATCGTTCTCAACGAAGGCGAGGAGGTGGCATGGGGGATTATGACAGCTTCGGTCAAGCAGAGTTGAGTTGAGTCCTTTTTTTCCTCTCCCCTTCTTCTCCACAGTGACACTGAGGAGGTGTGTTTCTTTCCAAAGTCACATCAAGCAACACAGGCATGGATGCATGAATGCACAGATGCATGCCAGGCAGGCAGTCAGTCAGTGTTTGGCCTATCTGTCTTGCTTCTGCTCCTCTTGTTCCTTTCCATACTACTCCTTGTTCTTGTCAATCTGGCAGCTGAGTCATCTCATTGCCTTGTCTCAAGCCAAGGCCACATGGCTCAGCAACTCAAGTGTCACATTGGTGACTTTGGCTATGATGGGATGGCTCAGCTTCAGCTTTGGCTTCTCTCCTCCTCTTCTTCCCTTTGGCACCTCAGCCAACAATGAGTGGTCCAGGCTGGCTAGCTGGACAGCTTGGGTGAAAGCATCAACCTTGCTCAGCCTGGCATGGCACCAGTGTTGCCCTTGGGAAAGGGAACAATGCCCTCTCCCTTTGGCCGGACTTGCTTGCTGCTGGCTTTTCATGGCACATATAAGGGGCCCAGATCATTCCCACATCCCAGATTTGCCCTTCCTTTCCCTCATCTTCCTTGACCTTCATCTTCTTTCTCTCAGCTTCACTCTAAATTCGTCTGTAGCATCCCTCTTGCAACCAACTGAGCCAATCAAATTCACTTTCAGCACTGCTTTGCTTCCAAAGTGGCACTCTCTTGCAATTGTGCTCCTCCTCTGGTCACAGAAGGTACCACTTGTTTGCCATCAAACTCTGCACCTTGTATCCTCTTCTCTCTACCATGTCAAATGCACCTTCACACCCTCTTCAGGGATTTGGCCAGGTAGTGCCAACAGGAGCAACTCACATTGGCAAGTTTGGTGACCACACCTCCCTCACAGAGGAACACCTTGTCAGGCAGGCCAAGGAGGTATCGAATTGCTTTGATGATAATCCAGCCTTCTTGGAGTTGTGCAAGAATCTAGCTGAGGTGGAGCAAGACCTTAATGATATGTTCCATGCATGACAACTCTCACCTGGTGCCCACTTGGGGAACACTGTGGTGGAGCAGTTCTTGCATACTTTTTGTGACAAGGTTTTCCTCCCACATGCTTATGGTCCTCACTCAATCATCACCTCTGATGACATCCTCTCATCCCCACCTAGACACATTGTCTCAGCTAATTGCTTGTTTTGGAAGATGGTTGCCAAATTCTGCATCTATCATCAGAAAGAGTCATTTGTCAACCCAGAGCAGAAGCAATACCTATCTACAGCATGTGGCAGCTGGCAGCACATCAAGACCATCTATTACCATCTGACACACAAGCAGATTGACAATAACATCACCTTGGAAGTGTTGGCACTGATTACAGCAGAAAGCATCCACAAAGCAAAACCCAAACCAGTGGCATGTTATCATGATCTTGTCACTTTTATCACAGATGGCATCTTTGGCAATCATCTATTGCTTCATTGTCCTTGCGAGCAGCTGCAGCTTGCTGCTCTCCACCTCATCATCTCGTTCTGCACAGCTTGACCTTGTGAGGTGGCACTCACTAACCTTGCAACCGATGCCCTCAAGTATTGCGATCTAGAATTCTGTCATGGGCCTGAATGCTCAAGAAGCAGGAGGGTCACTGGTTCATATGGAAGGAGCACAGGTATCGAAGATCTAGTCAATACCAGTAGAGAGCATGGTCATAGTGCAGTCTCCATGGAGACCATGGACTCCTACAGACTCACATGCAAAGGAGGACCAAGCCATATGCGAGGAGGGCCAGGCACAGTCACAAGGAGGACCAAGCTCAAGGAGCAGGCACAGCCACGAAGAGGACCAAGCTCAAGGAGCATGCAGATGGTTACCACTCAGGGGCTCGAGAGACAAGAGTCGAAGGAGTCAACACCAGGTCATGAGGAGGAGGAGCAGTGTCGAAGGAGTCGACACCACTCAGGAGGCACAAGGGTGCCAAACAAGCAGCAGGATAGCAAGGAGGAGGAGCAGTGTCAAAGGAGTCGACACAGCTCAAGAGACACAGGGGTGCCAAGCAAGCAGGAGAGGCCTCCTGAACAGTACTCGATGAAGAAGGTACTCTCTGGAGAGAGAGCAGGAGCAGCGTTGCTGGCGATGCTGTGAAGAGGTATATAACCATACCTTCTCATCATCAAAGGTTGAGTGGATCCTCATCCACTCTACACAACCATCATAACTAGTTATCACTTCAGCATAAGTATATATTAGTTTTAGTCAGCATAGCAGCAATCTATCAAGGTTGCTCCTCATCATAGTGTGTGTGTTGTATCACCACTACCTGACATCCGAAGGTGCCCCATAGCAGGTTAGTGGTCCGGATCAAGATAGAACTGAAGGCAGTAGTCCACTGTGGTCTGGGGATCACCTCCAGCATCAGTCAACACACTGGACACTCATGTTGATGCCACCAACCTCATCACCAACACCATCGACCTCATCATCATCAACACTCACACCAGACCTTGGTGTCATCATAACCTACACATTGATATTGATTGTGCCGAGCTACCCCTGAACAGAGTGTCCACAGAGGTCAGCTGAAACCTATGATAGTATATACAACGAATGCCACCCACTGTCACTGTGCAACTTGATAGTCGCTGAATGACTAGCTCGTCAAGACAGATACTGAGACAATAGCTGTCACACAGTTTGATAGTCACTGAGTATCTCGACAGACTGACCTGGGTTTCAGGCGCGAGACCCCTGACAACAGCTACCTATGGCATGAGAGGTTCGGACACCCAGGACAAGACAAAATGAAACAAATCCAGGCTCATTACCTAGGTACCAATGAGGAAATGGGACATGAGTCAAAGTGCTGTAATGCATGTAGCCAAGGAAAACAGACTCGAGCATGGATGGGCCAATCAGAGTCAGAAAGAACAGAAGCACCATTAGAGCTGGTACACATAGACCTGATGACAGATTTCAAAGGTCATGCCAACTACCACTATGCACTAGTTGCCATGGATGACTTCTCCTCTCTGATCTATGTGGAACCACTCTGCACCAAGAGTGCTGCACTCACAGTGCTGAGGAGGTGGATAGCCAGGATGGAATGGGCAACAGACAGGAAACTCAAAATGCTCTGCAGTGACAATGGAGGAGAATGGTGCAGCATAGCAGCCGAAGACTGGCAAGCTCAAGAGGGTTTCAAGTGGCAAAAGAGCATCCCAGGGATCAGTGTCCAAAATGGATGGGCAGAGAGAGCGATCAGGTCGGTCCAAGAAAAGATGCACTCGATGCTCATTGGTCAAGCTTGCCCCAGAGAGTTGTGGCTGTATGCAATCACAGCAGCAGCACATGTGATGAACCTCACCCTGTCAGCCACCAAGACCATTCCCCACAAGGCCTTTTACGGAACCACTGTGCACAAACTGGCCCAACAGCTGTGAGTTTTCAGGTGCCTGGCATGGGTCCATGTTCAACGGAAGGACCAGCAAGGCAAGTACAGGGCTAGAGCAAAGCCAGCCATCATGATTGGGTACAATGACGAGCACAAAGCATGGAAGTTCTGCAACCTGGATCAGCCTGCATCAATTCAATGGAGCAACTCAGCAACATTCCATGAAGACAAAGGATGGAGTGATTGCCAGCAGGAGGCATGCAAGCCCATGGAAGTCAAGGAGGAGGGTGCTGTGCCAACCACAGTGGAGGAGGAGACCAGATTGGAGGCTGTGGTGGAGGACCTCCTGCCAACCATGGACAGCACAGTAGGCACTGCCAACACAGTGGTGCTGAACCTGGACCCAACACTTGGAGAGGCAATGAATGGTGAGGATGCCCAGCTCTGGAAGGAGGCAATATGAAAAGAGCTGGAAGGACTCAAGGCAATGGGGACCTGGGAGGTGGTGAATCACCTGCCAGGAGTACCACTCGTGGACTCTAAGGTTGTGCTCTGGCTAAAGCTTGATGCTGATGGTGTGCCCATAAAGCACAAGGTGCAACTGGTTGTGAGGGGTTTCACACAGAGAGAGGGAATCAACTACCAGGAAACCTTCTCCCCAGTAGCACCCCTTGGAGCAATCAGAGCTATCCTAGCACTAGCAGTACAGAATGACTGGGAGGTGCATGTACTGGATATCACAATGGCCTACTTAAACTCCAGGTTAAAAGAAGTGATCTATATGAAACCACTGGAGGGATCAGGAGTAGCACCTGGACAGGTATACAAAGTGGTCAAGGGCCTATATGGCCTAAAGCAGTCTGGTCAAGAATGGTACCAGGAATTCAACAGGGTTTTGTGATGCATGGGATTCTTCCAGGTAGAGTGCACTCCCTGCATCTACATTAAGGGACAGGGTGAAGATATGGCTATTGTGGTCATTTATGTCAATGATACATTAGTCATAGCACCATGACTGGAGACAGTGCTAAAGATCAAGAAGCAGATCAGCCAGAAATGGAAGATGGAAGATAGTGGCAAGGTCTCTCACTTCTTAGGCATCAAAATTAGTTGAGACCACACAAAGTGCACCATGACAATCAGTCAGTCAGGGTACATTGATCAAGTGCTGGCAAAGCACCTGGACAAATGTACAAAGCCAACCATGGTTCCAATGCAGAGTATACCAGAGGGAACCCTTGTTGCAAGCACAGCACAACAAAAGGAGTATCCAGTGATTGTTGGCAAGCTACTCTGGGTTGCCAACAGCACCCAGCCCAATCTTAGTCTCACTGTAGGAGTTCTCACCAGACACATGTGAGAACCATTGCAGGAACATTATCAGGCAGCCCAACAGGTCTTACACTACCTCGAAAGCATGAAGGAGGTGGGATTGGTCTATAGAGCAAGTGAACTGCAAGAGCCACTGGTTGTGCACAGTGATGCAAACTGGGCGAGCAATGCCACCATACAGAGAAAAAGCACCTCAGGGTCAGTGGCATTGGTGTACAGGAACCCAGTAGCCTGGAAGTCAGCAACACAAAAATGTGTATCATTGTCTGCTGTCGAGGCGGAATTCATTGCTGCCACAGAGGCAACATGCAAGGTACTTTTCCTCAAGCAATTGCTATGCTCAATTGGCATTGCTACAGGGACCCTGATGGTCTACTTGGATAACACTGGTTGCATACAGGTGAGTAAGGACCCAGCACAGCACTGGAAGCTCAAACACATCGACACCAAGTATCACTTTGTTCACAACAATGTCCAAGAAGGAAAGGTGCAGATTAAGTATGTGGACACGACACAGAACTTAGCAGACATGCTAACCAAGCCCATTGGAAGGCAGGCAATGCAACAAGCACATTCTGGGCTACATCTGCAAATACCAGCAGTGCATGGTATGGGACCCCCAAGCTATGCAACAGTACTGAAGTATGGAGGACATGTCAAACAGCAACAGCACAATGAACAGAGTACATATGCTGTTGAGGGGGGGAGTTGAAGTAGATAAAAGCTGCACAAATCATAGAGGTACTATTCATGGCTGAGTAAAAGGGCTTGCGGAATAAAGGGCACAGCAGTGCATGCATGTGCGCACCGAGCATGTGCAAGTAGTGAAAATCTGAAAATTCTTGACTCGCATCTGTATTTAGTACCATCATCAATCATACGAAAACTTTAACTCAAAGTGGGTCCACATCCACATCAAGTACGATGGCCGTGAGTGACTTTTAGGACTTGTGAGCGGTGAGACCATTCCCGCATTTCTCGCAAGGTCGTCGACAATACACACCGAACAACATGACAGAAACAAGCGCACCAGTGGCGCTTCTTCCACCGCCGGTGGAAATCTCATTCGGCAGCACCTCCTCAGAGACACCGCTACCGGACTGTACAGCCAATCTCATGCCCTTCAGCATCGACTATGACGGTCCGGCACCAATCGACTCGTTTCTCGTCCTGCGACCCGCATCAGCTTCTGACAGTGATGCCACAGACGGATCACAAAGTTTTATCTCGGCCTTCCGCGGCCGTGCGATCCAATCGACCCCTCTCCCACTTCCAGCTGGCTACAAGGCGAAGCTGATCACAGTCTCACAGGTTGCTGCTTCTGCAGAACCGGCAGCAGAAAGCAGTTCCAGAGACACTGCGGCGGTACAAGAAGAGCAAGCCGAGGCAAAGGAGAGAGAAGCAAAGAGACAGCGTCTTGCGAAACCACAAACGCAGCAAAGGTTCTCGATGGACAGCGACGACGATGAGGATGACGATGACGAAAGGAACGGGTTCTCTCAGGAAACCTCTTCTGAACCACCTCAGCCATCTGCTTCGCTTCCCAACGGTGCTGAAACGCCGAAAAGTTCCCGAGATGAGGCGAGGATATCAAAGGAAGCAGGGCCGAAAATCAGAATAGCACCCATCGCAGAGGTCAGCGGAGACGAGCTAAGGCTGTGGGGGGCAGACGGCCCGATAGACAAAGGAGACGATACGTTCGTCCGCACAATTGCGGAGTGGTACTCTGTTGTGTCGCCTTTGGTAAGTTTACCCACAGTCTGTTCTGCTCAAAGGCGTTGTCGATCCGCACTGACTCTCGCTCTCCTCCGCTTCTCTTTGTCGAATCTGTGCGGAACCTTCGTAGCTTCACGCATAATGGTAGCTTTGTATTGTATCCCGCAGCGAAATGGAATCGCAATGATCATACTTCGGAAAGATATAAGAATACAACTGCATGCGAGTGTGTCCGTATCGGTCGTCTTGCCCTCATCCTCTCGCCCCGATCTGGACTCTCAGCATCATACCTTTTTGACTCTCTCGCTCAAACTTCAGAACTGTTCAATAGTACACCATGGGTGGGAGTGAGTGATTTTCGATCTCGCCAATCGCTACCCTCCTTGTGTCATTGACCCCTTAGATCTTGAACTTTGGCTCCGCTCACCTCTTCTGCAGAGACATTCACTGTGAGCCCACGTTACCTTCTTATCTTTGCTCCGATGCTAAACGGAATCCTGATCTGACTCTTTTCTCATCGTCAATCCTTCGAACGACATATCCACACTGCAGAGCATCAAACACCTTCCAGGCCAAGGCAACGGTCGCTCAGCATCGCGAGCCCTCAAACGCTACCGAGCAGACCGAACAGCTCTTGAACGCATCACCAAAAACTCCATTCGTCGTCTTGCTCGTCGAGGTGGATGCAAGCGTAAGCCCCCGTCCCCTTCTTCGCTTCATCTTGGCTCTCTGACATCCTCACAAGCTCAAACTCCCTCAACTTGCTTCTGACGAAGGACAGGTATCGCAGGCACCGTCTACGAAGAGACCCGATTCATCTTGCGTGACTTTCTCGCACGCACCGTGAAAGAGGCCATCACCTATTCCAGTAAGACTTGCCTCCTCCCTCCCATTTCCCATCATCCTCGATCCCCACACTGACACCTCGCTCTTCGAATTGGGTGATATAGTGCATTGTAACCGGAAAACAATTATGACAATGGACATCATCCTCTCGCTGAAACTCCAAGGTCGAACCCTGTACTATTTCTAACTAAGCGGCACTACCTTGCCTTGCCTCTCCCACGCCGATCTATTCCTCAAGAACTTACTCCAAAACTGCATAACTCCATCCCACTCACCCCATCCGCCTCGTAACATAGCATCGTCGCTTCCTTGCTCTGTAAGGTTCAGTCGTTGTAATGAGAATGCCGAACCAAACGCTTTTCGAAATGATGCCCATTTGGTTGCTGTCTCCCTCGCAATGTCTGTGCGTGAGCGGTAGATCTGTAGCACGGGGGTGGCGGTGGTGATCATCGTTGCTGGATGCGATAGAATCTCGCCAGAGATGGAAACAATGCTGCCCAATCGCTCCGTGGGGTTGGCGTGAGTTTTGGACCAAGAGACTAGCGTTTCAAGTGCGATGGTTGCTCCTTGACCAAAGCCAAAGATGTGTATCGAGGATGGTGACCAGCCGCACTTCTCCGTCAGGTGCTCAAGAACAGACACCATATTCTGAAGTGTTGTACTTGGATTAGGTTGAGTAAGCAGCTCGCCGAATTGGTCGAAAGAAGGATACCACATCCAGTGTTTGCCTCCATCGAGGAACGGGACTGCGTGCGGAGCTTGTATTGCTAGCACTGCTGTTTGTGGTAGTGTATTCTGCAAGTTTTTTCCAAGGTTGAAGAATCCCGCATCGCTATCGCCTAGTCCGTGCAAAAGGATCAGGAGGTTCGAATCGACCCCTGAAGGCGACTGGGCGTAGTGATGCCCGGAGAAGTTGCTTAGTGCTGGTGATGGAAGAAGTGGCTTCTGAACCGCTTCTGATGCCGCAGTTATTTCGATAGGGTTCGAAGATATCGACATGTTGGGAAGCAGGTGTTTCAGCCACCCGAAACAGGAGGAATAGCAGCTACTTCTTCACCACCTTTCAGACTCCACTCGGAGATGTCTTCGATTTCGATCAGTGTGTTGTCCACGCTCCAACGACAGCTTTGCAGATTCGAGTCGACGTTCTTGTCCGAATGTGTTTGAGATATGAGGGCGATGAGGGAGGAAAGGGGGAGAGGTGTGCTGGGAAGGACGAAGGTCTCGTTCGATTGGCCGATGGTTGTTCGTACTGAGGCAAAGTAATAGACCCTCACTGAAGGTGATGCACCTAGTGAGCAGAGGCGAGAATGAGGCAAAGATCAGCAATGATGCCTAAGATTCAAACAGGTGAGTGCAGATGTGACCTACTTGACATGATGCTGAGAGGAAGACGTCGATGATCAAGAACAATGTCACGAGAGATCAAGTAGGGACGTGCAGTGAAGGTTCTGAACATTGGACCCTTTCCTCCGCCTTATCCGGCCTCCTTGCTTCTGCACTGGTCATCTCCGAGGACACCGCTTCGTCGAGACCTTTCGTCTCTCACCCTTCAAAGCGGCTTGCAACTCACCTCGCTCTATTCATATCGAAGCAGATTCTCACCGAGCAAAACTAAGCTACCAGGCGAGCGCAGGCAATGCACACATTGAGTAAAAACCATGGATATCATAATCCCAAGCAAACGTACAAATCATACACAAATAGCATCTCTAACCATACATGTTGTTGTTGTTGTTGTTGTTGCCGCCATTGTTGCCACCAGCGCCCCTGCCAGCACCGCCCATGAAGTTTCTCGCCATATCCCTCATTGCGGGGTCGTTCATCATAGCATTCATATCAGGCATTCCACCGCCCGAACCGAACCTCTCTGCAGCCTGGCGCAGCATTGGGTTGTTCATCAACGAAGCCAAGCTGTCAGGGTTGGACATGAGGTTCTGTGCCATCTGTGCGATCATAGGGTTGTTCATCATTGACGCCAGGTCGGGCATTCCGCCTGCTCCGCCGCCGAAGTTGGGGAATCCACCTGCACCGGCGCCTGCATCAGCACCCGCAGAGGGCGAGGAAAGAGCGTCTCGGGAAGCAGATGGTGCGCTTGCAGATGCACCAGTTGACGAAGAAGAGGAGGAAAGCTGCTCCTTGGATGCAGCGAGACCCTTCTTGAGAACCTCGTTGGTGGGGTCGACTTGAACGCCCTTCGAGTAAGCTTCGACGGCTTCCTGGAATCGACCTGAGCTGAAGAGCGCGTGACCGAGTCTGCTGTATGCCTTGCCGAAAGTGGGGTCGATCTTGGAAGCCTGCTCGGCGTCATCGATGGCCTGGTCGTGCTGGCCGATCTGGGAAAATGCAGCAGCACGGTTGGAGAAGTAGACGGGCGAGATGGGGTTCAACTCGATCGCCTTGCCGTATGCCTCGATGGCAGCACCAAAGTCCTTAGCAGACATGGCCTTATTACCTTCCGCCTTGAGCTGCTCTGCCTTGGCAAGGTCCTCGTCTGAAGGCTTGAAGCTAGATGTAGGCGCGGATGTGGAAGGACCGGAAGGAGCGGCGGCAGGTGTTGGTGCAGACCCACCCATCTTGGCTTGAGTCTTGGCTTGAGTCTTGAGGAAGATGTCAAAGATGGCCTGAAGACCTGGACCAGAGCCGTACTTTGCCTGTTGCTCCGAGGAGGAAGTATCGACGCCGAAAGCTTCAGAAATGCTCTTGGCTGCTTGCTCGAGCTTGGCCTTCTGGTCGGCGGGGAGGGAAGTAGAAGACTGCTGGAGCCACTGGGTAACGGCGTAGGCGAGCGGTGTTTGTTGAGATGACATGTCGATGTGTATGTGAGTGGATCAGACCTGTTGTGTGGCAAGGAGAGGTGGAGAGGTATTGGGGGTCAGCTTTTGGTCCCGAGGCTGTCTAGAGCTGATGCTTGCTTCGCTCGTGCTTTTGCTCCTCTCTCCGGTCACTGCTGGGAGGCTGAAAGGTCAGAAAGCTTCGTATCTGCATGATTGACTAAGTAGTCTAACATGTATTTATAAAAGTGAAAGGTTCTGATCATCATACCAGTGATCGCCTGCGTTGCAGAGGTGCCGCTGTCCAGCTGAGCCCGGAAGGGGTTTTGGGTGTAGACGACCGAGAAGAGGTAGCACGAGAAGAGCCGGGGTCCGAAGATTGTCAAACTACTTACTAGAGGCCAAAGACTGAGCGTACGGAGGCAATCGTCAGAGGCAAGTATCGTGGGGAGGAACAAAGGTATCCGATGAAAGGATGAAGGGTCTAGAAGAAGAGTGGAGAAGTTGTTGGTGGCAAGTGCACGGGCCTTCCTGTAGGTTGCCAGCCTGGACCTTTGCCGGCAGTGTGTGTGGCATATCTTCTTTTCTTCCTTCGCTGAGCGTCTCTCGCCTTCCAGCTGCTGCTCGAATCTAAAGAGCCAAATATTTCGCTTTTGTTAGACCGCGTCTTTTTTTTCCTTGAATGTCGATTTTTCTTCTGATGAGCTATCAGTGTTCGAAAGGACAGTAGCGGACCGCAATACGAAGGAATGCTGGGAGGATAAGAATGCCATTCCAACGATTGAACAAGACGAAATAAAGTGAGAGGCAAAACAATATGAATGAATGTACGGGGCAGTGTATATGTGTGGAAGACGAAAAAAGTGAAAAAGCCAGCAAGCTTTTATGTCAAGCTGCAGCGAGTTGAAGTGAGACCGTGGGTATGTGTGTTATGTGCGATGTGTTTCGATCGCATAGCCGTGACAGACGGTGGGAGTCCGATTATTATTGATGATGATGATGATGTTGTTGTTGTTGTTGTTGTTATTGTTGTTGTTGTTGTTGTTGCTCTTGCTGTTGCAAGTTGACAAAGAGGTTGTCCGCCCTTTCGATCACGTTCTCTTCTGTCAACTCCTGCCTGAGCGCCAGAGTCCTGATTCTTGCCACCAGGCTTCTCAGTGTTCCTCGCGAGATGTTCACCAATTCGTCGAGGTCTACTTTCTCTTGCTCTTCCTCTGCCATCTCTCCTTCTGATGCGTACCTCCTCAAGAATGGATGCTTGAGCAACTCTGGGATTGTCGCCCTTTCCTCTGATCCGTAACGCAGTGCAGCCTGGACGCAGTCCAACAGTTCATCATCTACCTCCATCTTATCAGCATACCTCGGATCCCTGAAGCGGTTCCAGATGATCTCGTGGTTCGGGTCAACAATCGCCTCGAGCTTCCTGTTCGCAGGTACCCTGTCGAATGGTGGGCGACCCCAAATCATCTGATACAAGATACAGCCCAATGACCAAACATCACTTGGCTTACCCGCTTTATAGACCCTCCTACCCTTCGCACGAGCAATCTTGATCGCTTCAGGAGCCATGTAGTTTGGTGTACCGATGATGTTGTCTCGCGAGATGTGCACTGTTCCCTTGGGGATCTTCTTCGAGATTCCAAAGTCGATAAGCTTGACTCGATCGTCGACCATCAAAAAGTTGGCAGGTTTCAAGTCAGCGTGCACCAGGTTGGCTTCGTGGATAAAGTGCACGGCTTCAAGCATCTCGCGGAAGTAGTGTGCAATCGCTTCTCTCGCTAGTGGTGCTTGTTGTGCGAGAAGCGTTCCGAAGTCTCCTTCCCCAAGCTCAATAAGGATGCGCAGCTTGTCCGGCGAATTGCTCTTGTCAATCGTGACGTGGTGGCCAAAGTAGCGCAGCAAGTACATATCACTGCCCGGCAGGTCCGAGAGTGTGCGTAAGAGGTTGGCTTCGGCGATCAGGTCGAGCTTGTCTTGCTCACTCTCGATCTGTTTGAGGTCGACTTGCTTCATCGCGAAGAACGCTTGCTGTTCTTCGGCGCATGGGATCTCTTCGATCAAGCCTTCCTCATTGCGAACCTTTTGGGATGTAGGACCACGCACGACGTGTACCGTCGAGAATCCACCCTTGGTCAGCTGCTTGCGGCGGAACTTGAATCCACCAGGTAGCTTGAAGCAACGTGTTGAGCCAGAAATCTCCTTCATGAAACGCTCCTCCTGGTTCAATGGCTTTCGCATCTGTCTCGTCATCTCGGCCCAGATCGCCTCGGCTCGAATTTCAGAGTACAATCGACCCGCCTCCTCCTCGGCCGGCTCATCGTCGTGCTCTGCTGCTGCCTGTGTTGTGGCGATCGAAGAAGAGATGGATGTAGAAGCCTTGAGCATGCTGTCTTGGCTTCCCTCGCCAAAGACCGGAGCAGCACGTTGAGCAGCAGCTCGTAGCTCATTTGCAGATGGTGCCACAAAGCGTCGCTGTGCCATGGGATCGGCAGGTACCGCAATGTTGGATGCGAGGAAGTTGTGAATCGCCTCTGCTTGGCCCCTTGTTGGATGAATGGAGCCATTTGCTTTGCCTATTGCAGCTGGATCGACAACGGCCCTCCTTGCGAGCGGGTGCGCTTCGTTCCTTCGAGGCGGGGGTGGTTGCATATCGTAATCTTGATCTTCCGCTTCTTCCCTAGGAGGTGCTCTTGCTTCAGGACTTGGCGATCGCACGAGTGATGCCCTCTCCATCATCTGAGCCCTGATCTTCTCCTTCTCTGGATCGTATCCATAAGGCAAGAAGCGTTTGTCAGGCCTTCTGACAGCATCTGCTGAGTTTGATGCCGCACCTGGACCTGACCCGTAGCCAGAATTGGAGCCTGACCCTGAATTAGAGCTTCCATCCTGGTTGTGGTGCGCCCCATTCTCAGGACTGGCGCTTTGAGCTTGGTCTCTGCTTTTGCTGCCGCCGTTCCCATCGCCCCCTGCTTCTTCGTCGAGCTCGTCATCTTCATCGTCCGAGTACCTCCTAACCACTCTCCTTGCTGGTGGATGACGAGCGGACGAACGTGTGAGAGTGCGTAGGCTTCGTGCTGCGCTGCGCTGTGCTGTGGTGGGAGCAGCAGTAGCGTTTGATCGGAGCGCGCGACCAGCCATGGCCGGTGTACGGTAGCCTGTTGATGGCTGGACGCTTGAAGAGCTAGCTCGAACAGGTGCAACGTCATCTGGTGTGTCTCGCTTGACCGATGCTCGCTCCTCGATCAGAGCGTATCTGACCTTCTTTTCCTCCTCCTCTTCTGCCTTCTCTGTGCTGCGTCTGCGAGTGGGAAGGACGGTGCTGCTACGAAGTTCTGGAGAATGACTACCATGGATCGCTGCCTTTGCGATGCGGAGAGGCGGTGAGCTCTTCGCTCTGAACTCGTCGTGGTATGAAGGGGTCGATGCAAATGGCGAAGAACGACAGTGTGGCTCTTGCGCCTGACTTTGCACTTGTCGGAAGATGTTGGATGCTCGAAGGTGCGAAGCATCCTCTCGATGTAAGGGTGCAGGGACAGCTCTACGACCAGTGCCGGGTGAGTCGTCGCATGGAATAGACTCCCTTTGCACTTCGGACGAGATGCGGTATGGACGAGCGCGGGTGTGTACTGTGCTGATCAAAGGCTCAGGTACACTTGCCTCGACCTCTTCATCGCCGAGAAAGTGACTGACAGGTGCAGGTGGCAATGGACTGTCGGCGATGGTGGCATTGCCGCGGTCGCTTGGTGTTTGATCAGGGATGGCACCGCCATGCCGCAACGATCGTCTAAGAACAGGTGTAGACGGCGGCAAGTCATTGTATCGTGAGACGGCGGCCATCTTGGCGTATGTCGTATTGACTGACTGAAGCAAGCGTATGACTGCACTGGCGTGCTTTGATGATGAGATCTAGTGTGGTAACTCGGTTGCCGATGATGAAAATAGATGCTCTATGGTGATGGTTGAGAGTGACGTGAGCTCAAAGAGTCCAAGAAAGGAGCATGGTTTTGAGCGCTCTTCGAAGAAACACTGATGAACCCCTCCTTGCTGCAGTCGACCAGCAGGATTGAAATGACTGCTAGTGTTGTTGACCCGGACGGGGAGGTTGAGAGGGTTGCTTAGTGGAAGATGGTCAAGAGATGTCTTAGTGTGTAACGACGACGAGGTGATAAGCTTCGATCGCAGCGAAGACCTTGAAAGTGGTGACTGTGGTCGAGTCGCTTGACAAGGATGTGAGAGCGATTGATGTTCTGTTCGTGACTTGCTTGCTCGAATCGCACAGAGAGAAGGATGCAAAGTGGAAAGTGGCTAAGCTGCATACTCATCCCATCCCATTCCTGACACTCACACTACTCACACTCACGCTCCCTCATCTCAAATCGTGAATGCTTCCCATGCCAAAACGCAGGCTCGCCCACGCAAGCTACCAAGTGGCGCAAGAGAAGGGTGCATCGCTGCTACCCTGCCATTGCCGACTTCTCCTTCTTCTTCCACAGCAGAAAGCAATCTGCAGCCTACAAGCAAAACTCAACCAATAATCAACACACACGCGCTTGGCCGGAAAGCAGTTCTCAGGTCCGCGTGTCAGAGTCAGAGCATCACGTGATTTACGTTGCTATTCTTCTTCTTTCTTTGCTTTGTCAGATCGTCGTGTCACACAAATTTGTTGGTTGCCAATCCGCTTGCAAATCTGAACAGAACAGTTCAGCTCTTCTGCTTGGAAGCAGCAAAGGCTTTCCACACCTGCTCGGCATACCCCAGCACCGCTTCCTCCTCATATCTCCTTCCGACAATCTGGATACTGACCGGCGCATTGACAAGCTTTGCTGCCTCCCACTTCTTGTACCACTTCTCATCATCCTCCGACAAGAAGTCGTTCGTCCTGGGAGCGACCTTTCCATCTACCGCAGGGTCCACCTTCGTGATTGGAAGGACGACAGCAGGGTAGTCAACGACATTGAATATACCCGTGTAGGTGATGTAAATCTCGCTTCCAGGTGGAATGGCAGTGTACGCCATACCTGGCACGATGAGAATGTCGATCGGTCGGCCGTCCTTAGTCTGCTTAGCAGTAGCGTTCCAATGGTCGAGGTAAGCTTTTTGGAACGCGAGCTTTTGCTTGTTGGCTTGCCAGACTTCAAAGCCGCCGTATTCGCGCTCGCCGATCAGGCAAGGTCCCAGTGGCTCATCCAGCGGTTCTATTGCTTCTCTGATGTCTTTGCCTCCGTCGGCACAGAATGCATCACCCAGGATCTTGAGTGCTTCGTCTGTCTTGTAAGGTTCAAAGTCGATCACATCGTGACCTGATAGCGTGCAGAGGACTTCTTTGATAGCACGCTCGTAAGGTGGAAAGGGCTTGACCTTGCCGTCGTGCCACATGACGCCGATGTGGAGCTTCTTCTGTGTGCGAGCCTGTTGGAAGCGGTCTTCGTTCCATGGCATTGAAAGCGTCTGTGGTTCCAAAAGCCACGGCTGCTGTGCCAGAACTGCCTTGGAAAACTCAGTCAAGCCTGACAATGACCGACTCATCGGCCCAAGGACAGATGGGATCGTGATCTGTCCCAGCAGCGAGTTGACCGCACCCTCATACGGGAATCTGTGCGAGCAGGGTCGCAAGCCGAACAGTCCACACAAGGCAGCAGGAATCCTGACCGAGCCTCCGACGTCTGTTCCCACTCCCAAGGGTGAGCCCTTCATCGCGATCAAGGCACCCTCACCTCCCGACGAGCCACCCGGATGCAACGTGCGGTTGTGCGGGTTCACCGTCGTGCCCCACAGATAGTTCGATGACTCCGAGTACATGATCGTCTGAGGCAGATTTGTCTTGACGAATGGCACGGCTCCAGCTTTCTTGAGCACCTCGACCAAGACAGAGTCAGAAGTCGAGGGCTTGTTCGAGTAGCTGACGTAGCCAATTGTTGCGTCGGAACCCTTAATTTGGAACTGATCCTTGACGCTTATGGGAAGACCATGAAGAGGACCGCGCCGCTTGCCGGTCGACTTCAGCTCGGCATCGAGCTCCGCGGCCCACTTTCTCGCATCTTCAAAGTGAATCTCGGTCAGAGGGTTCACTAGCTGATGAGCAATACATGACCTCTTGATGAACGCTTCCAGCACCTCGACCGCGGTGTAGCTGCCACTGGCGAGCTTCGACAGGAGAGCAGAGACATCGTCTGTTTCTGTAATCTCGATCTCGCGTTCGGAAAGGATGCCAGTGGTACGTGGAAAGTCGATGACAGGGTCTGTATTCACGGGAGGCAGCGCTTCGGGAACAACCTTGTAGTTGGAGGGGATGAGAGCTTCGCGCTGCGCACGCTTGGCTTCGGCGACCTCTTGCCAGGTTGGCATCTTTGCCTATTCGGTTTGTTGACGTCGAAAAGGGTATGTTGGAGCCTGAAATGCCTGCCTTCTAATTGATCCCGCTTTCTTTGATGGCCGCCTGAGTCTACGGACAAAGGATGGTGGGTCAGGACGTAGCTGGAGCCTCGATGTGCTAAGCAGAAGAAGCCACCTGTCTGACAGCTGCTGAGCTCTACCAACCGAATCACGCACGGTTCTCTCACCTTTTTTTCCCAATTACAAAGCCGGACCCTTGGGAAATTGTGGGGAAGCCTGCGGTTCACACTCAACTCCGGCAAAGCATTTCACTCAGTTTCGCAGACCTCAATCGCAAGCGTCATCATTGTCTCGAAAACGAAAATCGCATTGTACTGGAGGAAGTCTGAAACAGGACGAGAGTAGGTTGTGTGTGAAAAGGAACAAGTTGAGGAATGCTTTGACAGCGACTGGAAGGATCACCTTCGCTCACTGTCAGCGGGCGAGCAAACGTCCACAAGCCGGACAAGGTCCTACTCGGACAAGTAGGTCTCGTGAGATTCGTCGTCGTTGCCGTCATCTTCATCTTCTTCTTTTTCGTCATCGTCTGCAAACGAGTCTGTGGTTCGGGTTGCGGCTGCACGTGCAGTGGCAGGCGAAGTGATAGTCCCGTAAACAGCTTCATTGAGCTTCGACTCGACCTCCTCGGTGGCACTGACAGTCGCAGTCGGGAAGATAGGGTTCACGTAGGCGGGCTCATCGGTGCTCATGCTCGGGTCTGTCGAGCTCGTGTATATGGGCGTTTGAATGTTCTGCCCAGTGGAGAACGTGACACTGGCAGAGACGGTACCGTAAGCTGCCGCGTTCCCCGTCGAGCTTGGGAGATTGGTCTCGGCGAGCGTGAACACCGAGCTGAGCGCGGAAGCAGGGTCTAGAGGGGTCGACGATGCAGCCGGCGTTTCAACAGCAATGCTCGACTGGCTCTCGGCGTCCGCTGTGCAGAGTGTAGCCGCAGTGCCGCTCGCAGAGGCTGCAGTCAGAGTTGGAGCCGCGGTAGTTGCCTGGCTGCGAGAGGCTGCAGTGTTGACGGGATTGGAGGCAGCCAGGGTGAGAGCGGCAGTGTTCACCTGGCTCAGCGAGGTCACAGGATCGAGTGTGGCAAAGGTCGTGGTTAGGGATGCGGCGGGGGACGTGGTGAACTGCGTCACAGCAGCCAGTGTGCTGACTTGAGTCGCGGCGGCAGGGGTACTAATCGCGATCGTGTGCTGTGCATCGGCGCTGGAGGCGATCTGAGTCGAAGCTGCCCTGTTGAGAGATGCAGCAGGAGTTGAAGTGAGGAGCTGCGTCTGAAACACGGTGTGTGTGAGGAAGAGCGTGGACTGAATCGGCCTCGTGGTGGCCAAGATGTTGGTTGCATCTGCAGTTGAAGACGCTGGCACAAGAGCTGCACTGTTGAGCGTAGAGTACGTGACTGCACTCCTCGTGGAAGCAGGGAGCGCAGACTGAGTAGCATAGCCAGCCACTTCGGCAGTCGAATATGCCTCGCAAGTTGAGGAAGCGCACGCACCATCCGCCTCGTGCTCGTCGGTGTCATCATCGTACGGCGTTTCTTCGGCAGCGTAGGCCGAGGTAGCGGTCGCTATCTTGTAGCTCGAGTCAGACAGAGTGCGGTAGAGCGTCGAGTAGGCCACAACACTTCCGTAGTCGCTTGGCGTCACCGTCTCTGCATCGAAGGAAGTGCGATACAGGCTATCGTCTGCATCGTACGTGGCGTAGGTCGTGTCTCCGTCGGTAGCATAGGCTGTCTCCCGTGGCGAAGAATACGTGGCTTAAGTCGGTGTTGCCAACAAAGTGGCCACTCGTGTCGTGTACGCTGCAGCATTGAGCGTAGACTGAAGAGAGCCAGAGTCGGTAGCGGCGACAGTGTCAGTGACAGTAGCAACGGTCACAGTGGCAGCGGCAGCCTCTGTCGCGCTGGCGGGCACGCCAGTAAAGACCGTCGCCTGATCCGACACGGTCGCTGTAACGGCCGTAATCGTCTCGGTCGCAGTAGCCTGAACTAAGCTCATCTGTGATTGCAACGAGCTCGTGATGGAATGCTGCACGCTGTTGGAACTGGCCACAATCTGAATACTGGCGGCGAGTGCTCGAGGATCGCCCCATGGCATCGAGGTCTCGGTCGCTGCTGGCTCGATGTATCTGCTGTTGGCCAGTCCAGTAGCGATAGCCTCCTCCAACACTTTGCCGAGCTCGTCGTTCTGTGTCTCGACATAGTTGTCAGGACGTGCCTTGATTGCCTCGCTGAAGTTGCCCCCAGCCGGGATAGTCTCGAGCCCCTCAAGCAGGACGGCTGCCATTCCTTCGATGGCATGGTCATCAATGTGACAGTGTAGGATGTTGGCAGCTGCATGGTCGACGACGTAGCGAATAGCTACCCAAGAGTTGGCATCAATGTCGAATCCGTCACGAAGAGGAGGATTCTCTAGATTGAATGGGACGCCTTTGGCCTGCGCTTCGCCCACAGTGTCTGCCGGGAAGATACCAGTGCCCGTGCCAATGATCCAGAAGCGGCGAGAGTGCATGTGAAAAGGATGTGGACTGTTGGGTCCGCCGACGATCGAGTAAATGTTGTTCTCCAGGATAATGTCGACGACAGTGCCAAAGGGGATGGTAGCGTAGGGGATGTTTTGGTTCGAGGTGACATTGCCATCCGTCGCGTTGAACAGCATCGGACGAACGTCGGCCAAATGAGCGGTGTCCAATGGAACAGACGCGACCTGCCAAACATTGAGACTGTTCTGGGAGGCGACGGCGTGCAGTGTCATGTTCGAGGTCTGAGGAACCGGACTCTCAGCATCAAAGGGATAGCTGAGATTCTGCTGCCATCTGATGACCGTCTTGTCTGTGCTGAAGCCATTCATGGGTAAATAGGCAGGTGTCAGGGTGCGGTCAAGGTAAGCGAACGCCTCCTCCTGGCTGGGTGACCACGTGTCGCCAATGTCGTCAATGTATGAGAGAAAACCAATGCCCTCGATAGGCTGCAGTGCACGAGCACCCGTCAATCGAATGGGATAGATGTTGCCCACAAGATCCGGGTTGACCTCGATCATCACGCTCAACCTGCTGCCAATGGTGATCTGAGCAAAATCGACAAGCATCGGCTCTATATAGTGTCCGTCTACAGCGACGATCCACATCCTATGTCCATCAATACTGAGCCCATAATACCAGTTAGTGGCAGTGTCAATGATCTGCAAATTGATCCAGCGTCTGCCTTCTTTGATGGCTTTGGTGGCGTCCAGCACCGTCAGGGGAGCCGTCGTGTTCTGACAAACTCCGCCGTACCTGGTGTCGAGTGTGTCTTTCACCGTGTAGCCGCTTTTGGCCGAGACCAGAGAGATGCACCCTTTGGACGTTGGTCCTTCTGGGTTGATCGAGCTAAAGTTGTGAAGCAGGCTAGCTTGGACGGGTGACATGACCGAGCTCCAGTCATTGACGCAATACTGTCGTCCACGCCCGTTGATGAGCAAAGAATCAAAGCAGGCAGGTGGCACGCCGGTTTCATGTACGGTCAACAACATCTGCGTGTGGTTAATGTGCCAGTGATCAGATAGCGACATGATTTGATAGTCGCGCTCTGCCGCCTCCATCTGGTCTAGGTTGTCCTTGAGCGGGCTGATCAAGCTCCACGGCTTCCTCCTGTCCGGCTTGGGTCGAATGTAGATCGTGCCGCGCAGCCCATCGGCATAGTAGCCTCTTTCGTGGCTGTGATACCAGTAGCCGCCATACTGGTTCACTAGCTTGAAGCGATAGGTATAGGACTGTCCAGGGTAGATGTTCCACTGCGACAGGCCAGGAACACCGTCCATCTCAGGAGTGCCGATCTGATGGATGCCGTGCCAGTGGATGGCGAATGGAACTGGGCCCTGATTGTTGACTGTGATTTCGATGTCATCGTTCTCGTCCCAGATGAAAGGATCGGCGGGGTATTTGTCGTTCATGAGGAAGCCATCTCGCTCGAATCCGTCCGGATTGATGGTTCCCTGGGTAACAGTGAGGTTGTAAGCCTTGTTCGGTGGTGGCAGAGCATCGGCATCACGACGGTAGAGGTGAGTCGGATGAACGAAGCCAGCGGCGACAGGAGCTGAAGCTATCTGCTCGTGCCTCTTGACCAACAGTTGCCGATGACCGCTCTCGTTTCCAAAAAGGTAGGGATCACCAAGTGTCGCCGTGATAGCTTCTGACACTTGCAGATTCGAGACAGGGATGGCAGCGGAAATAGCTGCGCAATAGGTGACGAAGAGTGGGAGAAAGGATAGCAACAGCGGGAAGCAGCGACAGATTCGCCACCCTGGGCGTGGATGAGACTGCATTGCACAGTGCAAGCTTTGTTCTAGGATACCTGGGCTCCTACTCGAAAGAGGTTCTGGCGTAGAGAGAGAAGATGACGATGATGTTTAGGTTTGTGTATCTAGAGTGAGGAGGGCGACCTGCGGCTGGGACTGCAAGCAAGTCTGGGAAGATTGCTGGAGCTCTTCAGGGAGCGCCAACGAGCCAGACAAGGGCGCCCTTCTTATACCTTGGACCGCTCTCTCAGCGAGCCGGATAGACCTTTCTGCCTGGTCGGTGGAGCCGACAAAAGCTGCTGGGCAAAGGGCCCCGTCCGATCAGGATTCATCGAATCGAATTGGTCTGCTTTGGCCCCTTGGAGTTGAGCGAGTGTGACTGGTTCTACGTTACGATTGCCAGACCATCGGCAGACCCGACGGCGGTCGCGAGAGGCGCAAGTTCGAAGGTGTCGTCAGAGGGCGACAGGTTCGGAATGTCCCGACTTTACCTGCTCCAGCTCGCCTTCGGATGGCGTGTGGCTTGCCGTGACATTTCTGATGTTGTGATTAAAGGAAAGTGAAGCAAGCTGGGTGCGATTGCCCACAGGATGGAGTAGCGCCTGAGACTGTGGAGCGTGCTCGTGATTGAGATGGTGTCGGCAGGTCCGAACATTTTCCCACGATTGCTGGTTGAAGCAAGTTGAAAGGCTGTTTCTATTTCCCGCTGGACAGCCACAAAGTATGATTCAGAACATTTACATATCGTCGCCACGTTGGAACATCGGAAGTGCCGACTCGCTCTATCCGCTCGCTCGGAAAAGATTCGCTGATCAAAAGGCGGTTGCCAAAGAGGGCCACTTTTGATACTTTGGACAATCTTGACTACTGAGCACTTCGGACATGAGAGGCGAGAGGCGAGAGGCGAGAGGCAAAAAGCTCCCGGTTGATTCTATGAAAATTGTATTAAATGCATGAGGATACTATAGAAGGGCATAGAAGCGGAATGATTTCAGTGCTGATTTTAGCGGAGGCATGGCTGCCACGATGAGAAGGGTTGAGAAGCCGTCGTTCCTGCAGCCACAATGCCCCCTTCCTGCAGACCAATTCAGACCTCTTTGGATCGGAGAAGCGATATTTACAGTAAGCTAGTCGCCCGAAGACTAGCTTTTTCCAGCTTGCGACAAGAATCGGTCCGGACTGGTGTGTTGGCTATGCTGCGTGTTGGCGCGCACTTAGTTAGCATTGGTGGGGATGCGAGCGTATGTCCTGCGGTACATGTGGTCGACGTTCTCGAGGTAGTATGCGCCAGGCCATAGGTTCTCGAGCTGGCCAACGGGCTTGTGGTTGAGGGCGTTGTGAGTGGCCTCACGGGTCTTGAGAGCCTCGACGTAGGTCTCGCAAGGAACAACCTTCATGCTGGCGAGGCGTTTCTTGAGGTCGGCAGCCTTGACGAGCTGCTCGGTGGAGCCGTTGACGCGGATAGCGAACATCGAAGCGGCGGCACCGGAACCGAACGAGTAGAAAAGGATGCGCTTGCCCTGCATCTCGTCCGAAGAGACGTTGGAAAGCAACGAAACCAGACCACCGTAGAGCGAAGCAGTATACATGTTACCGCATCGTCGAACAGTGTCCATACCGGGCTCCAGTCGGGTCTGCTGCAACTGCTTGCCGTAAGCGGCGAAAGCCTTCTCGACCTCCTTGTTGGTGATGGTCGACTTGCGGTCGAGCTCGGCAAAGTTGGCAGGGATGCAAGCGTACTTGTCGTTCTTGCGGTCAGCAATGAAATCATTGTACAACAATCGGCCGAAACCCTTCTGGACGAGCTTCGAGTAAGGACTGTGGAAGAGGGTGTAGTCAAAGTCCTCGACCTTGATCGAAGCGAGGTTAGAGGCCTCCGAGTGGCCCTTAACACCGTTAGCAGCGCTGTTGCGGAGCTTGGCGGCACGCTGGCGGTAAGCATCGTAGGTCTTGTCCAGGCAGCCAAGGTAGGCCTGGATGGTCTCGGGACCGTCGACCTCTGGGTATTCCGAGGAGAGGTTGGGCTTGTAAAAGTCCCAGAAGTTACTCATGTGGGTGCCGTGAGCGGGCTCAAAGACGAGCGGAGCGTCAGGCCCGATAAGCATGGCAACGGCGCCGGCACCACCGACGGGGCGGGCGGAACCCTCGGCGTAGATGGCAATGTCGCCGGCGACCACGATAGCGTCACGGCCGTCCCAGGAGCTGCTCTCAACCCAGTTGATGGCGTTGAAGAGAGCCGCGGTACCACCGTAGCAGGCGTTCTTGCTGTCGATACCCTCGATGTTGTTGTTGCCAGAGGGGGCAAAGAGATCCATGAGGACCGTCTTGACCGACTTGGACTTATCAATGATCGTCTCCGTACCGACATCGAGACGACCGATGCTGCGAGGATCGATGTTGTTCTTTTCCAGAAGGCCGGATACGACGGAAAGAGCGAACGAGTTAATGTCCTCACGGTCGTCGGTGCAAGCCATGTACTTCTGGCCGAAACCGATGGTGTACTTGCCCTTGGCTACACCGTCAAAGTCCTCCAGCTCATCCTCCGAGATGCACTGTGTGTGGTCGAAGCCAAGTAGAAGCAAAGGTCAGCTTTCAGTCTGACAAGTGTAAGGGTGCATTGTTCCGACGACGATGCTCGGCAGAAGCAAGGCTTGTTGCTCGTCGTCGTCGACGTTGCACGCCTCGCGGCGATCCTTGTACTCACTCTCCTGGGGAAGTAGATCTCGATGGCTTTGATTCCGACGTTCTGGGGACGAGTCGACATGTTGAAATGCTGATGGGGTGAAAGGAGTCTGAGGGGAAGTAACGATGGTGGTCAGGAGATGAAGCAGCCAATCATTCCTTCACTCTTCTTTGAGGACGCACAGGCACACACACGCGAACACGGACGCCGATCCTTCTTCTTCCTTGACCTTTCACCGCTGAACTGCTTTGGATGCTGTCTGCAACCAACGCTGCACTGACGAGCAACACCAACCAACACACACGCAGCTAGTTGCACGAATGCAATTCGCTCACACTCTCCTTCTCGCCTCCAAGCTTTACAGCCGCTCACACACGCACGCACAGCTTCCATGCTGCAGGTTCTCAACCCACAATGCCAATTCGCTTTGCTGTTCACCGTTCAGTTCAATCAGAAGATTTCGTCCCAACCGAGGCACGCCAAACAGCGGTTCATTGAACGGTCATTACAAAAAGGAAAAAAGGAAAAGAAAAAAGGAAAAGAAAAAAGGAAAAGAAAAAAAGAAAAAGAAAAAGAAAAAGAAAAAGAAAAAGAAAAAGAAAAAAAAAAAAGAAAAAGAAAAAAAAAAAAAAAGAAAAGAAAAGTGAGGAATTTGGGCGGGCAAAAGTCCAACAGGCTCCCCCGATGTCCAGGCACTTGAGCACTGTGTTGCGAAGATCCACAAATTGCAGCGCAGGAAGAAGATCAAGCAAAGATTAAGAACGCTTGACGCGGTTTCGCGCTTTTTGGGCTTCTCGCGGTGGCAAACGAATGGTTGAAAAAAACATGCCACAACCGCAGACTAGTGCAACTATTATCACGCCAGCATCATAGTCAACTTGCAGTTTGGGTGGCTCCCAGAGTCAGACGATCCTTCTATGCCAATTGGCCTCTCTACTTTTTCCGAAACGCAGGGTTTGCAAAAGAGGCTTGGCCAAAAAAAATTCAACGCCGAACACAAATTTGAGAAGAAAAAAAGTGGGCCGATTTCGAGAGAGTCCGAATTGGTCCGCGATCATGTACATCGGGAAGACAGAGATCCGATCCAGATCTTCTTGCTCAGCCGAATTTCTCTGCTAAGCAGCTGATGTGCGGTTTTAGGATCAAACAGAAGTATGACAGATAAGACCAGCCTTAGTTGGCATCGGCGCCAAAAGCAGGCCCACTAGCCTGAGCAGCAGTAGCATCTGCATTCTGACCACCGTCCTCATCCCCTGGCCAATTGTCTTCCTTCAAGAAAGCACAGATCACAGTCCGTCCGCCAAACTGTCTGCCCGCAATCGCCCTCAATGCCTGAGCACAATCTCCCGTCTCGGCATACCTGACATAGACTCTACCAACACCTTCACGCTCCGTTGCTGGCTTCTCCCCACCAGACGCAGCTGATTCGTCTTGTGTGCGCTTCCACTGGTGCGCAGCTGCACCTTTGCTTTCCTTTGCTGGGCGAGGCACACGCACATCAGTAACAGTGCCGTACTTGGTGCACTCCTCTCTGATATCCTCTACGATATCCGCGTACTCTTCGTCATCCTGCAGCTCTTCAGGGGTGACCATGTTGAGCATAACCATACAAGATCTTGGTTCGCCTGCATCACCACCTTCACCCGCAAACTGCTGCACTGAGCTCGGCATTCCAGCATCACCCAACGCACCAGCATTGGCACCAGTCGCAGCAATTGCTTGAGCCTTTTTCTCACTCCCCACGCTCGCCCTCTGCACGACCAGGTTCCTATCACCCAACTCCATCCCGTTCAACCCTTGACATGCGAGATCTGTCAACGCCGTATCTACATACTCACAGAAGGCGAAACCTTTCGATGCGCCATTCGCCGTGTCTTTCACCAGATTGAAAGCTCTGAGCTCACCAAACGCTTGCAGTAGCTCGATAACCTGATCGTCCGTAAGATAGGTCGGCAGACCACCGACAAAGATCTTATGCGGCGAATCGGGCACATTTGTACTGATGACTCCGGGAACATGGATGTTCGAAGCAGGCCTGACATCCGGACCGGTATAGTCTTTCGGTCGTCGAATCTTGAGTGACTGGCCCTGGAACACGATCCCATCGAAAGACATGGCATTGGTCGCTTCCTCAGGATGACGGAATTCGACGAATGCGTAACCCTTGTCAACGTTGACTTGAGCAGAGACCGCTGGCTCGCCAGGTTCAGTGCCGAGTTTAAGCTTGAGCATCTGTTCGTTGAAGAAGGCGACCATGTTTGGCTCGTTGGCTGAGTGAGTGATGTTGCCGACGTAGAGACGACGGGCTTGACGGTTGTTGTTTTGCTGAGCGACTTCTTCTGGTGTAGGGGCGGGCTGGGAGGCGCCGTTGCCTGGTTGGAAACCATGCTGAGGTGGGTAAGGCGAACCGTGCTGGTGTGGACGTGGAGATTGCTGATGCGGGTGACTGGGCATGTTGTGGTCGGGATGTGTCTGGTGGCCTTGCTGATGAGGTGGGTACGGCTGTCGGTTCTGATGGTGAGGCTGCATGGGTCCACCGCGATGGGGATGGATAGGTTGACCGCCCATGTGAATCGGAGGCAGTGGCAGACCAACACCGGGTGGTACACCAGGACCATTGACGCCAAGGTTGACGGGCGGCATGCCTACCAGTCTTGTCTGACCTGGAATACCGAACAGCCCAGTCGCTTTGGCAGCAAGAGCACTTGTGCCTTCAAAGCCAGGTGCAGGAATGTCCCACTTGGAGTTGGGCCTCGGTCGCTCTCTGATGGGGATAGTGCCTTCAGGTGTTGGGCTGCGTCGCACAGATGGGCTACTGTCTCGTCCCGCTGCACTCCTCCAATCGCCACGACTGCGACCCCCTCGCTCGTGGTAGTAGCTGTCATCATCATCGTACCTCGACCCGCCTCTACGACCAGAGTATCGGTCATCTCGGTCACGATACCTCCTATCACCGTATCCATCTCTGCTATCACGAATGTCTCTCCCATCACGACCTCCTCTTGATCCTCCATAATAGTCGTCATCCCTACGTCTCCTTCGACGATCATCATCTCCCCCACGATCTCCTCTATCCCTGTCGTCGCGCTGAGACTTGCGTGGGTACCTGTCGTGTTCGTCCCTATCTTCTGTATCCCTTCGTTTGCGTGAGCTTGAAGAAGAAGCATTTCGGTCTTCCTCATAAGCGTCTCTGCCTGATCTTCGATCTCTGCGGTCTCGCTCACGATCGCGGCCAATGTCTCGACCAGAAAAGGAGCTGTTGCGATCCTTGGTCTTGTTGCGTACTTCGTCCTCGATGCCGGCCAAGAAGGCCGCTGCTGAGTCCGCCATGATATGGATGTAGCGTGGGATGTAGCGTAGGATGTAGATGGCGGAGATAATGGACAGAGCAAGGATGGAGGAAGAGTGTTGCCAAGAAGCAAAAGGTGAGGGGGAGGTGTAGATGTGGCTCGATGTTGTTGCAATGAAAATGTGCGAGCCGAGAAGACACAATTTCCTGACTTTCTTTGCCACACTTCCGAATTCCGAACTCTGACTTTCTCTTCCTGGTCAGCGTCTCCGCACGACGCTTTGAGAAGAATCGCAGCTCACTCTTCTCTTTCGGCAATTCTCCCTCCACCACCACCGCTGATGTGTCCTCACTCGTGTCGCAGAGAAGCTCAACATGTCAGCTCCAAGTGCGCCACCAGTGTGGACGGAGCACAAGACGCCACAAGGCCGTCCCTACTGGTATCACACCATCGAACGCCGGTCAGTGTGGGAGAAACCATCCGAGCTCAAGACGCCGCGCGAACGAGCGCTCGAAGCAACACCATGGAAAGAGTACAAGTCCGGCGACAGGCCGTACTACGTGCATAGCGTTACGAAGCAGTCTACTTGGTCGCTACCACCTGAGCTCAAGCAGATCTTGGACCAGTATCCGATCGACAGCGCAAACGCCACCCCTGCCTATGCCCCTTCTCCGCACATCAACCATGCTCAATCGCCAAGTGGATATGCTCGCTCACCAGCAGCAGCTGTCCCAAGCACTCTTCCACAAGCATCACCTTCTCACACACCCATGCGCAGCGTACACCAACCCTCGGGCTCCAACACACCCATTCCTTCTTCCTCCACCCGTGCAGCCTCTCCTCCTGCAACAGGCCGAAAGGGGCCTTCCACAATCCAAACCATGTCCGGAGCCACCGAAGTCAACTTCAAAGGCGACAAAGAAGCCGCTGAGTCCGCATTCATCCAACTACTCATCGACACCGGCGTAGATGTCGATTGGACTTGGGAAACGACCATGCGCACCATCATCACCAACCCACTCTACAAAGCTCTCAAAACCATCTCCGAACGTAAGGCGGCATTCAACAAACACATTGATTCCCTCCGCCGCAAACGTGCAGCTGAGTCAGCTGCGAGATTAGAAGAGCTCAAGCCGGCATTCAAGCAGCTCGTTGTGGGCGATCAGCGGTTGAAAACGTACACTAGCTACGCTACAGCGAAGAAGTTTTTAGGCGAAAGTGCGGTGTGGAAGCAAACAAAATCAGATGAGGAGGCGAGAGGGATCTATGAAGCTGTTCTCAAAGAGTTGAAGCAGGCAGAGAAGGAAGAGGAGCAACGGGTGAAGAAGAGGAATATGGAAATGCTCATGGCCTTGCTCAAGACGTTTGAAGCGGATGTTTTTACGAGATGGAGAGATGCACATCGGACCATCCTCGAATCGCAGGAATATCAGGAGGATGCGCATTTGGGAATGATGGATGTGAGCGATATGCTGGTGGTGTTTGAAGATTTGATGAAGGGAATAGAGAAGGACACCGATTTGGCCAAACGGAAGGAAATGGCGCACAAGAAGAGAAGAGAAAGACAGAATAGGGATGCGTTCAAAGCGCTTCTTCGCAGATTGGAGAGTGAAGGGCACATTAGAGCAAGATCGACGTGGGGTGAAGTGTTTCCGTTGATTAAGGACGATGGCGACTGTCTCAGGGCTGTGGGTCAACCTGGATCAACACCATTAGATCTTTTCTATGACTTTGTCGATGACTTGGACCAAAAGCTTGAACAGCAGACTGCCGATGCACTCCAACATGTCTCGAAACAAGGGCACTCTGTCACACCAAGCACAAGCGAAGACGAATTCCTTTCCTGGACCAGCGGTTGTTCAGTGCCTCTCCCCACTCTTAAACAGATCTATTCCGAACTGGTAGCATACTTGGCAGAAGAGGAGGAGAAGAAAGCCTCAGAAGAACGTCGCAAGCTAGAACGTAAACATAGGCATAAGATCGAAGATCTCCGTTACGCATTCAAGAAGGTCCATCCTCCACTTGACTTGGATGCAGACTGGCATACAGAAGAGATCCGAGGAAGAGTGGAGGAGTTGGAAGAGTACAAAGTGGCAAAAGAGGAGGATGCAAGGATTCCGCAATGGGCTTGGGAGAAATTTGTTCGACGACAGAGGGAGAAGTTAGCCGAGTCCACCGCAGATGGTGTAGAGACAAGAAAGAGAAAGGATTATCCTAATGTAGCTGCTCAGCGTGGCAGTCCTGGTACTGGAGAGGCGGACACGATTGCGACAAAGAGGGTGAAAAGAGATGAGGATCAGGATGAGAGCGAACCTGAGGAAGGAGAGGTGTAATTTCAAGCATGCGATCGCTCTTCATCCCACAACATCTCTGTCTTCCCTTTTGACGCTCGTGAAATGCAAACAAGTGCGAAAATCAGCCCCTGAGATCCTCCTTTCGCTCCACGGCCACAGCTATCGACCCAACACTCACTCAGTTGAGAGCAATCTCTCACAGACGCCGTCACTCTTGTATATAAACTCGTTGCAAAAGCCTCGAACAGCAAAGAGATCGTGATGGAAGGGGAGCAAGAAATACAAAAGACACCAGCATTCTGCATTGGCACGAGGGTTTGATTCCAGATTATATCCTTTTCTCTCTCATGCCATCGGAATGCCTGCAGGATTATTAGCTGAAAAGATGAACAGATTGTTTGTTGCTGCAATAGCGATCGTGTTCTCTCTCGGGTGATAGCTTGCATGCAAGATCTTCTTGTTGAAATCCGGGTTGTCAAGGTTGATCTGAGCGGGCGTACCCAATGTGCTGTTTGCTGCGCCTTTGTTTCCCTTCTTGCCTGCTCCTGCCATTCGTTTAGCCTTGAAGGCTGACTTGTCTGCTTGCAACACAACGTCGGAGCTGTCATCCTTGTCAAAGATGTGGAAGTAGTTGTTGTAGCTTCCTGTGAGGACTTTGTTGCCATCAGGACCCCAGAGGGCTTCGAATTTGTCAAAGATGCAGTCGTTCTCGTAGAGGTCGCAGAGTTTGGAACGAAGGTGGTCGTGAATAGGAATGGTCTTCACTGGCTTGTTCTCCATGTTAACATCCCAGATCTTGAGTGTGAGGTAGTCGCGAGAAAGGATATATCGACCGTCACGACTGAACTTGACATCGGATATGCTGCTGATGATCTCGCTAAAGAATGACTTTGTTGATGGATCCTCCTCCTCTTCAAACTGCTTGGCATGCGCATCGCAGAGTGCAGAGTCGCGCATGTCGGCAAGCTTGATGGTACCTTTCGAGCTCGAATAGACAAACTGATTGCAGTGGATAGGGTGGAACTCGGCAGCAGTGATGACTTCGGTTAGCTCTTCCATGTTTACAGGCTTGATGTCGACAATGTTGAAGCTCTGGTCGCTGATGTTGAGGTTCCAAAGGTTGATTCGGAGATCATCTGCACTGATGTAGGTCTCGCCATCCGAGTTGACTGAGAGCGAGTTAATGTGATAGGCATGCGCATTGGCGTAGATCTTCCTTGGCACAGCAGCAATGATGGTGTCGACGGGTGTGAGACGTGGCAGACGCAGACCAGCGCCACTACCTGGTACTGGTGTTGGAACTGGCAGCAGTGATGGATGGACATCTGGGTCGCGGACCTGAGCGTAGCCCATGTCATTGTGATTGTTTTCTGCGACCAACTTGAGCGTCTTCTCGAATACCTTCCAAAGCTTAATTGTCTTGTCTGCAATTCGAGGGCGAGTGCAGAAGATGATAAAAAAATTCTGTTAGCTATGCTGCTGCTCGCTGCGGGAACTAGGTTCTCTGCGATGCTTACCATTTGTGCTGAGCAAGAAGTGAGCGGCGTTTTGCCTTCTGCACCACTTGATCTTGTTGATCTTTTCCTCGATCTCGAGCGACTTGAGGTAGTCGAACTCGGGCTCGTGAGATTGGAACTCGGTGTGGAACTTGTATTCGCAGCCCTTTTTCTGTACGAGTGGGAAGGACGAACGATGCGGAAGGTGGTCAGTCGGCTGGCTAGTTTGATCGGAGTGAGCAGATGAGAGCACTTACAGAGTCGTTGCGCTCGAAAAGGACGACTCGGCCACCCTTGTCACCTGTAGCAAGGTAGTCACCGGTGTGATCAAATTCGACCGTCGAGATGATGTCGGCTGAGGGGCACGCACGATAGTAACACAGAAAGTGAGGTAGATGTGGTGTCAGTGTTAGGCTCTGACGAGGGGACGATATTTGACGGCGCTTTGCGAGCTCGCTGACCGCTTCAAAGCGCCAAACTGGCTTTGCTAGCCACCGCAGAGGAGGTGCGGAGCTGAACTGGCTAGCCGCATGGAGAGCTGCCATCGCCAATGCGGAATGCGGACAGCGGCGGCGGTGCCCCTGCGCTCTGCTGGTTCAATCTGCAAGGCGGTCGGGTGCAGGACCGGCGTGCAAGAAGAGATAACTTACCTTCAGTGATTTCCTCAACTTCACCCTTATCACCGAAGCACTGAGCGAAGCGCCAGCCTCCAGATGGATCTCCCTCCTTCTCCATTATGACAGTGATGCTCTTGTACCGAAGCTGTATATGAAATTGTCGGAGAGCTTCAAGTCCGTATCAAAGTCGAACGGAACGAGAAAGCCAATAGGCAGTTGTTGCACAAGCCAGTCGGACAGGCTTTTCGTTGCAGGCGTAGGAATATGGGTGCGGACTACTGGCGCTGTATTGCTGGAAGCCGGTCTAGATGTGCGGAGATGCGGAGAAGTTCTTGTGTTCGTACGTGGGTCTTGAGTCCTAGAAACACGCTACAAAGGAGCAGCCGAGCAGATATTACAGAGCTGAGTCAAGTAGAGCACACCGGGGGATGTTGTGGTATCGTGTAAGTGGTGCAAGCGGAAGTGATGGTCCTCCTTAGAAGTGGTATGCGGGTGACCGAACGCGTGTTTGTGGTACGAACTTGGCAGCCGATCCGAATTGTTCAAACGTGATGGGCCTTGGCGGGTAAGCAGCAGCACACGAGCTTGTATACTATTCCGTGGGTATGTAGTCGTTGCAGGTGTCGACTGGTACCGGTGGATGTGCGATGGTGTTGGTGATTCAAGATGGATGGTGGTGAGTGTTGGTGGAGGCGATAGGCGAGGCTGTGTGTGTGTGTGTGTTTGAATTGATTGGCCAGGGTTTGTTTTTTTTTTGTTGTTTTTTGTTTTTTTGGCCTCTCTCTTTCTCTCTCTCTTGATCGGTCACACAGCAAAGAAAAAATCAAAAAGAAATAAGAAAAAGGGCTCGTGCTCCCGTAAAATAGCCCAGTCTGGCATTTTTCAATTATTTTTTTCTGGCCCTCTTTCGTCCATATCGCTGTCTGCTGCTTCGGGAAAAAGGGGAAAAAGGGTTTTGAGAAAATATATATCCGGGCCTAACATGCTTACTCGAAAATCTCAACGCCACACGAGTCAGCCATTGTCTACTAACTGCCTCGAGCCGGATAAAGTATCTTCTTCTTGTCTTTTAAAGCCATAGCCACCCCCCTCAGAGGTATAAATGCATCGCCCCTTTGCAGGATCCAGCTTTCTTGTCACATCGTCATACCTCCTCCAACCAAAGATCAACACTACGATCGCAAACCTGCACAGTCACATCACGGGGAGATTGTGATTCAAATAAAATCTCTCCGCCATTTGCCACAGCTCCGGTGAACTTGCAATCAGAGTTACTCTCACTAACTATGAACCAGGATAGATCAATAACCCTACGTCTCACTCACACCATCTTGTTTCTGCCTTGTTGCTGTCGAGGTTGCACCTTGTTGTGTACTTTTTCCTGGCGCCCTAAAATGCTGCGCTGCGAAAAGGGCAAAAAAAAAAAAAAAAAAAAAAAAAAAAAAAAAAAAAACAGGAGCAGAAAAAGGGCTGGAAATTGAGCCTAATTGCAACGCACGAGCCACGGTCAGACATTTACTCCACAGATGCAAAATCGGGGTCAATCAACCAGATCCCGATGAGATCTCGGCTTTTCACAGCTTGCTTGTGTTCATGAGGATGCAAACCAAGTACGATGTCCACCATATCCAAGGCTCTACATCAGAGAGGCAAATCCAGCTATCATCAATGCGAATACCATGCTTGCGCCGATAGCAGGAGCCGAAGCCATCATGACGCTGTCGTTCGCGTTTGTCGAAGGAGGAGCTTCACTCGTGCCATTACCAGCAGGTGCAGCACTGCCTTCCTTAACCTCTCCTTTGCAAGTCTGACCACCACCAGTCTTGTCGTCCTTAGTCAACGTGACATCCGAACATTGATACAGCCTACCATGAGACCCACTCAAGTATTCGACCATGATCGTTGCATTCTTTCCCTCTTCCACACCCTTCACTTTGTCCCCTTTGACGTAGAGGCACTTTTCACCCATACCCTTGACCTTGAGATCGGTGACGAGAGGTGGAAGTGTTAAAAACGACTGCAAGCCATCCGCAGTACCGAGAGCAAGGTAGACGTTGATTGTGGCTTCATCGTGGTGGGAAGTGATAGAGATTGGTGCATGCGGGTAGTAAAAGGGTGCTCGGGAGGCGGAGGCGTTACCGAAGCCGCCACAGAATGGTTCGCTTTCTGTATCTTCGTTGAAGCCTCGAGTGGGTGGCGAGTCAAGGGTAAAGTGAGCTCTAGTGGCTGATGCCAAGGCCAGCACTGAGAACAGTAGGAGCAGCTTCATACTCAAGGTATATCGGCGTCTGAGCCAAAGTTGAGGTTGAGGGGGGGGATCGTCAGTGGTCATATTCCCGACTCGAGCTGCTCAGAAGTGTGTGGTGCTTATATGCTACGCACACATACAGGATCCACTCGCTAGCTAACCCCTGAACAGCTGCTCAAAGGTGGGTCTTGTTCGTCTACAGACTTGCCAAGATGGAGGATCTTCTCGTTGTGGGCGGTAGTCTCGAACGAAATGAAAGGGCCCCACCGGTGAGCGGGAGTATCAAACGATCCGAAAGCCCACAGGTTGGCTTAAGCTTGAATTCCGTATGAAAAGTGGCAAATGATCTTTGATCGAGGAAAAGGGGGTCGGGCCTGGACTCGTTGACTAGATTTCTCCCCGCCGTGAGGGGAAAAGGCTCGGACGTCGCTTACCTTCAGACCCACCTTTTATGCGTCGCTCCTTCGGCCTTGTTGCCGTCTTGCTCACTTACTATAGGCCATGCTGCTTATGTCAGAGCTCGAGGCGAGACTTGGGATGGGAGAGAAAGAGCATACCAAGACAGCCGCCACGTGGGAGCACACGAGGGTTCAAATTTGTTAAGTTCGAATTTGTTAAGTTCGAATTTGTTAAGTTCAAATTTGTTAAGTTCAAATTTGTTAGGCTGAAGAAAAGTAACAAAGACTTGAAAGGAGCACTGAACTTGCACAGACAGTGGAGGCATAAGCGCAGCAGAGTGATGTCACAACTGATGCTCAAAGCGATGGCCTCTCGTTCTGAGGTGACCCTGAAGCCAGCCTGACCGTCGATCGAAAGACGGCACTGGGGACCGGATTACTAATGGCTCCCATCCAGCTCTTTTTTCAACTAGTTCCGCTCTCTATCTCCCTCTCTCCTCACTACCGTCATTTACGCCAACATCAGGTATCGCAAAAATGTCTCTTCTTCGTACAAGCACCAACCTCTTCTCCACTGTTCGAGTAGGAGCCTCAGCCTCTCGCTCGATCGCTACTTCTGCTGTAAGCTCCACCACCCCAAACCCACCAAGCTCTTTCTTCCCCTGAAATTCATACTGATTTTATTTGGTTTTCCCCTATCTACCCCCCTGTTGTGTTTGGCAGGTTCGACGAACAGACGACCCAAACATCCTCAACAAAGATACTCACTCCGGTGCATCTGTAAAAGCCGACAAACACTCTAAGGACCCAAAGACACTTCAAAAGGAAACCGCGCAGGCTTCTGAGCAGCGTGGAGCTCCAGGAGAAAAAGGAATCATGTCTGGTAGTCCGAACGACGTTCCAACTCAATCTGAGGATGCCGTTCACGGTGAGAAGCACGAAAAGTCGCCGGGGCAGTTGCAGAAGGAGACCGTTGGAAAGCTGCACAACTGAGCCCTAGTCTAGTCGTTAGCTTCGCGTCAAGAAAGTGTTGGGCATAGTAAGCAAAACTGCATTTCAACAAGCAATCTGATTCAATCATCCGCAAACGAACACGATGGTCTGTGTGATTGCACAGTCCCGGATCAGGAAGCAGCGGTATTGCTAGTGATTGCCGAGACAAGATGACATGGCCGATACAGAATTGAAGCAAGTTTCGCCTGAACCATCCTCCAGAGATGTTGTTGAGAAAGAGCCTACACAAGGCTCAGAGTTGTTCCAATTGAGAAGAGAGATTGAAAGAGGAGCGCTGTTCAAGATCTTCCACTTGCATTTAGCCGAACCCGCCATCCTTCCCGACACCTAAATTGCACAACTGTGTACTATTCGACAATAGCACCTTAAAGTCGTACTCCAGATCCGCAAACGGAGTGAGAACTCTTTCCCCATTCCCACCTGCACCCATTCCCTGAACCATTCCTACACCATTGCTATGTTCTTCCAACCGAGCACTCCCCTTGCTATCAGCAAACCAGACAGGAGCAAAGACAGAGGCTTTTGTTGGTGGCAGGCTCATCTGGAGCTTTTGTTGAGGTGGCATTGCTTGTTGAAAGTTGGTATTGCCCTGAGTTAACGGTTGAGGAGTGGGCTGGACTAGCTGCTGTCCTGAAGGGGGCCATTCCGTTGCAGGACTAAGAGTGGAAGGCAGACCTGAAGGATATTTCGTCGTCCTTTGCTGCTGCAGTGTTGCTGGATCTGGTGCTAGCAAGGATAGTTGACGTCCATAAGCGTTTGGATTCCAGTTAGGGGGAGCAGACCCATTTGGCGTGGCAGCGGGACTCTGCTGTTGCTGCACCATCATCGACTGCGGCGAAGCCCGAGCGAAAACCATGCCTCCAAGCCGTGATGGCGCCTGCACCGGCTGTGATGGCCGTCTCATCAACGGGACGTTCCCCATCTGCTGCTGTTGCAGCGGCGGCACAACTCTCCCCATCTCACCCATTGGGCTTTCCTTCCTCTTCAACCTCGCCCCCTGCATTCCATCCGCCAGCCCTTTAGGCGGCTGCAACCCGTGCAACTGAGCCAACCGCAACTGCGCCTCCCCCTGAGCAGTCTGTAATCTGTTCACTTTCTTTCCTACCTCCCGCCTCTCCTCCTCGCTCAACCCATCAATCCCCTTGCCGCCGAGAGACATCATATCCATACACTGTGGAATCATCACTGGACTCGCTGGTCTAGTCAAACGCAACTTCCGTGACGCTTCCAGATCCAATTGTGGTAATGCTGCAGCTGCTAAACTCTTGCTTCTCCCATCTTGCCCTGCAGCTGAAACAGCAGAAGCACTCGACTGAGCTGTGACAGGAGCAGGGGTTGAGCGAGAAGTGAAGAAATCCCAAAATACAAGCCACCATTCAAACAGCAAACTCTGCGGTGCATCGATAGGTCCTGGTCCGGTTGGGTCGAGACCGGCTTCGACGTGCAAAAGGTTGGCTGCTTGGTTGTAGTCACGTTTGCGAAGGTAGTCGCAGAGGTAGTTGTGGAGCATTTCGTCTCCTGGCCATGCTGTGTCCATGGTGGTTGGTGGTGGTGGTGGTAAGGACGCGGGGTTGAAGGAGGATGGTTGTGGTTGCAAGTGCTGCTGGAACTGCTGATGGTGGTGGTGGGTCGGGGGAGGATGGAAGTTCATGCTGGGTAACATTGCCAACAATCTCCAAGCGAGTCCAGGGTATCACATAGAGAGAGAGAATTGAAGTGGAATGGGGTACATTTGTGGCGTGGTTTATTGGGTATCTTTCCAGCACAGCGAGGTTAGTCTGAATCAAAGGGAAGGATGGAGTTGCTGAGGACAGTCTTGCGTGTATGCTGTCTTGGTCGTCAATACCGGTTCTTTGGTGGCCAAGGTGAAGCGGCGGAACAACCGTGAGCTCGAAGTTCACGGCTGTGAAGCGCTTTCCAGAGTCCTTTCGAAAGTCAATGGAGGACTGAAGCTTCGCAAGTTCACCAGCGTCTCAGCTGGGATGACTTTGATTCCCAAATCGCCTTGGAGCTGTTCTTGTCGTCGTCGTTCTTGCTTCGACTTGAGATGGCAACGTGCTCGTAGCCGCAAGAATGGATATAATGCGCATGAAGGTGCTTCCACTCGTCGTCGTGTTCGTTCGAAAGAGTTCCGATCCGTCTTATCGAGCTCAACAACTAAGCAAGCTCCCTTCGCAATTTGCTTCCACACCGGAGTGTTCGCAACGAGGGAGCGAGTAGTCGGAGTTTGTAAGAAGTGTATTGGAGCTCAGCCACACACGATTGGCTTCTTCTTCCTTTCGTGAGAAGAGAGAGTTTTCTCGGAATCCTCGCCGGTTTTTTTTGTTTTTGGGATTGATAGCGGGAAGCATTGGACCATATCTTTCAAGAAAGTGCTTCTGGCTTCCCTAAGGATTCGCTGCTCTTCTTGTCTGTCAACTGAGCATTTGTTCGAGCGGTATCAAGCTTCGGACGGCGAGACGATGATGATAAGCTGTCAAACGCCAAGTCGAAACACGCGCGTCGAATCCATCACCATTTCGCTAGTTATCGCACCCAAATCGAGCTCGGACACGGGGCTATTTTACCACAGCAATGCAACAGCAACCAACCTTGAGCCAAGAAGAAAGGGAGAGGCTCTCTGTGGCCGAATGAGGGGAGAGGGTGGCGCTGAGGATTCAGGACTGTCTTTCGCATAACATATGCTTTCGCCATAAAAGAAACACAACCTGGACATGTGCTCAAATTGGATCGGGATTCTCACTCACTCACTCACATATACACACAGCATCATCGAAGTCCACCATCGCATTGAGTGTGAAGATCACTGCATCTCCAACAACCTGTCGATGGCAGTCTCCACGTTGCCTTCACAACCATGCAACACCATCCCTATCACACCCTCATCCATGGTCGGGAAGATGGATTTGAGCGTCTCGAGGCTAGCAGAGTTCTGAGCTGCTTCTACTACTCCGAATGTCGCCTGATCCATTAGCGATCGTTGGATAGCTTGTTCCGTCTGCGCATTCTCGTATGCAATCTCATCGCGCCTACCCGCTTGCAGTTGCTCTTCTCCAGCAGCGTTGGATCGACGGGACGGGGTGGAGTGCAGACCGAAGTCTTGCTGCATTTGCGCATGACGTCGCTGTTGTTCTGCTTCTGCCGCGTTCCGTGGTGCTCGAGTCTCGAAGTCGGATTCTTGGTCATCATAGTAATCTGCATCACGCGGACCAGAAGCTGAGTGTGCAGAGGTAGCCATGAGGTTGCGTCGTCCGGCAGACTCGTCGTCGTACATGGTCTCGTCGATCGAGTAGCCTCGTTGGGGCATGTTCGGCCGGAGCAGGTGCTGGGGGCCATTGGGAGCACCTCCTGAGGGATAGGCGTGGAAACCATCCTGCAAAAGATCGCTGGTGGAGGGCGTCTGTGGCTCATCATCGAGGAGCATACCTCTTGGTCGTTGTCCTTGCCCTTGCTGCCCAGGATAGCCTGCTGTACGAGCTCGTTCTTGCGCTGCATTGTCGGAGGAGGTGTCAAGAGAGCCGAAAAGTCCACCAAAAAGTTTGGATCTTGACGTGGAAGCTGTCATGCCAGATGATGCAGGTGCTGAGTTGGGAGCGGGTGAATTTGGACGCTCCGTCGACATTCCACTATCGTTATTGCTGCTGCTAGGCGTGCGAATGCCTTCGATACCTTCGTTGATGAGTCTGCCCAACGCTCCCATGGGACGACTTAGACCGGTGCGCGCTGCCTCGCCCGTGCGCAGGAAGAAGGCACGCGTGTCATCGGCAAGCGTCGCTGCGATAGGCGTGAAGGGAAGTGCTTTGGCTGCCTCCTCACCCGGTGCAGATGGTGCTGAAACACTTTGTCCGCTGACACTGCGCTGATGCTCTGCATTGCCGCCGAATGGAGACGAAGAAGCCCTAGGCGGTGGTGTGGTGGGTGGTGCAAGCGAGCTCCCTCGTGCCGCTCCCGATGCTGCCGCCACTGAGGGCTCCATGTGCGAAACAGCCTCCTCCACCTTGTTCTCAAACTCCTCTTGGGTAATATTGCTGAGCGAAGTATAGTCCATCGTCTCGATAAACGTAATAGCACCCATCAAACTCGACAGATAATAGCCTGACTCGCTCGACAGCCGATCTGGGTTCCTGAATCTGCTGATGTACTCAACGTTGGAGATGAGATGTTCCGGGTTCGCCTTGAGCACCACAAAGATCAACACTGGAATGAAGGTATCCGCATTCTCCTGCGTCGAGAGATGTCGGATCATGCCAAAAATGACCTTGCAGCAGTTGAGAATGCAAATCAGCTTATCGCGTGGTGCCTTGTAGTGGTTGATCTTGAGCAACTCTTGAATGGAGAATTCGATGAAGCCTCGCGAATGATCGCCTACGGGCACATCGAGATGCTCCTCGCTCAACCAGCCGAAGAGAAGAATGCGCTGTCGAAGTACCCGATCTCGCTCCAAATCATCGGTCTGCACTGCCCACCGCCCTTCGTTCTGGAGGGCGGGTGTGAAAGTGTACGGATAGAGTCGGTTCATGATAAGCTTCTCCATCGCCTCCTTTGCATTCTCGAAATCGGCATCACTTTGGTTCTTCCATATATCGCATTCCCTCATGCGCGCGGCGATAAAGTCGAGGAAGTCAAAGATGAGCTTGATCTGGTCCTGAGTGCGGTAAGGCTTCTTAGCAAAGCCTTTGATGAAGCTGCGGACGTATTCGCCGACGGGCTGCGCACTTCGATGCTTCATCTGCTCGAGGAATCGGTTAAAGTCAAATGGCAACTCTTCGCTCGCATGTGTGGAAGGAGGCGGGCCTTTGCCAATCTGAATACCACCACCACTGCGCGAAGCACTCTTCTCGTTGTTTGCATCCTTTTCGCCTCTGCTCTTTGCCGCTGCGGGGGGAGAGCTGGTTGAAGGCTGAGTAGCTTCAGATGCAGCGGCCTCATCGCTAGCCTTGAGTGCTTGCTTCTCTGGGTCAGAAGAGCTCTGACTGGCCTGTAGGGTGTCGTTAGGGAGCTCGGAGGGAGTAGCGACCCGCTTGGGAGTATCCATGGAAGAGCGTAGCGCTGGTGAGTCTCGACCAAAGGCATGAGCAATAGCGGCGACGCTTTCGGGATCGGCAAGCGCTTCTCGATCCGCCCGTCCAAGCTTTTGCGCAGCAGATGTAGAAGGCTGCATCGTCGATGCTGCGCTCCCTTCGGCGTGGGACTCGCCTTTGGTGTCTGTAGACTCTGCGGTGGTCGACGTGAGAGGTGCGGATGCAAATGCGGATGGCTCGAAAAATGACGGGTCCTGAGCTGATGTCTCTGTATTGGTGGTAGATGGTTGCGGCGCAAGATCCGTATCCTTGACATGATCTTGCTGTTTGAACTCTGACGCAGTAAGTGCTTCTGTAGTCAATTTGCTTGTCAAAGTCTCTTGCTGAACGCTGTTTCCGAGGTGGGTCGGTGCCTGCACTTCCTTGCTATCGGCAGAAGCCAACTCTTTGCTCTGACTCTCTTCCCAATCAAGCTTCTCCGAGCGGCCTTGCGGCGCGGAATTCTCTGTGGCCTCGTCGTCATCTGCTGGATGTGCTGCTTTGGACTGCATGGTGGAGGCTTTGGCCTCTTCGCTGGCCGAGTGTTGCGGCTCGATCTCGAGCTTGCCGAGGTCATGGGCGAGGGCCTCGGACGATGTCGCCTCTGTCTCCTCCCTTTGGTGGTGTTTCGCCGCAAAGGAGTCTACTTTAGGGCCGTCCTGATCTGCTGTGGCTTCTGCGACCGGTGTAGCGGACTGGTTGATGGTGCTGTCGACAGCCTCGTCCTTGGCCGAAGCAGCGGCGTTGTTGTCGCTCGTTGACGCCATGATGGACGATCGCTCTTGCGCTGGTGACGCGATGCAATCTGACTCTTGGAGTGAAGAGCAGTCAAGTGGTGGTGTGTGGTAGGATGGCTCTCAAAAAGTTGATTTGGTCCGAGACAAGTCTTGGAAGCGAAGGAAGTGTTGGTCAAAAACGCACCGCTGAGCTGCGTGTCTGCGCATTTGTCAAGATGCACGTCCCACGCGCTTGCGCTTGCCTTTGCCTGTGGCTACTAGCTGTCTAGCAAGTCTATTTGTCTTGAGCGCAGGACCATAACACAACAATTCAAGTCAAGAATCGCAGTCTCAAGGTAGCATGCAACTTTCACAATCAATCACTCACATGCGAGCAGAGGCAGTCAGGCAGACAGCAAAAGTTGTATGGTTTCATGAGAGGCGTTAATGACATTGGCATGGTGAGGAGGAGCAGTCTATACACAGCAAGCGCCGTTATGGTAACCGTGGTCTGGCAAAGCCACAAGGTGCTGCTTGAGATTCTTGCCGTCGTCCGAGTCACTCGAGACTCTGGCCGAGTCTGCACCCGAGCCAGGCTGGCAGCAGGGAGAAGCGTCGTTCTTGACTTGTGTTCCGACAAGACCACCTCCTGACATCGCATCGACATCGACGAGATGCGCAGAGCCAAGCGTATCCCATGTTGAGAAAAAGTGACCAAAGATGCCGCCAAGCACGATAGCGATGATGATGTAGCCGTTGAAGGTCATGGCGATCAACATGATCAAGTACTGCAAGAGCGGACCAAGAAGAGAAAAGATCATTGACGATCAGCATCAGATCGCAATCGGACACATGATGGAATAGAGATGCAACTTACAGCACCGGTAAACTGCACACCATACAGCAGCGAGCGCAAGAGCTGCTGCCACATCAGAGGTCGGAATCGCATCGAGTCGAGAGCAGCTTGACGGCATCCAGTTTTGCCAGCTGGGATTCCGAAGAAGATCGAGTCAAGCTGTTCAAGCTTGAGGTTCAAGGTTGTGCGGTCCTGTGAAGGTTCCGCTGCAGCGAGACGATTGGCCATCTCCGCCTTGAGGTGTTGTGTGCGACGTCTTGACTCTTGACGCTGGATGATGGCGCGTTCGAGGATCCACCGGTCAAACTCGCGGCTGTACCGTCGCACGGTCTCGATGAGGAAGACGACCAAGAAGACGCCGATGCAGGTGCCGGCAAACTGAGCTTCTGTTCGGATGTGCCATGAGGAGGTGAGAAGACAGGTGTTGATGGTTTGCCAGTTGCCGAGCATGTTCATGCTGCAGGCCGAGCCGCCCATGTCAGACATGCCGGACATGCTGGAGTGGTCGTTCGATGTCATGTTCATGTTCATGATGTCGACTTGGTTAGCTGGGATGATATTGTAAGTATGGTGATATGAAGATTGCGACGGTTGATGGCGAGAGCTTTTGTAATGCTACTAGGTGACGATGCTTGAGAAAGCGAGGTTGATGGCGATGCTGTGTCTCGGGCACTTTACAGAAAGCTGCGAGCGGTGTGGCTATGTTATCAGGATATGCACCGCGAGAAAGGGGCGTGAGGGCAGGATCTGTTCGCGAATGAAGCTCGCTTTGGTGTTGAAGGAGGAGCCTCTTGACAGCGGCGTCTAGGTCGCGGTTGATGAAATGGGCTGGGAAGAGTGCAAGGGGTCGTGCTTCAGATCGCAGCTCTAGTGGACTACAAAGATGGACGTAAAGAGGCTCGGACGTGGCTTTAAAGAGCAAGATGGTGGCGAGAAGGTGGCGAGATGGTGGCGAGAAGGTGGGTTGAAGAAGGAGAGAGAAAAGTCGAGGTGCGAATGCTTGATGTGAGGCTATAGAACAGCGCAAGGAGCTTTGAAGAGGTGGGGGGAAGCCGTCTTTGCAGCAGCAGGGGAGAGTGACAGGAACGCACCGAAAGCTCGGAGCCTTTCTCTCGCTTTTGCCATGCTCCCCTGCTACGCTCCTTTGCTACGCGGCCCTTTAAAGTGAGAAGAGAGCGTTGCTTGCGAATTCTTGCGCTCTGTTTCTAAACGAGCTTTGCTTTCGGAGCCTTTTTCTCTTTTTCTTTCTCACACGGCAGTCTGGTCGCTCTCTTGCGGACCGAGTCTAATCACTCGTTCAGCTTGAGGTCTCTCAAGGAAACGCTCCGAGAGCTCGTCGCTTGCTCGCTTCTCGTCGAGGCTACTTGCATCTGACGCAAATGCTGATGGATCAACATTTGCTGCCGAGATTGTCAGTCAAATGTGTAGTCGCCCCTTGTAATCAGCCAACTTGACATCCCGCAGCCACCTCACGGAAGTTGCTGCTGCTCTGAGGGTGCAGAGATCATGCCGAAGCATGGCCATGTGTGAAATCTGAATAGGGTGCTTATTGGTGCTATCGCTTACATTATGGTACAAAGCTACTATGATTGTGCGGGGAGCCGATGACATGGTTGCTGAATTTACATAGCGAGTATTGCTATTGGGCCGATTGCTGCTCAATCATTTGGACCAAATAAGCAGATTGAAAGAGACCGTGCTGCCTGGAGGTCGACTGGATCGCAATGACAAGACTCAGGCCTGCGCATGGCCACGCTGAGGCCTGATCGCCATAACGAGCGAGCTGTAGCTTCGTTGGTAATCGTGCATGTTTGGCGTCGAGGATCGAAGCTGAGGTTGGGAATGCATCAAGTCATATGGACCACGCGGCGGCTTGACTGAAAGTCGCTGAGGTCGAGCAGACAGCGCTGGGTTGGCGTCTTCTGCCTTTGCCAGCGCCGTGTTCGCAGGAGTGCTAACTGTTGGCACGGCAGCATCTTTGCCTTCAGTCTCATCCTTGCTCTGCATCTTGGACTTTTTGACGTTGCCAGCCGACTTCTTGCTTTGCGGACTTGCTCTCTTATTGTTGGTCTTGGCTGCTCCCGCTGCTGGTGCGGATGCTGGTGCGGATGCTGGTGCGGATGCTGGTGCGGATGCTGGTGCGGATGCTGGAGCTGACGTTGATGCTGTGGAAGCTGCTTCAGCCAGGGGCTTGGGAATGGGTGCTTTGCGGCCCTTAGGTGCCAGCTCCAGCATGGTCTCTATCCCTGCACGAAATTCGGAGTGCATCTCCTGAAGCGTCTTGTTCATTTGCTTCTGCCACGTCTCGGTAGACTGTTCGAGTGCCTCGATGCGGCTGAAGATGAGCTTTCTTTCATTGACTGCCTCGATCGCCTTCTCTGTCATCTGAACTTGAAGAGGCATCACCTGTGCCATGTTCTCGCTCATCTTGTTTTGCTCGCTCTCTGAAGCCTTGAGGCGAGTTGCTATGCCCGTGAGCTCGTCTTGCATCTGTTTCATGCGATTCTCCGAGACGAGCCAGAAGCAATGGATGCTCTCTTCGATCTTCTTGAGTGGTTCATGGTCCCTTTGCATTGACTGACGGACTTCCATCGTCCTCACAGGCTTGACACTGGGAGAAGGCATGGGAGTGAACGAGTTAGGAAAGCCAGGAGTGTACTCAAGATGAGCGGGCTGACATGGAGCGCTTGCAGGCTGCCAAATGTCGAGTATAGTTTCCGCTGCATTCGGAGTGGGCTCGCTGGTCGGCACAGTAGAGGGTAGCGTGGAGGAGGATGACTGCGATGAAACGGTCTGGCTCGGATAGTAGCTCGAGTAGCTCGAGTCGGAGCCACTGCTGAATGCCTCGGTGGAGCGATAGGAAGGTGGCAAGTGCCTCCACAAAGCTGCGATCGAGGTGTCCAAGGGAGTGGCGTTGTAGCTGCCACTGTCGCTTTCTTCTTGCTTGAGCTGGAGCGGATAGATGTCGAAGCTGGTGCTTCTTTCGGCTGGCGGAGCCTGTCTGATCGAAAGCAGCGCCAAGTTTGACTGCGGCGAAGAAGGCATGGCAGGCATCCGAGTAGCCGTCTGTTCAAAGTAGCTAGCCAAGTCCGAGAGATTCATGCTGTCGGTTTGGAAGCTCGCTTAAGATGCAATTGGCAGCAAGACAAGAGGCTCCTCGAGTGACGGTCGATGCGGATTGCATACATGGCGCTTTATGTATGTGCGTTTGCCGTTCGATCCGATCCTATTTGCCACTCTCACCGCCGCTAGGCCAATAGAGAGCGGAGGCGCAGAGGGGGTCGCTGGCCATCAACTGATTGACGAGACATTTGACAGGTCTGCGACGCAGTTTTTAAGTTGGGGAGGTTGAGAGCACAAGCGTGAGGCGATGGCAGAAAGACTTGTCGCCTAGCAGATCTCGCCCTACAGTAGACTCTCCACGCGACACATTTAGACCGAGGTGAATGGACCCTGACAGGCAAGCAACAACCGATGCTCAGCCGTTATGGCTGAGCCTAATTTTATCAGCAGTAGAAGGGTTAGGGGTTGGCTCGCAACCTTGACAAGGACGTTGCAAGCGTGACCTACAGATGGTTGCCCGCTGACAACGGCGGAACTGCGGAATGCTCTCGGTCGATGTTAAAGTTGAGTTTCGAGATTGATGTGAGCCTGACAGCTGCTTGGCGAGATGAGGTTGCCGTTTGGAGACAAGGAGGTCGGGTAGATGAAGTGGTAAGCGAGGCCTCATTGTCTTGGTAAGAAGAAGCTTTTATAAGCCTTTGGGAAATGCTTCTACCAGCCTTGCCCTCTGACTGGACCCTAGCATTATCCGCAAAGTCGAGCTCAAGAGCGCTTCTTCCAACAGCTTTGACCTCTCAAGCCACTCACTCGTCTTCGGACAAATCCGGAAGGATAGGAACAAGCCACTCGATTCCCACGGCTGGCGACAAACTGTGGCTGTGTGAGCTTGAGCTTAAGCTTACCATGTGAACTCATAGAGTGGTGTGATTTTGGAGAAGCTTTGGCCTCAAACCTAACAGAAGAAAGCGCAAAAAATAAGAATCCATCGCTTCGAACTTGTTGACCTGTGCTTAGTTGAAGTTTCGTGTGATTTATGATGATGGTAAGAGAGAGAGAGAGAGCGAGGAAAGAGAGAAGGAGTCTTTATATACAAAAGAAGAGCGGCAGAGAGCCGCATCGACTGCGGAGCATAACAAAGCATTTGTCTTGAGTAGGTTGTGACACATGTGGTCCGTGCTCAGATGCTCAAGCCTTTTACTCGGCCGTAAGCACTACCTTCACCATCTCTACGCTTTGTGTGGCTTTTACCTACTTCAACTTGCTTTTCCATTGATTTTGGTTGGTTTGACTTGGCTCCACTCCACCACCACCACCTACCTCCTCCTCCTCCTTCTCGACAAGCATTCAACACGACACTGGCTTCCTATTTCCCACACATCCTCCATCTCGCAGCGGTGTCGACCCTCGCATCGACCAGCGCCAAGACGAGCCCACTTTAGCAGCTTGCTCATTTCGTCGCTGGTCCGCAATGCAGCTTCATGGCAGACTCTTGACGTCGCTTCAACCTACATCAGTCTCTTCCGGTAAGCTTGCTGACAAGATGAGCGCTCCCACGACTCACCAACAGCAGCATAGCTCGCTCTCTGCAGCAAGCTTCCTCGCTTCCATTTCTGCCGAGTGCAGCACATCTTTCGCCTCGACAAACAACTCTACTGCCAACTCTGCCCCTTCACTACCAATTTCAGCCAAGGTCTCGCTCATCGATGCTCAGATCGAGGCACTTGAGTGTCGCATCGAACAGACTCTCGCATCACATGCCGACGAGCTCCGTCAAAGCGCTGCATCCACCCGCTCCGTCAATCACGACCTCAACCAGCTCTGGCGTTCCATCAATCAGACCAGCTCTCGTCTCGTCACTGTCGGTCCACAGCTGGCTCCAATAGCATCCGACTACCATGATGCACTTGCTCAGAGCTCAAAGCAGCGTCTTCTTATCTCGGTCTTGTCCGATCTACTAGCTGCAACCAAGCACCTCGAACGTCTTGAGAAACTGCAGCATCAGAATCATTTGTCCACATTGCCAGCCGAGTTGCCCAAAACAGCTGAGCTTCTGCAACCATTCCGCTCTCGGCCTGCCTTGCAAAGCATGCCTGCTGTCCTTGAGCTCATGGCACGTTTCGACCGACTCTCAAGCAAGAGCAGGCAAGTCGACAGCCAACCTCTATCTCGAAGCCTCCAAACTTCAATTCCCTCCACGGCCTCACAAGCTCAAACTCGAGCAAGTCTCGATAACAGCCGCGACCATCACAAAACCCCAGCAAGCACCACCACCACAACAGGCCCGACCCTTTCACCGGCTCTCAAAGTACTTGAGTCTGCTCGTGACTTGATCGTCTCACGCGGCTCGGAAGGAGGCTGGAAAGAAGTTCGCATTGAGCTCGATGCTCCTCCACCACCACCACCACCACCACCGCCACCTCCTCCTGCAGCTGCTCCTATCTCACAACCATCACTGCAACGAAGCGTCGACTCCAACAGATCATCGCTCGACATACGAGCTGAACGCATCCTTCGCGAGGACACGGCGCCAGGCTCGACCTCATTAACGCGCAATTCTTCCTCCTCCTCCGCCACAAATCCTCGCAATAGGCACAAACCCAAGCTTGGCGCTCGTGTCATTCGCCCACAGGACCAGCTCGGTAGTGGACCTTTCAACCCCGAGCAAGCCGCATTACAGGAAGATGGCTGGGATCTTGATGATCAAGACGATGGCGAGACTACGCAGCCAACAACGGCAGTATTACCTCCGCACTTGAACCAGCCGGTTCATCAAACTGCGGCATCGCTGGCACCCGCTAGTCACAACAGCTCGCCAAGCGGGTCTGTTGCCATGCAATGCAGTATGACTTCCAGCTCATCTCAACCAAGTGACTTTGCCGTCCAGGATGCCGAGTCTCAGGCAAGCGGTGCTCGATCGAGCAACAATGTGGATGCATGGGGCCTGGGCGAGGAAGAAGTTGAGCCCAAAGCCGACGGCTGGGGTCTGAACGACGATCTTCCACAGCAGCGCCCACCATCACCCAAGAGAACCAAGAGAGCCAGTGTTCTCATCAGACATGCTCCTACTCCGACAATCACTTCAGCTGCGACAGATGCTTGGCAGCTTGACGAACAAGTCGAATCGGAGCAGCCACCGGTCTCACAACAGAGGGAAGAAACATCTGCACAAGCGCCAGTTGAGCCTGTTATTCCTTCAGCGGCGTCAACAACCCCAATCGCGACTGGAGACGCTTGGGACTTAGAAGAGGATCCAGTTCCGGAGCCACTGCCACCATCCCCCAAGAAGCCAGAAGAACCGGGAGAGGCACCTGCCACGCACCCTGAAGTCCTCGCTGCGACAGCCACTGCAATCGCTGGAGAAGCTCAGAATCTGGAAGATGACAAAGTTCAGATTAAGGAGCCGCTTTCTTTGCACAATCAGGCGACACATACTGCGGCACCTGCGGAAGTCATTCCCCCAGCAGCTCAGCAAGCTAGTACAGCAGATCAGGACGGATGGGTCTTGCAAGAGGACACAGAGATCGATGTTGATGACGATCCATGGGCAGCGGCAGAACAATCCACCGAGCCTACACCAGCAGTACAAGCAGACACTCGCATCGCGCCGCCGCCGGCAGAGGCTAGCAAGGTAGAGCCTTCAGAAGCGCTGGCCGCGCCCTTCACGAGAGCAGTGCCGGCGGAAGCAATTCACCAGCCTGCGACGGCAGCACAGCAAACCGCGCCCGCCGAGGAAGCATCGCAGCCGTCACACAAAGCACAAGAATCGAGCAGCACAGCGCTCGCAACGACGTCAGCACCTCAGGCAACTTCTGCCTTTGTCGTCGATATGAAGGTAGAGGAGCCCAAAGAAGAGGCTTGGGACTTTGACGACAGCTCTAGCGCATCTGAAGCCGACAGGGCCGAGATTGCTGCCGTCACGCCTCTCCACAAAACAGAATCAGCTGCTTCGTCCGCTCAGCAGCCGAGCAAGGTCGAGTCGGCAGCAAGATCCATTCCCAAAGAGACTTTTGCTGCACCTACCACTCAAAAGCCAGAGTCGGTCGCAAGCCCGCCCTCGTCACCAGGAGGATGGGGTGAAGACTTTTCTGATTCTGAGTCGACAGGCCTCCCTGTTTCGGCTTCACGGTCAAGTCTTGCTGCATCTAGATCGCTCCAGCCTCAGTCGAAAGCAGCAGTAGCATCCAGTCACACAGAGGTCGCATCCGCGCCTGAGCCTGCGACAGTGCTCAAGGAGAGATGCACCATCAGCCAGCGCTCAATCGACCTCTTTCAGCTGGCAGAATCGACCATGACCTCTGTTATCTCCCTTCTCCAATCTGGCCATGCCGGAGCCGAAGAAGCCGAATCGCTCGGTGGAACCATGTTCAAGATGTTGGAACTGCACCGAGCCCTTATGCCCGTTGCTCATGGCCAAGTGCTCGGTGAGGTCCCCTCGCTCGCCATGCAGTTCTTCAACGATTGCGAATATCTTGCACAAAAACTCACTCGTCTCGTCTCTGACAGAGGCGATGCCATCGCTGCTGCTTGGCTCAGTCACGATGCAGACTCGGCGAAGAGATGGAAGACCAAAGATGTGGCCAAGTTGGAACAAGAAGCTGCACTCACGCGCGCGCTGGGTCAACGATGGTTCGAAGCGCAGATGACGGCCCAGTCCAAGATCTTACTCGATACTCTTATTGAAGCGGATGGATTTGCACGTACGTTTGACGACAATCGATTCGCCAGATGTGAAAGGTGTATCAAGCAGGTGGTGCAAACTCTGCAGCAGCTTGACAAGGCATGGCGACCGGTACTCGTCGCTTCTCGTTTCCACGCTGCGATCGGAAGACTGGTGGATTTGGTGTTCCAGAAGGTACTGCACGACCTGCTGGATCTGGAGGAGATCGGCGAAAGCGAATCCCAGAAGCTCGCTGCGCTAGTCAAGACGCTCGGCAGTCTAGAATCTCTGTTCACAATGTCCGACGGACAGAGCGGAGCACCGCTTTGGGTGCCTAGTTGGTTCAAGACGAGCTATCTGATTGAGATTCTGACTGGATCGTTGGTCGATATTGAGTTCTTGGCTTTCGAGGCTGGTGCGTTAGTGGATTACAGCAGGAAGGAGCTCACTGGATTGATCAAAGCCCTGTTTGCTGATACGCCGAACAGGAGCAAGTTGCTGAGGAGGATTGAAGGGGCTAGTGTTGATGTTCTTGCTCGTTGAAAAGCCATCTGAGCAATGCAAACCATTACGGCTTGGTCATGTCTGCATGTCGGTTTGACGAATGCGTTGAGCCAAGATGGTGCAGGAGTGATCGCAATGCAAGATGGTGAGGGGAAGCGACCTGCGCCTTGCGTCTGTTGCTGCAGGCAGACAGAAGCCTACCCTAGCTCGCACGCAACCTGGTTAGGACCGTGCGTCGAGTGGCACCCTCCTTCATAACCGTTGCCATGGCAACCTCCCACCGGAATACCTCATATTTCGGTGTCAACGCTAGAGAATAAGCTACATATGCTCCCACCAGCTTCGCCTCCCACCAGCTTCGCCTCCCACCAGCTTCGCCTCCCACCAGCTTCGCCTCCCACCAGCTTCGCCTTTATCTCAGTCACGTTGACACCCAGCTTAATTTCGGTCTCCCGGTTCCGAATACTTCCCCCGATCTAACATGTTGGACCCTGGAAATACCGACGACGTCGATGGAACTTTTTCTGTTCGCGCCTTCTCTTGGCAGAAATTGGCAGGGGCCTGGGAAAGCTGGAGATGGATACATCAATCCCTCATGGGCCCAGAGACGAGACTCGATCGTAAATGTCGCCAAGAGACTAGTGAGGATCGCTTCAGCCCGCTTTTCCTTTCATGTCTGTTGTCTTCCCACCTGGTGACCATTTGATTCCAGCAACCTCAGGTGCTGCCTAGAGCCAGATAGGCCGGGCGTAATCATGAAAAAGAGAGGCGGGTGGGGGCTCTTCAGCCTTATTTCTCTGTGCCTGTGGAGAACGCGAAAAAAACTCACATAAACATTTGTCTTGGCTCACCACACACAACCGTCTGCCGGTTCGCAACATGATGGGTTTCCGACAACGACGAGAAGACGACGCTGAGAAGAGGCCAAGAAGAGGCCAAGAAGAGGCCAAGAAGATGAGAAGCGAAGCGAGGCTGTCTTTCTGCACACAAATGCACAGCCGCCACCCGGTTTCTTAGCCGCCTGTCCTTTTGTGCTCACCATCGGCGTAGTTGGTGGCCTTGTGTCTTGGCTGCCTTGTATGACCCTTCCAATTTGATCTGAACTGGATTGAACCCTTACACAGCTATTACCGCAAGAGAAGGCTGCGAACGGCAATGGTACGATGGACGTCCCCCTTGCCCTTCAGCCCCTCATCTGATCACCTGATATACTCGTGACCGTTTGAGTTACCCTCCCCCTCCCCGTCCCCGTCCCCCTCTCTCTCCCCTTTTCTCGTCACCAACCCTCGCGCTTGCCCTAGATAACATACATCATTATATCCACCATCCTTCCTACGATCAACGGTTTGCTCGTATCTCCTCGTCCCAGAGCAGTACCCTAGAGCATCAGGCCCGACTCGAAGCTGACTGCCAGATCGATACCCGCCCAGCAGACAAGCTTCACACACACACACACACACACACACACACACACACACACACACACTCTCTCTCTCTCTCTCTCTCTCTCTCTCTCTCTCTCTCTGCTCGAATAGCAGCTCAGAGCTCAAGCAAGCCTCTTCGCCGGTTTCGTTGCAACGATGGTCGGACGTCGACCAAGCACCCCCTCTCGTGCTCGACTTCCCGAGTCATACGAGCTCCCCGCATCACCCCGTCAACCAGCCGTTCAGGAACCCCTCCTCAATGCAGACAACTCTTTCGCTACCACCGACCCCGACTCCACCTCCGGCTCCCTCTCACCTCTTCCCTCACAAGCACCTCGCTGGTCACGCTCCAACTCCCGCTACAGCAATCCCGACCCATCCCTAGACTCCAACCTCGATCCTAACATCTCCTCCTCCGCCCCCGCCTACAACTATGACCATTCCTACAACCATTACCGATCTTCCTCCCCGACCGCGCCCCAAGCCATCCAGGAACGGCCCTTCACTCCACCATTCGCCCGCTCGGCTTCCCGACCGACCTCGCTAGCCAGCTCTCACATGCTCAGTGTTCGATCGCAGAGCGACTATGATTCGATCTATCAGCTTTGGCGTCAGAGTGGAACACCTTCTTCCTTTAGGGACCTTGCTGGAGATGATGCTGCAAGTGGATACTATGACACGACGAGACCAAGTAGTGCTGTGGACTTGGAAAAGATCGAACAGTACCGTTCGGGTGCGTATGCTCCTAACTCCCCGCCATTGGCTCAACAACCTTTGCATAAGGGCGAGGTAGGGACGAAGGGGCCGAAGGATTACCGTGCTGTTGGACTAGCCAAGTATGGAAGGGGGAAAGACCAGCAGATGTCGACAAAGAACAAGTGGTTGATCGTTCTGGCTGTTTCAGCTGTGATTGCTATGCTTACTATTGCTATCGTCCTACCTATCACCCAGCTCTTGCTCAAGTCGGACAGTAGGAGTGCTAAAGCTGGGCAAGGCTCCGGCTCCTCTTCTGGCGGGTCTGATCAAGGCTCCAACTCAGCAAGTGGCAAACAGTTTCAAGTATGGGGCACAAATGGATCAACTATCGACCTAGGCAACGGCCGCAGCTTCACCTACATCAACCGCTTTGGTGGCAGATGGGCTTCTCAGCCGTTTGATAACTCTGCCCAAGCACAGAACTATACGCCGCCACTAGATCAAGAATTCGACTTTGCGCGCAATCGTATGCTTGGCGTTAACCTCGGCGGATGGCTCGTCACAGAACCTTTCATCGTTCCAGCTCTCTACGAGCTCTATGAAAACACTTCCAGCCCAGCAGTGGACGAGTTTACCCTTTCCCAAAAGTTTCTCCAGGAGGGAGGCCAGGATAACTTGCGCGCTAAGATGACGCAACACTACGATACCTTTATCACCGAAGAGGACTTCGCTCGGATTGCTGGTGCGGGTCTCAACTGGGTTCGACTACCGATTGGCTTCTGGGCCCTGGAGACGTATGCAAATGAGCCGTTTTTGGAGGGTGTAGCATGGAACTACGTCCTCAAAGCAATCCAGTGGGCGAGAAAGTACGGTCTGCGAATCAACCTCGACTTGCACGCAGTCCCCGGCTCACAGAACGCCTACAACCACTCCGGTCGAGTGGGCTTCATCAACTTCTTGCAGGGCTTGATGGGCAAAGCTAACGGCGAGCGAACAATCAACTATATTCGACAAATCACCCAGTTCATCTCCCAAGCCGAGATCCGTCCTGTAGTACCCATGTTCTCTGTCATCAACGAACCCTATGCCATCTCTATCGGCCAACCAGCCCTCCAATCCTGGTACTCCCAAATCTACACCACCATCCGAAACATCACAGGCACCGGCGCAGGTAAGGGACCCTATATCACCATTCACGATGGTTTCCTCCCCCTCTCCAACTGGCAAGCTTTCCTTTCTGGCGGAGACCGAATTGCATGGGATACCCACCCGTACATCTGTTTCGGTCAACAAAACAACGATCCTTGGGACACTCAGGTCATGAAACCCTGCAAGCAATTCACCCCACTCCTAGACAATGCACGATCGAACATGGGTGTAAGCATGGGCGGAGAAATGTCGCTCGCCATCAACGATTGTGGGTTGTTCCTAAATGGTGTAGGCGATGGATCTCGGTACGATGGAACATACTCCGGTCCTACTCCGGGTAATTTCCCGAGGATTGGTAGCTGTCAGCCGTTCGATGACTATGAGAACTATAGTGCCGAGATGAAGCAAGGTTTGCGAAGGTTTGCGTTGACAAGTATGGATTCTTTGCAAGATTTCTTCTTCTGGACTTGGCGGATTGGTAATTCGCTCCGCACAGGTAAACCGACTGCTCCCATGTGGAGTTACTCGCTCGGGCTGGAACAGGGTTGGATGCCAACCAACCCGCTGGGTGAGAGTCATGGCGCTTGCCAAGCCCAAGCTTCGCGCATTGGAACAAGTGTTGCCACCGCCACATGGGGTCGCGCTTTCCAGAGTTGGCAGACTGGTCGCGCAGGAAGCTACAACCCCGATACAGGAGCCAATCCCTGGCCACCGCAAAGCATCGTCAGTGCAAATCGTGCTGTTAACCAACTTGCCAGCTACACAGCGACTAAACCCATTACCCCACTCGCAACTCCAACCTTGACGAGGACGGCAACGTTGGCAGGTGAGCCAACAGCTCCACCAACACTCAGTGGATGGTTCAACGGAGACCAGAACTCGCCCTTTTATACGGCGATTGGCGGCTGTAGCTATCCAGAAGATCAGTATAACTTGGGTGCGTTCGACGCTAATGGTTGGCCTTGCAGCGGCGGTGGTGTTAAACAGAGGAGGGCGGAGCCCACTGCTCTGCCGTAGTTAAAGAAAAGGGACAATATAGTTTGTTACCATTGATTGGTTGTATTCTAGCTAGCTTGCTTGCTTGCTTGCTTGCTTGCTTGCTTGCTCGCTTGCTTTGTGTACTTGAATCTTTCGACCAGAAGATGTCTACAAATGTGCTATTAGTGTGTGCTGATGTTTGAGCCAAGATCGAATTGTGAGCCCCTATGTCGAAGCAGCGTAGCAACCACCCTGCTCGGTTGAACAACTTGCTTCGTTTTGGATGGAAACCATCATCCGCTGGAACTACAAACATGACCACTTGCACAACCAAGTATCGGCAAGAACAGACGACTAGACCAAGTCAAGTGTTCGACCAGGAGGGTTCTGGTCAATCGGCGCCAAAGGAGTGGCACACATACTTGACAGCTGTAGCAAAAATAAAATTTGGGCAGTTCCTCCAAGCGGCAACGAAAGAAGGTGTTCCACTGACCCCCCCACCCAATCCGGCTGAGGGAGTGGATGCTAGGGTGGCAATTGAACAAAGTCATTCGGTTAACGATGGGATCGGGAGGCTACTCGTTCTTGGTCTTCTGCTATCCATTACAAGACGCAATCGCCACCCCCCTTCCTTTTGGGAAGTTACGAAAGAAGAACTCCAAGCGGTGGAAAAAAAAGAAAGAAAGAAAAAAAAAAAAAAAAAAAATTAAAATCCAATGAACGACAAATGTTCTCTGCCTAACCTGCTGGATAAGCTCGGAAGCAAAGTGGTAGCGCTTACCCTCGACACTGACACCTCAACCAAGCCTATGCTGTCTTAATTGACGAACAAATCTCTGCTTAGCATGTCCCACAGAGTTTGCATACTTAATGATTCAGCCTGACAACGAGCAGGACTTGGTTGTACGCGATCTCTAATCGAATTGATCCTCGCTCCATTTCCGATCAAATCGATTTCTTCCCCCAATCCCTTCCATAATGGCTTACCTCAACTTGCATCATCACATTGGATCGTTTCCCTCAGCATAGAACTTACTCCAGCGGCAAGGTTCAGTCTGAGAATGAACCAAGAAAGAAAGATGCAAATATAAAATTGTGATACGGTTCGTGCAATGATAAACAACAAGAGCTTCGAAAATGCCTGAAGGATGATCGTTCGTACAACCAAACCAGCCGAACTTTAGGGATACAACATCTCAGAAGAGCTGGTATTCAGACCTCTAACCTTCTCTCCACGACCTTCCCTTATCTCCAGTCCCCAACAAGGCACCAATCAGATCCCTTGCAGTATTAACAATCTCTACGGCTCTTCCAATGATTCCTCCCTCATCCTCCTCGACGTAGTCATGTGCTAGTGGCACACGAGGTTCCGAATTATGCGGGGCGACCAAAGCTCCCGTAGCACTAGTGCGACGAGGTAAAGTGGGGCTAGAGGGACCTCCACCTCTAATATCTGCTCCTGAACCTGAGCCCGACCGACGCTTGCCACTGGCTCGTGCAAGGATAAAGGTAGGTGTGTTAAGTGGAGTGGGACCCACTTCCACTGGGCCATCCGGAGAGGTAAGACTAGCAGAGACTTTGGATGCTGGACGAGCGTTGCTGGGAATGCACTCGACATTTACACTCAACTCTGTAGCTGCTGCGTTAGGAGGTTGTGACTTGGCTCCGTGCTTTGATTCTTTCCTGTCGTCGGACCAATAGTTTCGTTCATCGCCGTACATGTATCGATCTCCGTCTCGATCTTGTGAAGAACGGTTGGATCCTTGATCGTCTTTAGCGTCAAGATGCGGGCTCGCAGGCAAGTGAGGACTCGCTAAACCGTAGGATCCTTGGCCATCTGAGTCGTAGTCGTTCAGGGACCGATTGGCGACCGAACGCGCCTTTCCTCCGTAGGTTGCTGAATCTCCAGCTCGAAGGCCATCATCTCCTGCATCTCGCGGGTCGTCCTTGCCTGTTCGAAAGGATTCGCTGCCACCGACGCTACTCCGTGCATTGCTCCGTGCAGTGCCCGGCGAGGCAGAGACAGAAGCAGGACTGGTAGACGAAGACGAAGACGAAGACGAAGACGAACACTTGTCATAGCTGCTGCCACCGTTGAGGGTCGAGTGTGTCGGCGAGTGAGCAGAGGAAGCTCCACTGTTGGTACGTCCTCTGCCTTGCCTGACGGCTTCTTGAACGCGTTCGTAACTGGCTGAGCTACCTAGCCTCTGCGATGGACGACCGCGTTCACGCGAGTCATCGCTGCTGTTGCGTGCCGGTTCATACGACTCTGCAAACGAAGACGACTCTGGCTGATGCGAGGATCGCAAGAGGTCATAGTCACCCTCAGCTTCTAGGCTTCGCGGCTGGTAGTCTTGGGTAGCATTCTGATGTACGATTCGATGCTTGAGGATGCCTCTTGGTGCAACACTGGCCTGCGATTGTTCCGGTGCTGCGGCTGCTAGATCTTGAGGCGACGTGGATGATGTGGATCCGTCAGTCCTGTCTGACTCGCTATGGTCAAAATAGCTTCCGTAGGTTCGGGAAGCGTCAGGACTGCTCGCAGCGTCGCCTGTGTTAAAAACCGGCCCATTCGAGTTAAGATGGTCGCCTGCGCCGTCGGTAAGATCTGGTCCGTCAAAGTAATCGAAATCACCGTTGAAGTCATCTTCCAAGTCCCACTGGACACCGCGTGCCGTGGGGTCGCCGTGTACGGGTGGAACGCCAGCTGGCGCGTATCCGTACTGAATAGGATATGTGGAGACAGTGCTGCCATTGTTGACACGCGTAGCAAGGAAGCCAGTCGGGTCGACCACAGCAGGTGAGGGTGAAGGGAAGATCTCGGAAGTCTTCAAACGGGTAGGAGCCAACTTGGCAATAGTGGCCTGGTGATCCAAGTGCTTTGATGAGGATGAAGCATGGGAAATGGCAGGCGACGTTCTTGGGCTTGACTTCATTGTAAGCACTTCCTCCTCCTCGCTGCTAGGATCGTCCTCTTCTTCAAACTCGTCCTCTTCGTAGTCATCGTAGTTGGGATATTGGTGATCCAATGCGATGCACTGCTCGACGCGGTGGTTGAAGCTGATGTGTCTCTTTTCGTCAGAAGCTGCGCTGTCGGTGCGCCCGATGCTGGGCGAATTCTTCTTTTGGGCTGATACGAGGGGCAAAGCGTTAGGAGAGCCGCCGGTACGCTTGGGAGCCTTAGCGACAAGGTTGGAATCGGACTTGACGGTAAAGAGAGGCTTGCGCTTCTGCTCTTCTGCTTTGCGGTCCTGCTCGGCCATGTGATCATCGATAGGGTTGGTTTCGAGCTCGATGTTGGGCGAGGCTGCACTTCCGGGTGTAGTGAGCATGTCGGATATGGTGCGGTGCTTGAGAATGGAGCGAACTCGGTGACCGTCATCCAAGTTCAAACGGTCTGCGGTTGTTGCGAGCTTGGGTGGAGGTACTGATTCGACGTGCTCGTGGAGAGGACCATAGAGCCATGTAACATCACTGTCTTTGAGCCTGTCATCAAGGAAGAGAAGTGCAAGTGAAAAGTGCAAGTGAAAAGTGCAAGTGAAAAGTGCAAGTGAGAAAAGCAAGAGTCAGTATCGAGTAGGCAGAGAGAATTCTGGGAATGCAAGGCGAAATGTGCAGCGGAAACAAGGCGGTTTTGGGCTGTAGCTGTGCAGGAGATGACTTACCAATTAAGAGTTTCTGGGCTGATGGTTTTGAGGTTACCGCGCTGCTTTGCCCATGTACGCCAACTTGCGTTTTCGAGCCTGACACCATTGGCGATCTGATTCTTTTGCTTTGTCATGGCCTTCCAACTGCTCCATACGTCTTCGTCGGTCCACTGATGACTGAGGTAGTCGACGCAGACGGTGGGCATCCTCGACTCGATCTGTGCATCGTCAGGAGCGGGAGCGTTGTTGGCAACGGTAGGGTAGGGCTGAGGTGTGGAGAGCATCTTGACTAGTGTTTATGTAGATCTGTGGGCAAGTAATTGGGAGAATGGATGGAGGATAGAGGCTTGAGAGGAGGAGATTAGAAGTGTCCAAGTTTGAGGAGCGTTTTAGTGAGTTGTCTCTGCAGCTCACACTTAGAGCTGGAGGCACATGGATACAGGGGCAATGCAAGTGCCAGAGTGGGCACAGTCGATGCGGCGCTTTGCACAGCAGAAGCCTTGGAGTCGATAGTGGATCCTAAAGGTTGCCACAAGTTTCGATCGTGAGCCAAAATATTCGAAAGGAACGAGTGCGAGACGCTGAGATCGAATACGGAACCAAGAGAGCCTTGCTACAGAGCAGAGATTGGCGGTATCCAAGAAGGCGATCGAGATCAAACAGCGTGGAGGAGGCACTGAAGGGTTACAGCTGCTTCGAGAGAGGATTGGTCGACGACGGTGGTGTTGGCCAGTGTTGGTGTCCGGATGGCAAGAGATCGCTGAGTCTGATGGGGACGATGACGACGGCGACAAAGATAGTCGAGCGATCCGTTGCAATGTCCAAGGTAGAGGTGTGTGTGTGTGTGTGAGAGAGAGAGAGAGAGAGGGAGAGAGAGAGAGAGAAGAAGAAGAAGGAAGGAAGGAGCGAGCTAAGTCAGTCTTGTTGAATTGAATCCAGTTCGAGAGTGCAGTGGCTGCCAAGCGATTGCCGCTTTGGCAGGGCGAGACGAGCGAGGGAGAGACGAGATAGGGAGAGAGCCGACAGGATTGTGCGCTGAGCTGCTTCGAAATTCTGTGATTCTAATTCAGGGTGGAAAGCGCTTAGACAGTGGACAGTAGTAAGGCAGTGGAGAGTAGTAAGACAGCAGTGTCGCCTGAGCAAAACAGCAGCAGCAGCAGCAGTAAGAGCAAGCCGCGACTGAACATCAAAAATTGCATTCCCAAGTCACCTTTTACCCACCGGCCAAAAGTAAGAGCGGTGAGCAGAAGAGCAGAAGAGCAGAAGAGCAGACGAGCAGACGAGCAGACTAGAATTCTGCCTCAAATTTCCAAAAATTCAGCAAATTACACAATCACGCACACACACATGTAAACATAAGCAGGTAAGTTAGCGATCAAGAAGCCCGCACTCTTCTTGTCTTGTCTGACCTTACAGTCGCAGTCGCAGTCGCAGTCGCAGTCGTAGTCAATCGATCTTGCCAACTGATCTGATCCGAGAGTCTATGCTTTATCACGCATTCGCAAGCCATGCTTGTTCTCGGCGTTCATTTTGATAGCTTCAGTTCTGCTCACTTTAGTCGAGACAGTTGACCAGCTCTTTGATACTCGCTTGCCCTTCAAGCTGAGGCCGTCCATCTGAATATGAGAATATCAACTCTGGTCTACTTGCTGTCACGCCGATCAAGTCGAAACCGTACATCATCGCGTAGACAACTTTTAATTTGATTTTTTGAATTTTTTTTTCTTTTTTTTTTTCTCTTTTTTTCTCTTTTTTTTCCCCCATCTACTTATCACTTGCGCCCTGAGCACCAACTTACCCGGCACCACCCTTCTTCCCAGGCCGAGCCTTCAACTTGGCTCGCAAGCTGTCGATCTCGAAATCGCGCTCGTAAAGCTTGATTGCCATCTCCCCGACCACTTCTTCGCATGCCCTCTTCATGTCTTTAACCGCTTCTTCGGCCTTTTCTATCGCCTTCTTAAGCCCGGATGCTTTGTTCCCCCGCTGTTTGGCGCGTTGAGTTGCGAGCGGGACGTCATCTTTGCTGCTGCTGGCTTGTGTTCTGCTCCGAGTAGACGTTCGCTTATCAGTGCTGCCATTCTGAGCAGTACCTGACTGCGGTTGCCGAGGATCAGTGACGTGATCCTCGGCCGCGGGAGAATCAGGACGAGGCCCACGGCTGGTCGCCATGAGTTCCTGCAGCCACCTTTCGCTCAGTGCTGGTGTCGCCTCTTTGGGCTTGTCTTGTTGTTTAGGCCTTTTGGCCGATGGAGCCCTAGGCTCGGGAGACTCGCGGGTGAGATCGATAGATTCGGTGATCTTGACCAAGCCGCCAGCTCGCTTTCGCCCTGCTTGGCTGCTTGTTGGAATGGTGCTGGCGCTGCCTGCGGGACTCGGTTGGCCACGATGAGAGGTGATCAAAGTGCAAGTGGAGCGCTCTCTCGGATGAATGTTGCCGGTGCAGGGCGGCTGAGAGTTGACGCTGGCAAACGGGCTGGCGCCTCGATCGAGTGCGCTGGTCGCTAATGGGCTCTTGGACGACTGACATTGTGAAGCTTGAGAAGAGGTAGATCGTTGCCGACTCTTGGAAGCCTGGCGTTGTGTAAGAGTTGTGGCCAGTGTTGACTGAGCGAGCTGCGTCGACCTCGCCGTGGTAGCATGCTCTGACATTAGAGGCTGCGTCTGCTCTTGGAGGCACTCGGCCTCGAGTCTTTCGTATTGCTCGGCTATATTACACCAAATAAAGAAAGCATTAACAAGTCAGTGAGGCCATCCTTGCCGCACCGCCCCCATCGCCACTGCGAACGGTTAAGGAGCAAGTACTTACGATTCCAACCAATGGGACTCTCCAACTCGTCGACCTCCTCGTTGGCACTATCCATCAACACATCTGCATCCTCTCTGTCGCTCATGTTTGCGCCCTGCGTCGTTTTCCTACTGTTCTTGGGCCTTTTGTACCTTGCCTTGGCTTGGTGAAGAGCGCCCGAAGACCTTAGCTTGAGCTTCGGTGGTGATCGATGGGGAGGTGGAAGAGGAGGCGGGATGCTGAGCGGTGACGGAGAAGCGAAAAAGGCGATGGGGGATGATGCGGGAGAGATAGCAAGGAGCAAGTCGGTCGCAGCTTGGATTTCAGCTTGTGCAGCTTGAGTCTCTGCTGCTTGAGCTGCTGCTTGCAGTTGAGCTTCGATGTTGGCTTCCGCTTCGATCAGGTCGTCCAGGTTGGCCGCACTCATTGCCGAGTGAGCAACGGAGCCGAAGACTGCGGCCAAGAGAGAGAGACCGGGGATGCGTTCGGACAAGTTGTGGGTGGGATCGAGAGCTTGATCTTATATCCTTGCCTCAACCAAGCCAAGTGGCGTTGAGAGTGGGATCAATTTCCCTTGTCCCTTGGTGCCATACTCATCCTCCACAGCGGGAGGAGCGTGTGTCGAGAGAGATGCTTCCCACGCCCTCAACTCAGCGAAACCTTAGGTTCCCAGGCAGCACTTGCTCCATCTCCTCACACGACTCAGCCGCATCGGCACATCCGAGCAGGCTGACAACCACATCCCATCGGCAGTGCCGCTCTCGCTTCTTGCGCACTTTCGTATTGCTGAGCAGACTATGACCAGCACTCTTGCTGCCACCTCCTCTGTCTCTCCAATGAATCCATGAATCGTTTCGCCTGGTCGCCATCCATCGCACCCCATTTCTCCGCTAATCCTTCAAAGGCGCCTCTCACCTGTTCAGGCATCTTACCTGACGCTCCAGCCACCACGATCCAGGCATTCCTCTGGACTATCGCATTCCACAACACTTGACCTCGCTCTTCATCACTGCTGATTAGATCTTGTACATAAGTCTTCTCCTCGCCGTCTCTGCTGAATGCTGTCGACACGTCGAGCTCCGGGTGTTGCTTGTCGAGTTGCTTCCAGTCTTTCTCGAATAGATAGTCTTTTGCTTTGTATCGGAAGCCGAGCAAGAGGTGAATCTCCGGCCGAGAGGTTGGCGAGAGACGCTCCATCACAAGCGAGCGTAATGGAGCACATCCTGTTCCCGGACCAATCAGTATCAATGGTGCTTCTTTGGGCGGTAATGTCAGGGATCCCTCTTTCACGAGTATCGGCACCTCACTTCCCACCGGTAATCCACTTAGCCAGCGAGTACAGAGTCCCGTACGCGCTTTCCGCAATCTCGTCTTGTACTTGACAATCGCAACGCTTACTTGTATCGCCTTTGCTTCCTTCCCAGCCCCCTTCTCCTCCTCCTCGCAAGTGCCTGGAGGACTAGCAATACTAAATTCTCTCGGCTTAATCCACGGCAATACATCCGCGACATACTCCAGCGGAATGCTGACAGACTTGAACTCCTCCAAAACCTCCTTGATGCTTCTCCGTGGTCGTTGAGCATATTCAAACATTTCATCAATTCCCTCTTGTCGCTTTGCCTCTCCCTTTGCGATAGCTTCCGCTGGGTAGATGCCGCAGTATTCGTCTAGCTTTTCGCGCTCCAGTGAGCCTTCGGGGGAGAAGAGTCGGATTTGCTCGAAGAATGATCGGCTTGGGACCGAGGTGAAGTCTAGGTGGTGGGTGAAAAGGTCACCAATGGTGAGAATCGAGGGGGTTTGCGGAACCGTAGTAGGCACGGTGGGACCTGAGAGTGTAATCTCGACATCTGCATCCAGTGAGAGGCGAGTGAGAAGCTCAGTGACAGAGCTAGAGTCGTTGATGGGGTGTAAGCAGAGGAGATCGCCCGGTCGATACTTGTTCCGTCTCACGCTGGTGGCGTGGTCTCCATTCCTGCTTGCTTCCGCACCGTCGGATGATGTTGTTGAGCAAGGAATAAATTCCAGCAGTCTTACATCCTGAAAGTGATCTGCAGCCGACATCCTTTCGTTCTTGGCCAGCTTGGATATCGACCAACCCTCGCTCTGCAGATGCTTGACGAAGCCTTGCACCCCTCCACCTCTTGCCTCGCCGTCCACCTCTCTGATCTTTGTACTAGGCGGCAACCTCTCATCTCTTCCCACTTCCCTCACCCCCACCTCTAACGGCAAAACTTCATCCATCCAGCCCCAAACCTTGTCCAACCAAGGTAACAGCTCACCCTCCAGTCCCAAATAGTGCATCTCATCTCCCTCCCCGTGCTCGACAACCTCCTTTGCACCCAAGCCCTTCAATCTCCTACTCAATAACCTTACCGGCCAACAGAATCGAGGGTAGGTCGTGTCTCCTAGACCAAACGCTGCAAAGTGGAGATCGGATAGAATGTCTTCTGGAACGTCTTTGCGCAAGAGAAAGTTCCAAAACCTTTTAGCGCTCCTTGGGAATTCGCCTTGACCCGTAGTCGATACCAGGAACAAGACCAGAGACTCGGAGATAAGATCGGTAACATCGTAAGAAGCAACATCGCAAACAGTGACGTTGAATCGCTTTCGTTGGGCTTGTCGTGCAATGCGGAGTGCTAGGTCGGCAGATGTGCCGGATTGAGTCATGTATAGGATTGTTACATGGCGGTTTTCCATGGGCCCAAGATCAAATGTCTCATTGTTGTAGTGTTTGGCAATGCCGTTGCCAACGACGGGGGTAGAAGCCAAAGATGAGGCCTCTGTAGAAGCCATCTTGTTTATAGAGTCGGACATGTTTCGAGGATGGTGATGGTTGTTAGAACCAAAGAAATTGATCAGCAAGATTGCCGGTGGAAATCAACAGTTCGGCCAATTTCACGGACCGGTGTGCAGCTCGGATTTGATAAATCTGGTCGTCACTCGGTGTCGCCATCTGCTGCCGGAGATATTTTCCTTAGTGTAATACGCAGGTCGCGGGTCGCCACTTGACCCGAGAAGCCAAGCTTGGCTAACCAGGCTGTAGCACTCGCAGCAACGACAACACAATATCACTGCGAGACTTCAGAGCGTCTCACACGCATGGACAAACACGGCGCATGAGATAGAATAGGTGTCAAGAATAAGATGAGCAATAGTGCAAGCTATCAAACACCACTTCTCGTTGCATCACTTGGCTGAACCAGACCCCCCAGCACCAGCCGCAGCAGCAACCTGATTCGAAGGAGGGTACAACCTTGCGTTTCCTGCTCCCATCGACGAAGCCACTGCTACTGGTGTTGCTGCTGGAGATCGGCCGCCAGACTTGCAAGTAGACTTGATCGGTGCTGAAGGTTGCTGACCGACAAATCCAGTCGGACTCTGCTTCGGTGGTTTTGGTGCAGCACCAATGCTGAGCACTTTATGGTCTCTCTCCCTCTCTTCCATCAATGATGGCGGTGGTGGAAGGTTAGGCTTGCCCGACTGACCTCCACCTGCTACATTAGAAGGCGGCTTCGAATGCTGCGGAGAGACTGGTGGAGCACCTTGACTAGAACGCGCTTGTTTACTCCTTCCACCGGTCGACTTTGCTTGTCCTCTACCACGTCCACTAACATGCACACCTTCATCTACACTCGCTCTATCCTTTCTCCCACTCCCACTGCTGCGGCGAGGTGGTGTCGGGCTAGGTGGCATCTGCATCCCACCCCTTCCCCCAGCACTTGGCATTGGCGGTCCAGGCATGAAATGCTGCTGCGGTGGGTAGGGCGGGTACATATCAGGAGGGAAAGGCGAGCTTCTATGATTCATCCCTTCCGCTTCCATCCTAGCCTGCTGTTCACGGTGATGCATCCTCGCAGCGCGTTCCATCTCAGCAGCCGCATATGGATCGAATCCCATCATACCTTCCATTCCTGCATGCATCATGCCTGGTGGAGGAGGAGGTGGTAGCAGATGCATGCCATGACGCTGCGGTGTACGGGGACCCATCATCGCGCCTGGTGGAGGTGGTGGCATTCCCCTCGCGCCTGGTGCAAGACCGTATGGGAAGCCACCGTTGATCTGCGCAGCTTGTGCAGCCGCTGCTGCTTCAGGACCGTACATCGCATACATATCCGGATTTTGGAACTCCAACTCAAGGGGCGCACCATAGAACGGATCATACATCCCTGGTGGAACACCTACAGGTCGAATGCCCATCTGCTCGATATCCGTCATCACATCCGCCTCCGCGAGCCCCTTGAGATCAGGATACGCAACGAACTGGTCACCTGCATCGATCTCCCTGGATGCCATCGCTTTCCGCTTGGCCGCTCCCTTCCTCCCCGGCCTGCCATTCTCGGCGTCGTCCATGATCTGAGCAGAGCTTTGGAGGGGAATATGCAATCGATCAGGATTCCTGACCAGCTCGGTTTCAAAGATCTGATGCTTCCTCGCTGGTCTCGGTGCATCCAGCGTTCTCTTCTCCCTATCGAGCCTCCTACGCTTGCGACTGAACTCATCCATCATATCGCGCCGCAAACTAGCACAGCTTGAACGCCAGATGCTCCATGCAGCAAACTCTTCTGCCTTTGCAACGCGTTGGTACTGCTGCTCTTGCTGCTCAAACCGCATTTCCACGAGCTGAGTTCGACGCTGGCGACGCATCTCAATCGCTTTTGTCAAGTGAAGAAGCTCGGGATGGGTACCATCCAGAATCATCTGACCCTCCTTGGAGATCTCTTGCAGTCGCTCGACGTAGAGTCGGTCGCGAAGCATAGCAAAGCCGATCTCGATCTTGGTGAGGGCTTCCATGGCTTCTTGACGTCGGATGGCAGCTTCGTCTGTAGAAGTGTCTTCGTCGTGTTCGGCTGTGTCAGGGGCTGGAGTGCCAGCAGCAGTGTCGAGGTGTTCGGCTTGGGCTTGTTCGGCTTGAGCTTGTTCGGCTTGGGCTACTGTTGCGTCGATGCCTGCTTCTCGGTCTACGGCCATCTTGGGCTTGTCGGCGTCTTGGTCTTCATCGCCAAGTGGTGAAGCGGCTCGAGAAGAAGCGGCGGAACCGGGAAGGCTGTCAACAAGCTGCTCGGGTTCGAGTAAACTCGTAGCGCCACCGGTGGCTGCTGCGCGCTTCTTCATGGATGCAATGAGATCGAGGTCGGTAGTGCGAGGTGATCGGCCGTCTTGTGCATCGTAAGCATCATCGGCACCTGCTGCACCGTCTGCTTCGCCATGCTCTTCAGGTTCGGGTGTGATGTCGGAACTCATATCGTCGCCATCGGCTTTTTGACAGAGTTGCTGTAGTCGACCGGGCTTGCCAATGTGGTCAAGCGAAGAGCCTCGCTGAGCGTGAGCATCTACATCATCACCGTCTTGTTGGGATGCATCGTCCTCTTCATCCTCTTGGTCGTCGTGGCCGTGGTGGTCGGCTGTTTCGCCGGCGGTAGCGAGCGCGGCGAGCGCATCAAGCCCACCTGCTGTGGCAGAGGCATCATCACCGGCGCCGCCATCAGTACCAGCAGTGAGCGCTGCAAGTGCTTGAGCAGCTTCATCTTCGTGTGTGTTGCTATCTGGATCGTCGTTGTCGTCGTCGTCGTCATCGTCGTCTTCTTCCTCTTCTTCATCGTCAGATCCGCCGAGGTCGTCGTCTGAGAGTGAGGAGCCGTCTTCGTCTTGGTTTTGATCCTCGTCTTCGTCTGTGAGCTCGCTCTCGTCGCTGAACTCGTCACCGGTAAAACCACCGGTTTTTTGCGGAGAGCTCATGTTGGAGTTGGGATTGTGGTTGGCAATGAGCTGAGAAGCGGGAAGGAGATGGTGACCATCGGCGTCATCATCATCATCATCATCATCAGAGTGCTCTTGTTGCGCATGTGCTGAACCTGGATAGCCATGGTGGGAATGCTCGATGGAGAGGACGTCTAGCTCGCCTGGTGCATCAGCTTCAGTATCAGCCATGCCGCCGAGTGCCTCAGCTGCAGCGGCAGTGTGTCGAGCGAGCTCGTCGGAGTTCATGACTGCGGCGTCGTGCTGACTGTCGTCGTCCTCTTCGTCGTCGTCGTAAGGCAGAGGCTCGGTTTCAGCGTCGGATGACTCGCCAGCGGCTGGATGGTGGCGAGAGAGGCGGTGAGTGTTGTGCTTGGAAGTAGTAGCTGCTGAGCTCTGAGCAGCAGTGTTGGAGTCAGCGGATGCGCTGGTGGGCATGATCAGTTGGTATCGGCGGCGGCAGAAGCGCGGCTGTGGGTCGGCTGATAGCAGCTGACGATGAGCACAGCGGCGTATCAGCCGAGAGAGGGGTGGGGGTATGGGGAGGGGGGAAGATGAGGGATAGGTTGTGGTGTCGATGCTAGGGTCGAAGGCAAGGAGTTGCTAGCGACGGGAAGGGTTTGGCGATGGCGGTTGGTACGGCCTATCGCATTGTCGCGGAAGCGGGGGAGGATGGGATCTGAAGCGTGGAGGATCAAGCGCAAGCAGAGCTGAATTTGACGGTAGCGGTATGTGATGTGCGCTCGATCGAGGAGCTGGCGCAGAGGCTTTGCAGATCGCACCGTTGAGAAGGAGCTGAGGGAAGAGTGAAGAGGCTGCTGCTGAGCTAGGGTGGCGCAGAGAAGATAGCTAGAGATCGATGCTACCAGGGGAAGCGCAAGTTTTGGAGGTGTGAGAGCAAGGTCAGGTCGAGTTGGGATGGAGGTGAGGCTGAGTGAACGAGAGAGACCATCCAAAGAGGAAAAAAGCAGAGGCTCTGGTCGAACTTGTGTCTGCACTGCCTGGCCCGACCACATTAGATCTGCTTTCTCTTCTGCCAGATCGGGAGGGCAAGGCGCCAAAGTAAGGCTGCTTTGGCCTGCTTTGGCCTGCTTTGGCCCGATTCGTGAGAATGACCCTTGAATCCGCAAATCGTGGAGAATGCCCGCTTTGGCTTTTCCTCTCTCTTTCTCTCTCTCTCTCTCTCTCTCTCTTTTTGGCTCATTTTCCCGCCAAGAGATTCTCGGATTTCGCAACTTGTCAGAGTCCAGATCCGTCACTGGACGCCAAAAGAGCAAGACGCGTCTTGTTTGCCCAGATGTAACATCTTGCTAACGCTTTCTTTCGTACGACTGTTTGATCAGGCACAAATGAATTAAGCAGGCAATCTTGATCCGAGCTTTGCTGGTTTGGCGCGCTTCTTGGCACAGGAAGGAGCCTGCTCAGCTTGATAACCCTTATCATCGATCCTATGCACTTGTCCAGACTCACGGACACTTGGCTATCACAGTCTTTCATCCTCTTCTGCCTCTCGTGATATGCTTGTGTAACCAAATTGAGCTTCTCCAGTAGCATCGATAGGATCACATGCGGCTACCAACGGTTTGTAGCAGAGCGATTCTGTGCAATTGAAAGAATAGCGGCAGCGCAACAAAATGCAACCTTTGCAGAGAAAATACAGCGTTCAAACAAAAACTAACCTCGATCGAAGCCATACCTTGTCTCTTGGTTGACACCCTTAGCTACTTACACCAGCACTAGGCTTAAACGTGACCTCACTCAGCGTATTAAAGGCCTCCCTATAGGCATCCAACAACTGCTTGACCCTCTTCCTCTCACTCGTCAAGCCTTCATCCTCATACAGCAACTCCCCAAACAGATTCTCCTTGTACAAACTAGCTACCAACCTATTCTGCACCGACTCCCTGCTGAAATTCACCAAGAGATGCATAATCGCCTTGGGCACCAAATCCTGAATCGATAATCGCACAATGTTGAAGTAGCTAGCTATCAAGCTTCGGATCAAAGTAGTTTCCAGCTCTTCGCGATCGGAAAGTGCATATTCATCCGAGGAAATCGGCGTTGCTTCAAGATGTTTATCGAGCGACTTCATGTCGTAGGCTGCAGAATTGCCTTCTAGACCGTTGCGACCGGACATGGCGTTAGGTTTGTGTTGGCGTGCAGAGTGACTGTATTCTGCCAATCGAGGTGGGTGCGTGTGTTGCGCGGGAGCGTGGTAGCCTCCCAAACCAGATGCTGGTCCAACTCCACCCATGGGCAGTCCTGATGCTCCACCGAAGAAGTAGTTGAGGAAAGTATCTTTTGCTCCTCCACTCGAATTGCCGCCTCCGTTGGCCAGAGAGCTGCCGAATGCATGTCCAATGGTGTGATGTCCACCTCCTCCTGGCTCGGATGCCAAGTGAGGACGGTTGTCATGCGTGGTCGAAGAAGAACGTTCCTTCTTATCCCTCTTCCCTACCCCCTTGGAGCTTGCTCCATTGACAGTCAAATTGCGCGAATTACCGCCACCAACACTATCGCCATCATCCTCATCCGACATATCATTCGAAACATCCGCGGGGTCATCAAACGAATTCTTGCGTCTGGACGAAGAAGGAAGCATAGCAATCTGCTTACGTGCCTGTGCCTCTCTTTGTTCGCGTGCAATGTTGGCCGAGTCATGAACAAATGCAGGATGGTTCGTGTTGATATACGCCGCCTGAATCTGGATCAAGCTCTGCACGTACTCCGAAGTGGGTCCCAGGCGCTCGCGCAGCAACTCGGACACCACTTCGATCAGCTGAGCGTGCAGACGAGGGAAACGTTGAAGCTCGGAACTGGTGCAATTGTGGCAGATCTTCATGAGCTCCTCGTAAACCAATTCGACGCAACGCAAGCTCGGTGGTTCCAAGAGCTTGATCTGAGGCTTGATGAGCAACTCGAAAGCAGCTTCGGGGACAAAGAGCGAAGGACGAGGACCAGTGGAGTTGCGGATGGCTGTGCGAATGTCCTGCACAGTAAGGTTGTGGGTAGGGTTGATGCTGGTAAGCGCATGTCCAAAGACGTCTTGGAAGATGTAGTAGATTCGCGCACCACCGCAGAGCTCCTTGGTGGAGATGTCGAAAGTGGTGCCGTCAATGGAAGCGATAAAGTCACGAGCGAATTGAGTCATGAGCTTGAGCACGAGCGAGCCTCGATGCTGGTCACCGAGGAAAGTGGTGTCGCCGAAAGCGGCGAGCTCCTGCTGTGTCTGGCCCATGAGCGTGTTGAGACGTGCTTTCATGTCTGGGAGCTTGTCGCGAATGTGGCTCATGAGCACCTGATTGAGGGTCTTGGCGAGGTACTTTGTACCGCATCGGTGGGCAATGTTTTTGTAGGCGGCATGGGAGCGGAAGAAGTCCTGCTCAGCTCGTCGAGCTGCAAGCATGGACACGTTGCCGTTGATGTCCTTCTGAGATCGGTTTACAACACCGATGAAGCCAAGCTTGAGAGGGTAGACGCGACCAGTGAGGATGTCAAGTGCGTGGGTGCCCTGGTCCATAAGGTCGAGCTTGGTCAAGACACCAATGGTACGTCGTCCCTGGGGGTCGACAGTACGGGCGAGCTTCAGACTGTCCGAGTTGGCAAGGTCGACATTTGCCGGGCTGACGGCGAGAATGATGCAGTTGGGCTTGGAGACGTAGTCAGTGACGAGGTTGCGGATCTGGCGCTCAATGTCGGAAGGCTGATCACCAACAGGGATCTTGGTGAGACCGGGCAAGTCGACGAGGGTAAGATTGAGGACGTTGGGGCTGTAGATCTTGAGGTGAATAGGGAGTTTGGAGACACCCTTGTTCTGCCCAGCTACACGGAAAGTCTCGTTTTCGATTTCACGTCGGATTTCGTTGAAGTCGGTGAATCGCTTGTCGAGATGAAGGAACTCTCCGTACTCTTCGTAGGTAGGTGATCTGGCAGAGGAGGAGCCGTGCTGGCGCCCATGAAGAAGCTCGGGCTCGGGATGATCTGCAAGATCATATGGGCGCGAGGACGACTTCTGCTCGGTCTCATCTTTGGCGGAAGGAGTGTGAATGAGCTGGAGAACAAGAGGACGTCGTGTGACAATGCCACTTCCACGCGGCAAAAAGTCACGACCAACTATGGTCTCGAGGACACTTGACTTTCCTGCTGATTGCGAGCCAACAACGACGATCTGGGGCAGGTCGACCGAGTCACCGCCAATAGCAGTGAAGGTCTCCTGAAGCTTGTTGACGACTTGAATCAGGTCGACGTCCATGTTTGCGACGGTGCAGGATCGAGATCCTGTCGGCAAGATCGCGTGAGATGCAAGATGGAGGGTGCGAGTGGAGAGAGAAGGAGACAGTTGAGATGGTCAAAAGGTGCACATAAACCATCGCACGAAGAGCTGAGAAGTGTGTTTGTGTGTGTGCATCACGTGATCATCGTCGGAAAAAATGCGTGCGCGTCAGTTCCACTTTCTCCTCTGCTCTGCTCACTACATCATCTTGAGCGAAAGCGAGGCGTACTATTAGCAGCCTGGTTCGTTGGAGTTAGCGCCAAATCAAAGCTGATCGACTGCCAAATAGAGGCATTTCAGCATTCAAAAGTCCCAGCTCAGCAGCGGCAAGGCGGTATTTTACGCAAAAATCTGTCTCGCGCGCCTGAAGGAGCAGCAGAGAGAGCAACACAAGCCTGAAAATGGACCCCCGCCTTCTCTGCCTGTTGAAATACGAAGAAGTGTTGTCCCGATAACTGACGATCGGGGAGAGTCTGAGTACGATGTCACTCCTCTTATAGGGCAGAAACATATATACTCGATTGACTAAGGAAAGAATGTGGTCGCTGCTTGATATATATATATATATACAAAGTGTTGGCATATGCCAAAGGTGGGAGCATTCCACTTAATGACCATGTCTCTCAACGAGCAGGACCAAGTTGTACCCGATATCTAGTGTGTTTTGTATCCGCTTACGTCAACTCGCATCATCATATTGGATCCTTTCCTTCAGCAGTCCCTTGTTGAAAAGACTGGCAATCCAACATGACGACACGAACCGATCTGATCGAAGGTCAAGCGGAGCCGATCAGATCTGATTGAAGATCGAGTCGAACCAATTTAGTTAAGGATCGGGTACAACCAAGTCCTGCCCGTTGTCAGGCTAGATCATTGAGTAGGAGTACTCCCACCTTCAACATGTGCCGCTCACATGTATATATATCTCACAGAGAGCACTAGGCTCTCGCCACATTTCCTAGGTCAATTGAGTATATGTTTCTGCTATAACGAGTAGTGACATCGTACTTAGACTATCCCCGATCACCTGTATCGGGACCCAAACGACTTCAACTTTTATTATCCCTTGGCCCCTTGTCTGTCATTGATTGCAACCAGCATCGTCATTTTTATTTTATTTTTTATTTTTCCTGGTTTGCAAATGTCAAGTCTAACATTTCTTTCCTAGGCCGCCCCGAATATTATTTGTGCTTTGCCATCTACAGCGCAGAGTGATCGGTCTGCAAGAGTCTAGCGATATTATGTATTGATTTCTTTCGTTTTTGGAAATGCACAGGATGACTAAGGGAAACAAAGGCCACGAAATGGTGCAGAAGAGACTTACAACCGACGCGCGACCCCCCCCCCCCCCCCCCCCCTGGATCTCGCTCTCGCTGTCCAACAGAAGAGGTGTCAAGTATGTCAGAAGCTCAAGCTAGAGTGCTGATTCAAAACACTACCAGCTCGAGTCAGGTCTCCATCCAACAAGACGAGTGGGAGAGAGTGACACTTGTTCAGGCAAGGAAACCCTTGACGTGCTCAGTGATGAGCGTCTTCATCTTGTTGAAGAGCTCCTCGCTGGGAACACCCTTGCCAATCTCCGAGAGCAGAGCGTCCTCGGTCGAGAGCTTCTCCCGGAACGAGTTCTCCCACTCGACAATGCGGTCAGCAGGGATGCTGTCGACCAAACCGTTGACACCGGCGTAAATGATCGGGATCTGAACCTCGGTGGCCATGGGAACGAACTGGGGCTGCTTGAGCAACTCGACGAGACGAACACCACGGTTCAAAGTGGCACGGGTGGCAGCGTCCAAGTCCGAACCGAACTGGGCGAAAGCGGCAAGCTCACGGTACTGGGCAAGCGAAAGCTTGAGCGAACCAGAGACCGACTTGTAAAGCTTCGACTGAGCCGCCGAACCGACACGGGAAACCGAGAGACCGACGTTGATAGCGGGTCGGATACCCTTGAAGAAGAGCTCAGACTCGAGGTAGACCTGTCCGTCGGTAATCGAAATGACGTTGGTGGGAATGAAAGCAGACACATCACCACCCTGCGTCTCAATCACGGGAAGAGCAGTGAGCGATCCACCACCGTGGGTGTCGTTCATCTTGGCGGCACGCTCGAGCAAACGAGAGTGGAGGTAGAAAACATCACCGGGGTAAGCCTCACGACCGGGGGGACGACGGAGGAGGAGAGACATCTGACGGTAGGCGACGGCCTGCTTGGACAAGTCATCGTAGATGATAAGGGCGTGGCGGCCGTTGTCACGGAACCACTCGCCGATGGCACAACCCGAGAAGGGAGCAAGGTACTGAAGCGGAGCGGCCTCCGAGGCAGTGGCTGCGACGATGATCGTGTACTTCATCGCGTCGTTCTCCTCGAGAACCTTGACGAGCTGAGCGACGGTGGATCGCTTCTGGCCGATGGCGACGTAGACACAGTAGAGCTTCTTCGACTCATCCTGGCCGTCGTTCCATCGCTTCTGGTTAAGGATGGTGTCGATGGTGACAGCCGTCTTACCAGTCTGACGGTCGCCAATGATCAACTCACGCTGACCACGGCCGATGGGAACCATGGCGTCGATGGGCTTGATACCGGTCTGCATGGGCTGGTTGACCGACTTACGGGGAAGAATACCGGGAGCCTTGAGCGAGGCACGGCGACGCTCGGCGGCCTCGATGGGACCCTTGCCGTCGATCGGGTTACCGAGAGCGTCAACGACACGGCCGAGCAAGCCGGGACCGACGGGAACGTCGACAATCTGGCCGGTACGCTTGACAGTGTCACCCTCACGGATGAGACGGTCCGAACCGAAAATCGAGACACCGACGTTGTCGGCCTCGAGGTTAAGAGCCATTCCGCGGACACCGGAGGAGAACTCAACCATCTCCTCAGCCATGACGTTGCGGAGACCGTAGACACGGGCGATACCGTCACCAATGGTGAGGACACGGCCGGTCTCCTGAACATCACCGCCAGCGGAGGCGCCGGAGATGCGCTGCTCAAGGATGGAGCTAACCTCGGAGGCGGCTATTGATGAGAGAGGAGGGCACGTGAAAAAATCCAAGGCGAGGTGTGCAAGAATGTCGAAGGCGGCGACAAGAATGAGAATAGCAGAGAGGCAAGCACAGTGAGGAGGGTCAGTGATCTGTTGATGGAAGTGGTGCGATGTGCATGTGCACGTGTTGTGATGACTTACCAGGCTTGGCGGTAGCGTAGGTGCGGACAGCGTTGGCAACCGATCGGCGGGCCTATTGATGTCAAGAATAGCAATGTGATGCGAGAGTGAGGGTCAGCAAGAAAATTCAACAGGGCTGCTTTTTGTCGTTTGTGAGAAGGCCGACAAGTGCCAGTGAGGTTGTGTGATTGCATCGAGGCGTGAGAGAAGACCATGTGTGCCGAGGTGTTGTAGCTCCTAGAGTGGTTGCTATCAGTGGTGAGGTCAAGGAGGTGGGAAAAAGAGGTGGGAAAAGGAGGTGGGAAAAGGAGGTGGGAAAAGGAGGTGGGAAAAGGAGGTGGGAAGGAGGATGGGCAAAGAGACGACTTGAGCTCTTCGTGTCAAGTTGCTGGTCGGTGCTTCCACTGCCCTACGCTTGGGTCACCCGCGAGAGAGAAAGTACGATGGACAATTGAAAAGGGTTGTGATGGCGAAGAAAGAGGGCAGATGAAAAGAGTTGTGGGTCTCATCAAGTTCTTCCTTGTCCGTTCGCAGAGATGGTAGGCAATAACTCTGATCGATCGAGTATGCTTGGTGCTGATCTCGGCCAGTTTGTTTGTTTGTTGTGTTGGTATGTCGTATGGAAGGCGTAGATATGTGGTGATGGTGTTGGATGCCAAGTCGTACCCGGCTTTGGCCTCCTGGGTGACATCTTGTTCTGAACCTCGAATGCAATCATAACATGGCTTTTGTCGAAGGTGGGATGGAAAGAAATACATACCACAGGGATGGCGGCCGATCGGGCGAGGTTGGCGGTGGCAATGCCGGCGGATCGAGCAAGCATTGTGAAGGGGAGAAGGATGTTGTAAAAGGGTTGGTGAGAGGTGGTGAAGGGAACGGATAGAAGGAAGGAGGAGGCGTGAGCGATTGAGCGACGACGGAGGGAGAGAAAAGGAAAGGCAAGGCGGGTACGGGCACGGGCACGGGCACGGGCAACTAAGTGATCGGTTGGGCAGGCAAGCAAGCAATTTCTCTGCTCTGTGCTTCCTTCTTGATCAGGAAGGGCAGCAAAGCCAGAATCAGAACATCTCTCAAGCGGATTGATTGGTCGGATCAATCAATTCAATTCGCCAAATTCAATTCGCCAAATTCAATTCGCCAAATTCATTTCGCCAAATTCATTTCGCCAAATTCATTTCGCCAAATTCAATTCACCCAATTCACCAAACCGTTGCTGCCTTTTCTATTCGACAACGACCAGGCTGAATTCAAATTCTCCTTTTGCTTTCCATTTCTAAAGGGGAAAAGGCTTCGAATACTTTGTGTCCTCTGAATATCATTCAAATCGAAAAAGGTCCTTCCTTTAGAAATTTCAAAGCTTGCCAAGATGTTGTATTCAATTTGTATCCTGACGGATCCGAGTTCAAGGCAGAGAGAGGCAGCAGAGCAAAGTGAATCGATCATCCAAGCGAGCAAGACAAGAGCCAATGGCCAACTCTCTCCCGTCCTCAACCGATGCCTCTCCTGCTTTCCGGCTCCACGCGGCTTGTCGACACCGGCTCTACCGTGCGAGTAGAAGAAGCTACACGAGAATTTGGAAAGCATCTTTGGCTCCCTTTTTGTGTTGCTCACAGCAATCACCGCAACGGCTCAACAACATCCTCACTCACTTGACCTATACCATCCCTAGTCAACCTAGTCAACCCGCAGGAACATCGCAACAATGAATACGCTCCGCACGTCCCTTTCAGCGGTCACAAATACCGCTCTGAAGCGCAAGGCTAAGCAGATCAGCCCAGCTGTGGTCGCCAGGTGCTTCACCCGCTCGGCAACCATCACCTCTCCCTCCATCACCTCTCCCTCCATTGCCTCTACTTGCGCTGGTCCCTCCTCCACACCCCTGCCATTGGATGTCACCTCGGTCAACTCGAACTCAGAAGCCCTGCAGCTGCTGAAATCGCAACCAAGCCACTATGCTATTGCTTCCATCACCGGTCGAACCTACCTCGTTTCCCGCGGTGATCTTGTCACAGTGCCCCGTCTCCGCGATGTTCAAGTCGGAGACCTCCTCCTTCTCGACAAAGTCCACGAGGTCGGTTCTCGAGATTACACACTTCGAGCGCAAGACACTCTCAACACCCGTCGTATCTCCACCGCTGTCGATCTCAACCCAACTTGCTCTTCTGCAGCACCAACAATCCAACATGGTCCATCGCAAGCAATCACTCCACAGTCAAGGCGTCTATTCACACGTCTGGCTTTAGAAGATCCAAGACAAAGAAGCTCGCTTTTGCCGCTGGCAAACACTTGGTCTTCGAGGTTGTTGCCAAATGGCCTCGCTCATGTCGGTGCCAGCTTGGACACAGCGACCGTGAGGGTGACAGCAGTTGTCACAGAGAACACCAAGGGTGCATTGGAAAAGATTGTAAAGAAGAAAAAGAGAAAGGGCTACAAGAAGACGGTTCAGCACAAACAGCCGTATACTAGGTTGAGGATCGAGGAGATTACTATTCGGCCCAACTAGAAGTCTTTGCATGGATGCAGCACACACCGACCTGACTGTGACGCTTTCAACGCTCCGAATGAGCCCTGTACTTTATCGCATGCCTTGTTTATCGCATGCCTTTCAATCATCGCACACGCAACGACACAGCACAGCACGACATTTGAAAACAAGACATCCCTGATAATATTAGACGGTGACTATAATGACAATGAAGCATTGCCTATGAACCTTGTTGATGGTGTATGCCAAGCAGGCCTTCTGGATCCTCACTTGTACGACTGCATACTAGACTCGGAGGCAGAAGCGTGGATAGCAACCGCCTCGGCCTGAGCCTTAGCAGCAGCCTTTCTCCTCGCATACGCCGCAACCTGAGCCCCCCAATCAAACGGACTATCCGGAACTGGCGTTGCATCTCCCATCCCCAGCGAAGCATGTGAAGCCTTTGGTGTACTTTTCCTGCTCGTCGAGTCGCAATGCGCTGAACGAGACTCTAGTAGTGCAGTCGAACCAGCATCTTCAGGCACAGACTCCAACGCTGTCGGTTCAAAGGAAAAGTCATCCGATAGTCTCGGCTGCGAATCATCGCCATCGAACGAATTCCAAGTTGAACAAGAGGCAACAGATGGGGATCGCGCTTGCAAACTCTGCAATGCTCGAGCACGCGCCAGGTCAAGAGAGGAGAGCGATCCTCGAGGCACAGCTTGGTCTTCAGAGAAGCTGTCACCGGGACCAAAGACGCCTTGTTGCGCTGCGGGGTCGAGGTCGAGTGGTGAGCCGAGAGCTAAGGCAGGCTCTGCTAATGGCTCTGATTCTGGTTCTGGTTCTGGTTCTGGTTCTGGCTGGTATACAAACGCGCTATCAGCGGCGGTGGGAGGGAGAGGAGAGCGATGACGTTGCTCACGAACAACTTTGCGAGAAGAGATTACGTCGCTGAGTTCCGACATGATGCCAGATGAATCCATGGTGTGTCGGTGAGATGCCTTGTCATTGGCTCCTTTCTCCTGGTCTAGCTGGCGTTGACGTTTGGTTTGCTGGATACGTTCAGCACGTGAGATGTTCTTTGCCTCTACGCCTACGCCCAAGCCTGATAGTCGGGCGATCCCAGCGATGCTTTCAAAGACCTGCTCGAGGCCAGGAGGCGGGAGAGAGTTGGGTGATGTAGAACTCAGAAGAAGTTGGGCCAGGTCGCTGTCATCTTCGTCGTCGCTGAGGGCAACATGCTCCAGCGCTTCTGCATCTCGCTCAGACAGGGACGAGAGACGATCGACACGGTTAGCATCGCCTTTCTTATCCTCGTCAGGCTCAAGTGGTGATTCGAGGTCTCGAGCAGCATTCAGCTTGGTCGCTACATCGCTTTCCATGTCGGTGGTGCTCGGGACAGGACTTGGTGACCTGCGCTTCTCCTTGTGTACCAGCTTGACAGTCGCCTCCCACTCGGATGATAGGCTGAGCAGGTCGTCACGCATCGATTCGAGCGTCTTCTCCAGCTGAATGATGCTTGTGGCCTCGTCGACTAGGGCGGATGCCGATGTTGCTTGCTCAGAGCCTGCGTTTTCGTCATTGATGCCGTGAAGACCTGGCGGTACTTTGACACGAATCTCCTCCGCACAGACACGGATCTTGGACTGCAAGGAGCGTAGAGACAACATCATTGTGTGCAGTCGATCTTCGAGTCCAGGATGAGCTACAATAGAGCCTATGCTTGATTCTCCAGCAGGCACTGTCAAGAGGCCGTTTCGTGACTCGGACCGAGAAGCGGCATGCTTGTCGACCGACTTGATCTTGAGAGCGTTGATAAAGTCTGTGCCCATTTCCTTAGCGACCATCTGGGCGGTAGCCTTGTCCTGTTCAGCGAAGGTCGAGGTGAGAGTTGCAATCTCGCAAGAAGCAGCAGTCCAGTACTGGTCGGCAGGCAAGCTGGCACCGTTGGAGAGCATTATGTTGCCATTCGTCGTGAGAGGCAGCGCGAGGACATGAGAAAGCCAACGCCTTCGAGCCCTGTGCATCCACTCGAACTTGGACTTGATGCTGAGCAGTGACAGAGGATCAGCAGGCTCGGTATGTGAGACATTAGCAATCAAAGTGTCCATCTGCGCAAAGATCGAGTTGGGAGGAATGATTGAGCTGCGCTTTGTGGCTCTGGACTGTGGACTGGTAGCAGCCGAGTAGGTCTGAGCGGAAGAACGGGGCGGTGAGAAGGTGGATGATACGATGGACGAGTTTCGCATTGCTGGCGATCGAGTGTCGTACGATGCAGTGGTGAGAGAGGAGTTGGACATGTAGCTGAGACGTTTGGCTGCAGCTGACTCGTTGGGTCCAGATGATGCGGTCGTCTTATCGGGAAGGTAGTTGAAGCGAGGAGATCGATAGACACTCATGTTGCCGGATTCTGAGACGAGGCTGCTGCAACGAGATAAGGAAGATGCCGGGCGCGGCGAGTGCTGCTGCAGCTGGTCTTGAACCGATGCACCGTTCGAGACAAGCGAAAGCCTTTTGCGATGCATCGAAGCTGTTGCCTGCGGACTGTAATCTGGCCGCCAGAATGCATCAGCTGGGCCAGAAAGATCAGGGGAGCATATGCTGCTGCCAAGGTTGCGAGGTGTAGTCGCAAGCCGTCCCTTGCGGTCTTGCTCGAGGTCGGGTGAGTCGTCGGAGAAAGCAGAGGTCTCGCCGTTCGTCCAGGCGAGAGAGAGATCAGCCTGATTTGCGTCCTCCTGCGTACTCGCATCGAGAGCGTAGAGATCGTAAAGCAAAGCAAGCTCTTCTGGATCAGCGAGTATCTGCAAGGAGGCAGTGGAAGTAGTGCAGGCAGCACCGACATCTTGCAATGCTGCAATGACGCTCTTGCGCAGCTCGAGGATCCTGTGCGGTGCGGATATGCCAGAAGCCAGAGCTGCTGTGCTCTGCTCGGCGAGAAGCTTCTGCGTCAGGTCGAGGTCAGCTTCGATGTTGGAGATGGCTGGAGATGCACGACCTGAAGGACGGTCAAAGGGTGATGCTCGGCCGTTGGAGAGGGTAAGCGAAAGAGGGCGTTGGGTATGTCGTTTGATAGTAGGTGCACCGATGCCCCCGCCCGAGAGGGTGCGGGTGAGCTTAGCTGTAGGAGGCAAGATCGGTGCAGCCATGGAACGGCGTTGTCGAGAGGGAGAAGGAGAGTGACTGGTGGCAGCTTCAATTCTGGAGATGGGCGGAAGAGGATGGGTGAGCTTGTATCCGCGCGATACAATCTCGACCTCCTGGATGGCGCTGATGGCTTTGTTAATGGATAGGTCGAATTGCTGCGCTGCGCGGATCAAGTTGGAAACGTTTTTGAGGGCAGAGCGTCGGATCGCTTCCCTGTGGGACTGGCGAGGTTCATTGGAAGTGGAAAGATTGCGGAGTGAAGCAGCAGATGTGAGGAGGGCGGGAGAAGCTTGGCGCGAGAGGGAGAAATGGATGCTGTCGTCAGGAGAAGTATGAGTGAGGAAGAGAATGAAAGCCCAGGTGAGACTGGTTATGAGGAGCAAAGTGGAGAACCATGCTTGCCATGACTTGCTTGTTGGGGGAATGAGGAAGATGGCAGCCAAGAAGGCAGCATTGCGAGCTCGACGGCCTTGAGTATCGAGGCGCGGCAGACGCTGATGGTGGACTGCTGTGGAGCTGGAGGCATTCGGCAATATCGAGGCAGGTGCATCGAGGGGCTCGACATAGCACTGCTTGTGGATGGGCAAAGGACTTGGACGTTGTCCCTTGATGTAGCCTCCAGGCCTGGGAGCATCTTTGTAGTAAGCCGGCTGCTGGGTCTCGAAGGGTGGACTTGTTTCGTAGAAGGAGATGGAGAGGCTTGGAGTGAGGAGAAAAGACGAGCAGATGGCGTACTTGAATCTCTCTGCAAAGCTCTTGTCGCGGTGATGCGATTGTTGATCGGTGCTTGTGCTTGTTGGCTGGCTGGGGACCTGTCGATATGGGCCGGTAGACATGGATGCCTCCGATGACTGTTGCATAGCAAAGACATGCGGGGCAATCATGATGACTAGTGGCAGCAGCAAGTGTTGGAGCAAGGCGCGTAATGAAGTTGTAAGTTGCGAGAAGAAGTTGACTTGCTTCTCGGCCTTTGTGATGGAAGGTTGGTTGTCGGACTTTGACGCTGGGCTGTGAGATGTGCGATCGCTGCCGGCGTGCCTGGATGTTGTGGGATGAGCGGTCGCTGGGTTTGTATTAGTGCAAGAGTCGAGGTAGGTTGATCTCGGAGTTATCGTTGATGTTGGTGCAGCGGAATCCTCTGCAGGCCTGGACGCTGATGCAGTTTCGGCGAGGGAAGAGGCATATTGTGACTCTGCGCCAGATGTTGATGCTTCAGACAGATCTCCATCTTGAGGAGCGACATGAGGCTCTTGAACGTCTCGCAGGTATTGATGCAGAGGCGAGCCTGGAAAGACGACTGCTTCCGCCATCCTGGCCGAGTCGTCAAGATAGCGGTCCTTGCCTGTGGCCTCCTGAGCGTGCAACTGTTTATGCCGTCGCGACAGGTGTTGATGTCGCTCGATGACCTTCAGGGATGATGGACGAGGGGGATGCTGGACGAGGAGTGAAAAGATTGCATATCAGATGCAGATACGAGCGAGGAGGAGGAGTGGCGTCAGGAGCTCTGAAAGGCTAGACGAAGCAAAAGGAGGATGGTGGTGGTGGTCATCAAGGAGATTGCTTCTTCGAACAAGACACTTTGACAGATTGGCATGAGTTGTGCTGTGGAGGGAAATGGAAAGCAAGCTGTCTGCTACAGCATCCATCACCTTTGTACAACATCATCTTTGTACAACATCATCTTTGTACAACATTGCCTTTGTACAACATGAGCTTACAAATTGCTCGGACCGAACTGTCCCAAACGAGCCTTAATTCGGGTCCGAGGATCGAGTGAAAGCCTAAGCGAGCCCAATCCAAACGGTGTTAGGTCAGTCAGAGTAACATTACATCCCTGTTTTTGTCCTTTCCAAGTTGCACCTCCCAGACGTGACACGCGTCGACCTTTTTGCATGCTGGATCTCTTTCGCGCTTAGGGGTCTCGCTGTGTGCGCGACAAGCGACAGTCGAAAAAAACAAGTAAAAAAAGAAGCTAAAAAAAAAAATAGCGTCCGGACAGCCGGAATCGAACCGGCGACCTATGGTGCTTTTCTGTTAATACCAGATTAGGGTTTCCAATTACAAACCATCGCTACTTCCAACTGAGCTATGTCCGGTAGGATGCTCCTAAATAATGTTGTAGCATATAGGAAGCGTGGGGTGAGGTACCAAAACTGGAGCTCAATTTCCAGTCGATCATCGAAAGCTCCTGAGCCACAGCTGCGACACCATTCCGAGCTGGGTCGATCGATCGGCGGAGAGGACCAAGAGATGGCAGTGGTCACTGGGATGTGTCAGTTGCAAGTCACTCGGCGAGCGGAGAGCTAAATGTGAATACGGTGACCCTTTTGGCAGGCGATCTGCGATCTCGCACACGCGCACACACACTTGCACAGTCAAATCAATCCAATCAATTCAATTCAATCAATCAATCAATTCAATTCAATTCAATTCAATCCAATCCAATCCAATTCAATCAATCTATTCAATTCAATCAATCAATTCAGCCCAAACCAATTCATTCAATCAATTCAATTCAGTCCAACTCAATCCAATTCAATCCAATCCATCAATCTATCAACCATTTATTATTTCTTTTCCGCTCCTTTATTTCTTCCCTCTCCCTCTCTCTCTCTCTCTCTCTCTCTTTCTCTCGTGCGATTGGTTGACTGTCGAAGGAACGGTAATTGCACTTGCGCATCATCCTTCGCGTTGTCCTTTCCTTGCTGCTGTTTTGTGTGAGTGCATCCGTTGGTGCCTACTTGGATCCTTCTTTCTCGATATGCCTCTTCATCGTCGACACTCTCATCGCTTCCTCATCACCACTGCCACCACATTCTCGACTTGCTCCAGCCGTTTCGCCTTCGCCTTCGCCTTCGTTTTCTTCCATCTTCAACATTTGTCGTTCTTTTTTTTCTTTTCTTTTCTTTTCCTTTTTACGATTGTTCGATCTCCTCACAGTTGGCCAGCTGACGACAAAGGACAAGTGTCCGCCTGATCTCCTTCTCTCAACTTTTACTTCATCCTGAATAGCAAGAGACCTCAATCTAGCTCCTTCAGCTCTCCATCGCCTCGAACTCGTTGGTTCTAATCAGGATAGCAACTGCTGACCTCCCACGACGATCTCGGCAGCATCCCAACCGTTCCGAAGTCCGTGTCAGAACTTTCGATTGGACACGCAAGCCATCTACCTCAGCATCCTCTTCACTTTGACTGCCCACTTTGACTGCCCGCTTTCACTGCCCGCTTCGACTGACAGTCGAACTCGGCGAAACAGGCCGCCCTCCTGGCTAGATTAAGACGACGGCCCTTGCATCTCTTCACGCCCTCCATTCGCTCACGACAATGTCAGAAAAGTCCTCCTTTCTCTCGCCATCCATGTCGCCTTCCTCTTCTTCGTCCGGCGGCAACCCGCCACCGCCTTATGGTTTCCACCACCTCCCTCACTCCCCGACCGGATCACGGTCACCTAGCCGTCCCGGTTCACCACCACATGGCGGCAGCGTCCCCTCTCCTGGCGGCATTCCCGGTACCTTTGTCTTTAATCTTGGCAAGTTCGGCGGCTTCTACATCGTCAGGATACCTCCTTCTCTGCAAAAGGTCCTTACTTTGATTCTGCGCAAATGGAAGACGCTCATCTTTGTTGCGCTCTTCGGTACGCTCGCCGCCTTCGGCTTGTTTGGTGCAATGTCGACAGAGTGGCGCGAGATGACCTACTACCGAGTCGATCCTTACCCTGTCGTTCCAGCCACCCACAAGTCCGCTCCCAGCTCAGCAAGTCCCTTCCATCCACCATCTTCGCCACCCACCACTCCACCCAAATTTGGCGCCTGCCTCGGTCCCAAGCGCCTACCTATCCCTCGTGCTCCTTTGGACGCCTATGATACTCCCGACACACATCCCAAACCGCTCGTCGGAAGCTACGAGGCAGCTGGCATGCACTTTGGCAAATGCATGACCTATCGATCAAGATATGAGATGTACTCGGATGAAGCCCTGAATATCACCTACCGCAAGGACATGTCCCAACTCGAAAAGTACTTTGCCAAAGCAGAAGACTACGATGATGACCCGGACAATGTCAAGCCGCTAAAAAACAAGCCCAGCTCGTCCCAGCTGGACAACAGCACTTCCACCACCACCTCAACAGCCACCAACAGCGATGATACGCCCCAGAAGGAGAACATCGACCCCCTCTACGGTCGACGCAAGCCCGAGGGCATGAGCGAGGGCGAATGGGAAGGTCAGCTCCGTGATCGCTTGTGGCGTGCCAACGTGCTCAGTGAAGAACTCGGTCCCAGCAGCTATCCCGACTGGCGCGCTCTCATGGACGCCTGCTACCAGAAGCGTTTGCATGACCGTGGTATGGCTGGTGGCGTGGATCACTTTGACCCTCACAACCTGCCCACCACCGAAGAACCGCATACCAGCGGAGGTCGTTCGCATGTCTTCACAACCCCGGAAACCAAGCGAACAGCAGTCGTCATGCGATCCTACGAGGGCTATGCCTGGCGCGAGGACGACATGCTCAACATGCGAGCCTTGATCAGCGAGCTTTCGCTCAACAACCCCAACACCCCTTACGATGTCCGCATCTTGGTCGAGGTCAAGTCGCGTCACCTCGCCGTCTTCACCTCCGAATGGGATCGTCTCAATGTGCTTCGATCCAGTGTACCTCGCGAGTTCTGGGGTCTTGTCGAGCTTTGGACGGAAGATGAGATGTGCGCCCTCTACCCAGGCTTACCAGGCAAGTTCCTGAACAACATGTTTGCCCAGACCTCCTACCGATCTTGTCTCATGGCCCTGCAGAAGTTCTACCTCGACCACCAGGAGTATGACTTTGTCTACAACTGGGAGATGGATGTGCGTTACATTGGCAACTACCTCGACTTCTTTGAGGGCATCGAGGACTACTCGCGTAACGAGCCTCTCCATGCCGGTATGGACAAGTACGACACCTGGCTTGTACCCAACGTCACTGCCTCCGAAGACAACTGGCGCGACAACAAGACGCTCACCGTGGGACGCGGACAGGAGGCCGATCTGATCACATTGGGACCCATTTTCGACCCAAGAGGCTCGGGATGGTACTGGGAGTACGACGTGCAAAACTATCCACCAGGACAGAGCACCGACCGTCGAGCTTCGATCGGTACCAACATGCGTATCAGTCGAGGCCTGCTCGAGGCCATGAATGTAGTCAACGCTGAAGCCAAAAAGTCGCTCCACTGTGAAGCATGGCCCACAACGCTGGTATTGCATTCGCAGCTGCCCATGTCGCACGACCACTCATTCTATCCAGAGGCCGGCTTCACTCACAACCTACCACTTCCATTCAAGGGCGTCTTCGTGCCACATCCAGTCTACTTCCGTCACGTATGGGAGCCCGAGGTGCTGCACAACCGAATCAACCGACCAGACTTTTACAAGAAGATCAACGAAAAGGTGATGCGCGATAGCTCCTTCTACTACGATGGCAAGCACAGCAAAGAGGTCTATGTTGGATGGAAGGAGAAGGAGAACGTTTGCCGTGCACCGATGCTCTTGCATCCCATCAAGCAGGTCAACTAGACCTGCCTTGCTCTTGCTCTCTCTCTCCGCTTACGGCATTTCTGTTCTCTTTATTAACGCCTCGTATGCTTGCATCTAAAGCCTTTCCAACCATACCCACAGCATACGAGGCTTTTCGACTGTCGCCATTGACCTCGCGCTTTTGAGACTCGGGGGGGGGGGGGGGAAATGGCGGCATTTGCATCCCCCATCGTTCGTGTTTGGACGGATGGACTTGCTTGTTTGCATTCTTTCAGCCCTTGGGTGCACAAGCGTCAGTCCTGTTGGAACAGCAACAGTATCAGCCTGCCGGACGCTGTACTAGTTCGACTCGCTGTCTTTCTTCGATTCCACATCGGTTCTTCGCTTTGCAGCCTACTTGTTGGCTGGTTTCCCAGCTAATCCATGTAAAACAAGACTTTATCGTCTCCTTGCACCGCAACCGGCGCACGCTCCTTTAGTCTCTATCCCGCTTCCCCTCCCGCATGTAAATACACTCTCAAACGTACGCAAAGAACATTCAAGACGATTCCACCACCTCGAGACTGACATTGCCATCAGCAACGTTTGATGAGATGAGTAGTGTTTGTGCTTGTGTCTGTGTTTGCGAGGGAAAGGCATGGTGAGAAATTGAGGCATTTGTTAGATCACCTTCAAGTGGAGGTTACTGTTTGCCATCATTTTCAGCACATTTTCGCGGCCAATTTATTTTTGATTTTGAGCTTTTGGAGAGAGAAAGGAAGAAGGTCCGTGCGAGACGAATGGTCACTCGACACTGCTCAGCCATTGCTCACCATTGCTCAGCTCTTCACACCATCCTCACTCAATAGCCTTGGAGAGCGGCTTCCGCTCAGTCTGCCTAGCCAATCCTTCAACGGCGGGCACTCTACAGCATCAGCGTTGCACTGCTCCGCATCCCTTCCGCACCGCTTGCTTGACAGTCCAGCTCATGTGCTCAAGCAGATAGGCCCTTTCCAATCAAGCACTCCACCGTCCTATGCAAGATACATCATTCGATTGGAACAAAGCATCCAAATCTGCCGTCCGGCTCGAGAACTCTCGTCCTTCCTTCCACGATGGACGAGGCACTCTCTCTCCAAAAATCAAAGGCGCAGTGGCTCTCCGCTCTCGACGACGCCCTCGACCGATTCCGCACCCTTGTCTCTGAATCTTCTTCGAAAGCTTGGAAGCCAGTCAGCCTTGTTGGCAGCAACCCTGCAACGCCTAGCCTAGCTTCATCCTCTTCCTTCCCATCTGCATCATCGCAGAATGCCGGAGCAGCATCTGCGACGAGAACGGGTGCTGCTAAAAGCAAGCCTCGCGAATCATCCTCTCTGCGCCATGTCGAGTCCATCGAGAATGTAGCTGCCCGCATTCGCTCGACAACCTCATCGCCCAGCAGATCAACAGCAGCAACAGCCTCTATCTCACAATCGCAGCCCTTCAGCCTGGGCCGCTTCCGACCCGACCATGTCGCTGTCCACCGCAGAGGAGCGAAAGGTCCAGACATCTATCGAGCTGTTTCTGAAGTCGCTTACGAAGGCTCTCCTGACCTCACCACCTTCCGCTCTGTCCTTCAAACTCCCGAGACTCGTGCTTCATGGGATCGTCTGGTGCAGTCAGCAGAGCTCGTCGAACAACTCGACCCCATCACACGCATCAACAAGGTCCACTATCGACTCGGTTGGCCAGCTAGCCCGCGCGACGCCATTCTCATCAACAGGACGCTCGCCGACGACTCGACGCTCATAGACATCTCAACCTCACTACCAAGGTCATCAGATGCACCTTCGTATCTTCGTCCAGCTCCACCCTGCGTCAGATCCCACGTCCACCTCATGGCGTGGTGCATACAAGTCATCCCGCCCGACCCTCCAGGCTTGTCTGCCGCCAAACCGACAACATCATCCCCTTCCTCATCCAACTTGCGCTCTTCGCCTACCATTAAGCTCACTGTATTCTGGTCATGGGATCTTCGAGGTGCCTGGATGGGCATGCCCGCCGGTGGTCTCGGCATGCATTTGCCTGAGCTCATCAAGGCGCTCCTGAGCCATGTTCGCAAGAGCGCTGACAAGATTCCTCTTCTCAACGACTATGGCAACTGTGTCGAGTTGCTGTCAAACACTTTCGACCCAACCAGAGACACGCTGGCATCCGAATATGCTATTGTCGTCGAGGATGCAGAAGCACGTCAAGCAGAAGACCGCGCCCAGAAGGACCTCGACACAGTACACTTACTCCGTTCTCGCCGAAAGTTGGCAGCAGCTGTCGAATTCTCTCTTCCTGCCAGTCAAGGGTGGGACGTGAGAGTGGATGTCAAAGGGCAGGCCCCTCCCTCTTCTACTCAATCCGAAGGAGCAGGATCAGACGAGTCTTCTCGCTCATGGCGCACCACTGCTGAGAGGTCACCTCAATCGCAATACACTATCCTCTCCATTCGTCATAAGCAGCTACAGGATGCTGACCAGCTAGTCAGGATCAAAGTGACGATTCAGCGAGTCGTCGCCAGCAGCGACCTTCGCGTCAACGACGCACCAGTCGAGGTCACCCCAGTCGAGCCACGCACAGCTGCGTCTCTAGCTCAACCTTTGCTGGAGGATACAGCAAGCATCTCGGGCATCAGCGTCGCCACCGCCTCGACCGGCAGTGCTGCATCCATCCAGGCCGCCAACCCAGGAAGCGCAGCCAATCCATCGCGCACCGCAACGCCCAACTTGGGATTCGCCAACCAGATCAACTCACAGATTCGCCGCAACTACATCTACTTTACCAGTCTCTTGCAAGAGCCCGAAGCCAAGTGGAAGCCCATCAGTGACACGAAGGGCGTCACTGTGACACAGCTCGACTCGATTGACCCGACATTGGTGGTGTATCGCGCAGAAGCTGCCTTTGTTGGCGTCAGCGTATGGGATCTTTTCTCGACCATCGGCAATCCAGGTGCTCGAGCATATTGGGACAAGACACTCGACGATGCGACGCTATTAACAGATATCAATGAGCTCAGCTCTTTATGGCATACCAAGAGCAAGCCCAGCTGGCCCGTCAGTGCCCGTGACACTGTCGTTATTCAGACAGCATACAAGGCTCCCACCTCCGTCCACATCTTTTCCTTCTCGACCGACGACCGCGCCCAGTTCCCCGCTATTCCTGCAGTCGAGCCGGCTACCATCCGCACTCAAATCGATTTGCGCGCCTTCTCCGTCGAGGCGCTTTCACCGACAACAGTTCACGTCACCATGCTCGAGCAGTCTGATCCGAAGGGCTGGACGAGCAAAACAGCCACACCAGCTGCCATGATCAGTGCTGTCGCTGGTGTCGGCGAATATGCCATAAAGTTCGGCGGTCCTCCCGTCCTCACACGTCTGCTAGGAGCTAAGACAAAAGTGTCAAGATATGATCACGAGAAGGCCACCTTCCGCATCGAGTATGCCGCCGACCCAGTGGCAGAAGACGAGCTAAACGATGCTCCCAATGTTGAATGCGAGATTCGCTGCGATGTCGAAACGTGGGCTACTTCGCTCGATCTAGTCGTCGATCCTCCACCCATCTCCATCTCATGTTTGCGGCGTCACAAGCTCGCCCAAGGTGGTGGCGGTCTCTGGCTCACCATCGAACATGCGGCAGCATCGCTGGAAGATGATGCGGCCCGCATTACCGTTCGACGAGGCACTTCACGTGACAAAGGCACTGTACATGTCAATGGTGCCAGCATCAAGGTCGATGTTGATCAGCTTAACGATGAGCAGGTGCAGCAGCTCAGTCGACAGAAGCGAACAAAGCCTCAACGAGTACCTCTCGACTTGATCAAGCCGATTCGCAAAGCAACGCAAGACTCCACACCGGTCAGCAAGGGAGCTTCCGGTGAGCCTGGCACTCCTGCAGCCTCAAACGAGACCACCATGGAAAAACAGGCGTCTCAAGAGACTCCATCGACTTTGAAGGGTACAGATGCAGCTGAGCAGCCTGGAAGCGTGTCTGCAGCTGCTTCGACCGGCAACGACTCCGCCAAGAGCCGTGAAGGCCGCAGTGACCACCTCGCCAGCTCAGCCACAACACCAATCACCACTGTGCCTTTCTCGGATGAGACGCCACGCCAGCCGATGACATGTGCCCTCGACGTTCTCTTCCTTCTTCGACGCATTCACGCCGAGCGTTCTCCAGATCCTGCTGGGACTCCAGCTGGATGGGGCCTCGTCACCGAGCGCAATGGACTCTACGTCCGAAGGAAGCTGATGGAATCCATCTCAAGCACAGTGCTCGTACAACGCGGCGATAAGGTCCTTCAGGGCTTGTCCGCCGAGGATCTGCTTGATGTGGTCTCAAACCCTCGCAGTCGCAAACAGTGGGATGACAAGATCGACTCCACCACCTTGCTTGAAAGCTACGGCGACGGTTCTTTCACTTCTTTCATCACGACAAAGGCTAGCTTCCCTTTCAGAGGGCGCGCATTCTATCTTGCCAGCTTGACCGCACGCGGGGTCCTACCTTTGAGCTTGTCAGCCACCAGTCCAGGTGAAGCGCCAGTCTCCAGCTCGGCTTCATCATGGTCTGGTCCCGCAGTCTACTTCCACGCATCTGCCTCTTTCCCACAGCAGAACTCGCGCTTTGCTATGGACCGTATCAACCCTGCTGCGCTCCCCTTGGGCAAGGTGCTGATTGACGGATGGATCTTGGAGACGCTCGATCCTTATAGTTCAACAAGTTTCCAGATCCCATCGACACGGTGTACGCATGTCGTGGCTGTCGACTATGCTGGTAGCTTGCCAGTCGCGGTCAACACCATGTGGAATGCCAACTTGCCTCGATCTGTCTTGCTTGTCGAGGAGTACCTTAAAGCAAGAGGTTCGATCCCGTCAGTCAAGACTCCTCCACCATGCCTACAGGTCCTTGGCGATGGAAGGGATGAAGACCAGGGCTTAGTTTGGTCGATGAACGATCCAGGCCGTAAGAACCTGTTCATCTCGACTAGCTTCGACCCTGTCACTTGCATTTATGACGCGATGAGCATGCACAGAGCCACAGCTCAATCCACCACAGAGTCCCTATCCGGCCTTCTGCCCGCAGCAACGATCACCTCAAACGGTAAAGGTCGACCCTCGCGAGTCTCGGACGCGTCAATGACGACAGGCATGGCGGAGAAACTGACACAGGCGATCAACGCTGCACCTGGCACACCGATGCTCGCATCAGCAGCGCCACCTGTCAACTCGAGCGGAGAGCAAGATTCGACTTTGTCACGAGCGACGAGCATGCATTCGATTTCAAGCACTTCAGCGACGAGCACTGCTTCGACCATTCGCCGCCGACCCAGCTCGATTCAAACCGACTCTCGCAATGCGACAGACTTGATCCTCATGGAAGTCGAGATCGAGCTTCGACATTATCACAAGGGGTATGACATTCAGGTATTTTCAGAGTTCGCATCTGGGCAGCCTGCCAAGGTTGATTCGAGTGCTGCTGTTGGACAGGCGGTGGAGAGGCCCGCGACGCCAAGTGGTGCTGGTACTGGCGCTGTTTCCGAGCGTGCACCTGCGAATGGCAAGACGACTAACGGCACGGCGGCTGGGCAGAAGCTTGCAGGCGAAAAAGACGAGGTGTTGTCGCTCAACATGGCATCTGAAACTTGCAAAGTCTTGCCGGTGCAGTTGCGCGTTTACGACCTGCCACCAAGTGCCGTGCTCGCGGCAACACTCGATCCTTCCGCACGCCCACGCAAGCATCTCGTCCGAGTGGTCGTCCCAACGACATGCTTCCTGGATCCAGTTGAAGATCCGCTTACAGGCTTAAAAGCACCCGAGGTGCCAACATGGTACACCTCTTTGCTGGAGAGAGGTGCTGTCCTGCGCGTTGTTGTGAAACCTTTTAAAAGCGAAGGAGCTGACGCCGAAGCAACGGCCGCATCACCAACCAAAGATGCGGCTGCTTTCACGCCCTTCGCTACACCCACAGGCAAAGTGCCTGTTCGAAGTGGAGATGCCAAGTTGGAAATTGTTCATGTCAACCAGACCTCGGCGATGCTGCAAAAGGAGCAGATTGGGGTGGAACCGATGACGCAGCTTAAGCGTGTTGCGCCGCCTCGACCCAAGTCGGGGAGGAAGTCGGGTTCGGATGCTGTTGCGAGTCAAGAAGATGTTCGATTGCCTGCTGCTTTGCGTCGACCTATTGCGACCAGGAAAGAGTTGCTCGCGGCAAACGCTTCTTCGACGAGTAAAGGTGATGACAAGGGAGCTAAATCTGGTGCTAGCTCCGCTGCTGCAAAAACCAGCGCTGGCACAAGTGGCGCTGCACCAGGCGATGCTTCCACTGACAAGACCGCGAAAGGAGGTACCACCCTCGCCCCGTCTTCTTTCTCTACGGGCGCGGGTTCGGCGAACGGGTCGGCCCCAGGTTCAGCTCCCCCTTCTCGAGCAGCGACACCTTCGGCTCCTACCTCAACAGGTGCACAAATCATGAGCATGTTCGGTTCCTACCCTCTCTCTCGTCTTGGAACTGGATCTGCCCTCGCATCATCATTGACGTCGGTCTCGTCAGTAACAGCACGAGGCAGCAGCGTCGCTTCCTCCAGCAGCGCAAAAACGAATGCTGAAGCACTAGCCGCATCTGATCGTGCCAAACATCCCAAGTGTGGCGATACCAAGGACAAGTCAACTGCTGATGGTGGTGGTACTGCCGACAAGCGAGCTGAAGAATCAAAAGCAGCAGAAGTGGTGGCAGAAGCAGCAGCTCAAGCTTCCAACACTATCGCAGAAGCAATAAAGGCCTTGGGGAGATTGTTCAGCTCTCAGACGCAGTTCCGCTTTTCAACACTGGTGCTGGTTGCAGTGACGGCCTTCTTAGTAGGCTGTCTGATGCGATCCTTTGTTGAACCATTGGATTTCGTGCTGGTGCCGACACGACAGAAGCAATTCACTGCTTCCACTGTCGGCATTGAAGAAGTGAAGAAGGGAGCAGGTACACACAAGTTGACAGGCAAACAAAAGGCAGCGACGGCAAAAAACGACTACTTGGGACTAGTAAACAAGATCAAATCCACAGAAGACCTGGCTGAGTTGGGTAAGAAAGTCGGTGTCTACGATCAAGGCAGTGAGAGAGGCATGGTTAGACAGGTGCAATGGACTCAGATGAGGAGGGTTGTGCAGGTGCCTCTGCCAGGTTTCGGGTGGGAGGTGATTGTTGCTGGTGTGCGAAGATGAGCGTAAGCAGAGATACAGACGGTTGCTCTGGGAATGGAAAATCATACCGCTTCTTCGGAACACAGATGCAGCTGTTTGTCAGTGCGATTTTAACTGTGATGAGATCTGATAGCAACAAGACTTGTCTACACCATTCTAAGCTCTACTTTGCTGCCCTTAGGAGCTCCTACATGCTGCGCAACTCGCGTTGCAGTAGCATTGACCCCATTCGCATCGAGCATTTTCATACGAATCTCTCTTGTGCTATGTCCCAATAGGTAGTAACACAAGCTCTCGACCATGTACGTGCGATAGTTGGGCAGTCGAATGACGACCAAACCAAAGAGGAGTACAAGTGTGGAAAAAAGTACAAGCGTGAACAGGACTTCCCAGGGTTCCATAACACTCATACCAAAGGTGGCGATCAGGGTGTAGTATTGTCTCCAGGACCAGTCCCAGATTTGGAAGAGGGTGTGCTTGATCAGACGGTGGTGTTCATGGCGAGCTGGGCGAGTTGGGTATGTTGACTGGGTGGCTTTGTGGTGGTGAAGAGGATTGCGGTATCTGTTGGAATCAGCATGGAAGCTTGTATTTTTGGCCTTGAGTTTCTTACAAGTGTAAGCAGAAGACGAGCTAGGCTTGCCTCGTTCTCGTAGGGACAGACCTGCTGCTGCTGTTGCTGCAATCATTCTAATTGCTCGAGAAGGAGTTCTGAATCGATGCTGATTGCACCTTGGTCGATGCGGTCCGAGGGTATATATCCTTATCTTGCCGGCAAAATGAACGGTTGGTGGGCGCAGTTGGGGCTATGATATCAGTGGCAAGGTCCCTTTGCCTGATACCCTTTTCTCGCTTTTTAGCTCAGAGTGTTATCGAGCTTTGATCGTATCCCTGGCCATATGCATTTGCCTCAAAGCTCACATGCTTCAGTCGTTCGAGGCTTTCAGAGGAACGGCTCGGCTTCCACCCCAACCTTGGAGTCGCACAACAACATCACAAACTGGCAAGCTAGCATCTCGCATCTTCCCCTCCGCAAGCACAGAGACGTTGATGCAGGTGGCATGATGCAAACCTCTCATCAATATCCGACGTTGCGCCGTTCGGGAAAAGAAGCGATCTACGCTTTCCTTGCTTCCTCCTGAGTTGGTCGGTGGATGAATGCAGTCGGCAATCCAGCTACCCGAACGTCGAAGAAGAAGAGGGACGACAAGATTCAGAAATTTGCTTTCGATGGAAGCATGCACTGTGCAGAGACGAGCGTTGATACAGTGAAACCACATGACCTTTTACTTTGCAGTCAAGGCAGAAAAAGACAAGGCTGGAGGAAGAGTCGGTAGTCGTCTTCGTTCGCATTAGAGCCAGAGTGCAGACCGAGCCTCGTTTTCATAACGAAACCGACAAGGTGAGGATTGTGATTGCTAAGAAGGGCATCATTAACTTGTTCGCCAGCCGAAATCGCAGATCTGACAAGCAGGAGAGGGTGCAGAGCTAGAAGATTGTAGCCGGCGGCAATGGTGTTTGAGGAGTGAGGCTGAGAAATCCATCGATCGGCCGAAGGAAAGGTGCATTACAGATGCATCTTCCCCATCCTCCTTCTCGATTGAGTTGTGTCTATTCGTAGTGACACATTGCCATCCATCCAAGCTGGCAAGCTTCTTTCTTTCTGTCGGCGCAAACACATGATCAGATGAGGGAGTTGGAGGGAAGCAAACCGCTCTTGACGACTGTTTGTATGATTTTTGACAACTCTGACTGACTGTAAAGATCGAGAGAAAGAGGCTGCCTCTGTGTTCGGCCTATCCTTCCTCCTTCCTCCTTCCTCCTTCCTCCTCCTCACATATGGTCGGATAAAGCTAACCTACCAAGCCCGTCACTTTCAGGTTCTCCCTCAGAACATTATCCTTGACACTCATCAAGATCGCCCTGATCTGTTTCGTACTGGTCGCAACGGTGGTATGAACATACAACCTCCTCTTCCCCCCACCCATCTCATCCTCTGCCATCCTCAAACATTCCCGGAATTTACCCCTAAACCATCTCCAAACAGCCTCAAAATCATTGTCCCCTTCATACTCGACCCAGTATTTGCCCAACTTGACTCCTGCCCTCAGCTTCTTCTCGAGTAAGTCTATTTTGTTGAGGAACAAGATGATACTCGCTCCGCTGAGTAAAGGGTTGGAAACGATTTGGTTGAAGAGGGCAAAAGTATCCGCAAGTCGGTTCGTATCGGGGTCTTCAATTAGAGGTTGATCGAAAGCGGATAGGGGCGCAAGGAAGATGATGCTTTCCACGTCATCCAGGAAGGGAGCCCAGGCTGTGCGTTGGGATCGAGAGCCGCCGACGTCGTAGATTCGATAGGTGAGGGATTTGTCGATGCGGAAAATGCTTTCGCTTACGCCCAGGGTTCGGACTCGAGAATGGAGGATATCTTCGTCGGAGGGAGAGTAGAGGGGGGAGAGGATGCGGGTGTAGGAATCGAGGAAAAAGGATGTTGCTGCATCGGATTGGCTATCGAGGAATAAGCCTCGTTTGCGGAGGGATCGACAGCGAGGATCGTCGTTCCATAGCCCCAAAACGTCGGTTTGGATCGAGGTGAGAAGGGTGATCGTTCGAGTTGTGGATGCGTCCTGTTCTCCTCCCTCACCACCTTCTTGCTCTGCTACCGGCTGACTCTGCTGAGGATCAGCGGGACGAGAAGGATTAGTGAGAGAGAACGATCGTCTAGCATAAGTAAACAACCTCTCCTGCCAGCCAGGTCTGAACAACAAGGGACCCTTATCCCCACCTTTGCCTCTCTCTTTCTCCTGTCCGGCCTCATGGACACCATTACTACCCAGAAGCTCAACTTCTTCACCGAACGCCCCCAGTTCGGCCCTCAACTTGCTCTCCAACCCTTTCACCTCTTGCAAATGCTTCATCCAACCCATCCGCACCCCTTCATTCACTTGATTTCTCGGCCCCAAATTATTATCTCCCTTGCCCTCCTCCTTTCCCTTCTCCTTGCCCTCCCCCACCGCTGTCTCCATGCTTCCAAGCTCAACACTCTTCCGCTCGGCCCTATCCCCATAATAGCTCGCCATGCTCTCCAACAAGGCCCTCACACTAGCAGTTAAATTCAACAAAACAATCTTGACCCAGCCTCTGCGTTCTCTTTCGTGCGCTGCTGGATCGTACAGCAATCTCATCTGTTTCAATACTGTTGTTTTACCAGCACCTGCTTGGCCGAGCAGTACCATTTTGTATACTCTTCCCTTTTTTGAACCCCAGAGAGCCGAGTCAGAGGTGTAGACGGAGGAAGCGAGTGAAGAGGGAGACGTGCAAGTGTTGAGGAGGCGGTCGATTTCATCTGAGCGCTGTTTTGCTTCTTTTTCCGCCGCTAGCCGGGCGGCTTTTTGCGAAGGTGTTTCGTTGGAAGGAGGGAGGAGGGCGACAGAGAGGGGGTCCTTTCGGTCCAGTTTGGTGGTGAGGGTGGCTTTGGATTTCGATCGACGGACTTGAGCCTTGCTTGCGGTTGAGACTGAAGGAGACATGGTTGCTGCTGCGAACACTTTGCAAAGTGTCGAAGCTGGCTGAAAGCCGTTGGAGATACGGATACACCAGTCAAGAACCGCGGGGATCTTTGAAAGAGAGGCAACAAAAAGCTAAAGCAAGGGGATCTGGGGGTGGGTTGGTAGCCTATATATCTTGCCTCTTTGCTTTGCAGCTTCGAATCTTCAGCTCCTGACTCTTTGGTGGGTAGGTTTGCAAATGAAAGCATGCGAACGTCGAATGTACCCACTTTGCGGGCGTCCCTTTGCACCAATTACGCCTTTGCGTTTCAACGGTTGCAACCGTTGCAACAGCCAGAGCTCGAAAGCGACGACAAGAAGAAGAAGAAAGCCCCACCGTGAGAGCGCCGCAGATTGCCAATGTGCGGTAGCAGTGGCGCTTCGGCTTTGTGTGTGTTGAATGCGGCTTTCGATTCCGCCAACGGGCAGTTAAGAAGGTGTTCGCGGCCGCTGACCGAGTTCCGAGCGAGCAAGGTACGAGTGGCACTGTGTGATGGTGGGCGTAGCCCTTCTCTCTTTGGATGAAAGCAAAGATGGAACTGGCGATAAGAGGCAACTGTGCAAGGTGGCGTAGTTGCTCTTGTTGGAGTAGCCGCAGGATTCGGTGTTATGGTATCAGTAGAGGAAGCGTTGAAACGGATGTGACGCCAAACGTCAAAACGTCCGCTTGATTGTTACAAGCAGCAGTCAAGGGTGCAAGGATCATCATCTCAAGCTAGCCGCCCACCTCAACCTCGGCAAGCAGAGTATAGGCGCACTACAACAAGGTCTGAGAGCCGGCTTTCGAACGCAACCTAGCTAAGAAAGGCATTGCTGTCTCGGCTAGCATATCCGAGTGAAGAAACCCTTACGCTCGGTTGCTTTGCAAACCAGAACAATGGATTGCGCCTCGCTTCTAATCGCATTCATTCGCAGTCGTTCAATATATGCTGTTCTGTTCAAACGATCTCATTGAATGGAAAGTGTGTGTGTTTTGTGGTAGAGTACAAGTACAAAAAAAAAAAAAGAATGCTATGCTAAGGAAAGGTGCTGTTTACCGCCTCCTTTGCCACCCGGTCTTAGACATCCATAACAGCCGTACAAGCAGCAACAATCAGATCAGTCACGCCTTTCAACGGATGAACCTCATCCAACTTGGTCCCATCTGCCTTGGTCGGTTCTGCGACCCCGGCCAACTTCAAGGCACCCCAACCCTCCGGTACCATCTCTAAGCCTTTACTTCCATTGCAGTACCCCAGTACTACCGGGAAAGTTCCCGGTTCGGGTAACCTAGGATCCGAGATGCGGGTAGCCCAGGGAGCGTCGTGTACGATGGCCGTGATTCGGAAGGCAGCTGGTGTGGGGGATTGGGGTTGAGTTGGATCTGAGCGTTGCTGAGTTTGGGCGGTGATGGGGTCTCGTCGGAGACCAAGTTTGCGCTTCCAATTGGAGGCATGCTCTGTGGATTTCGAGGTGAAGCTGGTCGAGAGACCATCGCGGTGGCTTCCGAAACTGCTGCTGCCGGTACTGGTGCTGTGCGATAGACCAGACTCGCTTTCGTTGACAGGAGAGCTGGTGTTGGGAGCAGTAGCACCGCTACCACCTGCACCCGCCTCGAAAGGATCGGCAAAACTGCCAAAGGGAACAAAGTTGACACGCATATACCTCACTGCATCCTGTGCCGTCGATCGACCGATCAGAGGCAGCGGGATCAACATCGTCAATGCCTCGGCCGGAACAGCATCCAGTCCCAAAAGCACGCTCTGCTCGTCCAGATCCTGCAATGCTGAGCCCGTCGCCGAGAGGGCAGTGCCGGCAAAGGTAGCACAAAGCAACTTGCTCGTCGCCTCTTGCCCATTCCAGCCATACAGCTCGGTGAGAGTGGAATTGACAGCCACACGGTTATCAATGCGATCCGTATGCGCCTGCTTTGGCGTCAGCTTGCTTGCAAACCCATCGTCAGTCGCAGCGATCTTATCCTGGAAATTACGACCGGCAGCAGGCTCGATGGTCTTCTGAGTGAGCGCCTCCGATCCTCTCCTGGAACCCATAATCGTCGAGTCGGGCGAAGCAGGGCGGAACATGGACCGCTGGAAAATCTCGAGAGCATTTTCGGTCAACAGAGTCGAAGCAGGCACTCGACTTGCATCGTCGTTGTCCCTTGCAAGACTGCTGCCAGCACTGATCTGGCGCTGTCGGGACATGGCTGGACAAGACACCGACTCGTGTGGCATCTCGGGATGATGATTTTGATGAGAGGCGGCGGTATGTTCGGGCCTACGCTTGAACCAGGAGTTGAGCATCTTATCCTTCTTCTGCAAGGCTCGCTGCAGACCTTTGCGGCTACGACTCTGCTTGCTGCTGGCACTGGCGGAGGATGTAGAAGCAGTGGTGGGAGAAGTGCCTTGCCATGACTCGGCCTCGTAAGATGCACTGCCGTTGGACTGCTGCTGGAAGCGTTGGCTCTCGAGGCTGTTGTCTTGCCAACCAGCCCAAGCTGCCGACGTCTCGGAAGTGGAGCTGATGCCGCGACTAGCAGATGAACTTGGCGAATGACTGCGCTTCGCTCGGCCTGCACTTGCCATGGGAATGGAATTGGATCTAGCAGTGTGGTCTTTGTTACCACGCTCGCATAGGTTACTTGTTGACAGTGCTGCATGCTCGTCGTCATCTGAAGTGTCGCTGTCAGCATCACTAGTGGTAGCCGAGTCGAACGACGAAAGCGAGTCCGAATGACGCGATCGAGCTGAAGGCCACGACTCGCCTGGGTGCATGCGCGCAAGAGGATCGCCTGGCAAGGAGGGAGCAAAGTCTTGGGCGTTGATGCTAGCTGTCGAGCCCTCTGCTGCCTGTCGCTGCTGAGCCGAGGCACCAAGGTAGGGCTTGGATCGCGATCGACGCAATGGCACCGCAGAGTGACGGAGGTAAGGTCGAGAGCGGGATCGCCTGAGCACTGGATAGACGGGCTGCGATGCCTTGACGCTGCTCTGTGGAGCTGCAGAGGCATTGACGCTGCTCTGTGGAGCTGCAGAAGCATTGGCGATGCATGTTTTGTCGAGCTGGGAGGAGCTAGTACGATTGTTGTGCTTTCGGTACTGGTGCAAGAAACGATGTGTCGAAGCGTTGGCCAGATAGACGGGCGGAGAGATGCTTCCAGCAGTAGGGCGGAGTAGTCGAAGTTCAAAGCCAGCCTTGCCAGAGAAAGGCATGGAGCTGGGATGATTTGCGGAGAGACCTCGGACTGCGGCTGGAGGCATTGCTTGTGCCTGTTCTCTGTGTGGAGCGGCAGCAGCAGACGCCTGACCCTCTTGGAGCCAGAGGGAAGGAGCGCTGACAATGACTGTCCTTTCGGCTTGCTCGGATGATGTCAAGTGTTCGAGATTGCCGCATGTGAGTGTTGCATTAGGCACAACGACCCACTTGTTGTTCCTGCGCGTGGTTTGTGCAACGGACCACTGGATGCGCTGATGACCGTTGAGAGGACATAGGATCTCGGCAGAAAGCTTGCAACCCTCCCAGTCGTTGAGACTGCCAATGTCGAGACTGTGGAAACCCATTTCCTGGATGGAGAGCACGTCGAGTGGCTCCAAAGGGTTGCAGGGTCGAGCAGTGAGATGGGCCCACTTGGGCGAGGTAGAGGAGACAGGTGCAGCGGCACTGGTGCCAAAAGAGCCAAAGCTGTCCCTCCACTCGATAGGAGTGAGGGGAGTGAGGGGAGCTTGGCATGGCTGGGTGGAAGGGTTTGTGAGGGTGGCAAGGGGTTGCTGAGGTGCTGGCGCCAATGGCTCGACGGGTGACTCGGTCTGCAGTCCAAGACTGGCGAAACCTCCAAGGACTTGACCATGGCTGATCGAGTATCGACGTCGAGGGTGTGCTTCTGGGGCATCTAGTTGAGCTTGCTGTAATCTGCGCTGCTTGTCAGCAGCAGCATTGAGTACGACTTGAGAAGACATGATCTCGCGATAGTCGGAACACTCGGCTCGGAGATGATGTGTGAAGCTGTCTTCGAGGGTATGAAGCGCTTTGTGAGTTCTGGCTTGGGATGCACACGAAGTGCAGAAGGGGTCGACATCTGCAAGCATAGCGAAAGGTTGTTTGGAGCTTGACAAGGGTGCATTGTTGGATGGCGATCGAAGGCGTCGCTGTCCTGCAGTGTTCGTAGAGATGGGAGAGTGGGGAGCATTTCCGCCAAGATCGAGACCATCGAGATCCAATTGCAGAGTCTCGGCAGAGTAGTGACGCTGATGACGAGGACTGAAGTGTGTCGCTTTGGCTGGAGTGATGGCAGGAGGAGGAGTAGTAGCAATAGTAGATGTGCTCGTATCGGCATCGGCATCGGCATCGACATCGACATCGACATGGACAGGGACAGCGGTGTGATGGTTGGAGGAGGTGGAGCCGGTGCGACGAGGGGGATGCGATCGAATGTGATCAGCGACAAGGCGGCTGGATGCTGATGGCGAAACAGTGATGGCGGGTGGAGCAAAGGAGCGACGTCTCGGAGTAGAAAGAGATGTAGAGGAAGACGAGGAGGATGGCAGACGAGGATAAGGCAAAGAGACGGAAGTGGAGGCAGCAGATGAGAGGGCAAGGGATGCAGATGCAGCCTGACTGGAGATGGAGCGACGTGAGGATGCATCTGGACGGATAGCAGCATCGCTCGGAGGGCTAGTGGAGGCCATCATGCTTGTGTGTGTGTGTGTGTGTCTGTGTGTCTGTGTGTGTGTGTGTCTGTGTGTGTGTGTGTGTGTGTGGAATGACGGTGATCAGGAGTCTTGCCAAGTGCGCTATGTTAGGACGCTGCCCTAGTTTTCTACAAGATGAACGCCAGCATGAGATTTGTAAGTGAGTCGCTAGGCGACGAGGACCACAAGGTTGGGTGAGTGACGAGGGTATTGCGTGGTGATGATGATGATGATGGTGGTGGCAAGGCAAAGCAAGAAAGCCGTCCTTGTCCTCCTTGTTACTGCTCAGAGAGAAAGAAGAGATTGCATTTCGGTGGGACCCAAACGACGCTCAGGCCATGAGCCAAAGCCAAGACAAAAGGCACTTTCCCGCACTCAGCAAAGAATGCAAAGAATGCATAAATCCAGCCAAGCAGAATTTCCCGAAGCGTTCCTGCGCCAAAAAGCGGCAAAGAAAAAGCAGAGAAAGTAAAATAAATCAAAAAAAAACAAAAAAAAACAAAAAAAAACAAAAAAAAAAAAAAGCAAAATTCACCACAGATTAAATCGCCGATCCTCTGTCTTTCTGTCTTTTGGCTAAGGTTTTCAAGATTCTAAAATGTTAGACTCTATGATTCGAACATAGCTTACTTAGGCGAGGTCTAACAAGGATTCGAAAATTGCAGTGTGAAAGCGCACGTGACCTGGAAGTTTTTGGCCTTCTCTGTGAAATTTTGGACAAGGAGAAAGCTTGTCGAACAGCACTCCTGCATCCCTTCCATCACCTCTCATACACTCTAAGCCCCACAAAGGAATCTCTCTTCTATTCAGCACTCTAGCGAAGGTGCCTCTCATCTTGTCTGGCTATCAGCTGCTCACCTCTAAGCATCGACATCTCTTCACACCCCCAATCGGCAAAGCCCTTGGCTAACCCGTCTCCCGTCAAAATGCAGTCCGACGATGTAATATGGACCATCATCGGCCACGAATTCTGCTCTTACAAGATCAAGTCCAAAAGCCACTCTACCTTCTGTCGTAATGAATACAACCTCACCGGTCTCTGTAATCGTCAGTCCTGTCCTCTCGCAAACTCACGCTACGCTACCGTCCGCGAACGCGAGGGCATCGTCTATCTTTACATCAAAACTGCCGAGCGAGCACATTCACCCAAGAGGCAATGGGAAAGGATTAAATTATCCAACAACTACACTCGAGCATTGGAGCAGATTGATAAAGAGCTTATCTATTGGCCCAAGTTCATCACCCACAAGGCCAAACAGCGTTTGACCAAGATCACCCAGTATCTGATCAAGTTGAGAAGGATAAAGTTGAAGCAAGAAGAACAACCGCAGCTGGTAGCCATTAACAAAAAGACACAGAGCAGAGAACAAAGGAGAGAAATGAAAGCCATCAAAGCTGCCCGACTCGAAAAGTCGATCGAAAAGGAACTATTAGAGCGTCTAAAGAGTGGTGCCTACGGTGATGCACCCCTCAATGTCAACGAACATGTCTGGATGCAAGTACTCGAGAATCGAAATAAGAGCCAAGGAGTAGAGTTGCAAGATGAAGAGAGCCAAGAGGAGCTCGAAGAGGACTTGGACGAGATGGATCGATTGATGGGGCAAGAAATCGAACAAGAGGAGGGCATTGGCCAGAGGGAATTTGTAAGCGATCATGATGACGATGAACAGAGTGAGGATGATTTCGAAGATCTCGTCCTAGATGATAGCGATGCTAACTCGATCCTGTTTGACAGCGATGCGCATGACTCAGACGATGATGATGATGATGAGCAGGAGGAGGCGGCAAGCGATGAAGACGGCGAGCAAGATGGAAAGAGAGCCAAGAAGCGAAAAGCTCCAGCACCAACCAAGAAAGCTCCAGCACCGACCAAGAACAAGGGCGGTAAGAAAGGACCACAGATCGAAATCGAGTACGAGGAGGAGACTGAACCTCTTACCAACGACGCTTTGGCAAATTGGTAATCGCCTCATCATCTCAACCTATTGCTCTCAACCTATTGCTCTCAGACGCAATTCTGTGTCGCTGCCATAGCTCGGCTTTCCTCGCATCTATCCATCGTGTACTCTATCCTCGCACCATCCTTTCAACTGTCGACTTGATAGTCTGTTTATCTTTCCTGCTCCATCCTTTTCTCACCTCAACCTCGCATCTATCCATCGTGTACTCTAGCCTCGCATCATCCTTTCAACTGTCAACTTGATAGTTTGTTTATCTTTCCTGCTCCATCCTTTTCTCACCTTTGAGGCATGCCAATCTTGGAGTGCTGCCATTGCCTCCGTCGGTCTTGAGGATGAGAATCGTTGCAAGACTGACGTGAGAGATAAGTTTGGCTGTTCATAAGCGCAAAAGCAAGTGTACGGCAGCTTGCGAACTTGGGACGAGTGGTAAGCTAACCCTCGCTCGGAAGGTCGACGGGGGCAGAATCAGGCAAGCTTTGAGTGGAAATATGTAGGATTCCAGAAGCAAGGAAAACTAGAGAACACAGCAGACGATCCGTGGGAAAGAGAAGGATAAAAGAGCGATAGGGGGGATAGACGAAAGCGAAAGGGAAATCAACGTGATAGCCGTCCTCCTCCATCTCTTGACGAGCACCTCGATGGGAATATTGTGCAGGGAGATGGTTTAGTAAACACCGCCGTAGGCATCTTCAGGATCAGCAAAGGAGCTTGCATTCGAGATAGGTCTCTGACCAGCAGAAGAAGTGTTAGGAACTAGATTCCTTACTTGCAATCCCGGTTGCTGTTGTTGCTGTTGCTGTTGCTGTTGCTGTTGCTGTTGCTGTTGCTGTTGCTGCTGTTGCTGTTGGTGCTGCTGTTGCTGTTGGTGGTAGTGTTGCTGCTGCTGTTCATGTTGAGCTTCGAAAGGGTTTCGAGGGTCCTGAGCGTATGTCTGTTGAACGTTGGCAAGGTCAGGAGTTGCACTTGTGCCTTGGCTGGTACCACGTCTTGCTGCAGTAGCATACTCTCCCTTTTGGCCAGGTTGAGGATTAGCTGAGTGGTTCAAGCTGGACTGATGAGCCAAACCGGCAGCAAGCGCTTCAGCAGCAGAAATGGACGCATGACGTTGATCAGCGCTCTCATCACGGGACGAGAGCGAGTTGCTTCCAGCTGTGTGATTGCGAACAAGCGCACCCGGAGCGAATGCAGGTTGAGGAGCAAGCGATCGATCCAAGTGGGCATAGGGATTAGCAACATTTGGCTGCCCTTGACCTCTACCTACACCTGCAATACTGTAGGGATCCCCACCGAACGCAGCCAAAGGTGGCAATTGCGGCGCAGGAGAGACACTCCTCTGTGCCTGCCCGCCAAAACCGGGCTGATCCAAGTAAGCCTGCTCGTGGTGGTTGTTAGCAAAAGCAGCATTAGGTGGTGCATGGTAGTCCTCTACCGGCATCGAATACTCGCCGTCCTTGTAGTATCCTCCTACTTGGGGACCAGCGTTTTGTTGCACACCTGCAGCGTGTTTTGCGAACATGGTAGGTGGGCGAGGTGGGCGAGGTGCACCGCTCTCGTTGTAGGCCATACCGGCAACCGCACCTGCAGCGCCAGCGGAAATACCGGATTCGTAGTGAGGAGCGTAGTTGTTGTACTGCTGGTAGTGCTCGGACATTTCAGAGCCGATTGCACCTGCGCCCGGGCTACCGCCATGGCCATCGTCCGAGTCAAAGCGATCGGGGATCATGGTCGAGTGACGTTGGAATGCATCGCGGTCAAACGGGTTGGCTTCGTAGGGGTCCTCTTTGTTGCGGTATTTCTTAAAGAGGAAACCGACGAGGCCGGAGAGAACAACAACTCCGACGAGAGAGCCGGCGACGATGCCGATGATCGGGCCGGCGGAGGAGGCGGTGGATTTCGGGGTGGAGGAGGCGGTGGAGGCGGCAATGGAGGCGGTTGGGGTCGAGGTGACAACGGCGGTGGCTGTGATCGGGACGATGGGCGTGCGGGACTGCAAACAAAGCAAACACACAAGCGAGCGAGAAGAGGGGGTAAGAACTGTCAGTATACCATGTTGCTATGTGATGCAAAGCAAGGTAGAAGAGAGCTGAGTGCCTCGAGCAATCCGAGGTAGGATGGGTCGAGGAGGCGTTCTTGATCTGGAGGGCGGGAGCCTCGGGCTGCAGATGATCTGAGCTGAGATGTGGTGTTGTTGGTGAGTGAGAAGCTAGTGATATCAAGGAGTAAAGCGCCATTGTCGGGCGATGAAACGATCTTTGCGACCAAGCGCATGGAGCAACAGGGAAACAGACTAAGCGATAACATGGGGCCAAGGGGCATATTTAGCAGAACACCAATCGAGGTAGAATCATTCTCATCTGTATCATCATCATCATCATCATCATCATCATCATCGTTGTTGTTGTTGTTGTTGTTGTTGTTGTTGTTGTTGTTGTTGTTGTTATTGTTGTTGTTTCGAGTCAAAGTTTCTTGCGCGTCGGATTGCTGTGTTGTGCTAGAAGGAGACTGAGAAGGGCTACTAACCGAAGAAGAGGCACTGCTGGTGGAGCTCGACCTTGTGCTCGACGACGAGGTGGCGGTGGTGGAGGAGAAGGAGGAGCTGGAAGTGGAAGTGGCGCGAGTGCTGGAAGAGGTGGTGGTGGGGTCAAAGATAGAGTCTAGAATACCATCGAGGAAGCCTTGAGATGAGGAAGTGGTGACAGCGGCGGCGCTGGTGGTGGTGGTAGTGATGGGGGGGAACAGGTTTCTAGTCAAAGTTGGGGTGGTGACAGTAGGAGTAGGGCGAACCATGCCGGCGCCACGGGTGGTGGTAGAAGTAGCGGCATCAGCGTCGGCATCAGCGTCAGCATCAGCGTTGGTAGTGGAGTCGGTGTCATGGTCATCACCGAATCCACCGCCCATGGGGGGAGCGCTAACACCACGACCGGGACCGATATGGTTCGCACCATCTGCCTGCCGAGCGAAAAGGTCTTGCTCATCAGCAGGCTGCTGAGAGTCGACAAAAGATCGAACAGCAAGAGCGAGATCAGAACCGTCATCATTGATGCGACGCTTGTGACGGCGCACACGAGGAGCGTTTTGGTTGGGGAGGGACATGAAGACTAAATGCTATCTGCTTCGCAACACAAAGATGTGCTGCTGAGGTTGGTGTTCAGAGGATGATCGCCAACGACAAAAAGCGATAGATGTTATAACAAGAGAGTGTGATACTGATGCCGTCTAGAAGGGGGAGGGGGAAAGGGGGGAAGGGGGGAAGGGGGGAAGGGGGGAAGGGAGGGAGGTAAGAACGAGATCCCACGTGCCGGCCGTGAACGTCGAACTGGGTAAGAGATGGTGTAGTGCAGGGAGAAAAGTAAAGGGAGAGAGAAAGAGGGCAGGATGGGGAAAGAGAGCAGGATGGAGATGGTGGCGAGATTGCAAGTGGGATCGACAGACAGCAGCGGAAGCAACAGCTAGCAAACGACGAGGACAAAGAAAGGGGACACAAGAATCACATTACCACTGCCCAAGCGCCTTGGATCTAGCTGGAATGCCTCAAAGACAGGGGTATCCAGCATACGGCGGAAGAGAAGAGCAGGCGACCAATGTCGAGAGGCAGAGAGACATGCTCTCTCTTGCGACGAGCTTGTTGTTTTGGCGCATCCTCTCCTCTCTCGCTCTTTCTTCATTGTTGTTATCATTGCAACGCACAGGCAAGCGACACTAAGCATCCACACAAGGGTCTTGTGACCCCTCCTACCTATCGACCGGCAGGCTTGACACAGAAGCCTGCGCTTGGATCGACATGCTACATTCACGCTTGAGCCTCTTGACTTGATGATACGCCTAGCTTTATTGGCATTCCTCTGACCCTCTCTCGTATAAGCATTCCCAATCATGAAACCGGCATCCTAGCTGGAGCCCATGGCTTTTTCCTTGCCTCTACACTCATCCATCTCACCATACCATTGTCAGTTGCCCCCGCCGTCTACAATGTCAATCCACCTCAGGGCCCGCACATGAACCGCACCCAGATTGCTGAGATTGCCAGCACATCAAAGTTCGCCCGAGAACACAACCGAACCTCTCCCTTCACATCCCAGTTACCGAGAAAGAAAATTCGCCGTTTCTCGTGCGAGATAAGAGGTTCGACTAAGCTTCTTTCTTTCTCTTCTAAACAAAAGGTCACTATCAAAGTTTTTCGCCTTTTTAAAAGCCCCCCGCGTTTTTGCACGAAATTTGAACCAGAGGGCAATGATCTGATCAGGTTAGTTGCACATATAATTTGCAAGATCAACTGCAACCTGGGGTTTTGTTTAATCTCACTGGGATTGATCAGAACAAGCCTATTCAGTATGTTTTACCAAAAACATGCTAAACAAAGCCCCATTGGCACAGAATGGGTTGCTTGTCACAAGGAAGCAACAGGAGGATTGGGTTAGGGCATTCCTGGCACTAGAAGGTGAGGGTGGCATACAGAAAACAATCACATGCAAGGAAGAGGACCAAGCTCAGTATCACACAGATGGTTACCACTCAGGAGGACCAAGCTCAGTATCACACAGATGGTTACCACTCAGGAGGAAATGCTCACAGCCACAGGGGCAACCACATGATCAGGGAGCATGACAATAAGGTCTGGCACACAATCAAGCAATTCACATGATAAGGGATCAGAAAATGGTCACTGGTTAGGAGGAGGGAGAGCTGTGTTAACGAGACTGGGGAATAACCCATGAGGAGGAGGAGCAGTGTCAAAGAGGTCAACATGCTGTCATAGGAGCCAGATGCACAGGAGGCAGGAAGAAGTGAAGTCATATGAAGGAGTGCAGAAATTGCAGGATCAGGCTAAGCAAGAGCTTAAGGAAGAGTTTGCTGAGATCAGTAGTAGAAATGCCTCTATGGCATAACTCATCAGGATCAGTAGGAACAAAGTTGTTACTACAGGGTTCAGTGGGAATTGTAATATCACACTGAGTACAACAGATCTCATGAGAATTGGTCAGAGAGGCACCCCATTGCCAATATGGCAAGAAGAGGTCACTGAACAAGGAGGGGACACCATCAGATGAGGCAGGGGCCCTGCAGTGATGAAATCAGCAAAAGAAGGTGGGTGCCAAGGACAAGGAAGTGATGAAAGGGTGCAAGTTGCCACCCAGATGAAGTGGCACTGGCCCCTGACAGAGATGAAGCAGCCAGAGGCCATCCATCCAGAGAAGGCAAGGAAGTGGTGCCAATGAGTGGCATCACAAGGTGGATGGAGAACATAGGAGGGATGAGGAGGATGAGCAGTGTCGCAGGTGACATTGCAAGGAAGGTATATAACCATGTTCTCTGTCCTAGCAAGGGAGTGGATTGCTATCCACTCTACACCATACATTACTAGTTATCACTTTAAGCATAAGTATACATTAGTTTCAGTCAGCACAGTCGCAATCAAGTAGATTGCTTCCATTGTAGCATGTGTGTTGTATCACTGCTCACTGATGTCTGAAGGCAGTTCATAGCAAACCAGCAGTCTGGATAACGATGTCATGGGACCGGATGCACAAGAAGTAAGAAGATCCATCAACTCATATGAAGGGAGCACAGGAATCGAGGAATTGGGCAGATTGTGGGATTTGCAGCAGAATTCATTGAGATCTGTAGTAGAAACAGTTCTATGACAGATCCCATCAAGATCTGCATGAACAAGGATGATATCACGAATCCCACCAAGATCAGTAGTAGGAGAGGTCATATAGCAGTTTCCACAGAGATCAGTGACAAGGATGTTTGTATGATGAATTCACATGTGAGGAGGACCAAGCTCTGCCAAGATGGGGACCAAGCTCAGAAACATGTAGCTGGTTACCACTCAGGGGTTCACAAGATAAGAGTCAGGAGAACAGTCACTGGTTAGGAGGAAGGAGAGCTGTGTCACTGACACTGGCATACAGGTCATGAGGAGGAAGAGCTGTGTCAAAGAGGTGTCATGGGCCTGGATGCTCAAGAAGCAGGAGGGTCACGGGTTCAACAGGTATTGAAGATCTAGTCGAGATCAGTAGAGAGCATGGTCGTAGTGCAGTCTCCATGGAGACCATGGACTCCTACGGACCCACATGCAAAGGAGGGCCAAGCACAGCCATGAGGAGGACCAAGCTCAAGGAGCAGGCACAGCCACGAAGAGGACCAAGCTCAAGGAGCATGCAGATGGTTACCACTCAGGGGCTCGAGAGACAAGAGCCAAAGGAACTGTCACTGATCAAAGGAGAAGGAGCAGTGTTGAAGGAGTCGACACCAGGTCATGAGGAGAAGGAGCAGTGTCGAAGGAGTCGACACAGCTCAAGAGGCACAGGGGTGCCAAGCAGGAGAGGCCCCTGAGCAGTACTCGATGAAGAAGGTACTCTCTGGAGAGAGAGCAGGAGCAGCATCGCTGGCGATGCTGTGAAGAGGTATATAACCATGCTTTCTCATCATCAAAGGTCGAGTGGATCCTCATCCACTCTACACACACATCATAACTAGTTATCACTTCAGCATAAGTATATATTAATTTCAGTCAGCATAGCAGCAATCTATCAAGGTTGCTCCTCATCATAGTGTGTGTGTTGTATCACCACTACCTGATGTCCGAAGGCGACCCATAGCAGGTCAGCAGTCCGGATATAGATAGAACCGAAGGCAGTAGTCCACTGCAGTCTGGGGATCACTTCAAACATCAAGTCAACACACTGGACACTCGTGTTGATGCCACCAACCTTATCACCAACACCATCAACCTCATTACCATCAACACTCACTGACCTTATCACTGACACCATCAACCTCATCATCATCAACACTCACACCAGACCTTGGTGTCATCATAGCATTGATATTGATCATGCCGAGCTACCCCTGAACGGAGTGTCCACAGAGGTCAGCCGAAACCTACAATAGTATATACAACAAACGCCACCTGCTGTCACTGCACAACTTGATAGTCACCGATACCGAGACAATAGCTGTCGCACAGTTTGATAGTCACCGAGTATCTCGACAGACCGACCTGGGTTTCAGGCGCGAGACCCCTGACAGTGGTGACCTTTCCCTTGTTTGTTGTCATCCTCTTGCTGTATTGGCAAGAGAGGTCTCTCTCAAACCAATTCCCATGAGGCCTGTTGTAGTGAGTGTGGTACTGCTGATTCTACTGACTCCTGTAGTAAGACCCATGTTCATACCAATCTTGATGAGTTTTGTCATAGAGCCATTGGTCCTACTGATCTCACTGAACTCTGCCAGAACTCTATTTTTGCCCAATACATGATGTTTGCACAAGATCTCTTCATATGAGTCCAGTTCTTCCTGCACATCCATCCGGTCCCATGACAATAACCTGCAATGCTCTGCAATTGCACGGTATGGAACAAAGTAAAGAATGCGATAAGTAGTAGATAGAGTGGATAGGGATCCACTTGTATGCTATGATGGAATGAATGTATATATGTGTTTGTGCAGTGTTGCCCACAACACTGCTCCTGCTCCTCCTAGATGTGTAAACACTTCCTTTGTGATGCTGCTCCCTCTCCTAGAACAGTGTCGATCCCTTTGACACTGCTCCTCTTACTCCTGAACAATGTGATGGTCCCCTTGACACAGTTCCCTTGTCTTGTGAATGCCACTGTTCATGTGGATGCTTCTATTGTTCCCTTCCCACCCTTGTGAGCTCGTCCATTGTCCTCCTCCTTGTCCTGTATGCTACCATTTCCCTGTGTGGTAACTTTCCCACATGCTCCTATGTGTTTCCAAGCCCCTTATTGCAGTTTGCATGGCTAAACTGGTCAAACTAACTCATTACAACCGTTTTTACTGAAAATGGTTGTAACTAAGCAATCCAACTGTTTTCGCATTTTCATGTGCATGCTGCACATGCATGCATGTACAGGGTCTTCTGCACAGACCCTGTGACACATCACACCTGAGCTGCTGTAGTTCCACTGGAAAGCTTCTGTTTGCTGGAGTTGAATCGCGAGATTGTTGAACGCTTCAGGGGACATGCAAACAAGTCCATGATACATCCTATGATTGATTGATGCATAATGGCAGCTGGGGGGTTGGTGGGATCCATCAAGGCAAGAATAGGAGGCAAAGCATGGCTGTGAGCACTGTGATCATATGGCTCACTGCCAGAAAGATCCATGGGTATGTCAGCTGAGCCATAGGAGGGCATATCAGCCTCATCAAAGCTGGTGAAGTTGAGACTGGGAGTGGTGATGAGTGCTGTGGGATTGGTGTAGAATTGGCCATTTGCAATAGAATTAGCATTCAAGCATGTTGTTGCAAGTAAGATTGCAAAGACTGACTGGGTTGGATGCATCCATGTCCTCCAGCAGTGTACCAGCTTGAGTGAGTGAAAGCTTCTTCTTCTCCTTGTAGTATGTCTCTTGCAGCCACCTCAGCTTGGCCTTGATGTGATTGGGCTTGACAGATGCACCTGGGAAAATCAACTTGAAGATCTCCTGAAAAATGGGATGTTTGTGAAGTTTGAGGGCTTGATTGCTCTCAGCCAATTCTCAAGATGGCAGCAGAGTGTGCTAGTAGGACTTGCTGTTGTAGATGATTGTGATGAGGTGAAGAATGTCAGCAGCTGACCATGTGAAGTTCTTCTTGCCTGTGGCAGATCCAGAGGCTCAAGTTGGACAGGAAGTGCAGTGTCAGCAGTCATGTGCCTGAAACCTGAGATCTGTAGTAGTATTGATACTATCACCGATTCTGTCGAGTTATGCGACAGTGCTAATGGTATTACATTTCCCAGTGAAATATGCGACAGAGCCTTCTCTGTCGCTTTTCTCATTGGAATCTGTAGTTGTATTGATGTTATGACAGATTTCGACTGACCACTGTGGACACTCCATCCAGAGGTAGCTTGGCATGATCAAAATACAATACGACTCTAAGTGAACTTGATGTTGACACCAATGGTCTGGTGTGAGTATGGATTGATGACATCAACACAAGTGTCCAGTGTGTCAACTAGCACTTGAGGTGATCCCCAGGCCACAGTGGACAACTGCCTTCAGTTCTATTGTTATCTGGACTGCTGGTTTGCTATGAACTGCCTTCAGACATCAGGAAATGGTGATACAACACATGTGCTTCGATGAGGAGCAATCTATTGATTACTACTATGCTGACTGTGAACTAATGATACTTATTTGCTTGAGGTAATATTAGTTGTTATGGTGTATAGAGTGGATGAGGATCTACTCAACCATTTGTGACGAGAAGGTATGACTATATATCTCTTCGCAGCATCGCCAGCGACACTGCTCCTGCTCTCTCTCTCCAGAGAGTACCCTCTTTGTCGAGTACTGTACAGGGATCTCCAAAGAGGCCCCTCCTCCATATTGAGCCTTGTCCCTCCTGTCTTTCCTGAGCTGTGTTGACTTCATCAACACTGCTCCTCCTCTTCATGTCCCTCTTGCCAGTGTCTTTTACACAGCTCTCCTTCCTTTGACTGGCGATGGTTCTCCTTTACTCCTGTCCTGTGGGCCCCTGAGTGGTAACTGACCATGTGTCACTGAGCTCGGTCCCTCTTGCATGTGAATCATCATATGGACATCCTTACTACTGATCTCTGTGGAATCTGCCACACAATCTCGCTTGCTGCAGATTCTGGTGGAATTCGTGATATCGATGATGCTCATGCCGATTTCGCTGCGATCTGCCATAGAGCTGATTCTACTGCCGATCTTGGTGAACTCTGTCACAGCTCCTACAATCTACCCAATTCCACGATTCCTGTGCTACCTTCATATGAACTTCGGTCTTTCCTCGTTCTGCGCACCCCGGCCCATGACATGCAGATGCCAGGAGTGCTTGTAGAATGAGATTGAGACAGCACAGGCATGCTTTTGGTCTGAGTTGTGGAGCTTGTAGGTGTAGCAGACTGCCAGAACAACTGTGGAGAAATGTCAAGAGGATGTTAGGGTGGGTTAGGCAACACTGATGAAGCTCGGGTGCCTGGTTGATCGTGTAGACCATACACAAGCAACACGAAGCACGGACAGTGGAGACACTAAGCAGAATGGGAAAGCATGCCAGAGACGAAAGGGGAATGCATTGCGACCGAACAAGGGTGACAAGGACGGACCGATGGAAGCAGCAAAGAGAGGATCAAGACAGCAAGTTGTCTATTTGTTGTGCCAGAACAAGTTGCGCAAGCTGTTCAGTCATAGCCAAGAAAGAAAGAGTTCAGGTCAGCAAGAGCTCGGTATGCAAGGATAGAATGAATAGCAGGGGGAACTACCTACCTATCCCATTTCTCAGCATTGTGGTAGAGATCTGTAGGGAGCAGCAATTGTGTCAGCAACCGTTTCATCAAGCCTAGGCAAAAGCGAAAGTGATACTTACAATCCATACTATTAACCATGCCCGACTGCAGCGTCTCCCTCCTATATTCGTGCAAAAACATGACGACACCCCAAGTGATTGTCGCATAAGCTGCAAACCATGCCTTCTGAGGAGGCTTAGGCTTGCCTGCTGGCCAATCTTTCCGAGTTTCGGCCCTGGGCAAGAAACTAGCCATAACCCTTGAACTTGTATACAATACAATCTGACATCTCGCCAATAGGCACGAAAGAAAGGTGAGTGATGTATTGGCACACTTATCTTGGAGGTGGCGAGCATTGGGACTTACCTGTTCATTAACAGGAGTTCGTTCGCCGAACAAAATGTTACCGGCAACCAAACCTGCCAGAAAGCTATGCCACTTGGGAACGGCACCTTTCCCACCGCATGCTTCGTAAGTTCGTCGGAGAGCGATGGATAGAAACTTGTACAGCGCTGTGAAACGGCCGAGATTAAGAGCATGCATGCGGGTAGCACGAAGGACGAACGAGAGTTTTTCGCGACGTGTACCTCGACCAAAGAGCAAAGTCATTACTAATGCGTGAGGGAAACGAATCTTGGCTCCGTAGACTATGCCATTGCGAAGACCCTAGACTCGGATCGCAAGAGTTGTGTGAGCAGCGTGGAAGGAAAGAGTGAATGAGCATGTCCATGTAACAGCATCAAGCCGGCTTAGGCAGTTGGTAGACTTACCTTGAGGACGGTAAAGATGTCATGGTATGCAGGGTTCAACGCAATCTGCGTGAGACGCTTTTCGAGGTCAGACATGCTGGCCAGTGCTCGCGTCTGATAGGATCCGGAGAGGATGCCTTATGGTGCGATGGCGGAGATGGGAGGTATGTATCGAGGTTTAGCAGCGATCTGCTCTCTCTCTCTCTTTGGGTGTTGCTTTCTGGTGTATGTTGTAAGGATAGTGTCTGGTGTGTCTGGTGTGTCCGGTTAAAGTCTCTCTGATTTTCAACCGGACTTTGGCTTTGGCGCCTCCACAACTCTCACAATTCCTCACACGCCAGAAGTTCAGCGTGAAAATGTGGCAGAGTGCCTGACCATGGACCTGCTTTTTTCGCACGACAGAAGAGGTGGCCGTCGACACTCGTCCTCCACTTGACTAGACTACAGCAAAGGCACCCATACCTTGCAACCAAGACGATTCGCATTTCTACTAATAAGAATCAACACAACCGAGACAACAGGCAAGGAGAGTGGTGTGAGCAGCTACGCTTTCCACCTGCTACTAGCGCAAGAGACAAAAGCGGGCCTGAGGACAAAGCTCGATGGGCGGGGCAGAGTACGAGTCAGACGGCAAAGCTAGCACAGCAGCTTGCCTAGTCTTTTGCCGAGTCTTACATCTACATCGCAATGCAAGAATCAAAGACAACAAAAAGGGAGCCGCAGCGTTCCAGAAGAAGTAGAAGCCGAGCTAGAGACAAGAAAGCAAGAGTGAGGAAACAAAAGAAAGGAAAACATTAAAGAACCGAAACCGAAACCAAACCCAAAACAGAAAGAGAAACAGAAACCAAACCAAAACCAAGTGATACGCTTAACGAGACTGGTTGCCGTGGTCAATCATCTCATTGTAGCCGACCACCTCTTCTTCGTTGAGCGATGAACCTGCAACGCTCTGGTGACCTCGGTGATTAGCAGCAGCATCTGGCGTGTACAAGGACCTAGAGCTTTGCACATTTGGCGACTCGCCCATAGCCGAGTTGGCGCCAGCACGAAGCGAAGCGTAGTGCTTCATTGCTTCATCGGGCGAAGCAAAGTTGGAAGGAGGTGCCATGCCAGTCTGTGCCGAAACACGGCCGGTCGGGTGCTGGTAGTGTTGGTGGTCCAAGTAGGAGTGCTGACTGCCGTTGGAGGTGCGACGAGCTTGGTTGGGGTATTGTTCAAACATATCCTCCCCCTCACTGCCTTCTCGTCCGGACTGAAGCATACTCAAGGCAGGGTAAGCGAGCATCGAGTTGCGCTTGACGACGTCGTCATCTTGGTTCGAAAGCTTGCCGTTGGCGTCCAGGCTTTGTCGCATACGGTCAACATCCTTGGCACCGAGAGGACGAGGACCTTGGTTCTGAGTAGGACTCATGAGCACATCATCATCATCATCTTCTTCTTCAGGCTCACGCATCTCGTCGGCTTCAGCGTAGACGAGACCATCCGAGAACTGAGAACGACGGTGGTCCTGACTAGGGCGGTAACGAGGATTGAGTTGAGGAACGGCAGGCGCATCGGGGTCATAGTACGAATCGACGAGTTGCGAACGGCGGGCGTTGGCCTGTTGACCGATGCGAGCCAAGTGAGACGAGTTAGGACCATGAGCATCGCTTGAGTTGGCATGGCTGATGCGCGAGACACGGTCACCACGAGTAGTATCGGCAAAAGAGATACGCCAAGTGCGGTTGCCCTCCTCGTACATGGAGAGACCACGGGGCATAGCCTCGCGCATCTCGGCTTCGGAAGCGTAGACGGGGGTGATGTCCTCCATCCGACGGGGCACACGGGCGCCAGCGTAGTTGCCGTCCAAGTCACGCGAAGGGCGCGACATAAACGAGGCAGGACGAGTAGCCGGGAGGGGGCCGGCAGAACCGTCACCACCGCTGGTCCAGTCGACGGAAATCCTGCTCATGCGCTTGTCCATGTGATCAGCCCAGTCGACGGTCTTGTTGTGACGCTTGATGTGGAGACGTCGGATCAAGAGACCGAAAGCGACGGCGAAAAGAACAAGAGGACAGACGATCGCGGCGGTCTTACCAGCAGGTGTGAGGTGACCATTTTCGAGGAAAGCAGTCTTGACCGAGTTGGAGAGCTTGCCGAAGAAGGACTCGGCTTTGGAAGCACCCTGGTTGGGGACGTCGTAGTTGGCAGTGAAAGTGGGGCCCATAGGGTTACCCGAATCCCAAGGCTCGTTACCGGCGGGGACAATGTTGAACGAGACAGGCACGGAAGAGTTGTGGCTGAGATCACGACCCCACCAACGAGGATCAAGCTTTGTCTCGTATAGCTGTTGAGACTTGGGAATACCCTGAAAGACGTGGATGGGAAGGAACTGGTTGGGCATCGACGGCGAGTAGACATAGATGTCGATCTTGGAGACGGTGTTGTCAAGACAGGATTGATCCCAACGAATATCGGTGACGTTGGTCACTTGGACTTGCTGACCGGAGGCAGGAGCGACGTAGAGACCACCAGCAAGGCATTTGGCCGAGTTGTCGATGGTGGAGGCAGACTGACGCTTGATGATGCGCTGTTGTTGTTGTTGTTGTTGTTGATGATGATGATGGTAGTGGTGATGCATGTGACTGCGAGTGTTGAGCGTCATGATGGGCGAAGGAAGGAGTGCAAGTGACACAAAGATGTTTGTGTGTGTGTGCAGAAGGCGATGGTGTAAAGAACGTCAAGATGCAGCCGACCTGGGCTGTGTGTTGATTGTTGTAGTGGGGCGAGACAGGTGGATAGAGTCGAGGATACGGATCCGAAGGGAGGGGTGGGGCTGAGATAAGGGGAGAGATAGAGAAGAGGATGAAAGAGGATCGTGGAGAAGAGGATCGGCGAGACCTGCCAATGGTGACGAGAGGATGAGAACGAGGGCGAAAAAACAGAGCGCCCGCACACACATACACACACGCAGCAGAGGGCAAACAAAGGCAATCCCCATGAAAGGGAACCAACCGACACTGGGCCAGTGCCTGCCAAAGAGATGGAGACTTGGGCAGAAGAGGAGAGTCCATTTCAACAGGCAAGAGGGCTGGTGGGAATGCCAAGTGAAATTGTAATTGTAGAATTGTAGTTGTGGCATTTCATCAGTCTCAAGCCTCTGATGGCGGTTGTTTTCATATCCGTGTCCAACGGCCTAATTTCTAATTAGGTCCCCTTTACAGCTGGATACAACAAATCCCCCTTTTGGTATAAACTTCAACCTAAGTTCTTTCTATTACTATTAAAAGTGTTACAATAAATCGGATGTGTCTATCGATTGGTAGTGTAATAGCGACAATACAACACACACAACAACGCGTCGTGCTTTTGAAATGCAAGTCTTGGAAGCTGCTTCCTTGCAGCGGCGAAAGATGAGCGGCGTAAAATCAAGGGGCAAAACGTTGTTAGATCAGCAAAGTGTCACAGCTCCTTAATGTTATCGTGCGAAACAAAGATTTCGGAAGTCGGCCAAGGTCATCTCGAGCCTGAACGAAGGAATGAATGCAACGAAATTCTCAACCTTTTTCTTCTGTTCAGATTTTGTAACCCCCAACCCCCACCTCAGCACCTTCTTCACCACTCCTCAAAGGCCATATCAAGCAACAGAAAGATGGCCAACAAGTCGACAAAAAAGGACAGCTCGGCTACTGCTCAGACTCCTGCTCCAGCAGCAACCCCCGATGGCTTCGATTCGGAACTCGACGCAATCTTCAAGGCAGCGCCACCAGCACCTCTTCCTGCCGTCACTGCAAGATCCACATCCACCAGCACTGCCGCCGCATCTGGCCCATCCAACTCCAGAAAGCGCAAAGCAGCCCAGCAACAGCTCGAGCAAGTAGCCCAGGAAGACTCTGAACAGGAGGAAAGCAATGAAGAAGCAGAGCATGATGACAACGACGACAACGACGACAACGACAATGTAGAGATGGAACAAGGCCATGGAGACCTCTCAAGCGTCGACGAGGAGTTGGACGATGAAGGATCACTTTTATTCAGCCAAAGTGAAGCAGAAGACGATTCTGACAACCAAGATGATGCCGAAGCTCCAGAAGAGGACGAGCCTTATGTCCCTCCTCAGCACGAGTCGGTCATCAGAGGCAGGGGCAAGAACAACACCACCGAGGCCCCAGCCAAGCAACGCAAAAAGACATTCAAACAAGAGCACGAGCCCTCCGAGACACGAGACCAGCGCACACTCTTCATCGGCAACGTTCCTATCGAGACTGCCCAGTCCCGCTCTCTTCAGCGCAAGCTCACGTCCTTCATCGAGTCCTTCTCTCCATACCCTATCCTCACCAAAGCTACCGCGCTTCGTTTCCGCTCTGTCCCTTTCGCTACTCCCACCGTCAATCTTGATGCAGATGCCGACGACGACGACGATGCTTCGGGCAAGAAGAAGAACAAGAAGAACAAAAACAAGGGCAAGTCCAACGACCGCAGTCAAAACTACAAAGAGGCTGTTGCTGCTGTCGAAGGTGGTCTAGGATCGCAGGCTCCTCTCACAGCACAGCAGAAGCGAAAGATCGCCTTCATCAACCAGGATTTCCACGAAAAGGCAAAGAGTGTTTCTGCATACCTCACCATCGCCCACCCCCAGGCCGTGCTTGATCACCTTTATGATATTGCCCCGCCCAAAGCCAAGTCCAAGGATGCTGCACAAGCAAGCACACGCCGAATCGAGCTCGACTGCAGACTCACAGGCTACATCCTTGCAGCGCTCATTGCACCATTTGCCGATGGTCAGCCATTCGAAGGACGTCACTTGCGAGTGGATCTCGTCAAGTCTATCTCGCCTGGCCAAGTTCTCACCTCTGGCCTCGAAAAGGTCAAGACCCTGGACGGCAACCTTGCAGGATCCAGCAACGCGACCACCGATCCCAAATCCACCCTCTTCGTCGGCGGTCTCGATTTCGAAACAGACGAAGAAGAAGTTCGAGCGTTTTTTGAATCACTGCTCGTCGAAGAGCTTGGTCCTGCGGGCGAAGCGATCACAATCCCTGTCACAGGTCTCGACGGCAAACGAGCACCGAAAGACCTTCTCGATTCCCTATCACGCGAGTTCCCATTCGTTCCACCCGAACAGCGCAAACCTACCGAGTCTGTCGTTCGCGACGCCGAATACGTCCGTTCAGTCCGATTGATCCGAGATGCAGCCACACAAATGGGCAAAGGTATCGGTTACGTACGCTTCGCTTCGCAACAATGCGTAGATGAAGTCATGGCAATTTACAACGCCGATCAAGCCTTGCTTGAATCGATCAAAGGTGTCAAAGGTTCTCTCGGTGCTTCGGCTGCCATCGCTGCGGGCGGGAAAGAGTTGAAACGTAGACTCAAGCTCAAAGGTCGTCCTATCCGCGTTGCTTATTGCAAGTCTCAAACTAACGATTCTCCTCATCCTCGCTCCAAAAAGCACTCGAACGCTGAGGAGGATCAAGCGGAACCCGGCACTCCACAACGCAAGTCTCCTCGATACGAACGATCTTCCGGCGCACCCACACCCAACGGTACCTCGCCCCATGCACTGCAGAAGAAAAGACAGCGTACGATGCCGCCCACAAAGATCAGCCCTGGTAGTCCGAGCGCTTCTCGTGCACCACCCGCCAACTCGGCCGATATCGCAAAGAAGGCAGACTTGTACGCCACATTGAGCAAGGATGAGAGAAAACAGCTCAAGAAAGAGGATCAGGATAGGATCAACAGGAGGATGGAGAAGAAGAACAAGAAATTTCCTGCTTCTGCTAAAGGCGCCTTCAAGGCGGATAAGTCCTTGCTGGCGGAAGGAGACAAGGTGAAGAGTAAGGAGAAGGTCAGGTTGAGGCAGCCGAATGGAGCTGGTGCAAAGGGCGTGGGAGGTGGTAACAAGTTCAACAAGGCTCCTCCTCAGGTTGGTGCTAGGAGAGGTCCACCTAAGGCCAAGTAAGGCCCTCGTTGGCCATTTTTGCATGTCTTGGTTTCATTCATTCGTGCCCATTCATTCGTTGTTCAATACTAATACTGACATCCCAACTTGGCAAATCTCGTCCTTTGCCCGTGCTGATCTGAGTTCAAGTCTTGGCACCTTGCCCACGAAAAGGGCAGATGCTCTCATCCATGTCAACTCTTTCTGCGTGAAATATGAAATGGAATGCAGTAAGGAGATGATGTATGCAGCAAGCTAGGGCCGGCCCTTGTCCCTCTCCTGCTGTTCTTCGAACTGCTTCTGCAAAGCCAAACTGATCTTACTCTTTGCCCTAATCCTCTCTCCATAGAAGAACAGCACGAAGGGCACAACGCCCAACACTGCTCCCAACAAGCCACTTAACGTACTCGCCCACTGATATCCCATACCTTTATACATATATTGCACGAACAAGGGGAAGATAAAGGCAAAAATGTTCCTCGCAAAGCTCTGCGCCGCCAAGGCCGAGCTAGCATAGCAAAGATAGGAATCGGCCAAGTAATTGAAGACGCTGAGGTAAATGTGGTATATGGATACCATCAGAGTGGTAACGCCAACAACGGGTCCAGCGATGTTGGTATGCGGGAAAGAGGTCCAGGCGTAGATAAAGCATCCTATGGGGAAAAAAATCGCACCTGCGCAAGCAAGGTATAAGCGTGCTTCGGGGCCCTTTGTAGGGTAATGTTTAGCGTAGAGACGTTCTTGGATCGGGTTGATCAAGTTACCCAGAATACCAGCTGCAGCTATGGAGATGAAGACCAAGCCAGTCTCTCCGGGGGTGAAAGAATGTTGGGCGGTAATGAGAGCGATGGAAGAAAGAAGCATGTACATGAACCCCCACGTGAAGGCGATCCAGAGAGAGAAGAAGGTTACGATGGGTTCCTTGACCAAGAAGATCAGTGGTCGGCTGAGCGAGTTTTTGATTAGGAGGCTGAGCGATGCTCTTTCTAGTTCTGCCCTTGCTTTGTATCGTTGATCTCCTGTGCTTTTGCGCAGTTTCGCTGCTCGACGGCTGAGGATGATGCTCCCACGTGTTTCGCCAAGGAAGAGCAGAAGAAGGATAAGAATGAATGCAGTGTAGATAGCCTGGATGTACTCAATCCACCTCCAACCCAAGCTTGTGTTTTCTTCCACCCATCCTGCCCAAACGGGGCCGATGCCAGTGCCGAAGATGGCACCAGTGGCAAACAAGGCCATTGGTTGGCCTCTTTCACTACTAACCCAAATATCACTGATACTGCCACCAACCATTGTACTACCCGTACTACCAAACGCTCCTTGCAAGAATCTCAATACAATCATTGTCGATGTATTCTTGGCAAGCCCTAAGCCGACGAATAAGAGGCTATAGCACAGATGGCAGACCAAATACATCGGATTCCTACCCAACACCTCCGATAACGGAGCCAGCACTAACGGCGGTAGAGAGAATCCGAGTGGGTAAACTGCAATGCCGAGAAGGGAAAGTTCATGGTTGGTGATATTGAGATCTCGTTCCATGGAGGGGATGCCAGGTACGTAGGCAGAAGCGGTTGCAGCTACTTCAGCGGTAAACAGGACACCGAGCATGGTGATACACCACTTGCGCCTTTTCGAGAAGTTCAACGGGTTTTCCCCATCTCCGGGGGGGAAGTCGACCCAGATGGCATCGCATGAAGCTTCTGATTTTAGCATCCAGCCGTCGGCTTGCGGGACTTTTTCGAGATCCTTATCCGCATCTACCTCTCGACGGGCAAGTTGGGAGGATGCGGGATGCAGTTCAGCCGGAAGAGGGGCAGAGACAATCTTGCTTTGCTGTTGATCCTCGATAATCGTCTTTCCATTTGAATGTGGCGAACGGGATGAACTCGAGTCGGTCCGTGAGCGTGAAGAGGAGCCTTGGCCAGTCATTGCTGTGTATGGTGTCATTGTGCCGTCGATTGTTGCGATTTGATGGTGCTGCAAAGTTGTGGCCATGATCCTTTCTTGGCTTTCCTCCTTGGCCCAAAGACTCGTATAATATGTTTGCAATGTTGAGATGTAGCCTCGTGATGGCAAGCGACGTTAGCGGTGGTGTGCAAACGACCAAGTTCAGAGATAGAGCAAGGATAGTGATGATGGTCAAGAAGCTAGCCAAGTTCGACCCAAGTCGCTCCTTCCTCCCTATTCTTGCTATCCAACACTCTCTGACTCGGCAACGGCCTATTTTCGGCCCTGAGCGGCAAAAGGGAAAGATCGGAGGTACAAACGCAGAGTTCACATGCCACAAAAGGATCCCTCTCAATCTCAATCCATCCGACTGCACTGTATCGCCGACAACGATAGACGAATCAGAGAAGCTGAGCGAGACAACAAAGTGCGTTTAACGTTGGTCGGTAAAACTTCATGCCTCTCGCAGTGTTTGCTTTGTCACTCGAACACCATCTCAATCAGCCGACATCATCTGAATAGCTTATCTCCGCTGCAACAAACTTCGGCCTAGCATGTAACAGAGAGATGCGATCCAAAATGCAATCATGAGAGCCTGGCATGGTCAGGTTGGATAAGGTCGTACAAGACCGGATGACAGGGCAAAAGCCGAAATCGGAGAAACAGGAAAATTCTTTTCGATCGGCAATGCATCGTTTTTACGGTCTATATTGGAGAACCACTATAGACGCAAAGTCAGCCGAGGTCCGTGTAGATGGGGGTTTAGCTCAGTTGGTAGAGCGTTCGCTTAGCATCCAACCTAATGTGCGAAAGGTCGCGTGTTCGACTCATGCAGTCTCCACTCCTTTTTTTTTTTTTTTTTTTTTTCCCTTCTTCTTCTTTTCTGTGTATTTTTGGTTAGCATAACTTTTTACGCAAAGCCTCATTAGGGGGTTTCAGTTTTTTTTTTTTTTTTTTGCCCTCGAAAACTCTAGTTTTCGAATAGTGAAAAAAGGCCAGAAAATTGATGCCCCCAAATGTAAGCTGTGTTTTTAGACCAAGAGTTAGGGTAGTGTTGGCCAGAACATGAAGTGTGTTGGCTGGAACATGAAGCAGTTCTGGAATCCAAACCACCTTGTAGCTCCACCATCTTTGACACTCTTGTTGCACAATCAAAGTATATATAGTCATTATTGACACCATGGGTTCATGCAAAACAAGCTGTGCAGGAAAAGTGGAGGCATTTGTGCAAGTAAATCACATGCAACATCACATGAGTGAAGACTCAGGTCCAATTCTGAAAACTCTGCCACATTGGTACTGCTGAGGCAGCATTTTCAAAAACTAGGGTATTTTCCAAAATGGCAGAGCTTATGTAAGTAATGAAGATTTGATGCAAGTGAAAACTCAAAATTAACTTGAGTTTCCAAAAAAGAAATAAAACTGAAACCCCCTAAGTTGCATCCAAAATTGCCCAGCATCTTTTAGGATAATTAAATGCTCATCACCACACATCAACTTTGCTTCTCAAAAACTGCTATCCTCAAAGAAGTGTAGCTTGTGACATATTGTTGGAAAGCTGAGATTGAGAGCTACAAGTACATATAAATTTTGTTCTGATTGGACCACATTTGTGCACAGTGAATGTGCCACAACTTTTTTTTTTTTTTTTTTTTTTTTTTTTGAGTGTAAAGCTCCTCCTAAAGTACTATATACTATACTTTAGTCTTTTGTATGACCCCCTTTTGCAACCCTTACAGCCTGTAACCTCCTGGGCATTGACTTTATGAGTGCCTGGACTGATTCCTTGGGAAAAGTTGCCCAAAGCCTGTTGATAGCTGCAATGAGTTGAGCTTTGTTGTTGATAGTATATCTTTGCTAATATAGCTGCTTTTTCAGCTGCTGCCACACATGTTCTATAGGATTCAGGTCTGGAGACATTGCAGGCCAGGGCAATACATTGAGTTTGACCTCCTCCAGGTACTCCTTGGCAACTTTGGCAGTGTGAGGGTGGCCATTGTCTTGCTGAAAGATCAATTTATCCCTTGGTGGAATCCTCTGTATATTCTTCCATTTCAAGATGCTACCAGGCACCACTTCCTCCAGCAACTCAATGTAATGCTCCAAATTCAGTTTGCCATCTATATAGACTGTTAGACCTAGGCCTGCCCAGGCCATACACCCCCAAATCATGATGCTGTGGCTGCCACCCTGGAGTGCAGGTATATATATATATATATATATATCATGGTTGACATCCCTGGACCAGTATTGCTTTTCCAAGCCCTTTCCAATGCATTGAACCTTGCATTCATCACTCCAGATGACATTCTTCCATTGTTCAACAGTCCAATGTCTATACTCCTTGGCAAACACCTCTTGCCTTCATAAAGATAACTACTACTGATCCTATCAAGTTCTGTGGTAAAAGGCCTTTATTATTATTCTTGCTGAAATCTGTCATAGAAGCCTTCTATGACTTTTCTTGCTCAAATATGTGGTAGCTTGAAAGTTATTGCAGGTTTTGACTAACCACTGTGGACACTCCATCCAGAGGTAGCTTGGCACTTTCAATAACTGTAGATATGTTGCAATGACACCAAGGTCTGGTGCCAATGAGGTTGCTTCAACACAAGTGTCCAGTGTGTCAATAGAATGAGAGGTGATCCCTGGACCACAGTGGGCAACTGCCTTTGGTTCTAATGATCGAGAGAGCTGGACTGCAGTATGAACCACCTTTGGTGTCAATCCATATCCAGACCGCAGTTGATACTGCCTTTGGATGATGTCAATGAGCAGTGATACAACACATGTGCTTTGGTAGAAGCAATGCTTTGCAATTGCAACTGTTGATGGAATACTAACTATACTTTCTGTGAAGCTATAACTAGTGATGTAAGGTGTAGAGTGGATGGGGATCCACTCAACTACTATGATGAAGAGCAAGTGTGTTTTATGTAGATTGTCAGTGGTCGTGTGCCTGGAACCCGAAAGCTACCATTTTGGGTGATTTCAACCAGTTTCAGTGAGCATGCTTGAGTATGCACCTGTCAGCCACTTTCACTGAGACTGCTTGAAGGATTATTTGTTTGGTGAGTTTCAGCTAACTGCTGTGAACACTCAGTTCAGTGGTAACATGGCACAGTCAGTTCCTGTTTGTTGCAGGACACTTAATATATGGGATGATGATCCATTGACTTGACATGAGTGTTTGAGGTGTTGATGAGCAAATGGTGAATTGGTGAGAGAAGCCCAGACTACAGTATGAGTACTGCCTTCAGAGAGGTGATTATCTGGACCACAGTAACTACTGCCTACAGATGATGTCAGTGAGAGGTGATACAACACACCTGCTTGGATTAGTAGCAATGGCCTGCAATTGCACTATGTGATGGAACAACTAAGTATATGTTACAGTAGAGTATAGTTTAGTTAAGAATAGAGTGGATGCCAGATCCACTCATTCACTATGACAGAGGGGTGTATATATATCTTCATGCCATGGTGTCTACCTCACCATGGCCCCCCTTCCTTACAGGGTATGGCCTCCCCATCCATCCTGTTCTATCTGGCTCCTACTTCTATCCTGCCCTTCCTATCCTTACTCCCCTGGCTGAGGTGACGATCCTCCTATGCCAACTTCATCATGCTCAGGGGTCTCCTCCCACCTCATCTGGTGGCAAGGTCTCTTGTTCCCTGCTCTCAGTGGCTGACCCTTTGATCTTGGTGGGGCACCCTCATCTCATTGTGGGGCTGGTCAATCCACTTCATCTTGGGCCAGTCTCAGTGAAACTTCCCAGTACCCACTGTCTCAACCATTCTTGATGAGGTTTCCCCCCAGCTTACTGTCAGACCATTCTCAGTGAGATTGGTTGGAGCCCCTTGGTCTTGACCAGTTCCACTTCTGGTGCACCAAGCTCATTTTGGTGGCTGTGCAGCATGGCTGCTTATGATCTCTGCGCTGGCCCTGTGACATAGATGTCCTTGCAGCGTTGCAGGCGACACTGCTCTTACCCTATGTGGTCTCCTCCTACACTGCTTCTCCTACTCTTGACTCTCCCTCCTAGCAGGCCTGCTTGCCTTATGATGCTGTTTGTTAGCATGATTTCCTTTACTCCTTGCAGATGGAAGGTCCTTGTGCTGCTTCATTATTGATAGGGGCTCTCCCCACTTCATCTGAGTGGTGACTCTCACCCCCTTTCCATCTCACCTATTCTCCTGCCCCCAAGTTCATCATCAAGCAAGCCCCTGCTTCATTAGGGTGGCAGACCCAGATGTCCTTGCCACATGTCCTGTTGTGAGGCCTGTAGGCCCAGTGTCTTTCCACTGGTTTCCACAAGCTCTATCATACAATCATGATACTACAGATCCTGGCAGGATTTGTGGTACAATCCCTGCTCATGCCAATCTGGGTGAGATCTGTCATAGAGCCTCTCTACTACAGATCTTGATGAACTTTGTTGTAAGCCCCTCAATTTGCCCAATCCTTGATTCCTGCATTCCTCCTCATATGACTTCTGCTTCTGCACATCTGGTCCCATGACACCACCCAAGAGTCCTTCTCACATATTCACTCTCTGGTACCTGTTTTGCCAGTTCAGCAATGCTGGATTTGTTGATAGACAGTTTAGTTGCTATCTCTATTGTTGATAAACCTGCTTGGAGCAGCTCTTTGACCTGTAATAGGTGAGTGGTGGTGTATTTAGTCCTCCCCATATTGATTTTTTGTCAAAACACCCCAAAACATCTTCTTCTTTTTTTTTTTTTTTTTTTCTTTTTTTTTTTTTTTTTTTAATCATACTACAATCATATGAAGTTTCAAGCATGGTCTATTAGCTCAATTCTGTGCAAAGCATGAGTTACACAAGGTACAGAATTAATTGAGGAGGAGGAGGGGCTTCAAAGAGTGCCAACCTAAATTCCAGCATATTCTTTGGCAGGACCACCCTTTTTTTCTCATGTATTCTGATAGCAGGCTATCCAAGCTTTGCAACCATACCAAATAAAGTGGGTGTTGTCAAAGAGAACAAAGGATACTGGTCATCATCATGAAAAGGACCTGAGAACACCATATCAAATTAATTAGATGTCGGGCAATTTTGGACGCAGCTGTATTCTGAACAAGATCTTTGCACTGGAAGAAGTGACTAGCGGTGACAAAGAAAGATGAAGAATGGATGCTATTATCAAGATGGAGAAGTGTTGGGATGCAACTTGTTCGCGCGCGTCTGAAACGCATCGATCATCTGTCGACTCATCTGTTCAAATAGGTTGCCTGCCATCGCACCGTAGACGGGATTCCTGAATGCGTAGACCAGACTGAACTCCACCAGAGTCTCGTTGGCTTGCTTGATCGGATGAAAGGACCACTTGGTCGATAAGAAGGAAAAGACAGGATTGGGCTGTACAGCTTCTGCCACCACACTTGCTCCCTTGCCCTTTTCTCCACGCACCATGGTGACTTTGGAAGTATAAGTCTCGCAGAAGCTTCCAAAGCCAACTGTCAGATCTGCTAACACTGCATTGGGTGAGTTCTGATCTGCGGGTCCAAGCACATGAGAGTCTTGACAGTAAGGAAGGAAGTGCTTGTAGGAGTCCACGTCAGCAACTACACTGAAGAGCGTATCTGAAGGGTGGGCGAGCATCTTGGACGTTTCATAGACTGTGCGACCTTGAGAGTCGCGGTACGAACGACTGCCCTGCTTGGCGCCGCTGGTGGTGTTGTTGGAAGTGGCAGAAGAGATGGCGCTAGATGCGAGCTTGCCTAGATCTGCAAGCTTGAACAAGGTTCGCTTGACCACCAACTGCTTTCCCTTCCTTAAGGCGAGAGTGGAGCGAGGTGGAGAAGTGAACCTTCTCTGCTGACCAGCGGGGGTGATTGCAGAAGTGTGTCGTACTGCATGTGGAGAAGTGGGTCTCGGAGCAGCCTGCAGTGGTTGCAGTGGTTGCTGCTGGGTAGATGGCCAAGCTGGTCTAGCAGCACCAGCTACGGCTTGACTATGAACGCTTGCGTTGAGCGAAGCATCATCTTTCCACCCAGCCAACTTCCTAATTGCGTACACATCTACCGCGCCAAAAACGCTTTGATCTTCGATAGCCGCACAGACCGCTTTGGCGACTGTATCGATGTGTAGTGGCGGCGTGGTGAGGAGTCGAGCTATGGACTGAGAGCTAGAGTTGCTGTCGTTGCCGCCAAGACGAGCGATGAGTTGCGCCGGTGTCGGAATAGGCAACGGGAGGGGGGGAGAGCGGTGAAGTGCTGCAGAGGCTTCGAGGATTGCTGCTGGTAATGTCGAGCCTGGGCGTGTATGTGGGTGGTACATCAGGCCCGGTCGGAGGAAGACTGGTCGGACAAGACCTTGAATTGATGTCGAATCCGAACTGGCTTCGCTCGCGGCGTTGGCGTGCACTGCGTCCGATGCAGGTTCGTCGCGAAGCTCTGCTTGCAAGCCTGCTCCATCCGCGTCGAGGATGGCTTCGGAGCTGTCTCGTGTAGCAGTGCCAGATGGGGAGGGAGGATGGAGATGTGCGGCAAGGCGTGCGATTGCGGACTCTGCTTGACGCTTTGTTCTGATGTATCTTGCATCGACGATGGGTCGGAAGAGATCTTCGGCTGAGATGTAGATGAAGGGTGCGGGAGCTGAGATCGATGCTGAGCTCGAGCCTTGGATGGGATGCAAGGATCGATGTCTCAAGGAGGAGAGAAAAGTGTGTGCAACAGCAATGGCACTGTCCCTGTTCATGTTTTCGTAGCTGAAGCGTCCGTCTCTGCGCGGCGAATGCGATGGGTCCGGGTATTTGGAAGCGTGAAGAGGATTCGAGTCTGCACCAGACCAAGGCAACCGCAGGCCCCATCCTTTAGCGACACCAGCAAGAGCATTGCGAATGGGCGAAGCTGAAGAGGATTTGGACTTGTAGTCGGACTCCAGAAGGATGCCTACAGTGTGGACGGCAGCAGTTGCTCTGTCAGCCAAACGAGCATACGATGATGGGTCGAGGGCATCAGCAGCATGCCATTCGATGTTGGCACTTGATGACCATGCTGGTCGGTGCCCTGCTGGTGTATGGTAGGGTGTTCCAGAGGGTGAGACGGAGAGAACTCGCCATCCTTTTGCAAGTGCAGCTTTGGAGATGGCGCTGCCGAGAAAGCCGGCGCCTCCTACGACGAGCAAAGTGTGCTGCGACATGGATGTAGTTGAGCTAAAGCATGTCCTGATGGTGGTGACGAGGATGACAAGCAGCCTCTCGAGCTTTGACGAGCTTGAGATGTGGAGCAAAAACATCAGCATTATGTAAGCATTACCCAACATCAAGCGCGCGTCAGATTCTGCAACTTTACACAAGCAGAAGCGATGGACACTGTCAAAGTGCCTCGCACCGGATTCCGCTCTGATCGCTTACTCGACCTCTCCTTGTCAAGGCTTGTATGCTCTCCTTCGAAGCACAAGCTGATGGGATGGGATGGGATGGGATGGGATGGGATGGGATGTATGGCCATCTTCATGCTTCGCTCGCTCGGCCTCGCCTAGGGAATGCAAGTCACCATGGATTAGCACTTTGATTTGAGGGCAAGAAACTGCTGACTAGCCCACCTGCATCGAGAGGAGCATCGCAATCTTGCTATCCTCCGTTGCACCTTGGCTCTCCCTGTTGTATGAGAACAACATAGGTGAGGCATTCCATTGAACTCGTGTGCGAGAGCATGTTGCTGCTGCAGTTAGTCGCCCTTGTTACTGTGCATTCAACCATCTTCTTGAATGTATGCCTTTTACCGGGTCGGTCTTGTCTCACTCCTCGAGCGCCGCCTGTTAGCTGCTCCTCCTTACTTGATGCTCTCTGTGTTAACTTGGCCTCTTGTTGATCCTCTCGCTTTCGCTCCTCATGTCCAGTTGTGACGCCATCTCTCGCACTCTGACGGCTCATAGAAGCAGAAGACCTCGACTCTGATTCACTCCTTCGTTTCTATCCTTGGCAACTTTCTTTTCCTCGCCCATCTCTTCTCCTCTTCCATCTCTTTTCCTCTCCCATCTCTTCTTCTCTCTCCCATCTCTTCTTCTCTCCCCCATCATACCCTCGATCCGGTGAGAGACGGCGATGCCTTCTGCCACCACCTCCAACAGCCATACAACATACCCTTCTGATTCGTCTTCAATAGCCTCCTCTACATCGCCCGCGACCGCTGTAACGCAGAGAGCACGGCTACGATCCTCTCCCGACCCGCCTTTGTACCAGTCGCACGGCTCGACCGGGCGCACTTGCGTCTCACAATCAAGAGCAGCCTCCAACGGCGACGGCAAAGCACGTGCATCCTACGCCCGCAACAGCTACGCTTCCCAGCAAGAGCAAGGCTGGGAACAGGACGCTACTTGCACCGACGACTTTTTCGACGACGAGGACGAAGAGGACTACTACCAAGGGCAGCGAAAGGACAGTGACCATCGGCCTTTGCTTGAACGCAGCTCCAACTCTGCTTCTTGCACCTCTCGCAGCAAGAAAGGAGATCATCCCGGCACCAAGAGGTCCAATTCGATCAAGATGAAGCGTTCCAATTCGCATAGACTGGCTGACGAGTACAAGGACGATGAGAGGGCAGCCAAGTCGGCTGGTCAGGAGGTCTTATCGTATACACCTCGCAACTCGAGTCGGCGAGGCAGCTCTGCAGAAGGCCAAGGCTCGCGTGGACCTAAGCATGTTTCGTTGGATGAGATCTTTGATCCCACCAAAACACTGATGGAGAACAAATCGATGATGATCTCAGCCGAGTTGGATCGTATGGGGATGGGCACGTACCAGATGTGCATTTGGTTCCTCTGCGGATGCGGATACTTTATCGACTTGCTCTGGGCACAAGCGCTTGGTCTCATCGTTACACAGGTGGCGTACGAGTTTGACGACCAGATCCAAGGACGTACAGGTCCGCTTCAAACCGCTTTCTCAGCAGGTTTGAGAGTGGGAGCGTTGTTCTTCGGCTTTGCTGTCGACGTTGTTGGCAGACGATGGAGTTTCTACGTGACCACTTTGATCGCATCTGTGTTTGGTATTGCAAGTGGTGGAGCAGGTAGCTTCGAGACACTATGTGTTTTGGCCGCCTTGATTGGGTTTGGTATTGGAGGCAACATGCCGATCGATGCTACGATTACGATTGAGTTCCTTCCGTGTAAGAGGCGATTGCTTGTCGCTGCACTCTGCATTTTCCAGCCGCTCGGTGTGCTGGTTTGCTCCGGAATCTCGTATGGCTTGATCCCCAAGTATGCCTGCGACTCGGCAGCAAGCTGTAGACGCAGCAACAACATGGGTTGGCGCTACACTCTCTTTACACTCGGCTGTATCACTTGGCTCGTCTTTGTGGCTCGATTCTTCATGTTCACCTTGCGCGAATCGCCAGAGTATCTGCTGGCACGCGGGAAAGATGCGAAAGCGCTCAAGATCATTCAACAGATCCTCATCACCAACAAGAGCAAGATCGAGCCACTCTTCACCCAAGCCGACTTCCGTGAGGCAGCCAAACGTATCGCTGCGCACCAAGGAGGCGAGTACATGGACCAACACATGGACCAAGATCGAGAAGAGCGAGAAGGACTGGATGCAGGTGGTGGCAAAGCTTCTCGTCTGCAACAAGCCAAGAAATCGGCAAAAGAGATGGTAGCGTTGTTCTTGAACGCTAAAACCTTGTTCGGCGATGGCAGGATGGCACGAGTAACAACGATCATCTGGATCACCTTTATCGGCGACTTTTGGGGCTTCACTCTGGCGGGCTTCTACCTGCCGCAGATGCTACGAGCAAAGGGTGCAGCCGAAGATACATCGATGGAAAGGAGGTATCGCAACTACATTCTGATTTATTTGCCCGGTATCTTGGCGGTTGCGTTGGGTGCGGCGATGATTGAAGTTCCTAAACTCGGAAGACAGTGGGCAATGGTGGTTTCGTCTGCGTTGATGGCGGTGTCGTTCTTCTTGTTCACGATGGTGGAGACGCAGGCGGCAAGTATTGGTGCCAACGCTGCTGAATATTTTGCACAGAGCTTTTTCAATTGCATTCTGTATGCTTTTGTAGCGGAGATCTATCCAAGTCAGGTAAGAGGTACCGCAAGCGGTCTCGCTTCCACCCTTGGCCGGCTGGCCAGCATCGTCGCACCCTTGGCAGCCGATGCACTGTACAGAGACCAGACCGAGCAGCAGGCTAAGCAGGTGCTTTATTTGGCAGCAAGTGTGACGCTGTTGTGTCCTGTCGCACTTGCCTTGTTGCCTTACGACACGAGAGGGATACGGGTTTACTAGAGCAGCATGATGGTGGCACGGCTATAGTTACTGTGAGTGGCACAAGGCTGGCTTGGCGGTGTCCGTGCGTATCCGTGCGTGTCGGTGCGTGTCGACTGGATCTCATCTTGAAGCCCAAGCGAGCTTGACTTTGCCCCGGAGTCATATATATATATATATATATATATATATATTCAACAGCAGCAAAGAAAGCGAGCGAGCGAGCGTGCGTGCGTGCGTGCGTGCGTACGTGTGTGTATGCTGTGTTCCTGAAAATTTCAAGCAACCGACAGCGGTTTCCTTCCGGGCACAAGAGCAGACGCGAGAAAGAGAGCGAGAAAAGGCTCTTCCGAATCGGCCAGGGACCTGAAAATTGACAATTACAAAAAGTAAAGAAAAAAGAAAAAAGAAAAAAAGGGTTCAAATGATGTTCAGAGAGCTTCAAATTCAGCCCTTTCAACCAATCGTTCGGTACAGTACCCAGAGACGCCTCATCCGACACAATATTCCCACACAATCACACTTTCATACAATCACACTTTCATACAATCACATAATCATACAATCACATAATCATACAATCACATAATCACATCATCACATAATCATACAATCACATAATCACATCATCACATAATCACACTTGCTTATCTTCGGCACATCCGCCAAAATTCGGCACATCCGCTAATTTTCGGCACATCCGTCTCCCTGCCATTCTCCTGTTTTCTTCTTTTCTCTGCTCTACTGCTGTTTTCGGTGTCGGCCCTCTCTTCCTCTGCCTCTCTTCCTCTGCCTCTCTTCCTCTGCGGCTTGAATGTCTCAGTGCTTGTGTGCCAGCTTATCCTTATCTTGACAGCTCTCTCGCCTGAAAGGTAGACTAAGATAAGCCAAGCCAGCGGTGCACGTCAAACACAATGAGCCACGGCACTTGAGCCCTTGTCAAATCCACGCAACAGCAGCCAAGCTTTTTTTTTTTTCTTTTTTTCTTTTTTTCTTTTTTTCTTTTCTCTTTCAGCGCCTCCTCCCCTTTGGATTGGTGATTTGCTGAGCCTCTGCCCTTGCTTCTTGCCCTCTCGTCGCTTCTTGCCCTGCTCTCTCTTGGCTTTCCAGCTGAATCTCTCCCCCCCTCTCCCTCTCCCTTGGCCACCATCATACCCTCGCCACCATCCTATCCTCACCTCCCACCATATCTCATCTCCCACCATATCTCACCCTTACCTACACACCTCGCTCAACGCTTCTCAGTCACAGGATCCACTCGTCGCCTTGCCCTCAAGCCGTTGAATCGCAATTCGCTCGATACCACAGAGGCCTCCTTGTCGATCGGCCACTGGCCACTGGCGCCTGCTTCGGTTTTTGTCTTGATATCGCTTCGAGCACCAAGCACCAAGCACTCATTCTAGCAAGTCCTCGTCCCAACGGCTTGCGTGCACCTCTACATTGCTGCTCTTGCAATCGCACCACACTCCTTGATACCCGTCACCTCGGCCAAACTGAAGCCTAGCTTTCTCTCGCATTCATTCAACCACCCACTTTCGGTTGTCCACCCAGCTTGCGCACTTGTTCCTCGTACCTGCCTTTGCACCTCATTTCACCCATCCCTCACAGCATTGTCGTCGCTCAACTCTAATCTTCAGCTCAACGTCGCCGGAAACCCCTCGACTGCGGCCTTGTTCCGCTCTGACATGGCCCGCAAACCTTAGCTTCTCTTGTCCCGTATCCTTCAATCCCATCTCCCAAGCCCAAGCACAGCTGAGCCCAGGTCAATCATCTTGTCCCTCGTAACAACTGCCTCTCAAGCTCTATTCGCTCCGACCTTGAAAACCACGCGTCCGTACGAGACGCAGGCACTTCATCTCGTCCTTGCCATTCCAACCACCGTCTTGGCGCCCCTTTTTTTCATTCCGCCCGAGTCCTGCACTGCAGCCCAATCGCAAGTTGCCCCACCCACAATCTTGCCCATCTGCGCAGCACAAAGGAAAAACTTCTTAAGGTTACACTTTCCTCTCGTCCTCTTTGCCATCCCCTCCTCTTTGCCATCGCTGAGCATCCTCTTTCTGTTGCTCCTTACCCCATTCAAGCTCTTGCAATCATTCCCGACACTCTCCAGCCTTGCGCCCAGTCACGGCTCTTCCGGCTTGCTTTCATCCGACCCTCAAACCCCCCAGCATCTCTGCCTCCTTAAGAATCCGCCATTACTCCGAGTCGTTGCAAGAGCATCAACGATATAAGCTCAATCAAAAAATCAAAAAAAAAAAAAATCAAAAAATCCCGCTCGAGCGAAAGAAGATGGCCTCGGCCCCGACACCGGCACCCTTTCCAAATCAACGCTTGCTTCCTCATCTCTCCAGCACCAACATCGGAGCCGCCATCGATCTTGCTACTATTTCTGCCATCTCGTCAAATACTTTTTCCATCCCTACCTTGTCCTCGCCGATACCTTGGCAAAGGGCGACCCAACCTCGCCTCATGTCGTCCACCCAATCCTTGGCCCCAAACCCAAAGGCCTACAACACACTCGCCTCCGCATACAGCAAACGCAATGGAACCGCCAACACAGCAACCACTTTGCCTACAGCCTTGGGCTCTGACGAAGCGCTGACTCAAGCATATGCAGCTCGCCCTCTGCCGCAGCACATGCCATCGCATACCGGAGTCGAACCATTGCGCAGTCGAGTCTATGGTTTGACCACCGACCTGCGAGAAACCAGGGCAAACCCAGCCAACGCCAACACGCCAGCACTCGACGATGCCACCAAGATGGCACGTCTGCTCAACCAGCAAAAACCCAACTTCAGCGTCGAGGTGATTGCAAGTTCATTCGACCACCGTGGCTATCCCGTCCTCTCAGGTCGAGCTGCTACCGTGCGCGGTGTCGTTCGCATGCCTGCCACCAAAGGCTGCGATGTGATGATGACCATCTCTGCACACACCACTTCTGGTTCGCCAGCAGCCGTATGGCAAGGTACCGCTCTGGCGCCATGGTCGACAGGAGGTGAAAAGACGGTTTTCGAAACTCAGGACCGCCTCGTCGCCAACTACGATCTCGTACGTCCACCTGCTGCTTACGCGCCAAACAACCAAGAATCTGCGGATCAAGATGATCTGATTCTACCAATCCCTTTCCAGGTGCAACTGCCGCTGGGTAAAGCGACACGTCTCATTGACGGCGAGATGCAGGCCGTTCCCGTCTCGCTCCCGCCAAGTTTCGAGATGAGCTCCAAGCACGCTGCTCAGGAGAAGCGAGACATTCGTCTTGCTACAAAGGGCAAAGCCAAAGGTCCAATGGCGAGGGAGCTTATGGAGAAGGGCTTCGAAAAGGTTTACAGAATTGGATGCTACTACCAGGTTACCTGGACTCTTTTCCGTCCCAGCAGTGACAAGTCGAAAAAGTCATTGAGCAAGTCAGGCAAAGACACGGTCGCTGAGGGTGACTCTTTGACATTGCCCTTCATCTTCCTGGGCGAGCCAACGACAATGCCTCCTCACCCACCTACCTTGCCCTCCATCATCAGTCCGGATGTGTTCCTGGAGCCAAACGCGACACTAGGCGACCAGTGGACTGTTCACCGTTCGCAAGCAAAGTGGACAGGCTCATTGCTCAAAACATCACCAAGGACGCTCGATATAGAGCTGCATATTCCCAACCCACCTGTCATCCAGGCACCTTCTGTGTTACCCATCATGGTCGTCTTGCGACCCACCGACCCCACTTTACTCTCGCAAATTCGAACACGTGCGCTAAGCGAGACTTTGACCACGCCAGGATCGCCAGCTGTCACCCAAATGGGCGACCCGATCGAGATGGTCACTTTACCTGGCATGTCTTCCAGCGGATCGACAGTGGCATCACCTCCACCGCAGCATCAACACTATCAGCATCAACACTATCAGCATCAACACTATCAGCACTATCAGCAATATCAGCACTATCAGCATCAGCAGCAGCAGCAGCAGCAGCAGCAGCAGCAGCAACGCGACCCCGAAACTGAATCGATCAAGACGACACGCAGCACTTTTTCCAAATTGATCAAGCCTTCCATGAGTTTGGCTCGACTGCCAGGATCCTTATCCCGCAAAGGTGGATCCAGCATCTTCCGCGGTCGACGTCCCAACACAGCACCCAGCTCTGGCAGCTCCGATACTGGCTTCACTGATGCCATGACTGATAGGACCTTTGTAGCTGCAGGTGCCATGCCAGATCTTGTCAGCTTGGTGTGCGTTTCGCTGATTCAGACAACCTTTAGCAGCAACGACAATGTCAACGATGGACCCGAGCATCGCAGGAAATTGTTGTCCGTAGCAGACCTGGAAGAAGTGGATGTGCATGCTTTGCTGCTCAACTCGGACTCTTCTGGCAGTCAGTCCGGATCTCGACCTGGTTCCAGCCGATCACCGGATGAGATGATGCAGATTAATCAAGCAGCCGCAGCAGCTCGAGCTGCAGGTCTCAGGGTGCTTGTTGGCAACCTTAAGGTGGCAGGCACCACTCCACCTAGTTTCCGCTGTCATGGGCTCGAAGTCAAGTACGCGCTCAAAGTGGATCTCTTGCCCGCCAACAGGTATAGTAGAGGCGATGGCGTAGAAAAGGCGTTGCGTAATTTGGGTATTGGTGGTCGAAGTCGTGGATTCTCAGATGGCATAAGTACTACTGCTTCAATGCACACCCAGACACAGTTTACTTGCTTATCAGGTGAGGCGGCGAGCAGTCCACCTACTACACCGCCTAATGTCATGTCTCCTTCTCTCTTCGGCTCTCGTTGGCCGGGTGTGGGTGTGGGTGTGGGTGTGGGTGTGGGTGTGGGTGTGGGTGTGGGTGTGGATTCGCAGCAGCAGCAGTCTCGTCCAGCCCTCGCCAGGCGCACCTCCTCCCCTCTTAGTGGAAGCGGCAAGGGCATCAACAATACGCAGAATGTAGGAATGGCTATTTCGACTAACGAGGAAAGTGCAGTCCCTACCGAATTGCCTGAAGCACAAGAAATTCTTTCGCCTCGAATGCAAGCCTCTTGCCGTACTCCACTTGCACCTTATCCGAACGCATACCCGCAGCAGCAGTCGATGGGAGCAGGTAGAAGCACCCCGTCAGTGTACGGTTCAGGCATGTCGAGCGCCGCCTCGATGAGAACCGGCTGGGGAAGCGGTCATTCGATTTCCGAAGCTTCTCATATGCAAAGCAGTATCTACATGTCAGAATGGGGTCGGGATAGGAAAACGGTTTCCAAGATCAACAAGACGATTGGAGAGATGTGGCTCGATGTTAGGCTTGTTAGAGGTTATGGCGCCTACTAAACAGCCTCAGCAGACAGAGATTAGGGTTATAGCTGTTGGCTGTTGGTCTTTCTGAATCGTTCTAGTTGGCCCTGGCGCTGTGCTGCAATTGATATTCATCCATACCATCCTCTTGGCCAGGCTTCTCTTGGCCAGGCTTGATATGTGTTGGTCTCGTGATCAATACTGTAGTTGCACATGAGTCTAAAATTATGCACGGACGCTGTTGGCAAGTGAGCGAGATATTTGCACCTCTGACAGCCAAACCAGATGGGCAGAGGGTTTGGCGGTTTGATATCTACACACCAACTACCTTGCCTTGCACCGACTCACTAACCGCCATTTCTCGTAGCATCTTGAATCAAGACGATCGAAAGCGAGCCAAAGCCGACTCTTGAAGCAAGCCATATGCAAACACAATCCTCGTCGACAGGCTCAAGCATAGCGCATACTTGACATCAGAAGCATCAACAGCCACAACTCACCCATCATCCGAAAGCATGACTTGCACAACACTCCTCGACCTGCCGCTGCCGCTGGTGCTAGACTTGATCTTTCCGCTTCTCCCGACCTCGACGCTTCTAGCGCTTCGTCTTGTCTCTACTCGCTTTAAAACGGTTGTCGAAGACCAAGTACTGTGGAAAGGAAAAGTTCTATCTGACTTCACATTCCCGCTTCATGCGACTGCGAGGATGGGTGGCTGGTTCAATTTGTACCGCGGTCTCAGCTGTCCCGATGTCTATGTGTGGGGGCAACTCAGTGAAGGAAGGTTAGGGTTGAAAGTGGATCAGTTAGGGGGTGAGGTGAGAAGAGATGTCCTGGCTTGTCGTGGTGGTTTACCTTATCCTTACAAACTCAACACTTTAGCGGTGAGCAATGCCAGCAATCCTCGCGCCAGTGGAAGAATAGCAAGAGAAGCAGGAAGAGTAGGGCAAGTAGGGCAAGTAGGAGGGATAGTAGAAATAGTAGCAGGAGGATGGTCATTCCACGCACGAACCTCTTCCGGCAAAGTGTTGCATTGGGGTACGATGGATGGAGAATGTTTTGCTGGAAACCAATCTTCCTTACGGGATCCGGGCAAACAAGTTTCTACACCAAGGCTACTGTCTGCTATTCCTGACCAAGTGCAATCGCTAAGTGGTGGGCGGTCTCATGCTGTAGCCTTGACAAAAGAGGGGAGAGTTGTTGAGTGGAGATCTTGGGGCAGTCTTTGGTTACATGACTCTTTACCACCCTCCCTACTCCCTTGTTCGACTTCGCAAGCTTCGCAGACCGGAGCACAAACCAGTGCGGCCAGGAGTGGGATCAAACAGTTGGAAGCGGGATGGAGTTTCACCTCTATCCTAGACGAACAGGGGAATGTTTGGCTTTGGTATTCTGACTGGACTCAGGATAACTTTCGGGAGCAGTATTATGGAGGATATGAACAAGCGGCCATCATGTTTGCTGATCCTCCTGGACGCAACTCCCAGACTCTCTTTTCTGTCTGCATTACTCCACTCCAGCTTCCCCCACTCCCCACTTTTGCCCCTATACGCCCTGACCAACTGGAACAGGAACAGGAACAGGAACAGGAACAGGAACAGGAGCAGATAACCCAAATCGCAGCAGGCGAAGACTTCCTCATAGCTCTCACATCCCACGGCCACCTATTCCGCCTGGACCTACACCTTGCCCCCACCAACTTGGGCGAAGAGCAAGAAGTAGTGAGACAAGTGCAACAAGCGAGACCGGGGGAATTCGATCAACCCGGCAATACAGGTGCCTTGGTTCACCGGCTCAGAATGCAACGCTACCTGCAGACAAGAGCACAGTGGCAAAGGTTGCCGTTATTTGAACAGCCGGACAAGCTGCAAGGCTTTCATAAAGGATGGGTGCTGGATGGTAGGAGCAAGATTGGTCGGCTCAGTCATATTTCTGCCCATTTCCGAAGGTTTGTTGCCTTCCTGCCCCTCCATTCTTCCTCCAAGATGGTTGCAAAGGGAGAAGATGGGCAAGATACGCTAGTCTTATTGGGAACTCCGGATAGGATCGAGCCGGAGCTCATCCCGGAATTACAGGCTCGAAAAGTAATCAAAGTGACTATGGGAGACTATCATTACGGAGCACTAACATCCAAAGGCCAGATTCTGACCTGGGGTGAATTTTCCAAAGGCGCTTTGGGCAACTGGAGTCCTACCTGGCTTCGAAACTCTACCAACACCTCACAGAATCAAGAGCAAGAAGATCAAAGAGAGCGCCCATGGCTTTCGAACCTAATCGCGCTCCCGACTATCTTGGGCAATAGAGGTACGGCAAGACAAGCAAGAATAGGATTTGCCGGTAGAGCAGGTAGAGCAGCAGCCTCGAATAACGCTCTAAGCGAGCACCAACAGGGACACCTGAGAGGGGAGACGCAACAACATGTCGAGCGGCCGGTAACAATCAGCATCCATCCCGAGCCAACTTTGGACGCAGGGGAAGATGGAGGAGGGGGAGACAAGAGAGGGGGAGAGCCATTTGCGTTTGATATTGCGTTTGCTGGATGGCATAGCAGCGCGTTGGTTATGTATGCACCGAGTCCTGGTGCGTTGGGAACAGAGGACGAGGAGAGAGAGGAAGAGGCGAATGAGGATGAGGATGAGGATGAGGATGAGGATGAGGATGAGGATGAGGATGAGGATGAGGATGAGGACGAGGTATTTCAGGATGCAGAATGAAGAATCCTATTGTCGTTCAGCGTTTGTTTTCATGCATAGCTCAAGAAGACGAACGACGCAAATCAAACTCACAAAAGTGCTAGAAGGCTTGCAGATCGGGCAAAGATCAAGATGGTGCATTGCAATGAGCGGTGTGTATGCGTGAGGAAAAACTAAGCATGTTGAGCAAGAGCAGCCATGGTATTGTGCTGAGGAGGCGATCAAGTGGATTGCATCCCTTTCTGAGTGCCCAAAGCAGTCATGGTGCAGTTGACAAGTTTGGGATCATCGTAAAACGAAGAAGGAGCAGCAGGAGCAGCAGGTTGTTCGCTCGTTGGAGTGGTTGAAGCAGTGTTGGTAGTTGAACTTGTGGTGGAGGAAGGGTTGGAGGAGGATTGGTTGGAGAATGTGTATGGCGAGAAGGGTGCTTCTTGGTGCTGCTGTTGCTGCTGTTGTTGCGGCATGGTCAGTGGAGGAGCAAGTTGTTTACTTTCTACACCACCACCAGCGGCGCTCAAGTTTCGATTGCGAGTTGAAGAGATATCGCGACCAGCACGGGAACCATTATCGCTATGCGTACTAGGATCAAGCTGGGGACCGCTTGGATGACGATTGGCGTTGTTACCACCAGCATCACTGTTCCCGCTTCTACCCTGACCGCTACTAATTCCATCGCTTCTTCTACGCTGACCATGCCTGCCACTTGCTTCTCCTCCATCATCACCACCACCACCACCATTACCATTCGCCCTACCACGTCCATCTTGCTCCTGCTCCTGCTCCCCACTCCACCATTCGCTCGCATTATCATCCTTCCTCGTCTGACTCAACCTCGTCAGTGTCCCCAACAGACTCGACATATACTGGAAGTCAACCGTCGTCGTCGTCGTCGTCGTCGTCTCCCCACGCTTTCCACTCTTCCCTTCCCTACGCCTCCGCACACCAGTGGCGGTGGCAGTGCGATCCAACAAGGCAGAAACTACATAGATGATCTTACTGACCAAGGAATGTCCATTCGAAGCAAGTGCGTCGAGAGGCAAGCTGTTGAACACACGCAACATGTTCTGTGCTGCTTCTTGCCATTCTTCTTCCCCGAACTCTTCAGGGGCGGAGCAAGGCGAGGCTTGACCGAGTCTAAGATCGTGGATGCGGGTGGAGACGAGTTGGCGATACTCGGTGACGAGGAATCGGATGAGAGATTCAGTGGCGACGATGTTGGCGTGCATAGTGCACATCGGCGACAGAACAGGTGTCGATGAGGGGCCAGGCGAGGGGTGGAAGACGTTAACTAGGTCCATCATTGTGAGGCCACCAACTGAAGCCGCTGTGGGGTCGACGAGAATATCGTTATTGCCAGCATTGCTACAAGGCGATGTTGCACTGAGGTGATTGCCCAGAGCTGTCTGTGTGGCAGCGTCAAAGCCAATGGCCTGTAGCAAGGGTGCGTGCTGCTGTCTCTGTTGCTGCTGCACAAAGTTGAGCGAGAGGATGGAAGCACCTGGTCGACGGATAGGCTCTGGAGGAGCATGCGTGTACACTGGCTTGCGAAGCTCTTGAGGCATGTCATCGATCGCCTGCTGAATGCGACGCAGGACATCCACAAGGTATCGAATGCGTGACCTCGCAACCGGCAGATCATCGATCGGGAAACGTCGATCGCGTCGATAGGACTCGAGCAGCTCGAGCATGACCTGATGCAATCGCGTAACAGTCAAGAAGCCCGACAATACACTTGGCGTTCTCTGAATGTGTCCCGGGTTTGCTAGCGCCTGCTCATCGAGAGCAAGAGGCAGATCGACAGATGCATCAATAGCGTGAATCAGCGCCGGCTCGTCTTGAAGGATTGCGATGATCGTTGAGCTACCGTGGAGAAGCCAGAAGATGCGCTTTCGCAGCTCGCGATCCACTGCATTCGCAATGGGTGATCGGTAGTGTGAAAAGGAAGAAGCGTCAAAAGCGTATGGCGTTACACTTGTGCTTGTGTCGTTCTTGCGCTGGTCGTGCAAACCGAGCGTGTATGCGACTCGCACAGCCTCGGCGAGGACTGCATTTGCAGCGTTGGTCTTGCCGACAGTGCCAAGGTAGATGTGGTCACAGTAGAGCGTGTTGACGTGAAGCAGCCGAGGCGGGTCATAGACGCGGGGCTGCATTCGGCGAGAAGTCAAGTGGCAGATGCGGTGGAGCCTTCGGTACATGGACCAAGGGGCTGGAACCACGCTCCTTGGACACTGGATCAAGGTGTACGACGTCAAACTTAGGATAAAGGCCAAGAAAGCGTCGTCACGCTCATCTCGACGATTGAGGAGGTGGTGAGTGAAGGTAGGAGGATGCACAATGGGCAGCAAAGGCCAGAGGTAGTGGAAGTAGAGCGAGACAATTGACAGGAATGTCTGACGCGGGGCAATGTCTTGGAGCGATCGTGGACGAAGGACAGGTGCGCAGTACATGGTGGACAGACTTGGCTGGGGGGCCGTCGAGCTTTGGTTTTGATTGAGATTCGAGTGGGAGCCAAAAGACGATGCCGAGGGCTGCTGTTGGTGAGGCAGAGATGCTGCAGGCGATGGCACACGCGAGAATGATGGGATAGATAGCAGTGCTGCGGTCGAATCGGCATGGCCAACTGCAAGGTGGAAGGAGTGCAAGTGATCTACTTGAGAAGGCGTCGACGCTGGCTGTGCCTGTTGCTGCGGTTGGCTTTGCAGGTGGGGCTGCATGGACTGCTCGAGGGCTGCAAGCGGTGCTGCAGATGGTGAGCTTCGGGCATCAGACCGCGTTGCAGCTTGGCAGGACGTAGAGCCGGCGTAGCTACCTGGTGTCGCACAAGACGCATTCGAGACGCTCATTGATGGAGAAGGTGCGGACATGTTGGCGATATTGTGGGAGGAAAAGTGGAAAGGCATAGCAGCGAACTGGCTAGGCATCATGGCGAGCATCGAGTTGTGGAGGTAGCTATCCAAGTTGGTACCACCGCTCCACGAGGAGGATCGTGTCTGGGTGCCGCTGCCGGATGGAGATGCAGATGCGGATGCAGATGCAAAGTTGTGTGCTGCGAGTGGGCGGTAGCAGCTGTCGTCGGCGGGCAAGCCTGGGATGAGAGTGTGCGGGAGATGCTGAGCTCCAGGTGTCTTGCCAAAGCCAAGGGTAGAGGTTGGAGAATGGGATGAAGCGGGAGCTGCATGTTGGCAGTGATGGTGTCGAGTCTGCGTCGAGGCTCTGCTATGCAATTGCACTTTGGCCTCGCTCCTGGCTGTCCTTGCAAACGAGCTTTGAGGACCGGGACGCTTGGGAACATAGTCGAAGGTGCATCTGGCATCGATGGCTCTGCATTGAAGGCATTGATTGTGGGGCGAGGCGTCGAGACCATCTACTTGAACACGGACGCACTTGATCTTGCGGGAACGACATGTGTCGCAAGACTGTGGTCGTTTCTTCTTAGCAGCCTCTTGTGAGTTGCGCTCGAGTCTAGCATCGTCGGCAGAGCGCTTGACCATGTCGACGCGGTTCTGAGTGATGGAGGAATGGTGCCAAGACATGATGCTCTTGCTCAGGCAAACGTTCCAATGTGATCATGCCAGTTGACGTAAGCCATTTCCGGTCAGATCGGGGGGGAAAGATCGGGGGGAACCCGATCTGACCGGAAATGGGGTGATCCAACTGTTTATATACATCTCAGTGCTCTTTGTATGCATGTATGATATTTAGCATTGTGAGGCCAAAGACATGAGTGAAACTACAGAGAAACACTACACCAGTTATCCACTGACTGGCATCTTGATGTCCAATGTCCAACAGTCAGTCCAGGTAACATGCTAAACCCAAGTGAGCAAGGTTGGTGTTAGATGTGAGCTTGGCATAGAAGTTGCATACTCTGAGAGGCCACATGCTTTACTCCAAGAGGTCACATGCTTCAACTGTTCCCCTTGCCAACTGAGCAAATGAGCAGTCCAATGTTGGTCATTCCTAGGTCTTGTCAAGTACAAGTAAAGAGATGTTGGGATACCGGTTTGGTGAGGAAATCCACAATGTTTTAGTTAGTGTCAGAGGTCTTGCACCTAAAACCTGATATCTGTGATAGGAATGCATCTATTACGATTCCTGTCGAGATATGTGGTAACATGTTGTGTATTACAATTTCTATCAAGGTATATCATAGAGAAGCCTCTATCACTTTTCTCACCCAAAGATGTAGTAACATGTTTGCTATTGCAGGTTTTGACTGACCACTGTGGACACTCCATCCAGAGGTAGCTTGGCATGATCAATAACTGGTACGAACTGGTACTAACACCAAGGTCTGGTGTGATTGAGATTGTTGGTGGTGCTGACACAAGTGTCCAGTGTGTTGACTGAGTGCTTGAGGTGATCCCCAGACTGCAGTGGATGACTGCTGTCAGTTCTATGATTGCGAGCCAGACCACAGGTTACTATGAACTGCCTTTGGTGTCAATTGTTATCTGGACCACAGGTTACTATGAACCACCTTCAGATTGTCAGTGAGTGGTGATACCACACATGTGCTACAATGGAAGCAATCTATTGTGATTGCAACTTGCTGATGGAAACTACTAAGTATAATTATGCTGAAGTGATAACTAGTAATATATGGTGTAGAGTGGATGGGGATCCACTTGTATGTTATGATGAAGTGATTTATGTGTTGGTATGGTGTTGCCTGCGACACCGCTCCTGCTTCTCCTGAGCTGTATGTCGACCTCTTTGACACTGCTCCTCCTCCTCATGACCTATATGCTGGTGTCCTCAACACAGCTCTCCTTCCTCCTAACTGGTGACAGTTCTCTTGACCCCTATCTTGTGAACCCGCCTGTGTGGTAACCAACTGCATGCTTCTGAGCTTGGTCCCCTTCTTGGCTGAACTTGGTCCTGCTCCTTGTATGTGAAACCTTTCCAGCTGTCTTATCCTTCCCCTCAACAATGGAGACCTTTGTCAGGGGTCTCATCTCCGTCAGGGGTCTCATCTCCATCAGGGGTCCGTCCTGTCAGGGGTCTCGCGCCGGAAACCCAGGTCGGTCTGTCGAGATACTCAGTGACTATCAAACTGTGTGACAGCTATTGTCTCGGTATCTGTCTTGATGAGCTAGTCATTTGGCGACTATCAAGTTGCACAGTGACAGCAGGTGGCATTCATTGTATATACTATCGTAGGTTTTGGCTGACCACTGTGGACACTCTGTTCAGGGGTAGCTCAGCATGATCAATATCAATATGTAGATTATGATGACACCAAGGTCTGGTGTGAGTGTTGATGATGATGAGGTTGATGGTGTTGGTGATAGGGTCAGTGAAGGTTGATGGTAATGAGGTTGATGGTGTTGGTGATAAGGTTGGTGGCATCAACACAAGTGTCCAGTGTGTTGACTTGATGCTTGAAGTGATCCCTGGACTGCAGTGGACTACTGCCTTCGGTTCTATCTTGATCCAGACTGCTAACCTGCTATGGGGCACCTTCGGATGTCAGGTAGTGGTGATACAACACACACACTACGATGAGGAACAACCTTGATAGATTGCTGCTATGCTGACTGAAACTAATATATACTTATGCTGAAGTGATAACTAGTTATGATGATGTGTAGAGTGGATGAGGATCCACTTGACCTTTGATGATGAGAAAGCATGGTTATATACCTCTTCACAGCATCACCAGCAATGCTGCTCCTGCTCTCTCTCCAGAGAGTACCTTCTTCATCAAGTACTGTTCAGGAGGCCTCTCCTGCTTGCTTGGCACCCCTGTGCCTCTTGAGCTGTGTCAACTCCTTTGACACTGCTCCTCCTCCTTGCTATCCTGCTTGTTTGGCACCCTTGTGCCTCCTGAGTGGTGTCGACTCCTTCGACACTGCTCCTCCTCCTCATGACCTGGTGTCAACTCCTTCGACTCTTGTCTCTCGAGCCCCTGAGTGGTAACCATCTGAGCTTGGTCCTCTTCATGGCTGTGCCTGCTCCTTGAGCTTGGTCCTCCTCGTGGCTGTGCCTGGCCCTCCTCGCATATGGCTCGGTCCTCCTTTGCATGTGAGTCCATAGGAGTCCATGGTCTCCATGGAGACTGCACTATGACCATGCTCTCTACTGGTATCGACTAGATCTTCGATACCTGTGCTCCTTCCATATGAACCAGTGACCCTCCTGCTTCTTGAGCATCCAGGCCCATGACACGTCCCACTTCATCTGGTGGTGACCTTCTCCCTTGTTTGGCATCCTCCTCTCGCTGTATCAGTGATAGTTGTGCCTCTTGAACTGATTCTCATGAGATCTGTCATACTTAGTGTGGTATTACCATTCCCACTGAACTCTGTAGTAATGACCTCATTCCTGCTGATCTTGATGAGTTATGCCATAGAGTTGCTTCTACTACCAATCTCAATGAACTCTGCCTTAAGCTCTCGTTTAGCTCGATCCCATGATTTCTGTGCTCTGTCATGGGAGCCAGATGTGCAGGAAGCAAGAAGAGTTGAAGTCATATGAAGAGGAGCACAGAAATCATGGGATTGGGCTAACTGAGAGCTTAAGGCAGAGTCCACTGAGATCTGTAGCAGAAACAACTCTATGGCATAACTTGTCAGGATCAGTAGGAATGAGGTTGTTACTACAGAGTTCAGTGGGAATCATAATATCACACTGAGTATGACAGACCTCATGAGAATCAGTCCAAGAGGCACCCCATCACTGATACAACAAGGGGAGGATACCAAACAAAGGGGAGGACACCACTGGATGAAGCAGGGGTCTGGCACAATGATGAAGTCAGTGCCAACAGATGGGCACTGATGACAAGAGGCTGATGAAAGGGTGCAGGTCACCACTCAGATGAAGTGGGACTGGCCCCTAACAGAGATGAGACAGCAAGAGATATCCATCCATCCACAGAAGGCAAGGGAAGTGGTGTGAATGAGTGGCATCACAAGATGGATGGGGTGGATAGTAGGGATGAGGAGGAGGAGCAGTGTTGTGGGTGACACTGCAAGAAAGGTATATAACCATGCTCCCCATCATAGTAAGTGAGTGGAATGCCATCCACTCTACACCATACAAACTAGTTATCACTTCTACTCAAGTATACAATAGTTTTCAGTCAGCAAAGTAGCAATTGCAAGTAGATTGCTTCCATCATAGCATGTGTGTTGTATCACCACTCACTGACATCTGAAGGTGGTTCATAGCAAACCAGCAGTCTGGATAATGATAGAACCAAAGGCAGTTGTCCACTGTGGTCCAGGGATCACCTCAAGCACTCAGTTGACACACTGGACACTTGTGTCAGTGCCACCAACAATTGCATTCACACCAGACCTTGGTGTCAGTGTAAAGTTCATACAAGTTATTGATCATGCCAAGCTACCTCTGGATGGAGTGTCCACAGTGGTCAGTTGAAACCTGCAATAGCAATCAATCTATCACATACTCAAGTGAGAAAAGTCATAGAGGCCTTCTACAACAGATCTTGATCAAAATAATAATACACTGGGCTTTGCCACATATCTCAACAGGATCTGTAATAGAAGTGGTTCTAGTACAGATATCAGGTTTCAGGTGCATGACCTCTGACATAGTGAAAGTATATATACATTTGTGCAGCATTGCCTGCAACACTGCTCCTCCTTCTCCTGAGCAGTGTATAGATCTCCTTGACACTGCTCCTCTTCCTCCTGATCAGTGTGAAGATCTTCTTGACACTACCCCTATCTTGTGACTCGTCGTGACCTTGTGGACACTTCTATTGTCCTCCTGCCGTTCTATATGGACACCTTTTTGACCTGTGTGCAGCCATTTCCCCGTGTGGTAACCCCACCACATGCTCCTATGCTCGGGCCTCTTCCAAGCACATGTTCTCCTTCCATATGCCTCCACTCGCCACCTACGATGGCAACAAGCCTCCTATGGTTAAGCGGTTGCTCTTATGCAATTGCTCGACTCACAATGCATTGATGAGCCCTTCTCGCAGTGCATGTGGCGAAAACTGCTGGATGGTCTCGTTCAGTTGAAGTTATGCAAGACACTGCTTCGTCCGGGCTACGTTCTAGCTCCTTTTGCATAGGTGTATTGTAGATGCAATGCTTAGGATTCATCATGGACTAGGGCTACAGGATCATGTGTATATATACCTTTGTTTGGTCCATGAGAATGTTTATCATTACCCTCTGAACTGTGGGTATCACGAGGTGCCTTGGCATTGTCTTCCTTACGCTTTGGGGTTCTTGCAGTAAGATATTGCCTTCAGTGTTGATTGAAATTCGGACCGCAGTGGAGTGCTGCCTATGGATGATGTCAAGGAGCGGTGATACAACACACACGCTCTGAGTAGAAGCAATGCCCTGCAATTGCAACTATTGACAAGATAACTAAGGATACGTTACAGTAAAGATATGATTAGTTCAGAGTAGAGTGGATGAGACTCGACTCAACTACTACAACGGCGAGGATGTGTATTATATAGACATTGACAGTGTCGCCTGCAACACTGTTCCAGTTCCTTCTGCGAGGAGCATCGCCATAGCAGCTCAAGGATCATGGCCGTTGCGCTTTCTGAAGATCAACTGCGGCGAGATGAGCGACAAGGGCGACTTTGTTATTCTTCTTTTGGAATGCTTTCCATTAGCTCGACCCGAGAACAAGGTTGATGAACTCGACAATCCGTTCTACATAACCCTCGGGAAGCTTGTGAAGGGTGACGAAATCCGACGCCACCTTCTGTCTGTCCTCACCCCGATTGATGGGCAAGGGCAAAGGATCGGCATGGTCGGAAACGTCGATCTGAAGCACAAAGTCATATCGCTTGCCTTGAAACAACTCGCCCTGTACCTGTTCTCCTTCTGCTGACAGCTCGGTGGCAGGCTGCCTAGCTTCGATTGCCGCCCTGTGCTGAAGTTGTTGAGCCTTGGCAGCTTGGTCTACAGCTTCGCTCTCTGAGAGTGCTGCGCCCTCCAAGTTGCTATCAGCGGCCGAAGCCGAGGCTGGACGAATGGAATAGACGCGAACAAGGCCATCACTGCATCCGACAACAAGGTCTTGCGACTCTGGCAGCACTGCGATGCTCCAGACTGATACCGCTGGCACATGTACTGTTTGCAGCAACTCGTTTGAAAGCCAGTTCCAAACGCGCAAAGTGCCGTCCTCTCCACTGCTCACCAGTCGTGGTGCCTTTGCATCGTGTTGGATGTAGGCGGCTAAATCGTAGACTAAGCTCGTATGGCCTTTAAGAAGGCGCAGAGCATCACCGCCGTTGCCTTGGCAGGCACTACGCCTTGGATCGAGTGACCAGATGCGAATCGTACCATCGTTCGAAGTTGAAGCGAAGAGCTGCTCGTTATCGTACAATGGCGGCAAGCAAGCATGCCTGTCTTCGAGCTGCTCATGTGGCGTCGGCAAAGGTGGTAGGCAAGCTAGAGAACGGACGACATCCTGGTGACCAGCATAGACAGTGTGCAAGGTCTCGCCATGGAAAAGCCGGATGAACATGTCGGCTGATGATGTCAAATACCTTCCTTGTCCAGGATCAGCGTGGCCCTGCTCCACCGCAGCTGTTGTAGGAGGTTCGAGGATCTGCACTCCCCAAACAGCTGCGTCGTGACCACGCAACACAAACTTGCTCTTCCACTTTGCACTGCATGGTTCTGTCGGATCCCAGACCCATACCCGTGCGGTGGTGTCCCAGCTACCGGAGATGAACACTGGTGGTTGTGCTTGTTGCTCTCCTTGCTCCTCTGCCAGCCTTTGTGGGCTGTCATGAGCCTTGAGAACCGAGATGTTGTCCCAGTGGTCGGAAAGCGTTTGGATTGGTTTGTCGGAACGCAAAGGCTCGAAGCAGCGAATCTGAGAGTCGAGATTCCCGATCAGCACCTGTCCCCGCGGAAGCGCAAAGGCAGGACTGGGAGGAAGGAAGCAGACCGCATTGCAAAAGCGCCGACCTCGAAAGGTGGCACCCTTGTCGAAGCTGGCTGACGAAAAAGAACGAGACCAGTAGATGGCTGTCTCATCGCGCGATCCGGACAGTAGAGCTTCTCGTCCAGATAAAGTGTCTAATGTAGTGGCCACCGAACGGACCTGCACAACGGTCAAGATCCAGGACGGTCAACAACCTGTGCTTCTCATCGTCTCAACAAGACATGGCTTGATCGACTCACATCAGAAGTATGGCCTGGCAGTACGTGTGTAAGATGGAAGGCTGCATCTTGCTTTGAAGACGATTCAGCCTCTGTGCTTGCCGCCATGATCGATATCAGCCAAGCGAGAGGAAGGTCGTGGCAGCTTGAAGCAAAGCCGGTGTTGCTCTTCCATCCCTTGCCGCACGAGAAGCTGTAGCGCAGACGCAGGGCCCAGAAAGAGGGAAATATTTGCAAGGTCGATGTTGAAGCGGACACTTGCGGAAATGCGGAAATGCGGAAATGCGGAAATGAGAAGATGATGGTAGGAAGGGAAGGAGAGAGAGGGGGTTGCGACACCTGTGGTTGAGCTAAGCTGCGCACGCCATGTCTGAGCGCGTCGTGTTGAAAGAGCGCGTTGTGTCGAAAGGACGCGTCGTGTCGAAAGGACGCGTCGTGTTGAAAGGACGCGTCGTGTTGAAAGGACGCGTCGTGTTGAAAGGACGCGTCGTGTTGAAAGGACGCGTCGTGTTGAAAGGACGCGTCGTGTTGAAAGGACGCGTAGAGTGGCTCTACTTCCGCGTCATCTTCCTGCGCACAAACTCAGCGGGAGAGGATGTTAGATTGCAGCTTCTTAGAGAAAACGACTGATCAATTAGGCAGCTCCAACGTCTTCTTCTTCTTCTTTCTCTCCATCATCCATCGTTGTGCTACTCCTTCTCTCGACTCAAACAACACACACTACAACTGTCACAAGATGTTGGAAGCTCGTCTCCGAGAGGCTGTCCTTGTAAGTCAGGCAAGCATCAAGCTTTTGTCAAAGACCAGCGTCGCTGACTCTTGCTTCTCGCTTTCTCCTCTCTCGCTGTCGACAATGTATGCGTGCTACGTACCAACAGCTCAAGAAGGTCCTCGACGCCGTCCGTGAACTCATCACGGATGCCAACTTCGAATGTTCTGAGGACGGAATCGTAAGTCGCCTTTCCCCTCCTCCCATCACGGTGGTCCTTGTTGGATACTGAAGCCGCATCTCCCTCCACGGCAACCCTCTCCATTTGGCAACGCAGCGTCTTCAAGCGATGGACAACTCCCACGTAGCCCTCTCCGCCATCGAACTGCGCAGCGACTGTTTCGAAGAATTCCGTTGCGACCGACCCATGTCTATCGGCGTCTCCCTCTCTTCGCTGGGCAAAATCCTGAGAGGCGCAAACAACGACGATGTCCTCTCTCTCAAAAAATCCGACGATGGCGATACATTGCAGATGACGTTCGAATCGCCCAAATCAGACCGAGTCGGCGAATTCGAAATGAAACTTATGGATATCGATTCCGAGCATCTCGGCATCCCAGACACCCAGTACGATGCTGTTGTCAAGATGTCTTCTTCCGAATTCGGTCGAATCTGTCGCGATCTCGCCAACATTGGCGAATCGGTCAAGATCCAAGTCTCGAAAGAAGGCGTCAGCTTCAGTGCTGAAGGAGAGATCGGTGCTGCCAGGATGACACTCAAGCAGGGAAGTGGAAGCGCGGTGCTTGCCGATGACGATGATGATGATCACGATGATGATGTCAAACCGGCCAAGAAAAAGAGAAAGGCGGATGGTGGTTCAAGCAGCAGTGCAGCTCAGGTTCCGGTCAAGATCGAGATGCAACAGGCAGTGAATCTCACCTTTTCGCTCAAATACTTGTCCAACTTTGCAAAGGCCGCTCCATTGGCAGACGAAGTGGAGTTGCATATGAGCAACGAGGTTCCCCTGCTCTGCGAGTTTGGCTTTGAGAATGGTTATGTCAGGTTTTACCTCGCTCCTAAGCTTTCCGAGGATGACGACTAATCCTTGGTATCTCAACGTCTCCCTTCTGTCTTGCTGCTCTGCTTCTTTTGTACATCAACCTTTTTTTTTTTCAATCCAGCTTTTGTTTACCGTCATGATCGTGTTCGCCTTCTCGTCGCGGATGCGTTTCAAGACTGTGTTGATCAGGCCATGCCGGGAGAGGGGTGGGGGGGGGCGATCACTTTCGATCGACGACAGAGACACTGAACAATTTCGGCTTGTTCTCCTCCTTTTCATAGCCGATATACCTCGCTGTCATTGCCTCCTCCTCTCCCCCCACTGGCTTGGACCTATTATTCCGAGCAGGGAACAACTCCTCCAACTTATCGGCAACCATCAAACCCATCCCCGCAAAACCTACTCCCCCCCGCCCGCGCCAAACATCAACAATGTCAGCATTCCCCTTGCAAAACAGCTCTACAAAAAAAACAAGGATCAAAGGAACAACTTACCTGCACCACAAGTCCAAAACACAAGTTTCGTCCGATAAGGCAGAGCCTGATAACTGGCATAGATCGAACCTACCTTACCCCGCGACCTCCTTCCTTCTTCCAAAGCGAAAGCATAGTCTGATGCAGAGAGAGGAGAAGGTAAGGAACGCGCGGGAGGAGCAGAAGGCGGTCGTAGATCTTTTTTAAATACTGGTTGAGAAGCCGATGTTGATGCTGATGCACCTTGCCGTTTTAGTCGGACTGCAGTTGTAGTTGCAAACGAACGCCTGGCTGTAGCAGAGGGTAATATGGTCATTGCCTTGCCCAGCATCGTGCCAACTACCGTCCAGGGGATCTAATGGCGGATGAGGGGAGCGAGGCAAGAGGGCCGTCGAAAAGATCGTCAAGGTGTGAAGAGAAGCAATGGAAAAAAAAGGAAAAAAAGAAATTTCTCCCTTTTCTTCTCAACCTCTCGCTGGGTGATACTCATGCTTCTCTCGCATGCTGGAAAGCATCAAGACTCATGCTCCTACCACTCACATCCACGGACAGTGTCTTCTAAGATATCCCAGCACCACATTGCAAGGCTGCAAAGTACCGAAATCCATTCAAGTGAATGATGCCAACTACAGAGCAAGCACCTTGGCAAATTCACCGCAAACTCTCTCTCTCATCTCCTCAACAGCCCCCACTCTCTCCGCATCCGCTTCCTTGGGGCTAGCCTGCAAAAACTTGCCATACACTTCCCCAACCCGATCGACCACGGCACCAACTAGCATCCTTTGCACCTCCTCATCCTCCACCCACAGCGCCCCCTTTTTTGCTTTCTCCGGCACAACACTCTCAATACACGTCTCAAATGCTTCATACGTACTTCTCCACCTTGCACCGCTTTCGTCCAATACTGCGTTCTGATCAGTGTATACGCGGAGGGGCAAGATGATCGCATCAGCCCAGAAAGCTGCGATTTGGGCGATGAGTCCGGCGAGCTTGGCTGAGATGGTGGTTGTGGTTGGATTCATGTCCAATTGTCCACCCTGTGTCGGCTTGGCATCGGGACAAGTGCGGTCGGTGGTAGTGGAGGAGGGATAGAGCAACCTGCCAGTGTTGGTCCAAAGAGAATTGATCGCGTTGACGAGGGAAGGTAGGTCTACAAGTGAAACTGAACCTCCACTACCCTGTCCAACATGGCCAACGCGAGGATTGGTAGTGTTTATAGACAAAGCCTCATCGTGAGGTTGCTTGAGCACCAATTCAGCCGAAACCACGGCCTCTCTCAAAATCTCCAACTGTCTTAGCTCAAACAACCAGCCATCTTCCCTCTCCACTCCACCCTGCTTTCGCCTCACCAACGCCTGTGAACCTTTGCCCACACTCATCAAACAGGCCTCTACGGCAGCAACGGCCATGCGCCTGAAAGCAGGCGCCGACACACGTGCCTGAAGATGAAACAAGACCTCCAACATGTACCCCACGGGCGGGTAGTACGTGGAAACAAGTTCCGGCGGGAGTCTGAAGAGTTGCACTTTCTCTTGCTGAGTTTTTGAGGTGGATGCGGCGTGCGATGCAGATAGGGCTGCGTCGAGTAGGCCTGCTCCTGATTTGCCTCGACGATGCTTGGTTGCTGCTACCCCAGCTGCTGTGAAGGTTGAACAACAAGATTTGTAAGCTCCAAGACGTTCCGGCAATTCCAGATGGCCATCTTGCTCCTTAGGCGTGAATTGGGCGATATTGCTTGCGATCATGATTTCCGCTCTTGCTGATAGCCGGGATTGCGTCTCGTTGAGCAGCGGGAGCAGGCTTTGCGACCAACCAGGATCAGCTGCGTTCGAGTGAACGGCATCGGAAATAGCAGACCATGTCTGTGCCAGCACTACCAGGTCTTCTTGCTTGGCGAGCTTCGGTCGTAATCTCGATGTCACCGTCTCTGCCAGCTCTGAAAGATAGGCATTGAGGCCAGCGTCAAGCTTGTTCTGCTCATCCTCCGCGCCATCGCCGCCAAAGAACTGCCGATACAACTGATACTCTCCCTCCAAAAGGTGACGGAGCAATTCCGTTGCCGCTCTGGCAAGCTCCACAATGGGCGGCGAAACATTTGCCCCCGATTGCGCAGCTGCTATTGTCTGAGCCTCGATCTCAGTAAACCTCTGCAGCAGAACACGAGAGAGTGACGGCCTCCGGTACTGATACCATGCAGTATGGCATTCCTGCAGCAAGCTTTCAAACTCGGCTGCCGCCGTAGAGACACTTGACCAAGAGGAAGCAGAAGCTGGAGTGCAAGCTCGTTTCTGAAGCTCAAAGATGAGTGGGCGCAATTTCGTCAGCTGATGCGCTGCATCGAGGAAGAGTGCATCCCAAGTATCCTTTGCAAGAAGAGAGGACCGAGTTGCATGTGCAGCGCCACAATCAACCTCTCGGCCCTTCCCTTTGACATGACTACTGGCAGTAGCAGGAGCAGCTTTAGCATCGACTGCAGACTCAGGACGAGCCTGCATCTGCTTTACTCGCTGCGCAGTGCTTTCTGCTTGAGACTTGATATCCCTCACGACCGCCATCTTGGCCAATGTCGCAGCTCTGGTAAGGCAGTGAGAGTATCGCATTCTATAAAGCGCTGCGTCGCGATAGGACCTTGCCGGTGCTTGGTGCAAGAAGAGCAACGCCATATCGAGCTGATCCATGAGCTCGAGAAAAGAGGGAGAATAGACGATGCTGGAGTCGGGCGAGCTAAGCATATTCGTCGCATACGGTAGCAGAGTGAAGAAAGAGAGCCGCGAAGCGATGTCTTGGGCGAAAGTGTCGAGATGGGTCTGTGAGTCGAGTAGCGCCTGTGCCTGCTCGCGAATGCCTCGCGACGAGTCTTGCACGAAAGCGGTACCGGCACGAAGCTGGGATAGATTGACCTGACATGCTTCGAGTTGGGCTAGGAGGTCATCTGCGGTAGAAGTTGCTTCGGAGATGCGTTCGAGTGCTTGCCGGTGAGAGGTCTGGGTGGACGAGGTGAGGGAATGCGAGAGTTGCGTGTACCATGCTAGGAAGCCTTGGGCTGATACGAGGGGTGCTGATGCGTCTGGTAGTGTGATAGATGCGAACGGAGCCTCCTTGCTGTCTGCACCGTTCAGCGCGGGTGAAGGATCTGTTTCTGTTGCTGGCTCGCTGCTCTTGGCCTGGCTTTGTGAAGGAAGCGATTGCTGCTGTTTGAAATCAGACGAGTTGCGATGAAGCCATTCCGCCAGACCGTTGACCGAGGCTCGCTGAGATGAAGTGAGCGGTGCTTTGGTGTTGGACCATTGATCGAGCTGTACAGGTCGAGCTGAGGAGCTGGTCATCGATGGTGGCGGTGTTGATATTGGTGGCGCTGGTGTTGTTGGCGCTGGTGGCCGAGATTGCGAGCAGGCCATGGTGTGTGTCAGAGAGCTGATCACCGCCCAGCTATCTGCTGATCGGATGGCTGAGTCGAGTGGCGATAGAACGGCTGACTTTCAAGGTCTCTTGCTCTCAAACAGAGGCAGAACTGTGAGTGTTCTTCTTCTTCGGCTCTTCCGAGGCGTGTGACTAAGGCTGACACTTTTTTTCCCACGCCTCCAATGGGCACAGACCATGTGCTTGATTAGAAAAGGCCTTGAGAAGCGAGGCTTAAGTGGAGTTGTGAATCGGAAGTTGCGACTGTGAATCGGAAGTTGCGACAGTGAATCGGAAGTTGCGACAGTAAATCGGCAAAGCGTGGGAATAGGAGGCAAGTGCTGTGCTGTTTCGCACTCGGAGTGATTGCCGTTCGTCTTGGCACTCGCATCTATCGTCGGTCGGCGTATCCGACATCTCATTCATCCTTTTCGCTTCATCCGATTGCAACCCCACCGCCGCACTAGATTTCGCCCTCACCGCGAGTCCAGCAGATATCATTCGCCACCCACGCTTTCCTAGAGGGCAGGCGGATCACGAACTCCTCTCTACTTGCGCTCAGTACAAGAGCGTAATATAGCTCTGCTCAGCAACAATGGCGGATCAACGCCCCCTCGTCGTCGATAATGGTACCGGCTTCGTAAAGGTGGGCTATGCTGGCTCCAACTTCCCCGAGCATGTCTTTCCATCCATCGTCGGCCGTCCCATCCTTCGAACGGAAGAGCGTGATGCCATCTCAAGCAATACCGGCACCCAGATCAAGGACATCATGGTCGGCACCGAAGCAGAAGAGCTGCGCAATTACCTCCAGATCAACCAGCCCATGGAACACGGTATTGTCAAGGACTTTGGCGACATGCGACACGTTTGGAACTATACTTTCGACGAGAAGCTCCGCATCGACCCACAAGGACGCAAGATCTTGCTTACCGAACCACCCATGAACCCCAAAAAGAACCGCGAGGAGATGTGTCAGATCATGTTCGAAGAGTACGGTTTCGACGGTGTCTATGTTGCCATCCAGGCCGTATTGACGCTTTACGCTCAAGGTTTGCAGACTGGTGTCGTCGTTGACTCGGGCGATGGTGTTACGCACGTGGTGCCAGTCTTTGAAGGCTTTGCATTGCCCCATCTTACCAAGCGTCTCGATGTCGCGGGTCGGGATGTGACACGTTACCTCATCAAGCTCCTCCTCATGCGCGGCTACGCTTTCAACCGTACTGCCGACTTTGACACCGTTCGACAGATCAAAGAGAAGCTCTGTTACGTCAGTTACGATCTCGACCTTGACAAGAAGCTCGCCGAGCAAACCACGACGCTCGTCGAAACCTACACACTTCCAGACGGACGTCTCATCAAGGTCGGTTCCGAACGTTTCCAAGCTCCCGAATGCATGTTCCAGCCTCACCTGGTCGATGTCGAACAGGCCGGCGTTGCCGAGTTGCTTTTCAACACCATCCAGTCTGCAGCTGTAGATACACGTTCCGAACTCTACAAGCACATTGTCCTTTCTGGCGGTTCGTCCATGTATCCCGGTTTGCCAAGTCGATTGGAGAAGGAGATGAAGCAGCTCTACCTCACCCGTGTACTCGACGGTGATGGATCCAGGTTGAAGAACTTCAAGATCCGAATCGAGGATCCTCCTAGGAGAAAGCACATGGTTTTCCTTGGTGGTGCCGTGCTGGCTGATATCATGAAGAACAGGGAGAGCTTCTGGATCTCGCGTGCAGAATGGTACGAGCAAGGTAAGGCCTGTCTTGATCGATTGGGGCGTCACTCTTAGATTGCATTACAAACCAGCCAGCTCCACCTCTCCTCTCGAGCTCTGCACCTCACTCGATCCCTCGATCCCTCGATCCCTCGCAATACATTGAAAGTGAATTTGATCAGACCTGTTGGCCGTTCGTGTCAAGCAGAGGATGGTAGTGTGAGGCCTACATTGGACATGAGGCCAGTTGTTGCTAGCCTTCGATGTTGCCTTTGCCGGAAAAGGTGCCGAATTGAGCTGCTACAGAAGCGCGATTTCTCCCGGCGTTACGCAAACGCGCCTCAAGTAAAATGCCTCCATCCGCTCGCTGCACACCGGACTCTAATTAAAAAAAAAAAAAAAAAAAAAAAAAAAAAAAAAAAAAAAAAAAAGGTGAGGAGAACGGGTCCCGATGATCAACGATCGGTGAGAGTCGCAGCAGGATGTCACTGCTGTTTAGGACAGAAACACATATACTCAATTGACTAATCAAACATGGTGAGAGCCTAGAACCATCAGCTCGATATATATACATCTGTGTGGCACATGCCGAATGTGGGTGTATCCTACTTAATGACAAAGTCTGACAAGGAGCGGGACTAGGTTGTACCCGATCTCTAGTGGGATCGGCTCTGTCCGATCTCTTTCTCCTCTATCAGATCGGCTTCGCCCGATCCCTCCCGTATCGTCTGATGTCAGCTTACGTCATCATATTGGATTGCTACTTTCAGCAGACTCTTCTGTCTCGAAGCTTTTTGCTTTCTTCCACCATCATCGCAGGCTTCACAACACACGCCCTTCTCAAGAGTCAAACCTCAAGCCTGGCAAAGAACTCTGCTTTAGGGCTGCCATCCCGACACCTGCACACAACTAAGCGCAACCATGGCGCAAGCACAACCCCTCCAAGGAGTCTCAATACCACGCTACGAAACTCGCTCCAGCGCCGCTTCCACCTACACCGTCTACGCCGTCGTAGTGCAACTCCCCGTTCCATCATGGACAGTCTATCGACGCTACTCCGAATTCGTTCGACTGGATAAAAACCTTGCTGCTTCACCCGCCTCTTCCGCTGGCACAGGTGAACCAAGCGGAGCGGGTAAACGAGCTCCTAAACCACTTCCACCCAGAGAACGTGCAAGAGGATGGAAAAAGACCTTTTCCGGCTTTCTCTCCTTTGCATCCGGCGACCAAGGCAACAATGACTTTGACGAACAAATGTGGCTCAAGCATCGTATGGCGGCACTCGAGACATATCTCAAAGCGATCGTCATGCACCAAGATCCTAGCTGGAGAGAAAGTGAAGCGTTCAAGACATTCATCGAGTGGCCCATGTCGATCAAGATGGTCACTACCCCATCAGCATCCTCTTTCTCTTCCTCTTCCTTTCCCTCTGCTGGTGCTGCGGCTGCTTCACCACGTGCACCTCGTACAGCAACACACAACACAACATCCATGCCAGGCACTCTCCCACCAGGCACCCGCGTCCTCGGTTCAGCTGCAGCTTCGAATCAACCTCGTCCACCAGCAGAAGAAACAGACACCACCCGACCCCTCAACAAGGCCCAACTCTTCCAATCTCAAAACGATGCAATGGACCAACAAGATCAACAGCTCAACAATCTCACCGCTATCCTACGCAGACAACGACAGATGGGTGAAGCCATCAACCAGGAGTTGGGCGAACAGACCGAATTGCTCGGCCAGCTCGATTCAGAGGTGGAAATTACACAGGCAAAGCTAAGCAAAGCGGATCAGAAGATGGATAGCTTTGATGCAGGAAAAGCAAAGAGCAAGGTTGGGTTTGGGAACAAGTTCTAATCCGTACTACATTGCATTTTCCATCTTGAAAACAGGAATAAGCTATGTCGACTCGGTAGGATACTAGGACTCGTTTCGGGGGCATCGTTGTAGGAGGTGGACGAGGACGAGGGACGAGGAGGAAGATTCGGAAGAAGAGCTTGCTGCGTGCAAGTTTGGATGATACCGGCTGACCAATAGATGTTGTTGACTGAATGATACATCCATCGTAGATACATCCATCGTAGATACTACACACCGATACCAGAGACCGGTTATATACTCATGCTGACACCCCAGACCGACGTGGTTATACAAGCGAGGGCGAAGAATTGATTACCGAAAGCCGAACTGTTCGCCGAGATTTGCACCAGACTCAACTTTCTGTCGGCCTAACAAACGAAAGACGCTGCGAAATTCAATCCCGGCCGGCTTATTCGAAATGCAGAGTTGGACCGCGGCTGAAAAGGTCAGAAAAACACAATCGCACGCTTTCTTGTGCTACCACCACCTCTCTCTCTCTCTCTCCTCCTCATCTTCGAGGATCCATGTTGGCTTCTTCCGCCAACATCGCAAGAAGCCTCACAAGAGCTCTACCAAACATCTCTTTCCCACGATACTTGTCGGCAGCAACTGCCTCCAGTATCCACTCGAGAAGATCGACGACTTTCGAGGTAAGTGTGCGACAAGGATGACGAGGATGACGAGGCGGTGGCATCAGCGCGGACCTCGAAGCAGCGCTTTTCGAATGATGAGCAACTTTCTTAAATCATGTGAACAATCCAACACCGAGAAGGTCATCAGCCTTGCATTGTGCGGAGTTAAAGATTAACCAGACTCTGATCTCGCTGCTTCGAGTGCTAGGCTTGCTTGCTTGGTCAAAAGCCTCTCAAAAGTCGAATTTGAACTGCAAGCTGACTCTTTGCATCCATCTGTAGACTCAGCTACCGTCAGGCACTCAGAGAGGCCTCTTATCCTCAGGCACCATCCTTGACCCAGCTGCCACCGCATCGCAACTAAGCAGCATGGCTTCCACCTCGAAAACCCCGGCTGCTGAGCCAACTCTCTACATCGACGGCAAGTGGACACACGCAAAAGCTGGTCACACACGTTCCATCATCAACCCGTACGACGCCTCCACGATCACCACCATCGACGAGGCAGGCGCTGAGGATGCGCTCGCAGCCATCAACTCTGCCGTCCACTTCTTCCGTACATCCTCCTGGCCTCATCAAACATGCACATCTCGCACGCCGCTCCTCTCGAAACTAGCCGAGCTTTTGCAGCGAGACAAAGAGATGCTAGCCGAGATTGAGACCAAAGACACGGGCAAGACTCTGGAAGAGAGCAAAGTGGACGTAGACGACGTGACCAACGTCTTTCGCTTCTACGCTGAGGAAGCCAAGAAGCTGGATGAACCCAAGAAGATCGTCTCGGATGTGATCCCTGATTCGGTCGAGAGCACCACTTGGCAGGTCCCTGTGGGTGTCTGTGTGCTCATTGCACCGTGGAACTATCCATTGTTGCAGATCTGCTGGAAGCTTGCCCCTGCCTTGGCGACGGGCAATGCGGTGATTATCAAGCCTTCGGAGGTGACGCCTTTGTCAACGATCCACTTGGTCAAACTGTTGATCGAGGCAGGTGCGCCAAAGCGGTCGGTACAGTTGTTGACTGCCGCTGGAGCATCCGTCGGTCCGAGGTTGACAGAACACCCGGATGTCGACTTGGTCTCGTTTACCGGTGGTCTCGACACAGGCCGCCGAATCATTTCCTCCTGTGCGGGCACAGTGAAACGCTGTACAGTCGAGCTAGGCGGTAAGAACCCCAACATTGTTTTCGCCGACTGCGATCTGGAATGGGCCATCGACACGGTGGTCACGGCTGTTTTCCTGCATTCAGGACAAGTGTGCTCTTCAGGAGCAAGGTTGATCGTCGAAGAATCGATCGCCGACAAGCTCGTCGCTGGCGTGGTGGAGCGTGCCAAACGTATTCATATGGGAAATGGAATGGATCCTGCTTCCGAAACCGGACCTCTCGTCTCTGCTGGACACCTATGCAAAGTGGAAGCATTCGTCAAGTTGGCTCTCGAAGAAGGAGCCAAACTTGTGGTTGGAGGATCTCGACCCGATCCCAAGCAACACCCTGAGTTGGCAAAAGGTTTCTTCTTCTGCCCAACTGTCTTTGACGATTGCAATCGCGACATGCGGATTGTGCAAGAAGAGACTTTCGGACCGATCTTAACCGTGGAGAGGTTCAAGGATGGAGATGAGGAGCATGCGATTTTCCTCGCCAACGATACCAAGTATGGATTGGCCGGTGGAGTGCAGTCTGGCAACCTGCAGAGAGCGAGGAGGGTAGCCAAGCGCTTACGTCATGGAACCGTGTGGGTGAATAGCTATGCATCCTACACGCCTGCTGCCGAGTGGGGTGGATTTGGTACGAGTGGCAATGGAAGAGAGCTGGGTAGTAAGGGTTTGCATGAGTATATCGAGACGAGGCACGAGTGGGTTCAGACCAAGCCAGCCAAGTCTGGTTGGTTCAAGGGCAAGGGGAAAGAGTTGCAGCCTCTTGCTGCGATCAAGGCTAAGCTCTAAGTTTACACTCTGCCTCTCTGCCTCTCGATAGCTTTCTTGGATTGTCTTGATTCTCAATGTGGGGTAGATGATGACAAAGACGTCGATCCAATAGGATGATGAAAGTTGACGTAAGCAATGAATGGTGAAGAGATCGGGATGGGTCAATCGAATCGAATCGAATCGGAGATTTGGTAGAACCGATCTGACAAGAGATCGGGTGCCACACAGTCGCGCTCCTCGATCTTCAACGTGTGGGCCCGCCCGATCTCCGATCAGATTGTGCTCTGCTGAATCGTTATCTCCAGCATTTAATTCCAATCCAATCGACCCCACACCCACAAATCTAACATTGTTTAAATTCATCAACCCCCACACTCGCACAAGCACAGCTTTCTGTTTTGATTCCGCTCTTGCATCCTATCTGATCGCCACCATCTCGGCTTGCACGACTGATAGTGATACTGCATCTAGCCACTGCTTGCTAGCATCCTGCGACATCATGCCCACCCCCGTCAATGGTTCCGACATCGCTGGTCCACCATGTTCGCCAGGCTCCAAAGCCAAGGCTGCTGCTGCCATGTCTCCTTCAACCTCTTCCTCCTCCGCTTTTCTTTCCGCAAACCATCCGCTCAATCTCCGCAAGCAAGCTCAGCCCAAGCTCGACTCTAGCTTCAGCGTCAAGACCTACATCGGTGCTGCCAATGCCTTGCTCGATAAGGCAAGAGCCGCAGATGCACAGAGCCAGATCGAAGTCGCTTTCGTCAACTATCTCAAAGCCGCCAACGTCACTGCCTTCATCTCGAAGCATGATGACTGGCCCAAGATCCAAAAGTCGCGCGACTCTGTCTATCAGGCGTACAACGAGCTGATGAAGCAAGCTCCTGCTTTCATAGAGCGTACCAAGCGATTAGAGACTCAGCTGGCCATTCGAGAAGAGCGTAATGCAAAAGCAGCAGCACAAGCCGCAGTCGAGCAAGCTCAGAATGCAATGCGCCAACGACAAGCTCAACCGCCAGGCGATTCCGCTCTTCGTGCTCAAGCGCCATCATCGCATCCACTCTCCTCACATACAGGTGCCCCTATGGCCATGGCTGCTATCCATCGCTCTGGCTCTTGGCACGATTCGGATGAGCATCATGCTGCACATCCTACTCACCCTTCTCCCCTCATTGATCAGCACGCAACAAGCTGCTCCCTTGCCGATCGTCTTCAAGCGCTTCGCAATACTGCAGCCAGCCATCCTGCCGAGCTCCGCAACCCCGGTCGATCTGATAGTGCCTCTTCTACTCCTGGCTTACCGAGGAGCGCCCATCTCGCATCTCACCTTGAAGCACTTGCACAAGATCCTCCTTCCGCTTCCTCTAATGGCACATTCGACATGCACAACTTCAGCAACACCTTGCCGGACGCACCATCACCATCATCATCATCAGCAGCAGGAGGCCAACCTCACTTTCCAGCTGTACCTTCCGCTTCCGAGTTCAACTCCGCGTACCCGACCATCGATCAGCTTGAAGCCGGCTCGTCCAACACGCCAGATGGCTTCCCTTCACCACCATCCCATCCGGTTGGCAAAGTCTCACGACCATTACCAGCACCACCAAGTTCGAGCGAGCAGGATGTAGCGCGCGAGTTTGCACTAGCACGCCATGTTCCACAACCATTGGAGCGAGTAGGTGGCCAGCAGCAAAGGCAGATCGATGGCTTGCCCAACCAAGATCCTCGTCGATTCAGTCTACAGCAATTCAACTCGCACTATTCCAGCAGTTCAGCCGTCCCCACCTTGCAGCAACAAGGACAGCACCAGCAGCAAATAGCACCAGGCGGATCAGCAGCCGAACCACGCTCACTCATCGTCGGCGCCAAACCCACACTACCCATCAAGAACCACATCTCGGTCGAAGAACTCTTCAACTTTCTCCATCCCGGTTTCCAAAACTTCACGGATGCAGATGGCAAGCCCAAGATTGGCAAGAAGGTCGGTCTCGATGTGCTTTTGCTCGACGTCCGCAGTCGAGCCGAGTTTGAAGATGGGCGCATTCTTGGCGGCAAGACAGTCTGTATCGAGCCTATTACGCTGCGAGAGGGTATGACTTCGGGCGATATCGAGGATAAGCTCCTTCTCTCGCCTCCAGAGGAGCGGTTGGCCTTTGCATCTCGCAACCGATTCGATTTGGTTGTGTTATATGATCACAACCTTCGATCGCTCAGGGGCAGTGTACCGGAGGATAAGGTGCCGCAAGATCCAGCAGCGCAGGCGAGGATGGATATCTTGGTCAAGGCGATCTACGAGAACGAGTTTACAAAGACGTTGGCACATCAGCCCGTCTTACTCGTCGGTGGATTCCAGAGTTGGACGCAGGAGCTAGACAAGAAGTTGATTTTGCGAAGTGCAGGAGCAGTGGATGGGAATGCCAACGGGCATCCGCATAGGAGTAGCATCTCCTATGAGCCAGGCACAAGCTTCCCTACCGCAGAAAACGCAGGGATGGCGAGGGAACAGGAGTTGAAGCGTGCAAGAAGACAGCAGCAGGTGTTTGCCGATGGTTTCCCACCCTCTTCTGCTCCAGGATCGCCCGCAAGGACAGGAGGAATGCAACCCGGAGGAATCTACCCCAGCAGAGCGACGACGAATGGGACGAGCTCGCCGTTCGCAGCTCCATCGTTGCCAGCTCGTGCCTATCAAGGTTCGAATGCACTTGCATCTGGTGCTCCCTCCTTCCCACCTGCAGCAGCACACCGACCTCCTTCCCGCTCCAACTCCTCCAGCACTTTCGACTATCCTCAACTCAAGCCAAGCTCAGCAACAGGTGCAATGTCACCGTACGGTATGCCCACACCTCAGCCTCCACCCATGGCAGCCTCCACCGCCACTCCATCTGCAGCAACAACCAACGCCGCTGCCGCCCACAATCGTTCTCAGTCGGCCGCTGGAGGTCCCATGATCCCCGGCACTGGATCCGCAGGTGGCAATGATCCCTCGAAAAAGCAAGTCATGGCTCCTGGCTATGCAGGCCATCTCAGCACCCAATCCTCTCGCATCTACACCAGTCCCACCAACGGCCGCAGTGTAGACGAGAGCAAGTTCGGTCTCACGGGTCTTAAGAACCTCGGCAACTCGTGCTACATGAATTCCACCTTGCAGTGTCTCTCTGCCACTATCCCACTGGCTAGATTTTTGCTGGATGGATCATACAAGCAAGCGATCAACCGTACCAACCCTTTGGGTACTCAAGGACAGCTGGCTAACACACTCGCCGGCCTCATCCACGTCATGTGGGGAGAAAAGTACGCATTCATCTCGCCGGTCACGTTCAGGGAAGCCATGGCGAAATTCGCACCCTCTTTCCGAGGATACGACCAACACGATTCGCAAGAGTTCCTTGCTATCTTGTTGGATGGTCTCCACGAGGATTTGAACTACGTAGTAACTCGACCAGCTGCGATCGAGATGACACCGGAGAGGGAGAATGAGTTAGAGACGTTGCCGCAACAGATTGCAAGTCTCAAGGAATGGTCGATCTATCGTATGCGAAATGACAGTTTGGTGGTGGATTGCTTCCAAGGTCAGTTCCGAAACAAACTTACCTGTCTCACCTGTGGCAAAACGTCGACGACCTACGAGGCTTATACATACCTCTCCCTGCCTGTCCCACATGGTCGGGGAGCGAACAAGGTTACACTGCAGCAATGTCTCGACGCTTTCGTTCGAGAAGAAGTTCTGGATAAGGCGGATATGTGGAATTGTCCACGATGCAAAAAGCCAAGAAAAGCAACCAAGCGATTATCCATCTCTCGACTCCCCCACATCCTTCTCATTCATCTCAAGAGGTTCAGCTTCAAGGGTCCCTTCACGGATAAGATCGACACTACCGTTACTTTCCCAACCAACACCTCGCTGGATTTGACCAACTACATGCCCCCACCTCTCCCACCAGGTAGTGCAGGTGCAGGTGCCCTGGTCAGTCAAAGTCAAAAACCACCTTACCTTTATGATCTCTACGCAGCAACTCATCACTTTGGAAGCCTCAATACAGGCCACTACACAGCAACCGTACGGTGCAATAAAGAATGGTGGTATTGCGACGATAGTAGGATCCTCAAGGGCGACGGTAGACAGTTGCATACCAACAGTCCGTATGTTTTATGGTTCAGACGCAGGCCTAACTAGTATGGAATCTCTTTTGATACAAGGTGCAGAGGGTATGTCAGTGCTTGTACTGTGCGAATGATGTGCGGTTGGGGAGAGGTGTTAGGTATTCGCGATCTACCGCGGTGCAGGGTGAGATGCTTTTTGAGGATATGTACGCAAACACAGCACTTCATTCCTACCAATCGAGATTTCGAGAGAGACCCGCGCCCAGAAAGCGAGGGCGAGAGGAGGAGAAGAGGGAGAGATGTGATTCCAGACGAATTCAACGTATGGCGATGCACACACCACTTCCTTGTGAATCACGCCAAAGTTGTCGGCGAAGTCTTCCTTCCGTCTGCCATTACCATGGTCATCATCGTCGGCACCAACTCTCGCTGCTCGGACTGTTTGGATCACCGCAGACGGCTCTGCTAACACCATCGGGAATTAACAAGATCAACTTTCTCCTACCAAACATTCGCTAACATGGCTGCATACACGAAGACATTCAACCCTGCTTCCTCTCACACATCACAAATACTCACCCGGTCTGAAACAAAACAAATCTATTCCATGATCACCGGCGACATCAAACTAGAAGTCACCCAAATCGACCTCAACAGTAGTAGCAAAGTTCTTAACGGCCACAAACCCATTCCCCATTAAATCGGGTTTTGCATTTGTCAATTCCACTCCACCCTGCCCATCCCCGTTGCCTCGCTCTGCTTGCTTCTTCTCCGCCTGGCCCTGCTGCTGCGCTTGCTGTTGCTGTTTGGCAGCCTGCAGTGCAGCAACTTTACTCGATCTAGCTTTACGTTCAACATCCGACATCTTACTCCTATCCAACGCCCTATTCCTTTCATTGACCGCTGCTAGGCGCGCTTCCAGACTCTGCACTTGCGCCACACCGTTTCCATTATCCGTAGGAGTGGCGTTACCAGGAGTAGCAACGCCACGAGGAGAATCTACTCGCGCATCACCGAGTGCACTCTTCCCCATCACGCTGGCCGCTTCAGAACGAATCCTCTTCTTGTGATCCAACATCTTCTTGATATCCGCCTCGGTCAGTGGAGAGGTGAAGAACTTCTCCAACTCATCCGCCTTCCGCATTACACTACCCTTCTTCGGAACCCGCTGTTCGGAGCTTTTGAGCCACGCCATCCATCGATCCCTCTCGCTCTCTGTAAAGTCACCTCGGGAGAGGAGATTGAGTTTGGCTTTGCGCTCGATATTGTCGTGCTCGAAGACGAGGAAGACGTTACACCATCGACCGGAACGATCTTCGGACAGATTGTAGAACTTGCCCGGATTCTCGATGACATCGGCTACTTGGTGGATGCGGTAAATTGTTTCGCTACCTCCACGGGGGTTGGTAGTGGAAGCAGGGACGGAGCGAGTGCCCCAGGAGAAACGGAAGAAAGAGCCAATGAGAGTTTCGCGCCATCTTGGGGCGTAGAGACGGGATTCGACGAGTTCGCGAGTGATTCGGGCTGCGTTGAGGTCAGCGACGGATGGTGGGTCTGATGAGTCGCCTGCTCCAGCACCGGCACTGGTGGTAGCAGTTGTACGTTTCCCACCTCGGGAGTAAGACGGCTCGTCATCGTCCGAGTAAGAAGAGTAAGAAACATCAGAAGCCGAGTCGGACGCATAGCCTCTCCTACCTCTCCCCTTCACTGGACTACCTCGCGCATCATCATCGCTTTCCACCTTCCTACTCGAAACTCCAGCTACCTTTTCCTTCCTCTTCTTCCTCAACTCGCTCAACTTTGCACTTTTCGCATCCGTCTGTCCAGGCAACTTCTTCTTCCTACTCTTCGCTGCACTAGCCGCACCACCGTATAGATCATAATCACTACCATCTTCCTCTTCTTGCTCCTGCTCCTCTTCGCTCTCCTCACTCTCATCACTGCCTCCTCTACCCCTTCCACCTTTACCTCCTCTAACTACGCGCTTCTTCTTCGTCGCCCCCGCCGCAGCTTTTTGCGCCTTAAACAGTGCCTGCAATTCAAACTTCTGCCTCCTTGCTTGAATCTCATCTCTTCTCCTCGCCAGAATATCTTCACGCTCTAACTCGTTCATCGACATCAATTCTTCCATATCCCTTGCGCTCTTATAGATTCCCTGATACGGATACGGATCCCCCCTGCGCGCATTCCCATCTTCGTCCGACGCATCATCTTGGTCTGCAGAGCCCGGTGCGTCGGCGTCGGAACTGGACTCGTCCAGAAGGTCCATACGACGCTTTTTGGCGAGAGAAGTGGTAGTGCTGGGTTTGGATTCGCGTTTTGAACCTGTACGAGCTTTCTCATCGGAAGAGGAATCAGAGAGATCGATGGTGCCTGCTGAGCCGCCAGCTAGGGCGAGAAGCTCATCGTCAAGACCTGTACCGCTGACTGACATTGTTGTGCTCGTGCTGGAGGGGGAGAGATGAGTGTTGGTGGAGAAGAAACGAAAGCGAGATGAGCGAGGTCAAGTAAAGATGGATCCGACCGCCAAAAAGAAAGCGAGTTCTTTTCGTACGAGTTCTTTTCGTACGAGTTCTTTTTGTGCGAGTTCGCGCATCTCAATTTTCACTCGAGTGTGAGATCTAGGAATTCTAACGCCATTGCGGGAAAGGAAAAAATCTCTGTCCAACGCTCACCGTCGTTACTCATCGTCACCCAACACCGTTGCTCAGATCCACGTCAACACCCTCCTGCTTCTATTGTGATAGCATGCAATCCTGTGTAGCACTTTATTCCACACACGCACACACCAGCTATCGGGAGATACATATATGCTTGTCATTCCTAATCGTTTCGCTGCTCTTCACTTGTACATCCCTCAACAGTCCACAAGGTAGGCGCACAAAACACACAAGGCTTAACTCATTCTTTTATTAGTACCACATCTATCCACTGTCACTACATACAGTCCATCGTCGCCGCACGTAATAAAACCGCGTCCTACCTTCGAAGTCCGTGTCGCAAGTGACAAGCGAAGAACGCTATTCGCTCCAACAACAATAACAACAACAATAAGATTGATTGAGGAGAATGGATATATTCGCTTGGAAAGAGGTACATCGGAATCAAGCTGGAATGACCTAGCCATCTTTCTTGATGTGAATGTGGATCCACTTGGTGCAGAATCTTCCGGTCGTAGTCTCTTTCGCGAAAGTATCGAGGTCCCTGTTGTTGTCTTTCTCGTCCGAGATCCAGATCCTCCAGGCAGTGTTGTCACCCCTCTTGAGAGTGATGTCCTTGCATCCGGTTTCAGGATCGATGTTCGAGCAGACGAAGTAAACTCCACCGAGGTTGGGATACCTTATCACGAAGGAATCTTTAATATTTTTCATTGTGAAATCTGCAGGGGTTGTTGTGGTCAGCATCTGCTCTTAATTTTACGGCTGAAGGTGAAACAACTTACCCGTCCTTTTGTCGTCCTTGATCATGAGGTTCTGGGTGATGTCGAATGGTTCAAGGAAGGGGCGAGCATCCACGTCGTGAAGATTTCCGTACCAGTGAGTGAAGCAAGGATGAGTGGGATTTTTGTCTCCTTCGCAGAGGTCCTTGTACCCCTTTTCATTAACATCAAGCTTGGTAAGGAAACATTGATCAATGCTGGCTTCGCGAGCGAAGACAAGGTGCTTGACATGCTTAGGGATGAGCTTGCCCACAACAGAGTCAAGCAACAGAACCAAAGCTATCAGAAGGAGGCCAAAGTTGGCAGCGCAAGTAGAAGCTCGAGTCATCTTGCTCGAAGCTTGTCTGGATCTTGAAGGAAGTGAGGGAAAACTTTGGAAACAAGTCTTGGTTGGGAGAACTGTATTTGAGGGCCCAGCGCTCAGCTCTTGTTCGCAAACATGTGTGGGGCTTGCACACTTGCCTGCCGAGCCTGAAGCTTGATGCGTGCACCTCTTTGACCCTCGGATCGCGATGAAGTCAGGTGGGTTGCCATTGGTGGTGCTGTGAAACAGTCGCCACACCTCGTTGCATCAATTTGATACAGTAGAGATTCAGTCGACTGGTGGATCAGGTGAAAGGTGGCTAAAGGTTCACAGTTGGACTGTCGACTTGAAGCTGTATCTAGGCTCGCAACGCGACATCGATTGAAGAAGTGGGTCTACCTCACCAACGAAGACTCCACTAGTGGCGCATTTCCCACCGTTACAGTGGCACTGTCGACTTGAAGCTGTATCTAGGCTCGCAACGCGACATCGATTGAAGAAGTGGGTCTACCTCACCAACGAAGACTCCACTAGTGGCGCATTTCCCACCGTTACAGTGGCACTGTCGACTTGAAGCTGTATCTAGGCTCGCAACGCGACATCGATTGAAGAAGTGGGTCGACCTCATCAACGAAGACTCCACCTGCGGCGCATTTCCCATCATTCTCAACCACAGCACGACATTCCCGCTGACCAACCGAATCGAAGCCAGTTTCTGACATGGCTCACCTTCTGGCCTCGCCAGGCATGTATGGGTGCGAAGCGATACATGCGCAGTTGCTGGATGTGAACATATTGAGGAAAGCACAATCAGTGCGGTCAAGCAAGCAGCGAAATCGTTAGCTATTGAGTGAGAACTAGATACAGCAATGTCAGAGTATACAGCATGCACATAAACTGTCCCATAATTTTACATGTCACCATACATCACTCTAATGCTCAATAGCTATAAGTTGTATTGCCACACTGTCTGATATTGTCTGAAAGCCCTGCTTCTTCTCTCCAAGACTGTGGAATTGATATTGACATTGACTAAAAAAATTGTGCTATGAAGAAGAGCCAAAATATTTTTTTTTATTGTGGGACAGTTTATGGAGCATGCTCCCAAATAGTGACACCACTCCATTCCTGACCTTGTGGGCTTTTGACTACAATGAAACTTGCAATGTAACTTGGTGGGCACCTTCATACACATTGAAAGTAGTGATGTGGAAAGTTTCAGCTCAATCAGATGACTGTGAGCAATCTGGCAGCACTTCCAGTCTGACACCATCATATCTATACCATCATGATGAAAACCACCCCAGAGAAACACCAATCAGCAATCTTTCACCTCCAAAATGGAGAATCTACCTGTTCAGTTGCTGAGAAACTCAGTCTGAGCAAGTCTACAGTGTCTTGCATAAGCAAAAGTGCCTCTGCTGATGCTCCAAAGTCAAAGGGGGGCCAGCCGAGAAAACTCCAGCCTTGTCATGTTTGCTTCCTGGACCACTATTTTGAGCTCAATTCAACATCCATGGTCAGGAAAGCATTTCATGCACTGCAGGAGACATTTCACATCAAAGCATGCCCAATGACAGTAAGAAAAGCACTTCATTACTGTTGTTACAAAGCATGAAGGTTAGTGAATAAACCAAAGCTACTCAAGAGGCATTACAAAGTGCATCTCAAATTTGTGAATGAGCACAAGGACATGACTGTTGAGGATTGGAAGAAGGTGGTATGGTCCAATGAGATGAAGATCAACTTCTTTGGACCAGATGGGAAGCAGTTCTGTTGGATTAAGAATGCCAGCTTCAACAGCAAGCTTGTCAGGCCAACAGTCAAGTTTGGCAGTGGCTCCATCATGATCTGGGGCTGTATGACATGGGAAAGGGTCAGAGGTATATGCTTGGTGCTGGGATCAATGAATTCAGACCAATACATTGATATCTTGAATGACAAGCTTGTGAAAACAATCTCAGATTTGCAGCTTCAGCATGCATACACCAACATCATGTTTCAGCAAGACAATGACTCAAAACACATGTCAAAGAAGACAACAATGTGGTTGGAAAGCAATAGCATTAAGGTTATGCAATGGCCAGTGCAGTCACCAGACTTGAACCCAATTGAACACCTCTGGCACCATCTCAAAATGCAACTTTCATGGTATAGTATGATTGCAAAGTCCAGGGCTGAACTGCTCAAGAGATGCAAAGCTGAATGGACAGCAATCACTCCAGAGACATGTAGGATACTAATAGAGAGCATGCCAGACTGCATCAAGGTGGTTCTGAAGGCCAAAGGAGGGAAAATGAAGTACTAAGGTGTTGTTGAGGAGTGCTCCATAAACTGTCCCACAATAATAATAAAATTCAGCTCTTCTTCATAGCACAATTTTTTTAGTCAATGTCAATATCAATTCCAGTCTTGGAGAGAAGAAGCAGCACTTTCAGATGATATCAGACAGTGTGGCAATACAACTTATAGCTATTGAGCATTAGAGTGATGTATGGTGACATGTAAAATCTTGGGACAGTTTATGCATGTACTGTATATGCTTCTATGACCTGTGTGTGATGGCAAGCTGCCACATATGACTGCATGACATGATTGAATGAGATAGGGGTGTTGGTGGGCGACTATGCGTGTTGGTGGCGGGCCATGATGCGTGCTGGTGGGAGTTGACGGGTGGCGACGCTGAGCGAGGTTTGCGGAAGTCGGAATATCACTGAGCGGTCATGTGATTTCACTATACATGCGCAGTTGCTGGATGTGAACAATCGTGATTGCTGCCATATGTGTGGGTGGGCGTCGAGTGTAGGATACATTGCAACGATGCTGATACTGATGCGGAAGACGTCGTTCAACCGAAGTGGAAGCCAGGGGGAGGTCTTGCGCCTCTCCTCTGTCCTGCTGAGAAACCCCCACCACCCATGCCGCCCATCCCGCCGCCAGCACCAAACAGATCAGCCAAATTAATCTCCACACCACCCGGACCGCCAAAGGTACCCATACCACCCATACCACCCATGCCTCCCATGCCTCCCATGCCTGCCATTCCCCCTGGAAAGGCATCATGCTCCAAATCATCAGCGCCAGCATCATACCTTCTCCTCTTATTCTCGTCGGACAGTACGGCATAGGCTTCGGAGCAAAGCTTAAACTTTTCCTCGTCGCCTCCCTTATCAGGATGATGTTTCAAACTTTCCTTCCTATAGGCCTTCTTAATGTCGCTCTCGCTTGCCGTCTTAGCAAGATTCAAGATTTTGTAGTAATCCTTCTTCCTACTCCTCTTGAAATCGATCTCGGCGCTTCTCAACTCACACTTTAGTTGCTCAACCTGCTTTCCTCCGGCTAGACTTGCTTCTTGCAAGGCCCTCTTGAAATCCCTCACGGCATCCTCGTATTGCTCTGTTGCAAGCAAGGCTCTAGCACGAGTACGTAAGGCTTTGACATACCCAGAATCAAGTTGCAGTGCAGCATCGCAATCTTTAATCGCCGCTTGATGATCACCATTCTTGGAATTGGCAGTTGCGCGGTTGGAGTAGAGAATCGCTTTAAAGCCTGCAGCTGGACCATCTTTGTCGCTATTCTCCTCTGCCAGCCGCAAGGCCTGGGTGAAAGTTTGCACTGCGAGAGCATGATCACCTTGCTTAAAGGCAGAGTTACCTTGCTCCTTGTTGTCTTGCAACTTTCTGCACTTCTTCAAAAGATGCCTCGCACCCGACTCTTCCGGATCGGATCGGAGTGCAGCTTGACAATGCGCAACGGCTTTTGCAAGGTCACCCTTGGCCAGCAGAATCCTAGCACGAACCAAGAGTGCTTCTGGATTGGAAGGATCAGCTCGAAGAGCATCAGCAAGGAGACCATTGGCTTGGTCGAGATTGTTCTTATGCAAGTGCACTGTCGCTCGCATGATTCGCCATGCAACTGGAGCATCAGCTTGGGCAATACGGGCGTGCTGTTGGGCCTGGTCGAGGGCAAAGCCAGCCAGTGACCAATCGGCTTGCGAAGAGAGCGATTGGAAGGATGCTAAGTGGTGCGCAACACTGGTAGCTTGCTTCTGCAGCTGAATGGCTTGCTTCTTGGTCGGCTGATCCAAACCATGGGGCGCGGTGGGTGAGTCTAGAACAGGGCTAAGCACGGACAAGGCCCCGGAAGGGTTTCCGAGGTAGAGATGACACCTAGCAAGTCTGATGAGCGTCTTGGGCTGTGCAACACGATCGGGAGACTGTTTCGCCTGGATATCTTTCGCAAGCTGACAGTCGGAAAGCGCCTGCTTGTACATTTTGAGACTCATCTGGGCGGCGGCTCGGTTGGTGAGGAAGGTGGAATCGGAAGGATCGAGTTGGTGGGCGCTAGAGAAGGAATCGATGGCTTTAGAGTATTCTTTGGAGGAGAAATACGAGTTGCCTTGGCTTTTCAGTTGTTGCGCTTCTTGTTTTTCATCCGAGGAGGCTTCCGTGGCCTGGGTGGTGGTTGTGCCGTTGACCGCAGATGACGAGGATCCGCGATTGGGGCGAGTTCCCTTCATGACGGGGTCGGACTCTTTGCTTGGTGTCGAAGGGCGAGACATGATGGTGGAAGCAAGAAGAAAGTCCTTCCTCGTGATTGTGTCTCCTCTTGATTGTGTCTCCTCCTGATCGTGTGAGAGGTGACGTGAAAGCCAAAACCCCAAAAACAAAAAACCAAAAAACCAAAAAATTCTTATCGTGCGAATGGATTCATGTGCATTTTTCAATGATGAGCGAAGCGGGCACGTGATCAAGGTGTGTCAGGTGATTTTGTTTCAACACTTTTAACCCTCTCGCTCGTTCGGGTTGGACAATTTAACATTCCGTTTTTTGTCCTTTTTCGACAATTTTCACACGTTGTTCAAGGGCATTAAAAGGGCGACAAGTGTCCGTCGATCACTTTCTTTCTACCGTGCGGAGAGGATGCTTTTCGCACGCTTTTCGCACGCTTTTCCCGATTTCCCCCTCTCCGCTTTGATCATCGGGCTTGAAATCGGGACTGGAACTCGATCAGAAGAATTTCTTCGCATTTTTGGACAATCAGCAACTTGTTCTTTCTTCCTTTCTTTCTTCCTTCTCGTCCTCATCAGACCATTTCGCTTCTCGTTCAGCCTCTTGCCAGGGCATCCGAGTGTCAAGATCACCTCGCCCGCCTCAGGCCTGGCTTATCGCTCTCGGTATCGCAAAAGGTCAAGGCATCCTTCTCTACTCTGAGACGCCAGAACAAAAGTCGGCCGAGATAGCAAGTATGACCGAACGTCTCTCTCAACCAGTCGCCGCCGCCGCTTCTGGTGGGGTTGAAGAAGTAAGGCCGGTTAAACGCGATCTCGAATGCACGCCTGCCCCTGCCTCTGCTGATGGAGGTGCCACGGAAGCAACACCAGCAGAAAAGCGTGCTCGATTCGATACGAATGACCGTGAGACGAACAAACATGGTCAAAAGAAATGGGAACGCCGCGACCGTCGTGGTACCGGATCGACCACCACCTCCTCCTCTGCCACCACTTCCTCTGCCACCACTTCCTCTGCCACCACTTCCTCTGCCACCACTGATGAACCTTCCGAAAGGCTACCTAAACGCAAAGTAGCGGTCAAATTTGGCTACTGCGGCATTGGTTATTCCGGCCTGCAAATCAATCCCGGCGTGAAAACGATCGAAGGAGACATGTTCGCCGCATTCTGCAACGTCGGTGCTGTATCCGCCGATAACGCTGTAAACCCCAACAAGGTTGGTCTTCAACGTGCTGCACGTACCGACCGTGGAGTTCACGCTGCAGGAAACCTTGTCTCTCTCAAACTTATCCTTGAACCTTGCGGTCTTAAACCAGGAGAAACGCTGGTGGACAAGGTCAACTCTATCTTACCTGATTTCATCCGAATATGGGGTATAACAAGAGTCCAGAACGCTTTCAACGCCAGACAGAGCTGCGATAGTAGAATGTACGAATATCTTCTCCCCACATACGTTTTCATACCGCCCAAGCCAGGCAGTAGTATGCACGATATGTTGGTTAGGATGCAAAAAGAACAACTTGCCAAACTTGAAACCTCGGATCCGCAAGCTAGTACCACTTCTCTCGATCCCATTGTAAACCATGCCTTCTGGGCTCAACACGGTACCTCGCATGACTTCTCCACCGACATTTCCGCTAAGAAAGGTTACCGCCTGCCCGCCTCGCACCTGGCTAGAATCCGATCCATCTTCGCCCGCTACCTCGGCTCGCACAACTTCCACAACTTTACCGTCGGAAAAGAATTCCGCGATCGTTCCTGCCAGCGATTCATGAAAGAGTTGTCCATTTCAGATCCCAAGCTCATCCAAGACGTCGAATGGCTTAGCATCAAATTCCACGGCCAAAGCTTCATGCTGCATCAAATAAGGAAAATGATTGGACTCCTAGTGTTAATAGGCAGAACCGGAGCGGCTCAAGGCTTGGTTGAAGAATGTTTTGGTCCCGCGAGAGTGCATATCCCCAAAGCTCCAGGACTGGGCTTGTTGTTGGAAAGACCTATCTTCGATGCCTACAACAGTAGGATTAGAAACAGCAATGACAAGCTTAGCAGGTTGATGCGCAAGAAGAACATCAACGATGCCGTTGCCGTTGCCGCCGCCGCAGGCCAAGGTTCTGATAGCGTTCAAGTTGCAACTGAACAAAGTAGAGAAAACATGAGCACAGCTTACAAGGGAAAGCAATCTGCAAAAGGCACATCCTGCAGCCTCTCAAACGAACTTCGGGAAGAGGTAAGCTACTCTCAACACAATTCGTCAATGGAAGAGTTCAAACAGACTTGGATCTACGATCGAATTATTGCGAGCGAACAAGAGACGAATGAGTTTGGAAAGTGGTTGAATTATTTAGATGTTTTCCAAGGTTCAGACTTTGAATATTTGAATCCAAATGGTCTTATCCCTGCCAAGGCGGTTGTCAAACTCGGTGAGTTTCATCGTGATCGACTTGGACATTCGAAGAACGATGCCGAGGGGCACAAGCTTCGAGAAGAGCGGCAAGAGCGGCAAGAGTGGCAAGAGGAGGCGGATGAAGATGAAGAGGCATATGGAAAAAAACCAAGCGAGTTGGAGGAATACGAAGGATAAACGCGTCGATACTGGGCAGACCTTCTTCTCGAACCTAATGGCATGCAGCCTCACTGATGGATGCGAGAAACAGTCGCAAGTGTAAGCAAGATCTACCTTTGAGAATGCTAATACAACTCTGGTGCAACACAAACATCACAGTGGTCTTGCTACAGTTGACAATCTGTGTGAGAGAAGGAAAGGGTGATTGCATATGCCAACAAACGAAAACGAGAGATGCAAATGCCAATGATGATACGATCCATAGCCAACTGCTCGCAAGATGGAACTACATCTGATCAGCAGCAGGTCTAAAAGTAATAACATCCATACAAGTTTTTTCACCCCTCTTACACAAGACGACGACCTTATCATCTCTATAAGTGACCTTCCAGACCTGTTGGCAAGGATCGCAGATTTCCCTTATGAACTTGCCCGTATTGAAATCCCACAACTTAACTCTTCCATCATTGCCACCTGTGATGATATATCTATCATCAAACTGTAAACAAGTGACAGAGTTGTCATGTGCACAGAGTCTATGTAGACATTCGAAAGTGTTGAGACTAAAAACGATAACTCTACCATCTGAACCACCTGTTACGAGAATATTATCAAGTAGTTGCAATTGACCAACGAGTGATGTATGGCCTTGGAAAAGTGCTAGACAGTCACCTGTTTCAGCTGACCAGACACGAACTGTTGAATCCAAAGATCCAGTAGCAATTCGTTTACCATCAAATGCAACTGCATAGATGTAATGGATATGCCCTCGAAGTACGTGCAAACATCGACCTGTGTCGAGATTCCATACTCGACAAGTACCATCGTAACTGCCCGAAGCAACTTTGTCACCAGCTACTTCAATACAGCGCACTGAATGTTGATGACCTGCTAAGAGGTGGACATGCTCTCCTGTCTCTACATTCCATACGCGCAGAGTTGAGTCTCGTGAACCTGATACTGCGATCGGCTTGCCATCGAGTACTTTGAGACAACGCACTGTCGAAGTATGACCGTGCAAGACATGTTTGCATTGACCGGTGCGCAGATCCCAGACGCGTACATCACGATCACATCCACCGCTAACAACGATAGCATCTTTGTTGCCGTATCCAACAACACTTCCGCAAGGGTTGCCCATGCCCAATGCATTGCCTGCCAGCTGTGCACCAACGGCTGATGCATGAGGAGGACCGGAGGAGGAGGAGTAAGAGGCGGAGGAGGAGGAGAAGGAGGAGGAGGAAGAGGAGGAGGAGGAGGCAGCACGCCTTCGGTTGGCTCTACTCTCAGTTGCGGCCGCGCCTGCTGCCGCCAACTCGCCGTCTCGACGGATACGTTCTGCGAGCTGAGCAGGCACTTGGCCTGTTCCGTCTGCCATGACTGCATCTCGAATCGCCCCGGCCTCGGCTTCTGCAATGGCCTTGGCGGCTTGGCGATCTAGCTGATCGCGCTCAGTGCGTGCACGAGTGGAGGATCGCAGCTCGCGATGCACATCTGATGCACCTTCCCAACCAATCGAGAGGTCTGCATCAGAGTCACCTGCACCCGAGGCGTTGTCATCCAAGACAAGCGGTCGACTACGTGATCCGTCTGCTGCATCTCGTGCTGCAGCCGCCGCTCTTCTTGCACTCTGCTGACGTCGAAGAGCACGCCTAGCCTTGTGGAACCATTCGAGCGTCTCGCCATGCCCATACGATCTTTGGCGTGCTTTTCCCGACGGCGTACTGGCAGTGGAGCATGGCAACCTGCGGCCACCAAAGACGTCTGCTTCTTCGGGCACTTCCATCGAGGAAGGTAGTCGAGACAAGAGCGCGTCAGCAGCATCGGGACGCGGGTCGTGGTGAACAAGTCGAAGGTCGCCGTCGGCGGTGGCTTGGTATGGTTTGCCGCCGCTGCCATCCTCAGGATCTGTGATGACCATCTTGCCCTTGCCTCGCTGAGATGTCGATGCTTGACCATGCTTGCTGCTGTTACTTTTGCTGATGAGGGTCAAGCACCACACTCCGGCGTCGTGTCCGAGTAGGGTATGTGCGTAGAGACCGGTCTCTGCGCTGAAAACGTGAATCTTGGAGTTGGCCATGCCTACGACGATCCATTCGCTGTCGATAGCCAAACTTGTGACGACGTGGCCTGCATCGGCAGAGACGTGCTGAGTCTGAAGACGACCGCCCTTGCGCCAGTTGGATTCGGTGAGGTAGGCCATCTTGAAGTGAGTGCGGTAGCTGAATGGCACCTTTGCTGAGCGATGACGGTGAGCGTGAACGGCAGAAGGGGAAACGGTCGAGTGTCGAGAAGGCCCAGCTTGTGACGATCGCTCCTGCACAGGACAAGGAGAGGGTGCGGAGGAGTCGAAAAGGTTCAAGCCGGTTGCGGGTGCGCCAGTGTTGGCAGAGTCATGCTCGTCGATCGAGGCAGACCGTGTGCGAAGAGTGCCACTTGGGCTGCGGTCGGTCTGACTTTGGCGAGAGTCGCGAGGACCTGGGACTAAGGCGGAGCTGCCTGCACTGCGCCTGGTTGCAGCATGCGTGCCTGTAGATGGTGATGTTACGGATGCCGAGAAGCGACCGGTGGGCGAGTGGTGACGCGGCAAAGAGGCTAGTAGAGGTGCGTTGGGTGGCTGTCCGATGGGGCCTGTGCCTGCTGGGCCAGCAGAGGAGGATGCAAGGGTAGAAGCGAGGTGGTGTCCATCATCCATGTCCATGGCCTCGTCGGGATCGTTGACTTGCACGCTTGTCTCTGCGTCCTGAATGCGAGGCGTGGCGAAGGCGGCGATGGCAGCAGACGGCGTTGATTGCTGCCAGCCCTGCAAACGGTCAAGTCGACCTGTAGCAGTTCGAAAAGGTGCACTGACAGCATGTCCAAGGTTGATTGATGCAGGTGCAGGTGCAGGTGCAGGTGCAGGTGCAGGTGCAGATGGCAAAGTGGGAACCTGCATTCGAGTTGGCTGGGAGGGTGTAGCAGCGGTGGTAGCAGAGGCAGTAGCAGAGGCAGTAGCAGAGGCAGTGGCAGTGCAAGGTCCAGCGCTCAACCAGCCGAGGTTGGAGGCGGCAGGAGAAGATTGGTGAGATGTTGTTGCGAGTGGGCGACTGGATGCAGTAGGAGATGCAAGAATGTCGAGCGCTTCCTCGTCGACAGAAGCAGCTTCATCACCATAGCGAGCGCGACTTTCTTCTTCGACGATCTCCTCGAGCTGTGCGTAGAAAGCGAGATCAGCCTCGGACATGGACTGGTTGAGATTGCCGTGGGCACCTTGGCGCTTGGTGAGATAGAGGTCGTGGAGGGTGCGTAGCTCATGCAGTGCGTTGGAAGGGTCAAGGCCGCGGTCTCGATATCGTTGATAGAGAGAGGCAAGCACAGCAGCATCGTCTTGGTCAATGTATTGTTCAACAAGAGCGGCATCGGTATCGACATCGGCATCGGCATCGACATCGGCATCGGCATCTGCATCTGCATCGGCGTCTGCGTCTGCATCTTGACTGGAAGCGATAGGTCGGAGAGGCTGCTGAAGCAAGACGCCAAGCGAGCTGGAGTTGGAGGATGATGGGCGGATGCGTGGAGTTGCAAGGGTGGAAATGGACCTTGCTAGACGGTGGTCGAGCGGATGAATGGTGGCGTTGCTGCTGCCACGTCTGCGATACTTGTGTTTGAGACACATGACCTTCCAAGTGTGCTCGTCGTTGACGAGACTCCTCCAGAAACGGCTGACGCAGCTTGCACGCGCCAGTGTCTTGGGATCATCGATGAAACTGAGAATGCTGAGACTGACTTCGATGGGAAGAGCAGAGAGGAAGTCGACCTTGAGCCTAGGAGTGATGACCGAAGACAAGTGAGCTAGCTCTCGAACGCTGAACAGGTCAGCGAGCTCCGAGACGAGCTCGAAGCGGGCCGACTGGCTATACTGGGGCAGCACGAGCGAGAGATGTTTGAGGAGCTGCGATGGATCATTGGGGTCGACGATCAAAGGGTGCGGTGCGGAAGGGGTTCCACCACCACCACCACCACCACCACCACCACCAGCAGCAGCAGAAGCAGCATTGTTGGCTAAGCGGATCGAGGTGTGAAGATCAGGCTGAGGAGACGGAGCGGGTGTTGGCGGACTGATGGCACGATGGTGCGGTGATATGCTCATGGTGGTGGTCGGTGGTGATGATGATGGAGCGCCAACGTCTGCTTTGGCACTGGCAGAGAGGTGAATTAAGGACAATGGCAAGCTTGCTATGCTGTGCTATCGATGCGATTATGAAAGCGAGCAGATGCTGAGTCGGGCGGTCGTCATGCCTCGTCGGAGCAAGGGAAGCGATTGAGCAGTAGTGATCCTCTATCGGCGCTTGCGCAGATGATGACGATGAAGACCTCGGAGGAGCCCAAGAGATGAGACGACCAAGATAAAGAGCAAGATGACAGTGATGATGGTAGTGATGATGGTAGTCATGATGAATGGATGAGATCGATCAAGATTGCCAGAAAATGTCTCCCAGCTAGACTCACTCGTACGATAACGAATAAAAAAAAAAACAAACCCCAAACTATTTTGAAGCATATAAAGACTAACATTCACTGGCTCACTGAAACAATACATCAACAGCAGCAAGACCATCTTGCAGCAGACCGGTGCTGGAGTTCTTCTTCATTGGAGCAAGAGTGATCTGGTCTTCCTCTTCTTCTGTTGCAGCCACCACAGCTGCTGCTTCATCTTCATCCTGCTTGCCCTTCTCTTCCTCATCCAACCTGTCTTCAATTGGCCCCACCCCCACCCCCTTCACCATAACCCCTACAGACACTAGTCTCTCATCAATACCTCGCTCCTGTACTCTCGACAATCCCTCTCTGCCAGACTCACCATCAAGACACACACCTCTGCTCAGATCAAGACTACCCTCAGCCTCATGACTTAGCAACATCCTCTCTAACCATGGTGCACACCTCCAACAAGCAGCACCTTCTCGACAACATTGGGACCACCATCATGCACTTGTTGATGGTGGAATTCGAGATGCAACTCATTCTGATGGATGCCAATGTCACTTGGCACCCTAATGATGACCTTGAAGAGTCTGATGATGACATGTTTGATCATGCTGTCTCATTTGTGCTCATCAGGACTTACAACATCATCAGCCAGTCTAGATACACAGTTGAACACCTTCAACTGCCACAATAAAGCGATCCTCTTATTGACATGCTTGCTCAATATGCTCTCAGCAACCACAAGCTCTTTTGAGGGGCTGGTCACATGACCCCAGATGCATTCCAAGCTCTCACTCACAGACCATACAAGCTGAACAGCGAGGTAGTAACTGTCACAGGGCCTGCACAGAAAGTGCGAGATTGGTGGCGACATAAGCTTCTGGCCAATTTCGGCGAAATTGGTCAGGTCGAGCCCATCCAATGTGAAGGAGGGGTGCATCTGTATTGACTCGCATCAGGAGGCTGACGGAATGACTGGTGCCTTCTGTCGGGATGATCAATGTCTCCGATGGAACGACTGGCACCCGTCATGGGCCTGGATGCACAAGAAGTAAGAAGATCCATCAATTCATATGAAGGGAGCACAGGAATCTAGGAATCAGGCAGATTGTGGGATTTGCAGCAGAGTTCATTGAGATCTGTAGTAGAAACTGTGCTATGACAGATCCCACCAAGATCAGCATGAGCAAGGATAGTATCACAAATTCTGCCAAGATCCATAGTAGAAGAGATCATATAGCAGATTCTGTGGAGATCAGTGGCAAAGATGATTGAATGGCAAACTCACATGCAAAGAGGACCAAGCTCTGCCAAGATGGGGACCAAGCTCAGAAGCATGCAGCTGGTTACCACTCAGGGGTTCACAAGACAGGAATCAGGAGAACAGTTGCCAGTCAGGAGGAAGGAGAGCTGTGTCAATGACACCAGCATATAGGTCATGAGGAGGAAGAGCTGTGTTGAAGAGGTCAACACACAGCTCAGAAAGGACAGAAGTGATGTCACAAGGACTCCTGTACAGTACTCAATGAAGAAGGTACTCTCTGGAGAGAGAGCCAGAGCAGTGTTGCAGGCAACACTGCAAAGATGTATATATAATCATACCTTCTCATCATAGGTGGATGAGTGGATCTCCATCCACTCTACACCATACATTACTAGTTATAGCTTACACATAAGTATACATTAGTATCCAGTCAGCAAGTTGCAAACTCAATAGATTGCATCCATCATAGTGCATGTGTTGTATCACTGCTCACTGACATCTGAAGGCAGTTCAAAGAAACCTGTGGTCTGGATATTGATAGAACCAAAGGCAGTTGTCCACTGCAGTCCAGGGATCACTTCAAGCATACAGTTGACACACTGGACACTCATGTCAACACCACCAATCACATCTCTCACACCAGACCTTGGTGTCAGTACCAGTTCCTATTAGTTATTGATTGTGCCAAGCTACCTCTGGATGGAGTGTCCACAGCAGTCAGTTGAAACCTGCAATAGCAAGACCGTTACTGCATTTCCAAGTGAGTAAAGTGATAGGGATGTCTCTACTACATATTTTGCCAAGAACTGTAATACCACAAGTGCTGTTGCATAACTCGACAGGATTTGTAATAGATGTGACTCTATTACAGATATCAGGTTTTGGGTGTGCGACCTCTGACAGCACCTTCTGTCGGGATGGCCAAGTCCTTTCGGCCTACCCAACAAACAAGGCAATCCACACACCTCGGCCCCTCGGACAATTGTATCAGTGAGTTGTGAAGGTGATAGAAGGAGAGGCTCAATAAGAAGGTAAGAGACTGGACTCTGCCATTGAGGAGCTCTCCTGCACTGCTCCATCATGATTCAGACCCCTCTTTGCACCAATGTGTCACTGAGCCAAGATGTATAAAAACACTCGAGTTAGCTAGTTTGCCCCCATTTCATCTATCCTTCAAGTTTGTACATACTCTTCAATGTTGATACACTCAATATGATTGTGCCCTACCTCAAAATCTACCATTTTCCCAACATAATGGATCTCACCAATTGCACCGCAAGAAGGGTTGTCATGGGCCTGGATGCTCAAGAAGCAGGAGGGTCACTGGTTCATATGGAAGGAGCACAGGTTTCGAAGATCTAGTCGATACCAGTAGAGAGCATGGTCGTAGTGCAGTCTCCATGGAGACCATGGACTTCTACAGACTCACATGCAAAGGAGGACTAAGCCATATGTGAGGAGGGCCAAGCACAGCCACGAGGAGGACCAAGCTCAAGGAGCAGGCACAGCCACGAAGAGGACCAAGCTCAGATGGTTACCACTCAGGGGCTTGAGAGACAAGAGTCAAAGGAACTGTCACCGGTCAAAGGAAGAGGAGCAGTGCCGAAGGAGTCGACACCAGGTCATGAGGAGGAGGAGCAGTGTCAAAGGAGTTGACACAGCTCAAGAGGCACAGGGGCGCCAAGCAGGAGAGGCCCCTGAGCAGTACTCGATGAAGAAGGTACTCTCTGGAGAGAGAGCAGGAGCAGCATTGCTGGCAATGCTGTGAAGAGGTATATAACCATGCTTTCTCATCATCATAGGTCGAGTGGATCCTCATCCACTCTACTCACCATAACTAGTTATCACTTCAGCATAAGTATATATTAGTTTCAGTCAGCATAGCAGCAATCTATCAAGGTTGCTCCTCATTGTAGTGTGTGTGTTGTATCACCACTACCTGACATCCAAAGGTGCCCATAGCAGGTTAGCAGTCCGGATATAGATAGAACCGAAGGCAGTAGTCCACTGCGGTCCGGGGATCACTTCAAGCATCAAGTCAACACACTGGACACTCGTGTTGACGCCACCAACCTTATCACCAACGTCATCAACCTCATCATCATCAACACTCACACCAGACCTTGGTGTCATCATAGCATTGATATTGATCATGCCGAGCTACCCCTGAACGGAGTGTCCACAGAGGTCAGCCAAAACCTACGATAGTATATACAATGAACGCCACCTGCTGTCACTGCGCAACTTGATAGTCACCGATACCGAGACAATAGCTGTCGCACAGTTTGATAGTCACCGAGTATCTCGACAGACCGACCTGGGTTTCAGGCGCGAGACCCCTGACATAAGGTTCATGGTGGTCGTATTGGCCTCCCTGATAATGTCTTGTATGTTGATCTCCTCTGGCTCTAGTATGGGTTCATGGTCGATGGTCTCTGATCTGGTACTCTCTGCCTCTAGACTTTCAAATCCGATTTGCAGTGGGCTCCTTTCTTTGGGTTGATCATGCCAGCCTTTATCTTCATGAAATGTAGCTGAGTTACTCCATTGGATAGATGGTGTGTGTTCTGGAGTGTGGAATTTCCATCCCTTGTGCTTGTCGTCATAACCAATCATGATTCCTGGTATGGCTCTCACACCGTGCTTGCCTGCATGATCTTTCCTTGGGAGGTGAACCCATGCAAGACAGCCAAAGACATGCAATTGTTTTGCCAAGCCGTGAGCTGTCATGTGATGAAAGTCTTTGTACAGAATTCTGTTAGCATTTGCTGATGGTGTCAAATTAAGTACATGTCCAGCAGCCATGATGGCATAGGGCCATAAACCTTTTGGCACTGATCTTTGGATGAGCATTGCTCGCATCTTTTCTTGTAGCGATCTGATGGTGTGCTCTGCTCTTCCATTTTGCATGCTGACATATGGGGTGGTTTTCTGCCATTTAAACCCTGCCTCCTTCTTCCATTCCTCTGCTGCCAAGCTTGACCATTCTGTTCCATTGTTGCTGCAGATGCACTTTAGCATGCAGTCTGTTGTTACCTCTGCCCTTTTGATCCATGCTTTCAAGGTGGGGAACACTTCTGCTTTGCTGAGGAGTGGTCTCACAAATACATATGATGAGGCATCATCTACAACTACTAGCACATGATGATAGTTGGGGTGGCCTTGTAGATCTGTCATTAGGTCAATGTGTATTAATTCTAATGGTGCTTGCACTCATTCTGTCTTGCTGCTTGCCATTCTTGTGTGTGTTTGCTTTGCCTGACTGCAACTATTGCAGTCTTTTGAGTTGTGCTCAAGCTGTGTTTCTCTTCCTAGGTAGTGAGCTTGGATTTGCTGGGTTTTATTTCTACCAGGATGGCCAAATCGTTTGTGCCATAGTTTGCTTATTGTGTGGCTTGCAGGCCTTGCTGGTGTCATGTTATCATCAATGCCCTCAAGGGGGTCATTGAGCTATGCTGCTAGGGAGTCGCCATGAACTTCCCATCTTTTCTGGCATTGGTTGGTCTTACTCTTAACCATGCTTCTGTCATGTTGGAGTATTGTAGCTCCAGATTCTTCAAATATCACTTGTGCACCATCTTCAGTTAATGCTGGAACAGACAATAGATTCTTGCTAAGGTTGGGAACATAAAGTACATCTGTGAGGGGTATTTTAATGTCTCCAACTTGCAAGGTTGCATCTCCTATTGCCTGCACTCGCAACTGCTCATGCCCTGCAGTGTCTATGGATCCTTGCTTTGGCATTGGAGCAATGAGCTTATCCTCATCACATACCATGTGATGTGTAGCTCCAGAGTCAAGAATCCACATACTGTTTTGGTTACAGTTGCCAGTGTTGCTTACAAAAAGGGTGCACCTGAATCCCTATCCCTGCTGAGTAGGAGTTCGCTCCTGACTGCTGGTGCAATTGATTGCAATGTGCCCAGGTTGCCTACACTTATAGCACTTGGCTGGTTCATTAGGGTTTGCAGGGTTGCACCTACCCCTATTGTAGCCCTCTTGGTTGAGAACCTGTCTATGCTTGCCAGCTTGGCCTGTTGAACTTCTGTTGCTTGTGACTCTGGCTGCAGCTTGGATATGACCTGAGAGCTCAGCTTCTTGGTGCTTCTTGGCTAGTGCATGGTATGCATATTCATAGTTGCAACTGGGTTGAGCAGCCTTGGGGGAATCTACAGTTTGGGTGTATAGCCAGTCATCCTTGACACAGTGGTAGAGGGTGGACTTCTTGAGCTTTTCATCCATGCGACTGCCCAGCCTTGCAGCATCATTCCAAATTCGATCTAGTTCCTTTCCAAGGTTGATGACATTTTGGTGGACTAACTTGATCTCATGCACTTGGTCATGAATGGCAGAGAGTTTAACTTCATCATTGATCGTGAGTGCTGTTTTGAGCTTCTTGTACAGTGTAGAGCTGAGTTGCTCTTCTTCACCTTGTTCTCAGATGGTGTATGTATGAATACTGCTTTCAGGACTGTGGTCACATGATGACAGGATGAGGCCTAACAGGTGACTATTTAGTTCTTCATTGTAGTCTGTGTGGTTGCTAGATATTTCCCCAGTAAGGATCTGCTTTGCATTCTTGATGGGCCATATACAGTCCATAAACATGGGCTCCCAGATAGCCCAGTTGTTCTTGTTGAGCTTGATGATCTGTGATACAATGCTGAGTACTGACTTTGGAATCTTTTTGACTTGGCTGGTGTTTGGTTGGAGGTTCATCATAGAAAAGGCATGCTCCAAGATTTGGTCTTCATTCCAGTCAGTGTGAACCTCTCTGATCACTTGCATGGTGCATTCAAGTAGGGCTACACTGTCTACTCTGGGTGGCATCTTGATGGCAAAGTGCCTTGAAGCTGCTGAGCTTCAGACTCTTAATCAGTTAAGGAATTTCGTTTTTGTTATTAATTCTATCTACTAGCTTCTATGTACATTGTCATCTATATATGCTTGGTAATCTCTTCCACATGTGTTAGCCAGTGATGAGCTGCTCCTTGTGTCACTCCTGCATTGTCACTTCCTGCATGCTAGTGTGACAACACTTATGCATCCCACATGTGTTACCACCTATATGTGTCTTTATCTCATTGATGACTTGCTTATCTTCCATGGGCTCCATAATGCTCCATGGACCCTGTGAATCCCGTTGGAGTGCCGACGTGTCTCCCTCAACTAAGGTGTTGTGACAAACTGGAGTGACATGCATTGGTCATGTGCGCATTTGGCCCATGATTGAAAAATGCGCATCTATCCATTCGCACGATAAGTGGTTTGCCAGCTGTCAAACTTGGGAAAATCAAGATGCGACTTGTGTCAATTTATGCAGGCCTATGGAACTCACTCCCTCTTGGCTCCCCTTTGTAGTGAGCCGACTTCCTTGCTGCTTGGGACGAACAGGTGCTACAAGAAGCTATTGACCAGTGTCAAGGAACTTGTATAATAATGTAGCATTACCTTGAATCGCTCCTTCTCTCTCCTAACGTTGCGGATTGTGCTGGTGGCTTGTCTTGGCGCTGACCCGAGCAAAGGTCAATGTGAGGGAAACGAGGGGAACGAGGGAAACCTGTGGAGCGGAGGATTAGTGAGGTTTCCGTAGCAATGTCCATGCTGCACTCGACCTCGGCAAGGACCTCAAAGACCCAGTTGAGTTCTAAACGAGGTTAAGCCAAGTCGACGTAAGACGACGCTGACCAAGGCCCTTTTCCATTAGTAGCAGTCGTGTTGGCATGTTTTTGAGAGGAATCTAACATATGTTGATTACTAATGATGAGTTGCCCTTTCTCGGGCTGCGGATTGGTGAGCTCATGCTTATTAATCTCACAGACGCGTCACGTGGATAAGTTTTTTTTTTTTTTCCTTCCAAATTTGCGCAGTCCGAAAACCGAGTTGGGCGTTGACTTGGTCCTTGCTTCCGAACCACCACCATCTCCACGATCTCCTCCATCTCTACCTCTCCGACCTACTCGCTTACCAGTTCGTCGTTGGTCGTAGGTAAGTAACCGAAACACAAGTTTGCATTGATTTAATGGATTGCAAATCATACACAAGCGAGCGGCAATTGCTGTTGTCATGAAATGTGCTGACTCCTTGTCCACACACCTTTCTTCCATACCACTCGCTTCTTGCGTACCACATTGGCGCATTACTTGGCAACAAACGCATCACTCAGCATTGCCGCAATCCGCAATCGTAGCGAAAGCAAAAGCGAGTCATGTCGAAGAGCTCAACACGACCATCAATACCGCACTTGTAGTCGTTCGCTTCTGCCCAGCATGGCAACACCCGCACCTGCCTCGGAGCAGCAAATCGAGTCGACATCATCTCTCTCATTCAAACAACGCATATGCTCACACTGGCGCAACACGATCCGCGTCGTTCGTCGACACATCTACTTCCTTGGTCCCGGCATCGTCGCTTCCGTCGCATACGCTGATCCGGGGAATTGGGCAACCGACCTCCAAGCAGGGTCCGAATTCGGATATGCTTTGCTCTTCATCGTGCTCCTCACCGGCTGCTTCGCCGTTTTTATCCAAATCCTCTCGTGCAGAGTAGGTGTGGTCACCAATACTGATCTCGCTAGACAGTGTCGAATGCTGATTCTCAAAGAAGACCGACTGGGCTATCCCACACGCCACCGCATCTCTTGGCCCCGTTTACGAAGATGGGGTCTGCTATATCCCCTCTACCTCATTGCCGAGGGTGCGATTGTAGCAACCGAGTTGGCCGAGTTGACGGGTTCAGCAATTGCGTTGAATCTCTTGTTCCCAGCCATACCGCTTTGGGCAGGTATCTTGATTACGTCGGTCGATGTGATTCTGATCTTGTTCCTCTATAAACCTCCGCCGAATGGCAGTTTCAGGTTGCTGGAAGGCATGATTGCGTTTTTGGTCTTTGTGGTGTTGTCGTGCTTTATTGTGTTGTTGGTTAGGATTAAACCGGTGTGGCAACATGTCTTTAGGGGATACTTGCCTTCCCATCATGTAGTCCAGAGTGGAGCGTTGTACGTTAGTGTTGGTATTTTGGGTGCAACGGTGATGCCTCATGCCATCATTCTTGGCTCGCACTTTGCTTCTATCGATCGTCTTCCCTCTATCGACACCAAATCTGGACATTACACTTCCCATCATGACGATGTCAGCATCAATCAAACCCCTGCAGTTGCGCAAGATCAAACTCGATGGGCAGTCATCACCTCCTCCTTGTCACGCATCTTTGCACCCAATCCACAATCCAAAGCCCAAGTCATTCGTCTCTCTCCGCTTGTCCGCTCACTCCTCTCCCAACGCACCAACCCCACCTCCGCCACCGTTCACCCCGATTCGGAATCTCTCTCCCGATCACAAGGCCGCAATCGATTCGCACCCGATCCACTCCCCCCTCGCACACTCTCCAACATCCGCATTCACATCAAACACGCTTCCGTCGACATCGGAATGTGCCTAGTCTCGTTCGCTATCGTCATCAATTCCGCCATCCTCATCGTCGCTGCCGCTGCATTCTACTACACCGACACTAACAACCCAGCCGGATCGGGTCAAGTTATAGTTGCTTCTCTCTACGATGCCTTTTACCTTCTCAAAGACCGACTTGGTTCTCTCGCAGCCGTATTGTTCGCCGTCGCTCTCCTCGCTGCAGGCCAAAGCGCATCTATAACCGTCACTCTCGCTGGTCAGCTGGTTAGTGAGGGTTTTATAAATTGGAGAACGGATCCATTTATTCGGCGGATAGTAACGAGATTAGTTGCGATAGTGCCCAGCTTAACCGTAAGTTTAGCAGTGGGCAAAGATGGATTGGATGAAATGTTGGTGGCTAGTCAGGTAGCTTTGAGTATTGCCTTGCCCTTTGTCTTACTGCCCTTGATTATTGTGACTGGCAGTAAGGTGAGGATGACTGCGGTTCAGTTGAATAGCCCGCAGAGTGGCGAGAGAGAAGGGGAAGGGGAGGCATCGGTGGCTCCTTCGGTCAGATCTAGTGTCGAAAGACCCAGCGGTGAGGGGATGCGTGCGCAAGAGGGAGGAGGCAAGCAGAGGCCAGGATTGAATAGCGATGCTAGCACAAGTGTCAATTTGGCTCTTATCGAGACTTTGCCTCGTCAATCTACCTCTCAACCCGAGGAGCGCCTAGGAGAACAGAGTAAGAAGACAGCGACAACGCCTCAAGCTCAACCTGTCGGTGAGACGAGCAGTACAGAACCGCAAACCACTAATGCAAGCACACAGACCGACGAGGTGACTGCAGGGAAAAAGTCACAATGCTTCGCTTCAGCTTGGTACGTTCAAGTGGTGGCTTATGCTATTTTTGCTGTCGTAAGTACAAACCCCACCTTGCAAAGCCGCTAGAGATACTGGCAAACCGTACTGACCAGGTTGCCTTCATTCTTGTCTTGTCTTCCTATAGATTGTCGTGGCGGACGTCTACGTCTTGATCACCACGTTTATGGATAGCTGATGTCACCACATACCGTAGTAACAAGGACAATGATGATCAAGTTGACACATTCACCAAGTCACCCTCGCATCTCCCGTCTTTCGCTTGCCTCAGCACGATGCAGAGTTCGAGATTGAGAGTGAGAGTGACGGTCCCTAACATGATGCGCTGCTCTCCTTCCCTTGATGCCAAGCTGGCAAAAGCTTTGCTGTTGATGAGAGTTGAATGGATTCCTCTGGCAACGCCTCTCGCCCGAGCACTGGGAATTGGGGGGTGACAAAGAGTATTCCGCAACCCAGAGCTATGGTCAGTTGGACGAGAATCCAGATGGCCGGTTTAGAATCCACGTTTAGCACAAGTAGGAGAGGTAGGCCGAGAAGAGTAAAGAACGATCCGAGATGATTCTGTGGAATATAACACTGTGCAACTTGGATAGACATGGCAAAAGCAATAGCGGTAAATGCTACTGTGCAGAAGAAGGGGAGAAGCATGCATCCAGACATTATCGTAGAAGCTAATTTGAAGCTCGGAAGTAGGTGCGGATGACCAAGTCAGCGCTAGCCCCAAGGCTATGGTGGCTAGGATCAAAAGTGCATTCCCGCACCAATCCATGCTTGCAAGGTTAGACCTGATGTCTCGTTTGGGAGTCTTCATATTCATAAAACAGCTTATCATACTAATAGCAACTACGCTTACGAGTATGTTAAGCCAGAATAACCACCATCTACCCCTACCCGCTTTACTAAACACACCTCCAACAGGTGGTCCAATGGCACTTGCTCCCGCCCAAACGATACCTAGAATGCCTTGATACTGTTGAGAGTGGCGTCGCTTCGCGTAGCTTATGGTTCGAACGAGCTGGTTTTAGGTTCATGGACAACTGCAAAGAGGGGTACTTATTTCATGGCTATCTACAGCAGGGAGTGCGACTATTTATGCATGGTAGGAAACAAGTGCGACATGCTGGTCGAGCAGGTCCGTTCCCCTCAACCCCTGTATCGGAATATCGGCACAACGTCGCCGATACGAGGTCAAGTCGACCTCCAACATATAAGCCGGGGTAAACCTGGGTGAATGATTACGCTTGGCGATCCTACGCGACCCTCGTTGCAACTCTGGAGGTCTTGTTCCTAAGAATAGAGTTGTGTAAATTTCGTTTTTCTCTACCAGTGTTGTGAGCCACCGGAATGCCAATTTTCCCGCTGGAATTCGATCTTTGACATCTCCCCTGCTTGCTTGCTTGCTTGCACTCTGGGATCACCTTGACTTTTCTCAGCTGACTGCATTGTCGTGGGCTATCGTTCAGCTCGACAGAGCAATTGTTCGTTCATTGCTCGTCAGAAATCAAGGTTGCTCGGAGCGGGGGTTTTCTCTAGCACATTTGCTTTTCGGCATTCTGCTGCAGACCAAAGGGACAGAGCTGATACGAAGGACGATACTCAAAGTGAAGCTGTGGTCATGCGGGACTGTGAGTAACTGTTTTGGGGCGGCATGCCTTGTCCGCTGAGATGAAGGGTCCGGTTCTTTTGAACTCAAACGTGTGAAGAGGAGCTTACTTTCTGCTTGCCTTCATAGACTCTCTGCTGATACGCCACCTCCTCCTCTCTGTGCGGTCAAGGGGGATTGATGGTGCCCTGAGCAGCCGCGGCGAGATGCGACGCATTCCGGCCCGCTGTTTGTGTGCATAACCTCCCTCGTCCTCGGCGTCCGTCTCTTGTGGCAAAGTCAGTTCTTTGTGCCTCTGTTCATCGGCAAGCTACAGTATTGACCTCCTGATGGTTCAAGAGCATCTCTGAAGACCCCTCTCCAGACCTTCTTAAGCCCCATCGGCCGACACATGCGTGCCTCTCTCTTCGACCATCATCCCTTTTCTGTCGGTCACATCAACTCCAGAATGCGATCATTCTCACTTGACCCTAGCACACCAAGTACCTCGCTCCCTTGCTATCTCTGCTATGGTTTCAACTCGTAGTCCTTCCCCCAGCGGCACGGAGCGCTCCAGTGCGACCGACGTCTCGACTGATGCTTCGAGCATTGTCGAGTGGATGGCCAACCTTCATACCGAAGACGAGGCGGTCGTTCGTGGGCAGACGATTCAGGACATCCTGAATGACTCGCGCATCCTCATCACTGGCGCTGCTGGTTTCGTCGGTGCTGCTCTCCTTCACCGCCTTCTCTGCGACTCGACGTTGAACATCAAGCAGGTTGTCGCCATCGTGCGAGGAAAGACCGACGAGGAGGCGTTCAAGCGTCTTCCCAAGTCTCTCCACCACCACGCCCAGCCAGAGACTGAGGGTGCCATACCCAAGCTCCTTCTCGTCAACGGTGACTGCGCCCGCCCCAACTTCGGCTTGAACGAGCAAGGATTCGAGAAAGTCGGCAAGACTGAGATCGTCATTCACTGTGCTGGTGACACTCGATTCACTCTTTCCATCTTGCAGGCTTTCGAGTCTATGGCGGATTTAGCTTACTTTACCGCTCGTTTCTCGTTGCTCGCTTGGAAGGTCAAGACACATATCCACGTCTCCACTACGTTTGTCGGCTGGTACCTCAAGAACGGCTCGCTTGTCAGTGAAACGCTGACACCAGACGCCTGCAGAACTCAGGTCGACGAACAGGGCAAACACGTCAACACTTACTTCCAGGCCAAGACATACGCCGAGTCCTGCGCCAACTCACTCTTCACCTCCCAGGTCGGCCGCAAGCTTCACGGCAAGACATGTCGTATCGTCCGTCTGGCAACTTTGGGCCCTGCTATCGACTTGCCTCGTGATGCTTGGGGTGCAGGTCACCCTTCGAGTCCCGTTTGCGCTGCTCTTGCCGCACAGGTCGTCGATCCTAAGATTGTTTTCCCCAACTCTGGCCTGGATGTGGTTCCGGTCGACATTGCCGTCAACCAGATCCTTGCCATCACAGCATCCGCACACGCACTCCAAAAACTTGCCACCACCCACCGTCTGCATCCCAAGAACCCAGCGGGTCCAACAAGCAAACATCTCGCCCAAGTCCCCTGCAACCACGTAACCTTACATTCCCACGGCAAATCTGCTCAAGGTGTACGATGCATTCATGACAAAAATCGTCGAATTCGACGTTGCGCGCACCCGTACTGTACCATCCTTGGTCTTCCCGCTTTGCGTCCTGATCAGGGTCGAGCTCTTGACAAGGCATCATTGGCCGATCTGCCGCTGAAACAGGGCTCAATGGAGCTCGATATTGTCAAGGCGGTTCAGGACAAGTTCGGTCATGGCCAGCTCCAAGGCTGGTCCGGATACTTGCAGCAGTGCCGTGATGAGATGCAGTCTATGGGTTCCCGATCTGATTGGCAGACTTTCGTCGACTAATCCACCTCGACTCTTCACACACCTTTGCCTTGTATAGATCGTCTTCTTTAGTGGAACCTCAAAGCCCAGCATACCCATATTAGGCTCTCACTCTTCTCGTTCTGTACATACTTTTCATCAGCAAGCAATGCCACGGTAGATCGGCAGATTCGCAGCAAACACTGCGGAGAGAACGCGAGGGAGAAAAGCTAGATTCCTTCCACACAGCACAGCCAAATGACTGAGGTAAGCGCACCCAGTGAGATGTCGAGCGACGTCGATACGCTGAGTTCAGGTCTGCCAGCAGCGGCTCAGCATACATAATCACTCTCTGGGCAGCCAAAGACCGAGACATCCTGTGACTGCGATCCATGCGGAAACAGGGGCTAGGGGAAAGTACAAGCAGCTTCAGTATAGTTGCTTAATCAGGGAACTGCATCTAGTCTACACATCCAAACTCGAGACGATTCGACTGGTCACACGCCTGCCGGAGAGCAAAGCGCCTTCCATGTAGCCCTGCCAAATCTCGCTAGTGGCGTCTCCTGCAAAGTAGAGCTTGTCGACCTTGAACATTTCATCTCGTTCGTCTTCCTCGAAGCTGGTAAGGACGCCTGGAGGGTTGAAAGATCCGTAGCCTCCCGTGGCGTATGGAGCGAGAGTCCAGTCCATCTTCATTCCACATACGCACATACAGACCATCAGTAGAAGCATATATACCTGGCATTGCTTTGGAACTAGTCTTCTCCTAGAATAATGATCTTGCTATCTACTTTGCCGCCCTCACTTGTGCATTCCTCAGCATTGTCAACCCAGATCCATATGCTGTTTTTTGCATTGAGCCATGCCATTATCATCATCTGTTGCTGCTGCTGCTGCTGCTGCTGCTGATGGTGGTGGATTGGACACTCCAGTCGCTGAGATCGAGGGCAGCGCAGGCTGGACGTGATCATTCCAAATCAGATTGGACACCACATTGAACTTCTCGAAGGTGGGTATCATGGCAAGAGTGGTCAAGTTTTGCTTAAAGCTGGCTCGGATCTTCAAAACATCGAGGCAAGGATAGGTGTGCTTGTTGGTCACACCTCAGATGCAGAGTTGAGGGCATTCAGTGCCATTGATCATCTGCACTCGCAGGTGGGATCCTTTAGGTTTGCTGGCAAATGGTGTTGAGGTGCCCAGGTCAAGCAGAATGCAGAGCAGAGCCCTTTCAGTGAGTAGCTTTTCACCCGGCAGTGCATGTGAGGCATGCATAATCGATGGTCCAGTGAGCTTGAGCATTACATCCAGCTTACCTGATCCAGCTCCTGGCTGCAGTTTGTCACGATTCTTGGCCTCCCATGCAACATAGGTCATGTAGCATGCAGCATGCATCTCAATGCTGGTAGCAGCATCATCCTGTGTGCCAGTGGGAGTAACAAAGGGCTGATTGAGGTTGCCCATAAAGATGGGGAGGATGCCATCAATGCCATGCTGCGAGTGTGCCATTTGCAGTCCAACTCCACACTTCCAACAGTACCACAGGTATTTGGGAGAGATCTCGGTGATATGTTTGGGCAGCACATCAAAATGCATAAAGTTGGTCCATGCCACTGTTGATGCTGCTGCTGCCAATGTTCCAGCCTGCAGTCATTGCAGTGCCAGATGGGTGGACAAGCTGTCCTGCTGCACTCTTTCAATGCATTGGTGCAATTGGTCAGTGTTGGCCTTGTCAAGGTTAGCAAGCTCTGAAAGGATGGTTTTGAGAGGCACCACACAGGTCAGCACCTTGACATGCTCCGATGTTTTCTGTTGCTTGAGTGCATCCAGCTCTTTGTGCTTTGCTGTGTCCCAGGTGACAACCAAGGCCATGCATGAGGCTAGCTCTCCATAAATCCCCTTGAATCCAGTGATTGCCAAGTCCACAAGGCATCGGCCTTGGAAGTTTCCCATGATGGAGCTGTACATGTCAACTGGCTTCGACCCAACATTTTTTGCACCAGTGCACAACATGATGAGTGAGGCAGCGATTGCCAGCATGGGTTCCGACAGAGAATTGACATACATGGTGGCATCGTTGGATATGCGGCTCACCATATGCATGTGCCAGTCCACAGTCTTGTCCATGAAGAGCTTTTGCTTGCCAAAGAGGGCGCCACCACCTTCATGCACCAGGACAAGGCCCAGGGCAAGCTGCGAGGCCATGACACTGAAGCACTGTGCCATGTTGTCTGTGGAGAAATTCTTTTTGCCTTGAAGCTTGGCAAGGATGCTGCCCCAGAAGTTGCTGCTCTCGAGTGTGGGCCAGAGTGGCCATCTGTATTGGATGAGGTGGTCATGCGAGGATGCCTGTGAGGCACAGGAGAGGGCACATTGCTCCTCAGCAAGCACATTGACACCAACGCCAACAAACATATGCAAAGGTGCTGAGTTCCTTTGACAGAGTGAGGCCTGATCATCAACATGTTCGACGAGATAAGTGGCACTGCTGCTGGTGCTCATGAGCACCAACCAGAAACTCAAAGTCTTGTATTTATCCTGGAGCATACCAACATAGTTCCAAGCACAGCAGAGGCTGTTGAGCTGATTGTTGGGTGCATTGGGATTGGTGACAATCATTTCGATGCATTCATCAAAGGCTACCAGCACTGGAGGCACTGGCACTTTGGCTTGACCCAAGTGCAGATGATGCGACATGGCAATTAGCTGCTCGTTGAGATCGATAAGAGGCTGCCGGAGAGCCATGTCAAAGATCGTTTCGTAACTGGGTGTTAGGAAGGATTTGGAAGCTTTCCCCTCTACGAGCTTGTGTACAATTGGGAGATCACTCTCTGTGAGCTCGGATATGGCCTTGAAGTGGTTGTTGCAGGGATAGCGGTCAAGAGGCTTGGGCAGATCATCATCACAGGTGACTGGTTCAAATCGATTGAGATCACAAAGATGTTGATACTTTTTGGCATTGGTCTTCCAAGGTCTCAATGCTTGGGCAAGTGTGGTGAACCAGGCATGAAGGAAGCAGGCCACTTGAAGGTTGCACCTGCTGGAATATCTGCTCTGTGCATTGGCAAAGTAGGTTTGGATGCCTTGGTCTGGGAGTGGATAGCCAGCCTTGGCATTGCTCTTGGCACTGCTATTGTGAAAGCAGATGTAGAGGAGGGGGGTTTGTTGCTGACATTCATACACCATGCATGTCTTGCCTGTACCACTCAACTGAACAATGGGGGTGCCACAAAAGTAAGGCTGGGGTTCATTTGCATCGAGTTTGTCATAGACAGCATTGAGGTGAGAGACAAAGGTGAGGAAGCGATTGGGTGCATCACCATGGTAGGGTCGATAAAACCCATTTTCAAGATGAATGCTGGTACCAATCACCTCTGGATCTCAGGAGCACTTGACATGTGATTGTGTGAGGTGAACAATGACCATGGCAAGGGCCTGGTTGGGGCTATTGAAAGTGGGGAATTGCAAGGTGAGGTTGTTGTAGACAGTGGCAAGCTGGTCAATGATGGGGGTAACATCGTTGAATACATCTTTGAGCTCTGGTATGACTGTGCAAAACCTAGACTGGTGTTTGATGAGGTGTTCGACCATTGAACTGAGCAGGGCAGGACTCCAAGATTTATGCCTACTATATATATTGCAAGCCATTTTGTGAATGCTGATGAGAACATCCCAATCTTCAATGGCTCTGAGCTTGGCTAGAAGACTTTTTGCCTTGATGGTGCAAGGGGTATTCTTGAGAGCTTGTTGGGGTAGTGCTGAAGTGGGCTTGACAGGCATGGTAGGATTGGCAACCTGCTTTGACTGGGGGCTGCGATGATGCAAATTAGGGTGGGATTTGAAAAAAGAATCGAGAAACTCGTAGATGTGATCCAGAGGCCATTTGTTATGTTCAAAATGGCTGAGTCAATCATGCAACATTGCAGAGACTTCGAGAAGAAGAGGTGATGATGTTGAGATGATCTGGTTGTCATCAGAAGATGGTGGAAGTAATTCGTTGAGCTGAGACCATTGTTCTTTGAGGCCTGGCAATGGTGCATTGCTGCTACTGGAGCTTGGTGAATGTGAGGGTGGTGAAGACAACATGATGGAATGGTGAAGCCCAAGCACACTAAATGCTAGCTGATATTGAGTAGACCTAAGATTGTGGCAAGAGAAAGCATGTTGTGGGTGGTGGTGATGATGATGGTGGTGATGATGATGAATCCGAGCTGAGCTTTCATCTTACATGTGCACTGTACAAGCAAAAATTTGCAAGATAGGTATCAGACTTTCTCGTGCGGCTAGTTTTCGCACGAGAAGATTTCGATCGAGCATTCTTGTGCACCTAGTATTCGCACGAGAGAGTCACCCAGGCGTGAGACATGGAGCCTCGCACGGTTCAACGATTTCGGTGAATTTGGCAAGACACTTGGCCTTGAAAAGTTTTAGGTCCCAATACTGGTGATCGGTGTTGGAAACTTGAGTCGTTTCGGTCCCGATACTGGTGATCGGGGAGAGTCTAAGTACGATGTCGCTGCTAGTTTATAGACAGAACAAATATACTCAATTGACCAAGGGAATGTGGCGAGAGCCTAGTGCTCTCTGTGAGATATATATACAAGTGAGTGGCACATGCATCGACGTAGACCGCGAGAAGAACCATTGCGTTACCGGAGCCGCGCGTGTATACGCATGGTTCGGCCCGACATCGCTTGAAGCCAAAGGCCTGAAGCTGCTCATCAAGAGCAGTGTGCCATAAGTATCACGAACCGGCCCGAAGGTTGCGGTGATGACGAGGGCGAGATCGAGAGACAGAGGAGACTACCAGACTTCGGAAGGAGCAGATGAGAGTTGATTGAGAGTGTCACGACTCGGTCATGACCCTTCTCATATTTGTCATAGATCTAACATGGATATGTCATTTCACTGCAAAAGAGTCTTAGACTCGTCGCATTGAGTCTTGTACTTTCGATCTCATAGTTTGCTCCTTCCTTCTTCTCTTCTCTTTTCCCTTAAGGAAAAGAGATCATAAGTCACTCTCTCAATCAACTCTCTCAGTCAACTCTTATCTACTCCTTCTGAAGTCTGGTAGTCTCCTCTAGTTGAAGATGCACTGGCATCGCCAACGCGTGATGTGTTAAATAGGAGTATTCAGGATCGGGGAATCGGGAAGACACCAAGTGACGAGGAAGATAAGATAGATGCAAAGCTAGTGGGGGCTCATGCAGCCTATGCACAAGGATTGACACCATGGTATGCAGGGGGTATGTTGGTATGACAATGCTTATGAAAAGGAGATACATGGCATATGGGCATGACTCGACGAAGTAAGCATAGTTGGGTGTTGTCAGGGGTCCCGCGCCAGAAACCCAGGTCGGTCTGTCAAGATACTTGGTGACTATCAAGTTGTGTGACAGCTATTGTCTTGGTATCAGTCTCAATGAGCTAGTTGTTTGGCGACTATCAAGTTGTGCGATGACAGTGGGTGGCATTTGTTGTATATACTATTGTAGGTTTCGGCTGACCTCTGTGGACACTCTGTTCAGGGGTAGCTTGGCACGATCAATATCAATGCATAGGTTATGATGACACCAAGGTCTGGTGTGAGTGTTGGTGATGATGAGGTTGATGGTGTTGGTGATAAGGTTGGTGGGTGTTGATGATAATGAGGTTGATGGTGTTGGTGATAAGGTTGGTGGCATCAACACAAGTGTCCAGTGTGTTGACTTGATGCTTGAAGTGATCCCCAGACCGCAGTGGACTACTGCCTTTGGTTCTATCTATATCCAAACTGCTGACCTGCTATGCATCACCTTCGGATGTCAGGTAGTGGTGATACAACACACACACTATGATGAGGAGCAACCTTGATAGATTGCTGCTATGCTGACTGAAACTAATATATACTTATGCTGAAGTGATAACTAGTTATGATGGGTGTAGAGTGGATGAGGATCCACTTGACCTTTGATGATGAGAAAGTATGGTTATATACCTCTTCACAGCATCACCAGCGACACTGCTCCTGCTCTCTCTCTCCAGAGAGTACCTTCTTCATCAAGTACTTGTACAGGGGGCCCCTCTAGCACCACTCCTGTCCTCCTTGAGCTATCGACTCCTTTGACACTGCTCCTCCTCCTTGCTATCCTGCTTGCTTGGCACCCTTGTGCCTCTTGAGCTGTGTTGACTCCTTTGACACTGCTCCTCCTCCTTGCTGTCCTGCTTGCTTGGCACCCCTGTGCCTCCTGAGTGGTGTCAACTCCTTCGACACTGCTCCTCCTCCTCAGGACCTGCTTGCCAATTACCTATACACTGCTCCTTCTCCTTTGACTGGTGATGGTTCCTTTGACTCTTGTCTCTTGAGCCCCTGAGTGGTAACCATCTGCATGCTCTTTGAGCTTGGTCCCCTTTGTGGCTGTGCCTGCTCCTTGAACTTGGTCCTCCTCATGGCTGTGCCTGGCCTTCCTTGCATATGGTTCAGTGCTCCTTTGCATGTGAGTCCATAGGAGTCCATGGTCTCCATGGAGACTGCACTATGACCATGCTCTCTACTGGTATCGACTAGATCTTCAATACCTGCACTCCTCCCATATGAACCAGTGACCCTCCTGCTTCTCGAGCATTCAGGCCCATGACAGGTGTCAAGATGTGTATATACAGCACGCACATAAACTGTCCCATAATTTTACATGTCACCATACATCACTCTAATGCTCAATAGCTATAAGTTGTATTGCCACACTGTTTTATATCATCTGAAAGCCCTGCTTCTTCTCTCCAAGACTGTGGAATTGATATTGACATTGACTAAAAAAAATTGTGCTATGAAGAAGAGCTGTTTTTTTTTTTAATGTGGGACAGTTTATGGAGCACTCCTCAACAACACCTTAGTACTTTGTTTTCCCTCCTTTGGCCTTCAGAACCACCTTGATGCAGTCTGGCATGCTCTCTATTAGCATCCTACATGTCTCTGGAGTGATCACTGTCCTTTCAGCTTTGCATCTCTTGAGCAGTTCATCCCTGGACTTTGCAATCATACTATACTGTGAAAGTTGCATTTTGAGATGGTGCCAGAGGTGTTCAATTGGGTTTAAGTCTGGTGACTGCACTGGCCATTGCATAACCTTAATGCTATTGCTTTCCAACCACATTGTTGTCTTCTTTGACATGTGTTTTGGGTCATTGTCTTGCTGAAACATGATGTCAGTGTATGCATGCTGAAGCCACAAATCTGAGATTGTTTTCAAAAGCTTGTCATTCAGGATATCAATGTATTGGTCTGAATTCATTGATCCCAGCACCAAGTGCATACCTCCCACCCCTTCCCATGTAATACAGCCCCAGATCATGATGGAGTCACTGCTGAACTTGACCATTGGCCTGACAAGCTTGCTGTTGAAGCTGGCATTCTTAATCCAACAGAACTGCTTACCATCTGGTCCAAAGAAGTTGATCTTCATCTCATTGGACCATACCACATTCTTCCAATCCTCAACAGTCATGTCCTTGTGCTCATTAGCAAATTTGAAATGGGCTTTGTAATGTCTCTTGAGTAGTGTCACAGGGTCGGCTGGCCAGCGCAAGAGAGTGCGCCAATTGATCAGCGTCAGTCATGGTAATGTTGCACAATGGAGCAGTATATGAAGGATGTGCAGAGGATCAACATATGAAGGGTGTGCCAGATTGATCAGAGCCAAAAACCATTGGGGATCAACAAGATTAATTGGGCTGGCAGTGCATATGAATTATGAGATCGATCAAACTCTGGGAATCCAGATTAATCTCATGGGGATTGGTTGGGATCAGTCAGATCAGCATGCCTCAACTAGTTGGCCGATATGAGCAAGTACTAGGAGCTGTGCCAAAGTGACCACATGACCAAGGGGTTTGGTCATGAGGTTCAACAAGTGGCTAAAGGGACTCACAAGATAAAGTCAAGAAGGAGCTGTGTCAAAAGGGGGCATCACACATCATCAGGCAGAAGGAGAGCATGAAGGTGAGAGGGCAGTGTTGCATAACCCTTATGCTGTGCAAATGGTAGGAGTGCAGTATCAATGGGATTGATGCCAGCAGGACAAGACAGTGTTGAACAGGGGACAAAGGCCCCTCAAGAGGAGCAGGATAGGTGTCATGGGCAACACCAACTGAATGCATAAATACTCTCATTCTACCATAGCATATGAATGGATCCCCATCCACTCTACTTTACTTATTATACTACTTACTCTACTCAGTTATGTACCATTGCAATAGCAGTGCTCTTGCAACAACTCTCAACATGTGTGTTGTATCACTGTTAGTTGACAACTGTAGGTGGTGTTCTTCAACACTAGTGGTCCAGTCCCTTGCTGTAGGTGGTGTTGCTCAACACCAGCAGTCTAGTTGGTTATTGTAGGTGGTGATTCACACCTGTAATCCAGTAACTCCTATCCTCTGTAGGCGATTAGCATATTGCAGTCCAGACAACATCCAAGAGCATTATCAACAGTACTACAAACACTCATACTGTAGGAGAGGGTGTATCACCCACCCACCAACGAACAACATTCGTGCTGTGCAACCTCTGAATGGAGTGTTCAAGGTGGTCAGTTGAGACTTGTCATGGGCCTGAATGCTCAAGAAGCAGGTGGGTCACTGGTTCATATGGAAGGAGCACAGGTATTGGAGACCTAGTTGATACCAGTAGAGAGCATGGTCATAGTGCAGTCTCCATGGAGACCATGAACTCCTATGGACTCACATGCAAAGGATGACCAGGCCCATATGCAAGGAGGGCCAGGCACAGCCACAAAGAGGAC